AAGACCTAAGACCTAAGACCTAAGACCTAAGACCTAAAAACTAAGACCTAAGACCTAAGACCTAAAGACCTAAAAGACCTAAGACCTAAGACCTCTAAGGCTCACGCCGCGGCTCAGTCGCTAAAACTAAGTCCTGAGTCCTAAGTCGTCCTCATCGGTCTCTAAGGCTCACGCCTGGACGGAGCGTCGATGCCTGCACCCTCCAGTTAGTCGCTAAGGCCAGTCATGGGCGAACAAGTTGACGACGCATATCTGCAAATATGCCTATTTGACGGGTATCTTCCGAGTCACGAGGCATATTTGATCAGACATATATCTGACCGACTCACGACTAGACTCTGTTTCGTGACTGCCAAGCCACCCAAGGTCAAGTCTGACGGCCGATGTCACACGCACTTTTCCGCGCTACCGTCGCCGTGTCCCGTGCATTCCCTACGTTCGCCGCCGCGGCGGGCGTGCCGCGACATTTCGCCAATAGGGCACGCGATTCAGCGCGAACGGCGCCCGCACCGCGACGCCAGAGCCCGAAAACCACCACCTGTTTCCTGGTCCCGCCGCTTTGGCGGCCCGTAGCTCCGCCGCCCGGTCGTCTTAGGCCCCGCCGCGCACCTCGTAGGATGCCCCGGCGTTGAACGCCGACAGCGCTAACACATTCCGCCCCGGAGTCGCGGACACCGGACCGCCAGCGGCGGAAATGTACCCCTTGGGGGCATTGGGGGCATTCTCTAAAAATCACAAAAAAAGACCTAAGACCTAAGACCTAAGACCTAAGACCACATGACCTCGACCCCTTCAACCAGTACCTCAACCTTCCGACGGACATGAAGGCGAGTCAGCTGCCTGAAGTCATCGACGAGTTCGAGTACAACTACGGTTCCGAATAGCGTCACAGCCACGCAGGTTCCTCAAGTGCGGAGAACGCATGGCGTTCGCAAAGGACCCCGCCGCCTGCTGCGATCAAGAACGTCCAACGCACCCTTTGTTTCCAGCCCTTGTTTCCGATCATAGTTCCCACACCCGTCACTATCGTTCCCCGCCTTCCCTACCGTGTCATGCTAACCACTTATTAGGATGGGGAGGAGATGATGCCGGGCTGACCACCACTAGGTGTCAGTCTGACCTGAGCCAGTCAGTTAGGCAAGTTGCCTTCTGCTAGATTGCCGCTGCCGCTAGCCGAGCGCAGCTAGACGGAGTTACAGCGGACACCTGCGAGTGTCTTGTGTGAGCCAGGTCTCTAGTCTAGTCAGAGACACAGAGAGACGCGGGCCGCATCACGACCAGTCAGGCCCGCCGCCGACAAACACACACGTCTCCGATCAGTCCACGTCCGCGTCCGACGCATCGTCGTCCTCGTCGTCGTCCAGTTCGAGAACGCACAGGTGGCGGGGCGCGGCGCACACGAGACACAGGCCGCGCTCGCTACCGACCGCCACATGCGCGATTGCGCCTCGCAGCTCCCGTCGCGACAGCGCAGCGCCCGATTCTGCGGAGGCAGCCGCAGGTCGGCAGTCGCAGGATCAGCATCAAGTGCTGCGTGCGGTTGCATGCGCGCACAGCGCGTCACCACCGCGGCGCGTGCCGGCGCACCTTGCGACACAATGTCCTCCAGCTGGAGGGCGCCCTGCGACCTGCAGCTCTCCTCCAACGATGCCCCCGGCTGTGTATGGTCAAGTAGACACGCGTCCGGCACCGCGAGCGCCTGCACCGCGCCCCGGCCTCCGTCAACGGCACCTCGCGAGGCACACCGCGCCCTCCTTGTAGATCTCCGCACCCACTGCAGCGCCGCCCTTCTACGTGATCGCCGCCGCCCGCACGTCCGCGCTCCGGTGGTTGCGGCCGCGGGCGCTCAGGCTCCCCCGGGCGCTGTCGTCGAACGAGACGAGCCCCTGCGTCGCCGCGCTGGCGTCGTGCCTGGGGTGCCATGGCAAGTGGAGGCGGAACACACACGGGGGATCGGAGCGTGGACTGGGCCGCGACGGCGACATTGTGCCCCGTGACCCGGCCATGCGCGCCTCCAACACCCCCTGCGAGGGCACGAGCCGTGTGCGCAGACAGTCGAATGAAACATGCCCTCTGCACGGCACGCGACGCGGCGGTCGCGCAGACAGGTGGATGGTCCGAGCATGCATCGTGGCCCGGGCGCTCACGGGCGGTCAGACACCAGTCCAAGCTTCGCAGCGCGTCCACCACCTTGTGTGCATGCCACACGAGCGTGCCCCCGCCCCGCGTGCCGCGCTGGCGCTCGCTCCACGCGGGCTGCAAGCGCGGGCGCCGTCCGCCCCCCGCCAAGCGCCCTCGCACCCGCACGACCTCTCCGATCCGACCTGCTCCGCCGAGCAGCCCCCCCCCCGCCAGCGCTGCCGTCGAAACCGTCCTGGTGCACACCCGCGCCGCACAGCCGCTCCGTCGGGAGCGGCGCCCGAGGCCGGCGAGCATCGGCGCTGCAGGCCCGCCAGCCGCACGTCGCAGCCCAACGAGCAGGCCACCGCGTGCGCCTCGTCGTCACCGACGGCACCTCACCCTGTCATTGCACGTCACGGGCGCCCAGGGCAGGCAGACGGCTCGCGCGCGGGCTCGCGGCATGAACAGGGCCGCGACGCGCGCCAGCTGCATCCGATGCATTCACAACGCGGGCGGCCCTGGGCCGCGAGGTTAGATCGCGAGGTTGATGAGTTCGCAGTTGGTGAGGGAGCACGTGCTTGCCACGCCGCCCCGCGACTGGAAACACTTCCAGAACGTCGAGTGGCCCACCGCCACGATGACCTGCACGGGCACGGGACAGACGCGGCGCCGTCGGCGGGGCCGCGCTTGCGGGCGAACGCGCCCCACCTGCAGCACGCACCACGCACGCCGGGCAGCACGTCGCGGGCGTCGCGGCGCACCTTCTCGGGGCGCTGCTGCGCCCAGGCCAGGAAGTTCTCGCACCGCTGCCGGCAGTGCGCCGCCGACTCCTCCGAGTGGAACTCCTCGTGGAGCCCGTGGTTGGGTTTCTTCACGGGCTGCGAGGGGCAGGGGGGGGGGAAAGGAAGGGTTGGTGCTGACGACGCAGGGCGGTGCGGAGGAGGGTCGGGCGGCGCGGACAGCGCGCGTGCTGCGTGGGTCGCGTCGTGTGCGGTGCGCGGCGCACCTGGGGGTTGAACCACCAGGTGGGGGCGTTGCCGAGGGGGTCGAAGCACTCCTCGGGGAGGCACGACGCGAAGAGGCGCTCGAGGACGTCGCGCGGCCGCCCGATGTCGCCCGTGCTGAGGACCTGCTCCGAGATCTGCGGGAGGATCATCACGCGGGGCAGCGCGGCGTGCACGCGGTGGCACTGGCAGTCGCAGCGGCACCCGTAGCGCCCCTGCCCGCTCGACTCCGCGGCGCCGTGCTGCGGCTCTGCGGGGCAGCGGGGGCCGTGCGCGGGGCCGGTTCTTTGCTCGCGCTCGGCGGTTGGTTGTTTGTTCGAGCGCTGTCGGGGCACGACAGCGCTGAGCGGGCGCCTCACCTCGTGGCGCGGCGTCCGCGCCGTGCGCGCTCGTTGCGCTCTCGAAGTTCATCTCGCCCGCGTGCTCGCTCCACGGCCGCCGCGACGCGTCCGGCTCGAACGGGTCGTCGATCGCCGCGTCCATGTCCGCCGTGCGGTGGTCCCGCGCGCCCTCGTCGCCGCCCGCGGAGCTCGACCGCAACTGCACGCGCGCCGGGATACACACACACGCTCCGTCAGCACCGGCCACCGACAGGGACCAGTGCATGCACGTCGGTGCGCGTGGGTGCGTTTGCTCACCTGCAGGCCCGCGAAGATCGGCGTCATGCCGCAGTGCGACGTGGTGGTCGCGGGGGCGCCCGCGGCCTCGCTGGCGCTCCACTGCGCGCTCAGGCACCGCGCGGGGCGCGGCGTCTCCCGCGCGCTGTGGCTGCCCCCGCCCAACCCCCGGGCCGAGTGCCCCAGCGACTTCATGCGGGCGAGAGGCGGCTTCCCCGGGGGCCGCGGAGGTCGCTGCGCGGGCGGCGCGACCTCCTCCGCGTCCGCGACCTCGTCCGCGTCCGCGGCGTCGGGCATGTCGGCGTCGGCCTGCGCGTTGGCCGGGTGGCAGGCGCAGCAGGGCTCCGGGTACAGGGGCTCGCGGTTGCGGTCGTGCTGGTTCGACGGCTGGTGCGTGCGCCTGGGCACCGCGGACTCCGGGACCACGTCGAGGATGCGCAGCATGGTCTGCACCGCGCGCGTGAGCGGCGAGCACACCCACAGCGCGTCGGGCGGGATCGCCGCCTCCTGCAGCGGTGGCGGGCGCGGCGGTACGTGAGCACGATTGGGCGCGTGCGTGCGTGCGCGGAGCACCGGGCATGCGAGCGCGTGCGTGTGGACGATTGTGACACGTGTAATCACGTATGATACGCGCGGCTGCAACTGCACGTGGGTGTGCTTGCCTTGGTGAGCTCTTCGCGGAGCTTGGCGCACTGCTGGAGGCCCCGGTCGGTGAGGTCCGGGTCGAACATGATGGGGTCGGCCCACTCGCGGCTGTGGTTGATGGCGTGGTTGTACTCGCTCTCCCCGTGGCGGATGATGACCAGCCGCTTGGCGCGCCCCGCCACCTGCCGCGCGATGCGCCCGTCCGACGGCCGGATCTGGCTCTGCGGCACGCGGCACATCAGCGGCGCCGGCTCGGGGCTCCGGAAGTCGTCCGGCACGGCGATGGGCGCCGCCGAGGGGCCCGTCACCACCGTGGACGCCGGCGCCGCCGCCGCCTGCTGCTGCCGGTGCGCGACGAGCTCCTGGAACAGCCGCGCGCGCTCGGCCTCGCTCAGCTCGTCGTCGAGGCCCGCGCCCTTCTTCCGCGCCGCCCGCCGCCGCGCCGCCCCCGCGCACGCGCGCTCCGCCGTCCCCACCGTGCCCACCGAGTCCGCGGGCAGCGCGGGGGAGTCGTCCATCGAGCCCACGCTGTGGCGCCGCGCGGCGCGCCGGATCAGGTCCATGGGCGACGGCGTGGACCCCGCGCGCTGCAGCGGCGCGCCGGACCCGGACCCCGGCGTGACCGCCGCCAGCGGGCTGGGGCTCACGCCGTCGCGCTCGTACTGCCTCGAGCGGTTGATGCGGAAGCCGTCCGAGCCCTCGTCGGACGCGGCGCCCATGGAGGGCGTGCGCGCGTGCAGGACCGCGCCCGGGGAGAGGAAGTGGTTGCTGCTGCGGCGCAGCCGTGCGGGCGTCCACCGCGGGAAGGCGTGCAGAGAGAACACCCCCCGGGGGGTCTCCGGCTTCTCCGGGCTCGTCTCCGTCATCGAGCTCGACGCCACGCGCCCCGGCTCGTGCGCCGACGCGTCCGCGCACCGCCCCGGCTCCCCCACGTCCCCGTCGCACACCATGCCGTCGGGGTCGCCCACGCACATGCCCACGCCCACGCCCACGCCCACGCCCGCACCAATCACCCCCCCGCCCGGCTGGTGCGCGGACTGGCACCCCGACGTCGTGCGGTGCCGCGCGAGGTGCGCGTCCGCGGGGCCCGGCGCGAGGATCGCGTCGGGGCGCTCCGGCGACTCGGCTTCCCCCTCGGCGAGCAGCATGGGGGCGTCGCCGTCCGTGTCGGGCGCGTGCTGCGCCCCCGTCGCGCGCGACGCGTCCCGGTCGCCGCACGACCCGGCCTCGAGGTTCGCCATCGCCTGCGCGAGGTTCGCCGCCGTGCCGGAGTCCACGCGCTGCCCCGAGAACCGCGACGTCGGCACCGCGCCGGCGAGCCCCCCGGGGGTGCGCGGCACCGCCTTGGCGGCCAGCAGGGCGGCCGCGGACGCGCCGCCACCGAGCGCGAGCGGGTCCGAGCAGCGCGCGGTGCGCTCCGCGAGCACGCGCGACCGCACCGTGGGCGGCAGCGGCCCCTCGGCGACGACGGGCTCGGCGCCGGCCTCGGGCACGTCCCCGGCCTGCCACCCCGTCCACTTGATGCGCCGGCGCGTCTCCGCGTCCGCGCGCGCGGCGTCGGACGACGTCGCGACGAGCCGCCCGGGCTGGTGGTTCTCCGCGCTCACCAGCGGCGCGCGCTTCCGCGCACCGAGTCCTGCACCAACAGCACGAGCGCTGACGTCGGGACACGGCGCGGGGCGAGCGGCGCGTGGTGGCGCGTGCGTGCGCGGGCGGGCGGGCGCGCACCTGCGCAGGCGGGCGACGGGTCCCCCGTGGGCGTGAGGTAGTCGAGGGGGGAGCCAAAGGGCACCGTGCCGTCGTGGGGCGAGATGGTGAGCTCCCGCGCGGGCGTGCGAGACGCGAACTTGCCGTTGAACGCGAACGCCGGGGCGGGGGCGCCTGCGGGGCGGGGGCGCGGCGCGGCGCGGTGGGGCGGGCCGCGCGGCGCGGTTTCGGCGGGGGGGCGGGGCGGGGCGAGCGCGGCGGGCGCCGGCGGGGCGCGCGGGGCCTCGTGCGGCGGCGCGGGGCGCGCGGGCGGGCGCGTTCCCGGCCACGTCCGGGCGGCCCGCCACGCACCTGCGGGCTCGACACGCGCCGAGGGGAGGTCGCCCCCGAACCCCGGGAACGGGCGCGACGGGGACGGCCCCTTGGCGCTGTGCGGGACGGTCCCGGAGTCGTCGATCTCGCTGACCACCTTGCGCCCGAACGGCGCGCTCCCCGCGGCGTCCAGCGCGGACGGCACCTCGAGGCTGAGGCGCAGGCTCTCCCCGGTGAGCCGCGCCGGCCTGCGGGGGGCGGCGGGAGCGGCGGGGCGGGGCGGGCTCGGCGGGGGTGCGGGCGGGGCGTCGCGCGGGCCGCGCGGGCGGGCCCGCATCGGCGCGGTGGGCCCCGGCCGCGGTGCGGTGGTGTGCGGAAACGAGCGAGGGCGCGCGCGAGGGGGCGGGGCCGGCGCTCAGGGCCGGGGGGCGGGCCGTGGCGCGCGGCCTGGGGGAGGCATGGGCGTCGGGGGGCGCGGATGCGGCGTGGCTGGCCCGCAGGGGGGGCGCGCGGCGGTGTCGCAAGCAAACGGAGAGGGGGCTCGAGCGCGGGGCCCGCGGGCGAGGACGCCGCGGGCGTGCGCCCGGCCGCGAGCCCGACGCGGGTGCATTTCCCTGCGGGCCCGTTCCGCGGGAGATATCGGGGCAGCGCGACGCGCGGGGCTCACCGCTTGATGTGCTCCGGAACGAAGGGCGACGACGGCCCTATGCCGCCTCCCGACGTGCGGTGACGCTTCATCCTCGCCCAATTACCTCAGAGCGGGCGTGTGCCTGCAGGCGGTCGGCAAGACACGCGTCTGCGGAGCCCTGGGAGCGGGCACCGAGGAGCATGCTCTCCGCGTCGAGGCCGGCACGCCCGCGCGACGCGCGCCGGCCCGGCGAAACCGCTGCAATGCATTCCTCGCGCGACGGGGAGCGCAGCCCGCCCGCGTGCGGCGCTCGCGCGGCGCGGACGAGGGCCAACACGGGCGCGACCGAATGCAAGCTCCCGCCCGCTCGTCTCGCCGCGCAGCCCCCGCCCCGCGCGAGGGGCCGGACGCCCGAGTGCTCACCTTGCGATCGCGGGCGTCGCGGCGCGCGGAGCGCTCCACACGAGCAGCCGTGGCTCGCGGGCACGTCGTGCGAGCTGCTAGTGACCGCGAAGGCCGTCCCGCGGGAGCCCCTCACGCCCCCTGCGGGTGCATCTCCTCCACAACTCAGACAGTCACGCCCGCGGGCCGCGAGCCGGGTCGCAGGGGCGGGGAATGCGCGCCGTTGTTGCCCGCTCCCTCGCAGCGCAGCTTGTATAGCCACTGCAACAGCTCCGGGTGCGGGGCACCTGGCGCGGCGCACAGCAAGGTCGGGTCGCCAGCGGCTCGTCCTGTGCCGCGACACGGCAGCCGGGCCGGCAACGGCGCCCCCCGCGCGGCGTGCGGCGCGCACTCCGCCGGTCCGTTGCCACGCACCCGCGCTCAGGCGGGCTGCGCCGCCCGGCCTCCGCCGACGCTTTTTCGCGCGCCATAACGTCCCCAACGGACGGCGAGCGCTCGGGCAGGGACGGCGCGCGGCGGACTGCGGCGCTCCTGGGCCCGCGGCGGCGTTCGCGCGACGGTGGACGTGGCTGCTGCGGCACCAACTCCCTCTGCCACGCGGCGGTCGACGCGGGGGCCGCACGGCGCGGCGCGCCGCCTGCAGGCTCATCGTCTACCGCATCGGCGGGATCTCTGTCTGCACGTCGCTCTCGGTGCGCGCATCCCGAGCCCCGGAAGGTCGTTTCTCTCACTAGGTGCCCCTGGCCGCCGCGCACCGCCGGGCCCGGGAGCGCCCCCCCCGCGCACCGGCGCGTTCTCCAGCTCGCTCACAGCCCGTTGCGCCGCGCCCCGTCACCGCAGGCCCCCGGGCGCGGACCCCCTCGGCGGCGTCCCCGGCCGGCTGGCCGCGCCGCCGTGCTGCGTCCCGCCGTGCGACGACGGCATGGCCGCGATCGTCTGCGTCTGCAGGATCTGCGGCCCCACCGGCGCGCGCCCCGTCTTCGGGTCCACGGCCGACACGAACAGCTGGTTGTTCGTCGCCTTTTTGATCCACGCGCTCGCGGGCTGGAAGCGGAACTTCCTCCCCGTCGGAATGTGCACGACCTCGACCAGCGCCACGTGCCAGCCTGCGGGAGGAGGGCGGGGCAGGGGCGGTGCGGGTCGCGCGGGGGCGCGGCGCGGCGTGGCGGGGGCGGCGCGGCGGCGTGGTGTGTGGGCGCACCTGGGCGCGGCCCCTTGCCGTTGTGCCCGAGACGCAGCTGCCGGATCTTGCCGAGGTACTCCATCGCCGGGTACTCGAACGTGTCCACCTGCGGCGGGCGCGGCGACCGGCACGCCGTCAGCGCCCACGCCCAACACCGCACAACACGCGCGACACGACACGACACACGCACGCACGCGCACGCGCACCTTGCCGCGCTTGAACGACTTCTTCCGCGCGGGCGGGAACACCAGCCCGGAGCTCCCCGCGTCCCCGAGCAGCTCGAAGTGCACCTGCGCGCTCGTTCCCGCGAAGGCCTTCTTGGAGGTGTAGAAGGTGACGCGGTACCCCGGGGGGCCCCTGCGGCCGCGCAGGAAGCCCTCGTCGTGCGACCCGCCGCCGGACGACGACGCCCGCGGCGACGGCGCCTCGTCGATCACCCCGGGCTCCACGCCCAGGCGGTGCGAGAGCGGCGCGCCCTTGTCGGCGCGCAGCACCGCCTCGCACGGGAAGCGCGCGACGGCGCCGGTCGTCGCGTTGGTAACGACCATCTCCCGCAGCAGCCACCGCACCCCCCGGCGCCCGTTGTCCATCTCCAGCTCCAGCGCCACCATCTGGCCCAGGTCGCGGTCGCGCGCGGCGAACTCGTCCCGCGCGTCCGGCATGAACAGCAGGCCGTGCACCTTCGGGTTCGTGCACGTGCGCTGCGACAGCTCGATCCTGCGGGGAGCGGAGACGCCGGCGGCGGGGCGCGTCGTCGCACGGGGCCCAGCGCAGACAGGGCGGCCGCGGTGCGGTGCGGTGCGTGGCGACCGGGGGCAGCGCACCACTCCGAGCTCTTTTCCTCGCCGAAGACCCGGACCTTGCACAGCTGCGCGACGTCCTGCCGCACGTCGGGGTCCATGCCCGTCACCACGTCGATCTTGTAGTCGCACACCTGCGGGCCCGTGCTCTCGTCCTGCAAGCAAAGCCGCACGATGGTTCCTTCGACGTTGGCGCCTCCGGGCGCGCGGGACGGGAGCACCGGGCGATCGCGAGGTGCGTGATGCGCGGCGCACCATTCCGGGGGGCGCGGGCGCGGGCGCGATCTCGGGCTCGGGCGGCGGCGGCGGCGTCTCCCTGCGCTGCGGCGGCGGTGGCGTCTCGCGGCGCGGGAGCGGCGGGAGCGGCTTCGCCTGGGCGCGGATAGCAACGGTCTTCGTGTCCTCGGGGGCGTCCAGCGGTATGAATATCACGTCGTTGTACGGGAAGTACCACTTCTGCCCCGTCAGCCTGTCCTTGAGCGTGATGGTGTTGAGATGCCACTCGGTGCCGCGGCCCCCGACCTTGAGCGTGAGGTCCCGCAGGTCCCCCGGCTCCTCGGGCGCGTCGAGCTCGCACTCGAACGGCTGTCCCGCGCGGAAGTGCGGCAACGGGTCCATGGTGTGGTCGACGACGATGTGCTCAGGGATGGTGCCGTGCGTGCCCGCGACGCTGACGGTGAGCTGCGTCGGGCCCGCGCGCGTGCGCTCGCCCGTGGTCGTCTCCATCTCGTACACCTGCGGGGCGGCGGGCGTCGCTCATCGCGGTGAGCCACCAAGCGGGCAGCACAGGGGGGCAGCTCGCGTGCGCGTGCGAGCACCACGCCGGTGCGCGTCGCGCAGATCGCGGAGGTGCGCACCTTGTTCGCGAACCGTCGGAGCGTCCGGCCCGGCACGTCCTTCGTGAGCCACACGGGGCCGCCGGCCTCGGGTACAAACGTCGTCTCCGTTCCGTCCGGGTCGCGCACCACGACCTTCGACACGCACCAGCTCGGGATGCGACCTGCGCGGCGGCCAGCGGGAGGATGCGACGAGAGAGGAAGTGAGCATGCGTCGGTCGACGCGAAACAAGCAAGCGTAGCAGCCGATGCGTTTCGGAGCGCGACCGGCACGCACCGAACGTGGCGTGCAGCTCGACGGCGTCCAGCTCGCCGAGGCGCTCCTGCTTGAACCGGAAGTGGTCGGCCTGCCCGGCGCCGAACGGCTGCGGCGCGCCGGGGTCCGGGATGAGCGGGTGCGGCCCCCCGCGCGCCCCCGCCGCGCCCACCAGCGTCAGCGCCGCCTGCCCGTCCATCCCCGAGTTGTGCCCCGGCGCGGTGAACACCCACGCGTCGTACTCCGGCAGCTCCGGCACCTTCGGCTCCGCGGGCGGGCCCGCAGAGGGGCGCGCCGTCGCCACGAGCCCCGTGCGGTCCGACAGCCACCGCTGGAACACGAACCAGCGCTCCTGGCCACTGGTGCCGTGCTCCGCGCGCACGTGCGAGAGGTGCCACTCCGGGCGCGGGTCCGCGGGCACGCCCTGCAGCCGCACGGTCAGCTCCTGCATGTCGCCCACGTCGTCGCCCAACATGAACACCCGGTCCGCCGAGCCCGGCTGGAACGGCTTCGCGTCCGAGGTCGGGAGGAGCTCCTGCTCGCCGCTGCGCCCGCGGTCCCCCGCGAGCTCCGCGAACACCAGCCCCGACGTTCCGGCCCCCGGGAGCGCCGACGTGTGCACGTCGAGCGTGTAGTGGGTCTTCCCGGCGTTGACGCGCCCGGGGACGAGGCGGCGCGCCGTCTGCCGGTCGCCGCGCGTCCGCGAGAGCCACTGCCCGCACGGGAACTGCGTGAAGTCGCCCTCGCCGGCGCTCCGCAGCTCCCCGTACGCGCACAGCCACTCCATGTTGCCCGTGCCCTCGACGAGGCCGACCCAGAGCGCCTGCACGGGGCCGACGTCCTCCGTCCAGATCCGGAACTCGTCGCGGTCGCCCGTCTTGAACGCCGTCGGGCGCTCCTCGAGCCGCACGCGCGCGGACTGCGCCCCGTCGGCGCCCTCGACCGCCACCCACAGCGCCGACGTCGTCCCGGACCCGCGATCGGCCGACGTGTGCAGCACCACGTCCCGCTCCACCATCGCCACCGCCCGCGGCGCCTCGCCCGCCGCGATCCGCGCCTCCAGCGCCCCCTTCCTCCCGATCCAGCGCGGCCCGGGGAAGTGCCACGTCCGGCCCGACGGCACGTGCGTCACCTCCGCGCGCTCGAACAGCCAGTCCGCCGCCACGCCGCGGCCGTTCGACTGCAGCACGAGCGTGTGCAGCTCCCCCAGGTCCCGCACGTCGCCGATGACAAAGTCGTCCACCGACCCGCGCTCGAACAGGTCCTTCCCCGAGTCGTTCACGAGCGGGCGGAAGCCGCTGCTGCCGTGCTCGCCCTGGATGTCCGCGGAGATGTCGGCGTCCGTCCCGGCGAAGCGCTCGTCCGCGGTGACCACGCGCAGGCGGTAGGTCGTGGGCTCCGGCGGGGGCGCGCGGCGCGCGTCGACGGTGCGCTCGCGGAGCGGATGCGCGGGGCCGAGCCACTGGTTCTCGAACAGGAACCACGCCGCGTCCACCTCCTGGTCGTCCACGTTCTCCCGCACGTGCATGCGGTCCACGCACCAGTTCGGGTTCGCGCCGCGGCCGTCCACCGACAGCGTCGCGGACGCCATGCGCCCCACCGCCTCGCCGCGGACCCGGAACACGTCCTGCTCGCCGCGCCGGAACGGCGCGCGCGCGTGGGGCGTCGCATGGGCGAGCTCCATGGGGCGCGTGCTGCCGTCCGCGCCAGCGAGCACCAGGAAGACCGACGCGTCCGTCTCCGCGCCGCGGACGTCCGCGGTGTCGACCGCGACGACGTACTCGGCCAGCGCCGCGCCCCGCGGCCCGTCGCCGTCGCCCGCCGAGAGCCGCATGCGGAAGTCGTTGTTGGGGCCGATCCACCCGTTGCACGGGAACACGTACGTGCGGTCCCGCGCGTGGTGGCGCACCTCGACCTTGTCCAAATACCACGGCTGCGGGGACGCGGCACTGGGAGGGAGGCACGCTGGTCAGCTCAGGATAATAACAAAACACAAATGGCAAGGGAAAACAAAGGACCAAGCGAGTTCTCCGAGCCGGGACGTGGCCGCCTGGGGCGCATCACGGCGCTCCCACCGTCTCACCTTGGACGACCCCGCGGGCAGGAGCAGCTCGACCGTGCAGTGCGTCAGGTCCCCCACCGCCGCCCCCTCCCTCTCGAACGCCCGGCTGGTCCCGCGGTCGAACGACGCGCCGGGATCGTCGAGCAGGAACGGGCCCGCGACGCCGTCCGCGGCCGCGAACTCCACGCGCACGTCGCCGTCCGTCCCCGCGCCGTGCACGTCGCCCGTGGTCACCGTGATGTCGTACCGCCCGCGCCCGGCGCCCGCCGCGCCGGGGTCCTTCGCCGGGAGCCGCCGCATCATCCCGCAGCTCCGGTCGATCCAGTCCCCGCACGGGAACAGATACGTCCGTCCGAGCGCCTTGTGTTCGATGAGGATTCGTTCCAGGAACCACGTGGGGCCGTCCTGCCCGGGGAGCGCGCGCAGCGACACGTCGATCTCCCGCAGCTCGCCGAGGCGCCGGCAGCGGCGCGCGAAGGCGTGCTCCGACCCGCGCTTGAACTCCTTGCCGCGCTCGTCCAGCACCGCGGGCTCGGCCTCGTGGCCGTCGACGTCGCGCATCACCACGCACACGTCGGCCTGCGTGCCCGCGCCCTGCGCGCCGCCCGTGCACACGGTGAACACGTAGTCGCTCAGGGGGTCCTCCGCGCCCGCCCCGTCCGCGAGGGGGAACCGCCCGCGCGCCTCGTCGGCGTCGCCCCCGTCCAGCCACCTGTCCGGCCGGAACGTGTACGTCCGCCCGGTCGCCTTGTCCGTCACGTCGACCTGCTTCGGCCGCCACGTCAGGTCCCGTCCGATGCCGCCGACCTCCAGGTTCAGGTGCGTCAGGTCGCCCGCGCTCGGCACGTCGGGGACGGTGAACACGTCGCGGCCGCTGCGCTGCAGCTGGTGCGGCCGCGCGGGCAGCCGGAACCACCCCGTCTTCCCCGCGTCGCCCTCGAGCTCGGCGTGCACGTCCGCGTCCGTCCCGGCGCCCTGCTCGTCGCCCGTCTGCACCGCCAGCTCGTACGTCGTCGCGGGGCGGTCCGCGGCGGCGCCGCGCGCGCCGGGGTTGATCCGCAGCTGCGCGCGCTCCTCGCCGTCACGCGGGGGCCGCAGCCAGAACGGCCCCTCGAACACGAACTTCTCGTTGTGCTTGACGTCCCACACCGTGACGCGCTCGAGCTGCCACCCGCCGCCGCCCGCGCCGCGGCCGCGCTCGAGCGCGAGCTCGCGCAGCTTGCCGAGGTGCCGCGGCTCCACGAGCTTCTCGCTCGCCGCGCACCCGCGCTGGAACGGCCCGTCGACGCGGTGCCACTCGCTGGCGCCCGCATCGCCCACCAGCGCCAGCTCGGCCGGCCCGCTGAACCCCGCGTCCTCGTGCCGCCCCGTCCGGATCGACACGCGGTACGGGAACGTCTCCGGCGGCGCCGCGGGCACCTCCTTGATCACCTCGCGCACCACCTCCACCACCTGCGGCTCCGCGGGTGCCGCCGGCGCGCGCTGCTGCTCCCGCTGCCGCTGCTCCGCCTCGGCCGCGCGCCGCGCCGCAGCCTCCGCGTCCCGGCGCGCCTCCTCCGCCGCGCGCTCGGCCTCCGCCCGCCGCCGCTGCTCGTCCTCGAGCTGCTCGCGGAACCGCTCCGCCGCCCCGTCGTCCTGCGGCACCACCATGCTCATCCACCCCTCCCCGCGCCCCTCCGTGTGCCGCAGCGAGTGCTTCACGCACTTGATCCACGCCTCCCCGATCGCCTGCACCCACGCCTGCGCCTCCGCGTCGCTCTCGGCCATCAGGAAGTACGTGTGCACGCCGCACGTCAGCGAGAAGGCCGCCTTGGTCGGGTGCAGCTCCCACGCGCCCGGGACGAGCCGGCGCTCGAGGAGCGTGACCGCGGGCTGCGGCTTGTACTGGCGCGGGAGCGGGCGGATCGGGAACTTGTCCAGCGGGAGGTACTTGAGGCGGGACCCCGGGGGGGGGTCGGGCTCGCGCGCGTAGCACAGCCGGTCGGGGAGGAGGAAAAAGTACCGCCGCTGCCACTCGCCGTGCGGGCTCGCCTTCTGCCGGCGCTTCTCGAGGAAGCCGGCCTTGATCACGCCTGCGACCGGCGGTGTGTGCGCGGGGGGGGGTCGGGAACATCGTGATGCATGTGCGCGTGGCGGGAGGGGGTTAGAGGGGTGGCGGGGCGCACCCTCGATGGTCTGGGCGGTGCGGAGCTCCACGCTGCTGGGGTGCGTCATCCAGGAGTCGTTCGGGTCCATCGCGCGGTTCATCGACGCGTTGAGGTACTTGACGGGCGACACGCTGCGGGTGAGAGGTGGGGGCGCGGCGTGAGCACTGCGGGCGCAACAACCACGTTTCGTGCAGCCTGCGCGCATGTCTGCTGTCTCGAATCGCTATGTGTGCGCAAGACGTGCGAGAAAGGCCGCGGCGCGAGGCGGAGGCGGGGGACGCACCCAGCACTCAAGCCCTCGTGGTCCTGTCCCGTCGAGAGCATGCCGCGCGACCGCTTCGACGTAGAGGCGGCTGTCATCGTGGAAGGTCACCTGCGCGCGCGGAAAGCGTGGTAGACGACGTCAGGGTTCGGGGCAATCGCCTCCCAGTCAGAAGTGGGGCTCCGCGCGGAGCGTGGGCCGCCGGAGCGAGGCATTGCAAGAACTCGACGCGCATGGGCCCTGTGTGCTCGTTCTGGCTGTACGGAGCGACGAAAGCGCGACTCGCGCCCCGCAGACGTCGCGGCCACGGAGCGAGAGCAACTGACGTCGAGCTACGACCGCCCCTGGCGGTCGCTGTGCAGGGCGCTGACGGTGCTTCGTCTTCGCCCCAGCAAAGATATCTCGTTGCGATCTCATCACGGCCGCCGTTGTCGGCGGGTGCGCCGGCACGCGGCATCACGTCGCGTGAAACAGCCATGGCCGTGCAGCGGGCGCCGTGGTCGCCCAATGATGGGCTCTCTCGGGCCATGAAGCGGCGCATGTAGATCCTCAGTGCCCTGACTACGCGGCGGGAGCTCACCCGTCTCGGAGTCACAGCGCAGTCGCGCAGAAGGTCGCTCTGCAGAGCCCAGGCACACGCTGGCTGGATGGGCTCGAATCCTCCCGGAACAGGGCTCGCCGCTCACTCGATCGCCCTCAGCGAGGTCCCCGAGACCCAACCACTTCCCGACCCGGCGCCCACACCCCTCCACCCGCGCAGCGTCGCCCCAGCGGCACGCTCCCTTGCCCCGCAACAACAACTGAGCACGACGACGACAGCGGGCGCCGGACCTCAACGGCGCCGTCCGCGGTGGCTACGAGCTATGCCGACACTGCGCGCAGCCACGGAGCGATGCGCCCCCCCGCGACGGCCCCGTCGGACCACGGCCAGGACGCGGTCCACACCCCCGGAGCCTGTCCACACCCCTCCCCGTGGGCCACATCGGCAGCGGCGGGGGCTGACACGAGAGCGACCTCACACAGCACGACCCTCGGCCGGGGCCCACGACGCGCTCCCTCCGCGGAGCAACACGACACGACGCCGTATCGCTCACATCCCCCGGGACACAACACGACCCCCTCCTGACCCCCCCTGGCCTCCGCCTCGGCGCCACGCAACAGCCAGGCGCGCGGAGCGACCAGGCGCCCGCCGAGGCCCGCGAGCACCGCGCCCGCCAGCCCGCGTGCAGCCAGCGACGCGCTTTGCGTTGCGACGCCCGCGCGGACCTCACAGCGCGCTGCGCCGCGCGCACGCCTCACTGGCGCTGCGGGCCCGCCTGGTGCTGCGCGGCGTTCCCGCGCAGCACGGACCCGGGCGTCGGGTACGGCCGCTGCTGGAACAGGGGGCCCGACGCCGTGGTGTCGGCGGCGCGCGGCTGCGTCCCCGCGAGCCCGGCGCTCCAGCCGCCCCGCGGCGCGTCCGAGTACGACGCCGGGTCCATCGGGTCGATCGCGTTGCTGAACGTGCGCGCGCGCTTGGCGGGAGGGCCCGCTGGCGACGTGCCCGCCGGCGCGGCCTTCGGTGCGGCGCGCTCGCCCGCGGGCGCCGCGGCGGGGCGCTTCGCGGCGGGCGCGTCGCCGGCGGCGTCGTGCGCGGCGGGGTCGTCCCAGTAGTACCCGAGGCCCCGGGGGCCCTTCTTGAAACAGTACCCGGGGCGTATTCCCTGCCAGGTCCGACTGGCGGAGAACACCCCCGCGCTCTCCGCGGGCGCCGACGGCACCGGGGCCGCGCAGTCCGGGTGGTCGTACTGGCTCAGGCCCTGCCGTTTGTTGCAGTAGTAACGGTGGCCCGTCTCCGGGTCACGCGCGACGCGCCACCCCTGCGCGCGCACGGACGGCTTCCCTGTCGGCGGCGGCGCAGTGGCGCGGCGGGCGGGCGCGTGCGCGGGCGGCGTGGGGCGCACCTCGGGGAGCCAGCGGGGCTGCGAGTCGCGCGGGGGCAGCCAGGAGCGGTCCCCGGTGGCGGGGCGGTAGAAGTAGGTGGCGTTGCTGGCGGGGCAGCGGGCCTCGCGCCAGTCCGGGGGCAGGCCGAGGGCGTCCCACGCGCCGTAGTCGCCGTGCGGGGGGTGTGCCGGGGGTGCCAACGGGGGGGTCGCTGGCTGCGCGGCGGCGGGCGGGGCTCCGTGCGCGTCGCGCTCCGCCTCGGACGCCCCTGCGCGGCGGTGGGCGCGGGTCCGTGCGGTGGTTGGGCGGCGTGGGCCGGTGCGCCGCGCCCAGCAGTGGTGACGTGTGTGATGCATCGTGCAAACACAGGCGCGGGCGCGGACCGGGCGGCGCTTGTGGTTCTTGCTGTTCCTGCGGCCGGGCGTGGTTGACGAGGCCGCGCTTCTTGAGGCGCTCGAGCAGCGCGGGCGGCAGGTCCTTCGCGGGCGCCCCGTCCGCGGCGGGGGGCGCCGCTGGGGTGGCGCTCGCTTGCGGCTTGGGGCCGGGCGGCGGGCCGGGCGGCACCCGCGGTCTGCGTACAGGCGGGTGGAGCGGGCGTGGTCGCGGATGGCGCGGGCGCGCACGCACGCGGCAGGTGTGGAGGGTCGGTCAGAGTGGAGGCGATCGCGGGCGTCTCACCGCGCGGGCGGCCCGGGAGGCTTGAGGCCCTGTGCGGCTGCTCGGGCGAGAGTCTCGCTAGGGGGCTGGGCGGTCCATTCGCCCGCCGCGCGCTCGGGCTGGCCGGGCTTCTGGGCCGTGGAGGTTTGCTCCTGCTGCATCCTCCGCAGTGGCCGCCGCAGCGCGATCGCGGCGCCGGGCCTGAGTGCCGCAGATCTCGCCGCTGTTTGCGCAGCCGGACGATGGCCGGCGGCTTGCGGGACGCCCTGCCAGAGGGCCTGCGTGGAACGCGCAGGGGCGGGATGGCCTGGGTACGCGTACGGGAGACACGAGACACGCACGCGGGAACACGATGCAGGGGTCGTCCTCCGAGGACGCCGCGCGGGTGCGGACCGCTCGCTCGCTCTTCGCTCGGCGCGCGGACAGGAACCACCCTCGCAGCCCACCGGCGCCCGTACCGGAGGGGAGGTTCCGGCTCGACCGCGCGTGTGTTCACGCCTACACGCAAACACCCCAGGAGTACAGCCCCAAGCTGCGCCAAGGTCGGCTGCGCCGCCGCTCCAGGCACACGCCCCCCACTGCTATTTCACTGCGAGGTCCGAGGCGGCGCCGTCCCGCGCTCCACGCACGCCCGTCGCAGCCGCGTCCGCGACGACGTCTCGGGCGGTCCGCGGCGCCCCCTGGCCGCAATGGCGCCCCGCGCCGCGCGCTGCGCTCCACGCCGCGGCGGTGGTCCCCCGGGTGGCGTGTGTGCGGTCGCGTGTACGCACCGGTCAGGCGCCCGGGCTCCGCGGCGACCCATCGCCCCGCGCCCGCGCGCCCCCCGGCCACAGCGGGGTCGCGAGCGGGCACGCTCATCGCGCAGAGCGGAGCGCAAGCAGGGCGCCGATTCTCCCGAGGGGCGGCAGGGACAGGTGCGCACAAGGCCGCCGAGGGGCGCACATGCACCGCCGCGGCGCTGCGGCGCGATCTTTCTGCGCGGGGCTCCCCCGGCGCGGTGCGTGCGGGCCGCGTGGGGCCTCGCGGAGTGCGGGCGGGCGCCTGTGGGTGTACGAGGTCGCGCCGTGGGCCGGCGGGGCCGGGGGCGCGGGCGCCGGCCCGCCGGCTCGCGGGGTGCGCGTTGGGCCGCGGCGGCGTGTGTGGCGCGGGAGCCGCGGCGCCGCGGTGCCCCGATGCGGCGCGGCGCGGGCCTCGACGCGACTGGTGCTAGACACGCGTCGTTCGCCGCTGCGCCCCGCCATCCGCGCGGGCGTCGCGAGAAGAATTACGACAGCCATATTGATGCATCGCGTTGCGAGATGGCGCATTCCTCGTTTGACGCGCATGCGGGCGGATCGCGTGGCCGGGGCCCTCAGGGCGTGGCATTTGACGTTCGCGTGGCGCCCGCGGAGACGCGGCCAGAATCACGTTGCGGCGGGAGCCCAGCGGGCCACGAGGGCGGCACCCCGCAGCTTAGATTCCCGATCACGCCCCCGTGCGCGGCCGGCGCGCCCGTGAGTGGCATCACATAAGGCTCCCGCCGCGCGTCACGCCCCGCGCCCCCCGCCCGCCAACGCAGGGTGCACGGGCCGCTCCGGCGACAGGTCGCGGCGCGGGGCGCGGCAGGGCCGCTGCGGGCCGCGAGGCGAGGGAGCGCGGCTCTGGAGGGGGATGGATCCGCGAGCGTTCGGTGTTCCCGGCGGCCAGGGAGCGACAAACGGGTTTCAGGTGCGCGCCCGCGCATCTTTGCCCCACGAACCGCCTCTTCTGCGCGCGCCGCCGCCGAGATGCCGCCTGGCGCGCCCCCTGACGCCGGCGGCCACGTCTGGGCTGTTGAATCGCAGGGGGCTGGGGACGGCTCCGGGGCGCCGTTTGGTGCCCCGCAGGCCTCGCAGCCTCAGCAGATGGCCGCACAGCCCGACCAGCGTGCGGGCGGGGCGGGAGGGGAGACGGGCGGCGCGGGGAAGCCGTATGAGGTGCCCGGCGGGGCGGCAGCGCAGGCGCACCACCTCCTGCACGGCGCGCCGGCGCAGGCGGGCGGCGCAAGCCTGGCGCTGGACGCCCAGGCGCAGCAGGCCTACATGCTGCAGCTCCAGGCGCACCAGCGGCAGCTCCTTCAGCAACAACAACAACAGCAGCAGCTGCTGCTGCACGCCGGGGACGCCCAGGCGCCCCAGGACCACCACCAGCACGCCCCGGCGCTCACGCAGCAGCAGCAGGCGTACCTGCTCCAGCAGCAGCAGCAGCACCAGCAGCAGGCCTACCTGCAGGCGCTGTTGCAGCAGCAGCAGTCCAGCCAGCAGCAGCGCGCGCAGGCGGGCGTGGCCGGCTCGTGGTCGCAGTACATGGACGTCCTCAGGCAGATCCAGCCGGACTACTACCGCGCGGTGGCGCAGAACCCCGCGCTGCTGCACGACCCGCAGGTGCAGCAGCACATCGTGGGCGCCGTGCAGCAGTTCACCATCCAGCGCGCCATGCACGTGCAGCAGGAGCTCAACCAGCACAAGGACCGCGCCAACCACATCCGCGCCGCCAACCAGGCCATGCGCCCCGCGCAGCCCGGCGTGTTCAACCGCGGCCCGGGCCGCCCCCGCGGATGTGCGCCCCCCGCCGCGCCGCCGCCGACGCTGGCCGACACGCCGCCTGTGCTCGAACGCCCGCGCTCGCTCTCGGAGATCGACACCTCCAATGCTCACCCGGACTCCCCCTTGAGCGTGTCTGCAGCCAAGAGGCGCAAGCGCGGGGACGACTCGGAGTCGGACGGCGGCGCGGACTCGGACGACAGCGCGGAGGAGGCGTTCGTGAAGCGCGTGCGGTCGGGGCAGACGCGGTCGCGGCGCCGCGGGCGCGACGACCTGTCGGACGAGGACGCGCCCCTGGACCCGGAGGTGGCGGCGGCGGCGCGCGACGTGGCGCTGTCGGAGGGCCCGGTGGACCTGCGGTACCTGCGCGGCGTGGACGCCGGGCTGCTGACGCAGACGGCGGGGGACCGCGGGCACGCGGTGACGGAGTGGACGTGCACGGCGTGCGGGGGCGACGACGTCGAGGGCACGGTGGTGCAGTGCGACGGGTGCGACGCCGCGGTGCACCTGGCGTGCTACGGGCTCACGGACGCGGACGTGCAGGGCGACTGGTACTGCGACGCGTGCGCGGCGCAGCTCGACCCCGCGCGCTGCCAGTGCGTGGTGTGCCCGGTGCGGCGCGGGGCGCTGCGGCGCGTCGTGGAGTGGGGCGCGTGCCGCTGGGGCGACGCCGAGGAGGGCGTGCGGCGCGAGAAGGAGGCCGAGGAGGCCGCCAAGCAGCGCCTCGACCGCAAGCACGCCGCGCAGGACCCCGCGGCCAACGAGACGCAGGCCGTCCTGGAGAGCCTCGCGGCGGGCGGCGCGGCGGCGGGCGACGCGGGCGCGAAGCCCAAGGCGAAGCGCGGGCGGCCGACCAAGGAGGACATCCGCCAGCGGCAGGCGCTCGCCGACGAGGCCGAGCGGCTCAAGCGCCTGGCCGAGCGCCCCACGGGGCCGTCGATGCGCGTGGTGCTCAACAAGCTCGGCGACGCGGACGTGGGCGAGCGGCGCTTCTGCCACGTGGCGTGCGCGCGGTGGCTGGACGGCGTGGAGTTCGCGGACCCCGCCAAGCTGTCGGGCGTGAGGCTCACGGGGCTGAGCAAGGAGCAGCTCGACCTGCGGTGCGCGGCGTGCGGGCAGCGGGGCGGCGCCGTGCAGTGCTGCGTGCGGTCGTGCGTGAACGCGTTCCACGCGACGTGCGGGATGTTCCGCGGGCACGTGCTGGCGCAGCGCAGCACCGACGGCGCCCCGCTCGCCTTTTGCTACAAACACTCCGACGACCGGTACGAGCAGCTCAGGGGCGACTACATCAGCGGCGCGAAGCGCCTCTGGCACGAGGACGCGCCGGCCGCAGCGGCCGGCGGCGCGGCGAGCGACGCCGTGGACCTCCGCCGGGACGCTGCGAAGCGCGTGCGTCAGGTCTACGCCGTGCTGGCGTCAAGAGAAACTGCTTGAGAGGAACGCATGCAGGGCATGCGCGCACGCCCCGCGCCCGACGACCCTCGCTTGCGAAGTGTAGGCCCGGGAGCCGTGGGGGGAGTCCTGCGGGGGGGTCAGACCCCCCCGCGCCCCCACGGCCTGGAAAATACCAGAAAAACATCCAGAAATCCACAACTGCGTTGCTGCCTCGCCACACGACGGGCCAGGCGGCCTCCATTCATTCCCTCCCTGCTTTGTGACCGATTCTCCGCAAGATGCCGTCGCGCGCACAACACGTGCCATCGCCCCTCGACGACCGAGCCAGTCCCCGCTCCGTGACGCCGAGCGCCGGCGCGTGCCGCTCGGAGCCGGACCACCCGTGCGCGGGACCCGGCCGTCGTCGGCAATGTCAGGGAGGGGGTGTCGCGAAATCATGCCTGCGCCCAGGCGCTCGAGGGCCCGCGCGGGCGCCGCGCCTCCCGACAGACGGCGCGCCAGGGCGCGGGGGGCGAGCGTGTATCTGTGTGTCTTCGTGTGTGTCTTCGTGTCTGGTCGATGGCCGGCACCTCCATTCTGCCCCCGCCCGCTGCGTCGTCGTTTGCGCGCATGTGCTCCGCGGTGAGCAGGATGATGCTCAAGTCCGGGGCGCACGTGGGGCGGCACATCCCGGAGTGCGCCGCGTGTCGCGCAGGCACGCGCGGGGGCGCAGCCCCACCAGCACCGCCTCCACGGCGCTGCCTGACGCGGTCCCGGCCAGCCCATTCCGCGAACCTCGGGCGTCACAGCGTGCTTCTGAACAGGCACGTGTCGCAGCGCCCGTCGTCGCGCGCGCACAGCCGCCAGGCAGACCGCGCGCCCGCACACGCCCAGCTTGCGACGGCGGGCGAAGATACCATCGTAGCGGTCGTGACGTCGTCCTCGGCCGGATCCGTCACCATCCTCCGCATATCAGGTGCGCTGCGCGTTCGAGACACGCGACGCGGGAGCGCCGGGGCGTCCCGGCCCGCCGGCGAGCTCCGTGGCGGGTCCCGAGTGCGTCCGTGGCCGCTCTCACCGCCGCGCCCGGCCGCTTCTGCAGGCTCGCGGTCCGTGGACGTCGCCCGTCAGCTGTTCCGGCCGCCGGGCGCGGAAGGCGATCCGCCGGGCCCCGCGCCGGCGTGGGACGGCCCCCGGTCGCACCGCGTGCACTACGGCAGCCTCGCGTCGCCCCGGGACGCCTCCGTGGTCGACGAAATCCTCCTGCTGTACATGGCCGCGCCCCGGTCCTACACGCGCGAGGACGTCGTCGAGCTGCACTGCCACGGCGGCCCCGTCACCGCGCAGCGCGCCCTGCAGGCCTGCTTGCACGCCGGGTGTCGCTTGGCGAGAAACGGCGAGTTCACGCTCCGGGCGTTCCTCAACGGCCGCCTCGACCTCACGCAGGCCGAGTCCGTCGCGCAGCTGCTGGGCGCGCGGACCGTCGCGGCCGCGGACAGCGCGCTCGCGGGCCTGGGCGGCGGCCTCGGGGGGGAGATCTCGCGGCTGCGGCGGACGGCGCTGCAGCTGGTCGCGGAGCTGGACGCGCGCCTGGACTTCGACGAGGACCTCCCCGAGCTCGACGAGGCGGACTTCGTCGCGCAGCTCCGCGCGCTGCAGGTGCGCCCGCGCGCCGTGTTGTGTGACCTCTCTGCGTGCCCGCGCGGTGGCCGACGTGCGGCGTCGGAGCGCGTCGCGCTGCAGGAGCGCGTGGGCGAGGCGCTGAAGACGGCGCAGTACGGCCAGCTGCTGCAGTCGGGGCTGCAGGTGGCCATCGTGGGGCGGCCGAACGTCGGCAAGTCGTCGCTGCTCAACCTGTGGACGGGGACCGACAAGGCGATCGTGACGGACATCGCGGGGACGACGCGCGACATCGTGGACGCAGACATGGTCGTCGCGGGCGTCCCCGTGCGCCTCCTCGACACGGCGGGCATGCGCGACACGACCGACGTGGTGGAGAGCATCGGCGTGGAGCGCTCGCGGAAGGCGGCGCAGGAGGCCGACGTGGTCGTCGTCGTCGTGGACGCCGCCGTCGGGGTGACGCCGGAGGACCGGGAGATCATGGAGCCCCTGTGGGGCGCGCGCGGGCCGCCGGTCATCCTGGCGTGCAACAAGGTGCGCCGGGCGGGCGGAGCAGCGCGCGCGCGCGCCGCGGGGACGCCGTGCGTCGTGCACGCGAGGACGGTTGCGTGTGCTTGATGCGTGCGTTGGCGGCGCGCGCGGTGCAGGTGGACCTGACGCAGGGCTTCGAGGCTGCGTCGTTGCCGGCCGAGGTGCGGGAGAGGGTGAGGGAGGTCGTGCTGACGTCGGCGGCGATGGGGGAGGGCGTGGCGGTGCTGGACGCGGCGATGGCGCGGCTGATCGGCGCGCCCGGCGCGCAGGGCGTCGGCCAGGGCGTCGGGTGGGCCGTCAACCAGCGGCAGGCCGAGGCCCTCACGCGCGCCTCGGAGGCCACGGGGAGGTGCCTCGAGGCCGTCGCGCAGGGCCTCCCGCAGGACTTCTGGACGGTGGACCTCCGCGACGCGGTCACGGCGCTCGGGGAGGTCACGGGCGACGAAGTGGCGGAGGAAGTGCTAGACGACATCTTCTCGAGGTTCTGCATCGGCAAGTGACCGTCCGCGCGGCGCGGTGTGACGCGGATGTGCGGTGCGGTGCGCGCGTCGTATTTACAGTGCCGAGGGGCGCGCGCTGACGCGTGGCGTGACGTCATGCTCCGGCCATTGGTTCGTCGGGGTCGGCGTCGCCCAGGGCGCGGCGGAGGCTGAACGGCTCGCCCTGCCGCCCGTTGAGCTCGTGCAGGAGGTGCCGCGCTGCGCAGAGCTGATGCAAGCACCTGACCAGCGCGGGGGGGGTCGATCCGGACGACCTGGCGTCAGGAAACGCCCCGGGGGGGTGTTCGCCCTCCCCGAGCGCGGCCTCGAGCGTGAGGATCGCGCTGTTGACGATGTCGGCGGTGCGCTCCCGCTCGCTCGGCGCCAGGAGGTGCGCGAGCGGCGACGTGGCCGCGTCCGGGTAGGCCAGCAGCCCCATGCACTCCCGCACCATGCCCTGCACGTGCACGCAGATCTTGCACGCGTCGTGGCCCGCGCCCGCGCCGGGCTCGTGCGCGAGCGGGCACGGCGCGGACACGAACGGCGCGATGCGCTCCCGGGCGAAGGCCAGCGCGCGTGGCGCGTCGCCGGCGCGCGCGAGCTCGACGACGCCCTGACACGACAGCGCCGTCCACACCAGGTCCCGCCACGTGTGCGTGCTCAACCTGTCCCTGCACGCCGCGAGGCACGGGTGCGCAGCCACGTCCACCGAAGAACGCACGCGTAGGCGCGTCGCAGAGCAGGCACAACACGCGCGTCGTTGTGGGTCGCGGCGCGCACTCTGGGAGGAGCCGCCGCGCGATGCTGTCCCGCCGCATCAGGTCCTCCGCGGCCTCCACGTTCCCCGCCAGCAGCGCCGTCCGCACCCCCGCACGCAGCGCCAGCGTGCCCTCCCCGTCGACGGCCCGCGCCGCCCTCCGCCGCAGCCCCTCGCGCCGCGCCGCCGCGATCCCGCTCGCCTGCTCGAACGCCGCGAGCGTCCGCGCGTACCCGTAGTGCGCCAGCGTGCCCCGCACCAGCTCGTGCGACACCGCAGCGGGGACCTCGATGTCCGACACCTGCCCCTCCTCCTTCGCGCGCTCCTCCGCGACCACGCCCGCGACGTCGAACATGAAGGGCTCCGCGCCGAAGTTGAGCTTCAGGGACTCCCCCGGGGAGTGCAGCGACACCGCGGGGAACAGCACGTGCGTGCGCGGGCCGACGCCGGACCGCGCGACGCCGAGGTTCCTGCGAGCGCGCGGGGGGGGGCGCGGCCGCGTGGGCGTGCGCGCGGGGAGGCGCGCTGCTGCGCGTGCGGCGGTGCGTCGGCGCGGGGACGCACTGTCCATTGTGGGTGAAGAAGAGCGCGCCGCGCGACAGCACGATGCCCGCGCCGACGACGTCGCCGCTGCGGAACGGGTGGCCGTAGGCCTCCCGCACGTTGTCCTCGTGCCGGAACGCCCCGTCGTCGCCGCAGTAGGCGAACGAGCCCTTCTCCGCGCTGCGTGCGGGCACCGCGGCGGCGCGAGGGCGTCAGGTGGCGGGAGGGGCGGCGCGCGCGGGGGGCCGTGCACATGGGCGCGGTTGTGGGTGTCGGAGGGCGCGGGCCGTGCGCACCCGAAGTGTCGGCCGGCCTTGAAGGAGTGGGAACAGAAACCGACGCGCATCTTGCCGAGCGACGTGGGCGGCATGTCGACCGTCGCCTCGAAGTAGTACACCGCGAGGTTTCTGCGCGGGGAGGGCGCGGAGCCGGGCGCGTGCCTCGTCACGGGGCGCCGCGAACAGAAGGCATGGAGTCCGGGGCCTCGCGCGGCGCCTCGGGAGCGGATCGAGCAGTGCGCGGGGCGCGCAGACACGGACAGAGTACGTTCGCGTTCGGAACGGCGACGCATTGGCCAGGCGCGGGCGCGTGGACGCGGGCAGGAAGCAACCACTCACTGTGGAACGGGGTGGTCCGCCCGCACGGCGCCGACGTCGTACTCGGTCCTCGCCTCGCCCACGTACCGCACATTGAGCTTGTCCTTGCTTATCTGCGCAGCATGCTCGCCGAGTGCCGCGGTTCGGCGCGGAAGCAGCGTCTCGGCCACCGCGCCGCACTCTGGACGCGCGCCTCGCACGCCCGGCCCCCGAAACCCGGGATCCTGCGCGCAGGCCGAACGCACCGCACCTGGAGAGAGTACAGAGGCGCTGCCGTGTTCAGCGCGGAGGGCATGAGCCGCCCCGGCGAGGAAGTGCACCCCTCCATCCCGCGCTACCGCATGCGGCCCGCCTGAGCACGAAACGCCACGCAACGGCCGCTCTTGTCCGCACGACGTACGTGCTCCCGTCGCGATGCGCCGGGAGCGCCGGTGAGATCGCCCTCGAGCCCCGACGTCCTTCAGGCCCCAGGGAGGGTCCGGCCCACGCCTGCTGCCAGCGGCTGAGACGTGGGCGCAAGGCCGGCGCGAGCGGGGAGCTCCCGCCGCCCTGCTCGGTCGCGATTGTCTTCGCCTGCCTGACTGGCGCGGGCGAACTGTCGAGGTCCGCCGCCACGCCCAGACGCTGCTTGCCACCTGCATGCATGAACACCGCACGCAGACCGCCCGTCGAGCGCGGAGCCCCGACGCCCCGTCGTGTCCAACGCCCGTGCAGGCCTTGTCACGAAAGCACGGTCGCGCTGTACGTCACGCTCGCCAGGGCGTCGATCCTGGCCTTTGGGGGCTATTTGTCACAAGAAACCGACGGGAACCTGGTGCTGGCGTTCCCGGACGGAAGCAAGGCGGTCAAGTGGGCGCTGCTGATGCAGGAGATGTTCGCGGGCGCCGGCTGGCCGCTGGGCTGCTATGACTTGTGCGTCCCTGCTGGTCATCACGGTTGTACGGAATTCTCGCGCTGCGCTCCCAGGTCCTCTGCGCTGAGGGAATCCCTGGGCTGAACCGTTCGACGGGTTCGCGTCCTGTGCGATCGCGGTGTTGCGCAGGCCGGGGCAGGACGATGGGCTTCTTTCGCAGCCCCCCCCTGTGGGAGAGTGAAGGTCGCTTCGAGGCGGGGACAGAGCAGATCGTTCCAGACGTCCGCGTCCAACAAGATCGTCCCGACGCGCTCCGGCCCGTCCGACGCGGCTTCCTTGACCCCCGCAGGGTCCAAGGTCAGCGAGGTCATCGTCAGGCACCCGTCGCAGCACATGCTCGGGGGCTCCAACGACGCGCTCAAGATCGGGATCAAGGTGCGTGCGAGCTCGCGCACTACTTTCCGGGCGTACGCCCGCGCTTGCACGGCGTGCCGTGGCAGCGCAGGGCGCCTCACTTCACTTGCAACTTGGAACAACACATTGCACGCTCCGTGCACCGACGAAGATCCATCCATAACTGGCCGTTGTCGTTCCCACGGCCGACGTGCTTCGCTGGGCACCTTCCAGCTGCTCACCCACGCATCGTTCGGTTCGACCCCAGCGCCTGCTGAGGCGCGCGATGGCGCACTTAGTGTTACAGGCTGTGCGTGGTACCCGCCACTCTGCAGGTCGGGATCTGGGAAGGATCCCCCACGATGGTCGTGCCGAACCCGAAATACGCCACCGCGGACTTCTACGGCGCGATGCTGAACCGTTCTGCGCGTCTATGCCACGGAGTCGCCCGAGAGGGGCAGATTGTCGCCACCGAGGAGGTCGTGGAGCGCGCGCTGGACGAGCTGTCTGAGGGGGGGTCCCGCGACATAATCTCCGGGAAGCTGAGGCGACGATCAGGGAGGAGTTGGACGACGCCGAGAGCCACGCGATCACGCCAGTGGTGCCGCCGAAGAGCCTGGCCAAGGTGAGCTCGAGGCGCTTTGCGACGGAGCGGAGCTCGGGCGACCTGGGCGCCGAGACGCAGCTCTGGCGGCAGCTCGAGAGCATGGCTCGCGTCGGGCTGCGGCTGGACAGCCTGATCGACGTTATTGCGCGCGTCGTTGCGGGGCGGCGGACGATGCGCGACGTGATGGCGTTCGACCTGGGGCTCTTCAGGCTCAAGGGCGTGTCGGGCGAAGTGAGCGTATACCAGGCAAGTGTCGACCCTGGACGATCCGCCTAGCATCACTTGGCGCATTGACTGCCCCCTCACTGACGCCTGCTGGTCCGTCGAAGCGCGCTGCGCAGGTCTCGACGACAGTGCCGACGTCCGAGACTGTCTCAACGAGCAAGGCGGAGATCGTGCGGCCTGGCATGGGGCTCGTGCGCACCGTCAACGCCAAGCTGAGGTGAGGTGAGGTGAGGTGTCACATTCTTCGCGTCGTCAGCCATAAGGCTTTGGGACCTGAAAAGATCATTCGACTAGGTGGCGAGTCATGCTAACCCCCCACCGTTATGGTAGCAACAGGTTCGGCAGCTGTGGCAGAGTCGGCCTGGAGCAGATCCTCGATGCCACGAGCAAAGATCGCCATGCCTCGCTGATTCGGCAGGTTCAGGAGATAACGCACTGCAGCGTTGGCAGCGGCTTCCGAGTCGAGTGTTGCAGCGCCGTACAGGTCCTCGAGGTGCTGGCGTAGCCGGCGGTTGAGAGCGAAGCGGCGGCGCTGTCCAACAGTTGCCGTGGACGACAGGGGCGCATCGGCAGCGGGCGGGGGTGGCAGCGTGAGCTGCCCAGACGAGTCCATGGCCAGGCCCGCTCGTTCCCGGAGAGAGCGTACCGCTGGGGCGCGGCAGTCCAGCAGCAGGTGGCGGAGGTCCTCCGGGGCGGGCGATGCCGCCACGTCCACGCAGAAGCGGCAGACTTTCGACGGGTGCGACAGCGGTGTGTGTTGCCACTGCTGCTCCTGGTCCGCCATGGCCATCGTGGAGGTGCGCAGCCTCGTAGCTCCCACACGCAGGCGGGATAGGGCACGGCGGTCCGCGTGGTAGATCGCGGTGTCGAGCAGATGTGAAGGGATGGTGCGCGGTGGTGGCTGGCACCACCAGGCGTACCTGGCCCGTGTGCGGCCAAGCCCGTGCTGAGTGACCTCGGTCCGGGGATCCGGGGTTGCCGCGGGCTCGTGGTCCGGCAGCACGACCTGAGCGATCTTTCGTACCCTGCCCACAGCAGGTGCAGGGTGTGGCTGCTGCGGGGTCCCTGGCGTGCCGCCTATCTGAGTGATGGCCGCCGCGATGTGCGCTGCCCACGGTAGCTCGCGTTTGCGGAGGCGGTGGGCTGCGGGTTCGGCGCGCCTTGTGCTCGTACGAGTTGTCGACGTCGTGCGTAGTCCCCGTCGGCCCGCGCCGCTCCTGCCTCCCCCGCGCCGCCCGCGACCCCGTGATCGTCCGCCTCGCCCCCGTCCCCGGGTGCTCCGTGGCTGCGACCGCTGGCCCGGCTCATCCGAGTCCGTCAGGGAGGTCGTTGAAGACGCAGTAGCGTTGTGCGACCCCTCATACTCTGATTCGCTGTCGTCGCCAGTTGCAGCCGAGGAGTCCTCGCAGTAGTTCGGCCTCGGTGTAGCGCGGGATCCCCCTCGCGTGGTCCGGTCCAGCGTGCGAACAGTCAAGCGGTTCGATTCAGTGCTGCGGGATGCCGGTGGTAGCGAGGGCCGCGATCGAGATGGTGTGCGGCCGCCCCGTGCTGCACGTCCCCTGCCTCGGGTGCCCCGAGCTGCGTGGTCTCGGCGCGCGGCGGTCCGTGCTCCTGCGTCGCGCCGGCCCGGCTGCATGTGCGGGGGGAGTTGAAGTTGTCGTAGTCGCCGCTGTTGGCCCGGCGGTGCAGCTCCGTCGTCGTCGTCCGTGTCGTCCGACGGGTCCGGCTGAGCCGCACGGGGGCGGCCCATCCGTGCGGCGCTCGACGATGTCGCGTCGCCCTCCGCTGTGTCTCCTGCTGGAGGGTGGGTGACGAACGCGTCGGAATCGGGCTCCGCCGCGAGCAGCAGCTGCGCGGTGAACGCCCGGACCGTCATGTGCGGGAAGTCGGGGGGCAAGGTCGGGTTCGTTCGCGCTGTGTACAGCAGCTTCGTCAACGAGTCCCAAAAGTCGAAGTTACGGGCCCACAACGTCGCTTCGAGGGGAAGCGCCCCGAACTCGCGGAAGAGCAGCTCGGGCGGCGTCTTGTAGCAGGAAGTGATCCGCTGGTTGGCGGTGGATATGAGGGAGGCGAGAAATGCACGCTGGGCGCGCGCGGGGTGTTGGGACGGGATGCGTGTCAGGCGGCCGTCAAGGTCCCGCAGCGGCTTGAGGCCGAGGCGTGGTGACCAGAGTTCGCAGCCGTACGTCGACACCGGTGTGACGTATGTCTTGAAGAGGGCAGATTGCAGGAGGGGGTCAAAGATTCCCGTCTGCCAGCAGCGTTTCGACAGGCTGTACATTGCCTTCCGGGACTTGTCGCCCGCGGTGGACATGTGCGACGATACACCCGGTGGTCGGCCCTTGTCTTGGCCAAGGGTGATGCCCAGATACTTGCAGCTTTTGCAGGGGGCAATGTTGTGCTGCTTGGCAACGAGGCCGGTGGCGGGGTCGATACGGGTGAACATGGTCAGGGTCGTGGTACGGGGGGTGTCCCCGAACGAGAGAAAGGTGGACTTTTTGGGGGCCAGGCGGAGGCCTGCCGAGCACGCCCAGCGGCAAGTGCTGGTGAGCTGTGGGACACCGCCCGCAGCGTTAGGGCTGCCCAGGCGGGCCGCATGCACACACGGCGCGGGTCCGTGGAGGTCGGGCGGAGAAATGTGCAGGTTGAGTCTCGGAGGCTCGGGGGGCGCAGGGTCAAATTGGAGACACAGGCGTGATGTATCACAGGCGTGAATCATCATCATCGTGAGCCACAATTTGTGGCTCACTACCAGCATCGCACTTCGGAGACAGATACCGACAGAGCAAGAAACCGACGAGGCTGCTCGGCTCGAGGCGACAGCTGGGGCAGCACGCCCTGGAAACGCGTCCCACCATACGTCTGGTGTTCCCTGTAAGTGCACAATACATACGCTGCGCGATTGTACATGGTCCGTCTCTCCAGGTCCGACGGAGGATTCAACAGCTCTCAATCCCTCCCGCCCGCGCCTGCTTCAGCGCCCATGCGCATCGCAGTCTCACATCACTCCCCCGCCTCCTCACGGCGCCCCGTGCGCTTCACCACCCCAGAGGAGCCAGCCCGCCCCTTTCCGCGCCCCGGCCCCGTCCTCCGCCGCGCTACTGCTGCCGCGCCTGCTGCGCCCGCATCGACATTGCCTTGGGCTGTGCCGGACCGCTCTTCTTGGTCAGGCCAAAGTCGAGCGGGTCGACGAGCCCGGCCTGTACGCGCGCCTGCTGCTGCGCTGACGGCGCGGAGGTCCCCGGGGGCGCACGCGCCGTTGCGGCCACGGGGCCGGAGAGCATCGGCGCCGCAGACGGCGTGGGCGCGGGGCCCGGCTGGGCCGCGAAGGGGTTGGACGGGCTCACGTACTGCGCGGCAGGAGCATTGCCCTGCACGCCGCCTCCGTACCCCGCCTGCTGGTATCCCGGCTGCTGGTAAGCTGGCGGCTGCTGCTGGTACGCAGGGGGCTCCGGCGGCTGGTACGCAGGTGGCTGCTGCGGCTGGTACGCAGGCGGCTGCGGCGGCTGGTATGCAGGAGGCTGCTGCTGCTGGTACGCAGGGGGCTGCTGGTGGTACGTCTGTTGTTGCTGGTAGGGTTGGGTCTGCTGCTGGCCGTACTGCTGCTGCTGGAACTGCTGCGGCGCGGGCATGGACTGCACGGGCGCGGCGAAGTGCGGCTGACTGTAGTACGCAGCCGGGGCCGTGGACACGCCCGCGCTCGCGCTCGCGGCGGGGGTGTCCCAGAAGCTCCCCCCTGCCACGCCCGGCTCCGGCTGCGGCGACGCCCCCGCCGGCGCCCCGAGCGCGTCCGTGTCGAAGCGCGTCGACGGCGCGGGCGTCCGCGCCGTCGGCACCGACGACGGCGCCTCGGACCCCCCCCACGAGTTCTGCGGCTCGTGGCTGGGGCGCGCAGCAGCCGCGGGCGCCGCGGGCGCCGCGCCGCCGTCCATCGCCGCCCAGAACGATCCGTCGTCGCCGCCCTGCGCGGCCGCGTGCGCCTGCGGCGGCGCAGCCGCCACCGCCCCGCCGCCGCTCACGTCCAAGTCCCCCAGCTCCAGCAACAGCTGGTCCGCCGCCGACGGCGGCTGCGGCGGCGGCGCCTGCTCACGAGGAGGCGGCGGCGAGTACTGCTGCTCCGGGACCGGGTCCGGCAGCACGGCGGCCCCCTGCTGCGGCGCCGGGAGCCCCAGCGGCTGCTGCGGCGCGGGCAGCGCCGCCGGCGCGGGCCCCCCGGGCCCCGGACGCCCGTACACCTTCGACATGATGGGGTTGAAGTGCGCGATCGGCCTCCGCGGCCCCGCGGGCCGCGCCGCCGCGCCGCCCGAGGGCGCGCCGTGGATTTGCTCCATGGCGTCGCGGAGGTAGCTCTCCATCTGTTCGAGGAACCCCGCGGGGAGGGGCTGGACGGCGGGGAACTGGAGGTCCCTGGTACCAGCGCCGAGGTTGCGGACGGCGCGCCAGAAGGTTTGCAGGCGCTCGATGAGGATCGACGCCTCGCGGTAGATGGAGACGGCCTCGGCGGCGTCGTCCGGGGCCATGTTGAAGAAGGCGTCGCAGAGCGCGACGACGCCCTCGGCCATGATCCTGCGGGCGGCGGGGGCGCGAGAGGCTCGGAGGAGGGGGGGCGGGGGGGTCGGGAAGACGCGACGGCGCGGTGACGTCAGCATGTGGGTCGGACGGACCTGTAGAGGTGGAAGGACTCCTTGACGACCATGCGGAGGGGGAAGATGACCATGTCGGAGCCCGTCGCGGCGCCCGTGGGCAGCACGTCGACCAGCCGCGACAGCACCAGCTGCACGCGCGGGAGGTCCTCGAGCAGCCCGCGGTGGTCGTCCGCGGAGAACGAGATGGTGCCGCGGAACACGTCCGTGCCTGCGAGGACACGGGCGGCGCGCGGGTCGCATCCGAGCTCCGGAACGGCGCCAGGCATGAGATAACAGTAAACAAAAGGGGGAGGGGCGCACGTTTCTTAGAGTAGAGCGCGAGGCGTTCGTGGAGGTACGCGGAGTAGAGGCGGATGAAGGTCGAGTGCGACTGCGCGACCTGCGAGGACGCGTCCCGGAAGCGGTGCATGTCGAGGAGGTCGGTGCACCCCATGCGCTGCATCCAGCTGATCATGTAGGTCTGCAGGCCGACGTCGGCCTCGCGGAAGAGCCGGTGCACGACCGTCAGGAGCTTCGTCTGGACGATGAAGTCCGCGCCGACGCTGCGGGGGGCGGGCGGGGGCGCGAGGGATGTCGCGGGGGGTGGCCGGGGGGCGCGCGCTGGGCGGCGGGGCGGGCGGGGAAGGGAGGCACCGCACCGCTGGATTCGTTTGCCGATCTGCCGGCACACGTAGTCCAGGATGCTGTCCTGTCCCGGGCTGCAGCCGTAGCCCACGGCCTGCTTGAGAGTCACGACGTGCTTCTCCTTCGGAGGGACCTTGTCGTGGGACGTCGCCTTCGTCAGAGCGACGTCGATGTCGGGGAACTCCTGCGAGCGCGAACAGGAGTCGCGGCGGAGGACCCGTGGGAGGGCTGGCAAGGCCAGGCAGAAGACCTTGAAGACCGGACCACAGCGCCCGGCGGATCGCCGAGGCAGCGCTGCGGGCGGCGCGGCACGCTCCGTCGCACAGCCTCCATGCGGGCGGCGACGCATTCCGCGCCTGGGGGCGCCCGCGCGCCCGCCACAGCCCCTTGGCCAGCAACCAACGGGACGCGTCGCGCACCGCGCACGCCGAGCGATTCCGACGACGGCGCCGCGGAGGGACCCTTCTTGGTCCCGGGTTCCGTCGCACAGAGGCGCCGGGCGGCCCCGCGCGGCCGCGTGGCCCCGGGTTGAGCGATGCCTCCCCTCATGGCTGGCGGTGTGCCAGCTGGAGCCCGCGAGAAGCGCGGTCGGGGCACGCGCTGCGTCTCCCGCGGTACGTGGGCGCCGGTTCGCGCCGCGCACCTTGTCTGCGGCCTTGATCTTCATCAGGCGGGCCTTGTCCTTGGCCACGCCCATCACATCCTGCATGCGGTCCTTCGCCCGCTCCATCGCCATGCTGGCGGACCTACGCCCGGAGGCTTATGTCGGCGGGACCGGGCAGCCGGGGCCGCGCGAGTTCCGGCGTTTCCGCGCCGTGCCGTGCGAACCGCGAGGGTCCAAGTGGGGGCCCAGGGAGCCGCGTGGCGGCCCGTTGTCGCTGCGGGACGGCCAGCACGGCGGTGCAGTCGGGAGGGAGTGGCGCGGGGCGTCCGCGGGGGGCGCAGATGGCTCGCGGCTGGGCCGGGGACGAGGGGGCAGGGACGTCGAGGCGCGTCGCACCGAGTCGAGCCCCGACGGACAGCGCGGTGCTGCTGTTTCGTCGCGGATGTCATTGGCTCCGAGCAGCGAGCGGTCTGCTAGAATCACGCGCTCCTCTGTTGCGCACAGTTGGTCGGCGCAGTGCTTCGTGGGCGGCAACGGGGGGCACTGAGTAGCAGCAGCGCCGCGTGTCGCTGACAGGGGGCTGTGCGGTCCGGGGTTCCGGCAGGAGCGCTTGAGATAGCAGCTGGCATGGCGTTGAGGTCTGTCGTCCGGCCATCGGTGGCGCAGGGACGGCCCGGCGCGCGCCCAGACAACAGGTGTGCAGCTGCGCTCGCGAGGGCGGACGCGACGCATCCAGCCCGCCCCCGCATCAGCAAAGACACGGCACATGCTGTATCACGGCATCGCAGCAGCGTGTAGTCGTTATCCCCCGCGAGACTGGCAGGTCCCGCCCGTTCCCACATCGCGCCGTGAATCTCGCCGGCGCCCGCGCGCGGGCGGAGTGGCCGCACCGATTCCTCTTCAGGCCAGATTCCACGCCTACTGAGCAACGCGATAGACGCCGCCAGCGCGATTGAAGGACGCTGGCCTGTGCGTCAGACGCGCCGTTGTTCCAGCGATGCTGTCTTGCGTCGCGGTGACGGCAGCCCGGGCCGGCACGAGCGGTTCGGTAGCGACGCCAGCGCACTGCTCCGCGGGCGCCACAAAATCCACGCAGTGCGAGGGGCCTACTCTCGTGTGTCCCACCGCCCCCGCATGTAATTACCATACTTGCGCCACCAACGCACGTCGGGCAGACAGACAGCCACGCTCGCTCGCGCCGCACAGCGAGGGCTCGCTTCCTGTAGAGAAGCCGCCTGAGCTCGAGCGACGGCACCTCTGTGCGCTCGCAGGGCGCGCCGCGGCGGCGTGTGTGTGCGTCGCGCAGCTGCGGGCGAGACCGCCTTCCCGCAGGACTTCAGCGAGCTGATCTCCCAGGCGCAGCGGGCGACGAACGCCGCGCTCGAGGACGGCGTCAAGCTGATAGAGGTGCGACCCGCCCCGCGATGGCTCCAGAAACGCTGACTGTGACGACGACACACGCTCTGACGGCGTGCGCGGCGGCTGAGGCGCCGGACGCGCGGTTCCGCGCCCGCTGCAGGTGGAGTTTCCGTCGGCGGGGCTCGCGGCGGTGCCGGGGGACGCGGAGGGCGCGAACGAGATGAGTTACTCGATGGACTTCCTCCGCAGCTACGTTTCGATATTCAACCGCGACGCGGAGACGACGCGGATCTACTTCCCCGACAAGAGCGAGCTCAAGCTCGCGACCAAGGGCGACGCCGGGAAGGACGTCGAGCCCCGGTTCGGGGACGTCAAGTTCCAGCTCGACTACCTCCAAAACCCTACTGGCCTGCTTGACATAGGGTTGGATGTCCGCAAGGTACGCCGCCGCCCGCGACGCACCGCGCGACGGCGTGCGGGCCGCCCCGCGCTCACCTGCGGCCGCGCGCGGCGCTGCGTCGCAGGTGGACGTGAGCAAGCGCGTGCGGGACGCGGACAGGGTGTTTGTGATCGGGTACCCGCACTTCCAGGTCCAGGAGATGCTCGCGGTGTGGGACCTGTACAAGGCCGCGGCGCAGGACTCGGGGCGGCCGATCATCGTGTTCAACGGCGAACTCGACCGCATCCGGCAGCCCTGGTACTAGTAAGTGGAAACAACCAGCAACTCATATCTATATGCCAACTCACAGACTAGCAACTCGCCTCGCCTCGCCTTCCAGACACTGCCCTGTCCGGGCGGCCCAGCGGTCACGCGGCGCGACCCCGCCCTGGCACAATTCTCCCCCCCCCCTGGCTGCAGTCCCCCCATCTTCTACCCGAAGGTCGCGAAGATGGGCAAGGAGTTCATTCCGGGGTTCGAGCAGGTGTACTACCTGAAGAACTTCAAGGGCAGCGCGCCCGGGTGTCTGTTCCGGTGCTACCCGGGCCCGTGGCAGGTGATGGTGCGTGTGTCGCCCGACCCCAGCGACTGCAAGACCGTGTGGACGGGCGACGAGATGCCCACGCTGAAGGAGGTGCAGATGAGCATCCTGCCCAAGGCGACCGGCCGCGGACCGATGACGCTGTGACGCGCTGGGGTGAAGCCAGCCTCGCGTCAGCTTCCGAGACTGACCGACGTCAGGCCGGCGACACACAGGGAGGTCGGTTTCGGCGAGGATGGTCGCGGGGCCACGCGGGGCGTCGCAGACGTAGTTGGGGGAGCCAGGTCGCGAGGCAACGGTGGCGGCGGTGTGTTGCTAGGCCGCGACGTGGGTGCTGTGTGAGTGCCCAGTAAGCACGTCCGCGCGGCCCGCTGGGGCTTCTCGCGATTCGAGGGCGTTGGCGAACAGCACGTCAGTCGGAAGGGAAGGCGGCGATAGCCTCGATCGTCCGTGGAGGCGCGCCCGCTGCTCCAGGGCTGCGCCGCGGCGCGCCCGCGTACGCATGAGGTGCGCGCAGCCCTGTGCGGACGATCCGCGGCAATCTGGCACGGAACGATCAGCGCCGCGGCATGATCGTCTAACAACGCGTGCACGCGCGTCGATGAGCGTCGTACGCGACGTCTGCGTAGCGCGCATTGCGCTGCCACTCCTGGTCGCCACGAGCGGACGCCGCACACCTCCTCGCAGCGCCACGAATCCGCCGTGGCTTTATTTCTCCGCAACGTTCGCATCTGTCACCACCCGGTCGTCCCAACCAAATCAGTCCGCGACGGTCGTCGGCGCCGTCGCGGTGGCACAGTCACGCCATGCAAACACGCTCGCGCGGCCCCGCGCGCGATGACGCCGAGCATCCCACGCCGCCTGCGCGCAGGAGACGCACCCCGCGCCTGCACTCGGCCAGTCGACGCGACCATGGACTCGGCCGCTCTCGGTCTGCACGCGGCGCCGCACCTGCCGCCACGCACCGCTCGCAGCCCGCCGCCCCGCAGCCCGGCATGCCCGCTGCGCACGCGCGTCGACCAGACGACGCGCTGCTCCGCGGACGATCCTGACGGGCAGCCCTCCGAGCAGCCCGGCAGCAGAGACTACTACATTGGCCGCAGCGTGCGGCGCGGCGGGTGGTCCGCGGTGCGGCGGTTTGCGCGCAGGAGGCCGGAGGTGGCGGCCGCGGTCGGCGTCGCGGCGCTCCTGGCGCTCGCGGACGTCCACCGGTTCCTCTCGTCGCTGCACGGCCGAGACGTCCTGGGCAGCTTCAGGTAGGAACAGAACAGAACGGAGACACCCCCCATGCGCGGGGGTTCCGAGCTGGCCGTCACTGACCACCTCACACCTTGCCCGTTCCGTTAACGCGCAATGTCAGCCGCTGCGATCCCACGCGGTCCCGCATTCGTGCGCGTGTGTGTTGCACTGCAGGGCGCTTGCGAGCAGCGACGGTGGACCCGCGGCGGCGCCCGTCGCGGAGCCGACGGTCATTCTGGACCGCCGCGGGCGCGTCATCGCCACGCTCGCCCGCGACAAGGTCCCGCTCTCGGCCGTCGCGCCCACCATTCAGCAAGCGGTGATCGCGGCCGAGGACCGGCGCTTCCACGCGCACGCCGGAGTCGACTGGCGCGGCGTCGCGCGCGCGCTGCTGTCGCTCGGCGCCGCGGGCGGCGGGTCCACGATCACGCAGCAGGTCGTGAAGAACGAGCTGGTGGGGTCGTCGCGCACGGTGTCGCGCAAGGCGTGCGAGGCGTTCCTGGCGGTGGCGGTGGAGCGGTGCGTGTCCAAGTCGGAGCTGATGGCGCGGTACCTCAACAGCGCGTACTGGGGCCACGGGATCTACGGCATCGCCGGTGCGCCGCCCCCTGACACGAAGCGTGCACTCCGCACTCGAGGTTTCTCGACTTCCGTGCCGACATGTCCCGAGCACTGACCAGGACACCCTCGCACGCGCTCGCCCTGCCTTGCAGCTGCGTCCGCAGCGTACTTCGGGAAGCGTGCGAGCGACCTCGACGTGAACGAGGCTGCGCTGCTGGCAGGCATGTTGCCGGCGCCCGAGGCGCTCTCGCCGTTCAACAGCCCCGCGGGGGCGGACCGCGTGCGGCGGCAGGTCCTGTACTGCATGGCCGAGGTCGGCTTCCTCCCGCGCGGCGAAGCGCGGCGCCTCGTCGCCGCTGGGCTGCCGGCATCCCTCGTGGGGCGCCCCGGCGCGTCGCCCGGCGGGGTCCCGCCGGCGGCGGTCCGGCGGAGCGGCAGTCCGTTCAAGGCGCCGTTCATCGTGCAGGAGGTCATGAAGGAGCTCGAGGAGGTGTTCGGGCACGAGCGCGTGGCGCAGGGGGGTCTGCGCGTGCACACGACGGTGGACCTGCCGCTGCAGGAGGCGGTGGAGGCGCTGGTGCTCGAGGACGGGGAGGCGCCGCTGTACGGCGAGGACCGCGGGGAGTGCGCGGTGGTCGCGACGCACCCGGCGACGGGGGGGGTGTTGGCCATGGTGGGGTCGCGCAGCTGGTCGCGGTCGGCGTTCAACCGGGCGACGCGGTCGCGGCGGTCGGTGGCGTCGGCGTTCAAGCCGATCGTGTACCTCGCGGCGTTCGCGGGCGGCGCGGCGCGGCCGTCGACGGTGGTGTCGGACGAAGCGGTGGTGTTTCGGCGCGAGGCGGGGGGGTTGGAGTGGGCGGAGGTGGGCGGCGAGGAGCTGGAGCAGGAGCTGCTGGACAGGGACGTGCGGCTGCAGGAGGAGTATTTCAAGGAGGGGCGGCGGTGGTTTGGGGCGGGGCGGGCGCGGAGTGCGGGCGGGGGGGGTGCGGGGGGGACGTTGGGGGTGTTGGTGGGGTCCGGGACGGGCGGCGACGCCGAGGACGGCGACTACTCACCGAACAACTACAACAAGATGTTTCGCGGGCCCGTGACGGCCAAGGAGGCGCTCGTCGACTCCCTGAACGTCCCCGCGGTCAGGATTTGCAACGCGGCGCGGCTGGAGACGGTCCTCGGGCTGGCGCGGAGCATGGGCGTGACGACGCCGCTGCGGTCGACGCTGTCCGTCGCGATCGGCGGGTGCGAGATCACGCCGGCCGAGGTGGCGGCGGCGTACAACACGATCGCAGCGGGGGGGGTGTATTCGCAGGTGCATCTGATCTCGAAGGTCGAGGACACCGTGAGCCGGTCGGTCGTGCACAGGACGCGCCCGGAGCGCCGCCGCGTGGCGCGCGCCGGGGCCGTGCGGGACCTGGACGACTGTCTGCGGGCGGCGGCGAGTGCGGCGCTGGGGCCTGCGGGGGTGGCGGACCTGCGGCGGTGGGTGGGCGGCGGGGGCGTCGCGGGGAAGACGGGGACGAGCGACGCGTACCGGGACGCGTGGTTCGCCGGGTACGTCGGCCGGGGCCTGTCGTGCGTCGTGTGGTGTGGGCGCGACGACGAGAGCCCGCTGCCCGGGACGGGCGCGATGATCGCCGCGCCGCTGTGGGCCAACGTCGTGCGCAGCGCCGCCGCACTACGCGCCATGTAAGACCGACGCGCAACACCCCCGTCCTGTGCAAGAATAACCTTTTCCCCCCTGGCTACAACAACCGCACACCGGTGACGCGCAGCCGTCCGCCGAAGCACCGCCGCACGCCCCTTCCGAGACCCCGTCCTCACATCTTCCCGAGCGCCGCGCGCGCGCCACGCCAGTCCACGTCACGACAGCGGCGGCACGTAGTCGTCGTCGTCGTCGTCGTCCTCGCACGCCACCACCGCCGCCTTCCGCACCTCCCGAATCACCGGCGCCTCGCCCTCGTCCTTCCGCACGATGCCCCGCACGTCCACCGCGCCGCCCCCGCTGTTCTCCTTCCCCTCCGCGGCCCTCCCCGCCTTCGCCACCTCGGCAGGCTTGTTCTTCACCGGCCCGGCGAACGCGCTCCGCTTCCCGAACATCGGGTGCGCGCCCTTCGTCGGGTCCGCCTTGGGCATCGTCACGACCAGCTCGCCCGTCGTCTGCGACCGCTGCGCAATCGCCTGGTCGCTCAACACCTCGTCCGGCAACACGTACTGGAACAGCCGCCCCTTGACCAGCAGCCGCACCACCCGCGGCTGCACGTCCGCCTGGATCAGCGACGTGTCCAGGTACCGCCCCACGCCCAGCGACAGCACGATCGACCCGCCGTCCTCGCTCTCGCACACCGAGAACGGCCACTTCCCCTCGTTCTTCATAAACACCTTCCCCGACTCCACGCCGCCCTCCGGGAGCTCCTCGAAGCCCTCCCGGCGCGGCGCCTTCCGCACCGCGCCGTCCCCGCCCACCATCTTCTCCTGCTCCTTCCGCCGCTGCTCCTCCGCGGCGCGCTCCTTGGCCTCCATCTCGCGGTGCTCGAGGACGCGCGTCGCGGGGCACCACGGCCGCTTCATCTGCCCGTCCTCGCCGAGCACGCCCGTCTCCGCGACCTCCTCGTCGTCCTCCGGGCCCTGGTTGTCCACGCGCAGCCACTCCTCGGGGTCGATGCCGTCCGCGCGGCACTCGTCGCGCAGGCGCGTCTCGAGCGCCGGGAGGACCTGCTGCGCGGCGATGCGCTCCGAGGGCGTGACGTCCTTGCCGTCGAGCCGCTTCAGGCCCGGGAGCGTCGCCACGACGTACGCGCGGTACGCGTCCCAGTCCGCGCAGGGGTTGCCGATCAGGAAGAGCTCAGTGAGGTGGTAGCAGGGGGCGAGGGAGCGGAGGGAGAGGAGGCCCTGCTTGGGGATGAAGTTGATCGTGAGGTCGAGCTTCTGCAGGGACTCGCAGCGCTGGAGGTTTTCAATCTTCGTGATGTTGTTGAGGGCCAGGTTGAGGTACGTGAGCTCCTTGAGGCGGTGGAGGTTCTCGATCTTGCTGATCAGGTTGTTCTGCGAAGCGCGGGGGGCTGCGCGGGGCGCGTCGGCGCCGGGCGCCGCGCATGTGCGCGCAGGTGCGGGGGGGCGCGCGGCGCGGGGCGTGCCTGCAGGTACACGATGCGCAGGTCGCGGCAGAGGTGGCCGAGGACCTCGATCTTCTCGATGTTCTGCTGGTGGAGCGCGACCTCCTGCAGCGTCGAGACCATGCCCTCGTTATGCTCCGCCCTCTGCAAGCAATCACGGGTGGCCGGAGCGGCGCGTCACGGGGCGCTGCGGCGCGCGGGCAGCGTGGCTGTGATGATGCGGGCGTCGGGGATCGCGGGGGCGGCGTTTGGGCGTGCGGGGGCGCGCGCGGGGCGCTGCGTGCGGCCCAGCGCGGATGGGGGTGGGGCCGCGGAGGCGTGTGGGCGTGGGGGGGCGCGGCCGGGGTGGCGGCTCGCGCGGGGGGCGTCAGGGGGCGGCGAGCGGGCGCTCGGGGGTCGTTCGCGAGGGACGCGGGCCGGACGCGCTGCGCGGGGCGCGGAGCGAGGACGCGCATGCAGGGGACGGGCGTGTGGCTCGGCACGGCCGGAGCGCGGGCGTTCGGCGCGACGAGGGCGTAGTTCCGCGCGGTGTCTCGCGCGGCACGCACCTTGCGGATCATATCTATGTTGATGCGCCCCATGTTGCCGTCGATGCTTCTTCCAGGGCCTGTTCCGCCCGCGCGCGCCTCGGCCCGCCAAGACCACGCACCGCGACTGGAGCGACACCGCGCTGTGACCCCGCGCCGCACGCGCGCCGGGGGCTCTGTCGCAGGTCGCCCTGGAGGCGCACGCAGCGACGCGCGCACTTGCTACAGCGAGGAGGAAACGAGCGCAGCTGCGCCACGACCAGCGCTAGCAGAGGTGCGCTGCACTTGTGCACGGACTCTCGCACCGCAGGCCGCACGTGTGGCCCCATGGAGGGCGGTGCGGCCGCGAGGGGGCGGCGTACGAGGGGTATGACGGGTGCGCACAGCCACAGCGCCGCGGGAACGTTGCTGCGGCCCCGTCCGCACCCCGCCATTGCCCCGGCGCGTCCTGTTCCCGACCTCGCGAGACGCCGCGCAAGAGCACAGGCAGCGACGACCGCGCACTGTCCCTGAGACGCACCTGCGGACGTTTCGCGGTTTTCCTCGCGGCAGGCACGCGCGTCGGAGGCTTCGACGGGCGTTTCCGCTCGCATAAATCAACGGCCAGCGATGAGCAAGGTCGAGGAGCCCGCAACGCCAGGTACGCGCCCACACGCCGCTCACCAGCCCCGACCGTCCCCGCACCGCCGCCCCACGCGCTCCGACGCTCCCGTCGCTCGTCCAGCGCCCGCCGCCCCGCACGCCCCAAGCTTCACCTGCGCCGCGCGCCCCGCAAACGCCCGCCCCGCCGCCCACAACCGCCCCCACCGCGCCCTCCCGCGCCCCCCGCTTTTGTATCACGCTCTCCCGCCAAGGCCGTTTCCGCGCAGCTCCGGCGGCCCCGGCCGCGGCCGACGGCGCCCCCTCGCCGCCCATCCCGTCTCCCGTCCGCGAGGAGTACAGCGAGGGCCTCCCGCTCGTCCACATCGGCCTCAGCGACGATGTGGTCGGCCACGAACTCAACACGCTCCTCGACTCCCAGGTGCGTCCCGCGCACCCCCGCGGCCCCAGGACGCCAGCGCACACAGAGAACATCGCGCCCGTGCGGGAACGGGGGCCGGACCGGCCGCGCAGGCGCTCAGCGGCCCTGCGGGTGCAGCCACCGGTCCACAGGGCCGCCGCGGGCGCGTGGCTGCGTTTCCGCGACCGCGCGCGTCCGACGAGGACCGCAGCTGCTCGGGCCGTCAAGCGCGCGCGGTGGCGTTCGCGCTGCGCGCCGCCCGGCGCCCCCCGCGGGGCTTCTCCCCAGCGCGCTTCCCCCTCCGTTCCCGCGCGCCCGCAGATGGCGACGATGCGCGACGGGCTGTACACGCTGGTCCGCGACATGAAGGGCCGCATGGCCGCGCAGGGCGACGACGTCATCGCTGCGGAGCGCAAGCACGGCATGAAGCAGCTCGCCGCCAAGCAGCGGGCCCTCGAGGCGAGCGAGGCGCGCGTCGCCGCCCTCGAGGCGCGCACAGAGAAGCTCGAGCACATCCTCAAGCGCTGCGGCACGGTCATCGGCGACCTCAAGCAGCGCCAGGAGAGCCAGGCCCGCGCCTACCACTGTTGGGGCGCGTGGATCCACTTCGTCAAGTCCCAGAAGGAGCTCAAGGCGCGCGCGCGGCAGATCTTCGAGCGCCTGAACACCACGGGCCTCGCGCGCAAGGTCCTGCGGCACTGGCAGGTCGAGGCGCTCCGGCAGAAGGTGGAGGTGGCGGAGGAGCGCTTCGCGGACATGCTGGCCGCGTCGACCAAGGACCTCAACGGGGAGATGTGCGCGCCCGCCCGCCCGCCCCCGCGCCGCGCTCGCGCCGCGCTTGCCTGCGTCCGTGGCGCGCGCGTCGCACTTTGCGTATTTGATGTTTGCCGGCCCGATCCGCGCTGCGCAGCGAGAGCATGCGGGAGGCGCACGCGGCGCAGCACGCGGAGATGCAGACCGCGCTCGCCCGCGAGCGCGAGGCGCGCGTCCAGGTCGAGGAGGAGATGCGGCAGGCGTTCCTCCGCGGGGTGTGCGCCATGAACCTAGAGGCCGTCAACGTGTTCAAGCAGGGCGTGCCGCACCCGGCGCTGAACGCGAACTTCCCCGTGCTGCCGCCGGGCGCGACGCCCGTGCCGGACGAGCCGGCGTCGGCGCCGCCGGTGCCGCAGGCGGGGGGGGGTGCGGCGGAGGGGGAGATTGCGTCGCTGATCCGGGACGCGCTCGGGCGGCAGAGCGCGGAGGAGTTCCACTCGGCGGTGCGCGCGGGGAACGTGCTGCGCGCGCAGGCGCAGGCGCAGGCGCGCAGCTGAGCGCACCCACGCAGGGTGACGCAGCGACGGCCTCCCCCAACACCCCGGGCCCTCGCGGTGGTGTTGTTCATAGCTACGAATGCATGCGCGAACGAAATACCCCGGCTGTGAGCTGCACGTGCGATCCGAGCCCGCGCGTCGTCGTCGCGCACCGTCACAGCGTACGTGCAAGCGTGCGTGCGTGCGTGCGTGCGTGCGCGCGTCACCCGCGCTGCCGCCGTCCGGCGCCGACCTTCCCGCGCAGCACGTCCTGCTCCGTGCGCTGCTCCTGCGCGGCGTCGGCCGCCTCGTCCGGGTCCGCGTCGTCCAGCCGCGCGGGGGGACTCTCCGTCGCGATCCACCGGGCCAGCGGGAACGGCGCGAGGTCCGGCTCGAGGGCCGCGGCGCGGAGGGGCTCCGGGAGCGCGGCGATGGCGGCGTCGCGCAGGCGGATCTTCTCGTTGATGTCCGAGCGCCAGGCGATGTCCTCCTGCGGGGGTCAGGTTTGGTTGGGGGGTGTCGAGCGTGGGTGCGCGCGTGACCGCGGCGTGCGTTGCTGGGGAGCGCGGGGGCGTGCGTGGGCGCACCGCTCGCCGGAGCTGCGCCCACTTGTCGGTCATGTGCTTCGCCGTCGCGAGCTCCTCCTCGGACATGGCCGGCACGTCCTCCTCCTTCATCGGTTTGATCGCCTGCGAGCGAGAGGACGGCGCCCGCCGGTGTGGCCGCGCGCGGGGCGGCGGGGACGCAGGGCGGTGCGCTCGCGGGAGGCTTGCGGAGCGGCGAGCGCGGGCGGATCGCGGGCGGACCTGCAGGAAGAGCTGGAAGGTCTTGTCGTCCTTGAACGCCTCCTCCGTGCTGACCGCCCCGCGCGCGTACGCCCGGCAGGAGGGCCCTTGTGCTGCAGCTAGAGCCTCACGCCGTGCTAGGCCCGACAGGGTGCCCCACGCGGCGACGCACGGATGGAACGCCCGTCGCGCGATCATCGTCGTCTACAGTTCGATGCCTCTATCGCGGACGAGCCGCCCCCGGTCCACGCAAAGTTCCTGCACACACGAGCTTGGCCCAGCGGACCTCCGGTGGGGCATGGCAGAGCCGTTCGAGCCACCAGGGAGCATCTTCGAACGATTGTCCACCACATCAGGGCGCAGAAACTGCGGAGTCGCGAACGCCCGCACCTGCGCGCCCCGCTCCAGGATGCCTTGTGCGCCCGGCGCCCTGGTCACAGCGATCCCCGGGACCGCGATCGCACGACGCGGGGCGCCTCTCCTCCCTCGTGCCTCCCTCCGTGCGGACCGTGCCTCCCGCAATCACCCTCGTCGAAGCACACGCTGCCCTGTACCCCTGCTCCACGTGCGTGCTCCGCCAGGCGGCTCTGGGGACACTTCTCAGACGGCCGCGGAGCTCCAAGTGAGCCCTGCCGCGAGGGGCGGGCCGCAACCTCCTGCGCCGCCCGCAGCCGTCGGACCGCAACCGGTAGTGTGTTGCGTCGTACCCGATGCCTTGTGTTCCCCGGCCGCGCAGGTGGGCGACGTGGCGGGCTGTCGGGGGGCGGCCCCCGCGCCCTGGCGTCGCAGTGTCGATCCTGCGATAAAAGAGTCGCTGCCGGCGCGTCCCTCGCCGCGCGACCGGGAGGCAGTGCCCCCTTGGCCAGTTAGGGGCGCGCTTAGAGCGGACGTCGGGGCTCGTCGGCTGACTCGGCACCGCCACGGCGCACCGACGATACTGTCGAGCGAACGGCTGCTGTGGTACCGGAAAAGATCGCTGAGGGCGCCATGGCGGGGCGCGCGGCACTTCTGTTCGGGGACCGAAGGCACCAGCGCCTCGCAGGAACGCCGTGGGCGCTGACTTTGCTGCGCACGACGTCCTTTGTGTCGCGAGCCACCTCCCGGGAAGACGAGGACAGCGAGGGAGCGCGCACCGTCCGGGCTTTATACCGACTCCCTGAGGAAGTCGTCGACCTCCTCGTGGAAGCTGGGAAGGACACCCCCCTCGAGGTGACGCCCCTGACCGGGAGGACGAGCGCGCAGGTTCCCGCGCTGCAGGCGCCGAACGCGCTAGCATCCGCTCGCCACGTCGCACCCGCGCATGTGCCCCCTGACACCTTTTGGCACCTCTCCAGGCGCCGCGTTGACGCGCGTGCACCGACGCAAGAGCCCAGCGCACCCCGCAGCGCCCGCCCGGCCGCCCGCAGTTGGAGCACCTGCAGTCTCTCGTCCACTGTCGAGTCACACAGCCCGACACAGGATCCTCGCCGGAACACGAGCGCGGGGACTGGCGGCTGACGGTGGACCTCGTCGGGCGCAGCGTCCACGCGCGCGTGACGGACGCGACGCTCGCGATCGAGCAGCCGCGCGTCACCCTGAAGCGCGTCACCTTCAAAGGGACGGGCGACGCGCCGCACCACGACGCGCTCGCCCGGTGGGCGACCGTCACGCTGACGCGCGCGGCCGAGGGCTGCGTGCTCGAGCAGGTCAGCGTGCACGACAGCCGCGGCCGCGGCGTCCGCGTGCAGGGTGCGACGGGGGTTGAGCTGCGGGAGTGTTTGGTGCTGGACAGCGAGGGCGCGGGCATCGTGGCGCACGCGGTACGCACTGCGACGTTGCGGGAGGGGGGACGCAGCTGGTCGCGTCGACGGCGAGGCGGGCGCGGTTCGCCAACACGCGCCAGGACTTGACATGTGTGTGTGTGTGTGTGTGTGTGCGGTGCAGGGCGCGAAGGTGCTGATCCGGGGCGGGCACGTGCTGGGGTCGGAGGAGGCGGGCGTGGAGGTGCACGACCGCGCGCAGGTGTGGCTGCGGAACAAGCCCGGCGTCGCGCGCATCACTGGCATGGTGCAGCTGTGCATGAACCAGTGGGCGGTGAGCTGGGTCGTGCCGGCGACGCGGGAGGCGGAGCAGCTCCGCGACGACTTCAAGCCGCCGGTGTGGCTGTGCGGGTCGCACCCGGTGTGCACGCTGCACAACACGCGCGGGGCGTGGCGGGACCGTCGGCAGCAGACAGACGACCGGCCCGCGTGGGTGCGGGAGGTCGGGGGCGCCGCGGACTTCGGGCCGTTCGCGGCGCGCGGCGGGGCGCCGGCGGCGCCGAAGGTCGCGACGGTGGAGGGCGACAGGCGGCGGCGCATGGTTGCGGCGCTGGCCGACATGTCCGACAAGCTGGACGCGATGCTGAAGCGCCGGCCGCCCAAGTACGGCGCGGAGGGGGAGGAGCAGGGCGGCGCGGAGGGCGCCGGCGCGGGGCCGTGCGAGTCGGCGACGGCCGCGAGCCCCGCGATCGCAGCAAGCGATCGCAGGTGACTTGCGCGTGCGCGTGCGTGCATGATTGTGAGCGCAGCGTCGATCAACAGCGCCTCACAGCTCGCCCCAGTCCTCGTCGACGTCGCTGCCCTCGTCCGAACACTCCCCCCCGGGGGGAGTCTCGGCACCTGCCACGTCCTCACCCCAGTCGTCCTCGTCGTTCTCCGCCCGCTCCGCCGGCGCGTCCGCGTCCGCGCCCGCGTCCGCGCCCTTGCTGCGCCCGTGCGACACATTCACCCACCCGCCCCCGCTGCTGCTCGGGCCCGAAACGGTTGCATCCCGCACCCCGCTTGCCGAGTCCATGGCGTCGGACTGCCACCGCCGGCCCTGCGACGGAGACCCCGCTCCGCTCGCAGGCGGCGACGGCCCCTCCGCGGCGGCCGCGGAGCCCTCCTCCGCCTTGCTCTGCTGCGCTGTCGCGTCGCCACCGGGGGCAGCCGCGTCGCCGCCGGCGTCGTCGTCCGACCCGTCCCACCCGTCGTCCGCCTGGCCCCATCCGTGGTCGTCGGCCACGCTCAGCGTCGCCACCGCCGCCGCTGCCGCGTCCCCCGCGCCGCCGCTCCGCACCGCGCCGCCCTCGTCCCCTCCACTGGCACTCTCACCCGCGCAAGCATCCGTCGCGTCGCCCCCGGGCTCCCCACCGCCCTCACTGCCCCCCTCATCGTACCGCGCCCGGATCTCGTCCGCAGCGCACCGGACGCGGAAGAAGTACCGCGTCCAGAACGCATCGTAGTCGACGATCGCCGGCACGATCCGCGACTCCAGCTCCGCCATGAAGCGGCTCCCGCGCAGCAGCGCGTCAATGTCAGACCGCGCCGCCTCGAGGCTGAACTCCCCCAGGAACGCCGCGAACGCCTCCGCGTCCTCCGGCTCGTCGCAGTACGTCCCGCTGTCGCGCTGGATCGCCGCCACGACGCGCTCGAGCTCCGCCGCCGCCGCGGCCTCGGCGGGCGAGAGCGCTTGCGCTGCGGCGGCGGGCTTCCGGAGGGGGGAGTCCGCGGGGAGGTCGGCGTCGTCGTCGTCGTCAGCGTCCGCTTCGTCCAGGTACTGGTTGATACGGTCCAGGAAGCCGCCCGCGCGCCCGAGGAGCCCCTGGGAGAGCGCGGAGAGGCCCGTGGCGGCGCCCTGGAGGCGGGAGGCGGAGAGGGCGGCGGCGGACCTGCCCTGCTCGGCGAGGAGCGGCGCGGCGGCCGTTGCGTGCTTCATCGCCTCCTCTGCGCGCGCGGAACCACACGCGGCGCCAGCGGGCGTCGGAACCGCGACAATCGTTATCTCCATGCAAATATATCGCAGCGCCGACCTCGCGTGCACCGGTGGCACGCAGGAAGAAAACATGCAACAAAAGAAAAGAAAAGAAAAGAAAAGAAAAGAAAAGAACCACAATGCGACCTATCGCTCCGCCCGGGACGGAGCAGGAGCGCAGGGTGCGTTGCGCGTATCGTCAGGTGTGCGCGCGTGCAGCACGGGGTCCGCGTCCACGGGATTGATGTATCGCGTCAGTCGTCGTTGTCGTCGCAGCGCAGCCGCCGCCGCGCCCACGCCCCGCGCGGCGCCCGTCGGCGCCCCCGCCCGCGCACGCGCAGCCTCCTCGCATCGCCGCGCCGCACCGATCCGTGGCACCCCACTACGAGCCACCCGCACAGCGCGCCGGCGCAGCGCATGGCCCGCGCCGCGCGCCCGCGCGCCGCACGCGCGATCTCGGTGCGCTTTCGACAGGGAGACGAGAGGTAGAGACGCCCTCTGTCTTCCGTCAGGACGCCCGTGCGTGCTGGTGCGTGTCGCCGCGTCTGCGCGGCCGGTCCACAACGTCGCGCGTGCGGGCGGCCGGGGTGACGCGGCGGCGGGCGGCGCGCGGGCGGCGGCGCGGGCGCGGCCAGGCGCGACGGCGCACGGGCGGCGAACGGCCCGGACGGCCGGAGCCGGGCCGCGGCGGTCGGACGCGTCGTCGGGGGCGCTGACGCCGCGGGGGGCGCCAGGACCGGCGGGGGGGAGTCGCGGCGGGGCCCGGCTGGCTCAGCCCTTTTACCGAAGCCATCATCCGCGATCCGAGCACGCGCGGAGCGCGCGGGGCGCCCCGCGCGCCGCGCGAGTGCAAGCAACGCAGACACACAAGCAGGCACACGTGACGGGGGCGCACCGGCGCGTCGCTTGGCTTCTTCGAGGTCCTTCGGCACGGCGCGCCGGACGTTCGAGATGAGCGCGCGCGCCTTCTCCGGCGCGTGTTGCACGGCGTCCTTGGCGTGGGTGTGGAGGAGCTCGCCCTCGGCCTGCGCGCCGGACTGGAAGTCGGAGAGCTCCTTCGCCCAGTCCACTTCGCGCACGGTGCGCACGACCTCCTCGGCCTGGTCCTGGATGGAGGTGAGCGCGGTTTGGGCGAACGACCACATCTGCGTGCTCCACCCGCCGTCCCCCGCGGCGCTCGCCGCCGCGCCGCGCCCGCCCGAGCTGTCCTGCGCTGGACGGAGAGCGCAGGCGGGGCGTCGGACCCGGCGGGCTGGCGGCGTTGGCGTCGTGGCGGCTCGGCGCGAGGGGAGGGACAGGAAAGCGCGCGTCGTGCTGCGCGCACGCGCGTCGCTCGCGCGAGTCGCTCGCGGCGCTGAACGTCTCGGGTGTAGGTGGAAGCAGGTGGGAATCGCGCCGGGCGCGAGCGCTCGCTGGATGCGCGCACCGGAGCCTAGCCTGGTCCGCGCAGCTGCGATGCCTCTCCGGGCGCGAACGTTCCGGCGGACGCGTGAGGTGCGCTGCTTCCCGCGTGCCAGAGGACAGGTCGCGCGACCTGCGGTGCGCAGCGCGTCGTTCGCGGACCGGGGCGCGCGCCGCACCTCGCTTTGCCGCGCATCCTCATGGCCCTCCGCGCCCTCAGCCTCGCCCTTGTCGCCCCACAGCGCACTCAGCATAGCAATAGTCGATGTATCCTCTCCCCAGAACGAGCAGCGTTTCGCCGCTTTCCGGCGCGCACGCCGCGCACAGAGCCTCAGGGACCCAACCAGGCCTTGCACGACCTCGCACGCGCTGGCCTTCACACACCAGACCGGAGACACCGCACGCGCCGACCCCGCCGCACCGCCGCGAGCGACGCAAGACACTGCGGCCCCGACCCGCACCGCACAGCAACCAACCACGCACCTCTGCGTTGTGCGACTCCCCCCCTCACACCCCCCCGCCCCGGCGCGCCCCGAGCTGCCGCGTCCGGCGCAGCGCAGCGCCACAGCGGGCCGCACTCACCCCCTCCGACGCCCCCACGCACGCCACGAAGCGCAGCGCCGTCACACTCGCCGCACCAGGCCTACACCGCCTGCCCCGCCTGCTGCGCGTCGTCCTCCTCGTGGCCCCACTCCGCGGGCCACCACTCCGGCCGCGTCGCGCGCACCGCGACCCCGCCCCCCTCCACCACCAGCGGCGGCGCGTCCGCCGGCAGCACCGCCGCCAGCCGCAGCAGCGCAAGCCCGACCGCTCCGCCCGCGCCCGCCGGCGCCGCGCACGTCGCGAGGATCTTCCCCGCGGCCCGCTTGCTGCCCTCCGCGTACACCTTGGCGCCGGGGGCCACCTCCGCACCGTCCCCGTCCAGTGCAATCGGCACGACGCGCTTCCGCACGACGCCCGTGTAATGCGTGCGCGCCGTGAGCTCCTGGCCGACGTAGCACCCCTTCGTGTACGACACCCCCGCCATCCCGTCCATGTTGAACTCGAGAGGCAATGCCTCCCCGGGGGGTATCTCGGCCGGCCCCTCCGCGACGCCGCACAGCGCCCTGACGTACCTGTGGACGGCGGAGGAGCTGCGGCGGGGTCGCGCGGGCGAGCGGGGCGCTGCGGCTGCGGCCGCGGGGCGGGAGCACGAGAGAGAGCGGCACGGAACGCACTTGTATACGCGCTCCGCGGCGGCGTTGTCGTCGTCGTCCGGCGCGGGGGCTGCGCCCGCTTCGATGATGCCGCGGCGGCCGAGCGCCGCGACGCGCGGGTCGCCCGGGAGGGACGCGGCCCACGCGGCGGGCGGGGCGCCGGCGCCGGGCCACGCTGCAGCCACCACCTTGTGTGACGTCAGGTCGTGCAGGTCGACCCTGGACCGAAGCTTGTGTCGCCGGAGGTACCGCAGCAGGTCGTCGACGGACCCCGCGGCCACGTCCAGGTATACTGCGGATCGCGGTGACGCGGGCGCGCGTGCGTGCGAGTGAGCGACGCTGGAGGGTTCGGAGCGCAACACGGACCTCTGGCCGCGGCCCCGCGGCGCCGCGTGCGCCGCAGCCGCTCGCCGCGGAGTCCGGGGCGCCGCGCGCGAGGGGCGCCGCGGCGAAAGCGCGGGCGGCGAGAGGGGGGCCGGCAGGACCACGAGTGTGTGTTTGCGCGAAACGCGGCGGGCCTGCGCACCTGACAGCCCCTTTTCTCCGTTGTCTGGCGCGGCATGCAGAATGAGATCGTGAAGGACGCGTCCTTGCGGCGTCAGGATCCCGGCATAGAGCGGCCTGGGCGGCCCACTGCCCGTCGCCGCCAGGCCGCGCACGTCGTTCGTCACCAGGCCCTGCAGGAGCCTCTCGGTGTCCGGTCCGGACATTCCCAGCACGGCGCGCGACCCCCGGAGCACCGCGGCCCCCGCCGGCGCCGCGGCCGACGCGCACCCGCGCACCAGCGCGGCCAAGCGCCCCAGTGGGCGAGCCTGCAGCCCCGCACCGCTCATGGCGCGCACCACACCGCCCGCGCCCCCGACTCAGCGACGCACACGCAGCGCCGCGTCCTGGCGCTCGCCCTCGCGCCCGACTATACTGCCGCGGCTCGCGCGGCGAGGCCGATGCCGTGTGCCCGTGCTCGGTGGTTGCGCAATGCGTCGGGTACTGGACACCAGGGCGCCGCGGGTCGGGCGGGGCAGGATGAGCGGTGGCGCGGCTTGCCGCGGCGCCCTTGACCCGGCACTGCGCGGCCCCGGGCCGGGCGGTTCGGGCGGGGGGACTGGGGCAGGAATGACGCATCGACTCAAGTCCGTGAGAGTCCCCGCTCCGGCACCGCAGCAATGTTCGGCGGCGCGGCGCGGCGGGGCAGTGCGATACTCCGCCCAGCGAGATCACCAGGCGCCCCGCTGGCGACGTTCGAAGCCCCCGTTGCGTCATCGAGTGACGACAGCGGGTCCGCCCGCTTGCACGACGCGGCACCGCCGAAGTGGAGGGCGCTCAACCGTTCGCGATTCCTGGCTCGTCCGTTCGCGGCGCTCGCTCGCCGATCGCTGGGGCCGTGCGGCCGGAACACGCGCACAACGCCGAGGGGTCCCTGGAGCAGGCGATGTCGGGCACGACGCGCAGCATGCACGCGGGGAGCATGCGGGAAGAAGAATGGTCCACCACGCGGAGTCGAATCGTGGGGCTCACGACGCCGTTCGCGCGCTGCAGGTGCGCTGCACCGCTCCGACCGTTCTCGCCGTCGGCGCTGTTCGTGCCGCGCTTCGGCCGCGCCCTTGCGCGCATCCACACGTCCTTCGCGTCCGGATTGAAGGAAAGCGATGCGTATATCGCCAGATTGGGGCCGCGCTGCCCCGCAGCCGGGGCCAGTGGTTGCGTCACGCACGTGCCTCCCGCGCGCCGGGCGAGCGCCGCGCGCGCCGAGATCGCGCGCCTCAGACGAGCCATGGCTCGCGTGATGCGCCCTCGGCGCGCCGCGTCCCCCCCAGGCCGCGCGTTCGCGCGCGCAGGCCATTGCCTGCACCAGCCACCTTGCTGGTCGCACGCCCGCTCCGTACTGCAGCCACGCGCGACCCGCCGCGCCCCGGTCGCGTGGCAGGACACCCACCGACCGTCTCCGGGCGTTCGTTCGCGTTCGCGCCCCTCGCACGCCGCGCGCGGTCCCGTGGACGGAAGCCTCCGCCAACCGCGCCGCGCGGCACGGCCCGTCGCGTCGTTTCCGCCGCGCGCTCCGCATCGCAACGCAGTCTCCGTCTCCTGCGCCCCTCCGCAGCGTCGGTATCGGGCTCCTGAAGGGCGAGGACAAGCATTACGCACGGGTGTGCACGGAATGGCCCTCCGAAAGCAGCGGCGGGAGGGGGACTTTCCGCACGACGCCGGTTTTCATGGCCCGCAGGACGATGATGCTCACTGGTGCGCGCCCCGCGACGGCGCCCCGCCCGCACCCGCGCGCCGGCGCCCCTCGTGCCCTCCCCAGGCATATCCCCGCCAGCGTCGCGCCCGCGCGCCGAAAAATCCCCCCGCCCGCGGCGCCGCGCAGACATCGGGCGCATCGAGGCCGAGTGCGGGGAGGCGGACGAAGTGAATTTCGTGGACGCCCGGGAGCGGCCGTGGCACGCCCTGGAGGGCGCCAACGGCGAGCCGCAGCACGTGGCGATGGACGACAAGTCGTACGGGCTGTACTGCGTGATGGACGGGCACAACGGGCACGAGTGCGCGCAGTTCTGCATGTCGCAGGTCCACAAGGAGGTCCACAAGCGCCTCCCGCCCGGGCCCTGGCCGCTGCACGACGACGCCGCCGCGACGGCGTGGCTCGCGGAGCTCCGCGCCGCGCTCTGCAACGCCCTCGCGGTCATCGAGAGGAAGTTCGGCGCCGCGGGCATCCCCTCGGGCTGCACGGTCACCCTTGTTCTTGTTACAGGGTGGCTTGCGACCGGTGCGCCCGCCCCCGCCGCCGCCGCAAACGACCACCACGCACGCCGCACGCTCCGCGCCGACCCGCCCGGGTCACAGGAACAGAAACCGAGACAAACACACACCCCCCCGAACATCAAACACCCCCCCTCCCCGGTGTGCAGTTGCGTCGCTGGGCGACACGCTGGCGTACCTGGACACGGGCAGCGAGGTGGTGCCCGTGACGGCGGACCACCGCCTCGACGTCAGCGAGCGCGAGGTCAAGCGCGTGCGCGCCCACGAGGGCCGCGGCGTGCTGGTGCGGCGCTTGTGCACCTCCCTGCGCGGCGCCGCGGAGGAGTTCGAGGGCGGCGTGGGCCCGCTGCGGGTGTGGCCGGGCGGGCTGGCGCTCGGGCGCGCGCTGGGGGACTTCGACGTCGGCGAGGCGGTGATTTGCACGCCCACGGTGCATCAGGTGCGGCTACCCGAGGCGGGGTGCCGCCTCGTGGTGGCGACGGACGGGCTGTGGGACGCGGACAAGACGGTGGGCAACGCGGAGATGGTGCAGGAGGTGCGGATGCGGCCGTCGGACACGGCCGCGAAGCTGCTCGTGCGGCGTGCGGGGAAGACGTACGGGCTGGCGGACGACGTGACGGTCATGGTGGTCGACATCGTGCCCAAGGCGGCGCAGGTGCGCGCGGATGCGTTCGCGCCGTCTCGCAATACACGGCCGCTATGACCATGCGAGCCACAAAACCGAATCAACACACGAATATGAAAGCACGCCAACCATTAAGTAATCAATTAATCAATTAATTGATGGACTAAGCGCGCGCGTGGGTGTTTGATCGAACGTTGCAGGTCCGTTCGAGCGCGGACGACTTCGCGCAGCTCGTGGCCGGCTTCGGGAGGGAGAACCCAGTCGAGGCCTGGCACAAGCCCAAGGGCCCCAAGGGCCTCCTCCTCGCGTGCCTCGGCGGGCGCAGGAACAATAATAACAATAAGAGCGCGAATAGCAGCCACGGGCCCAAGGAGCCGAGCGCGCCGGGCTCTCCCGCGGCGAAGGACGTGCGCAAGGCGCGCTCGGAGCGCATCGACCGCGCCGCCGCGGACCCCGCGACCCCCGCGAGCGCCCGCGACGTGCTGGCGATGCCCGACACCACGCGGGAGTGCCCGTCCGTCGGCGTGTCGTCGCCGTGCGGCATGGACGACGCCGCTATGGAGGACGAGGCCTCGGAGCCGCTCTTCCTCGCGCCGGGCGCGGCGGGGGACTCCGCGAGAGACCCCCGGGTGTCGGTCGACAAGCCGTGGCGCTGGGGGTGGCTCAGCGTCGTGGACCTCGCCGGCGTCGAGGAGCACGCGGGCGGCGGCGAGGCCTGGCCGCACCCGCTCGACAGGGAAATGCACGAGCACCTCGCGGCGTTCCAGGCCGTGTCCAAGGAGGTGTGGCAGGACTCGGTGGCGGCGCGGCGCGGCAACAAGGACCCCTTCACGGAGCCCGGGATCGTCGCGCGATGCTCGGGGCTCTGAGGATGATAGCACGTCTCCCAGAGCTCGCACGGCACCTACCCCACGGCCCCTCCTGACACCAATCACCCCCGGATTTTTCTTCCAACCCCCCTTTCCCATCCCCCGACGACGCAGCGGCCGCAGGCTGGTGGCAGGACGTCTGCCAACCGCGCTGCGGCGCGCCACACGACCGAGCACGCGTTTCCTGCGCATCGCACGCCCGACACGGCCACAAACGTACGTTCCCGGCGGCACTGACATACCGTGCCCGCACCGCCTCCGAATCGTTCGCAAGCGGAGCGCATGAGCTTCTTCGGCATCCACAGCATGTGATGTCAAACACCACAACACCCGCCAGCGCCCCGGGCAGCCCTGGTCTTCCTCCGAGTGGTTGCTGAAGGGTTGTGACTCGTGACATAGCATCCCCGCGACTCCACCGAGCGCCCCTGCGCGGCCGTGCTCGACACAAACCACCGACGCAGGCGGCGACCGCCTCCACCGCTGCTGGTGTCCAGCGACCACCGCGTTTTGCCGGTGTCCCGGCCGCAGCACGCGCGACGCCGCGGCCGCGCTGCGCGACGAATCAGCAACGCGCACATGTGACGGCGCTGGCACGTGTTCGCTCGCGTCCCACGCACGCCCTGACGCTGCTAGAGGACACGCGCGCAGCACGGTCTCCGCCCCCCCGCGCACGAGCACCCCGCACCCCCCCCGCGCCCGTCCGTCCGCCATGCAGCTCACAAGCGCCGGGAGGAGTCCAGCACCGACCCGCTCCGCGACGGCGGGGGCCGCGTCTGCCCCGTCCGCGGCGGCGCCATCGCGTTCCCGTCCGTGGTGTCTACGCCCTCGAGGTACGCCGGAACCGGCTGCCCCGTCTCCTGTAGGTACTCTCGGTAGGCTTTGGAGGAGTATAGCCCTCGGAGGTTCTTCCGCGCCTGCTGCTCGCGCGCCACGAGCCGCGACATCTCGAAGTCAATGTCCGCCACCTGCACGCGCGGCGCGGGGGCGCGTCGCCGCCGTTCGCTCCCCGCCGCAACGCACGAGGGCACGTCGCGGTCGCGCACGCGCGCGGGCGGTGCGCACCTTGACGCCGAGCATCTCGGCCATGAGCCGCTGGTCGCGGTCGAGCTTCACGAGCGACTGCTGCTGCATGCGGTGGTTCAGGCTGATCAGCGAATCGTCCCACACCGAGCGCCGCTTCGCGGGCTCGGCCTCCCACTTGTCCGGCGGCATGTACCACCGCCCGTACCGCACGCGCTGCGCCTCGTTCTTCGCGGGCGGCTTCAGCGGGTCGGGGTACAGCTCGGACTGCGTCGACTTGTTCCACGCGGGGCGGTCGGCGCCCGCGTCAGGGTCGGCATCTAGCACCAGCGACGACGTCAGGAGCGGAATCGACGCGTTCACGCCGGCCTGGAATTCCGGCGGGAGCTCGCGGACCTCCTTCACGCACACGCCCCGCGCCTGCAGCCCCGGAGCCGCGCGCGCGCGCGTGTGTGCATGCGAGCGACATCGCGCGAGCGTGCCGGGACGTCGACGCGCGCGCGGCGCGGCGCGCACCTTCCACCGGATGGTGGTGCTCTCCCCGGCGCCGCCCGCGTTGCTGCCCCCCTCGCGGTCCCCCGCGGCGCTCGTCTGGGCAAAGAGATTGGTAGGAACTTGCAGGGCGGTCGAGGCCTGCGCGCGGTCCTTCCCGAGGAGGTTCTCGCCCTCGGGGCGGTAGTCCGCGAAGATGGTCTTGTTCCGCGCGATGGGACCCGCCGACGCGGGCCCCGACCCCGATGCTTCGGAGATGCGGTTGGCGACGCGCACGGTGGGCTGCCCGACTTGCATGCGCTTCGGGGCGAGCTGGGAGCGGATCTGCTCGTACCGCCGGCTCTTCTTGTCCGGGCTGATGCTGCGGACCGGGGAGCTGTTGCCGCTGCGCCCCGCCACGCCGCTCAGGGCCGCTGCGCGCAGGTGGCCAGGCGTGGGCGCGGCACGGATGGGTCCGCGCTCCGCCGTACAGCGCGCCCTCAGCGACAGAGACCGCGCTCTGCGCGCTCGACGACCAAGGCAGCGCGCGCGTCGCCCGTGCCACGGGCATATTGCTCTACGCACAAAGAGAGCCCTTGCTGCGTCCGCGTCCGGCCGCATCGCCACGTCGCAGCGCCAATCGCTGGTCGTTGCAGATGGGTAGCGCTCGCGGCGCACCGCGGGCGCTCCTGTCGCGCGATGCGGCGGGAGTTGCGGTGTGCATGTGTGGACTCACCTTCGATCGACGGCTCCAGCGCTGGCGCCGCCGACTTCTCCAGGTCGAGCGGCTCGGGCTGGATATTGACGACCTTCATCGAGCGCATGTGCGGAGCCTCCGTCGAGGGCCGGTACGGCACGTCAGTCGCCATATTCCCCCCCTGCACCTCTCCGACCTCCGGTGCCGGCGGGGGAACCCGCAAAGCGCAACACCGCGCTCGCTAGACACCACGACAGTACTGTGGCAGCTCTGCGAGCACCGAAGACCCGCCCGGGGCGCCGGAGGAGCTCGTAGTAGGCGGCCAGGCTCGTGATGGATCGCTAGGCGGACGCGGCGGTGTCTGGCGGGTCTCGAAATGCGATTCACGCGCCTCGCTGCGTCGTACACTGCGCCCGGGCGGTGCACGCCGGCCCGACGTGGCCAGGGCGGCCTGCAGCGCCGTGTCGGGCGGGCGGGGCCTGACGCGCGTGGGCTGTCGTGCGACACGCGGCCGCGGCGGGGATCTTGACGCCGCGCGGGGAGGCAGTGCGCGAAGTATGGTACGCAGCAGCCACGGAACGATGCCGGGCCCTTCGCAGGTGCGCCTACACGCAGCGGAGCCCACCAAACCATAGCGACAGTCTACGACAGGGGCGGATCTTCCCGCCAAGCTCTATTTTACGGACCGCCACATCGCTTCCCGTGCTGAGCGGAGCGCACTGCACTGCGTGCGGCAGCTGCGCGAGGCACGCGCGACCTGTGCGCCCCGTGCGAGCGGCCTAGCCGAAGCCCTGTTGAGCGCGTCGCGCGGGGGACTCCCTTCCGGGTCGCGCCGTCGGCGGCTGCCACCGCCGAGCGAGCTGCATCGAGCAGGCCGCTGCGGCTGGGTGAGAGAGCCGGAGCGGCGCGCACCTCGCCGCGGCGCCGCGCGCACCTCGTGGTGGTTGGTCCGGGCGCGCCCGCGCTCCCTGCGGGTCGCAGCGGGCGGCGCGGGGCCGCGCGAGCACGGCACAGTCCGGAACCACCGCGCTCCGGTGTCGCGGCCGGCATCGCACGCCGCCCACGCCCCCCACGCCGTGCCCCTGCGTGCGTCCTTCAGCGGGCGCCGCGGCCGCGCAGGCGGTCACCTCACGGCGCGCACTCCCCGCTGCACACGCAGGAGTCCTGCAAACAGATCAACAAGGTGGAGCGGGTCTACAAGTCCCACCACTTGTAAGCAGCCCCCCACACACACACACTGCCCACTTGTCCTCGGCACCCGCGGCCTCGGACCACCCGCCGCTGCGCGCAAGACCACCGGCGGCGCGGTCTCTCACGCCCCCGTGCCCCGTGCCCGCAGCAACAGGTACACCACGCCCGTACAGTGCAGACACAGACACCGACACACCGCACATCGTGTTCGTCCGCCACGCGCCTCGGTGCAGACCGTCGAGGCAGCGACTGGCTGCCGCGGCAGACCTGGCAGTCGCGGCGGCTGCTCCACCGCGCCGTGCACCCTGCAACTCGCCACACGCACCACCCCTCACGCGCATCGCACCCCCATCGCGACTTGCGTTCTATCCTCGATGCGGTGGCGTCGCGGGGGCCGGTTCTTCGACTGAGTGCCCGCGCCGGCGTCGGCCGGCCTCGCACCGGCCCCGCCGCCGCCCCAGACCTGCCCTCACCCGCGCATGACGACGCCCCCGCGGTGCTGCGCAGCGAGGTCTGGGACGACGTCAAACCCCGCGCCGATGACATCTTCATCTGTACCTCGTACAAGGTACGCGCTCACACACCAACCCACAGCACATGAAACACGCCCACAACACCTGCATTCGAACACACAGGATACACGCAGCACCACTGCTCGGCGCAGAGCCTCGACGCCGCGCACCTCTTCTCTTACCCGAAACACACACCGCCTGCGCGCCCACGGCAGCGCGCCGACACCGGCAACCTTCACCCCCCCCCTCCCGCCTGTGCATTGCAGTCGGGCACCACATGGGCCCAGCAGCAAGTCGGCGTGATGCTCAAGGCCGCCGGCCAGCTCCCGGTACGTGCGCCCCGCGCGCACCACGCTCCACCGCACGCACCACCCCGCCCCCACGACCCAGCACGACAACACACCCCCTCTCACCCCCCCAGGAGGAGCTGAACAACCAGGAGGTGTCGCCGTGGGTGGAGCTCAAGGTGCCGCCGCGCGAGGTGAAGATGCCGATGATCGAGGCGCAGCAGCACCGGCGCTTCCTCAAATCACACCTCCCCGCGAACGCCCTCCCCATCTACGACAAGCCCAAGTACATCGTGGTCATCCGCGACGGCCTGGACTCGTGGATGTCGCTGGTGCGTGGCGCAGGCGGAGTGCGCCGCTCCGATCGGCCGCGTCTCGCGGCCGCAGGCGCCCCGCGTCGCCGCCGTGGCACCGCGCACCGCTTGCGGGTTGCGTGCCGCCGGACACCCGCGCCGGAGGGAAGGAAACACGCCCACAGGTCTTCGTTCTTGTGCGTTTCCTTGTCCGCAGATGAACCACTTCCAGAGCTTCAACGACATGGCGTACGCGGTCATCAACGACCCCGCCAACCTGCACGGCCCGCCGATGCCCGGACAGGAGGAGTTCGCGGACGCCGGCAAGGCCTTCGACCGCTGGCTGACCGAGCCGTGGTCCACGCTGCCGTGGGAGAAGGACGGGTGGCCCGCGTGGTCGGTGTTCACGCACCTGGTACGCCCGCACGCAACGCAACCGCATGCTGCGCGTCGTGCCGCGGCGCAGCGGGCCCGGTCGGCCGCGTGAGCCACGCTGAGCTGATTGGTCCGCCGCTGCGCTCGTTCGGGCCCGCAGGCGACGTGGTGGGAGCTCGCGAAGACCACGGGCGCGAGCAACATCAAGTTCGTGCACTTTAACAACATGAAGGCCGACCTCGAGGGCCACATGCGCGACCTCGCGAAGTTCCTGGGCGTGTACGACAAGATCGCCGAGTCGCAGTGGCCGTCGCTGGTCGAGAAGTGCACGTTTGAGTACATGAAGGCGCACGCGCCGGAGGTGGCGCCGCTGGGCGGCGCGATGTGGGGCGCGGGCGGCGAGGACGGCGCGTCCAAGTTCATCAACAAGGGGACGAACCAGCGGTGGAAGGAGGTGCTCTCCGACGCGCAGGTGGCGCAGTACCGGGAGGCGGCACGCGAGCGGCTGCCTCCGGAAGCGGCGGTGTTCATGGAGACGGGGAAGATGCCCGCTGCGTGAGGGGAGGGGGGGAGACTCTGCTTGCTTGAACCAATGCGCAGGAGGGCCGCGCCGCCGTGGTGGTGGGTGGCACGGGATGCTGCGGGGGGAGTATGGGGAGTAGACCGAGCTTGCCCGGGCCCGCGATCTTGATCGTAATCAGTGCGAGGACTGTGTCTGCCGCGTCGGCCACGAAACGGCGCGGTCGAGCGCAACAGCCACCGTCCAGAGTGCATCGAGCGCCGTCAACACACACAGCAGCCCACGCGGACGCGCGTGCGCAGCTCCCCGCCGCCAGCTCCACGCGCCGCAGCCCGCTCGCACGCGCGCGCGGTGCAGACGCAGCTCGCCTGCGTGACGCACCACCACCAACACCACCTATGCCGCGCTGCGTCACATTTCGCGCGCCTAGTTGTTGGCGATCATCGTGCCGACACCCTCGTCCGTGAGCAGCTCCTGCAGCAGCGAGTGGCTCTCGCGCCCGTCGATGATGTGCGCCGCCTGCACCCCCTGACTCAGGCTCCGGATGCAGCACTGCACCTTGGGGATCATGCCGCCCGCGATGATGCCCTCGTCGATGAGCTCGCGCGATTCCCGGATCTTCAGGTTCCGGAACAGCGTCGATACGTCGTCCTTGTCGCGCATCACGCCGGGCACGTCCGTCATCAAAATGAGCTTCTCGGCGCCCAGGGCCGCCGCGATCTCGCCCGCGGCCGTGTCCGCGTTGACGTTGAGCGCCTGCCCGCTGTCGTCGGACGCCACCGTCGCGAGCACCGGGATGTGGCCGTCCGCGACGATGGCGTTGATGATCGACACGTCCACGGACGTCACCTCGCCGACGTAGCCGATGTCCTTCTCCACCATCTGGCGCGCGCGCAGCACGCGGCCGTCCTTGCCCGACAGCCCCACTGCGCGGACGCACACCGAGCCGCGGCGGCCGCACCGTCACGGCGCGCGCTTGCGCTGACACAAAACAGCCCAGGGCGGGGGCAGCTGAGCGGACTCTCGCACCAGCGGCCCGCGGCGCGGCAGGGCAGGCGGGCGGCGCACCTGCGGAGCCCCCCGCGGTGTTGATGAGGGAGACAATGGACTTATTGACCGACCCCACAAGCACCATCTCGACGACCTCCATGGTGGCCGCGTCGGTGACGCGGAGGCCGTTCTTGAAGTTGGGCTCGATGCCGACCTTGCCGAGCCACGAGTTGATCGCCGGGCCGCCGCCGTGGACGAGCACGGGGTTGATGCCCACCAAGGACAGCAGCACAATGTCGCTCACGACGCCCTGCGCGGACGAAAACGCATGAACCACGGAGGTTAGTGACCTTTCGTGGGTGAATGGGCAATGCGAGGAAGAGACGGCGCGTTCGGGGGGTGTGTGGGCCGGAAACGCACCGCCTTGAGGGAGGCGTCCTTCATGGCAGCCCCGCCGTACTTGACTGCGGGGGAGCGAGGGCGGGGGCCGCGGCGGTGGCGGAGGTTGTTGTGCGAGCATGCGGGCGGCGCGGCGGCGCGGCGGCGGGGGCCGCGGGGACCCGTCACGGGACGCCCAACGACCAAGGTGGCCGCGGGCTGGGCGAGCGGGGCGCTGCGGCGCGGGTGCGCGTCGCGGTGGCGAGCGGGCAGGTCGCGGGGCCACTCACTGACGACGGTCTTCCCGGCGAACTGCTGCAGGTACGGCAGCGCCTCGGACAGCACCTCGACGCGCTGTTTGGCGCTCAGCCTCGTGCTGGGGTCCAGCGCGGACACAGCCTGCGAGCGGCCCGGTCGGACGGATTTCCGGAATGTTTCGGGGCAGGGTTTGCGGGATCTCGCGGAACGGGCGCGCGGGGCCGCACGCCGAGGCCCGGGGCGCCCGCTGAGCAGTCATGGAGCGAGGCGCCGGCCGACGCGGACAATTCCGGGGTCAACCGGCGGCACCGTGGCGCGATATCGATACCACAGGTCGGATACATATCAGTACGGTGCGTGAAAGCCGCGCCAAGGCCTCGCACGAGCCACGCTACCACCAGGGCTCAACTGCCTCCCCCTGCTGCGCCCTAGGGCGGCTCCTCGCGCGCTTTTCCGCACGCGAACCGCGAGCCCCGCCGGCACGAAGCACGTGCGCGCGCGCCGCCGTGCCGGGGGAATCGAGAGAGCGCCGGCGCGCCACAAGAAGGGACATCAGGGTCGAATCACTCCCTGGCCAGGACGTTCACCTTCACTTTCGGGTCCTGCGCGCGCACGACGACGCCGCGGCGCGCGGCCCGCTTCGCGCTCTCGGCGTGCGCCGCGCGCCGCAGCGCCGGGCTCGCCGCAACCGCGCTGAGCAGCATGTTCAGGTGCGGTGTGTGCTTGCCGCCAAAGAGAGACGAGGGGTGTCCGGGGGCCACGAGCGGGGTCGGGGTCGTCCAGCGCGCGGCGAGGTGCTCTGCCCGTGCACTGCGCCGCAGCGCGCGGCCGCGACGCAACAGCGGACGCCGTGTCACACGGCACCGACTCAGCCGGCGAGTCAGACTGCGCGCGGGCCCCGGGTCGACGGTCGCGGGGGCGCTCGGGCGCCGTGACGATGCGGGCTGGTGTGCGACGACTGCTCGCGGCGCCACGGACGAGCCACCAGCACGGCACGGAGCCCACGACACACCGGACCCCCCCCCGTGTTTGGGGGGGGCTGTTGTGCGCGTTCGGGGTGCGAGGCGGTGGCGGAAGTGGCTGTGCGGTGGCCGTGTGCGCGAGGGGCGGCGGAGCGCGTTGCGGGCCGCGGAGCGGGCGGCACGGCGCCCGGACTGTGAAATCTGACTGACTGACTGACTGGTGTCTCGTCTCAAGGACGGAGACCGCAGGGCTGCGCGCCCGACTCGCCGGCACCAACACGCAGAAAGAGCGCTGCCTCACACGCGCGCTACCTCAGCTCCCCCTGCTCGATCTCGTCCTCCATCTCCACCTCCTCCACACTCCCCAGCGCGCCGCCCACCCTGTCTGCTATGCGCGTCGCTGCCGCAGCACCAGCCGCGGCGGGACCAAGGCCCGCGCCCGCCTCCCCTTGCGCCGCGGCGCCGCCGCGCCGCTGCGCCCACGCGTCGTCGTCCAGATCGCCGCCCACGACCGTCAGGCCGTGATTTCCCCCCCCCGGGTCGTCCGCGGAGTCCTTCGACACCCCCCCCCGTGCGTGCCCCGCGCTGCGCAGCGAGGACCGCCGCTGCGTCCTCGGGGCCGCGCCGTGGTACCGGTCCGGCAGCGCCGGCTGCCCGCTGAGCCGCCGCGTCGAATCAAACGCCGCTCTGTTGCGCGCCACCTCCACCGGGTCGTGGGGCTTCGGGCACCGGCTCAGCGCGTGGCTGTAGCTCCCGCAGTTGAAGCAGCGGCTGGTCGAGACCATGCCCGCGCTCGGGACCTCCTCGACCGCGCCCGCGCGCGGCGCTTGCGTGGTGGCGTCGTCGCCCTGCGGTGCCGCGTCCGCGGGCGACGGGCCGGCGGCGTCGTCGTCGAGGACGCGCAGGCGGCCTGGCGTGCGCGCGGCCGCGCCGGGGTCGCCGCGGCGCCGCTTCCGGGCGGAGGACAGCATGTTGCCGTCGCAGGCGCGGTCGTAGGTGGGCACCGCGCCGCCGGCGTCCACGGCGTCGCGCTCGAGGGCGGCGTTGATGTCGTCGCGCCCGCGCCGCGCGGCGTGCACCACGACGGCCGGCGCGTGCTGCAGGGGAAGAGTCCAGAGGGACCGAGACGCGTTGCCGACAAACACCGAAACAAGACTATCGTTGTTCGCGAGCTCGGCTCTGCGCCAAACTCCAGCCGGATTCGCGGGGAGCACCACGCGGTCTCACCTCGTCGGGCACGTCCTCGAAGCACGGCAGCGGCGTATTACTCCCCCCCTCCCCGTCGTTGTCGTCCCCCTGAACACCCCCGCACGGCAGGCACGACAGCGCGGGGCGGAACTCCCACCGCCCGGCGACGAGGCCCATGTCCTCCGCGCCGCGCTCGGCGCCGCGCGGGGCCCGGATTGCCGGCGGCGGCGTCGCGGGCGGCCCGCCCGCCCAGGGCGCGGGCGGCTGCGGCGTGTGCCACCCCGGGCCCGCGTCCGGGAAGCCGTTGGCGTCGTGGCGCGGCCACGGAGGCACTGCGCCTGGCGGGGCGGCCCAGGGGTGGTGCGCGGGGGGCGCGCCATACGTGTGTGCACACTGACGCGGTGTCGGCGCGTGGGCGTGCGGCGCGGCCCACTCGACGTGCGGGGGCGGTGCGTAGGGTGTGTGCGGCGGCGGGGGCGTCGCAGCGGCCGGCGCGCGCGCGTGTGTTGGTGGCTGCTCATCTTGCGTGTATTGCTGCGCGTGCCAAGCGGTCCATTCCTGGAGCTTGAGCTCGAGGAGAGCGCGGCTCTTGCGGGTGAGCCCCGCATACTTGACTTGCACGCACGCCAAGCTCAGCGCGCGGGCGGTCGCAGCCCGAACAGCGGCCCTCTCCAGCTCTTCCCGCTCCCTGTCGCGCCGCTCCTGCTCCGCAATGATCGCCATGACGCCTGCAGGCACCAACATACACACGAAAATAGGCTCTCGTGCCTCGAGCCCGCTGAAATGGCCTGTACGCGGCGTCCGGGGCAGGCGCGTGGGAGTCAAGAGGAACAACGAGCGCGAGACTCGCCTGGCTCGAACTCCGGAGTGGCAGCCTCGGCGCCGCCGCCGTGTGCGGACAGGAAGAGTCCGCCCGAGGCATCGCGGCCGCTCGCGCCATCGTACATCGCGGCCCGGGGGCAGCGAGGTGCGCTGTCCGTGCGCAGCCCGCGGCCTCCTCGCACGCGCTTCTGCGGACAATCAGGCCATCCGGTCTCGGTCGCGAAGTCGCTCGTCATGCCGCGCCTGCGTCGCAACGACCCAGAATCGGTTCCCGAACCTTTTGCCATGTTCATAGTTGTACCGCATCTGACGCACCGGCGACGGTCCGCGCCGGGCACGAGTGCGCCGCGCCGCCACGCTCGCGCCACTCGCGGCCCCGCGCGCCCGATCGCTCGCGCGTCACCTCCCAGCGAGCGCTCGTGTCGGGCGTGCTTGACGCGAGACGCTGCACCTGCGTCCGACGCCGGCGAACAGACCGCCCAGTCTGACCAGCGGCGGTCGCACACAGCCGAGCTTCTGCGTTCACAGACGCAGACCCGCCGTTGCGTCGCAGCCAGGGCCGAACAGGCAGCTTTGGTGGCACCGCATCCCCGCTGGTGGCCGGCGCGGCGGCTCCGGGCCACGCGGCGCCCCGCCGGGCGCAGGCACGATGCGTCCGTTGTTGGAGGTACACGCGGGGGACGCCGGGCACCTCGCGGGCGACCACGTCGCGGGAACGGCCGTCTCGGCGGTTGCCCGGCGCGGCCTGATGAGCGCCCGCGTGGCGGGCGTGGGGGAGGGCACGTTCGCGCTGCTCCTGCTGACGCTCTTCAGCCTCATCTTCTGCGCCATCTCGCTGCGCGCGCGACGCACGGGACTCACGTGCGTCGGCGTCGTGGGCTGCACCATCGTCCTGGCAGGTGCGCACAAACTTACGTGCGCGCGGGAACACACCGCGCGCCGCCCCACGCCCCTCCCGCACCCTGCGCGCCCGCTCCGCCACTGTCCACATCGAACACGGCGCGCCAAATCGGAATTTCGTCCAAAACAACGCCACCGCCGCGGCCACAACCTGCTCGCAGCCCACCATGCCCGGCCCACCTCTGTTGCTGTTCCCGCAGTCGTTGTGTCCGTCACGCTGACGAATCCGCGCGGCGAGGACACCTCGGACGTCGACACGGACCCGCACTACGGCTGGCTGGTCGCCATCGCCACCCTGATGTCGTTTGCGGGGTGCGTGGCGTGCTGCGGGTGCTGCATCCACGAGGGGTGGACGCAGCAGCACGCGCGCGCGCTCTCGTACCAGCGCGACGTCCTCGACCACGGAGCCGTGCGGCCGAGGTGACGGCGCGCGTAGGTTGCCGCGGCGGGGCTTGTGGGAGACAGGGGGCAGCGACGGTGGTGGTGGTGGTGTGCGCCGCAGCACCGGATAGCGCGGGGGGGGGGCGGAGCTCGCCGTCACCACTGCCATGTGCGCGGGGTGCGCGGGCTGAGGTCGCGGACCGAACTGTCGTGAACAGAAAAAATAACAAGGACAGAACGGTGAATGTGACACTGTGTTTCAGGTCTCGCGTTGTCACGTAGGACTCCACCGCGTCGTTGCTCTCGGCCACCTTTGCCCTCAACGGGGCAACGGGGCAACGTGACCTCCGGTTCGACACGTTTCGTCAGACTGACTCAGTCTCAATCGGATTGATCACCACACAGGCGCGTGCGGTCCCCCGCGCGCGCGCGTGCGTCACGGCGCGCCCGCCGGCCGCGACGATGCGGCCTCCGCGGGCGTCGCCGCCGCGTCCCCGCGCACCAGCAGCCCCGCCCACGCGTCCAGCGGCTCCGGCGCCGTGCCGTACCACACCCGCCCCCCCGCGACCGGCACGTGCTCGACGCCCTCGAGCGTCAGCGTCTCCGCGCCGTCCAGCCCGAGCGCGCACTCCACGGGCGTCACGCCGTCGCCCCACGCGTCGCCGGACCCCGTGCACAGCTCGTACGACTGGTACGGGAGGTCTTTGTAAAACCCCCCCAGCTTGACCTCCCCGCGCACGGTGCGGCCCGCGACGCACACGTACCGCACGCCGCGCTCCGCGCCCACCTTGTCCGCCGCGTGCACGCACCCGGCGTACCCACCGTTGACGAACTCGAGGTTGCGTTTCGTGACCCCCTCCATGCTGTAGTGCGGCGTGCCGAGCGTGAGCAGCGTGTGCACGCGCGCGGCCGCGTCGTACGTCTTGTTCCAGTACGCCGGACCGCCGCCGAGGAGGATCCGCGCGATCCAGCCGGCGGCGGAGTGCGCGACCAGCGCCACGCGCACCGCATCGCTCGCCGGCGGCGCCAGCCGCGGCGTCTCGGTGTCGGCCAGGAAGCGGCCGGCGTGGCGCGCGCCGAGCGACGCGTTGCGCATCTCGCGCGCGAAGTCCCCGGGGGAGTATTCGGGGAGTCCCTCCAGAGTCAGGGGGGTGTCGGCCAGGGTCGCGCCGTCGCTGTGCGCCTTCCGCAGGAGGTCGATCGACGCGTCGAGCCTGTCGAGGATGGGGCGCATCGACCGCCCGCCCACCGTCGGCAGCCAGTGGTACCACCTGTGGAGACACACCCGGCAGCGTCGTCATCGTCGCCGTCGCATCCAACGGCGGACGCGCGACGACCGCAGAGAGCAGCCGGGGCACAGGCGCCTCGCGTGCTCAAGCTGTGGTTGCTGCACGGGCCGCATCGAGGCGTTTGCGTCGTGCGTGGTCGCGTACCTGATGGGTGCGACGCAGGCGAGGAACCCGCGCGCTCGCAGGTCCGAAGCGAGCTGCTCGAACTGGCTCGCATCGAACAAGAAGCCCGGCGCTATGAGGACCGGCTCGCCGTTCCCGATCGCGCTCGGAACGCCCGGGGACGGTCCGCCCTGTTGCGCTCCCTGCGCGAGCACCCGCCCGCGTCGACGGCCGTGTCGCGCCGCGGAGACGGTGCACAGTCTACTCGGAACGTCGGGCCGCCTTTGCACAAACCGGTCGCGGCGCAGTGCGCCGCAGCGAGCCGCAGTTCTCGCAACATACTGCGACGCGGCTCTGCGCGTCGATGGAACACGCGAGGCAGCGCTCGTCATCACCGCTCCCACGCCATCAATGTGTTCTTCGTGCTGCTGCTGTCGCTCGGCGCAAGGGACCGCGTATGACGGCCGGCGAGGCCACCTTGTGCTGTCAGACCCACACCCACGTCATGTTCGGCCCCCCCAACGCACCGCGAGCAGCCGGGTCTCCCTGCACGGACCGCTCCCGCGCCCGTGGTGGTCCAGCGACGCTCGCGACGTCCGCGCGGTCCGCGCCCGCACGCACGGAACGAGGACGCATGCGTACGTAGGCTGCTCGCGCCGTCGCGCACGCGGCAGTCCGGAGGGCCGCGCAGGCGGTGCGCGCGCCTTGCAGCTCGCGCCTCGGCGACTGGTGCGGGCGGGGGGGTCGGCCAGCTGTCAGGAATCACACCCCTGGGATGTGTGGCTCCTTCCGGCACAAGGGGGTCGCCGGGCGGGGGCGCGGGCGTGTACGGAGCCGCGGCAGCAGGGAGGGGAGCTGCGCGTCTCTATGTCTCGGCGCCGCTCGCGCACTGGGATCGTGCCGGTCGTCATTCTGAGCGTGTTGGCGGTGGCTGTGTTGTGGCACGTTTCGTCGCTGTTCGGGCTCGCGACGCGCCACACGGGCGGGGACTCGAAGAAGATACAAGTGGACCGTGCGTCGCTGCATCGCGAGGAGAAGCAGAAGTCGGAGCAGAACCAGGTGATCGCGGAGAAGATGGCAGGTCCTCCAGAGGACTCGCGCGCGCCGCGCGTCGAGCTGGAGACGAGCATGGGCAGCGTAGAAGGTGCGTGTCCTCCAGTTCATGCAAGCGGCGTGGTGTCTCCGCGCTGCGCGCGCGTGAATGTGGCGCAGCGGGGCGAACTGCGTGCGGTGGGGCCTACGCGGGCCGGAGTGCTGCACCTTTCGCGCGTGCCTGCGCGCGGCTCTCCGCGCATCAAGTTGCACGGAGGCCTGCGCCGGGAGCGCCGTCGTTCCGCGCGCCAGGCGTGCGGCGCGGGGCCCACCAGCTCCGCCTGCAACGACCCGCCGCCCCGCAGTCGAGCTGTACATCGACCACGCCCCGAAGACGACGAAGAACTTCATCGAGCTCACAAAGAGCGGCTACTACGACGGCGTCGTCTTCCACCGCATCATCCGCGACTTTATGATCCAGGTGCCCACCACGCGCGCCCGCCCTCCGCCGCGCCGCCGCACCACCGCCCAAGCATCGCACCCGAGCGCGGCCCGGCCCCTCCCGCACAGCCACCCGGCGCGCGCACGCACGCGCGGGAGCGCGGTGCGACGCGGCGGACCCCCGTGTTGCGCGCGCGCAGGGCGGGGACCCCACCGGCACGGGCCGCGGCGGCGAGTCGTACTTCGGCGACAAGTTCGAGGACGAGTTCACCTCGGAGCTCAAGTTCACGGGCGCCGGCATCCTCGCCATGGCCAACGCGGGGCCGGACACCAACGGCAGTCAGTTTTTCATCACGCTCGCGCCCACGCCGTGGCTCGACATGAAACACACCATCTTCGGCCGCGTCTACACCGGTGCGCGGCCCCGCACCGGCGCGCGGCGCGCACCAGCGCCGCGCTGCAACTTGGCGTGTACGTGTGTGGGCACAGAGTACTATTGAACGGTATATGAATGAATAAATAAATAAATACTATTTGTGGGTATTTTTTTCATGGATGTGTGGGTGTGTGGCTTTGCAGGGATGGGGGTTGTCGAGCGCATGGGCCTCGTGCAGACGGACGGCGGGGACCGGCCCGTGACGGAGGTGAAGATCTTGCGGGCCAAGGTGACCCACGTGGGGTCGTATAAGGGGTAGTATTGGTCGCTGCAGTCAGGAGGGGGGTTGGAAAAAGAGGGGGGGTGTTTCGCGGCATACGGTGCGCTCTGAGCGCCCGCTGTGACGATGCGGATCCTCTGCGCCCGTGCCGCGTGCGGAGGCAGTGCGTGCGTCAGGGGGGGGTGTCTCAGCGCGTCGCGCGCGGTCGTGCAGGCCGACCCCGGCCCGCGCCGAGGGCCGTCGCGAGCTGCGACGCGCGCCACTTGCGCAGTGTCGTTCTCGGCCTGTACCTGCATCGCGGAGTCCGTACCGGAGCTTGCATTGGGGACGCGTAGGCACCTGGGACGCACGTGTGCGAGGCAGGTGGGCGGCTGGGGATTCCAGGCAGCGGTGCAAGCACGATGCAGGGCGCGAGGGTGCACTCGCATTCCGCGGCGTGCGGCCCGGCGGCCAGGTGCGCGCCTGGGCGCCTCGGTGCCAGTGGGCCACAAGGGCGCCTCTGCGTCCCGCGCCGTTCGGTGCGGGCGGGTGCTGCCGCACTCTCTGCGCGAGTGGATGCTTATGTTGGTGGACTACCGGTCTGGCTGCGTGATGAGGGGTGGCGGCCGCGTTGGTGTGCGCGGCCGCCCGGGAAGGCTTGAGACGTAGGGCAAGCGTCTCTGGCGGCGATGCTCGTGGCCACGCGCTTCTAGTTTGACGCTGTTTGCGTTCCAAGTTCTCATGGCTACGCTTCACGTTGTCGGAAACCTGCTCAGATTGCCGTTCCGTGACGCGGGGGGGCGCACAGCCCCTCATCTGCACCAAGTCGTTCGCTTTCTGACCTCCGCGGCGCATGAGCGCGCGGCCCGCCGCCCCGAGCACGTGCACATCCACGCCGATGAATCGCGACTGGCGGCCAACGACGGCGCGCGCCCGGCGCTCGCTCACCGCAGGCCGAAGCGTAGCGTGCGGGCGTCGTCCGCCGCTGGCGCCCCGCAGCCCGCTCAGAAGCAGCCGATGGGCTGGCGCGGGGACCCCCTCCCTCAGAAGTCCCTCCCGCTGCTCCCGGACGGCAAGCCGGACTACTCCTCGATCGACGCGAGCCCAATCAGCAAGGTGCGTCCCGAACAGCATCGCGCCCGCCTCCGCTCGCCCCACGCCCGAGCACAGCGCCGCACGACAAGCACGCGGTGATCCCCGCGCCGCGCAGGTCCTGATGACGACCATTCGGCGGCTCCTGGTCAAGGAGGTCGGGCACGACAGCGACCCGCGGCCCTACGACAACTTCGACGCCCTTATGACCCCCGTGCGCGAGGTCAACGACGGCCCCGGGACCGCGCGCGACGTCGTCGTGCGCGCGAAGCGCGTCTTCGCCGGCATGCTCCCCGGGCTGGGCATCGGGTGGGTAATCCCCTTTTGGCGCGTGGCGGTGAAACCCTACGCGCCCGACTGGTTCCAGCGCTGGGCGTTCTTCCTCGTGTTCCGCACGCTCTTCCCCTGGCTCATGGGCCCGATGGAGGGCACGCAGCACGTCGAGGTGGAGGTGCTGGGCGTGAAGCTGAGGCTCCCGCAGGCGGTGAAGGCCGAGCGGTGCCGGTTCATCGAGACCGCGGGGTGCGCGAGCGTGTGCGTGAATTCGTGCAAGGCGCCGAGCCAGGAGTGGCTGATGGAGGACTTCGGGATGCCGATGCACATCCGGCCGAACTATGACGACTTCTCTTGCGAGTGGCGGTTCGGCGTCGAGCCGCCCCCGCTCGAAGAGGTGCGGCGCGTGCGCGTTGAGAATCCGTTTTTCTCGCGACCACGCGTGATCGATTCGGCTGTTAGGCGTGCGTGGGCGCTGTCGCGTCGCTGCATGAGTTTTTTTTGTTCCTGGACGAAACGAATGGAGGCCTTCTCACCAGTCCGCGACGAAAGCGGAAACATAATAATCATGATAATAATATCGAACAGAGATCGATCCGCGACGAGCGGCGCCCCTGAATCCGCGTGCGACAACCTCGAACGCCAACCCCTCCTCTCTTCAACCCTCTGTTGCTCGCAGGACGAGGCGGTGCTGGTCCCGTGCTTCTCGCAGTGCACGAGCGCGGTCAAGGGCGAGAAGGACGCCGCGCGGCAGGTCGCGCGTGCGGCCCGCGGCGTCGGCATCGAGGGGGGTGTTGACAAGTACCCGGGGGAGTCTCTGGAGGCGATCGCGGCGCGGGCGTCGCAGGCGGCGATCGAGGACGCCACGCGGGACGGCACGGCGCTGTCGGCGGAGTCGCTGCGGGAGCGCGTGGACGAGGTGGGCCGGCAGAGCAAGTGCTGGAGCGTGGGGGAGGCGCGCGTGGCGACGCTCGAGGATGTCGGACGGCCGTCGAAGCTGTGAGAACGGATGGCGCGGCGCGTGCGTGCTGGAGGTCACGGCTGGAGGTCTCTATGACTCGATGAATATCATTCGGTGCGTCCAGTCTGGTTGTGACGTCAATCTTAATCTATTTTTTCTCGTACCAGGCTGAAGATGATTGGACTCGCGTGGACTCGCGGTTCGAGGAGATGCACGAGGACTCTTGAGGCCCATCACGGCGAGGTGCTGATTGAATCCACGAAGTTAGTGCAAGGGTGCAGGCGGCAGCACCAGGGACCGCTGCAGTGGGACGGGGGGCCGGCTGCACGCGGGAGATGATGCCCACAGCTCGGGACGTGGACGCTCGCCGTGTCGATCACACAGCGGTCACGCACAAATACGCATCAACTTAGGAAAGGTCCCGCGCTCCGTTGGCGGCAGTTGCGCGCGTCACGCCTGCTGCTGCACGCGCTGCCGCTCGCGCGCCTTGTTCACGTAGATCGTCACGAGCTTCAGCTGCGAGTCCGTCAGGTGCGACGCCAGCAGCGGCCCCAGCACGTCGCCCGCAGTCACCCACATGTCCACCATGGCAAACACAGCCGCCTTCCGCAGGTCCGCGCTCGGACTCGACGCCGCGACCGTCAGCGGCATCATGCCCTGCCGGGCGAACTCCAGCAGCTGCTCCGGGTGCAGCCGCTTCGACAGCCGCCCGATACACCGCACGCCCGCCTTCAGGACCGCCGACGGGAACTCCGCCGCGGGACTCCCCCCCTGAGGCGGCAGGCACCGCAGGACGACCGCCATGCACGCGCCGGGGTCCTGCTTGCCGCACACGGCCTCGAGCGCCTCGTCCGCGAGCCCGGCGACCTCCCCGGCCGCGGCAGGCTCGGCGGCGGCAGCGGAGAGCAGGTCGGGGAGCAGGGTGCCGAGGAGGGGCGCGGCGGCGCGGGGCTGCCAGACGGCGACGTCGCGGAGGGCGACGGCGGCGTGCTCGCGGACGTCGGCGGGGTGCGGCGCGGAGAGGAGCGGGCGCAGGAGGGAGAAGACTTGCGGGAGGTACCTCTGCCAGAGCTTGGACGGGGCCATCTTGGCTAGCTCTGCGGGGGCGCGGGACGGTCGGTGGGTGGGGGCTGGGAGGCGGTGGTGGCGGGGGCTGCCAGAGACCATGTTTGCTGCAAACACACATGGTAGTATTGCCTTATTGCCTTTCAAGCAATAAGAACCGAGACGATGAATTGAGAAACAGCGATCGGAACGGATCCGCTGCTCCGTGATCGGAATCGTGGTCGGCGTTGCGCGGCGATGCGTGGCACGACGCAACGGGCCGTCGCTATTCGTGGGCCGTCAGGGAGAGGGTGGCTCGCTCACCTGCCAGGAACAGCAGCTGGTGCAGCAGCGGGAGCCCCTGCGGCCGCGCGGGGCTCGCCAGCACCGCGATCGCCTTCTGGAAGTGCCCCTCCGCCACGCCCTCGTCCTGGATGTCCGCCTCCCTGACCGGAGTGTAACTGATGGGGGAATACCCCCCCCCGGCGCCGTGGGGGGCGCTGTTGTTCTGCGCGTACTGCGACCCGCCCGCCACGCGCTCCTCGTGCGCGCGCTCCGCCTCCGCGGCCGCGCGCGGCGCCCGCAGCGCCGGCGACGCCGCCGGAGACCCCCCCCTGACCGTGTCCGAGTTGCTCTCCGTGAGCCCCGGCGTCCAGCCGTGCTGCGTCGGACTCGTCTCCGCGGACCCGACCGAGCCGCTCAGCACGCGGTCCAGCTGCGCGGTCGCGCTGCTCGGCCCCACGCCCGCGCCGCCGCCCTGCGCCGGCCACAGGTGTGCGGGCATCCCCTGCCGGCTCTGGAACACCCGGAGGTTCGTCTCGATCGTCGGGCACGCCGGAAGGAGGTGCGAAAGCAGCGCAGCGCGCTCCCGCGGCGCCGCGTACATCTCGATGAAGGCCGGAATCGCCTCCGGGTCGGCGGCGTCGAGCGCCACAAACGCGTCCACCGCCGCGTTGCGCAGCGCGCGGTCCTTGTCGCCGAGCATGGGCGTGGCCGCGGCGATCCACGAGCGCACCATGCTCGGCGTGAGCCGCGCGTCGGTCGGGGCGTCGCCGGAGAGGTACCGCGCCGACCACGTCAGCACCGCCACGCGCCCGCGGCTCTGCTTGATCGCCGAGAGCGACCGCGCGGTGGCCGGGACGACCAGCGGCGGCCCGAAGCGCTCCGACGCGGCCGCGAGGAGCCGCTCCGCGGCGCTCGCGTGCGGCTCGCGCCCCGCGGCCAGATGCCGGAAGGCCTCCGGGAGGAGTCTTTCCGTCTGCATCTGCGTGCCGTCGAACTCCTGGTTCGACGTCGCGTGCTCCACGAACGCCGTCGCGGCCTCCAGCCCCGCCGCCGACACCTGCCGGTGCGCGTCCGCGATGCTCTCGAGCAAAAACGGCGCCACGCGCTCCGCCGCCGAGGCCAGCTCCGCCGCCGCGCCGGGCGGGCCGTGCGCCGCGAGCTGCTTCAGCCCGCGCAGCAGCTCGCGGCGGTCCTGCCACGCCACCGTCCCGCGCTGCGACTTGAGCTGCAGCACCTCTATCTCGGCCAGTGCGTCTTTCGCGGTGTGCACCTCGGACCGCGCGCTGCGGTGGCTGTCCTCCGCGGCCTGCCGCGACGCCGCGGCCGCGGCGAGGTTCTTCCGGCGGCTCTGGCCCGCGGGGGCCGTCGGCGGCCGCGGCTTCGGGCCCGGGCTGGCCGCGGCTTTCCGCGCCCGCGCCGGGGCACCGGGACGCGCCGCGCGCCGCCGAGCGCCGGCGCGGCGCCGGCGCGGGGCCGCGGGCTCCCCTCGGACGCGGGCAGCACGTGGCCGGGCGTCACGCGCTCCATCGGAGCGTTGTACGGCATCGGCGACCGGTCGACCGTCTCCGCGCGCGGCGCGCCGCCAATGCCCCCGGCCGCCACCATGAGTCGCTCCTCCGGCTCGAGGAACCCGGTCGTCTTCGGGACCTCCTCGCCGCTCCCCGCGCGCCGCGGGCCCGCCGAACCGCCCTGCCAGGGCGTGCCCGCGCGCAGCGCCGCGGCGGCGGTGGACACGTCGGGGGTCTGTGGGGCGTCGTCGGACGCGAGCACGCCCGCGGCGCCCTCGGCGCGCATCCGCGCGGCCGCAGACGTCCCGGGGGGGTCTGCCACCAGCACCCCCGTGTCGTAGCTCTCCGCACTGGCGCGCCCCGCTGTCAGGCTGGGGCTCAGGCCGCGGTCGGCGCCCCGCTGCCGCAGCTCCTGCTCCGCGCGCCGCCGGAACGCCTCCGCGTCGGCCTCCGCGCTCTCGATGCAAAACTCCCCCCCGGGGACCTCGGACTCCCCCCCCCCGCGCGCCCGGCCGGCGCGCTCCCGCTCCGCGAGGAGCGTCGCGGTCGCGGCGGCCGCGCGCGCCTCCTCGGCCTTGATCGTCGCCATCGCGCTGAAGACGCGGTCCGCCGTCACGTCCGACGCGTTCGGCGTGATCAAGTAGTCCATCGGCGACGGCGAGTTGGCAATCTCCTCCAACGACAGCGGCGGGCGCCCGAGCGTGCGCTGCGCCGACTTGAGCGCGCTGCGCACGAGGTCCTCGGTCGCGGCGTCCGGCGACGGGCCCGACGGGAACGCCGGCGTCCCCGGCGGCTGCTGCGGCGGCTGCGCCGCGGCGGCGGGGGGGGTCTCGCGCTGCGAGTGCGCGGTGGTGTTGCTGCTCGAGTCCGGGGCGCGCGAGTTGCGGCGGCGCTTCTCGCGCAGCGCCGCGAGGCGGTCCTGCGCGGGGCTCGCCGTCGCGGACCGCGGCTGCGCGATCTGGAACAGCCGGGGGGTGCGCCGCTGACTCCCCCCCGACGACGTCGCGCTGTCGCCGCTGCCCGCGCTGTCGCTCAGGGCGTTCGCGCCGTCCGAGCGCTCGAACGCCGGCGCGGCGCGGCCGTTATGCGCCGCCGGGAGCCGCGCGGGCGGCGCCGTCTGCGGCCGCACGCCGCCGCTGACGCCCGGCAGCGACCTCCGCTGGGGCTCCGACGCGCCGTTCGAGCGCGCCGGCGGCGCGGGCGCGCCGGACCCGCCGGAGTTGCGGCTCGCGCCGGACCGCGCGCTGCTGTGGTGCGCGGTGCCGTCCACCACCCGTTTGAGCTTGGCGTGGAGCTGTGGGTCCACCTTGAGGACCTGGGCGAGGAGCGGCCGCGTGGAGACGGGCGAGACGGCGGCGTAGATCGCCAGGGCTTCGCGGGCGTGCTCGCGGACGGAGGCGGACGCGTCCTGGCAGCCTGCACGGGCGGGTTGGAGTGGTGCGTGTCGGCGGCGAAGGGGGGGGTGTGGAGGGGGGGGTGTGGGCGTTTGGCGCGGGCGGGGGCGGACCTGAGAGGAGCGCGGCGTTGAGGGCGTCGGAGGCGCGTTCGAGGACTGGTGGCGGCCAGGAGTCGACGACGAGAGTGAGCCAGCTGGCCGCAGCAGCTCTGAGGTCCTTGTGCTTGCCCTGGACGGCGTCGCAGACCGCCTGGGCGAGGCGGGCGCTGTAGCAGGTCGCGAGGATTTCCCTCGCGCACGCGTCCGCGCTGTCGCTGATCACCTGGATGGTAATGACGGCGAGTTTGCAGAGGACGGGGAGGAGGTGCACCGCCAGCGGCTCGAACGACGCGCTCATGGACCGCGCGAGGCACGCGACGAGCTGGGTAGCCTGCGGGCACGCAGAAACGCGCGGCGTGTGCCTCGGAAGACCGCGCGGGAGCCCGCGGGGCCGGTGCGGTGCTGCGGCGTGCAACGGTTCACGTCCGCGCGCGCTCCGAAGCGGCTTGCGCGCCTGCGCGCGGGCGGGGGCGGCTGGCGCGGACGTATGCGCGGTGCGTGGGCGCGCACCTGCTTCGCGACGGCGGAGCGGCGGTCCTGTAGCTGCACTGCAAGCGGGCGTTTCAACGCCTTGACGAGCGTGGCCAGGGCCTGCGCCGCAGCCGGCCCCCCGCCCTCCACGGCGCTCTCGATCTTCTCCATGGCTGCGAGGACGTCGCGCGGCGCGCAAGCGGGTCAGCGGGAGCGCGCGCGGGCCGCCGCGCCCTGCACTCCGCCGAGGCACTCCAACGGCGAACGCGGCCCGAAACCGCCGCTCTGACGCCCGCTCTATCGATTTCTCTGGCCTTGAAGCATCGAATAAGGCACGGAAGCGCGCAGACGAGGGCGGGATGCCGCGAACCGGCCGCAACGGGCGCATCCAAGTCAAAGGGAGAGGGGCGCTCTAGACCGCGCGCACACGTCAGCACAGCCCGACAGACCACGGCGTCAATCGGTGCGGAACGACAGGCGCTCTCGCTCGGCTGCCGGGGCGTCTGACCTGCACATCGCGCCTCCCAGTCCTCGCCCGTGGCGCTCAACCGGTCCAGGCCCCGGGTGATCTCCGCGGCGATTTGCGACGCCTCAGCGCCGAGCTTCGGGCCGCCCTGGCTCCGCCCCGACTCGGGCGTCGGCGGAGTCATCGGGCGCCGCGGGCCCATCGCGACGCAGCCCCGCACGGGCCTCCCCGCGCCTGCGCCACCCGCCAAACGCTCTCCCGCCCAGGAACCCGCAGCGCTCCCCCAGCGGCCCCGGACACGGACCCCCGCGACACGACAACCCGCCGGGGAACGCCCTCCCGCAAACGCTCTATCCGCACTTGCTCCAGGCGCTCGGCGGGGAAGGTCGAAACTTGCGCTAAACACACGCAGTCGCTTTCGGGTCGTTGGCGCGGGAAGCGAGCGACGTTGCCGGTGCGGGCCGGCCGCGCACGGACTTGAGCGGGGCGTGGCGGGCCCGGGCCGCGCAGGGGGGTCGAGAAAGCTCCCCGGGGGGGGGCAATGAAGCTCGGCGGACTCCCCTTCCGGTGCCGCGCAGCGTGCGGTCGATGCTTCGCGCCGCGCCGGCGCGGACCAGAAGAGGAACTACGGGGGTAGCTCGGGACGGCGTTTCATGACCGTGCGCCCCATCGCTGCGCCCGCAACCGGCCGCCTGGTCTGCGCCGCTCCGCCTGGGGTACAAGCGCGGAACACGCACGCGGGGCGGGCGGCCGGGCGCCGGGTCCACGCGAGCGCGATGAGGGACATGGCTATCTATCAGGTGAGCAACTTCGTTCTGCTGCGCGACGACGGTGTGCGGAAATCCAGGCCTGGTTGCCGCCCTGTGGTTGACACGCACCTTCCGGCGCCAGTTCCGCCCCGCGAGGCTCGCGCGCACGCACAGGCGCAGATCACGGTCTTGGCGAGAGACCAGTGCCACTAAGAGTACGCGAACCCGTCGCTCGCAGCGCCAAGTCCCGGTATCATACTCTCACTGGATGTCGCGTTGCGCGCCGATGCCGGGCCGCAGGTGGACGCGTTTACGCGGAATCCGTTCAAGGGCAACCCAGCGGCCGTGGCCCTGCTGCCGGAAGAGCTCTTGCCGATGTCAGGCACGTCCTGCGACTCCTCAACTCGCCAATCAATGAAACACGACTATCATCACGTGCCACTTCCCGACTAGAGACAGCATCTCCATCCCTCGCACCAGGCCTCCGCGCAGCATGCATCCACCACCCAACGGTACCGACCCCCCTCGCTACAGCAACAGCCCCCCCGCGCACACGACACCTCCGCTGCTGTGCCCGGCCCACGCCGCAGACGCGCTGCGGCAGGACATCGCCGCGGAGATGAACCTCGCGGAGACCGCCTTCCTCGAGTGCGACGGCCCGGGGGACTTCCAAAACTCCCCCCGGTTCAAGCTGCGTTGGTTCACCCCCACCATGGAGGTGCCGCTGTGCGGGCACGCCACGCTGGCCTCCGCGGCCGCGCTGATCACGGCCTGCAACAACTCCGCGCCGGAGCTCACCTTCTCGACGCTCTCCGGGGACCTCGTCATCCGCCGCGGCGGTGCGGAGCGCGACGGGAACGCGGTGGCGCTGCGTATGGACCTCCCGCACATCCCGCCGAGCGACGCCGTGCCCGAAGCGGCTGCGGCGCTGGCGCGGGCGGCCGCGGGCGGGCTGCCGGTCGCGGAGGTGGTGTTTGCGAAGCCCCTACGGTACCTCATCGTGGCCCTGGAGGCAGGGAGCGTCACGCCCGAGGAGCTCGCGGGCGCGCAGGTGCGTTGCCCGCGCTGGATCGCGTGCATGAAGAAGTAGTAGATCGCGGCGCGGTCCGCGGCGCTGCGACGCGGGGTGAAGGATTGATTCGTGACTTTGGAAGTCGTCGTCGGTTCAGAAGACGCCCCCGGCCTCGTTCGCGCCCGGATCGCGCGCACGGTTTCGTCAATTATTGTTATATCGGCTTGCGCGCAGGTCGACGTCGGCGCGATGAAGGCGGCGTATTCGGGCGCGGACGGGGCGATCGGGGCCGTGGTGCTGGCCTGCTGCGACCCGCGCGCGGCCGGGACGGTCGCCTCGCCGCACGTGTTCTCGCGGTTCTTCGCGCCGTGGATGGGCGTCGAGGAGGACCCGGTCACCGGCAGCGCGCACTCGGTCCTGGCGGCGTACTACGCCGAGAAGCTCGGTCGGACCACGCTGGCGTGTAGGCAGTGTTCTCGGCGGTCGGGGGACCTGACCGCGGAGGTGGCGACGCAGGTGAGTGCGCTGCCGCGATGGTGGAGCTGCGGCTCCGTTGTGGTTCTGGCGAGGGGCCGGCATTCGAGGCGGCTTGATTGTTTTTGGCGTTTGTGCTTGATGGGTTCCGGCGAGCTGCCGGTGCGGGTTTGTGTGGCGCAGGAGGACGGGTCGAAGCGCGTGGTGCTGTCGGGGGACGCGGTCCTGGTGCTGCGGGGGACGCTCGCGCTGCCAGACGGCAGCTGACCTGCGCTCCTGCGTGAGCCGCACATGCACGACCCGGACAGTGATGACGAGACAGAGGTGAAATACGTGCCTCGCGGGGGTCGAAATGACCTCCAAGTGAGTCGGGCTCACACGAACAGACGTCAGCACGCCTGCGCGCACTCCAGCCGGCCACCGCACCCAACGCACAGGCCCTCCCCGCCCCCGCACGCGCCCCCCGCTGCGCCGGCCCCGCCGGGCGCCTCGTCGTCGCTGCTGCCAGCATCCGCGGCGCCCCCTCTCTCTCCGCCGCGCCCCCTGGCGCCCGTCGCGAAACCGCTCTGGGCAACAACGGCGTCGCGCAGACCGCGGCAGGGCCCGCAGAAGGCCGCGTCGGGGCTCCACAGCGACCCGGGGAAATGCTTGTACCCGTTACCTAGCTGCATCGCACCAGATTAAACCTCCTCTCATGTCTTACTCGTTTATATTTATATCTTTGTATTTGTTTCTTTGTTCATTCGCCGACACACACACCCGTTGCCTTGCGATCCACAGCACGCTCTGGGCAGCACGAATCCACCCGCGAACGAGCACGACGAGAGCAACAGCACGCCCGCTGCGAAAACACCCCCTTCCGTCAGACACACCAGCGCGCCGCACCTCAAAGGCCCCCCCGTCAAAGTGCCGCGCCAGCACGTCCTCGGGCTCCCGCCCGTCGTCCACAATGTACGTCCCGTGCCGCGCGTGGCTCCCCGGCCCGTCCCTTCGCAGCTCCTTGATCTGCAGCTGCCCGAGTTTGTCTTCAATAAACCCCCCCCTCTTAATCTTGCCCTCGGGCCCACTCCCCCCCCCCAACACGAAACTGCAGCAGCCGCGGCCCGGGCACGTCGCCTGTCACCAGGCCCGCCGGCGTCCGTCGAGAGCGGATCGGTCTGAGCGCTCCGAGAGCCCCCCCCTCCACGGGTGAGGTCTCGCGTGGAACGCACCTGCGGTAGTGCTCCGTCGGGCAAACGTGCGTCGAGTCGAGCCAGTACGCGAGCGGGCGGAACCGCAGGTGCGCCGCCGCGGGCACGCGGCGCTCGGCGCCCGCCCACGCGAACCACTCCGCGGGCGACACGGGCATTGTCCCGCCGATGCGCCCGTGTACGCGGCGCGCGTGGTCCGCCATGGACGTGTTGAGCAGCGCGGCCATCTTGATCGCGGCGTCCGCCGCGACCGCGTCGACCAGGCCCGCGACGTCGAAGGGGCGCGCGAAGTTGCGGTCGTGCTGCACGACCATGACGTACGGGGTGGACACGTGGGCGAGCCCGGCGCGCACCGCGAGCCCGAAGCCGTGCCGCGTGTCCAGCTCGACGACCGCGGCGCCGCCCGGGAACCGCCCGGCGTCGCCGCATATTCGACGCAAACGTGTCTTGTACTCTGCGGAGAATGACGGCGCAGAGACGCAACGAAACGTCTTCGGAAACAGTCTCGCGGCTCATCGTGCCTGGGCGGAGGACGGCAGGGCGTGGCGGCGTGTGTCTGGTCGAACCTGCGTAGTCGCTCAGCCCCTGCTCTCCAGGCACCATTCCGCCCCGGTACAAGGCCTTGACGCCGCGGCCCTGGATCTCGTGGTCCTGCTTGACGTTGCATCCGTCGCACACCACGACGAGCCTGCACTGTTCCAGGCCCGGACAGAACGGAAACGTGCCCAGCACGGCCTCGATGAGTGCTGTGGAGGGGTTGCTCCGCGTTGCTGACGTGGTCAGGAGGACTGTCAGGCGGTCCTGCAGCGGAGCGGACGCTGACGCTCCGCGCATCCACTCGGGGGCATCGGAGCGGCCTCGCTCGACGTCTGCGCGTAGAAGGAGGACGGTGACTGCTGGAGAGCGGCACCACAGGAGAAGAGGGCGAGCACTGCGGTGCCGGGGCGCGACGCACCGACGCGACGTCGGACCAGGGCCCGAACACTGTCGAGTATGACCCCGGGGTCTGCCGGCGACGAACACTCCCCCCCGTGGCCGGGCCCGGGAGCCGCCTGGCCTCCGCCTGCGGCGGGCATGGGCCTGCCGAGCGCGTCCCTCGCTGCGAGGTCAAATGCGCGAGCCGCGCACACAGCTGAGAGCGACCCGCCGGCGCAGGCCCGGTCCAGGCCGGCGCAGGACGGACCTCGCGCACCCTTCTATGCCACCCGCAAGGATTGTGCTGACGCGTACACTTTGTGTGCGCCCTTGCGCAGCCCTGGCGACGCGCACAGTGGCGCGCAGCGGCAGCACGGCGGCGCACTAGCCTGCTCCGCAGATCTCTCCCCGCGCGTGGGGACTGAAACGAGTAAAACACATGTCAGGTGACACTCCCCCTCCGTCTCTGCCGGGCCTCGCCGGCGCCCTTCGGCCCGCGCCGCCGCGCCCCGCCCGCAGGCGCTTCGCGGCCATCTGCCTCCCGCGTCCACCAGCGATGTCGGCGGGCGCGCAACAGGCGGACGTCGGCCTCACAGAGCTGCGGTCCGCGCTGCGGGCCTTCGCGGACGAGCGCGACTGGGCGCAGTTCCACACGCCGCGCAACGTCCTGCTCGCGCTCGTGGGCGAGGTGCGCGGCGCGCCCCGCGGCACCGCACCGCTCGTCGCGTCCCCGCCGCCGTGGTGGCCCTGGGCTCCCGTGCTCCCTCGCTCGGCAGAGGCGCCGTCCCAGCGCATTGCCGAACGAGCAATTGGAGGTTGCTGTGGCCGCAGGTTGGCGAGCTGAGCGAAATATTCCAGTGGCGGGGCGAGGTGGAGCCCGGGCTGCCTGGGTTCAGCGAGCGAGAGCGAGAACACGTCGGGGAGGAAATATCGGACTGCCTGTTGTACCTAGTGAGGCTCGCTGATCGATGGTGAGGCGCACGAGGCGAACCCGCACCTCGCTCGCTGTCCGGCGCCACGGGACGGCGCGTTCGGAGCGCGCGCTTGTGTCACGCCTCCAGAGTCCTGTCGCGACGACAGGAGCGGTTTCGTTCGTCCGCGCTGCAGTAATGTCGACCTCGCGCAAGCTGTCCGCGCGAAGATGGCCAAGAACGCCGCGAAATACCCCCCCTCCAAGTGCGCGGGGAGCAGCGCCAAGTACACGGAATATGCGCCTGCAACAGGGGACGAGAACCCGCAGGAGCGAGCTTGAGCAGCGGCGCGGGGGCCCACGAGGGCGCGCTGCACGCGGGGCCGCGAGGACGCGCTCGTTGCCGCGAACGGCGGGCAGGTTTATACCACTTTTGTGAGACTGCCACACATGACGCGCGCCCGCGCGCTGAGGTCGAGGGACCGCGGCCGCGCGTGCGCGTCACAGTGTTGCCAGGAATAAGAAGAAGAAGCTGAAGTGACTGTCGCAAGTCTTTACCGCTCGAATCATCGCGGGTGCGTGCCCGCGTGCCGCGCACAAGTGGCCTAGACACAGCGGGTCCCGCGGAGGCGGCCCCCGGCGGGGAGCGCCATTCTGCGCCGCCCCACGCCCTCGCAGTGACAGTGTGTCCATTCCTGCGCGAAGCCGCGAACGTCACCGTCTTTGAACCGCGCAACGTCCGCAGAACTCTGGAACGTGAGCTGGCCGCAGCGGACGTACAAGCGGCCTCGAACGCCCCCGACGCACGGACAACACCTTACAGCAGTCCTTCTGTCTGAGAATTTTTGGCTGAAAACACTCGTAGGCCACCTGGATGGGCGACTTCGTGGGCGACCTCCTGTGCGCTCTGTGCTGCGTCACCGCCGTCGGTGCAGGCGCAGCGGCCGCGAGCAACCGCAGACGCCAGAACCAGCCGGTACGAAGAGACACTCCGCGGCGCCTCGCTTCTCGGTTCGCGCCACATACGCGCTGCGCGGCACGCACTAAGCCATCACCCCACACACGCCGACGCCCTCACCCTCCCGCGGCGCCCGCGCCTCGCACCACGCGCAGATGCACGTATACCACGGACATCCCGGCGGTAACTACTACCATGGCGGGTACGCCCAGCAGGGCGCGTACCCTGGCACCTACGGCGGCGGGTACGCAAACCAGCGCCCGCCACATGGGCCGCCCGGTGCGCAGCCGCAGTATGCGGCGCCGGTAGGGTACCCGTCGGGCGGCGGGCAGGGCTGGCGCGAGACGGCGCGCGCAGCGGGAGGGGGCCCGCCTGTCATGGGGTACCCAACAGGAGGGGGGGGGTCGCCGCAGGGGGGGGCTGGGCGGAATACGGGCCTAGGCAACCGCACACGCGCGCGGCCCGTCGCGAACAACGACCCCCCGATGTTCTAGGCCCGTCGCTGGCTGTAACACGCACCCGCTGCTCTTGTTTTGCCTCCGCGTGCGCGTGCTGCCGTACGGGCGTGTGCGTCGCGGGGGCGCAGGTGCGCCTTGGCAGAGGAGCTGGCCCTCGAGTCCGCGCCGACACGCGGAACGAACGAGCGTCGCGGCAGCAGACGGGCTCCGTCCGTGGCCCGAGTCGCGCCTGGCAGCAATGCGGCCGTGGTGCTGTCGTCGGGGGCGCGAGAGGCACGATGGCGGGCGTACGCGCGGGGCGACGGAAAGGGAGGACTGCGGGGCCCCGTCAGATGCCAGCGGTGTTCCCCGAGTCGAAGATTCCCTTCTGAAAAAAGAAGAAGAAGATCAATCTAAAGAGAGCGTCCGGATTGCGGCCCCCAACCCCGGCTCCCGTTCCCACAGGCCGAGCACATCGCCCGCGCCCTCCTCGCCGACCGCCCGGCTGCAACACACCGGCAGGCCCACCAGCACTGTCCTGTTACGTGGCACAGCCTCACAGGACGACCAATCAGCCTTACACCCCCCAACCCCACCCTCCTCAACCCTCGGACCCCACCTCCGCCTTGCGCGCTCGCCGCGCCTCCCGGTTGCGTTGCGTGCGCGTGCGCGGCGTGTTGGCCACGTGCGGGTGCCGCCCCGGCCCGCTCAGGTTCGCCGTCTTCGGCCCGCCGACGCGCACCAGCCCCTCGCGCAGCCTGTGTTCTACCTCCGCGAGAGTCCCCTCCGCCTCGACGAGCCCGGGGAACGCGTCGTCGCCGAACCGGTTGCGCAACCACATCCACAGCGAACACACCTTGTGCATCGCCTCCAGCCGACTCAACCCCTGCATCAAAAACCAAAGGAAACGGGACGTCATGATGTCTCTTATTATTCATATTGATACAAGTAATGATTCATGACGATTCCGTCCGTCGCAAACACAAGCGCAGTCGTGCCCGCTGTCTTGCCGCCCCGACGGCTGCGCGTCCCGCCTCAGGCGTCGCGCACGCACCACGGGTCCCTGATTCATCGCCACCGGATCCGAGAGGTCGATTGCGAGCGGCACGGGGCCGCCTTCAGCGTACGCCCGCGCAAAGGCCCAGAACGCGTCGACGACGTAGTCGTCGCGCAGCGACACCGGCGCCGTGCTGAACCGGTAGCAGTCCGACAGACTCAGCCCGCGAATGCGATCCAGCCCGCGCGCCAGCAGCAGCTCCGTTTCGCTGTTGCATACGAAGTAGCGCCCGCCGTCGATCGCGGTTTCCGTCTCGAAGCGCCTGAGGACCGACGAGAAGCGCGTGTCGCCGGGGAGCTGACTCGCAAACGCTTCGATCTGCTCGAATTCCGGCCGGAGGCCCGCGCGCGGGGTGATCATGTCGGACGGCGGCACGGCGAGACAGGCGCGAATGTGCGCGAGGTCGTTGTGCGAGAGGGCGGTGACGCGGCCGGGGCCTTCGTGGCGCGTGCCGCGGCAGCCTGCGCGGCCGGCGATCTGCTTGACCGCGCTCACGGAGAGCGGCGCGACCTCTCCCCTGCGCGCGGGCGGGAAGAAGAGGATTGGTAGTACCACCTGTGTGTGGTGTTGCATTCTTCGCGTCGTCAGCGATCAGGCTCTGGTGTGAAGCAACGCGCAGGTCGCGCGGCGGTGGCGGGTGGGCGGGGGGGTGTATTTGGGGGACTCACGTCTCTGCGTCGTACTTTTCGGTGGTGGAGAAAATAATGCGCCGCAGCGTCGGGAGGTTCAGGCCCATGCCGATGGCGTCGCTCGCGACGAGCACGTCCCACCCGTTCCCCTCGTTGCTGAACAGCTTGGCCTGGAACCGCCGCGCGTCCGGCGGCAGCGCGCCGTACACGACGCACACGCGGCGCCGCGCGTCGCGCTGGATCGCCGCGGCCCGCTTGTAGATCGCGGCGCGGCTGAACGCCACCACGCAGTCGCCCGCCTGCACGTCCGCGAGCGACCGCAGCGGCTGGTCGTCTGCGATCAGCTCCGTGCGCCGCTGGTATTTTTTTACTGTCAGTTCTTCGTCGAGCTCTTTCGCGATGTTCTGCAACAGCGCGAGGCAGGACTCGTCGCCGCAGACGTGGATCTCGCTCGCCATGACGCCCAGCAGCGCGCGCGTCCAGGCCCACCCCCTCTGGCCGTCTCCGATCATTTGTATTTCGTCAATCACCGCCACGTCGAACATCCTGTCTGTCGGGGCCATCTCGACCGTGCACGACAGGTGCGTCGACCCCTCGACATCCTCCACCTCCTGCACGCCACACACGCACCGCAACCACACACAACGTCACCGGGCGCGCCAGCAACCACGACACCAGGACTCACGGCGCCGCGCAAGCTCAGCTCAGCTCAGCTCAGCTCAGCTCACCTCTCCCGTGAGGAGCCCGCAGCGCACGCCGCGCCGGACGAGCGCGTCGCGGCCCTCGGCCGCCAGCAGCCGCAGTGGCGCCAGAAACACCCCCGACTCAGCCCCCGCCAGCGCCTCCAGCGCCTGCGTGGGCACCAGGGCAGCCCGTCACGTGACCGCGATCCAGGAGCTCATCGGCACGCTCATGCGGCGCGACCTGCCCCGTGGAGCGCACCTGGTGTGTTTTGCCAGAGTTCGTCGGGCCCGCGTGGTACGTGATGCGGCGCAGGATCGCGCGCGCGGACGGGTACCACAGGTGCGGCTTGGTCATGTCCGCCGTAAGGACGAGCTCGCGGTAGGCCGCGATCTCGGCTTGGTGGCGGCTGACCACGTACCTAGCAAACAATGGGAACAACACCTTCACGCGGCTCCTGCGCGAGGGCATCGCCGCGAGGTCCGCGGCCATCTGCGCAGCAGGAGAAGAACCATTCAGACGTCGCGACGTCGCGACCTCCGCGCGTGACGGCCGCGCGCTGCGCCGTGTGAGGCCGTGCGCACCTTGGCGGTGCCGGTCTCGGCGAGCCACGCCGTGAAGCCCTGTGTCGCGCGCACGAAGAGCGCCGAGCTCACGTACAGCGCGATCGCCTGGTCGCGAGCCCACCCTTTCGCCGCCAGCTGTCGCCCGCTCTGTACCAGCCACTCCGTCTCCCGCTGCGACAGCTCCGGCCGCCGCCGGTCCTCCGCGTCGAGCTCCTCGAACGACGGCCAGCCCTCCGGCAGCTCCGTCGGCGGCCGCGATGCAGCCGCCGCCGCCTCCGCCTCCCTGCGCGACCGCCGCTGCGTCGGTCGCGGCGCGGTTGCGGCGGCCTGCGTCTTCCATTCCGGCTCCTCGTCCTCGGCCTCCCCGGCCCCGGCCAGCCAGTCCTCGGGGCCCGCGGCCGCGCCCGGCCAGCCGCTCGGCGGGGTCGACGGCGCTCGGCGCATGCGCCCCAGCCGCGGCTGCCCTTTTCTCACGTCTGCAACGCCGTGACGTTGTTTGTCCGCGGGCTCGCGCGCGGAGGAGGCCGCGGGCGAGCGCCCGAGCGGGCCGCGCGGTGACCGGCCCCGCGGCGCCGCGGAGCTGTCGGAGGGTCGCCTGTTGGTGCATGTGCGTCCCCTGGCCCCGTTCCGGCTCCGCGACCGGCCGCTCGATCTGTCGCGTGCGGTGCCGTATCCGCGACGGTACCATGCGTCCAGGACGCGGTACGACTTGATACGCCGCCCGACGCATGGCGACAGGGCGGGCGCAGTCGGGTGGTGCTCACTCAGGGCCGCCGGAGCCTTCCCAGAAGCCGATTTATGCCGATTTTCCGCTGCCGTGGTCTCCAGAAACGCCGAAAGGCGCCGCAGCGCCGCCCTGCAGCTCCTCATCCCCGCCCCAGCGCCGCGTGCGGGCCCATCAGGTGCAATGGGTGCCCTTGCTCGTGCGCGCTGGAGGCCGGCCCCTCACGCCGATGTGCGCGCGATACGGCACTGAGCGGTCGCTCCTCGCCGCGACCCGGCGCTGCGGGGCGACGGCGCTGCGCAACGAGGGCGAAAACGCACACCCCCTGCAGGTTCGCCCCGCGACACGAAATGAAGCGTTGTCGAGGCCTGCCTGGACGCGACGACGCCAGATCACTACGGAGGGAGCCCGAGCGAGCTCGCCGAAGGCCCCTGCGCCTCCAGCTCGTCGGGGCGCCCCCCACGTCAGCAGCAATCGACTCAGTACACCAAGACGTCCCAGTCCCGGGCCCTAAAGCGTGCGCGAGAGAAGCCCGCTGCGCCGCGGCGATGCGCCACTGCGCGGTGCGGCACCGGACCACATCCGTCAGCCGCGCTTCCGGCCACGAACCTCCCTAGAGGCGAGCGCCGCGCGCCTGGAAGCAGCTGCCGGAGCAGTGTCGCGGTCCGTGCGCCCGCACCAGGGACTGGCTGTGGTCCGCAGCGTTCCGGGCGAGCGGGGCGCCTTTGCCGGGCTCGTGGCGCGGGTACACGTTTCATACCCTCCCCCCCGTGAGCAGGGATGGGTGCGAAGAAGGCACCTCCTCAGGAGCTAGAGACGCGAGAGCCGCTCCTGGCGGTTCTGCTCGCGGACAGGTACGAGACGTGGGCACGTTCGCTCCCACACGATGCCACCTACCGCATCGTCGCGCGATACGCGGCTGAGAGCGTTCCGAGGCGGAGAAACGGAGGGCGAGCTGATAGCCGGCTGTTGGCTCGCCGCGGCGTGGGCCAGCGTTGCGGGCGGAGCCGCGAGCCCGCTCCGCGCCGATCACCCTTCTTGCATCGCTCCGGGCGCACCGGCACCGCGGCGGCGCGCCGGGCCGCTGCGCACGCCGCCTCCCTCCTCTCACATAGCCCTCTCTGGGCCGGTTTTCCCGGCACGCGTGCAGTTATGACACCGACCTGCGGCCGATGTCGCTGGAGACGCCCAAGGCGCTCCTTCCCGTCGCCAACACGCCGATGATAGAGTACTCGTTGGAGTGGCTAGCCATGTCGGGGGTGGACGAGGTGCTGGTCATGGCCGCTGCGGGCACGCAGGGCGACGCCGTCGAAGAGTTCATCACGGGCTCCGAGAAGTGGTCGAAGCAGCGCGTCCCGAAGGTGCGCGCCGCGCCCATCGCCCGCGCACCCCACGCACCGCCTCTCTGAGCGCGCCGCGCCACCGCCAGTCCGCCTCCCGCCCTCGGCGCCACGCAGGTCACGGTCCTGCGCTCCGGCAGCAGCAACATCGGCGACGCGCTGCGCTACCTCGACGAGGAGCACCTCGTGCGGTCCGACTTCGTCCTGACGTATGCCGACGTCGTCACGAACGTCGACCTGCAGCCCGCGATCCAGGCGCACCTCGACCGCCGCGCGAAGGACAAGCAGGCGATCATGACCGCGGTCGTCAAGCCCGCGGCCTCGGTCCAGCAGCGCCTGCGCTTCGGCGAGGCCCCGCACTGGATGGTCCTCGACGGCGGCTCCCAGCGGCTCCTGCAGGCCGAGCTGCAGCCGCGGCGGGGCGGCGTCGGGGTCAACACCGCGGCGTTCTCCGAGCGCGACGCCGTGCGCGTGCGCGGCGACCTGCACATGGCCGACATCTACGTGTGCGCGCCCGAGGTACTGATGCTGTTTTCCGACAACTGGGACTACGAGGACGTGGCGCGCGACTTCATCCCCGGCACGCTCAGCGCCGAGGAGCTCGGGAACACGCTGCACGTGTACGAGGCGCGCACGCACTACGCCGTGCGCATCCAGAGCCTCCGCGCGTACGACGCAGTGTGCCGGGACGTGATCGGGCGCTGGGCGTTCCCGCTCGTGCTCGACACGAACGCGCTGTCCGGGGAGGGCGGGCGGAGCACGTCGTACGTCCTGAAGCGGCGGAACGTGTACCGCGAGGAGGGCTCGATCGTTGCGCTCGACGTTGAGTGCTTCGCGGACTCTGTTGTGGCGACGGGGTGCACCGTGGCGGCGGGGGTGCAGCTGGAGGGGTCCGTGGTCGGGCAGGGCGCGTTCGTGGGCGCGGGGGCCAGGCTCATCGACTGCATCGTGCACAGCGGGGCGCGCGTGGAGGAGGTGGGTGTTTGCGCGTTGCGGGGCGCGTCGTGCTCCTGCCTGCCTCGCGTTGCGCAGCGCGTCTCGCGTGCGCATGCTCGCCGCCTGCCGCGCGTGCGTCGAGGCGCTGCGCCACAGCCAGCAGCCCGGGTGGCCCTGACTGCAAGTCGTTCTTTCTGAGACCGAGACCCCTTGATTGTGTTTCGCTGTGCTTCTTTCGAGAGCTGCAACCCCCTTCTGATCTGAGCTGCGTTGTCGTTCGCCCTCTCCCGCGCAGGGCGCGAAGCTGACGCGGTGCGTGGTGTGCACGGGCGCGGTGGTGCGCGCCGGCGCCGTCATCGAGCCCGGCTGCGTCATCACGCCCGGCGTCGTCATCGGCTCGCGCCACACCGTCGCCGCGGGCTCCAAGGTCACGCTCTGCTGCGCGAAGGAGCGCCTCCGCAGCGCGCTCGGCTCGGCCGCGCAGAGCGACAACGAGGACGAGGCCACGGAGAAGGCCTCCGGCAGCGACGGCTGGGGCGGCAGCGACGACGCCTCCTGGAACGCTTACCTCCCGCCGGACTCGGTCGTCCGCGCCGCGCAGAGCGTCCGCGACGGCTGCATGATATCCGACGTGGTGTGGGACCGGGAGGCCGTCGGCGCGGACGGCGCCGGGTTCCTGTGGCCCGAGGGGCCGGGGTCGGGCGACGGGTACGAGTCCGGCTCCAGCTCCACGGGGTGGGACTTTTACAGCGCGGCGGGGGTGCGGCCGGACCTGGCGGTGCCGTCGGCGGCCGACCACCAGGCGGTGGCGGCGTGGCTCGAGGAGCTGCGCTCGGACGCCATCAAGCAGATCGTACAGGTGCGTGCGCGCGCGTGGCTGGTGTCTGTGTTGGTGCGTTTCGCGGCTCGCGAGACCCGAACCGAAGACTCTCGCTCTCTCCCCGGCCCCGTTCGTTGCCGCAGGGCCCCGGAACGGCGCAGGCGGCCCACCCCGACGCGCCCGCGGACGCCCAGAGCCTCCCGGAGGACCCTGAGGTTCACTTCAAGCGCGAGGTCGTGGAGACCTTCCTCCGGTGCGCCAAGGACGGTTTCGACCAGGCGAACGTCGTGGTCGAGCTCAACGGGCTCCGGCTCGCGGAGAACCGCACGTTCGCGGACTGCGCGCGGTACATCTTCACGACGGTGCTCGGGCTGTCGTGTCCGGCGCCGCCGGGCGTCGCGGGGCGGGAGTTCTCTGCGTTGTACCCGACGGACCCGCCGGACACGGCGACGAAGGCCGGGCGGCTGAAGCTGCTCGCGGGCGTGCGCGCGCAGCTGAAGAAGTGGAAGGGGCTTGTGGAGAAGTTTGCGCGCGGCGAGGACGAGCAGGTCGACCTCCTGTTGACGCTGGAGGAGTTCTGCTCCGAGGAGGGGGTGTTTAGCGGGACGGGGGAGTACGGCGCGGCGCTCGGGGGGGTGTTTCAGGAGATCCTGCAGCTGCTGTACAGCACGGACGTCGTCAGCGAGGACGCGCTGCTCGCGTGGGCCGACGAGAAGGCGCAGGCGACGGAGGACGAGCGCGTGTGGCTGAACCGGGCCGGGGCGTTCATCGAGTGGCTCAAGGAGTCGGACGAGGAGGACGACGACGACGATGACGACGAGGAGGACGACGACTAGGCGGGGGCGCACGTGTGACTGCGGCAGTCGCGTAGAGCGCGTGGGCGGGAGGTTTGGTGCGCAGACGGATCGGATAGGAGCGGCCGCTGCCGGAGGCAGTCGATTGCTTCTTTTGCTGCGGCGGAGAAGCAGATATCTCTGTTGTTAGTAGTTCGCCGACCTACAAGCACCCTCACCGCGAGGATACTTCCGCGACCGTTGCGGGGTTGACCAGCCGGGTGGCTGCGGCCGCGCGGGGTCGCGGCCGGCGCAAGCACGCGCGACCACGGCGGTTTGATCGATCGATCGCGACACGGCAGCCAACACCGGCTCACACTCGCGCGCCCGGTCAGGCGCGCTCCGAGCGACGCGAGGTGACGCGCGCGGCGAACCCGGTCTTGATTTGCGCGACGGTCCGGCTGGCGTTGCACTGGTTGCAGCGCATGTACATGAGGCGCGTGGCCTGCTCGCGGTCGAGGTGCGTGTCCGGGCTCTTGCAGGACGAGCACATGACGTACTCGATCATGTACTTGCGCAGGACGTTCTCGAACGCGCGCGGGAGGAAGCGGCCGCGCACCACCAGCCGCTGCTGGCCGTCCACGGAGCCCGAGGTGCCGAGCTCCGCGAGGATGAACGCGATGACGTGGTCCTGCGAGCGCTGGAGCTGCTTCACGATGTCCGCGAAGTTGGTGAAGACCGTCTTCTTCGTCCCCTCGCGCGCCACTTGTGGGGGCTTGAGAATCGTCCGCCGCTTCTCGCCCGTCAGCTCCGGGTTCTGCACGCGCAGGATGCCGTACACGCGCCCGAGGAGCTCGTCGTACGTGATGTCGCGGTCCGTGCCCTGCCAGGCCTCCTCGCCGAGCACCTGCGCGCCGCCCTGGTCCGCCGGAGCACCCTCCTCGCCCTCCTCGTCGCCGTCGTCGCCCTCGCCCTCCTCCTCGTCCTCCAGCTTCAGCGCCTTCTTCTTCGTCTTCTTCTTCTTCTTCGTCAGGTCGAACGCCGCCTCCAGGTCCACGTCCGCCGCCGGCGTGTCCGCCTCGGCCTCTGCGGCACACAAACGCGGCGCGCAGCGCTCAGAACGTGCCGCGCACGCGCGACGGCAGCGCCCCGCGGGCGCTCCGTGACCGGGAGAAACCAGCAGTGACGCACGCGCATCAAGCCGGGCGCGCGAAACGCGCTGGGCGCGGTCTGCAGCTCGCCAGGGCAGCCCACGCAGGACGCGAGCACGGCGCGAGGAAGCTCGCCCGCGCCGCCTTCCCGCCCGGATAACGGACCCACGGCCCCGCCGCGCCGCCGCAGACCGCGCCGCGCGGCCTGAGCCAGCGCCAGGCCTCAGCAGCCGGCACACGGACGCGCAGCACGCGCCCGCCCCGGCCGCTCGATCGCGGGCTCCGCGCACCTGCATTCTCCAGGTCCGTCAGGTCGATCTTGTTGGCCTTCGACTTCTTCTTCGTCGCGAACGCCTCGTCAAGAGCAACCCCCTCCAGACCCTCCTGGACCTTGGCCGCGTCGTCCGCCATGTCTGCCGCGCTCTACCCGTACAGCACGCCGAGTGCGTCGAACTGACCGCGCGCGGCCGCACCGCGAGCATCGAGCCCGCCCATCCAGGACCTGGGGTGTCCCCGAGACCTCACGACAAGCAGTATGACGGCGCACCGGGCCGCGGGAGACGCCGCACCTGCCCGCCGCGCCCCAAGCTGTCGCCTGGGCGACGCTCTGGCGTGTTGACGCGCCAGCACAGCACAGGCCGCACGTGCTACGGGCGTGACACACACACCTCAACTGCGACTCCGGTGCTGGGTGCGCGACGGCGCGAGACGGCGCATCGGTCCGCGCCAGCGGCACGACAGCGCTGTGCGCGAAGCGCGGAAGCACTGCGGGCGAGCCGGCGGCGCCGGGAACCGCACGTGACGGCGCACGTGTTGTCGGTCGTATGCAGCTCCGCCGCCGGGCACGATGGGCGGTACATGCGCCGCGCTCGCGCCAGAGGCAGCCACACGCATGGCCGACGTACTGCGCGCGCCGCTGCGCCTCCGGAGAGGCAGGGGGGGGGTGGGGGTGTGTCCTGGCACTGCAGGGCGAGGTGGCGCTGTCAGGAAGGCTGCGCAGGGCGCCCTGGCCCGCAGCCCTTCGCGCCGCGCCGCCCGGCCTGCGGACCACACCGTTTGGACTGCAGCTTCGCGTCTGACGCATCGAAGAGAGAGATTCGTGTCTGCCTGGTGTGCTAAGCTAAGGTCAAGATCGCCCCGCTGCGGCGCGTGTTGAGTTGGCGGCGCATTTCCCGTGGCGCCCCGGACGAGAGGTAGCGGCGTCACTTCGGGCGCCCCAGCAGCGGGTCCGGGCGGCGAGCGGCCGCGGAGAAGGCGCGCAGTGCAGCTAGAGCAGCGGGCGTGCGCGCCGGGGCCTGGCGGCCCGAAGATGACGCGCAGCGAGGGCCTCGTTCGGCTCGTTTAGTCCGCAGGCGGTTCCGTCTGGCGTTCTCACGCCCGTGAGCCGCGCACGCGGGCCGCGGCGGGGCGCTAGACGCCATGGCTGAGCTCTGGGAGGGTATCTACGTCACGGTGGTGCTCCTCGCGGCCTTCGTGGTGCTGCTCTTCGACTATGCACCTCCGGACATGGTCATGCTCGCCACGCTCGCGCTGTACATGGCGCCAGAGATCGTCACGGTCCAGGAAGCTCTCTCGGGGTTCTCGAACTCCGCAGTCCTCTCCGTAGCAGGTCCGTCCACCCCGCCCCCGCCCTCCCCGCCCCGCCCACCTCCCCGCGAGCCGCACTGCGCGGACCAACGCGGCCGCGGCGCGGCACCAGCGATCGCTGTGCACCTTCAGAGACCGTCCCGCGCCCGCGGGCGCGTCGCCGCCTCTCACGCGCCCTCGCACTCCTCACCGCAGTTCTCTTCGTCGTCGCGGCGGGCGTCGCGGAGACGGGCGCGCTCGACTACGTCCTGGGACGCATCCTCGGCAGCCCGCGGTCTCTCGCATCCGCGCAGATCCGCCTCCTCGTGCCCACGATGGCGCTCTCGGCGTTCACGAACAACACGCCGGTCGTCGCCATCCTCACGCCCGTGGTGAGCGCCCCCCGCCGCACCGGCGCCCAGACGACGCCCGTGCTCGCACGCAGAGCAGCCGGCCGCGCTACGCACCGCACCGCCGATCAAACCGGCAACGCTGCGACCTCCGCATCCCTCGTCGCCCACACAAGCGCCCAACGCGCCCACACGGCCCCAACGCGCCCCCGCGGCTCCGCACGCGCTCGCACATCCACCCCTGCCAGCCCCACCGCCGCGCCCCGCCCCGCCGCGCGCAGGTCGTCTCCTGGTGCCGGAAGAACCGCATCCTGCCCGGAAAGATCCTCATGCCGCTCTCGTTCGCCTCCATCCTCGGAGGCACCCTCACTCTCATCGGCACGTCAACAAACCTCGTCGTCGCAGGACTCGCGTCCGACAGCGGCACAGGCACGCACCGCCCACCGCCCCCGCCTCGCCGCGCCGCGCCGCGCACCGCGGAGAAACACCCCCGTTCAACGAAACACCCCCCCTCGCCCGCAGGCGTGTCGGTCGCGCTGTTCGACCTGGCGCCGTACGGCGCCCCCGTGGCGCTCTTCGGCCTCGCGTACATGCTGCTCTTCAGCGAGAGCCTCCTCCCGGGCCCGCGGAAGCGCCGCGAGTGCGAGACGCCTGGCCACCGTTGCCCCAAGTGCGGCGGCACGAGTGACGACTACCTGTACCAAACGGCGGTGCTCAACGGCTCGCCGATCGCGGGGAAGACGGTCGCGGAGGCCGGGCTGCGCGGCCTCGGCGACCTCTTCCTCGCGTGCGTGCGGCGCGGCGACGCGGTGTACCCTGCAGTGGGGTCGGACTTCACGATATTGGAGGAGGACATCCTCGAGTTCACGGGTGCGTTTTCAGTCGTGGATTCTCGACTGCGAGTGCACGCGAACAACCAAGGCAACAAGCTCGCTCGCCCGCTCGCTCCGCAGGGCTCCCGGAGCAGCTCGGCGACCTGTGCCAGCGCCTCGAGCTGCGCCTCCTCGGGCACGACGACGAGCCGCAGTGGGGGCAGCTCCCGATCATGGGCGACACCGCCGCCCCGCGCGACGACGCCCCCGTGGACCGCCGGCGGTCCTCCGCGCGCGCCGCGCGCCGCCTGCAGCGCCACTCCCTCGCGACGCCCCTCGGCGCGCCGGACGCGCACCGCGCGTCCACGCACGACGCGCCGTCCGCGCCCCCCGCGTCGGCTGCCGCGCCGCAGCCCCACAGCCTGCGCGCCGCTGACCGGCGCCTCAACGCATCGCTCGGCGGGGCAGCCGCGCGCATGGGCCGGCAGAGCATGGTGCTGCCGCGGGCCCGCGGGGCCGGCGGCGCGTCGGTGCTGCAGACGAGCCAGCCCGGCACGGCGACACACCCCCCCGGCGAGGTGGTGAGCTTGACCGAGGTCGAGGTCGGCGCGGCGCCGGCGGCGCGCGAGGGGAAGCGCGCGGGGAGCTGGGCGTCGGTGCGGCGGCAGATGACGGTGGAGGAGGAGGCGGAGGCGATGGCGCGCGGGGCGGCGAGTGCCGCGGTGGCGCTGGCGTCTGACTTTGCGCAGGGGGGGTTCAAGCTGATGAAGGCGGTGCTGCGGGACTCGAGCCCGCTGATCGGCAAGTCGGTCAAGGACGTGGGGTTCCGGACGCGCTTCCACGCCACGCTGATCAGCGTGCGCCGCGGCGAGGAGCGCCTGAAGGGGGGCCTGGGCAAGGTGGTGCTGTCGGGGGGCGACCGGCTGGTGATGAACGTCGCGGACGACTTCGACCCGGAGGGCGAGGTCGTGCGCGAGCACTTCCGCGACGTGGAGTGCGTCCAGAACAACAGCCGCGACGCGAACAAGGAGTTCGTCATCGCCATGGAGGTGAAGAAGGGGTCGCCGCTCATCGCCAAGACCGTCGACCAGGCGGGCCTCCGCGGCCTCCCGCAGACCTTCCTCGTCGCGATCGAGCGCGCGACGGGCGAGGCCATCAACGCCGTCGGCCCGGAGGAGGTCGTCCTGCAGGGCGACGTGCTCTGGTTTGCCGGGGACATCGAGGGCGTCAACTCCCTGCGGAAGCTCCCCGGCCTCGAGCCGCACACGGACCAGGTCGCGAAGCTCCAGGCCGGCCGCCTCGAGCGCTTCCTCGTGCAGGCCGTCGTCTCCCCGCGCTCGGACCTCGTCGGGCGCACCGTGCGGCAGTCGCACTTCCGCACGCGGTTCGACGCGGCGATCATCGCGGTCCACCGGCACGGCGAGCGGCTGCGCGAAGCTCTCGGCGACGTGGCCTTCCACGCCGGCGACGTCCTGCTCCTCGACACATCGAAGGAGTTTATCCGCCGGCACGGTGCGGACCCGGGGTTCGCGCTGGTGGCCCCCATCGACAACTCCGCGCCGCCGCGCATGAACAAGCTCGGGATCGCGTCGCTCGCGTGCGTCGCGATGATCGCGGTGTACGCGTCGGACGTCGCGGAGCTCGTGACGTGCGCGCTGTTTGCCGCCGCCGCGCTGCTGCTCACGAAGACGCTCTCCGTCGCCGAGGCGCGCCGCGCGGTCAAGTGGGACGTCATCATCACGATCGCGGCGGCGTTCGGCATCAGCCGCGCGCTCGAGAACTCGGGCGTCGCCAAAGCCATCGCGGACACGCTGGTGCGGGGCGGGGAGGCCATGGGCGTGGGCGACGTGTCGCTGTACGCCGCGATCTACCTCGCGACGGCCGTGCTGTCGAACGTCATCGCGAACAACGCGGCCGCGGCGCTCATGTTCCCGATCGCCATCGAGGCCGCGGCGCAGAAGGGGCTGGAACCCCGTCTCATGCTATTCACCATCATGCTCGGAGCGTCGGCGGCCTTCATGAGCCCGTTCGGGTACCAGACGAACCTGATGGTGTACGGCGCGGGCGGGTACACCTTCCGGAACTTCATCGTCTTCGGCGGGCCGCTGCAGATCGTTTCGGCGGTCGCGGCGATCGTCACGATCAACTTGGACGAGCTGTTTTACATTCCGCTGATCGTGGCGGCGGTGGCGTGCGTGGTGATCGCGGGCGGGCGGCAGGGGCTGGACCTCGTGCGCGCGTGGTGGGCCGGCGGGAGCGAGCGCCTCAAGTCGATCGCGGGAATTTCAATGCGGAAACTAGGTCTGTCGAGCCAGGAGTTGAGAAGGGCGTCGCGCGAGACGCCCGCGTCCGGCGACTCCGGGAGCGCGACGGCGAGCGGTGGCGCGGGCCAGAGGAAGAGCGCGGGGACGCCCGGGTCTGGCAACGGGACGGACACGACGGAAGTCGCAGTGGTCTGACACTGTGTGCACGGTATAACAGGTTGCGTCCTGTGTCGAGCAGGCGGCGGGGGCGGGGTGTGCGCGGACATTGACGGGCCGCCTGTGGCCGGCGCGCGGGCGCGCACCCGCACCTCATCGATCCAGAGACTTGTGAGGAAAACGCCGGCGACGCGCTCGGCCCGCCCACGCTGCTGCCTCGCAGCGGCGTCACGTGCGTACTGCGCGCGCCGCACTGCGTGCGCCGCGCTCCTCCCGCCTTGAGAGCCCTAAAGCCACTCGCGCCTCTTGAGCCACATAGAACCTCGTGTTGATCGTTTCTCGGACATTTCACATCATTCAGGACGACTCTACGCCTTTAATCGGAGCCTCATCTGCAGCAAAACGCTAGCACAACTCGCCACCTAGTCGTGACGATCTGGTCTTCGGCCCCACAGCCTATCTAGATATACGGCCACACATACGCAACGCTGGACGCCTCGGCTCGCCTCGAAGCGCCCACCGCTCCGCGCTACGCGATCCCCTCCGGGTCCCAGCAGATCTTCTTCCGCCCTAGCAGCTCCTCCATGCCGTCCAGCTGCGCCAGAGACGCCTGCGAGAGGCCCGCGCCCCCCAACAGTGCCGGCTCGGACGCCGCCGCGATCCGTGTGGGGTCCCCCGACTTCGGAATCACGCAGCAGCCGTGGTGCAGGCCCCAGAGGAGCAGCGCGCGCGCCGGCGTGGTCTCGGACGCGGCCGCCGCGTCCTGCACGTGCCGCTCGCACAGAAGCTCCCCGCTGCCGAGGCTCGCGTACGCGACGACCGCGACGTGGTTCTGCGCGCAGAACTCGCGCAGCTCGCGCTGCTGGCACCGCGGGTGCACCTCGATCTGCAGAAGCAGGAGAAGAGCAGTCTTGTTTCAGTATCTACCGGCCACGCGGCCCGCTCCCGTCTCTGCCGTCGCGCCGGCGGCCGCACGCACCTGGTTGACCGCGGGGGCGACCTTCGAGACGCCCAGGAGCTCCTTCAGGTGGCCCTGCGTGTAGTTACTGACGCCGATGGCCCGACACCGCCCCTCCTCATAGCATCGTTCCAGCACGCGCCAGGTCCCGAGCCGCGCCGCGGCGTTCTCGGGGCCCTCGCGCTTCGCCCTCGCGACGCCGGGCCAGTGCACCAGCAGCAGATCGACATACTCCATGCCCAGCCTGCATGAAGACAACCAACCAAGAACAAATTCATAATTAATTGACGAACGACGGCATTCGAACAAGGACATTCGAACGAGCCTCTTTCATGTACGCATCGGCGCGTCCGCGCAGGTCGGGCGCCCGCGCTCGCCGCTGCGTCGCGTGCCGGGCGCGCTCGCACCGGCGCCGCACCTGTTTAGGATGGCGTCCACCGCCGCGGACGCGCCGGCCTCGCCCTGCTCGTAGGGCGACACCTTGGACGTCACGAAGACGTCCTCCCGCGGCACGCCCGACATGCGGATGGCCTCGCCGATCTCTGCCTCGTTCTTGTAGATGGACGCTGTGTCGATGTGCCTGCGCGGCGCGCGACGGGGAAAGCACAGTGGGGCTCGCCAGCGTGCGTTGCGGGTTCGCACGTGCGTTCCCAGCGTCAGCTGCTATCCGGAACGGATTATTATAGTCATCATAAAATGATGAGTGGGGCTGCATTGTTTGGGCTCGAAACGACGCCGCAGCTCCGCGGTGCAGCGCTCGAGAGGGCCGTCCGAGCGGAGAGGAGCACGAAGACACGACGCGGGACGCCGCGTCGTGCACTCCCGACGTCCTTTCGCAGACGAACGCTCCGCGGCGGCAGCAGGCCCCATGGACGCACCTCGTTCCCGCGTTCAACGCGGCCGTCACGGCCTGCGCGGCCTCCTGCCCGCGAACACGAAACGTGCCCAGCCCGACACGCGGCATCTCCACGCCGTTCGAGAGCACCACGGTGCGCGGTATCGGCCTGCTCATTCTCCAGCTATGTCTGGGCGGAGAAACTCATCGAAGACACGCACTACGTGCGCGGAGCACCACGCTCTGGGGCGGCGTGCTTTGAGACCCCGCCAGCGGCGGTCAAGGCGTGCAAAGTCGTGCGCCGCGCGGGGGGGGGGAGAGGGGGGAGGAGTGGCGGGGGTTGACTCTCCGTGTTCGAGCTGAAAGTGCACCCGCGCGGCGCGCGCAGCGCAGGCGGCGAACTGCTCGCGTCGAACCCCGGGCGCTCTCGCACACACCGCGGCGGCACCCTGCCGAGAGAATGTGTGCAAGCAGCTCCACCGCGCGGCTGGCTGCCACGCGGCAGGCCAGGCCGCCGTTCGCGCCGCCAGCGGCGCCTCACAATCGAGCGGTGTCGCGCAGGGCGGTTGTGAGTCCAGTAGCGGAGCGGGACACGGCTGTGTTGACGACCGAGGCACAGGTGAGGGCTCGCCCGGCGCCGGGGACGCTCGAGGGCGCGTGGGAAGGGCCGCGCCCCACATGGAGGGATACGTTCATGAAGGACAAGACCAGCTACACTCTCGCGCGGCAGCTCCGATCCGACCTCGCACGCGTACAGGCACGTCCCCGCCCTCGCTCCGGCGCTCTGCCGTGCGTCACACGGCGTTCCCACCGGCGCGTCCGACGCCGCGCCCCTAGCACAGACCCAGAGCTTCGTATTCGGCGCACGGACGCCGCAGGAACTGGACCCACGGTGCGACTGGGTGCTCCCGTACCTAGAGGACAGCACCCACAGCGAACGACTGCTGCTGGGCAAGGTGGTGCTCCTCACGGACCTCCTCGGGATGGAGACCCCGCTGCGCACCATCGAGATCATCCGGTCCGCCCCCCCGCCCCAGCCCCCCCCGCCACGCCCCCCCCTCACCGCGCACACACACAGCGCGGTTCCGGACCCGCCGAAACCGCGTCTCCGCACCCGCGCCCGCCGCCAACGCAGAGAGCGCCCGGAGATCCTGCGGCTGGAGCCGGAGGAGGTCGTGCGGCGCGTCATGGCCCTGAAACAAGCCATCCCAAGTGGCAACATTCCCGGAATCCTATTTCTGCGGCCCTCGCTCGTGGCCTCGCAGTCCGACCCCGGCCCGACGATCGAGCGCGCGCTGCGGAAGATGGCGCGCATCATGCCGGGCATCCCCGTCGAGCGGCAGCTGCATCGCGGTGCGGGGGCGTGGCGGTCGTTCGTGGAGATACTGCGCGACAGCGAGGGGGCGTCGGCGTTCAGGGCGCGCGGGGGACGGTAGGGGCGTCGCGGGGCCGGCGGGCGGGCGGACGCGGGAGGGGGACGTGAGGTGACTCCCCCGGCCGTATTGTGAGGCGCTGGTGCGGCGCGGTGACGTGGGATGTTGGGCCGGGGCGAGCGCGGGGCGGGAGACTCGAGCGCGCGTCGCGGCGGGCGTGGTTTCCTAGATAGATAGAGGCCGACCTAGTTCCGCACTTCGAGAGTTTCCTATCTAGGAAGGGTCGAACGGGCGTTTGAGAGACCGGCTGCGGGCCGTTCGCGCGCGGCTTCGAGGCGTCGCTCGCTGGGAGTATCTGTGGGCGAATTCGGCCTGAATCGGCGGCGGTGATCGCTGCTGCTGCGCGGCGCGGCCGGACGTGCACAGAGGAGCTGGCGTTTCCGCGCAGCCGGCAGCGGGATGGCGCCTTCGAAGATCTGCATCAGTCGCCTGACGAAGGTGAGACGCGCGCGAGCTGACGTCGAAGCGGCCCGGGCGCCGTGCGCCCGGCGCGCAGCGGTCGCCCTCTGCAGACCTACCGCGGCCGCGACGACGGCAGCGCGCTGGCCAGCGACACGCCGCACAAACGGCTCATCCGTGGCTTGAGAGCAACGGCGTAGCCCCATCGTTTGCCTCGAGGAGCGGAAACCGACGCCGCGCACGCGTGCGCATCGCGCAGGAGCACAAGGACCTCGTGAAGCAGCCGCTGGACGGAATTCACGCGGTTCCGGACCCCAAGTGCATCACAGAGTGGCACTTCCTCCTCCAGGGCGCGCCCGACACCGACTACGAAGGCGGTGCGCCCCCATGCCACCACCACCACCTCGCGCACCGCCGCCGTCCCGCCGCACCCGCTGCGCGCCACCCGCGCCCCCCGCGCCATCCTCCCGGACAGCACACGCGCGCGCGTCCGCAACTGCGCCGCGCGCGCCGACGTGACCCTCCTTTCCCTGCTTTCCCTTCTCTCACTGCAGGGCTCTACTATGGCAAGCTGCTGTTCCCGGACACGTACCCGCAGGCGGGGCCGGCCGTGCGGATGCTGACGCCGTCCGGGCGGTTCGACCCCGGGAAGGACATCTGCATGAGTATGACAAACTTCCACCCGGAGTCGTGGAACCCCATGTGGCGTGTGTCGAGCATCCTGGCCGGGCTGCAGAGCTTCATGGTTGAGGAGGTCATTACGACGGGTGCGTAGCCGCACGTCGCACCGGCGGTGCCGCCCGCGGGGCCGCGCTATGCGCCGCGATGGGTCGAATGCGGTTTGTGGCAGTGTGTGCCTTCTCGGTGGCGCGGCTGTGCCGAGGCGGCGCGTTCCGGCGTGGTGCGGCGCAGGGGGCGTGCGGGCGACGTCGCAGGAGCGCCGGCGGTTCGCGCTGGGTTCAATCGAGTACAACAAGCGCTTCAACAAACTCAAAACCCTGTTTCCGGAAGTCATCGCCGCTGCCGAGTCCGCCGCCGCGTCCGTCGCGTCAGGTACGCCGCCACCGGCCCGCGCACGTACTCTAGGTGCACGGACCCGCCCATCGCGCAGCTCCCGCGCGCGTGCGGGGCTGCGGGGGTTGGCAAACGCATGTGTGCATAACCGCTGCTCTGCAGGCAAGCAGTAGCAGCGCGCAGCGCTGCCCTGCGCGCCCCTGCCGTCCGCGGGTCTCCGAGCGCCACGGACCTCGCACCGACGCGCAGCCGCCTGTTGACGCCTGCACACTTGCGTGCTTCGCCAATCGAGAATTGATGTCTCTTCTTGCGTGCGTGTCTTTCGATCGACGGGCCCGCGCCGCCCCCGCTGACACAGCCCCGCCGCTCGGCACGCCTCTCGTCCGCGCAGCTGGCGCGCGCGCGCCCGACGCAGGCCTGCGGCGGCGGCGGGGCGCCACCACCGACGATGACGACGGCATCGAACCGGACAGCGCGGCGCGGGCCGCCAGGGCCGCGCAAACCGGACCAGGCACCACCGCTACGCTCTGCGTCATCGCTGCCGTCATCATCGTCCTCGGCGTCGCGGTCGCCTTCACATAAGAACAGAAACCCAACCCCCCCAACGGGCGCGGCACCTGCCACACACCGCCATCACGCGGGCTGCGCGCTCCTCGCGACGGACGAATCCGTCGTCGGCGCGCCCGCGAGCTGTAACGGCGAGCAACCACACCCCCTTCAACACCCCCTCAAACACCCCCGCGGTCGCACGCCTCGCTGCCGCCCAGCGACGCGGCACAGCGCCGCGCATCACTCGCGGACGAACTCGAGGTCGAGCTCCTCGGCCCCGCCGTAGAACGTCTCGAGGTCGAGCCGCTCCCGCTCCTCCGGCGTCAGCACGTTGACCACCACCGACCCAAAGTCCATCAGCTCCCACCCGCCCGCGCGGCCCTTGTTCGACCCCATCGTCGTGCGGTCGAACACCTCCTTGGCCATCTTCTCGATCTTGAACAGCACCGCCTGCATCTGCGGCCGGTTGTTGACCGTCACGAGGAGGACGTAGGACGTCCACGACACCACCGGCTCCACGTGCAGCAGGATCAGATCCTCCGCCTTCGTGTCGTCCGCGACCTGCGGAGCAGCAAGACGCGTCGCCGGGCGGAGGGACCGTCTGACGTGCCCGGGGGGCGGTCGGTGCGCGTGAGCGTGTGTGGGGGAGCCGAGCACGTGCGCGCGTGGGAGGCCACCCTCGCTGCTGTCCGACGCATCCGCGAGCGCGTCGCACCGCCCCCCGCTCCTCCTGAGACGCCACGCTCAAGCGCAGAGCCCGCACGCGCAACAGGAGAGGAGGGGCAGAAAGAATGCAACAAAAAAAAAACAAAACGAGCACAGTCTCGAAGACGTGCAGTTCCAGCGTGCCGATGGCTGGCCCACGTGTCGCGCGGCGCCCAGGCGCCCGCGCCCGGGGAGCGGGCAATGCGCCGCACCCGGGCGTGGGGCGTGAGGGCGCCGTGCGGGCATGCGGCGCGGCGCTCGGGGGCTGGCGTTCATGGCGACCATCTGGGCACTGTTCGGGCGGGCGCGTGGGGGGGTTGCGTGCCTTGGCGCACGCACGGGCGAGGTCGAGGCTGAGGTCCCCCGTGCGGCCGATCTTGTCGACGCGGTGCGTGGCGCCCGCGCCGCCTGTGAGCGTCGCGGTGCTGATGCTGGTCGAGGTGATCTCGTCCTGGCTGCCCAGGACCGCCGCGCGCACCGCCCGGCGACGCCCCGTGCTTGCAGCGTGCTGCCGGGACGCCTGGGGCCGGCTCCTGCGGTTGCTGTGGCGTGGCGACTCCGTCAGCCGCGCGCTCACGAAAAATGCGCCAGGTCCGTCGCGATTGTTCCGCCGCAGGGCCAAGAGCGGCGCGGGAATCGTGTGCACTTGCCTGCAAAGACTGCACGTCGCAGGTGCGCGCTCCTGCGCGGCGAGCCGCTGCGCGCGGGCGGCGTGAGCGTGCATGACTTCCCACCGGCGCGGCCGCTCCGGCGGACGCGTGCGGAAACCAACGGAGGCCGCCCTGGCAGGCGCAGCAACTCGAGGCACGAAAAAGATGCCGCTTCTGTCGCGCTTCCGAGGCGTGTGGTATCGGCGCAGGCGTGCGCGCAGGACGGGAACGGTACGTGTGAGCTGTGGGCGCGCGCCGCAGGGAAAGTGAGGGCCGTGCGGACGCGGAATGCGGCTTTTATACCTGGGAGCTGGGCCGTCCGGGTCGGGCTCGGCACGGCGCGCCGGGGCTCGTTGGCGCGCCGGGGCCGGTGCCAGGCGCGTTCGGCTCGGAGCTGCTGGTTCACCTGGCGCAGTGGAGCGACGGCTACGTGTGCAGCGACAGTTTCTGCGCGTGTCGCAGCCCCGAGCACCTCGAGGCCGCTTGCCCCCCGTGTGCGCACAGCAGCGCGGCACCGTCAGTGAGCGACGACCCGCATCGCCGGAACCTATCGTAGCAGGATGGCCGTGGTCGCGAAAGGGCTCGTCGGCGCGCCGTCGCGCGTCGCGGCGCGCCCTGTCACTGCGCCCCGAAACGCCGCGCGCAATCCCGCCTCCGCTGCGGCCGCTCTCTCCGCCCGCAGGGCGCCGCGGCCCTCCGCAGGCTTCGAGCTCGCTGGACGCAGGCGCGGTACGCCCCCCCCGCGCCCCCCCCTCCCCATCCGCACCCTCTAAGAGCGCGAGCGAGCAGGGCACGGCTCACGCCGCCGCCGTGCGCTGTCCGTCCGGCCCTCCGAGGGCCTCACCGGCTGACCCAGCGTCCCTGCGCGGCCGCCGCGCCAGTAACCTCGCTGTGCGAGCGGCGGCCGCGCGACGCCGCGCTCCCTGCTTGACCTTGCCTCTGCCGTCTGCACCGGGCGTCCGCGGCGCCGCGCTTCGCGGGCGGGCTCTCTCGCTGCGCACGCACTGCACGCTGCTACCCGGTGATGGCGCGGAGGGCGCCCGCGGGGGGCCGGCGCGGCGGCATTGCGCGGGACACTCACGGCGTAGGAGCCTTGGCTTGTTCGCAGGTTCCACGGCGTGCCGCGCGATGATCGAGGGCGAGATTCTAGAGCTGACGGAGGAGAACGTGGAGCAGGTGCGCCGGCGGCGTCGCGGCCGCGCCCCGCGCGCGGACACGAGCCCTGGATGCGCCGCACACCATCTCAGCCCGCACGACGCCCGCCCGCCGCTTTCTTGTGTTCTCCGCCGCACGGGCACACACGTGCTAGGGTTCTCGGCCCCGACGCCCCCGGCGGCACGAAGCGCGCCCCGAGCGCTCGCGCACACGCACCCCTGGTGTGCGAGCCCAGCGCCCGCGCTCCCGTCCGCTGCGCAGGTCCTGGACGACGTGCGGCCGTACCTCATGGCGGACGGAGGCAACGTCGAGCTCGTCGAGATCGACGGCCTCGTCGTCAAGCTGCAGCTGCAGGGCGCGTGCGGGTCCTGTCCCTCGTCCACCACCACGATGCAAATGGGCATCGAGCGACGACTCAAGGTGCGCCGCACCGCGCGCAGCCACCTCGCCTCGCACGCCGCAGGGCGCCTAGACGGCCAGCCCGGTCCATTTCCAGTCGAGAGCCCTCGAATCCGGTTCCCTCACTACGCTCTTGCGCGCAGGAGGTCATCCCGGAGATCATGGAGGTCGTCCAGATCGAGCCCGAGGTGTCCGGGATGGAGCTGACCGAGGAGAACGTCGAGACGGTCCTCGACGAGATCCGGCCGTACCTGGTGGGTACGGGCGGCGGCGAACTGCACCTGGACGGCCTGGACGGCCCGATCGCCAAGGTCCGCATCACGGGCCCCGCGGCCGAGGTCATGACCGTCCGCGTCGCCGTCACGCAGAAGCTCCGCGAGCGCATTCCCAGCATCGCGGCCGTGCAGTTGCTCTAGGGTGTTTTGGTCCTAAAACACCCCCCCTGCGCCGCGGCCCCACGACTCGACGTACATACCCGCGCGGCCCCGCTGCGCCGCCCCGGCTGAGGTGAGGTGAGGCGTTACATACAGCTGTGAGCTCGCGCACCGCACCACCTCACCGTCAACTCCGCACTGACGCCTCATCACGTGTCCGGCGCCTGAATCGTCACCTTGATCTCTCCCGCCTTCGCGCCGTCCGCGTCCGCCGTCTGCCGCCGCGTCTCGCTCGCCCCGGCCGCCGCCGTGTCCTGCTGCTCCTCGCTGCCGCCCTCCGGTTCGTCCGCCTCGGACACCGGCGGCTTCGTGGTCCCCGGCGCGCGCCCGTTCTTGAAGTCCTCCAGCAGCGGCGCCCGCCAGTTCGCGTCCGCGGCGCGCGCGATGTCCCGCGCGCCCTCGGCGTCCTTCCCCTTGCCGCCGACGGACTCGAAGCGCACGTAGCCGCCGTGCGGCACGGACGGGTCCCGGCGCAGGTGCACGCCGCCGAGGCCGATTTTCGGCGCTTTCGCGAAGAAGACCATGCTGCGGGGGCGGGCGTCGGGCTCGGCCGCCTTGTCGATGTTCTCCATCTCGCCGCGCGCGCCCGTGAGGTCGAAGCGCGTCTTGAGCCTGCGAGGGCGACACCGCGGCTGAGGATCTCTTGTGAGCGAGCGCCGTGGCCGCAGGGGCGCGGCTGCAGGGGCGCGCTGACGAATGTTGCGTGGCCGGTGGTTCTGCGTCGGGAGGGCGGAGGGGAGGCCGCGGGCGCACTTGAAGGAGTGGACGTCGAAGATGAGCATCTCCCACGGCTCCGAGCCCTTGGGGGCCTGCATCGTGGCGCCGCGCGGGGGCGCGGGGCGGCGCGGAGCCACGATGACTAGCGCGGCCTTGAACGACGGCGACGCCATGCCGTAGTGCTCCACGCGCATGGGCGTGCAGAAGAGGCAGAAGTCCTGCACCGTGCGGAGCAGGTCGACCTTGCCCACCTGCACGCACCCGCGGCACACGCGCCGTGTCGCGCCACGACACGCAGTGCTGTTCCTGGGCCGGCGCACCGCCGGGCGGGGCGTCCGCGCGCACCGTGGACGCGCAGGCGTAGTCGAAGCCCGTTTTGCCCTTGAGGTCGCACACGAACGGGTCGCCGCCCGCGTTGCAGAGCCGGCGAATGACCTCCTGCGTTCCAGCCCGGCACGCGACGTGCACCGCGCTGCCGACGCTCGATTTCTTCCAGGATTGCAGATTCGGGTCCGCGCCAGCCGCCAGCAGCGGCTTGATCAGGTGCTTGCGGTTGAGCTTGCACGCCCACATCAGAGGTGTGTGCCCCTTCTTGTTGACGAAGCCCAGCTTCGACCCGCCGTCTTTTGCCGCGTCGTACCTGCGGGCGAGCACGAGGGAGACGGTGGCTGTGACGCGCGCCGGGAGGGCGGGAGGAAGGCGCAGGTGCGGCGGCGTGCGGGGAGATATGCAGGAAGAGCGCACGTGTATTTGTCGAGCCAGGTCTTCACGACATTCAGACTGCCCTGGTCGATGCCCGACATGATGGCTGCGCGGTCCTTGCTCAGCCCGGACCCCATGGCGCCTCCGAGCACTCAGCAGACGGCGCACAGGGTCTCTGGAGTCCAAACTGGAGGCAGTTGACGCCGCTCTCTGTGCAAGGAGCGCCGTCCCCGGCGGTCCAGGCTCTCACAGACAGCGCCGCTCGCCAAAAACGCTCGCTCTGGCTCACGGCAGCACGCCACCTGCTCCGCAGCGCGGGACGAGCCCACGAGCGCCCGTAGTGCGGCAGAGATGCGTGCTCCTGCTGTCTCGCGCAACCGACTGCCCTCGCGGCGCAACAACGAGACGCGGACGCTCCTGAGAGGCCACCTGCGGCGCTGTCCGTCAAGTGCGCGTTCGGCCGCCGGCCGCCGGGCTACCAAGCGTGCGCAATACCCCCCCGCGGCCCGTCAGACACATCACGCAAAGTGTCACAGCGAGCCCCGCGCCGCCGTTCGCCGGGCGCGGGCGCCGCAACGTCGTGCGGCATGCACCCGGGCACGCGCGCGCGTGCGGCGCGCGTCCGTCCGGGGCCGTGGCGCGGCGCTGGCGGCCGGCGCCGCGACGGAGGAGGCGGGGCGCGTCACGCCGGTGCTGCCACCGCCTCCGGGACGACCGCGCGCTCCTTGATGACCGCGGGGAGGCCGTGCGCGGGCGCCGGGAAGACGCTGGGCTGCCACTTGATCGACGCGTCGCGGACGTCCACGTCCCACCTGCACGTTGACAAACAAACAAGAGACAAACACTTCAACTCATGTCTTTATATCTACATCAATATCGAATTGATCGAGTCCGGCCGTCACCGGCGCGTGAGGCGGGGCGGCACGGGTGCACGCAGCCGTGGTGCGGCGGGCGCCGCCGCGCGGCGCAGGCACGTCCGCACACTGGGTGTTGCGCGGCATGCAGGGGGCGTGCATCGCGCACCGTCGGAGGAGCTCGGCGCTGATGACCTTCATCTCCGTGTAGGCGAGGTTGAGGCCGAGGCACATGTGCGGGCCCGCGCCCCAGGGCTCGTACGCTTCGGGGCGCGACACTGGCGACAGCCAGCGCGCGGGCTGCCAGCCGTGCTCAAAGTCCATGTGCGCCGGCGGCTCGTCGCCCTGGGGCTCGGACTCGTTGCCCTGGCTGAGCTTGGGGTCGTTGACGTGCAGCGCGGCCATCATACACGCGATCTTGCCGCCCTTCTTGAACCGGACCCTGCACGAGCCACCGCCGGGAGACATCACGGGTTTCACGCTTGAAATTCCGTCGCAGAGATTGCGATTGAGGGGTCCCATCCCTGGGGCCGAATCCGTCAAAAACGCACTCGCCCTGCAGGTCTACCATACGAGTGGTTGATTGGCACATTTGCCGTCTAAAGAGGCACGTGTGCGCACCCTTCGAGCTCGAAGTCCTCCGTGACGTCGCGGTCGACCATCAGCGCCACGGGCTTGACGCGCAGCGTCTCGCGCGACGCCGCGTCCAGCTCGCGCATCGCCGAGCGCGCCGCGGGGGACAGGGCCTCCCCGTGCTGCTCGATCACGGCCTGCTGCTCCCTGCGCAGGCGGTCCAGCCACTCCGGCCGCAGCGCCAGGTGCCACCACAGCATCGTGATCGAGTACGCTGCGGGGACGAGACCACCACGCGCGACGGCGACGATCAGGACGCGCTCTTCGCGCGGGACGCGAACGAGAGTCCCGCCGGATTGCTGTCGGAACGCGTAGAGAAGCGATGCGCGGCCGGGGCCGGGCGGGCAGTCAGACTGGCGTGTTGCGCGCACCGGTGGTGTCGTGGCCAGCAAAGAGGAAGCCGACGACGGTGTCCCGGACCGCGGCCTTCGGGTCCGGCATGTCGACGCCCTCGATCTCATTCAGCTTGATCGTGCGGTGCAGCAGCGTCCACTCCGACTCCGGCAACCCGCCCTGCGCACACGCAGCGTCAGCGCGCTCGCGCCTGTCAAGCGACGCGCACGCGACGGCAGCGTGCTCGTGCCGGCGCCGCGCACCGGGCCGCTCGCACCTCGAGCTCCTTCTCCGCCCGCTCGACGATCGGGTCGATCCGCGCGCAGATCCTCCGGCGCGCGTCCATCACCCTTCGCCACTTCGTGCCCGGCAGATCGTACCGGAACACCGCCCCGAAGCCCGACATCAGCTCGGTGTAGTCCTCCGAGAACGCCTCGACCTCGTCGTCGGTCAGCTTGAGCTCCAGCACCGCGTTTGCGATTACTCGGAAGGTGATCTCTTTGAACTCCTTCAAGAGCTGTACTGGCTCGTTTCCGGCCTCGCACGCGGCGGCGACGCGCCGGACGTGCTCCGCGGTGATCGCGGCGATGTCCGGGACGTAGCGGCGCATCGAGGCCATCTCGAACGGCTGCGAGAGGGCTTCGCGCATGCGTTTGTGCGCGTCGCCTTCGCCGGAGAGCAGGAGCTGGTGCTCGCCGATGAGCGAGAGGACGGCGGTGGAGGAGCGCGACGCGACGTTCGGAGAGTTCAGGACGCCGCGGTAGAGCTCCGGGGACGCCACCACCGTCGTGTACAGGCCGAAGATGGAAAAATTGAACACGTCGCCAAATGTCTTGGTCATGCGGTACAGCCAACCCTCGCGCTTCGCTGCAGATCGGCGCAGGGCGATAGCGCAGGCTGTGCGCGCGCTTCTCGACCAGGCAGGCAAGCTCGCATGCGCGTTCTGGCGGACAGGCGCGGCTGTGTGTACGCAATTGTCCAGGTGGGCGAGGCAGGTGCACCTGGGAGGAACTCGGCGGTGTGTCCGAAGATGGGGGCGCCGAGGGACTCCGGGACGCGCATGAAGGGGCACCCGGGCGCGCTCTGCATCGTCGCCTCGGACGACGCACTTCCGAACCCGGGCCACAGCACACGGCGCGCTGCGGGAGCACGGGGGGCGTGGGGTGGATTTTCTTGGCCATATTGAGCATGATTGGTGGATGTCGTGGCGTTGCGGTGCGCCGTGGTGGGGTGATCGCGGTTTGCGACCCCGCGCGCGGCGAGTGAAACGTCAGCTCAGAGGCCCGACCGCTGGACCTGACGGCATGGGGCGCGTCGCTCGCGACCTAGCAGCGGAACACCGGAACCCAGGACTGAAGGGCGCTGTCGGGGCGTCGGTTGCGGGAATTATGGACGAAACATCGAGAAACAGAGACTCTCAGAGCATCCTAGGTTTTCCTCATCAGATGGCCGAATAGACGCCCATCCGCGACCTGGCTCCACACTCACCGAGGGTCTTGAGCACTCCGCGGCCCACCGTCATCATCGCGACCACGGCCGCGGCCGCAATAGCGCCTGCGACGACGGCGGGACTCCACGCGCTCGCTGCAGCGCCCGAGGACACAGCGGCGACGCACCCCGACACCGCCTTCGCAACGCCGGCATCCAGCCCGGCTGGCAGCGTCTGCGCCATCGCCGTGCTGCGCTTGCGGCGCACGCGCAGTTCCGGGCCGGGAGGCACCGCAGGGCCCCTGGCGCACGCGCTGGGGCGCGGGCGGGCCGCTAGGGCCGGTTGGGGCGTGATGCGCGCCGATTGCATCCTTTCGAGGTGCTGTGCAACTCTCCCGGCCGCAGAGAGTGCGCGTGCGGCGCCCGCGAGCGCCCGATCGCCCCCGGACGCCCGCCATGAGGTCATGCGGGCCACCTGCATGACTCAGCGTCGCCTGACGTGCGCTCGCGCGCGTCCCAGCCGCGGGCCAGCGCGCCGCACGACACAGCACTCCGCGCGCCCGCGGTCCGCCCGGCTCCAGCCCGTCTGACGTGGGGTTCGCGGGCGACTGCACGAACCGCGGCATCGCCAGGCCCAGGGCGGCGCCGCGCTGCCGCAGGCGCAAGGACCGAGGACGCGGTGGTCTGCGGCTGCGCGGGCATTCCGCCCCGGCGGCAGGCGGTCTCTCGGCGAGCGGTACGCGTCACGTAGCGTCACAATGACCCGTCCGCGACCGTCATCGACGTCAAAAATCGTCCGTCTCTCAATGCTCCCCGCGCGGGCCGCCGCGCCGCGCCTGCGCGCGGCGCCAGGCCAGCCAGCAAGCGCAACTCAACATAGAAACCGCACACTCTGTGTGTGAACTTGATAATGTCCTGTCTTAATGTCCTCACGCCATGCAAAAGATCCTCCGGAACCCCCCCCTCCGCTTCGCGGCGGGCGCCGCCGCGCCGCCCGCCGCCTTCGCGGCCCCCGCGAGCCCCTCCGCGAGCCCCTCCGCGGCCCCCACCCCCTCCTCGGCGTCCTCGAATATCCGTGCGACGTCAGAAGGGAGATCCTCGAGATCCAGCGCGGTGCCGAAGGAGGACTCGCGGCCCGCGAGCTCCTCCTCCTCGCGGATCGCGTCCTCCTTCCCGGGCCACTTCATCGGGTCGGAGCCGGCGCGCGGCGTCGGCGCGCTGTCCTCGAGGGCCGAGCCGCGGTCGTGGTGGACCGTCGGCGGGGACGCCGGGCGCGCGCCGCACGCGCCCGGTAGCCGCGGGTGCGTCCCCGCGAGCGCCTCGACCTTCGCGAGGAAGTTCGGCGCGCCGCGGATGTCGTGCCCGTCGACCAAGCACGGCGCGGCGGCGCCCAGTCCGGGGTAGCGACCGAGCTTCTCCGCCGTCAGCTTCTTGCTGCGGTTCTGCGCGACCTCCGTCTCGAGCCACTCGATCGTCGACGCGTCGAACAGCGTCGCCAGGTGCGCGTGCAGCTCCTTAGAGCTCGTCTTGAAGAAGTTGATCTTCTTCTTCGTGTGCGGGTCCACCAGGGGCCGAATCGCGGCCCACAGCGTCGAGAACACCGTCGGCGCGTCCTGCGGGACCGCGGCGGACCCGGGGCCGGTCGGCGGCGGCGGCCGCGGGGCCACGTGGCGCGATAATGGCCTACGACGCGTGCACAGCGCGGCGGCGCGGCGCGGCGCGCGGGGGGCGGGGGCGCACCAGGAGGATGAAGTGGGCGAGGCGTTCGGGGTAGTGCCGCTCCGCGAGCGAGAGGAAGACCTTGGCGAGCGCGGGGTTGAGGTCACGCGGGTGGCCAAAGCCCTTGAAGTCGAGGATCCACACCCAGGCGCCCCTGCCCTCGGGGAGCAGCGCGACGGTCTCCTCGAAGGTCTGGATGATGTGGTCTTTGTTGTCCGGGACCTTCCTGCGCGCAGCGGGCGCGGCGCGGGCGGCGATCGGCCCAGGTGACCCCGAGGGGGCACGGGCGCGGGGGCGGCGCATCGGAGCCGTGCGATGGGGTCGAAACCGGCACAGTGCGGGACTTTCGGGCATGACCGCGCGCTCGGGATCGGCGGCGAGCGCATCGCCGCGGCGGCGACGCGGCGCCGCTGCCCGCAAGGGCGCTGCGCACAGGGTGCGCGGGGCAGCGCACCTGTTGGTCGCGAGGCTGTGACAGCTGTAGATCACGGGCCTGTCCTTGAGGTCGAACGCGACGGGGTGCATGTAGTGGTCCGCGGGCCGCTCCTGGCGGCCCACGACGGGGCAGCACGAACAGCACCGTGCGTCCACGCCCTCGGCCACGCGCCACTCCCACGTGTCCTGCGCAGACGTCTCACGTGGGCGGGGAGGTCGGGGGCGTGCAGGCGGCGCGCCGGTCGCGGCGTCGGGCGCGCGCGGCCCCGGACGCCTCACGCGTGCCGCCCCGGGTGCGCGAGGCGAGCGAGAAAGAGGGCAACTGCTGGAGGCCGGACCACGCGCCTCGGACGCCTCAGCGCTCGCGCTTTCGGCTGATCATGCCATGGGTAGCCAGGGTCGGCGGCCGCTGCCGGAATGCAACGACGCGCGCGCGCACGACGCATTGCAAGATGCATGGCCTCATGGCAAGCGCCCGCGCGCGCACGGCGCGTCTGGACTCGCATGGAGTCCCGGGGCGATCGGTTCATGGCAGGTGCGGATCGTGCGCGCGCGGGGGGGCGTCGCGGATGGCGTGTGCGCACCCTGGCACGCCTAGCTCCCTCTTCGACGTTGAACTTCGCGGCGCGCACGAAGCGTTCGATGTCGTGGTTCGTGAACGCGGCTGCGCCATGGCCGTGGAGCTGCTCGCGGCACGAGGCGACGAGCTCCTCGATTGGAGGGACGTCCTCGACGCTCTTGCGCGCCTTGGTCATGGTTGCTGCGAGCGGAGCGGCCGCGGAACGGCGCGTGCTGGGCGCGGCGTCAGGGCTCGAGGTGGTGGACCTGGAGCTGGGCCACCGCACTGGCGGACAGGACCGGCCAGCCGGGCCCTCGTGCGCCGCTCAGCGCGGGGGAGGTCCAGGAGGTGGCCTGAGCTCACTGTGGGCTTCTACTGGGCCGCGAAGGCGATGGACCCGGACGTCGTTGGGGGTGCGGGGCGCCGGGGCTGCGAGATTGCGGTGCGAGCTGGAGGTGCGAGGGAGGAGAGGCCGGTTCGGGCACGGTCGGTGGCGTGGCGGCGAGGAGAGAGCGTTTGGCGGGGGATTCGAGGCTGTGTTGCTCAGCGGGGGGGGCTTGAGGGCTCCTTGAAGAGGCAGACGTAGCGAGGGGAGGATGGCGAGCATCGGCGACGCGTTCAACACGTTCTTCGCCTCGCTCAGGGGCCGGAGCACGACGGGAAATGAGCCTTCAGATGTGTCGTCCTTCCGCGCGTTCGAGCAGGCGGCCGACAAGGAGTGAGTCCCCCGGATCCCGCATGACTTTTCACTCGTCCGCGCGCCCGGCGCGGCCCGCCCGCGCGGCCCGCGTCCTGCGGCGCGCCAGCCGTGCCCGAGCGCCCGAGTTCCCCCACCCTGCGAGTTCGGCCGGGCTTTCCGCCCCCCTCCCGGCAGCCCACGCGACGCGCCCGCCGCGCAACCCCTCCACCGACCACACCACCCCCTGTCCGCCGCTGCCCGCGCCCCCAGCGCCCCACACAGCGTCACGGGCCTCCCCACCCCGCCGCGCTCTGCGCCGGCCCCGCACGGCCTTCCCAGCGCGCCTCACGCGCCCCCGCGCCCTCGATGCCCTCGCAGCAAGGCCGCGAAGCACAGCAAGTCCACGGCGCGGGCGTACCGCGGCGCCCGGCCGCAGGACAGCACCGTGACGGAAACCATCCTCATGGGCCCGAAAGACGCGGAGGAGCCGCCGTTCCGCGCGACGTACGTGAAGCGGTACCAGGAGCTGGTGAAGCGGTCCAAGGAGATGGGCGCGCAGGACCCGTGGGACAAGTGGTACAACGAGCGGTGGATGTGACGATGACGATACGCGCAGTTGCCGGGCGACGTGACGGGGCGGGCGGCGGGGCGCCGGGGGAGGCGCCCCGACGTTCCGCGTGCTCCTCTGTGAGATTCTTTCTACCGTCGGGCGGCCGCGGTCGCGTGTGCACCGCAGTGCGCGTGCCAGTGAGCCTGCGCAGCGACACGCCGCCGGGAAGCTCTGGGCCGGCCAGCGCCTCGCCGGGAAGCAGCGAGGCTGTGCGGGGCACGGTCGTGCGTTGCGTGCCAAGGTCAGCGGTCACTGTCACTTCCGCCAGCGCTCGGCAAGCTTGTGTGCGTGGCTGACAGGTACGCGCTGTGTGCCAGCTTGGGTGCGCGATGCAGAGGGCCGCGGACGTACGGTAGGCCCGCGGCGCTGTGCCGCGGGCATCGACGGCTGAGAGCGTGCCTGGAGGGCGCAGTGGTGCCTTCCAGGAAGGCCCCAAGTGATGAGCGCCACACACATGGGCCGCAGCGATGCGAAGGACGGCGCCACGCCCGCCCTCGGCAGCGCAGCTGGGTCGTTTGACTGCACGGCGGCGCGAAGACGGCGGAGCTGCGCCCGGCAGGTGTCGTGGACGTCACATTGTGCGTCGCCTGCGCCAGGGCGGTGCTAGGTCCTTGTTTCACCCGTCGCGCGACGGGAGAGCTCATGGTTGGCCGGGAGATCGTTGACTGCGCGACAACGCGGGTCCGGATGCCCGACCCGGGGGCGCAGGAAGGTGTACAGCCATCCATCGCAGCGCAGCAGCGCCCCGCTCGCCCCTCCGGCGCTGCGGCTGCAGAGAGCGGCGCAGCTAGGGAGCACGGAGAAGGGCCGAGGGAGCGCGGCGGCGGCGCTGGCGGTGGTAGTAGTCTGGTCGGGGGAGGTGCGGCGCCACGTGCTGCAATGGCGCAGCGCTGGCGCAGCGTAGAGGAACGGGCGCATGCGGCGTCGTCAGCTCGACTGCTGCACTCTTGGGCGCTTCACTGCGGGGCCTGCGCTGTGGTCCGGCGAGTTCAGCGCATGCTGCTCACCCCCCCTCCTGCACACACAACACACGTCAGGCTACCCGACGTCGCACCGCGAGCACCGCTCACGCGCGCACCCAGTCCAGCGTCGAGCGGCAGCGTGCGCGGCGGGGCGTGTCTCTCACGTGGCGTTCGCGACCAGCGCCGCAGCTTGCGGGGGCACCGCCGCCACCGTGCTGGGCGTCTTCGCCATTTCCCGCAGCACCTTCCACGTGTCCAGCGCAGCTAGCGTCCGCCGCACCATCTCCGCGTGTTCCGGGTCCAGGCTGTCCACCATCCCCCGCAGGTCGGTCTCGACCGTCGCGTCGCCGCCATCGTCGCTGTCCGAGGAGCATCCGTCGCGGTTGCCGGCCCCGGGGGCGCCCGCGGGGGCGTCCGCCGCAACGGCGCCGGACGGGCCGTGCACGCCCGAGGGCGACTGCGACGGCACCGAGGACCCCCCCCCTACCTGAATGTATCGCTGCACCTCCGCCTCGGCGGACCGCACGAGCTGCGACAGCACCTCCGTGCTCTGGAACGGCTGCGACAGCATCGACGCCGACAGCCGGTCCTGCGAGCGCGACGGCGCGGGGCGGCGCACGACGCGTGGGCTAGCTGCACCCACGCTGCTGCAGCACGCACGCGTGGCCAAACGCCGCGCTGGCGGCACGCACGATGCGCAGCTGCGCCGTGGGAATCTAGCTGCGGCGGTAGGCGCTGCGGCGCCGGGACGTACCCGGATGTGGTGGCCAGTTATCTTGTCGTGCTTCTTCAGGATCTTCTGCAGCGCTGCCCAGTTGAGGACGCTCCAGTTGAGGAGCTGGACGACCTCGCCATGGAAGTCCACGAGCTCGGAGACCAGCTTGGCGCGCGCGGGGCTGTGGCGCGTCGTGGCGCCGCTGGCGCCGTGGCTGGCGCCGCTGTGGTGCTCCGAGTTTGCGTCGAGGGCCTGCAGCGCGTCCTTGAGGCTCTGGAGACGAATCACCATGTCCTCCTCCTTCTCCATGAAGAACTGGTTGAACCGGTGCACGTCCTGCGGGCGCAGCGTGACGACGACGACGATGACTTGTGCCAGTTGGGGAGCGAGCGAGCCCCCGCGCGTGGAGCCGCCGAGGGCTGGAAGCGCACGAGAGCGAGCTGCGCTGCGCGCAGTTCGCCGTCCGTTCTGGTCAGGGTGCGCTCGCTGCGGCAGCTGCTTGGCGAGACAGCCAAACGCCTCGCGCTCGCGGCACAGGCGCGAGAACGGGCGTCCCGGCGGACACGGAGACCGCGGAAGGGCCACGGAGGTGTAGGCGGGGTGCGAGTGTCGCGCGCGGCTAGGCAGGGGCGTTGCGCGTCGAGATACCAGGCTGGGCAACAGGCGCTCGTTGAGCGCCCGCGCGCGGCAAGACGCGCTTCTTGCGCCGCGGAACGGTCGCACACATCGCGCAAGTGCGAGACCGCAGCGCCGGACAGGGTGAGGGGGCGCCCGGAAGCACCACAACGAGCGTGAGGGGGTGCGAGAGGGTATTGCTTCGCCGTGAGGGGCGACGCACCTGTCCAAGTACGCTCATGAACTCCTTCTCTTCCAGGGTGATCGCCTCGTTGCTGTCCTGCACGCGGAAACCGGGCGAGGCGCGCGGTGGAGCGTTCTTCGGCCGTCGACGACGAATTTCGGCGCATTACCGCGCGTGGCAGGCAGCGCAGGGCGACGAAACGATGCCCGTAGAATATCTGGACGCGGTGCGCCGGACATACTCCGCGATGCATGCACGGACGACGTCCACGCGGCCGTGACCCCTGCTCTGGCCACGCACTCGTCGCGCGGGGCCGCGGGGCGCTGGAACGTAGCGGAGGCGCGTACGCAGCCCTAGCCACGCCGCCGCCGGCCCCAGCACGGCGGAGCGCGCGCAACGCGCGGGTGAGCCGTCGCCAGCTGCGCACCTTGGTCGCTGAGTGGGACCCCGCCCCTGCCGCCTCGCCGTCCTTCGCAGCGCCCGCTCCGTCCCCGCCTGCGATGGCCGTGGTGCGGGAACTCTCTGGTGCGCGCTGGAGGAGCCGAGATTCCTCACCGTCCACGCGCCAAGCGCCGACGAGGCAGGGTTCGATGCACCATGCTGGGTATCTAGGTCGCGGGGTTCGCAGAGTGGGGCAATGCGCGCAACGATGGCTTCTCCGTATTTCTCGCGAGCGGTTCGCGCGCGCAGAGGCCGCACGCGTGCGGCACGCGTGGCACGCGGGGCCACGCACCCTCCTCCTGCGCGGCGAGCTGCGCCGCGATCCGTTTCAGGCCCTTCTTGAGCCGCTTGTACCGCAGGAACAGCGACTCGTTCATGCTCGGGTTCTCATCTATGATCCGCTGAAGCACCTTGCCGAAGTGCATCGTGCCGGCCCCTGGATTCCTTCCCTCCACGCACCACAGGCACCACGCACGCACACGCAGTCCGCGCGCCGGCGCACACGGGCCGCACGCGCGCTCTTCCTCGCGACGCCGGAGCGAGCCCGTCGCGGTTTCGCGCCCCCACCGCGAACCGGAGACGTCCTGCGACGCTGCCGCGTCGCAAAACCACCCTAGCCTCTCTCTGCGCAACGGAAAGCGCCCCACGCTGCCGGGTCCGCGTCAGCGCGACTCTGCACGTGGCACGGGGGTGCGCGAGCTGTCGTGCCCGGGCCGCTCCCCCCCCCAGCACGGCCACGCGTCACCTGGGCCGGGTTCTACCTCGCTGCTTATTACTCCCCCCTTGGGGGTCGGAACGTCGGTCCGGCCGCGCGGGGACGCGTGGCACATCGCGGAGTATCCGTGGCGGTGAGCGTCTGGCGCTTGCGGCGATGCTATCGACGGCGCGCGGGCTGTTGCGTGCGGCGGGGGAGGGGGGGCCGCGCGGGGCGTGTGCGGCGCGCAGGGGCGGTGGCGCGGCGCGCAGGCGCGACGGGGAAGTGAGGAGGCGGGTCGCGGCGTGCGCGTGGCAGGGCGGTGTCGCAGGCGAGTGGGTTTTGTGCATGCTGGGCAGTGCGTCAAGGGCAGGGCGAGCGCGGGCGGGCGAGGGCCGCTTGCGCGTGTTTCGTCGAGCGGATCGCGTTGAAATATCCCCGCGGAGCCGTCCGTCGTCCGCGGCGGCGCGCCGAGCTGCGTCGAGTTCGCGCGGGTCCAAACGACGTCGCACCTCTTGCACCTGCGCGCAGGCGACGGGTTCGTCATTCTCGGCGCTGCTCCGGCGCCCAAAGCAACGACGACGGCGCCGCCAGGCGAATCGACGGAGGCCCACATCGTCGTGTACGGCATGCCTCCGTCCTCCGTTCAGGACGTGATGACTGGCGCCAGGCTCGCCCCCCTGGCGCCCGCGGCCGCGCAGAGCGCCGTCGTCGTCTACGGCGAGGACGCCTACGAAGTGATCGATTGCATCGACGTCGAACTGGTGCGAAACGCGCCCGCCGCGCGCGCTGCCCGCCACATGCGATGCTCCCACCAGAAAGGCCCCCGCGCGCTGCGCGCCTCGGATCGCAGAACGGCCCGCGCTGGCCCCCGCCGCGCCTCTCCGTGCTCAGCCTCCACCCTGCTGCCGCGTCGCGGCGCGTACCGCGCCCATGCGCCGTACGTTGGCCCGCGCTTTCTGCGACGCATCCCGCGCCGCGACCACCGCCCGCCCGCGAGGACGACGCCCTCCGCGAGCCCGCGCAGACGTCGCCCGGCACGGAGCGTCCCGAACCGACGAGTCCGTCCGGTAGGGACGGGGCTCTTTGTCGCACGCAGACCACACCGTCACGCCTCTCGGACAACGCACGCCGGGCCACGCGCCCGATCGAGCCCCCGGGCCTTGCTTCTCGCCTGCGACGGCCGCCCGGCGAGTTCCCGCAACCCTCCCTCGAACCCACCACCACCTCTGAACTTCCACACTCCCCCCCCCTGCCCCGCAGCTCTCCACGCCGATGCAGCTCCCGGGCGACGTGTGGATCGACGACGCTCCGCCGTCCCTCGGCGCCCCCGCCGAGCCCCTGGGCCACCTCCCCGCGCCCGCGGGCGCCACCAACGCGCCGCTGCCGCCCCGCCCCGCGCCGCGCCCGCAGCCCCGCGACCCCGGCCTCGACGACGAGAACGCCGTCGAGGTGCCCGCGTGGAAGGGCACAAGCCCGCGGCGCACGGCGCGCGTCCGCTTCAAGTGCAAGCCCTGCGGCACCGTGACCATCCGCCCCGTCAACCCGCAGGCGCTGCGCTCCGGCACCGTGCTCGCGGCGTGCGGGGGCTGCGGCGTCATCCACAAGCTGCGGGACCACCTCGGGGTGTTCCACGAGCTGGACGGGTCGTTGTACCCAACGGCGGGCGCGGCGCGGCAGGGAGCGGAGGCGAAGGTGGCGGACGCGCTGCAGGCGCTCGGGCTGCCGGACGGCGCGCCGGCGAGCGACGGCGTGGGGCTGGGGGGGCTGCGGGAGCGGCTGGAGCGGCGGCTGCGGCGACGGCGCGCGGAGGAGGAGTGATGGGGGGTGTGGGGGTGGGAGGCGACGGTGGCGCGGTGGGCGTGCGTGGTGCGTGCCCCGGCGGCTCTAGGGGGCTGCGGGCGGCGGGCGACGAGTGTGCGCGGTGCGAGGGAGGGCGCGTGGCGCGGTGTGAGAGAGGACGGTGCCTGCGCGCCGCGGGGCGCGGTTTCTGCTTCGTTCGGGCGCGCGTGAATGTGCTGGGAGGCTGTCGTCGGCTTGTGGATGGTTTTACAATCGAGAGTCGCCGTATCCAGCTGTGGCCCGCGCGCAAGCAGGCTGCGCCATGCTTGTTTGGGGTTGCCCGCCGCGCCGGTGGTTTGCAGAGTCGGTTTACTTGGCCTTGGTGCCCTCCAGGAGGTCAGTGATCACTGCAGGGGGGACTCGGGGCGTGGACTCGCGCGTGTGAGCGCCGGGGGCCATGCGTGGGGCAACTCCCGTGCACCCTCGCGCCAGGGTTCGTCTTCCGGCACCCGTCTCGCCGAATCCCGTGAGGGGAAACGCGGGCCTCGCGTGCCGTGCGCGGACGGCCGCGGGAGGTCCCGCTGGACCCCGCGGGGAGCCGAGAGCGCAGTTGCGCGTTCCGTAGTGTGCCGCGCCTCGACGACCCGGGCAGCCACGACCGACACGAACGCGTGCAGGGCCATCTCGACATGCGACCCACCTGACACGTCGGGCTTGCCGTCCTTCCAGTTGGTCTGCTTGAAGTAGACTGCCTCCCTGGCCTTGGCAGCGGCCTTGGGGCCCGGCTTCAGCGCCGACCGCACCGCCTCCGCGCAGGTGTTGGCGTACTTGAGGTACGAGATGCCCGCGTGCCGCCAGTACATCCTGAACCGCGCACCAGTCGTCGCAGCCTCGCACCAGGCACACACAACCTCCTCAGAACGCAGCTCCTGTCAGCACCGTGCTGTGCTCGCGACGCCGCCCCGAGAAACGCGCCTTCGTGGGACTAGGAGACTCTGCGCGGCCCGGCGCGCGCGCGCGCGCCCTGTGGCCCGCGCAGGAGCGCTGTTCGGCACGACTAAGGCCCCTGCGGGTCCGACCGAGCAGCACACGACGCGCGCGAAGCGTGCAGCCCCGCCGAGCCAGCGTGTCCGACCGCGGGAGACGCGAGCCGCTCGTTCCCACAAAACACGAGAAAACAAAACAAAAAAAACAAATAGCAAAGCATAACTCAACTACACACCGTTGCCATCGGTTCCCGCGGCGACCCAACGGGACGCAGAGGCCACATACTATTCACATCAGCTCAGCCTACTTGATCCACCGCGCGCAGCCCGACTCCTGCACAATGTGCCACACTGCCTCGGGGGTCGCCGACAGCACCTGCTCCCACACCTGCCCCGACCCGGGCTCGCACACCGCCCAGCTCCCCGCGCGGACCTCCCCCTCCAGCTGCCCGCGCACCCACGACGCGCTCCCGTGGAACACCGCCGCGAATCGCGACGCCCCAGCGCGCGTCTTCGCCCCAGCAGCGGGCCCGCCCTGCGCGGCCGCCGCCGCCGCCGCCGCCGCCGCCGCCGCCGCGTTCGGATCCGTCCCGCTGCTGCCCGCCGTCTCGCTCGACCCGAGCCACGTCCCGACCAGCCCGACGCCTAGGTCGATGCCTTGATCATGTGGCCACACATCAGGGCCCGACCCGAGTGGCTCCCACTGCCCGACGGGCGCGCCGGTGAGCAGGAGGCGCACGGCGGACCAGAAGCGGTCCGAGGCCGTCGCCTGCTTGCGCTGCGCGGTCGCGGCGGGCGGCCACGCGCCCCCGTCGGCGGGAGCGCCGTCGCCTGCCGCCGCCGCGCCCTTGGTGGCGTGCCGCGCGCCTGCTGCGGCAGCGCCCGTGCCGTACACGTCGCCGCCGACGAAGAGGTCCGGGGGGGGTGTTCCGGTGCAGAACGGGGCGTCGGGGTCCTCGGAAGGAATGAAGGATATCTTGGGGGGGGAGTCCGACGTGGCAGCGACGCGGCAGGCCACGCGCAGCGGCAGCCGCGTGGCGCCGGGCACGCCCGGGATGCCGTGGAGCAGCGTGCGCTCCGACCCGAACCCGACAGGCCCCCCGAGGCGGTGAGACACCCCCGCGTCGCCCAGCAGCACTCCCCCCAGGGCGTCCGACCCCGCGCCGGCGTCCGCGCCGTCCTCGGACCACGACGGCGCGTGCAGCCCGCCGGGGCCGAGGCTCCGCGGGTCCAGCGGGCGGTTCAGCATCACGCCGCGCGCGCCCGCGCTCGAGTGGTCGTGGAGCAGGATGACGGACTGCATCGCGGGCAGGGGGCACAGCGCCGTGAAGGCACGGCCAGAGCGGCACCGTGGGGCCGCGGCAGAGCCGCGCGGCTCGGCGCGCAGTCCCCGAGGCACACACATCGCAGATCGCATCGATAATGCATGAACATATATGGAATACTATATGGATCGTGACTGAATAGATGGAAATGTCCGGAACGGAACGGGTCCGCACCTGTGAGAAGATGGAGCCGTCCAGGCCGTCCGAGGCGATGAGCAGGGAGCCGCGGCCGAGGCCCGGGACCGCGGAGCCGTGGCGGATGAATGCGAGCGCCAGGCGGCCCTCGGGGTTGACGCGCATGACCACGCGCAGCCCGCGCAGGTGCAGCGACATGAGGAGCGCGCCGGAGGCCATCAGGACGAGCATGAGGAGGGAGTGCGACCTGCAGGGATGGAGCGTGCGGCGCCGCGGGTGCGTGGGGCGGGCGGGGGGGGCGGGTTGCATAGGGGGGTGTTGTGCAGGTTGTGTGTTGTACCTGGTGCCGAGGAAGAGCATGCCGAGGAGGAGGACGTGCGGCCAGGGGGGTCCGGAGAGGCCGAGGGCGAGGAGGGCGACGCAGAGGACGCCCGCGAAGCCGCGCAGGCACGAGGTGGTGCGCTGTGCGAGCGCGCGGCGCGGGGGCGGCAGCGTGAACTTCGAACAGCACACCAGGCAGCGGTACGCGCGGTCGTCGGCCTGTCCGGACGGCTGCATCGCGGCGGCGCGGGGCGGCGGCGTGCGCGTCGGTGCGTGGGTGCGTAGCGCGCAGGGTGTGGAGGCACTAGGCGGGTGTGGAGGCGCGGATGGGGCGGGCACGCACGTGCGCGAGGACGGACTCTTGCCACTTGCGGAGGCACGCGGCGTGGACGTACTGGATCGAGCCTGCAGCGGCGCGGGCGGGCGAGGGTAGGGTGCGAGCTGAGGCGGGGTGTGGGGTGGTTGCGGGGCCCGCGCGGGCTCGGCGCGGACGGGCGCGGCTGGCCAGGGAGTGTGGCGTGGCGTGGGCGCGCTGGCTGCTCCGGACCGCCGGCGAGGACGCCGGGCGGGAGCGCTGCCCAGGGGAGCCACGCCGGGTCGCGCCGGGCGGTGCGTCGAGAATTTCGCGGCGTTGTTCGGGGCCGCGAGGCCTCCGGTGCGGAAGCTCGCACGTCGGGCCGCGAGGGCGGCCGGGGCGCCGCAGAGCGCGCGCGCAGGGGCGTACCAGTGCACTGGCAGGGGCTCTCGAGCGCTGCGATGGCGGATATCTGGAAGCAAATGCGGCACGTGGCGACTTTGAAGGTCTCGAAGGGGTCCTGGCACGGCGCGGCGCCCGCGTCGTCCATCTTGCGCAGCGCCACCTCGTTATGGCTCGCCCTATCAGCGCCCCCCGCCGGCTGCAGGTTCGTGTCGCTGAGCGAGTGCCGCATCACGCTCGGCTGTCCTGGCGACGAAGCCTCCGTGGACATTCCAGGACGCTCGTCGCTCGGCGCCCAGCCGACGCGGTTCGGCTGCTTGGGTGCGCGATGCTCTCCCAGCCTTGTCCGCGGGTAGCGCCCTGGCGCAGCGTGGGCCGCGCGCCGCCGACGACGAACTTGCCGCGCAATGCCGCGAGCTCTCCGCCCCGCGCACGCGCTCTGCGAGCGAACGCCGCCCGGCACCGCGCGCGCGAGGCCGTTGGCGCAGTTGCCCTGGAGCGCTGCGCTGTCAGTCAGACAGTGCGCCTCGCGCGGGTCTGCCGCTGCGAGGACGGTGCCAGGGCTCGGAGCGAGCGGAACTGGCCGGTTGCGCGCCCGCGCGCGGCGTCTCGACGCCGGGGGAGGAGTGTGGATCCTCTGGGCACTTGACAGCAGCGGATGCGGGGGCCCGTCACGCGGCCACGCCGCGCGGAGGCGGCCGGCGCCATGGCCGCGCCGGTCCGCGCGCAGCGCACACACACCGCAGCGGCCGTGGATAGGCGAGAAACGCGTCGACGAAGACGAGAGAAGGCCGCGGAGCTCGCGTGGCACACCGCAGACGACAATTTGCGCGGCGCCGCGGGTTTCCTCGGAATCCGGCGTTGCGGCAGGATACATTGCCTGCCGGACGGCCGGCTCGCGAAGTGTCGCGGGCAGGGAGGGTCTAGGCCACCGCGGGCAGGGCACGAGAGCCATGCACCAAGAGGCTCTCTCCCGCCGCTGATTAGCGCTTTCTCCGCGTCGTCGCGGCCGCACGGCCGCGCAGCATCATGGAGGACGCAGCGGGCCGCCGCGCGGTCAAGTCGGCCTCGACGATGAAGCGCAGCGCGAGAGAGAAGCCCCCGCTCCGTGCCACCGCTTCCGTGCGCCCACGGCCGGTCACGGCCTCCTCAGCCGGTGCGCTCCCTTGCACCCGTAGCTACGTCCGTTCTGCGCCGTCTCAGCGCGAGAAATCGCGGAATCACGCCGCGGGGCGGACGCCGCCGCGCGGCGCCCGTTGAAGCATGCCCGTCGACAGCGACGCGCCGGGCCCGCGAGTGCGCCGCGGCTCCGGCCCCGACGCCCGCGCCCGGCGCTCGCTGGCTCTCCGGGGCGTGCGGGCCGCCGCTCGTCCGGCGCGCAGCCCCGGCGCCCGCGGCGCCGTTGCCCCGCGTTGCGGGCGGCGACAAGCACCGCGGACGCCCGCCGGGCCCCGGGGCGCGGCCGAGCGCCCGCGACGCCGCCGCCGCCGCCGTGAGCTCCGCGCGGAGCGCCCGCGCGCAGAAAACGCGGAACTCCGCGCCGCACGCCGCGCGCCCCGCGACAGCATGCCGGCGTGGCGCTCTTGAAGCGGCCCGGCGCCCCAGCCGCGCCGCGGCAGCACCTCCCGCGCGAACCCGCCCTGCTGCGCGCACACATGATCAAAGAGCCATTTTAGCCGGCTGGAGATCCGTAATGCCGCTCGTACGGCGCGCACGGCGCCCGCGCAGCAGTGTTCAGTCACTCCGGCTGCGTCCGCGGCGCCCACGCGGCCCGGGCCCGCGCGGCCCGCCGCCGTCGCCACGCACGACGGTCTCCTCGAACGCTCCAGCGCGCCGGGGCCCGTCCCGCGCGCTCCGCGGCGCCGCCGCACCGCCCCACCCCCACGCGTCGCCGTGCTCGTCGCCTGCAGCGCGGCGCACGACGTCCGGCCCCACGGACGTCCTCGACGCCATCCAGAAGCTCGAGGCGGAGTCGCAGGACCGCGCCGCGGCGCTCGCGGCCATCCAGACGCGCCTGAAACACACCCAGGACGAGAACACGCGTCTTGCATCCGAGGTGCGTCCGCGCGCGACGCGCCTGGCCGCGCACGCGCGCCCGCGCGCTCCCGCGCCTCTCCGCGCCTCGGAGAGCCCCGCCGTCGAGCGAGCGCCGCTGGTCCGGGCAGCTCGCACGCGCATTGCGCCGCGCGACGTGAACGCGCCCGCGTGGGCCGCGCCCGTGTGCGTGCAGAACGCGGGGCTGCGGGAGCTCGTCGGCGCGGAGAACGACGCGCGCGTGAGCAAGTGGCTCGAATCGAACCAGGGCCTGTCGGACGTGCGCGCGGCGGGGGTCGCGGACGCCCGCGATGGCAGGAGGGGTTCCGTCGCGGACGAGGGGGAGGACGGCGGCGGCGGGGGGGGCGGCGGGTCGGCGGATCGCGAGCGCAGGACGTTCAGGGACGTGCCGGAGGAGCAGAGGGAGCTGGAGATGGAGGTCGACCGGCTGAAGCACATGGTCGAGATATCGAGGTGCGCGCGGCGCGAGGCCGGCGCTTTGTCGCCGCGCTCGCGACGAAATAAATGGCAAATCGTCCGGGACGGCCGCGTTCCGGCGGAGAGGGCGCGGCGGCTGCGGAAGCCACGGCCGTTGCGGTCTTCAACGCTCGTGGGCCGTCAGCGCGTCGCGCCGGCTGCCAGGCTCCCTCACCGCCCCGCGGAAAAAACAGCGTTTGCCGCGAACACGACGCGGAGACGGAACTCCTTGTGCACGAGGAGGGGCCCCCGTGCACCCGGCGCGACGCAGGCCTCAGGCGAGCCGCGCTGCTCCTGCGGCGCCGCCCCGAACCGCACCTCGCCGTCTCCGCCCCCGCGCGGCGCAGGAACGAGGCGAACGAGCTGCGCTCGACGCAGGACGACATCGAGAAGCGGTGGCGCAAGCGCCTCAGCCACGAGATCGAGCGGATGCGCCGCGTGCACGCGGTGACGGAGAACGTCCTCGAGAAGGAGCGCGCGGAGGCCCGCGAGGTCGCGCAGCAGCTCGCGGACGCCCGGCAGGAGATATCCGGACTCAGGGACCGCGTGGCGCACACGGCGGACGCGCGGGACCTGCGGCGCGCGGAGCAGCAGGTCGTGCAGTACTCGCTGGCGCTCGAGCTGCAGCGGAAGGCCAACAGCAAGGACGTGAAGGACGCGCAGGCGCTCATCGACGCCGAGAAGGAGCTCGTCGCGCAGCTGCGGCAGGTGCGCGCCGATCGCTGTTTGTTGCTCGCTGCGCACGTGCTCTCCCGCGCATCACAGGCCGGACCGGGCGGCCGCGGTGACGGCACGGCACGAAACTGCCTGCTGTGCGTCTCTTGCCGACGTCGCGCCTCTCCGTGGTCTCGCGACCTGCCCGCCCGCGCACACGCCCGCTCGCTCGCTCCGCCGGTGCTTCGCGCAGGAGGCGAACGACGCCCGCGCGGACATCGTGTCGCTGCGGGACGCGCTCGAGGCGGCGCAGGTCACGCTCGCCAGCAAGGACAACGAGCTCAAGGCGAAGGACCGCGAGATCCTCGAGCAGCAGGCCGTCATCCGCGTCCGCGAGCAGCAGGCTGCGCAGATCCGCGCGATCCAGGCCGAGGTCGAGTCGCTGCGGTCGTCGGGGGTGATTGACGTGCCCTCGCAGCCGCTGCTGCAGCTGCCGCCCGTGGGCGAGGCGAGCAGCGACAACGCCTTCGCGGCCGCGGACCACGCGAGCTACATCGTGACGGGCGGGTCGATCGTCTCGCAGAGCAGCCGCGGCGAAGTGTCGCAGTCCGGGTCCGCGCCACCGCCCGCCAACCGGTCGACCGTGAAGTTCGAGGGCCCCGCGCCTGGCGCGGCGGCGTCCGTGCTGACCGGCGTGAGCGAGGAGCCGCGGCCCAGCGGGGACGCCCCGGGTAGCGACGCGGGGGGGTCCGCGCACGACCCCCCCGGGGGGCCGCAACGGCGCGGGCGGTCGAAGACGGCGCGCCGGGCGCGGCTCGGGCGCAGCGCGGCGCCCGCGGACCAGTCTCCGGCCCCGGACGCCCCGCAGCCCGCGGGGGGGAGTGGATCGCCCGGGTCGGACCTGCGGCGCATGTCGACGGGCCGCACGCGGCGGTCCAAGTCCCGCGACCGCGGGTCGAACCTGTGGCGCGGCAGGAGCGGCGCGGCCGCGCTCTCCCGGCAGGACGTCAAGGACTCGGAGGAGTACAAGAAGCTGCGCAAGGACTACGTTGCCGCCACGAAGGAAATCAACAAGCTGCAGGAGGCCGTTGCGAAGCTGCGGGGGGAGCTGGCGGAGGCGTACCACGTGGACGAGACGCCCGAGGAGCAGCGGGCGCGGATCCAGGAGTCGCTGCGGTCGAAGTCCATTTGGGCGGAGGAGGAGCTGGCGGTGACCAAGCTTGAGTTGAAGGTGGTGGCGGCGCGGATCCTGCAGGCGGAGCAGCTGGCGTGGCACAGCCGCGGCGTGAAGGTGGCGGTGGAGCAGCAGCTCGAGGAGACGCACGCGGAGCTGCAGGGCGTGCGCACGGAGCTGTCGGAGCGGGTGGCGGAGCTGACCGGGGTGCGCGGGGAGCGGAACGAGCTCGAGGAGCAGCTGACGGAGGCGCGCGGGGTGATCGCGGAGCACGAGGGGACGATCGCGGACCTGCGGACGACGCTGGTCGACGTGCGCGCGGCGGCGGAGGCCGCGGCGGAGCACGCGGCCGCGGAGCTGGCGGAGGCGCGCCGGACGGCGCGCTTGGAGACGGCGGAGCTGCGCGACACGGTGCAGGCGCACGAGGCGCGCATCGCGGAGCTCGAGGGCACGCTCGAGACCGTGGAGGGGGATCTGTTGCAGGAGACGGAGTTCCTGTCTGACCTGGCGGCGAACGCGCTGATGGACCTGACGCTGGAGCAGGTGGAGCGCGACGTGGTGGACGAGACGCTCACGGACGCCCAGGCGCAGGCGCTGCAGCGCCAGGGGCGGATCGAGGCGCTGGAGGCGGCGCTGGAGGACGTCACGGGCGAGCGGGACAGGCTGCGCGCGGAGTGCGAGGGGCTGAAGGAGGCGCGCGCGGCGGAGCAGGCGGAGCTGCGCGCGCGCATCGCCGCCGTGGAGGAGGCCAAGGCGGAGAGCGACGCCGTGGGCGCGCGGCTGCAGCGGGAGGTCGACGCGGGCATCTCGCGGCAGGAGGTGCTGATGCACGAGCTGGAGGCGGCGAAGCGGCAGTGCGTGCAGACGCTGGACATGGTCAAGGCGCGCGAGGAGGAGCTGGACGCGACGGTGAAGCGGATGCAGCGGACGCAGAAGCGCGCGCTCGAGCTGGGGAAGAAGATGGAGCAGGCCGAGCAGGAGATGATCGACCTGCGCGGGCAGCTCGAGGTGCTGCGGAGCCTGCTCGACGCGGAGAAGACCAAGGTCCGCGAGGCGAACGACCGGCTCAAGAACCAGCGCAAGAAGCTGCTCGAGGAGACGGCGCGCGCGGACCTGTCGGAGAACGCGTTCGCGTCGCTGCAGAAGCGGCTGCAGGGGCTCCAGGAGCGCTCGATCGAGCGCGTGCAGGAGGCGCAGCTGTACAAGGAGCGCGAGGAGCGGGCCATGAAGGAGGTGGCGGCGCTCGAGGAGCGCCTGGACGAGTGCGAGGCCGAGCTGCGGCGGTCGCAGGAGCGCGTGGCGGCGCTCGAGAGCGCGGGCGACGCGGAGGAGAGCCAGCGGCTGGTCGTGGCGCTCACGCGCAAGTGCCACGAGCTCGAGCGGTCGGTGGACGCCAAGGAGAAGAAGATCCGCGGCCTGCTGTTCTTCGCGCACGAGAAGGACGTGAAGATCGACGACCTCGTGGACCGCAACGGGGACCTCGAGGTCCGCCTCGAGTCGGTCGAGAACCAGCTCGCCAAGTACGTAGGCTTTGAGCTCGGGGGGCACGGGTCGCTGGTGCGCGAGCTGGTGGGCATGCGCGCCAAGGTGAGCGAGCTCGAGGCGCGGTGCGCGGAGCGCGTGAAGCTCGCCGAGCGCCTCCAGCGGCAGCTCGCGGAGTCCCGGAAGCTGCAGCGGCGCGCCGAGGAGCAGCGCTACCACACGGAGGCCGAGTTCGCGACGCTGAAGAGCAAGGTCGCGGAGATGGGGCTCGTGGACGAGGTGGACCGCGAGCTGCAGAAGGCCAAGCGCGAGGGCGAGGCCAAGCGCGCGCAGGTGCGTGCCGTGACGTCTGGGACTGCCTGCGTTGCTGTTGCAGCCCCGCGCGCCGCCGCGCGCCGCGCCGTGCGCTGAGCGGCTCCGCGCGCCGCCGCGCGCCGCGCCGTGCGCTGAGCGGCTCCGCGCGCCGCCGCTTTGTGTGCAGATGATGAGCCGGATCAAGCAGGTGATCGACGACGCGAAGGACCGCGGCGGCGTGCCCACCGAGCGCGAGCGACGCAAGGACCGGATCATCCAGGAGCTCACGCGGCAGCTGCGGCTCGCGGACGACGCCGTGAAGGAGCAGCACAACCAGTCGCACATCGCCGTGCTGCAGATGAGCGACGACCTCACGAGGGCCAAGCAGGAGGTCGGCCGACTGCGCAACATCATCTACCGGCTGGGCACGGCGCCGCAGCCCGTGCCGGACCCGGAGGAGAGCCAGGTGCTTCGCGGGACGACGGTGCCGCCGTCGAGCAAGGTCGCGGCGCGCGTGCGGTCCGCGACAGTTCGTGCGTCGCCGGGGAGCGGCCTGCGGTCGGCCGGCGGCTCGCCGCCGCAGGTGCGCCCCGGGCCGGGCACCGCGCCCGCGGGCGCGTCGCGGCCCGTGCCCACCCGCGCCGTCTCGATGCCCGCGCAGCCCTCGGCGGGCGTCCCCGCGCGGGCGTCGTCGCCGGGCGCCATGGCGTGGGACTGGGGCGGCTTCCAGCCCGTCGAAGTGGGCGCCGCGGGGGGCGCGCAGGGCTTCCCCGCGGAGGCGTGGCCGTCGCGGCCGGGCTCGCAGATGACGGACCGCGGGCCTGCGTCAGGCCGGGAGTCCCCCGTGTTTGGCAACCCGTCGACGCGTCCAGGGTCGGCGGTGTCGGGGATCTCCACGACGCTGTACTCGCACAGGCCCGCGGGGCGGCCGTCCGGCGGCGCGCCCGCGCACCGCTCGGCCAAGGGCGCGCGGCCCATCTCGGCGTGCGGCCCGCACCGCGCGGCAGGGGCCGGCGGCGCAGCGCACGTCGCCGCCGGCGGCGGCCGCCGCCGCGGGGCCGAGCGCGGCGCACACGGCGCTGACGCGGCGGAAATCGTCGGCGCGGCGCCCGCTCAGCGCGGCGCCGGCGATGCCGTCAGTGGTCGAGTCGTCCCAGGAGGGTCCGGCGCTGCAGGCAGTGCTGGCGTCGCAGCGCAGCGCCGCGCGCCGGCAGCGCGAGGCGGCGGCGTCCGCGGCGCCCGACGAGCTGGACAGCGCGCTGTCGATGATGGATCTGGTGAAGGAGGCGGGTGCGCCGAAGGAGCCCGCGCAGGGCGGCGGAGGGGGGGGACTGTTGCAGGACATCCTGCGGGAGGAGCGGAGCGCGGAGGGCGGGAGCGTGGGTGCAGCGAGCGGGGCTGGGCGCGCGTCGCGCGGCCGCGGGAGCGGCGAGGAGCACCACACGGGGGGGGAGCAGGGGCGCGGGAGGAAGGTGTGGGTCGTTGGCGACGACGTAGGGGCCGCGCAGGACGCCGCGGATGAGCGCGGCGCCGTGGCTGGCGGTGGCGAGGAGCGCGCGGGCGCGGGTGCGGCGGGCGGCGCTGCGGAGGGCCCGGAGGGGGATGGCGCGGGGCCTGCAGGCGACGAGGTCGCTGTGGACGCGTCCGCGACGGGTGCTGGCGCCGGCGGCGGTGAGGGGCGGGGAGCGGAGCTTGAGGAGCCGGTGCGGTCGGGAGGCGAGGCGGGGAGTGCGCACGCGGACAGCGGCGGTGAGCCTGCCGGTGGCGGGGGCGCCGCTGGCGTTCCCGCGGTGGGCGTCGACGCGGACGGGGGCGCGCAGGAGCCTGCGGCGGAGGGCGAGGGCCCCGGCGCGGCGGACGGGGAGGCGGGGGGCGCGGACGTTGGCGACAGGGCGCGTGTCTCGGCGGGCGAGGGCGCCGCCGATATGCCCGCGGCGGGCGTTGGCGCGGACGGAAGAGGCCACGGGGCCGAGGGGGGGGTCGACGCAGCCGGCGCGGGCGTCGGTGGAGGTGGCAACGTCCCTGCGGGCGGCGAGGGTGCTGTTGGTGTTCCCGCGGCGGGTGTTGGCGCGGACGGGGGCGGGCAGGCGGCCGGGGCGGGAGACGAGGACCTCGATGTTCATGCGCGCGAGGCGAGCGCGAAGAGGGACCAGTACGGGCACCTGTTGATGTGATTCTGTGCAGGTGGTGCGGGGGGTTGCGTGCACTGCTGGCGCGTCTCAAGGGGTCGGCAGCGAGCTCAGGGACCGCGCTTGGCGTTCGGCCAGCGGGGCGGCCGCGCACGTGCGCCGCGGTGGCGTCGCGCGGGCCGAGTGGGCAGCTGCCTTGGTGATGTCCTGGACGGGGCATCTGGCCTCGGGGCAGGCGTGTGGGGCATGCGCCGCGTCGCGGGACGTGCAGGAGGCATGCATGGTAGCGCTCCCAGGGATCGGCCGAGGAGCGCGCGGGTCGTGTGGGGAGTCGCGCCAGACCGACGGCACTGTGGTCGAGCGCCTCGAGGACTGGCCCGAGTGCGTCGTTCGCGGCATATTTGCCGCCGCCGAGCGCCCTCTTCGGCCACACACGAACAAGTATATGTTATCGCGATACGTGCCATGGGCTGCTTCGGCTTCAGACGACGCACGCGCGTCGACCCTCACGACGACCTTGTAGCGGCAGTCGCTGCGTCTGGTCACAGCAATATATTCGCCGCGGGTTCGTCCAAACGAGGAGGTGCCGGGGCGAGGGTGGAGACCCTCAAAGCCAAGTACTCGCAGCCTCTCTCGGGCGCCACGGGCGGTTCTTGCCACGCACGGTTCAGCTCGGTGAGCGGCCCGGACTCGCAGCCACTCGACACGATTATAGTGCTTCGCATGTGCATCGCGACCCCGCTCGCGCCGCACGCGCTGCGCCCCTCAGCTCGTCGCGCTCCCATTGCGTGACCAAAGACGAGGTCACGTAACCACATACACGTCTTCGAGACGTCAAGCGCGCGTCTTCGGGGACATCACTAGAGCAACAGCGACCGCTCACGCGTCGAAAGTGACGCTCGCGCCCGCATTCGACCCTGCAGACCGCTGGAACGAAGGTCACGCCTCTCTCTCCTCGCGGCAGCGGCGCACAGGGCACCACGAGGATAGGCGCCATCCAGATGCGTTCTCTCAACGGCGCAGACTCCCTTCCCCTTCGTAAGTACCCGGATGGGGGCCCCGCCTGCCCTCGCCGCCCATCCGAAAAACCAGCCCCACCAATCAGTGTCGCCTCCTGCGGCGCGACCGCGCAGCGACGCCGCCGTCCAACGCCAGGCCCTGCAGCCGACCGCTCTCCATGCGACCGCGGCCGCGCTCGTCCGCCCGCCTGTGGTCCCGCTGCCGCGCGCCGCGGCCGTGAACCCTCACATCGCGTCATCGCGCCGCTCATGGTTTGTCACAGCGAAAATCGCGCTCCTCCGCCGCTCGCAGCCATCGCCCGGTCGTCCAAGCACTCGACGACCGGGGCGAGCCCGGCCCAGGCGGGTCGCAAGTCCCGTTCGCGGCGCGTGAGCTGCGCGGCGCAACCAGTGAGCCGGGTACACCAGGTCAGCACCGCGCGCGCTCCCGGCCCCCTGCTGCGCGCGCATTGCGCCCGGAAACTATTCTTGACGCCATGTATGACCTTGGAGGCCGGATTCATGGTCCGCAGATCCCTCAGGAGAGCCGTTTGGGGAACATGGCCCTCCAGGGGGCACGGTCGCGCGAGACGGCTCATCGAACGTCGTCCGTGACGCATAGCCGCACGTCCAGGCCGAGGTCGACGATGGGCGGGCACAGGGACTTCGTGCGCCACATTTCCGTGTCCAGGAAGGCGCAAGGTGCGTGCGTGGTTGCGTGCAAGGGTGGGACACGAAGGCGTGTGGCGCCTACGCACGCCTGCACGCGATGCTCAGCGCGCGCGCGCTCCCCCTTCCGCCCTCGACGTGCAGGTCGCCTCGGCGCGTCCGCCTGCGAGGGCGCCCTGTCGCCCGAGGGCAACCGCCACGTCGCCAAGGCGCTCGAACAGGCGCAGCGCATGCTCACCGGCGCCGAGTCGGACGACGAGACCGACCACGACCAGGCGCGGCACCAGGACTTCACGCAGGGCGGCGCGTACTGGGCGGAGAAGATGGGCGCCCACGAGCGCATGATGCGCCAAGTGTGCTTCTGACGCCCGCGCGGGCGTCATCCGGCGTGGCCCGGGGCGGAATCAAATCATGCGCGGGAGCGAGCAGGTTGCGCTGCGCGTCCTTCCCCCCAGCCTCGAACCCCCCTCCCTACAACCCCCCCTTTGCCCCGACACCCGCAACGAATGCGCGTGCGTCTCCAGACGACGCAGCCCGCCCAGCGACAGCCCCATCGCTTCGCGGCCCACGCAGCCCGAGCGCCTCCCGCCCACACTCGCCGCGCCTCCGCGCGCCGGCACGCACACACCCCCCGCCCCCCTCCGCCCCTCGTAGAGCCGCCACACGATGCGCTCGGACGATCGAGCCACTGCCCTCGCCGCACCGCCCGGATGATCTTCGTCTCGGTAGCCGCGGACGCGCATATCCCAGCCCAGAAGCGACCACGCGGCCGTGCACGTGTTGTGTTCACGTGTCGTTGCGTCAGGACAGTCCTGACGCCATACAAGCCCACGCAGGCGTGGGGATCGAGAACGGCGCAGGCGCCCGCGTAGCTCCCTTGCCTGCAGCCGCACCTTCCTCAAATGCGCCTTCTCTGCGCCCCGACGCTCCTCCCAAGGTCGAGACAGCACGCCAGACCCCCCCAATCACGAACCCCCCCCTTTCCCAGCAGCTTCTCGTCTACACGTAGAGCTGCCTGTGTTGCCCCCGCTACCCTCCCCCTACACTCCCCCTCACAGCCACAGCGTTGTCCGGTTTCAGACCTGCTTGGCCCACGCAACAGTTGCGTGCCGCCGACCTGAACCTCGGCCCTCGCCCCCGCGCACACGCGCGCGGTCCTGCCACGCCGCACCAGGCCGGCCGGCCGGGGCCCGCAGTTGCGCTGCACCCAGGACACCCGATAGACACGAACTCGAAACTTGCACAGCACGTGGAGACACAAACGTGCGCCCACGTGTGTTTGGACGTCCCACCTGACATGATGTGGCGTGGCGTGCGGCTCCCAGAGCGGCCGACGCACCCTGTGGTGGTACGCGACGACGATGGTCTCCTCCCGGCATGCCACGTTGCTGCGCGTGAGAGACGAGCCCCGGAGCGGGGCACGAGACCCCCCCGGGGTCGTGTTTGATTCCGCCCCGCGACGACGCGCTCGACGCGACCCCTGCGCTTGCCTCGCCGCCGCGGCTGTGCTGCGGGCGAGGCGGACGAAGGCGCAGGGGCCTTGCATGCATTTTGTGACGTCGAAGTGCCAAGCGGCGAAAGCGCAGTCCTTTTCTTCCGTGTGCGCTGCGGTGCCTGACGGGCCCGCCTGCGCGCAGCCGGCGGGGCTGCCGCGTGCGCGCACCTGCACGGCCGCAACGCGTCCTGGCGCAGGCGGACCCTTGTTCAACGCTCTGCGCGTCACCTGGCCCCGCAACGGTCGTTTCGCGGCCCTCGCGAGAGAACCAGGCAAGCGCCGCCTGCGCTGCCCGGCGTCAGGCGAGGGGCGCGCGGGGGGGGCTCACGGGACGGCGCATTCGAGATGTCGTAAGTTGGGGCTGACCACGCTCGCGGCCCGACCGCGACGTTCGCGGCAACTTGACCGCCCCCGGTCGCGCTCGATCGACACAAACGAGGTTCTCAGCACCTCAACGAGACGCATCATGGGCTGCTTCGGCTTCAAACGGCGCACGCGCATCGTCGATCCGGTGCTCGGGGGCGAGAACGTGCGGTCCACGATGTCGGGCCAGAGCACGATGCCGATTCGCGGCGCTTCGTCCAGGAGAGACATCATGAGGATGGACACGCTCAAGGCCAAGTACTCGCAGCCCGTCGCGCGGCCCAAGGCCGCCACCAGCTCGGTCCACGGGCGGCAGAGCTCGGTGCGAGGCCCGACACGTCCGACGGCACGGCGGCCGCGCGAACCGGGACGGTCGAGCACGTTCCGACCCGAACATTCGCGCAGCGCCGCGCTCCCCGGCTTCCCCCGATCCAATTCACGCGAGGGCGCCGCTGTACTGAGTCTCGTTCGTTCCGCAGCACCTCGTGACGTGACGAGATGTCGAGGGTCCTCACTCGGTCATTCTGTCTATTTTCTCCGCATCCGTCGTTCGAGACGGCCCCTCGCGTCCTCCCACCGGCCGTGCAGGGCATCGCACGGATCATGCCCGCCCCCTCGGCCAGCCGCACGGCACTGCACACTGGGTCGAGAACCACCGGGCCCATGCGCTCCATGATCGAGACAGTCTCCGTTCCGCTGCGTGAGATCCTGCCCCCCGCGCTGCTCGCGCCCTGGCAGCCACTCCTGCTCACAGCAAACACCCTACGCTCCCTGCGCGGCGCACCCGCGCGTCCAACATGCGCGTTCGGCACATCCAGCCCTTGTCCTGTTCATGAGTGCCACGGAAACGCGCGCATCGTCCCCCCGCGATGGCCTCCGCGAGCGGAGGCAGCGCTACCTCCCACCGTGACGTGTGGCTCACGTCACCACGATCGCGCCCACGCGCGCCGCTCGCAGAGACGGCCCCGTCCATCAAGGCAGCCCCCGCCTCACGCGGCAGGAGCCCGGCTCCCGCGGCGAGCAAGTCCATGCGGGTGTCGAGCTGCGCCCCCGGGTCCAGAGCAGCAGGGCTGCGGGTGCAGGCACGACCACGGCCACGCGTGCCCCAGCTCCAACCGCCCTGGCAAGCACCGCACTGCGGAACACGACCGCCGACTGCCCTCGATGCACGCCTGCGCAGGTGCGCGAGGACGCTCGCCTCGGGAGCATGAAGCAGCGCGCCAGCGAGACCACCCAGCTGAAGCCCGCGCTGCCGAGGTCGCGCTCCGTGACCCAGAGCCGCATGTCGAGGGTGCCTAGGTCCACCGTCGGCGCGCACCAGGACTTCGTTCGAACCGTCTCCAGGAAAGCCCAAGGTGCGCTCTCGCTGGCCGTCGCCAACGCTGTTGTTGCTGCTGCGCCCGTGGGTGCCCCGCCGGTCTCATCCTCAGCGTCCGCGCCCCGGCCCGACGCAGGAGGCCACCGTCGCGGCGTGTCCTTCTGCGAGGGCGCCCTGTCCCCCCTGGCAGCCGAGGGGGGAACCAACCGCCACGTCGCCAAGGCGCTCGAACACGCCCAGCGCATCCTGCTTGCCGAGTCGGACGACGAGACCGACCACGACCAGGCGCGGCACCAGGACTTCACGCAAGGCGGCGCGTACTGGACGGAGAAGATGGGCGCCCACGAGCGCATGATGCGCCACGTGTGCTTCTGACGCCCGCGCGGGCGACATGCGCGCGTGGCCCGGGGCGGAACCATGCGCGGAAGCGTGGCCGATCGCGCCGCGCGTCCTTCCCCCCAGCCTCGAACCCCCCCTTCCTGAACCCCGTCATCACCTCCTTCACCCCCCCTTCCCTATTCACTATTCGTGCCGTGCATCGCGAGGCGATGCAACGTGTTCGCTTTGCCACGCATGCATCCATGTCTGCCATCCGCGCAGCTGGCTCAAGCCGCGCCACGCACCCGAGCACCACGTTTTGTGTTGCGGACAGCGCCCGCGCACGCGCCTTGGCACGTGATGCCTTCTGCGCGCCTCGACGCCGAGCGAAGTTTTCGCGAGCACACGACGACCAAGACAGCCGTGCAAACCCCCCCTCCGCCCCCCTGGCTGCATCTCAAACGTCTCTGAGCCGCGCGATCCACACTTCGACGTGTGCTGCACATACACAGCGCGGGCTGAACGAAGACGACACACGCGCCACGTCTATCCTTCAGTGCCTGCAAATGAACCTCGCTCACTCGCCTCTTCTCCGCTCCCGCTGCACCCAGCCGAGACCCCCCATGTCTGCGTACTCCCCCCTCCCGCGCCCAGCAGCCGATATCTTCCGTACGAAGAAGTCCGCTTCCGCACCCCATCCCTAATACGTCCCTCACTATCCCTGGATACTATGATGCGGAAATGTCCCCCCCCCAGCAATGCCCCCCCCGTCAAGCTGCCAGATATGCACCCCCCTGCCCCGCGCGTACGCCCCCCTGACCGTTGCGCCCTACACGCCACTCGACGCCCGTGTCGTTGCGCGTGAGGCGCGGCCCCGCGGCGAATTTCGGGTTTTTCGAACGTTCGCAAGACATTGACATGCCAGTGCTCCCGTCCGGCCGCCGGGCCGTGACGAGGCGCCCGATGCGAAGCATGCGCTCCTGCCGCGCGAAGATCCGCACCTCTTGCGCCCGCGAAGACGAAGACGGGTGTCGAAGACTCCCCCCCCCTCGACACGTGTCCGTCCCTGTGCGAACCCGTGCCGCCCACGCACCAACTTGCCCGCCTGCCCCCCGCGCGCAATCTGCGCCGGCGATCCCGCTGCCTTCCGCCGATGCTGCGCCAGTGCAGCCCTCCGAGGCACACTAGGTCGATCAGGCAAAACAACAACACAATACAGTCAACTCGCGCCCTCTTTCCAAACCCGCTGCACCGTAGAGGACTCCCCCTACGGAGACACAGCCGCTGAACGAAGCCAGCGATAACGCCAAAGCACGCCTCTCCCGAGGCGTGGTGCCTCACACTCCTTGCTGCCATCACGCCCCCGCCGAGGTAGACGGCACTCCCCCCTACCATCGTCGAACCGCCCCCCCCGCCACCCGCCAACGTAGCACCACCAACAGGGAGCGCGAGCACGCGGCGCGTGTCACGTCGCCGGTCCGTCGGGGCCTGCATCGTGAGCCTGACATGCTCTGCGCGCTGCCACTGTGTGTGTTGAAGCCGACGGTCCGCACGGCCTGGACCGCACACGCGGCCCGGACCTGCGCCGAGTCTGCGGCGAGGTGCGGGCGACGCGGCACGCAGAGCCGCCGCATGTGAGCGCCCCGACGAGAGCGGCACAGCCGCGGTACAACGCGATGATCGTCGCCATGGCGATCGGCCGCTCCCAGAACTGCCGCTCCCAGAACTGCGTGTCGCGGCCCTCGCGGACCCGCGATCCGCACCTGCAGCGCCGGCAACGCCTGACGCGCGTGGTATAACCTGGCACGGGCCCCTACGGACAGTCACTGACACGCCGCCGCCGCACGCCTTGGCCGCCCCCGCACACCTTGCGCGCCACTCTCCCGAGCAACACACCAGAGGCGCACCCCGCCCGTTTGCAGCCACAGGGCCCTGCGAGACATGTTCTCCTGCTTCCGTCGCGACTCGCGCCGCGGCGTGTCCCGCCGCGAGGACGCCGCGCACAAGTGCGTGGAGGTGCACCACTCCTCGCCGACGGAGGACTTCGCAGGGCCCCTCGGCGAGAGCCTGCGGGGCGGGGCCACCACGCAGCAGGGCTCCTCGCAACTGGAGGTGAGGGCTCCCGCGCGAGCCCCGCACGCAGCGGGGGCACGCGCGTCCTGGCCACCGATGAGAGAACCACGCACCAGCGCGAAATCGCGCCAGGAACCCTGGTTTCCGTCCGCAAGTCCGCCCAGCGGGCGAGCTAGGCTGCGTGATGTGCTCGACGGCGCGGCGCCGCGCGACCGCATTCCCGCGATCCCCGGCGTCTCGCAGGAGCTCTCGGACGGCCTTGAGTCCCGCGGCCACCAGAGGCGCTGCGCGATGCTGGAGATCACGCCGGAATCGTCCCGCGCAGAGCAGCAGCACAAGCAGGGGCGCTCGCGCATGGCGCGCGGGTCCGCGGCCGGCGGCATGGCCCCGCGGATCGCCGCGCGCGACAACACGACCGATCCGGCAAACCTGGTGTGCGTCGGGGGCGCCATTATGGAGGAGACGCCGACCCCTGGCACGGCGCACACGCGCTGGGTTTCCACCCCCGGGAACGCCGGAGCGGTCGAGGCGGAGCGCGCGAAGGGGGATGCCAAGTGGGACAAGCTCCTGGACGCCGATTGGCGCGGTACGCGGCCCCTCCTGCGCGGCGGCGGCGACACACCCCACTCGCTGCCCTTCAGTCGCCGCGTCCTCTCTCCCTGCGCGCCGCCTTCCTCACCCCGGGCCACCGACGCGCACCTGCAGGATCGGAGCGCGGGACCCTCGTGTCCGCCATCCTCGACGGGCCGAACTGACGCGCGGACGGCCCCTGCAAGGTTCCGCATCATGCAGCGACCGCGCCGCGCGCCGTGAGCGCGCTCCCCAGGCCCGGCGCACTCCGCCGGATGCCCGCCGCCAGCGAGGCGCTTCAATCCAGCGCAGGCGCCCCGCCACGTGCCTGGCGGCTCGCCAGCAAAGCACCTCCCTCCGCGCCTCTCCGCCCACTCCGCCACCCACACCACACTTCAAGCGTCTTCCCCGCCCTCCCCTCTCCCGCCCATTCACTTTGTACACGGCTTCAACCAACCAGCGCCAGTGCTTGACCAACGCGCGACACGGCCTCGCTCCCCGTCGCGTACGCGCCCCTCTCGTGTCCAGCAACCACCGTGCCGTCGCGCGTTCGGGTGTACGCCGCTGCCCTCCAGCGCCATCTCCTCTGCGCACAGCTGCCGTGCCGCAGCAGCCTCCGCCATCGACCTCACGGTCTCTTTTCTCTTTTTCCTTCTTCTGCTCTCCGTCTCTCTTTTTCTGTCTTCGTCTTTCTTCGTCCCCGTACCTTGTCCACACCGCCTGATCCCACCAGTCACGCCGCGGCCTGCCGAGCACAGCGACGGCGCGTGGCCGCAACCTGCTCTCGTCCAACCCACTTTGTATCCGACAGGACCGTGACGTCCTGTCGCTCACGGCCCTGCGCCCTGTGTCCCGAAGACGACCAAGATGGCTCTGAAGTCCAGTCGCCGCCCGACTCCCACCCGGCCAGGAGCAACCGCCATGTCGGAGCCCATCTGCTCGCAGACTACTGGTCCGACAGGGAGCCTGCGCTGCACGTGGCAGTCGGGCGCACTGAAGCCCTGTGTAGAACGACCCCCGCCCCTCCCCCCTCCCCCCTTGACCTTGGCCAGATGTGCCTGGCCCAGGCACGCGTCACTGCTCCGAGCGCGACCGTCCGCAGCTGTGCTGCGAGGACCACAGGCTGCCGGACCGGGCGTGACCATTGAATTGCACCCCTCGAGAGACGCGAGACAGGCCTTGCCTGGACTTGTGTTGCAATTCCGAATTGGATCCACAACAGTGAGTGTTTGTGTCATGTTTGCTCGTTGTTTGCGGACCCCCCCTCACTTGTGATCTGGGCCCACCACACCCACAACCCCAACCCCCCTCCCTCCCCCCCCCCTCCCCTCCCCCCGCGCCCCCCGTTGCGGAGGGCGTCAGACCGCCCTGTCGAAACGACTGCCGTCCCCTGTTGCTCCCAGGCCACTCGGCGCTGAACAGTGTGACTTCTCGCGGACGGCCGCGCACTCGCTCGCGAACACGCCTCTCTTCACACGCGGTGCCGCGCCTCAGCCGCTCCACGGCACCGCAACGCCCTGGTCCTGCAGCACGCGCTCCGCCGCCAGTCGCCCCGAAATCATCACCAGCGGCACGCCGTTCCCGGGCCGCGTGGACGCGCCGACGAAGTACAGCCCCTCGTGCGTGAGGTCCTTCAGCGCCGGCCGGAACGTCGCCAGCTGCAGCATCCCGTGGGACAGGCCAAACACCGCGCCGTGCTCGATGCCGTACCGCTCCTCCCACTCCACGGGGTCGATGATGAACTCCTCCTCGATGTGCCCGCGCAGCTCGATGCCCTTGGACTCGAACGTGTCCAGCACGCGCTCGCGGCCCTCGGCGATGATCGCGTCAAGCCTGAAAGCCGAGGAGAAGAAGGGGGGGGGTGTTTCTCCGCGTGGGCCGGGTGAGAGTGCGTTCAGGCCGCGCATGGGCGTGCGCGTACCTCTCGCGCATCTCCGCGTCCGACAGCTTGCGTCCCGCGGCCTTCTCGATCTCTTGTTTGTTGGCGATGGGCAGCAGCACCATGACGCTCGCCTTGCCGTCCGGCGCCGCGGAGGGGTCCGTGACGCACGGCGAGTGCACGTAGAAGTTCGGCTTCTTCACGAACCTGCGAGGAGCGCGACGTTCCGCGCGAGGCCCGTCACGCGAACCGTCACGTTGAACACCGGCGCTGGCAACGGCGGGAAGCCGCGTGAGCGGCAGCACGTACTTGTCCGGCGCGGTCGCGCGGTCCCACGAGGCCTCCCAGTCGTCCGAGAGGAACACGTTGTGGTGCAGCAGCTCCGGCACCGGCTTCGAGATGCCCCAGTTGAACGATACCACCGCGCAGGAATAGTCCCACTTGTCCTTGATCTTCTGCCCGCGCTGCTTGGCCCTGCGCGGAGAGGAGGCAGAGGAGAAGCCGTCGCGCGGATGGAGCCGTTCCGGACCGCTCGCGCGATCGGCAGCACCTTCTGTGCCGTCGTGCTGAGTCAACGACGTGTGCGACCGACACGGCACGCAGAGACAGTGCGTGCCTCTGTCCATCCAGCCAGGAACACACACGCCCCCTGGGAACCCCGCAGCCACCTGTTGGAGTGCAATTCAGGGCGATGAAAACCGAGGGATGGTGTTATTGGGCGGGGGGGCGCACTTGTCGTTGTCCATGATCGAGAACCCCTTCGACACGTCCCGGTTGCACATCACCACGTCCGCGCGCACCTCCTCGCCGCCCGCCAGCGCCACCCCCACCGCCCGGTCCCCCTCGAACAGCACCCGCTGCACCTCGGCGTTGCACTGCACCCGCGCGCCGTTCTCCTCCGCGAGCTGCCGGATCTGCGCCCGCACGTTCTGGAACCCGCCCTTGGGGTACCACACGCCGTCCAGGAGCTCGGTGCCGGCGAGCAGGGAATACACCCCCGGGGCGTTGTACGGCGACAACCCCACGTACAGGTCCTGGAAGGTGAACATGGCCTTCAGGCGGGGGTCTTTGAACTTGGAGCCAAGCACGGACACGTGCGGCGAGAGGAGGTCGATCGGGGAGACCTTGAGCACCATAGGGATCAGTTTGTCAAGCCGCAATAGCCCCAGGAGGTTGTCAGCATCCACTTCAATGAAGTTCTCCATACCGAGCTTCAGGGAGTTCTCCGCGTCCCTGAGCCACTGCAGGTACGCGTCGCCGGCGCCCGGCTCGATCTTCTCGAGCTGCGCGCACATGGCGTCGCGATCGTAGATCATGTCGGCGTCCGATCCGTCGCCAAAGTGCACGCGGTACCCCGCGGGCGTAATCTTGGTCACCGGGAGCCGCCGCTCCATGTCGGGCTCGCCCAGGAGCGCGAAGGTCTGCTTGTACGTGTCCGGGAACAGCAGCAGCGAGGGGCCCGTGTCGAACCGGAAGCCGCCCGCCGTGGTCTCGGACTGCAAACATACGCACACGCATCGGCTGCGGTCAGGGACGGGCCCGGCGACGAGCGAACCGGCGCGAACGACGGAACAAAAAGCAACTCGCGGGTTTCGAGGCCGCCGCCTCGCGCACCTGGCACCTCCCGCCGACGTCGGCGTTTTTCTCCAAAATGGTCACGTCCATACCCTGCTTCGCGAGGAGGCCGCCCGCGACCAGGCCCCCGATGCCGCCGCCGACGATCACGACCTTCTTGCCCTGGCCCTGGGACTTGGGGACGGGCGCCTTCGTGGGCGCAGCCGCGGAGCTGCAAGCACGCGGGCATGCGCCGTGTCGCTGTCGGCCGGGCGCAGCCCCGCGCGCGGCGCCGCGACTCGCTGGAGCGCGAGCCACGGTCGCCGCACTGTCGGCACGGCGCCGGGGGAGACGACCGCCCAAGCCGCGAAACGCCCGTGCGTGAGCACGTGTCAGCACGCGCAAACAAGCAGCGCGGGTGGCCTCGTATGGCGGTTTGCGTCGCAGTACCTGATAATCGAGGTCCTCCGGCCTGGGGCCGCGTCGCCGGGCCGCGTGGGCGCGCTGCGCAGCCGCTGCCAGGGCAAGCTGAGGGGGCGTAGCGCAGAGGCGCCGTCGACGCCGGCCCGACCACGGCAGCTGCGCGCGCCTGGCACTGCCTGCAGGGAGCAGGAGGTTGCGTCGGGAGGCGGCCGGTGTGGTGGCTTTGGGTGCTCGAACGCGACGGCACGCGGGCGCGAGTGGGCAGACCACAAAGCGGGCTTGTGGGGGCCTCTCGCGCCCGTCCTGACTCAGGACTGGGCTGGAGCCGGCGCAACGGGTGCCCGCACCTGGGTGTGAGCCATCGCAGAAGCCCGCATGGCGCTCTTGGGCGTGCAGGGGCCGACAGCGGCGAGGATAGGCGCTGGCCACTGCGGAGAGGCAACGGCCGAATGTGTCGGCGACAGGGCCGGAAATAGGGCGGAACCTGCCGGAGGGACACGTTGCTACGCTGTGTGCCCTCTCTGTCTGCGAATCGCGGCTCTTGTAGGCCAGGCTGACTCAGGCCGAGGCCGTCAGGGCCAGCTCGGAGGCCCCACACCTCCCGGGCGCTCCCCGCGGCCCCGCGTGGCCCCGAACGCCGCATCGGACGCGCCCATGCGTCACTCCAGTGACCGCGTCACGTCGCAGACGCAGCTGCGCTGCGAATCTGCACGGGAATCCGTCCGTTTCGCGCACCCTTGGCACAGCTCTTGCGCCGTGCCACCAGCGGCGCCCCCGGCGTAGAGAGGCCCGGCGGGGACGTGCCGCGAGAGATGTCGCTCGCGGTGGACATCCACGACCACGTCGAGCGCAGACTCGCCGCTCTGCTCAAGCTGCTGCCCCAGTCAGCCCAGACTAGGATCCCTCCAGTAGTGCACGACAACCTGGTGCCTCTGTTCCTGTTCACGGTCGCCGTCGTGGCCGCCAGCTACCTCCTCACCTCCTCGCTCCTCGCGGCGCCGCCGAAGAAGGCCGCCCCCGCAAAGCGCCGAAGTACGCGCCCCTGCCCTGCCGCGGGGCCTGTGCCGCGCCTCCCCGCGCTCCGGGCCGCGACGACGCCCGCGACCGAATGCAGCGACCAACTACAGCGTGCCCTACGCGATGCGGCGCAGAGAGCAAGCGGAGGGAGGGCACGGTGACGTGCGAGGAGGTCGCTAAGCATACCAGCAGAGACGACGTGTGGGTGATCATCAAGGACCAGGACACGGGCGAGCACCGCGTGTACGACATCACGGACGAGGTCGACGAGCACCCCGGCGGCGACACTATCCTCAACAACGCAGGTGCGGACCTGACGGCCGCCGGCGCTGGGCGCGCGCTCCGTTCCGCTTTCGAGGGCCGCGCGCGAGGAGATCGCAGGCCGGGGCCGCCGCGGTCGTGCGCGTCCCTGACCGTTCGCTGCGCCCGGTGTTGTCGCAAAGTAGCAATTGTGGCGACGTGCGGTTGCAGGGACGGACACCACGGAGGGTTTCCACGGGCCGCAGCACCCGGGCCGCGTGTTCGACATGATCGAGGACCACTTCGTCGCCCCGCTCGCGGACCCCGAAAACATCGCCAAGTTCAAACCGGCCGCCAAGTGACACCCCCCACTTCCCGGGCCGGTCACACAGCGTCCGCGGTGGTCCTAGCGGAGGCCGCACACGTCGAATAACTCCCCAGGCCCACGTCGGCGCCAATATTGTGACCCGTCACCTAACGCCAGCACCCGCGGCCCCACGAGGGGGGGGGGTGATGCGTTCTACTGCAGTCCGAAGCCCTCGGCATTGTGGATGGCGTTGAGCAAGCGGTCGCGCATCTTCCCGCGGCTGGAGTACTCCGGGAGCAGGAGGACGTTGAAGCACGTGCGCGAGGTGGGGAGTCGCATGGTGTCAGGTCCGTCGCGCTGGATGACTAGCCGCAGGTTGCCGAGCCCGCCAATGGGCGCGCGGTCGGAGCCGGAGAAGAAGCGGAGGAGCCGGCGGCGCTCGTCGAGGGTCATGCCGTGCACGATCTCCCAGAACCAGCGCACCGCCTGGTGGTCCTTCGTCCATCCTGCGACGGCGGCCATCGAAAAACAGATATGAAAATTAATTAAGAACCAGTCAACAGTCAATATGGAATGAGTCCCGAGTCCTGAGACACCGAAACAGAACCCGACGGTCGTGCGCGTGGTCCTCGAGCAAGGCCTCAGCCGCCCCGATGCAGCGGCCTTTCGCGGAGGCCGCCCGCCGCCCCTGCGCACGGCATGCGCCCTTTGCAGGCATGCAACACAGGCGGACGCGCGAGGCGCGCTGCGCCGCGACCCACCTTCGTACGTCGCGTTCCCCTCGAGCGCGGCAAAGTCCAGGTGCGGCGTCCCGCACGTCAGCACCTCGAGCTCCTCGGGCCGGAAGAGTTGCAACGCGGGTCCGCCGCACACAGTGAGGAACCCGCGCGAGAACGCCGCGAACTGCTCCGCGACGGACTTGTTCAGGGCGTGCGCGACGTACGCGTCCACGTACGCGCGCCGGTTCGCTTCTGCGCGCACATGCCGGGCGGCGCGGTGCGGTGAGGCTGAGGCCGCGTCGTACGTTTGGGCGGGGGGCGGGGGTGTGCGGACGGGGGCGCACCTGTGACGGGCATCTCGTCCCCGCCGGGCACCAGCGGCTCTGTGACCACCTTGCCGTACCGCGCCACGTCGACGGTGAAAGTCAGACAGAACGTGTCTGCCAGGGTTGCGTCAGGGCATGACTCAGGGGGCTCCCAGTCGAGGAGCATGCGCAGCGACCGCCCCACCGTCGGCTGCATGAGCTCCAAGTCGCTGCACGGCGCAACAACACACGACGCGTGCGGCCTGAGACACAAACACCAGCGTTCGCCCCGCAACAACGCACGCCGCGCCCCCAAGCAGAACGCAGCCGCGCACCTGAGGTCGATCTCCTGCGACAGGAGCTTCTTGTACATGGCGCGCGGGAACGGCAGGTCCAGGAGCACCCCGTTGTACACCGCCAACCCTACCGCGAGTCCGACCAGCATGTGCTCGGCGAGCATGTCCTCGGTGTCGGAGCTGTCGTCGGCGGAGGGCGGGAGCGGCGCGAGCCAGTACGAGCGCGAGTCCGCCTGGTACACGAAGAGCCCGTAGTCCGGAGACAGGAGCCGTTGCACCAGCAGTTGGAAAAACTCCTTCTTCAGCCCGCCGTCGTCCAGGCCCTCCTCCCCGATGAAGTGCACGCGCAGCGGCTTGCGCAGGTCCCTCGGGCGCTGCCGCGCGATCTCCTCCAGCGCGTCCTCCGCCAGCCGCGACCGCCGCACCCGCACCAGACACAAATCGGGATGCTCCGCAGGCACGCCCGACTCGTGCGGCGCCGGGAGCTCGTCCGTCGGCGGCTGCACGCTCCGGCTGTCGCCCGACGCCGCGGGCGTCTGCGGCGCGTCGGGCGCCGACGTCAGCGCCGCGTCCACCTCGGGACGCGACATTTCCGGGGCCGCCGAGCCCTCGGGCTGCGTCGCGTGCTGCAGGGCCTGCGCGGCGTCGCGCGCGCCGTGGCCGCGCTCCTGCGGGAGCCCGAAGATCAGCCCGCCGAAGCCCGCGAAGAGCCCGACGGGCAGCCCGATGGTGTGCAGCGCGCCCGCGGGGCCGTGCCGCGCGCGCGGTGGCGGCGCAGAGGCCTGCGGGCCCCCGCGCGCGCCCGGGCGGCGCTTCCGCGTGGCGAGCACGCACTCGTTCGACGGGTCCGCGCCGACGGGGAGCCCGAAGAGCGCGCGCGCGACGTGCTCCTGGCGCGCCTGCGAGACGGTTTGATGCATCTGGATGCGAGCCTCCCAGCGGAGGATCTGGGCCTTGGCGCGGGCGTCGAGGAGGAAGGGGAAGTCGCAGAAGGAGAAGGACTCAGGGGAGGGCGCGCCCGCGGGGCCTGCGGGAGACAGGGGCTGGGAGTGCAACTGCAGTTGACAACGGCGGAGCTCGTAGCTCACTCGCGAGCTGTGCGCCCGGGCTCAGCGCGCAGGCAGCCGGTCGCGAGGCCTGCTCCTCGCAGGAGTGTCGCGAGCGCACCTGCTCCGCCCGTGCGGGCGTACGCGGCCCCGCGTTCGCGCCAGGCCACATAGTGGTCGTGGACATCGAGCTTTCTCGACACGTACGAGTTGTAGAACTCCTCGAGCCTGATGTGGCCGCCGCCCTTGACGGCGTCGAACACGAGCGCGAGCAGCTGGATCGCCTCGACCGCCGCGGGCGTCAGGTGGTGGAGCTGTTGCAGCCCGTGCGTGATGTGCGCCTGGACCGGCCGGATGAGCCGCGCGACGGTCGTCGACGGCGGCAGCTGCGCGATCCAGCGCGCGAGCAGCGACCGCCCCGCGCCCGGCAGCCCGGACACCGCCCGCGAGAGCCTCGGCACGAGCGGGGTCGCCAGGTCGGGCGCGGCAAGCAGCGGAGATATTAATAGCGACAACAGCACCTGGACGCGCTCGGGGGAGTGCATGAGCGGGAGGCGCTGGAGGAGGTCGTCGAGCAGGCGGCCCTGCGCGCCCGCGAGCGCCGCTGCGATCGCGGGCTCGCGTGGCGCGAGCAGGCGGATGTAGGTGCGTTCCAGGGCCTCGCAATCGAGCCCGACGCCGGGCTGCTTGGCCGGGACGCCGCCCTGCGGCGTCGCCGCGAGGATGGCCGCGACGGGCGTCCCGCTCGCGCCGGCCTCCGTGGACGTGCGGCCGAAGAGGGTTGAGATTGCTGTGGGGGACGAGAAGATAACGTCGACGAGGGAGGAGACCTCGCGGACGGCGGACGCGCGGACGTTGGCCACGCGCGGGTCCGAGGAGGGCTCCTGCGGGGCCGGGTTCTGCTCGAGCAGCGTGATGGCGTTCTCCAGCGGCCGCCACAGCGTGGCGATGAGTGCTTGCTCTGCACGACAGGCGGGCGCGGGGCGCGAGGTCGGGCGGCGGGAACGAGATGGGATGGTCAGCAGGCGCACGGTGTGTGAGCGTGCGGACATCGTACTAGCGGGAGAAAAGCAATACACCCCCAAGAATGCAATACACCCCCTACCTTCCATGTGCAGCTTGGAGGGGTCCGGGCCGAGGAGCACGGCGGTGCCGAACCCCGCGGCGCACAGCCCGACGACGTGCGCGGGCACGCCCACCACGCCCGCGCGCTCGTCGTCCCCCATGCTCACGTCCTGGTCGACCCCCGCCGACACGGAACTCCGCCAGCCGCGAAAAGGTCGACATCTTCCCGTCCTGCGCGTGCGCGCCGAGCAGCTGCCCGCTCGACGTCGACCCGCACCCCCACATCTCCACCGGCGCCGCGTCCTCCGCGTGCCTGCTCTCGTCCCCCCGCGGGTCGACGCCGCCGCGCCGCTTCAGCAGCGCGACCGTGTGCTCGCGCCCGCACGCGACCGCGAGGAACGTCGCGCCCGTGAGCGGCGCGTCGATCTGCCGCGGCAGCCGCTCGTCGTGCACCTCCTCGTGGCCGAGCTGCCCCGAGCGGCCAAGCCCCCACGTAAAGATCACGCGGGCCGACGCGGCAGCGGTGTGGTTGCCGCCCGCGGCGACGAAGCGCATCGGCGGGAGCAGGACGCGGTGCGGCGACGACACCGCGCGGTCGCGGAGGTCCCCGACGACGCGGTCGGCGGGCCTGCGGCGCCGCGTCGGCACCAGGGCGCTGGAGGCGGGGTCGCGCGGGCACGTGATGCCTTCCTCGTCGTTCGCGCGCTCCTCGGCGTCCTCCTGCATGTCCTGGTCGATCTGCGCCTCGTGCGTGAAGAGCCACTCGGCGGCCACTTCGACGCCGACGCAGCCCGTCTCGAGGAGCGCGCGCTCGGCCTTGGAGCGGTCGATGCCCATGTCGAGGAGCTGCGAGAGCATGCGCTGGTTGATCGGGCCCGTCGCCATCCACCGCCGCTTCACGCCGCCGCCGCCGCGCGCCTTGGCCTGCGCAACCGCATGGGGGGGTGTTGGAGCCCGAGGGGGGGTCTGGACGACGCGCGGCGCTCGCGCGTGGGGCGCTGCACGGCGCGGACAAGGCCGCAGCGGCGTCCACGAGCCGCGCGGGAGCGCCGAGGCGGCAGGCTGCAGGTGCACAACAGGTGACGGCGGTGCGAGTTTTGGGGCGCGACGCGCACCGTGACGGCCGCGGCGGCGGCGTCCTCGCGCAGCCCGAGCTGGCCGGCGTTGTTGCGGCCCCACGTGAAGACGCTGCCGCCGGACGTCAGCGCGCACGAGTGCGCCTCTCCGGCGGCGACGGCAGTGATGGCCAGGCCCCACATGGCCTCGACGGGCACGGCGTCGCGCATCTCCTCGAAGTGGCCGAGGCCGAGCTGCCCGGACTCGTTCGCGCCCCACGCCCACAGCTGCCCCGTCGCCGCGAGCGCCAGCGTGTGCCACTCCCCGCACGTGACGGCGGATATGCGGACGCCCTTCAGGGCGCGCACGATCTTCGGCCGCCTGCGCGGAACCATGGAAGATGCGCGAGGTCTGGCCGCGCAGGACGCGCGCTGGAACGCGCGCGCGCGGCCGCGGAGCCGCTGGACGTGCGGCAGAAGCTTCTGGACGCCACCGTGGCGGGAACGTGCGGCGGTGGGGTTGCTGGCGCGGCGCGGGTACCTGACAGTGAGGATATCTTCCGGCTGCGCGCACTCTCCGTGCTCGTTGTTCCCCCACGCGAGCACATCGTTGCGCGCACAGACCACAGTGTGGGCTGCCCCGCATGCCACGCGCTCCGCCATGAATCCCTCCAGAGCCTGCGCGCGCCGCGACACGGAAGCGATCGGCACCGTCGTCAGCGCACTCCCGCCTCGAACGCTCGCAGGTGCGCGCCGGCGCCGGCCCGCCAACCGAAAACGCTAGGCCAGCCCCGCGCGATCGACCCAGCGGGGCGCATCTCACGCGCACGCGACATTCGTTCCGGTGAGCCTGCAACCCACTCGCAGCAGCGCGCCGAAAATACCGACCTGCACGCGCTTCGGCAGCGCTGCGCACTCCCCATTCTCCGCCCCGTCCCCTAGCACCCCCGAATCGCACGAGCCCCACGCGTACACATCGCCGTCTTGCGTGCACGCAGCCGCGTGCGCGTCCCCGAAGGCCAGGTGCGCGATGTTGGACGCCCCGCCCACCGGCACCAGCTCGTTGCTGTCCTGCACTGTCCCGATTCCTAGCTGACCTGCACACAGCGCGCGGGCCGCGAACCGTCTCCGCCGCGCCAGCGGCTCCGCGTGCGCCTCGCTGCCGCAGCGGACGACGCCCGGAGCGCGCAGGAGCCATCGCGATCCCGCCGCGGCACACACAGTGCAGAGGTGCGCCGCACGGACACACGCGGACGTGCTGGAGCGCTTGCCTGAGTCGTTGCTGCCGCACACGAGGACCTGGTGCTTCATCATCTCCAGCCTCCGCCTCTTGAAATACCCCGCGCCCCCGACCCCGCCGGCCGGCGGCCACTCGGGTCCCCGATCGCACACACCGCCGCCTATCGTGCCGCGCGCATGCGTCTCCGCACCGCCGCGGTGCGCCCCGGACCTCGCACGCCCTCGCCGATGCAGCGCGGAAACTGCCGCGAGCGCCCGCGCCGAGCGCAATCGGCTCCGGGGCCGCAACGCTCCATTTTACCCCCCCTGCTGACTCAACCACGTGGGGGGGACTGGCAGTCACTGCTGCACGCCGGGCGCGCTGGTTGCGCGAAGGCGCCGCGCAGGACCCGCACTACGCACCAGCATCGGCCAGGCAGCAAGGTCCCCACGCTGCTGCACACGAACAACCTTGTAGGTGACGAGCCATCTCTCTTCTGCTACCCGGCATCTCCCTGCGCGGTCCGTGCGACACCTTTCGTCCCGCGGGGACCCGGAGAGCCTAGTCCCTGTCCAAAGTGAGCTCGGGAGACCTTGAATCATGAGTGACAAGAAGGAGGAGCTCCCGAAGGACGCCGAGCAGCTGCAGGCGTACGTGGACGGCTTGCTGAAGGGCGTGCAGGACAGGTGCGCGCGTTCCGCCTCTGCCGCTGGACTCGCAGCGTTTCGTTCGCTCAAACGGACGGAACGGGGCGCCGCTGCGGCCGGTGCGGCCGCGTGCGCTGGGCGGTCCAGTTGGTTTCTTCTGGTGCTGCGTCCGGCGCAGCCGCTGGCGTCCAGACCGTCGCGCCTTTCCGCAAGCGTTTCCCTGATGTACGGCTTGCTGCGCGAGGACTGCCGGGCGCAGCACGCGTCCACGCAGGGGGCGCAACGTGATGCGTGTGTTTTTGCGGGCGTCGCATCGGGCCGTCCCATCCGCGCTCGTCCGTTTCCGCGGCGCAGGTTCGAGAACATGTCCGATACGATGGTCAGCAGGATCGACGAGATGCGGACGCGCGTCTCGGACCTCGAGGGGAGCCTGAACGCGCTCATGGCCCAAGCAGCGAAGCAGGAGGAGCCGCCCGAGAACCCCTCGAAGTGAGAGGTGCCCGCTTCCTGGCGGAGGACGACGGAGACGTCGTCTGACGGGTCGACGGCGGTCGAGCGCGGGGCGTCGGCGGCCCGGCAGCGTCGAGGAGCTTGCTGCCAGTGTACTGCGCGTGTGAGCGCGCGTCGTGCGTGGCCGGGAGCTGGCAGTCCGACCGCCCCTCAGAACAGTCGGGGCAATCGTGGCGGAGCGGCTCGCGAGGACGTGGCAACCCGACCCGGCGGCCACGGCCTGTGTTGCGCACACAGGCTTCCCTCCGCGCCTGCGTCGCTTTCGAGGACGCTGTTCCCGTCCACGGCGGCGCACGGCGTCCTGAGGTCCTGGCGTCACGAAATTAGCCGCGGAACGCCTTTGAGAGCGTCCCGCTGCGGCCCCCGCACGGGGCTGACTGAACGTCAGCAAAACAGCTGCTTGTGTGCGCCCGTTCGCGCCGTCCCAGGCCACTTTGCGCGGTGGCTGCGAACAGCGCGGTGGATGGAAGAGGCGCAGGCGTAGATGGCCGGAGACATGTCCCCGGCAGGCTGCAGCCCTCGGCTGCAGCTAGCTGGCAACGCGGTGCGAGGCTGTTCCGGCGGTGTTGAGCACGCAACTCTTCCTCTTCGGTTGAATTTGTAGCACACCCTGATGACACGTGCGTTTTCTTTTCACGCAGGCTGCCGAGGAAGCGACAGCGACCAGAGAAGAGCTACAGGCAAGCAGTGCGCTCCCGCGGCACGAAACCCGGCGCACCTTCGCCGCCGGTTGCTCTCGAACGATTACCTGAACAGCTGGCCATGCTGTCGCGACGCAACTTGCCCGAGAAAACCAGCCTTCGAACAGGAAGCAGGGCGGAGTGGTGGTTGTTGAGCAGCCTCCCTCGGACACGCCGAGAGCGGCCCCGTCCCCGCCGTTCCGCACACGCGCATCACGTCCACACATCCCCTGATCCAAACGCACCTCGCGGCGCTGAAACAATCAAACGGTTTCGCGCCCACGCACCCGGAGAAGCGCCCCGTCCGCCACACCTGGCCTAGCAACCCGGAGGCACCCGACGCCGACGCCGCGGCGCCAGCTCACCCGGCCTCGACGCACCCACCGCGCAGACGATGCTCGAGCGCGCGATGGACGAGGCGGAGGACGCGCGCCGGAAGTTCCTCAGCGCCCGGCGCGAGATCGCCATGCTGCGCCCGCTGGTGCACCACAGCCGCAAGGCGCTCGCGGCGCGCGCGGAGCACGACGCGGAGCTCGCCCTCGCGGAGCTGCGTGGCCTCGCGCACCGCATGCAAGACTCCGAGTGCCACGGCTCCAAACTGCAAGTCGAGGGCGCGGAGGTGTACAAACTCGCGGCGACGCTCAAACTGCGGCTCGACGCCGCGGAGGACGACGTCACGCTCCTGCAGCGCAAGGAAAAGATTCTCTCCGAGCGCATCGTGCACCTCGACCGCGTCGCGGAGTCGCTGCGGACGGATGTGTCCGCCCGCGAAAAGGCCATCGGCGTTCTACAGGTGAGCGCCCCCGTGCGCGCAGTGAACGCGTCGCTGGCACGGCGGGTGTCCAGCGTGCGCGCTGGCCGGCGGGCGGCCCGAGCTGCGCTGCGTCAGGTTTGTGTGCGGTGGTCTGACTGACAGCGGTGGTTGTGGACCGCGTTGCAGCGTCGCGTCGCGCGCCTCGAGGACAAGGTCGCGGAGGAGCGCGAGGCCGCGAAGCTGCGGCTCGCGGAGGTCGAGGCGGAGCACGCGCAGGTGGGGACCCCCCCGCTTCCTGATCGACACACCCCCCTCCCCGACTGCGGCGGCTCGTCACACGCACCCGCGCTCACGCTCCGTCGCGCAGGAGCTCGCGGCCGTGCGCGGCAGCGCCGAGCAGACCGCGCAGCAGGCGCAGCGCGCCGCGGACGCGCACCAGGCCGCACTGGGCGGCGCGCACGAGGCAGCGGTGCAGGCTCTGCGCGCCGAGTGGGCGCGCGAAGCGGCCCGGCTGCGCGAGGAGGGCGAGCGCGACGCGCAGCGGGCGCGCGCGGAGGCCGCAGCGCTGCAGGCGTCCCTGTCGGAGGCCACGCGGCGCGAGGGCGTGCTGCGGGAGCAGCTGGGGGCGCTGGAGGAGCGGCTGAGGGACCGCGAGGGGCTGTGCGAGTCCCTGCGGGGCGCGGCGCGGGACCACAAGGACGTCGCGGACCAGAAGATCAAGGAACAGCTCGAGGTGCGCGCGGAGTCGTGATTCCCTATCTCGCGTTCCGCACTTGGTTGTGTGTCTGGCCTCACGTGCCCGCGACGCCCGCTCCCGCGCGCCGCGCAGCTGTACCACGAAAAGGGCCAGCTTGCCGAGCAGCGGCTCATGGAGCGCGTGCGGGACCTGGAGGACAGGCTGGCGTACGAGCGGCGCCTGCGGAGGGAGGCGGAGGAGCTGCGGCGGCAGCCCGGGGCGCGCGACGGAGCCTGCGGCGCGACGGAGCGTGCGGCGGAGCCGCCGGCGCCGAAGCACGGCGCGCAGGGTGCGGGGGCGGGCGCGGCGCGGGGGAGGGGGCGCGTGGAGGTGTCGGCTGACAGCGGGGAGCTGTCGCTCGAGTCAGGGTCGGACGGGGAGGAGGAGACGGCGCCGCGGAGGGCGCAACGGGGCCGCACGGCGCAGAAGGGCCGCGCGGGGAAGGCGAAGGACGCGGGCGGGGGGGCGAGAGCTGCACCGCGGGCGGCGGCGGAGGGCGGTGGCGAGGGGGCGCGGAAGGGGGCGGCGCGGGTCGATATTTCGAAGCCGTACAGTCCGCCGAAGGTGGCGGATCTGGAGGACAGCGACAGCGACGGGGAGGCGGGGGGTGCTGACGTGGCACCTCCGAAGAAGGGGGCGCGCAAGCCGCGGGGAACGGCCACAGGTGCGGTATGAAACGTGGCACGCGCAGCACGATCGGGGGGTGTGTTGCCATGGCATGCGATCCGACATGTTGAACATATGAGACTCAAAGAAACTCAAAGAATTCTTGATACATGATTATGAAGATCCGCCGGTGTTTTCTGGTGTTGCAGCTCCGAAGAAGGCGAGGGCGGCGACGAAGCGCGCCGAGGCCGCGCAGGTGGACCCGCGCGCGGCGACGTGGGGCGGCGACGAGCCCGCGGAGGCGCAGCGCCGCCGCGCAGCTGCCGCTGCCGTAGACGACACCGCGCAGGCGCCGCTGGTGCCGCCCGCTGCGCAGCCGCGCGCGGCTGCGGAGGCCGGCGTGCGCGAGCGGGCCGGGGCGGCGCCCGCGTCGGACGCGCGGGAAGGGGAGGACACCCCCTCGAAAACGAAGACTCCCCCCCCCAAAGAGAAGAAGAGGAAGGGCCTGTCGGAGGGGGGCGGCGCGGCGAACGCCGCGGGCGGCGAGGCCGCGCACGCGAAGAAGCGCAAGCTCGGAAAGGCGAACAGCGTCCGCGCGTCGGACGTGGGTTTGCCGGGCAAGGCTGCGCCGCCCGCAAACACCGCAGCGGCGAGTCTGTTCGCGGGCGGGTTCGCGATCCCGAAGCTCGCGCGCCGGTAGACGCTCGCGCGGAGGCTCAGCGAGTTGGGCCACGTGTAAACGCGATGAGACAGTGGGGGTTTGGAGAGTGCTGAGGGTTGCGGTGCGTCGAGTCGGTGGGGGGTCGCCCAGGTCACTCGGGCATCTGCCGGCCTCGCACCGCGCTCGTTCCATACATCCCTAGACGACTCGCTAGCCAGCCGTTTGTGGTATCCGGCCCTTTCTGGTCAACGAGTCACAATCTGATTGTCCATCACATGTCAGACAGTCAGGAGGACGTGGAACCGCGTCCCGTCCCGGCGCCCCGTGGCCGACAACGCGACATACGGGGCGCCCTGCGTCATCTCGCGTCGCCTACACGCTGCCCGGGCCCGGGGCGGAGCGCGCGCCGGCTGCGAGCGGCGCGTGCAGGTTGGGCGCGTCCGCCGACTGCGACAGCGCGCCGCCCATGCCGGCCAGCTCCTCGCGCAGCTGCGCCTCGCGCCGCCGGAGCGCGTCGTACTCCCGCTCGATGCGCGCGCGCTGCCTGCGGGGGCACGACCACGTCGCCGGCCAATGTGTGTCTATGCGCACGCGAACGCGCGGACGACCCCGCGACGAAAGGCGGGGGTGTTTTGAGTGCGGCCGTGGCGCACCTCGACGCGTCGTCCCTCCTGCTCTTGATGACCCCGAGGCACGACACGCCCGCGAGGATGTGCAGGCACCCGCACGCGAGCAGCACCAGCCCCGCGACGCTGGAGAAGATCGTGAGTCCCCCGCGGAGCGCCTTGTTGGTCGCCGGGCTCGGGGGGGCTATTTCTACCGTCATGAGCCCGAGGATGATCTGCCCGATGCCGCGGAACACCCAGACGTTCAAAATCGGGGCCATCGACAGCACCGCGCGATACTCCCCCGCTGCGCGCACGCGATACGAGCGGTTCGTCACGAAGTATTGAGAAGTGATCTGGCGGGTGCGTGGGGCGCGCTGGCGGGGGCGTACCGACGAGCACGAGGCCCACGGCAAGGACGGCTGAGAAGGCGCGCAGCGCCTGGCGGCTGATGCCGCGCGGGGACGACCATTCGCTCGTGGACGAAAGGAGGCCGACGATGAACGCGACGGCGCAGACCGCGGCGCCGACGAGGGACGCGAGGCTCAGCAGCTTGAAGAAGCGACCGAGGCAGTCCCGCTGCTCCCAGGGCCGCGTGGGCGTTGGCTGCAAACCGGCGCGAAAAATAAAAGCGGCGGAGTGGGCCGCGCGCGCCGGCGTGGCGGCTGAGGTGCGTCCCGCAGCCGCTCGCCTTGTTGTGGGGGCGCGTCGGCGGGCGTGGTGTGGTGTGGTCGACGCGCACCTCGTACTCCTGCGGCGCTGCGGGCGCGGCTCGCTGGGCCGCGGGGGCTGTTTCTGCGACGGGCGAGGACGGTGCGGTGCGTCGGTGTGCACCCGTTGATGTTCGCACTCGTTCGGGGGGGCTGGTTGTCACGGTACGGGGGGAGTCGCGACGCTGGCACGCGCGCGCCGCACTCTTTGCAGATCTGTGAGGTGCGGAGCGGCGAAGAGGGACGGAAAGCCCCAGAGCGGCGACGGACGGTGCCAACAGAACGGGGCCAGGCCGCGCCGTGGTTTCGTGCCCACGCACCTTGCTGCGACATGCTCCAGGCCCTCACGATCTACCACTGATCACTGCGGCTGCGTGGACCGCGTGCACCGACGCCTCGGCCACCTACGCGCGGCCCCGGCACCCTTCTGCTCACCCCGGATCGTTCTCGCCCCTCCGCTGCACACTGGCGTAGCGTAAATCACGCGACGCGCGCTCCCCCGCGGCACACTCCACAGGAAACAACAGAAGCGCGGAACGACAGGTCCAAGCGCGCTCGTCCAGAGCCGGGGGAACGCGTTTTCACGACCTGCTGGTCACAGCGCTCTGCACACTTGCACCGACCTCTGTACAGCAATTCACACAGCCTGTCACGCAACTGACCCATGCGCCTCGCCGCAGCCCCCCGAAGCTCACCCTGCGGTCGACCGCAGACGTCGCGCCACGCTTGGACCCCCCCCACACACCTCAGGTACACCCGCCGCGCTCCCGACCGGCTAGTGCCGGTTCCGGTCCGTTCCCACGCACGCATCCGTTAGCCACGTCACCGCCCCGCCCTCGCGCGGCTCGTGCGCCCCCGGACCGCTCGATTGCGGCACCGACACCACGGTGCAACTTGCACAGTCATGTGTGTCGTTCCAAGGGGTTGCGGGGACTCTGCGCACGCGTGAACCGGGCGCCGCGCCACGCAGCGGCGCTGCACGTGCGTCGCGCCGCACGCTGCGTGTCGCGGCGCCGTACCACTGGCAATGTGCGGTGTGGTGACTCCCGCGCCCCCACGTGCCCGCGCTCGCCGTCTGCCCCGGGCGCTGCAGCGCAACGCGTGCGCAGCTGGCAGCGGTGGACGCTGCTCCCTCTGCGGCGCGGCGCGTGCGGTGACGCGGAGCGGCCGCGGACCGGGAATCCGGCCCAACTGCTGCGCACTGCCTAGCAGGCAGCAGCCGGGCGCCTGTCTCGCGCCGCGACCCGGGTGAAGTCTTTCCGCACGCGCGCTGCGCCTGAGTTGACGAGGGGTGACGTTTCCGGCCGCCGTTGGGGTGTCGGCCGTGCCCTGCCGGCCGGTGGGACCGACCTGGCCCGTGGAGAGTTCTCCTTAGTAGGTGTGCCAGTGCCGGGCTCAAGGGGGGCCGCACGGGCGCGACGACGGCATCCAATCGCAGCGAGAACTTGACACAAACATACTGAAAGCGTCTTCAACTATTGTCGGGCGCCAGCGGCTATCTTACGAAGCAGCGCGACAGGGCGGCTTCACCTCACGCTCGGTGCGCGCCTCGGAGCATCGTTCTCCGCGGTCCGTCTGAATGTTTATGTTTACGAGAGCTCAGTTCCGGATCGAAACGCGGGCCATGCCCGCGCGGAGACGCTGGAGGGCAGCACGCGTCACTGCCTCAACTGCGCCTCCGCCGAACGTGTTTGCATCGCCGTCGGACTCGCGCACACGAATGGTACTTGCATTTTACGCTCGCAGGGTTCGCGGAACGGCTCCGTGCGATCGCCAGTTCCGGCCAGGGCCCGAAACGTTGCTAGAGCCCAGATGAGCTCCGTGGCCGTCGAACCGGAGGTTTCCGCGGCGACGAGCGGGCGCCCGCCTGCACAAAAGAGCGCCAGCAAGGACACGGTGTCCACCTGCGCCGACAACATGCCCCTGGACGGCTCCCACGAGACCGATGCCCGCCGAGACACGACCGCCTCCGGTACGCGCACACGGGCCCTTGACAGTAACCTCCCCGCGCAACACGCCTCCCCACCAACTCGCGACGCCCCTGCGGCGCGCCCCCGCGCCCCAGACGCCGCCGGGCCCGCCGCATCACACACTCTGCACACCCACCTTGACCTCGCCGCGCCGCGCGCCCCGCCCCGCAGATCCGGCCACGAGCGAGAACAGCGGCGGCAGCGAGCACGCGCAGGCCCCCGGGCCCTTCGACGCCGACATGGCCGTCGCGCAGGTCGCCGCACTGTGCCACGGAGACGGCGCTGCCGCCCGCATGCTCGGCCTGCACGCCACCTTCGCGCAGTGCATGGACTCCGACGGCTCCGTGCCGTACGAGCGCGTCCCGGACTTCCTCCAGCTCCTCCTCCCGCACGTACGCGCCCACGCCCGCGCCCCCGCACGCCGCGCGGCCAACACCTCCACTCAACCGCTGCAGCAACGGCCCGCGGCCCGAGGCGACCCGGCCCGCGCGCCCCCTCGGCCGCCGCGAGCGTTCCTGCCCGACCGCTGTGCGCGCGCAGGGCTGGTTCTCGAACCCCGGCAACGTCTCGCGACGTCGGTGGGAGGAGACTGCACAAAGCATGCTGGGCCCGCACCTCGCACGCCCGGGGAGCCACGTCACGCTCGCGGACCTCGCGGAGAAGATCGTGCCCGTCGTCGACGAGGCCTTCGTCACGCGCTGCCGCGAGCACTTCGCCGACCTGGGCGGCACGCTCCCTGGGTGGGAGGACGCGGCAGACGCCGAGGGCTCGCTGGACGCCGAGGGGCTCGCGGAGGCGCGCGACCTGCCGCTCGAGCACGCCGAGGACTTCCTGCTCGAGCTCGCGCACGACCCGATGCCCGCCGGGTTCCCCGCCGCGCGCCCCGTGCTCGCCAACGTCGAGGTGTCGTTCAAGCAGTTTTGCCGCCGCATGGCCGGCGCGCGGCTCCCGGCGCCGGAGCCGTCCACGGCGGGCAGCTCGATGCACGTCGTGACCGCGCAGGCCGCGGCCGCGGCGATCGACCTCCCGGACGTGGTCGCGCAGGCTGCCCGGGCGCGCGCCGCGGCGAAGTCCCGCCGCGAGAGTGCGCGGCAGGCCGAGGACGACGACTCGGTGCCGAGCTCGGGGCTCGCGTACGACGGCCCCGGGGCGTTCGCGGCCAAGGACGCGCCCGCGGCGTACCTCTCTGCGCGCGCGCCGGACGCAGCGGACGTTGCGCATCGCATGATGCAGGGCCGCCACCTGCCCAACGTCGCGTCGATGAGCGCGCTGCAGCGCGCCGGGAAGAGCTCGCGGGAGGCGTCGGGGCACCCGCCCGTGCACCCCAGGGGGCTGATGCAGGCGCGGCAGCGGGAGTTCGGGTCGCTGGCGGACCTGCGGCGGGCGAAGACGCAGGGGCGGAGTGCGGCGAGCGGGGCTGCGTCGGTGGCGCGGAGCCGGCGCGTGTCGATCGGCCTGCGGCCGGGCCTCGAGCGCGACACGGGCGTGTCGGCGACGCCGAGCAACTGCTCGCCCGGGGCGATGAGTCCGCGACACCGGCGCGCGTTCACCAAGTCGGTGGCGTCCGTCGCGGGGAGCTACATGGAGGGCTCCAAGGCGGACCAGCGCAACTTCGTGGATCTGTACCGCGAGATCGTCGAGGCGTTCGACGCGTTCGCGGAGCGCAAGGGCCCGTTCACGCCGCCGCTGGTCACCGTCGAGAGCGCGGTGCAGCTGCTCGAGACGCTGCTGAACCTCACGCCGCACCAGGTCCTCGAGACGATCACCGCGCTCGAGAACCCTAAGGCCGACGCCGCGGGCTCGCTCCCGAAGGTCCTGGAGGTCCGGAAGCGCGGCGACGGGTACGACGTCGAGGCCTTCCTGCGGCTGTACAGCCACGCGGCGGCGTCCAACGGGTCGAGCATGCTGCAGACGGACCCCGCGCTGTCGTCGGCGCACCGGCACTTCCACGCGCTGGACGTGAGCCACACGGGTTTCATCGACGTGGGCGACCTGGCGGACGCGCTGGCGTCGACGCTGCTGCTCGAGGACGGGCAGGACAGCCAGTGGGCGCAGGACGGGGCGTCCGCGGTGCTGAAGAAGTTCGACCACGACGGGGACAACCGCGTGTCGCTCAGCGAGTACATTTACACGCTGCTGGTGATGTGCATGGCCGAGCCCGAGGAGAGCTGACGGTGGAGCGCCCTCGGCGCACGGGCAGCGGGGGCGCCGGGCGCGGCGTGGGCGAGCGGGTTGGCTCGGGGGGCGCGTCGGAGTATTGCTGTCGCGCTGGTTGCATGGTTGCCGATGCACGTCGTGATTCATCGATTGCACGTCGCTTGTAATCATTAATCATTATAACAAGCACCGTCCCACCGCGGCCTCGCTGGGCGGCGCGACGCGTGCGTCCACGGTTCGGTCGCTCCGGCATCCTCGCGGTGAGGGTGCTCGTAGGTCAGCGAAGAACTGTCCACGCCATGCAGGCGTCCACCACGTCAGGTCGAACGGAGGGGGTGTGTTGGTTTCTGCGTGCAAGGCGCTGTCAGGGGGGGCTTCGTCAGTCAGGGGAGCGCACGCGCGACGAGTTGGGGCGCGCAGGTGCAGACGTGCGTGCACACAGCCACGTTGGTCCTCGGAGTCGTGCCCAGTCCGAGCCGCTGATGGCGTGCAGCGCTCTCGCTGGTTGCGTCCGCCCTGCCGTCCGGCCCCGCTTCGCGCTCCGTCGCTCCCTCGGCCCGCAGCGAGCGCTGCAAGTGAGGATGGCGTCGCTGTGCGGCGACACGTTCTTCCTCGACCCGGTGCGAGCACGGCACCGCCTGCGCACCGCACACCACCGATCAGCCGTTCCCGCGCCATGCACGCCGTCGTGCGCGGCGTCGAACACGACGCAGCATGTATGCGCCAGAGAGCTTCGTATGCGCGCACGAGAACACGCTGGCGCAAGCTGTGCTGAACGGGAGCGCCCGCAAGCACGCGGTGCGTCCTGCTCGCTGCCTCGCGCGCCGCGACAGGCGACGAGCCCGACCGTCCACCTCGTCTGCAGTTCGCCATCCGGCAGTGGGACGACCCGAAGTACAGCGGGACGCGCATCGACTACGACAAGGAGAAGTTTGTGCAGGAAGTGCACAGGCTGTTCAAGGAACAGGGCGGGAAGCTCGCGGACGGATACGCGCCGTTCTGTACGCCACCTCCTCACCCTCCGCTCGTCGCCCAGCCCGGCGCACGCAACCCACTCGTCAACACCCCCACAAAAAGAAACCTCAGAAACGCCTCTTCACACGGCCAGGACGCTTCCGACTCCCCCCCCCCCCGCCCTCCCGTGCAGGCAAGCACGTCTTCGTGCCGAACTTCGTCGGCGCGGAGCTCGGCCAGCTCGCCATTACTGACGCCAACCGCCACCTAGTCCAGTCAGGGTACAAGCGCCGACGCCCGGAGGAGCTCCCCGTGCTCAGCCGGTGGGTCAACCGCAGCGACGTGCAGGTCCGCGCCCGCGCCGGCACCGCCGCCCCCCGGACCGCCGCCTCGCCGCTCCGGGCTCACCGCCGCGCCCCGTCTTCATGTTCCCGCAGCCCGTGCCGCAGGCGAAGATGCTGGACCTGATTCTGTATTCGCGGGAGCAGATCATCAAGGAGCGCGCGGACCTGCCCGCCGAGGACAAGCAGGGGGATGTTCCGGACGCCCCGTGGGGTATAATTTCCATCAAAGCCCAAAACGAGGATTTCGAGACGCCGATGCAGCCTATCACGATCATGCGGAACTCCCTGGGACGCAGCGAGGGCGGGTCCGGCGTGCCCATCGACCGCGACGCGTACGAGAAGTCGTGCGCGTACTGGGACGAGCACGTGATCATTGCCTGACAGGGGGGGGGTGTTGTGATTGACTCAACGTCGGCCGGGCGCGCGGGGACGCGAAGGGGCGGTGCTGGGGTCCTGCTGCGGCATGCGCGGCCCTGCGCGGACGCGACGACATGCTCACGGCACAGGGGTCCTGAGCGCGAGTGGGCGCTGGTGGGTGCCACGCATTGCCGGCGCCGCACATCGCTGGGAAGCCGCAGGAGCGTCGTTTGCGGACGGTCAGAGTAGGGAGAACGATGTTATTTGGCGAGCGGGCGTGGGAGGTGGCTGGTATGACCGGGAGCGGGCGCAGCGGGGCGTACAGTGCCTGAGGGGCGGCGTGTGGGGGAAGCTGCGGTCGGGATGGATGGCACGGACGACGCGCGGCTCGCTGACGAGCTTGTGCGCCAGCACCAGGCGTCAAGCGGGGACGCGCAGGCGTACCAGCGCTGGGCGAGCCGCGCAATGGCCTTTCTGCGGGCCCACCGGCACTGGTGGTGCCGGCACGGCGAGCTGGCGCTTCTCGTGGGCGAGCTGTACAAGCATCACGACCAGGTCCGTGGGCGCGGTTGCGGGAAACGTCCGCGCACCCCCGCCGCGCAACCGGCCAGCGCAGCGACCCCAGTCATCGCCCGCTTTCCCGCGCAGGACGCCGTGGTGGACCTGTACCAGGCAATGGAGGACACCTTCCTCGAATGCTGGAGCTGCCTGCAAGCGTACCGCGACTCTGAGGCCCGGTACCGCGCGGAATTCGACCTCGAAGAGGTCACACCCATCCTGCAGGGCCGTTGCGTCCTCGACTCCGGCCGGCTCGCGCGCTGGCTCGAGCCGGGCAGCTGGGGCGTCGGGACGCTCGGTACGTCGCCGACAGCTGCCCGCCACAGCGCATTGGCCGCACGTTGCCCGCCTGAACACTCATCCGTTGCTCCGGTCGCGCGGCGCAGAGGGCGGCGACGACGTGGAGCGGGGCGTCGTTCCGAGGCGCGTCCAGCTCGGACTGTACGAGTGCATGTACTACCACGGGAGCCTGGGGGACTCGATCGTGTTTCTTGCTGCCAGTGCTGCACTCGACCGCATCGTCGCGCGCAACGTCTCGCTCGAGATCCCGACGGTGGACCAAGGTGCGCGATATATCTTCTGACGTTTTTCGGGAACGCGGTGCGACGCGAGTGCGCGCGAGCATCACCACGAAGGGCGGTTCCGACCAACATGCATGTTACGTCTCCGGTGGTCCGCAGGGCCGTGGCCGCCCGGCTTGGTGCTCCTGCTCGCAGCCCCGCACGAAAGCACGCGGCTTTACGTCGAGCAGATGCTGCGCTCGGCGGTCGCGCCGGGCTCCAGACCCGCTACGGCTACGGCGGGCGCGCTGTGCGACGCGACGCTGCCCGCGCTCGACGCGTGGCTCGCGACGCTCTCGAGCGACAAGCTGCCGCCGCCCGCGCCGGGCAGACGCCCGCCTACGTTCCGCACAGAGGACATTTGGTTCGCCATCAACAGCGTCCTCGCGGCGCTGTCCAAGGCCGCGGTCGCGCCGAGCCGCTCCGAAAACGACCAGGACGACCGCGGCCCCGTCGCGGCGCTTGTTGCCGAGCGGCCCGCGCTGCTCCAGGTCCTCCTGAGGGCCGTGTCGCGCGACACCACGGTGTTCCATCGCGCGCAGTCCGCTCTGCGCGTTGTGCTGCAGACCGCGCCGAGAGCCCTGCACTGGGCGTCGGCGGGCGGGGCGTGCGCGGCGCTCGAGACCGTCGTCCCCCTGGCGCGCCCGGGGGCGCCGAAGGTGCGCATCAGCACGGCGGTGGCGTGCGCGCGGCTCGCGCCCCTCCTGGCCGAGCATGCGGTCGGCGCGGGCGAGGTCGACGAGCTCGGGCGCGTGCTGCCGGAGACCGTACAGGCGCTGGTGCCGCCGATCGCGGCAGAGGGGATCGCGACCACGACGGGGAGGATCGGAGCGCTGGCGGTCGTGGCGATCGCTGCCCGTGCGGGGGCCGCGAACGTCGCCCGGTGCGCGAAGACGCTCGGGCCGGAGCTCGGCAAGGCTCTCAAGGGCACGGAGCACCTGCGGAAGGCGGCGCTCGACTGCGTTTCCGCCGTGATCGCCTCGGACGTGCAGCGCATGGCGCAGAGCGCGTCCAAGCCGCTGACGGCGCTGTTCGACGGCGAAATCGCGGCCCTCGGCGGCGCCGCCAGCCAGCCGCTCGACAACCTCGTCTGCCCCGACTTCTGGGACCAGGTCGCGCGGTGCGGCGACGCGCACGCGTCTGTGTTTCTACTCCAGGCCTCGGGGGGACTCGCCATGTCGGTCCCGGCGACGCCCCCGCGGCCAGGCGACGGCGCGGCCGCCAGCGGCGCGCCGAGCGCTGGGTGGCTCCGCGAGGGACGCCTGGTCGACGAGCAGCCCGCGCGCGGCCGTGCAGGGCTGTGGTTGCGCGGTGCGTGGAACAGCGTCCCTGCGACGCCTATTCGCGTCGGGGCGCTGCTTTCGGCGCTCCACAGCGCAGCGTTCGCTGCAGCGCAGGATCTCTTCGGCGCCGCCGCTGGCGACGGCAAGCAGGCGCAGCCAGGGCTGCCGCCCGCGCTTGCGAGGGACAAGGAGCACCTGGTCGCGGGCGTCCGCTGCTTGGCGATAGGGACCGTGTCAGTCGATAGCACGGTGTGTGCGCGCTCGACCGGGCTGCTGAGGTCTGCGTTCAAAGCCGCCAAGTACGGTGAGGCCGTGTGCAACGCGTTGCGGCACGCGTCGCAAGCGCCGCGGGCCGGCATCCTGAGCGCCGCGGCGATGCTCGTCTACGGCGCAGTCGACTACATGCAGCAGGAGCGCGACGACGGCCGCAGACTCGTTCCCGGCGCGGATCGGATTCTCCTTTTCCTGAGTCATGTTCTCCGCGCTCTGTCAGACTCAGGGGACATTCCGTGCGCCGGTCAGACGGGGACGCTCCCGCGCGACGACGAGGCCGCGTCGCTGATCACCACGATCCAGTGCGCGTCCTGGACGCTCGCGTGCGAGGCCGTTGCGACACTTGCAGGCTCGAGCGCCGTCGGCCTGGCACAGTCGAGCGAGTCCCTTCTGGTGCCGTCCCTGGTGGTCATCGACGTGCTCGCGCCCATCGCCGAGTTCCACGTCGGGAGCGACGCCGGCGCCCGTGACCCCAACTTCGATCTAACTAACATCGAGGATATCTGTCTGAACATGGCCAGCATCGGAAGGCAAGTGTTCCATCCGGCCGCGAGCGCGGAGTACGTGAGGCATCCGTGGCTCTCGGCGACGACGAAGCTCCTGCGCGTGCTGCGGACCGTGCGCGGCGCCGCGGGCCACGAAGGGGACGCCCTGCGACGCCAGCTGCAGACTGTGTGCACCGCTGCAGCGTCCGCGGCGCCGCACTTCTGGTCCAAAGTGAACGCGCTGGTCCACGGCTTGCCGGCGCCGTCCACAGCCACCAGGCTCGCCACGGACCTACCGCGGCACCCCGCCGCGGCGCCATCCGCCTCTGCCGGGGCCAAGCACACTCCTCCGGCGAAGACGCAGAATCGCGGCCTCGCCGACTCCCTTCGGAGCATCATCCGCTCCGCGCAGCCCAGCACGCCACCCTCGTCCTCGAAGCACCGCCCCTGGGAGCGTCGCAGCGCCGCAGCGGCCGCGCCGTTACCAAACAGCGGCGCCCCACCGCGGGGGAACCTGACCGTGTACGTGGGCGACAGCTGCAGCAGCGACGAGGACGACGACTGCGAGCTGGCTGGCGCGGGGGACGCGGCGGAGCGGCAGGCGCGCCCGAAGACGGACAGCGAAACCCGGAAGGCCTTCTTGGAGCGCTGGAGAAAGGGGGGGGAGTCTCGGGTGGTGTTGGCGCCTGTGGTCGGACTGGGGCGGCGGCCGGCGGGCCGCGTCGGGCTGGCCGGCGGCGCCGGCGCGAGCCAGCGCGCGAGGCAGGCGCGGCCGGCGATCACAGTTCGGGAAATCATGGATGATTTTTTGCCGCTGGGAGCGGCAACACTGCTGTCCCGCCGGCCGCCGTGGCGCCTCCCGAAGCTGCCGTCTACGTTCGCGGGGCTGCAGGAGTACGCGCGCGCGTTCGTGCCGCTGCTCCTCGAGGAGCTGCGGTCCCATGTGGGGCAGGCGTGGGAGGAGAAGGGAATTCAGGACTTGCTTTCCAGTCTTGAAGACCAAGACGGAGTCGAGGAAGGCGAGATCACCGCTCCCGGACCCGTCCAGTCCGTCGGCCTCCTCATCGAAGGCTCACACTCCGAGGCGGCCCCGGGGGGGGTGTTTCGAACAACCCTCTCAGCACGTACGTCGGCGGCCAGTCACGGTCAGCGCGCGACCCAGGCGGGCAGCAGGGACCGCGCGCCGGGGCCTGCCCTGCAGGCCGAGGACCTCGTCCTGCTGTACCAGCGTCCGGGCGCGCCGGCGGGCGACAAGAAGGCTGTGCCGTATCTGATTGCGTGGGTGGACACCGTGGACGCTGACGTCATGCACGGGGCGCACAAGGTCGTGCTCCGCACGCTCCTGTCCGTGCCGCGGAGCGCTGATTCAGGCAATCCCGCGTGGGAGGAGGACCGCGAGCGCCGCCGCGCCGCCGCGGGACTGTGTGCGCAGACACGGGGGCAGGTACAGGGCGTCCGGCTGTGCTCCCTGACGACGCACGTGCGCGAGTTCTCCGCGCTGGCCAACATGCACCGCCTCTCGCAAGGCATACAGTCGGCCATCCTCGGCCAACCGCCCCCGCGCCGCGACACCGCGCCGCCCACTCTGCTGTCAGCAGGCCTGCCGCTGCGGCTGCGCGGCGCCCTGGAGCGCCGCTTCAACGGCTCGCAGCTCGACGCCATCGCGCGCGCGGCCAGCACCGCGGCGGGCTTCACGCTCGTCCAGGGCCCGCCAGGCACGGGCAAGACCTCTGCTATTCTCGGCATCATTTCCGCGCTGTCGGCATGCGTGCGCGGGCCTCCGCCAGAGGTCACCCCGGTGCAGCTCACGGCGTCCGCGCCTGGGGAGTGCGCGGTGACGGCGGCGCGCGCCGGGCGCTCCGGGGCGCGGATTCTGGTGTGCGCACAAAGCAACGCGGCATGCGACGAGCTGGTCCTGCGGCTGACGACGAGCGGCCTGCTCGGCGCGGACGGCGAGGTGTTTCAGCCGACTGTCGTGCGCATGGGCCGCGTGGAGTCGGTCACGCTCCCGGACGTGCGCCCATACCACATCGATGCCCACTGCGACTCGGCGGTGCGCGCGGACGCGGGGCAGGGCGCGGCGCGCGACGACGCGACGGCGGTCCGGGACCAGGTCGAGACGCTGCGTGCGCGGCTGCGCGAGATCAATCAGCTGATCGCTGCGACAGAGAACAGCCGAGATCTCGGGAAGAATCTTGACGGCCAAGACAGCGTGCAGGAGCTGCGCGCGAAGCGCCGGCAGGTGCGGGACGACTTGCTCGCGCACGAGGCGCTGCAGCGCTCGTTGGGCCAGCGCGCCGCCGCGGCGTCGCGCGATCTGCGCCGGCGGGTCGTCGCGGGCGCCGACGTCGTCGTGGCGACGCTGTCGACGGCCGGCGGCGAGCTCGCGCAGCTGCTGCTCGCGCAGGGCGCGTCTATGGGCGTGGACGCGCGGAGGGCGACGCTGATTGACGCGATCGTCGTGGACGAGGCGGCGCAGGCGCTGGAGCCGGCGACGCTGATTCCGCTGCAGCTTCTGTCGCCCTCGGGGCGCGTGGTGCTCGTGGGAGACCCGCAGCAGCTGCCGGCGACGCTCCTGAGCCAGGCGGCGGCCGGCTCGCTCCTCGGGCGATCGCTGTTCGAGCGCCTGCAGTCCTTGGGACACGGGTGCGCCATGCTGACGGAACAGTACCGCATGCACCCGGAAATCAGCGCGTTTCCGTCGACGTACTTCTACGACGGATGTCTGCGCGACGGCGAGGGGGTGCAGGGCGGCGGGCGCGCGGCGGCGTTCCATGCGCAAGCGGCGTTCCCCCCGGTGTGTTTCTGGGACGTCAGGGACGGCAGGATGTCGCGCCGGGGCGCGAGCCTGAGCAACGCCGAGGAGGCGGACCTGGCTGCGGTGCTCCTCGGCGCGGCCTTGCGGGGGTCGCAGCAGGCGGGGCTGACGGCGGCGGTGCTGTCGCCGTACGCGGCCCAGGTGGCGCTGCTCAAGTCGCGGTACTCGGCGTCCTCGACTGCGAGCGAGGCGGCAGCTGCGGGTGCGGCGCACAGACAGACCTTGTCCTGCTCTCCCTCTCACAGGCGACGGAACGCGCCACTTTGCACAGGCACAGATAATCATAATAATAAACTTGCTTGCTGATGCGCACGACATGGCGCGCGTCTCGTTGACTAGTCGCGCTCCGCGGCCGGCCTTGCGCAGATGTCCAGTTCGCGACCGTGGACGCCTTCCAGGGGCGCGAGGCCGACATTGTCATTCTGTCCTGCGTCAGGGCAGGCAGCACTGGTCATACGTCGAGCGTGGGCTTCCTGGCCGACGTGAGACGGATGAACGTAGCACTCACACGCGCGAAACGCGCCCTGTGGATCCTCGGCCACGCAGGTGCGCCCCCTCGTAACGAATGCGAGCATCGCACCATCGTGCGCGCTGCCACCCGCTTCGAACGCCGCATGCATCCCCCGCGCGCGTCCCCGCAGAGACGCTCTGCAACAACCCCGCGTGGCTTTCGCTGCTGGAGGACCTGTCGGGCAGGGGGTGTGTGTACTGTGCCCGGAAGCCGTGGGCGGCCCTCGCTGGAGCCAAGGACCGGGCCGCGCTGCGCACCCAGCTCGTGGTCCCGCCGTCGGCGCGGCGCGCCACGCTCGCGAGCAGGACAGGCGGAGCGAGCGCACCGCGCCCCGCCCCAGCGACGCATACCCATGACGACAAAAACATGATTAATGATACTAGCGCTATCAATATACCTAGCAGTTCGATACAAAAACAGCCCCGCGTGCATCCCGCCGGAGCGCCCGAGCAGCCCCCGAGGCGCAGAGACGCCGCGCCGGCCCCCAAGGCCACCGCGCCGCCCCCCAAGGCCACCGCGCCGGCCCCCAAGGCCACCGCGCCGGCCCCCAAGGCCACCGCTCCGGCCACTGCTGCCAACCCACAACCAAAGGCGGCCCCTCCTCCAATCTCAACCGAAAAGAAACCGACCCCGCCGCCGCCGGCTGGCGTGCGCTCCCGGGTTGCTGCGCCGAGCAAGATCGCAGAGCCGCCGCGAGTCCGGCTGGCGGAGAGCGTCCCGCGGCAGGCGGCGCGCGTTGTTGCCCGCGCTGGCCCGAAGGCCATAGGTGCACAGGCAAGGAGCGTGCTGGGGGCGGGTGGTGGGGCCGGTCGCGGCGCGGCAGCGGGCGGGAGGCAGGCTGCGCGGGGGCCCGTGGCTCCGCGGGACTTCACTCACCTGGCCGGCCGTGGGAAGCGGGCGGCGACGGAGGCGGCTGGGGCCGCCCCTCCGGCGAAGAGACAGGAGGGGGCGAAACGTGATTTGAACGCCCCGTCTGGCGGCGTGGCTGGTGGCGGGCAAGAGGCGCGGAAGGAAGGGGGCGCGCGGCGTCCCGCGTCGGGCTCGGTGCTCAAGGGGCTGCTCGGGTCGATCAAGAAGAGCTGATTCATGATGTGGAGAAATAAACAAAGCAATGGAGAAACAATCGAGAAACAGTGACTCGCGTCGAAGAAGTGCGAGTGCGCGCCGATCCCGGTGCATGCGCTGTCACGATGGGTCACATCGGCCGTGCGCGACCAGGCCGCGTGCATCGCTGATGCGGCTGGGTTATTATTAGCACGGGCACGAGTCTGGGGGGTGGGAGCTTCTGAAGAAAAGCTTCCTGGGTTTGGCTCATCTTGTAGAGGGGGAACGCGAGCATTGTCGCGCTTGCGGCCGCGTTCAGACGGAAGACGTTCTGCGCCAGTTCCGTCCTGAGTGTCGTGACGAGCAGGCATCCCCACGTTGGGGTCCCTGACGCCCGAAAGCGGTCCACGTAGGGGCGGGGGTCGTGTGTGTGATGGGAGCGCGCGCTCCGCATGGCTCTGAATCTGCTCAGCGCACATGTGTGGAGCACACGGAAAGTAGGTGTTGTTGGCTGTAATGGCAATGGCCGTGCCGCCAAGAGACGTTGGTGCAGTCCCCGGCGGAACGGAATGTGCGTCTTGGAGGAGAACAGGTCGTTGGACGCGCGGCCTTCCGAACGGACGGACGGCGGCGGGAGGAAACAACCCTAGGGAAACGACATCACTCCTCCCCTGACGTCATCGAAGACAGCAGGCTCGCCACGCCGCTGCTTGTCTGCGCGGTCGACGGCGCGCCGGACTGCGGCCGCGACGCTGCGAAGTGCAGGCGCGAACTGCGCCCGCTCTGTGCACGGGACCCTGCGGACGGAGCATGGTGCAAGCGCACGCACGTCCCGACCACGTCGTACACGTCCGCCTTCGACCTCGGCACGTAGGCCTCGCTCTCCTGCTGCCGGTCGCCCTCGTCGGGCCGGTGCGGGCCCACGTGCAGTGTGTCTCGCGGCGTGATTCGTTCCGCGCGCGCCTCGCGGGGACTCCCCCTGCCGGAGAGCGAGCGCGGCGACGCACTCGGCGAGCACTCCACCAGCGCCGCGAGCGCTCGTCGTGTCTCGTGGAACATGGGAAAGTACCCCGGGGGTCGATCCAGCGCGTCCGCCTGCGCCGGCAACGCGCTGGGAGCTGGAACGCTGCTCTGCGCGCCGGGCGCCGCCGCGCCTCCGGGGACGGCGAGAGCGTGCGGCAGCCGGAACGGTCGGCCGCGGGGCGCGCGAGTCTTCAGGCGACGGTCCTCAGGGTGCGTGAAATCCGCACTCCGGCGCATGGGTGGGGCGCGCCGGCCCGTCCTCCCTGGGGGCCGCGCCGACGGCCCCGCACCATCGGAGAAGGTGCTTCCGAGATCGCGCGCGCCGCTGTTCGCCGACTGGCCCTCGTGCTTGCCACCGCACGCGCCACGAATGGGGCCGTCGTTGTCGCCGTCACCGTCGACCGATTCCGGCGGTGACGCGTGCACGAACGGTCGCAGGCGCTGGACCGCGGCCTCCCGCGCGTGGTCGAGCGCCGGACCGGGCGCGAACCCGAGCGGGGAGTGCACGCGGGCCGGGGCGGGGGCGGCTGTTTTGCCCCACACCTCCAGCTGGGTGGAGAACCGCACCGCTGGGCGCCGGTCCTCCCGCGTGGGCGCGTGCCGCACCGGCGAGTACGGGGACCGCGCCGGGTCGTGGATCTGCGACCCCGCGGGCAGCGTTTCGTCGATCGACGGCCACGACAGCGCGCCCCCTGACGCCGACGACTTGCCGTCGGACGTAGAATGGCCCATCGTGCACCTCGTGCCGACCGCGAAGGTCACGTGGCGGCCGTGGCTGCTCTGCTGCGAGACGAAGTCCCTCGAGCCGCGCGCGGCCCGGCGCGCGGCCGCGAGCTCGAGCGAGGAGGCAGCGCACCCTGAGGGGGCGCGGTGCATCTCCGGAGGCTCCACGACGCGCCGCTGCTGCAGCGCGCTCGAGGAGGTGCGCGGGGTGTCGCCGAGGACGCCGAAGGAGTCCTCGCGGTGCAGGAAGACCGCGGCGTCCAGGCGCATGCGTCGCCTTGCTGGAAGGATGTCGGCGGCGCCGCTGGTCGCGTCTCGCTCGCAGCCGGAGGTGCCCTGCGAGGGCTGGCTGGGCAGGAAGCCGCCGGCGAACTTGCCGCGGACCATGCTGTCCTCGCAGCCGTCGGAGGCCTTGCTGCTCGCGTCGAACGCGACTTGTTTCTCGGCAGTTGAGAAACCGAGGTCTTTGTGCTTCTTCCGCAGAGACTGGAGCATGAGCTCGAGTATCTGCGCGGCCGTCCTGTCGGGGTAGTCCGCGGCGCGCAGCAGAGCCACGTGGCGGATCTCGACCAGCACCTCCGCCGGCGTTCGCGGCGCCAGCGTCGGCCACGTCGACAGACGCCGCCCGCCGGCCGCGAGCCGCCAGCGGTTGCTGTACTTCGCCGCGAGCACTCGCGGGTGCTTCTGCCCGCGCACCGGCGCGCCCCACGGCGACGGATCCTCCACGTCCGCCCACATGCTCGGCCCGGCATCTCCGCGCGCATCGCACAGGGGGTTATACGCCGTCCACTCCGGCGTGCCGGGCGCCGAGGACGTCTGTCCGTTCCCCGACGTGCGGCACGAAGAACCGGCGTCGTCGTCGCGCGTCCTTCGCGCCAGGGCGCCGCACAGCGCGCACACGGCGTTCCGTACCATGTTGCAAACGTTCGCAAGCAGCGCCAGCGCGATCAGAGAGACGAGCGCGAACCCGAGCCCCTCGGCGGCGTCCGCCCGCGCCTCGACGTCGCCCACGTGGGCGGAGACGGCGACGATCGCGGCGAGCAGCGCCACGGCCAGCGTTTCGCAGAGCGCCGTCACGGACTCGAGGAGCTGGTCCTGCGCGCGCGCAAAGGGCCGGAGCGCGAGGAGCAGCGCGACGTCGACGACCACGATCACCGCGAGGACCGACAGCTGCGCCGCGGGCGCTGCTTCCGCCAGCCCCGTGGACGCGAGCGCCAACAAGAAGAGTAGAAGCAAACGCACGGTGCCGCCGAACACGCGAGCGAACGCGGAGACGCGCTCCCAGCGAGAAATCGTCCGCGGAGCACCGCCGTCGCCCGCGCACTTCGCGAGCCCGCCGCCGGGGGCGCGGGAGCGCAGCGCAACGTCCCAGCGCTCAAAGTACCCTCGCTGGTAGCGCCCCGTGGCTGGGTCGAGCTCGAACGTCGCGTGGAGGCGCACGACCGGCGCGCCGTGCATGTCCCGCACGGCCAGGCCGTACTTCGTCGCGAAGGCCTCGGCGGCCGCGTCCCGGCAGCGCCACTCCCCCGCCGGAGCGCTGTGCAGGCAGCGATGCAGCCAGGATGCGTCCGGCGGGGCCCGCGTGCGGAGCTTGACCTCGTAGGCGACGGCGCGGCCGACGACGTCGCCGGAGACTTGGGTAGCGACGACGGTATGAAACATAAAGGCGAGGAGCGGGACAGGGACCAGCAGCGCGAAGACGACGGCAACGGCCACCTGCGCGTCGTCGCCGCTGCGGAGCATGCTGCCGATCGTTGCGCCGGATGCCGGGACGAAGAAGAACAGCACGAGGAGCTGCAGCCGCGGAAACGTGAACGCCCCGAGGGAGGGCGGCGCGCTCCGGCCGGTGGCCGCCGCGGGCTTGCGAGCTGGGCGGCGCCGGCGGGCGGTGAGAGCGACGGCGCCCCAGGCGGCGAGCTGCGCGGCGGTGGCTGCCACCAGCGCGACCGCGAGCCACAACAGCTGCGTCGACAGGACCTGCAGGGCAACGGCGGCGGCGCGGAGCGGTCCGTGCGAGCGTGCGCGGCAGGCGGAGCAGGCGTTCGAAAGAGCGTGCCACTGATGACAAGCATCCAGGGAAAATCTTCAAGCAAATATATAAATATAAATATATATGAAGAACGAACAGGCGAGAACCGACCTGCCAGTTTTCGTCCTCGGAGCGCGTCGCCGCCCGCGGCACTCCGCCGGGCCCCACCTCCCCGATCCGCACGATCGACGAGCTCTGCAGCGCCCGCTCGCGCACCACCCGCAGGGCGCGCCGTGTCGCCGTCGCATTTCCGTCGCCAGCCGTCCCCCACAGCGACGCGCGCGCCAGCTCGAAGTCCACGAACTCAAACCCGCGGCCCATCGCGACGAGCCCGGGCGGCGCGTCCTCCGCGTTCGTGTTCGCCACGTGACGCGCCCTGCTCATCGCACCCAGTAAGATCACCACGCTCGCCCCGCCAGAGCCCCCCAACGCGCCCGTCGCGGCCGCCATGGACGCGGCCGCCGAGGCCCCGCCCGACGCGACGGCCGCGGCCACGGCCGCCGCCGCCGCCCCGCGCGCGGCGTCCGCGGCATCGTCCACGGACACCGAGTCGGGTCGGAAGACCGTTGCCGCGGTCGCGGCGGGCACGCCGTTGCCGAAGATGTCGACGACGGCGTTCTCCGGGAGGTCGAGCACGACGCGGCCGGACTGCCGGGGCTCGACGAGGACCTCTGCGACGCCGCCGACGGGGTCGAACGCTGCGGCGACAACGTCGCCGTTACTGACGCGGAGCCCAGCTGCGATGCCGCCGGGGGGCTCCGGGACGTACCCGCCAGGGAAGACCACGAAGGCCCGGATGGGCGACGACCGCGACGTCGCCGGCAGGCCGCGCAGGGTCCGCGGACCGCCGACTATCTGCGGGGTGGCGGCGCGTTGCCTCGCGTAGACCTGGATGGTGTTTGAGGCCTGGTTCACGACAGTTCCGCTGACACCCGCGGCCCGGACGGCTCCGAACGGCAGCGAGAGCGTCGCGACCTCCGCCCCGCGCGCTCCGAGGTCGGCCGCGAGCGCCACGCGCACCAGGAAGCGCCCGTCGACGCCGTCACGCGCCACGGAGAGCACGGAGCACCGCGTGGCGGCGAAGACGTCCTCCGTCAAGGCCACGCCCCCGCGCACGACGCTCGTGTCGACGTACAGCTTCACGGTGAACTCCGCGCTGCCCATCACCCACGTCGTTTGCGAGGCCTGCAGCATCACCTCCGCAACCGCCCCCTCCGCGCGCAGGTACACGCGCTGCTTGCCGGACCCAGGCACGAGGATCGTCCCGAACGCCTGCGCGCCGGCGCCGTCAGCGGCCTCCGCCGTCGGCGTCGGTCGCGCAGGGACCGGCGGCAACGTGCCGTCGTTCTCTTCGATCGAGATCACCTCGATCGACACGCCGCTGAACCCGCGGGTCTCGAGCGCGGCCGCGACGCCCCCGCCCGTGAGCCCGTCCGCGAGCGCCCGCTTCATCGCGGCGCCGTCCGCGGCCACCGAGGCCCCCGACACCACCACCCCCCACTCCGAGCCAGTCTCGACGCGCCCGCGGAAGTGCACGCGCAGGGACCGGCGCGCCGTGCCCGCGAAGAGAGGGCGCGCGTACTGCAGCGCGATGTCCGCGGGCGTCAGCGCGACGGGCGACTTGGCGTTGACGATCTCCAGGAGCACCTCGACTATGGTTGCGCCGTGGCCGAGTTCGCCGACGGTGGCGCCGCCGACGACGACTGTGCTGACGATCTTCGGGACGCCCGCGAGCGCGGCCGGCGCGACCGTGGCGACGGACGCGGCCGGCGTGGCCGCGGATGCTGGCACCGTGGTGGCGAGGGCTGAGGGGGTCGGCGGCGCGCTCGTCGTGGCCGTGCTCGAGGCGACGGTCGTGGCGGCAGCGGGCGGCCCCGTTGTTGCCGGAGGGGACGCGGCCAGCGTCGCGGTGGGCGCGACCGTCGTCGTCGCCGCGCGGGTCGTGCTAGCGGCGGTCGTCGCGGGTGCCGTTGTCACTGCGGGCGTGGCCAGTGCGGTCGCCGTGGTTGGAGTCGCGGCAGTCGTCGTCGTCGGTGGCGGTGTGGCCGCCGCTGTCGCCGGAGCCGCTGTTAACAACAACGTTGTTGTTGCTGCCGTGGTTGTGGGGGGCGGCGCGGCCGTGGTCGCAGCGGCTGCCGTCGCTGACGGCGAGGGCGGTGTCGTGACGAACGTCGTGGGCGTGGCGGGCAGCGTCGTTGGTGGTGGCGTCGCCGTGGTCGCTGCCGACGCCGTGACAGGAGGCCCCGTCGTATTGGGCATTGCCGTCGTCGTATTGGGCGCCGCTGTCGTTGTGGCTGGCGCTGTGGTGGTGTTCACTGGCGCCGCCGTCGTGGTCGTGGGCGCTGCCGTCGTCGTCGTGGGCGCTGCCGTCGTGGTCGCTGCCGTGGTCGTCGTGGGCGCTGCCGTCGTGGTGGGCGGCGCTGTCGTCGTGGTGGGCGGCGCTGCCGTCATCGTCGTGGGCGCTGCCGTCGTCGTCGTGGGCGCTGCCGTCGTCGTCGTGGGCGCTGCCGTGGTCATGGGCGCTGCCGTCGTGGTCGCTGCCGTGGTCGTCGTGGGCGCTGCGTCGTGGTGGGCGGCGCTGCCGTCGTGGTGGGCGGCGCTGTCGTCGTCGTGGGCGCTGCCGTCGTCGTCGTGGGCGCTGCCGTCGTCGTCGTGGGCGCTGCCGTGGTCGCGGGCACTGCCGTCGTGGTCGCTGCGGTGGTCGTCGTGGGCGCTGCCGTCGTGGTGGGCGGCGCTGCCGTCGTGGTGGGCGGCGCTGTCGTCGTGGTGGGCGCTGCCGTCGTCGTCGTGGGCGCTGCCGTCGTCGTGGGCGCTGCCGTCGTGGTCGCTGCCGTGGTCGTCGTGGTCGCTGCTGTCGTCGTCGTGGGCGCTGCCGTCGTGGTGGGCGGCGCTGCCGTCGTCGTGGGCGCTGCCGTGGTGGTGGCCGTCGTTGTAGCCCCCACCGTTGTCTGCGGTGGGCTCGTCGTTGTCACTACGGCCGTGGTCGTCGCGGCAGGCGTCGTGCACCCTTTGTTCGACCCGGCGCCCTGGCCGTTGTTATTGCACGCACCGCCGCCGTTACCGCCGCCGTTGCCATTGCCACCGCCCTGCAGCAGCCGACGCGCGTCTCCACGCCCCCCGCCCCCGCCCTCCCCGACGTCGGGCGCACCGCGCAGCCGGTCAGCGACCTCACCTGACAACAGGTGCAGCCGCACTCCCCCGTCCCGCTCCCGACACGCCAGGACCGACGCACCGAGCATCACTCCCCCCACGCTCCCGCACCCGCGCCCCGGCGCTATCGACGTCACCCTCTCCAGCGCCCCGTCGGCTCCCAGCGCGAACAACGTCGCCTGGCCGCACCCGACGCACGTTGTCGCACTGCGCTGCCTGCCACCGGCCGCCAGGAGGCCGCCCGCCAGCGACAGCGACGCCCCGAGCTCCGCGCTGGTCCCACGCGGCTCCGACACAGCCGCAACGCCCGCCCACGCGCCGCCCACGCGCCTGAACACGAACACCGCACCTGCGCCGTCAGCCACCCCGGGCGCGCCCACCGCCGCCAAATCGCCGGAGACCGCCACCGCGGCGCCGAAACGGCCGCCGGACACGTCCAAGCCGCCCCACGGACGCAGCCGCGCCCCGAGCACCCACGTCCCGCCGGCCCGCGTCGCCACAAAACACCCCCCCGCTTCGGAGGCCTCTCCCGGGGCTCCGACGACGATGGTGTCGGAATCGGCCGCGACGGCGGCGCCGAAGCGGCTCGCGCGGCCGTCGTCCGCGCGCAGCTCCGACACGCTGCGCCACCGGCCGCGCTCGTACGCGTACACGTGCACCCTCCCGTGTGCGCCGGGAGCGCCGACGACGGCGGTGCGCTCGTCCGCGAGCGCGACCGCGGCGCCGAATTCTCCGTCCTCGTTATTCGGGCCCGGCTCGGCGAGGCGCGCGACGGGCCGCCAGCCCCCGTCGCGGCGCTGGAAGACGTAACCGGCCCCCGAGCGCTGCGCTCGTGCGCGCTCGCGCCCGTGCGGCGCGCCGACGAGCGCAGTTTCGCCGACGAGCGCCAAGCTTCGTCCAAAGTCGAGCCCGGGCGCGCCGTCCTCGGGCCGCAGCGCGCCGTCTGTCCGCCACGCGGCGCCCTCCCTCGCTCGTGCATACACACCAACATAAGCTCTCCCGCCAGCGTCCTCGCGCGACGCGACGAGCGCGAAGCGCTCCGTTCCCGCCACGCCGTCCGCACGGGCCGTCGCGTCGCGCCCAGGCGGCGCCGCGAGACGCTGTGTGCGCGGAGCGAAGCGGGAGTCGAATCTTTGCAGCGCAGCCCGGGATTGCGGGCCGTCTGGGGGCGCGGGGAGCTCCGCGCCCGGCGCGGGCTCGCCAGCGTACGCGCGCGTGATCGCGAGGCTGGCGAGCAGGAGGAAGAGCAGCAGATGCAGCGCGCTGCACGACGGCCCAGAGGGAAAGGCGTGGGCGCGCATGGCGCGCCGATCACGGCCCGCGCGCCCTCCTGCGTGCACCGGGGGGGCGCATGGATCTCAGGAGGGTCGGAACGGCGGCGCTGCGGTGGCTCGCGACGACGAGCGGCGCCCTGAAGGCCGCAACGAGGGCCAAGGTGCCCCTTTCCAACGGCTTGCGCTGTCAGCGCCAGCAGGCGCGACTTGCGGCGTATTTCGCGCGCCAGATCCCGCGGTGCCGTCGCAGGCCGGCGCCGGGAGCGCCGGAAACGCGCAGAAGAGCAGTTGGCGTGCCGCACGGCCGCCTGGCGCCTGAACGTGCGTCCGCTCGCGCTGCGCGCCCGGCGCCACGTCAGGCACGTTCCCGCCGCCGCGACCAGCCTCACCTGGACCTCTTCGCTCTCTCATCTGTGCATCCCGGAAACTCGAGCCGGGCGGTCACGCGCGACGCTGCGCCGGGCGGCGTTGTCCATCAGTGCTCTGTGCAGCAACGAGCTCGCCGTCCGGGCGCTGAGTGCCTATTCCGCACGCCAGCATGTTCTTTCGTGGCACCTCCGCGAGAATCCGGCGGCACGGCGGTGCGCGGGCCCCTACACGCGCGGGACGGCCCGCCCATGCCCCCTGACAGCGGGCGTGAGGGCACGCCCTTCCCGCCCGGCGCCGATGCGTACCTTCGTGCAATCCCCGCCCGCACCCTCGACCTCTACCTCTCGCGCGAACCCGCACGCGAAGTTTCGATCGAAACGGTCGAATCCCCGACCCGCACGCCGCGCAGCCACCGCCCCGCGACGCCCCCATGACTAACCAGGGCCGGCGCGCGACCGCAACCGCCGCGACACGACGCGAGCCGCGAGCCGGGACGTCCGCGCGGCCTCCCGGCCACGCTCCGCGCCGCCGCCGCACTCAGCGGCCCGCGCACTCTCTCTCTCGCACTGCCTCACACGCGGTCTTGCCAACCCCGCATCACTCCTCCTCCTCCCCCTCGGGCTTGTCCTCGACCTTGGGCGGCAGGTCCGTGCTCTCCATGAGCTTCTGGTCGTACTCGAGCGCCACGGCCGGCGGCGGCATCGGCGTGAACACCTCATTCTTCAGCCCGTGCCCAACATAGACGTTGCAGAACTGGTTGCCGTTGGAGACGGACACGGCGCCGGGCCAGAGGTTGCTCCGCAGCGCGACGATCTTGTTCTTCACGCCGGGCAGCCCGCTGCTCGGCACGGGCGTCCACGCGGCGCCGCCGAGCACCGCGCCGTCCGCCTCGACCGTCGACAGCTGCTCGGGGCCCTCCTCGGCCTCCTCCTCCGTCGGCTCCTTCTCCTCCTCCTCCTCGTCGCCCTCGGGCTCCGGCCGCCACACCTCGCACCGCCCCTGCATCTTCACGTGCGGGTACCGGTGGCTCCAGTTCTCCATCGCCAGGAGGTCGTCGAACGTCTTGGCCTCGTACTCCTCGTTGCGCGACATCTCGCCCTCGTCCACGAGGAAGAAGTCCTTCGGGCACAGCACCGTCGTGTGCGCGATGCGCGCGATCTGCGGCGAAACGTGACGCGACGCGGCGCGCAGAGGTGAGCGCGCGGCGAGGGGCGTCGCGAGGGAGGGGTGCGGTGGAGGGGGGGGGCGCGCGCGCACCTGGGCGCGGAGGAACTCGGCCTCCTTGCCCGGGTAGACCGGGTAGGCGCTGACGGGTGCGGCGAGGTTGCCGGTGACGAACTTCTTGATGGTGCGCGCGGCCTTGATCTGCTTAGGCGTCACGTCCGGGAGCTTGGAGAACTTGCCGCCGAGGTGGTTGCACACGTAGTACACGTACGCGTTCGTCCCGACGCCCTTCTCCGCGGGCACCTCCCCGGGCGCCAGCGCCTCGTCCTCGCCGCCGGGCGCCTCCTTCAGCGTCGTCTCGAACACGTAGTAGTCCGCGTGCGTGCCCAGAATCTTCCCGAAGAACCGCACCGTCGCCGCCTGCGCGCCAACGCCGCACACGCACACGCACACGGCTCCCGCCGCGCGCGCACGCAGGCCCCGCAGCACGCCGCCGCGCGCCCCACGCCCCCCGCAAGGTGCACGCGCGCGCGGGAATCACCTTGATGTTCGGGTCCTCGCCCAGCTTCCGCATCGCCATCATCACGCCGTACATCTCCGTGCGATTCAGGCCGCACCCGACGAGGTCCAGCATGTGCGCGTGCTGCATCACGTCCTCGCACTCGAAGTCGTTCGGCGGCTCCGTGTCCGCCGCCTCCCCCGTGCCCTCGTCGATACCAACCTCTGCTGACCGGTAGAGCGAACGCTCCGCCTTCGCGCGAGCGCGCTCCTCCTGCGAGCCGCCCGGAACGGGACCGGTGGGCACAGCGCGCGACGCAGGGCCGGTGCGGGCGCGCGGGCGCGCGCGGGGGGCGTCGGGGGCGCACCTCGTTGGGCGCGGCGGGGAGGAGGTCGTCCGTCTGGTCGGGGTGGTTGTTGGCCTTGCGGGTGAGCATGGAGGCCTCGAGCATGTCGACGGCCTCCATGGGCTTCTCCTCGAGGATCTGCGCGGCGGCGGGGAGCGGGGCGCGCGGCGCGTGGGCGCGCATGGCACGCTGGAGCTGTCGAGCGTGCTGCGGGCCCGGGCGGAGCGCGAGGGGCCGCGTCGGCGCTCCCGCGCGCCGGGGAATGATGCAGGCGTGGCCGGGCGGGGCCGCGGCGCCGCGTGGTGGCGTGTGCTGCGGGAACGAGGCCGCAGGGATGCACAGCGGGCAGGTGTGCGGGTCGTGGGAGCCCGCTGGGGCGCTATCCGTGCCCCCCTGGGCGCGGCGGGCCTCTCGAGAAGTGAGGGGCTCCGCAGGGTGGCGGACGGTGGCTAGCTTTGACGGATACGCGCGCGGCGGGCGGAAAGGATGGCCAGCGCACGGCGCAGGCGGGCGCGCAGGCGCCGAGGCGGCTCCGCGATCGCCTGGGCGCCGTGGGACGGCGCGTGGTGCGCGTATCTCGCCGGCGGCGGGGTGCTCCGCGCGTTCGGCGCGCGGTGCGGCGGGCGCGGGGCCGGGGAACAAAACTGGCGCACTGCGACAGGCAGGGTCCGGTTCGCGCGCGGTCGCGGCACGCGCGCGCGCTCGAACGGTGCGGTACGGCGCGGCGCGCGGAAAGACACGCGGAGGCGGGCGTCGCTCGCGGGCGCGAACCTTCTTCACGAGCCCCGAGAGGTGGTCGAAGACCGACAGGCCGTCCGTGGACCGGACGGCCTGCAGGTAGCTCACTGCCTCCGCTATTTGTGTATCCATCCTTGCGAACTCTTAAGGACTGTCCGCCGCGGCGGTCGCCGCGCGCCCTCGTGGCCGGCGCAGCGCCCGCGCCGGTCGGACCCGCACCCGTCAGCCTGCGAGCTCTCCCGGCCCAATGCGCCGCGCACAAGGGCCCGCTGGCCACGCCGCGACCGCGCACACGTAGCCGCGGCCTAGAAGAACGCGACGCTCCCACCTCAAGCCGCGTTCGACCCGCCTCCCTCGACACAGCGGGCAACATCCCAGAGAGCCTTCCCTGCGGCCGTAGCGCCCGTGCGCTCCGTCTGGGCAGGCCGCCGGCGGTCCCCGACCAGCCTTACTTCCTGTGCACCGTTCGGCGCCGGGAGACGCGGCAGTGTCCCCGCCGCTGCCCCGCAGCAGGCGCTGAAGGGCTCCGGCGAGCTTGCGCGGCGCCATGGGCGGGCCTGCGATCTCTGAGCGCGTCTATGACACGTACTGGGACATTCCTCCCATCAAGAAGGCCGCGCGCCACACCCTAGACATCCTCATCGGCCATGAGGCGAAGCCGAATCCCAACCCGCTCCCCGCCACCGCGGTCACCAGGTCCGCACGCGCCCGCCACGGCCTCCCCGCAGCCCCGCGCCCCAGAGAACGCCGCTCCTCCTCTTTCACTACGTCTCCACGTCCTCGGGACCGCGAGAACGCGCGCGCCGAGCGCGCTGGCGGCGGTTTTCCCCGCAGCATGGCCAAGCATCTTCCCGCGCGCTCCGGGCGCCTGCGGGGGGTCCGACGTGTCCGGCGCGGCGCTGTGGCCGCAGGGCGTTCGGGCGGATGTCCCACCACAAGATCACGCGGCAGCTCACGGACGAGAACCCGGTGATTGTGGAAAAGGCTCTGCTGGCAGCACGGGAGATGCTGGCTGTGCAGGAGCACCTGTGGGCGGCGCTCGAGGCGGGAATCATCATGCCGCTCATCGGGCTGACCACGCACGAGACCGAGGTGATGCGCAAGCTCGCCGCGGAGGACCTCGGGATGGTCGGGATCGTGGACTTCGGCTGCAAGGCTCTCCTCGTGCGTCCCAACTCCCTATTTATTGAATAAGATTATTTGTTTGCGCGAGAGTAGTCGCGCGCGGACGCCGCAGGCCGCCCGCGCCCGCCCTGCCCGCCGCGTGACGCCGCGGCCCGCCGCGCGGCCCCTCGCTGCAGGACGCGGGCGGCGTTGAGGCGCTGACGGCGCTGCTGGGGGACCCCGCGGAAGCGGTGGTGCTGTCCACGCTGCGCGCGCTGCTGCGGTGCGCGCACCACGGCGGGGTGCGCGAGCGGCTCACGAAGCTCAAGGTGCCCGAGACGATGGTCGAGATGGCGGGCGTCTCGGACGACACGGCTTGCCGGCTGCAGCTGCGCCTGCTGCGGCTGTGCCTCGAGAAGCGCAAGAACGGCGCGTGCATCGACATGTGCCTCGACATGAAGCCGAAGAACGCCGTCGACCTGTGCCGCGCGCTCCTGGGCCGCATGGTCGCCGCGGGGCTCTCGCCGGAGCCCGGCGGCGGCCCGCGGCCGGGCCTCGACCTCCCCGGGGAGGGCTACGTCAGCCCGGACGCGTCCGCGCGCGGGGCGGGCGAGGGCGAGGGCGCGGCGGAGGAGGGCGCGGGGCTCGCGATCGAGGTCGCGGGAACCACGGAGCAGTACGAGCATGCGGCGGCGGTGTTGCAGCTGCTGTGTTCGGACGAGCGCGCGCGGCGGCAGGCGACGGAGAACGGCTGCGTGCCGCTGCTCGTGCGCCTGATGAACCTGCCGCACCTGCACGCGCGGCTGGCCGCGACGGGCGCGGCGTCGGCGGTGTGTTTGCTGCGTGAGGGGAAAAAGGCCTTCGTAGCCGCGCAGGGGTGCGCGGCGCTGCGGCGGCTCCTGCCCATCGCGTACGAGCCGCTGCGCCTGTGCGTCCTGAACTGCATCGACAACGTCGCGGAGGACCCCAACGGTGCGCTGACGTGACTGATGCCCTTGCAGCGTGACTTTCCGGCTCGCGTCCTGTCGCGCACGAGCCCCCGGTTGCCGCGCCGGTCGCGAGGGAGTCGCCGAGAGAGCCGGGGACCGATTCGATGACGTGTGCAGGGCGGAGGGAGCTCCAGGCGACGACGGTGATGATGGAGCAAATACGGGCGCGCTCCAAGTCGGTGACCATCGAGAACGCGGCGGCGGACGCGATCCGGCAGGTGCGGTTCTACAACTACCCGCACAAGCTCAAGCCCGGGCGCAACGCGGCGATCGACGAGGAGAAGGTCGACGCGCTGCTGGAGCGCGAGAACGCGCCCCTGCTCAAGTGGATGGAGAAGCGCGACGAGGTGCTCGCGCGGAGCCGGACGGGCGACGCGGACACGATGAAGACGTGAGATGCGTGTGAGGCGTGGACGGCCGCATGTTAGCTGTCTGTTGATTGTGACCTGGGCTGGGCCCGTCAGGCACGTGTGGTGGTGGCAGCGCTCGGCCGGTGTGACGTTCAACGTGCAGCGAAGCACACGGCTTGCCGGGGGCCGCAGGGAGCGACCGAGAAAGGGTGGCCGAGAGCACCGTCAGCAGTGGAGTGCCTGTATCCCCGCTCCACGCATGCACTGACCTCGAAACCCAGATACGCGTCTCGCCTCGGTCCCGAGCACCCTCGTGGTGCTCGTAAGAGAGGCCGGTAGGTGCACTGAGCTCGTTTGCTTCGCTGAAACTTGCATTTTATGCAAAACATGCCACTGGGCAAACGTCTAGGTCAGCGCACGCGAAGCGGCGCATCGTCGCTCGCAGCCCCTTCACCGCGACCACGGCGACGCTCGCACAGCACCGCGCACGCCGCTCCGGAACGCCTCACATCCCCAACACCCCCCCCTACATTCCAATGTTGACCACTGCGGCCCGCGACGGCCCGCGCGAGCTCTGCCCGGGCGTCGTCCCGCGCGTCGCCGCCGACGTGCTCGACGCCGGCCGCCCCCCGCGGCTCCCCGGCCCCGCCGCCCGCAGCCCCGCCACCTCAAGCTGTTCGGAGATCCCCGCGCCCGGGTTCGCCTGCGCCAGCGAGCGCAGCTCCTGCAGCACGGCGCGGTTGAGGTCGCGCATGTCCGCGAGCTCCACGTCCATCTCCTGCGGCGTCGCCTCCTCCGCGCCCGTCCCCGCGCGCGCGCGAAGGTCCCGCCGCAACGCCTCGAGCCTGCGCTGCGCCCGCGCGCTCTTCTCCTCCTGGTCCCGGATCAGCGCGTCCGTCTCCACCTTCTGCCGCCCCATCTGCGTGATCGCGTCCGACGTCCGCTGCTCCTCCCGCGTCAGCTGCTCCAGGTGCTCCTGCACCTGCGCCATGTCGCGCCGCAGCTCCTTCTCGGCGCCGCGCTTGATCTTGACGCGGTCGTACGCGCGGTCCAGGCGCTCGCGCAGCTCGGACTGCTCCGCGGCGACCTGCTCCGCCTCGGCCGTGCGCAGCGACGCCCGGAAGTTGTTGTTGGTCCCGTTGAGCCGCTCCAGGGTGGTCTCCAGCGCGCGGACCTCCTTCTCCGCCTTCTGGATCTTCGCGTCGAGCTCGTCGCCCTCCCGCTGCAGCTCCTCGCGCTCCTGCGCCGCCTTGATCACGAAGTAGGCCTGCGACACCTGCTCGCCCTCCTCGTCCGTCGGCTTCCCCTTCCGCGACAGGACCCCGAACTTCGCCTCCAGGCGCGTGAGCGCCTGCTCGCGCTCCTTCAGCTCCAGCACGAGCCGGTGGTTGTCCTCGCTCGACAGCCGCAGCTCGGCCTTGAGCGCCTCCATGTGCACGTCGACCTCCTGCCGGCGCTCCTCGAGGCTAAGCTGCATCTGCGCGCGCTTGTTCTCGAGCGAGAACACCTCGTCCGCGCGCGACGACAGCAGCTCCGCGAGCCGCTTCGCCTCCAGCCGCATCACGTCGTGCCCCACCATGCGCTCCTCCTTGTCCCGCACGGCCGCCTTCACGCCCCGCGTCGTCTCGTCGACCTCGAGGTTCAGCGCCGCGACCGTGTTCTCGAGCCGGTCGGACTCCTCGCGGAGGCCCATGTGCCGGCGCTTCGCGCGGTACAGGTCCTCCTCCGCCCGCTTCACCTGACTCAGGAGCATCGAGTGCTCCGCGTTGACGCCCTCGAGCTCCTGCGTGAGCTCCTCGATGCGCGCGTTGAGCGCGCGCTTCTCCTCGTCCGTGCGCTCGCCCTGCGCGCGCGCCACCTTGCGCTCGATGACCTGGATCTGGAAGTCTGCGTTGTAGATGAGCTCCTCCTGTTTGACGACCTGGGCCTCGAGGCCGCGGATCTTGGCGTCCATGTTCTTGAGCTGGCCCTGCCCGCCGCTGATCTCCGCGACGAGCTCGCGCTCCTTGCGCCGCAGGTCGAACAGCACCTCCGACCTCTGCGCGCCACGAGAGGAAACCACACCTTGTAAGTATCATCATTATTATTATCATCATTGTTATTATCATTACTATGACAACACACCCCCCGGGCTGTGCCTGCCCCCCAGGTCGCGCGCGCATTCGCATTCGTTCGTCCGCTGCAACACACCGCCGCCACCAGCGCACGCATCAAGCCATGCCGCGTCCGTTCGGGACACGCCGCAGCCGCGCACGCACCCGGAACACCGTCTCCTTGAGCTGCGCGGCCTCCTTCATCGCCGACTTGAGCTTCCCCGCCTCCACCACGCTCATCTCCTCCAGCTGCGCCGCCTTCTTCTCGAGCGAGTCCAGCTGCGCCAGCTCGCCCTCGAGCCTGTCCGCCTCCGCGGCGTACTTCTCCCGCACGCGCTCCAGCCGCCGCTCCTTCCGCGACAGGTCGTCGCGGATGTTGTCGTTGTTGGCGCGCTGCTTCTGCAAGTCCCCGCGGATCCGCGACAGCGTGTTCGTGGCGATCGCGAGCGCGTCCGCCGCCTCCGCCGCGCGCGCCTGCTCCCGCGCGTACCCCTCCCGCTGCCCCGCGACCTCCCGGTCCGCCACCGCCACCTGCTGCTCCAGCTCCCGGTTGTTCGCCCGCTCCGCCTCGAGGAACCGCTCCTGCTCCGCCAGCCGCGCGCGCACCTCCCGCAGCGCCGCCTTGCGCGCCGCGAACTTCTCCGACGCGGCCTGGATCGCCTCGTCCCGCCGCTTCACCTCCTCGAGGGCTTCCTCCCACTGCCGCACCAGCTCCAACCGCTCCATATGCAGCGCCTTGAAGTCCTCCGCCGTCTTGTCCAGCTGAATCTGCGCCGCCTGCGTCTCCGTGACCTCGTCCTCCAGGTCCTGCTGCGCCTTGGTCGCCTCGCGCGCCACCTTCTCCAGCGCAATCGCCAGGTCCTTCATGCGCCCGTCGTCCGTCCGCCCGTACCGCGCCAGCGCCTCCACGTCCTCCTCCTTCTGCCGCGACGCCAGCGCCCAGGACTCTAGCTCCTCCTGGTTCCAGTTCATCTTCATTTTAAACTGCTCCATGCGCTCGTTGCCTGCCTCGATCTGGACCTGCACGCGCGCCGCGCGGTCCGCGGCCTGGTCGCGCTCGACCTCGAGCTTCTCGATGTCGGACCGGAGCCGCCCGCACTCGCGCTGGAGCATGGCCTGCGGGCGGGGGGTTGCGGCGCGGTGGAGCTCAGGTGCGCGCCGGGCGTGTCGCGCTCCGCGACGATGCACGCGCGCGTGAGACGGAGGGTCCGGGCGGCGGTGTTATGCAGGCACGCTTGGCCTCGTATTCGGGCCGGAACGCTGCGGGACGCGGCGTCGAACGTCAAACAACGCTCGAATCGTTGCAACGTCCGCGTCGCTGGTCGCCGCGCGGCGCGGGCCGGCGCGGGCGGGCCGATGCGTTTATTTCCCGGCGATTCGGCCGCCGTTCGCGCGGGCCGCACCTTGAGGTGCTCCTCCGTGGACAGCTCCTTCTTCTTCGCTTCGAGGCGCGACTGCGTGTACTGGATCTCGTTGCGCACGTTCTTCAGGTGCTCGCCCATGATTTTGATGCGGTCCCCGGACTCCTCGAGGTCGAGCCCCCCGGACTCGAGCTCCCGCTCCAGGCTCTTGATCTGCCGATCGAGGGCCTTGTTCTCCGCGTTGGCGAACGGGGGCAGAAACGAGTCCACCCCATCGTCTGCGGGCAGGGGCGCGGCGGGGGCGGCGGCGTGGGCGTCGACGCGGCACGCGGAGGCGGGCGGAGTGGAGCGCGACCGCGTGGGGCGCCTGTGGCTCTGCGGGGGCCGCGAGCGGGTGGTGGGGGCGGAGCGGCGCGGCGGGGGAGATGGCGCAGTTCGCGGAGGAGGTAGTCGCGCGCCGCGGACGGAGCGGGCGCGCCGGAATCGCCCGCGGAGGCCCGTCTCGGCAACGCCCTGGGCCGCGCTGGCGCCGTCCGGGGACGAAAGGCCTTGGCGAGGCGCCCCAGCGCACGCACGATACCGTGCGGGCCGCCCGGCGCGGGGAAATGCGGGCAGGTGCGCTCGGGGCGCCGGGGACACGGTGGGACGTCCAAAAAGGCTGTAGGAGCGCAGTGCGGGGGGCGCGCAGGCGCGCGGCGGCCAGCGCGGCCTCCGCCAGGCGGCGAGGGGCGCCGGTGCGGTCGCGCAGAGCCGCCGCGCCGGCGACGCGCCGCCCGGACGCCGCCGGCTGCGCACCGCAGGCACGGCATGCTGCAATGCAGCGAGTACGAGGCTCGCACGGGCTCTGCCGCCATCCGCGCTCCGTGCCGGCCCGCGCGCCCGCGGAGCGGCCGGAATGCGACCTCGCGGGCGCCGGAAGGCGCGCGCGGGGGGCCGGCGCGGGCCGGGCGCGCCCGCGCAAGCACCTGGCAGGCAACGCGGGCGCGTGCACGGCCCGCGCCGGCCCCCTCCGGGCCTGAAATTCCACTATCCGCGAGGAAACACGATGCGCTCGCGCCTCGGCGCGGCCCCGCGGGCAGGGCGGCGCGCGGGGCGTCTGGGCGCGCGTCATGCCAGAGCAGTGCCACGCGCCTGAATTTCCCGAACGCGGGCGTGGGTCCGCCATCGTGCACCCCTCCCCGACCAGCTGTCCCGGCGGGAATCGACTGGCGCCGCGCGCCGCGGCCGCGCGCGCATCTCCGCGCCGCCCCAGCACGGGCACTTTTCCACTCGGGCTCTCTCGACTTCCACCGCGCCCGACTGCGGGCCCTCCGGCCGCGCAGCCTGCGCCATCGCGCCGCGCCCGCGCGCGCGCGCCGCACTGCACGGACCACGTGGTGTCTCGCGGAGGCCCGCGCGCCTGAAACACCTCACGCATGATCGCGAGGGCGCACTCCTGAGCCTACGCGTACTGGTGCTTGTTTCGTCCAGGCGGGGCGCGCACGCAGCGATGAGCGCGGAGTCCGCCGTCCTGGCGGCGGCGTTCCAGGCTGAGCTGTCCAAGCGGATCAACGCGCTGCCGCACCGCCCCGTCGGCGTGCAGTGGCTGCCCGCGGAGAAGCGATACGAACACCTGAAGGCCGCCCGGCAGGTCAACGACAGCGTCCAGTACTACGTGGCCAAGCTCCCCGACCACGTCTACGTCCCTATCCTCCTCGACAGCGGCGACGCGCTGCTCAAGAAGGGCGAATGGGCCGTCGCGGACATCACCTGTTACCGCGTCGTAAGGTGCGACGCTCCGCCGCCGTCCCAGCGCGGACTCCCCCCGCGAACTCCCCCCCACGCGCCGGCCCAGTCCAGCGGGAACGCGCAGAGACGGGCGGAGACCGCGCGCGTGGAGACGTCAGCCTAGTTTCCGCCTCAGATCGCTTCTCAGGGGCACCGACGTGCATGCCGGTGCTGCCTGCGGCGCGCCAGGGCGCCGCACCGCGCCGCCTGGCCCCGCACAGCTCGCACGTCCACGTCGCTTACAAACCGAGGCCCCGCGGCCGCCGCCCGCCGCCTCGGCAGTGTGCGACGCCTGTGCGAAGGCCCCGCGTGGTGCTCGCGCCCCCGCACGCCCCCCGCGCCGCACGGCGCGTTTCCGCGGCCCGCGCCCCGCGCCCGCATCCGCCGTCGCCGCGCCGCGCCCCACCCGCACCGCGCGCACCTGCCCCGCACAGCCCGCGCCTACGCGTCCCACGTCCCACGTCGCCGCGCCTACGTGCCCGTTCGCGCAGCAAGCTCGGGCTCCACGGCCGCAAGTACGGCCCGACGAACCTGACCGACGTGCAGCGCATCGCCGGCGCCGTCCGCGCGCGCATGGGCCAGGCGGTGTGTCGCCTTTCCATCTGTCAGGATGAGGACCCCAACTTCCACTCCCCCCACACCCTCCCGACCGTCGAGGCCGCGCTCCACGCCCTCCGCGACGCCATCACCCTCGCGCTGCGCTACGAGGACCTCTACTGGCTCGTCCTCAACGGCACTGTGCACACGTATCGCGCCGCGAAGCCCCTCGCTGCGCGCGGACACGCACGGTACGTCCCGCGCACCCCGCGATCCCTCGCGCACGCCGCGCGGGCTCCGCGCTGACCCGCCGCGCCGTTCCGTGCGTCCCGCTCCGCGCAGGGAGGCCCTGGCCCCGATCGTACACTGCGTGCTGGCGCTGGAGGCTAACATCCGACTGGCGCTGCCGCGGTTCCTGCCGTGGCGCGCGACGCTCTACTCGCTCGCGACGCGCTGCCTGCTCGACCTCGGCGACGCCAAGGCCGCCGGCGCGCTCGTCCAGTCGGGCATCGAGAGCATCAACGACTTGGTGCAGATTCAGAACCTCGACCCCGTGCCGTGCCCGCCGGAGGTCGCCGCGGCGTACGCGGCGGCTCTGCGGCGGCTGCGCGTGCTGCAGCTCGCCGCGCAGCTCTCGGCGGCGCCGGAGGACGGCGGCGTGGCGGCGAGCAGCGAGGACATCCTGTCGCGGTGTGCCGCTGCGGGGGACGCGGACGGGCGCGCGGGGACGATCGAGGCGATGCTGGACGCGCTGCAGAAGTCGGAGCGGCGGCTGACGGACCACGCGCCGCCCGCGGAGGGGTCGCGGGAGGCGGCGCTGCTGGAGGCGCTGCGGAGCGTGCTGGCGCCGCTGGCGCAGGAGATCGTGAGGGGGTGCGAGACGCGCGCGACGGCGCCGGAGGAGGAGGATGCGGCGGCGGAGGACGCGAAGGAGCCGGCGCCCGCGGACGGCGCGGAGGAGGGGGGGGGCGACGAGACCCCCCCTGAGCTGACGGAGGCGCAGAAGGCCATGCAGGCGGGCGCGGCGGCCGAGGCGGACCTGTCCGAGTGGCTCCACGGCCGCGCGCTGGTCGCCGCGTACGCCAACGACGCGTGGGACCTCTTCCAGGACCTCACCTCCGCCGCACATGCACGCCTGGGCGAGCACGCGGCGGAGGGCCTCCCGCCGGGCGGCACGCTCCCGGTCGTGCTCGGGCTGCTCGAGGGCATGCACGCCGTCGACGGCGAGACGCACGCGGCGCCGGACACCCCCTCCGCGGACGCAGACGCCCCCGCGACGCCCCCGCCGCGCCGCGCCCCCGACACGAGCGGCAACGGCGACGCGGCGCGCGCCGCGGCGCTCGAACGCATCGAGCCGCTCCGCGAGGCCATCGAGCAGCACAGCGACCGCGCCATCAGCGCCGCGCCGGACCTCCTCCTCGACGCCGTTGGCCTCCTCTACAGCTCCCTGGAGGGGGCCATCCGACGGTACTTCACGGTGGACTCCGTGCGCTGCGAGCCGCTCGAGCTCGCGCTGCGGACGCTGGACCACGCGTACTGCCACCTGGACCACCACGACCCGATGCTGTCGCTCAGCGTGGCGATGAAGCTGGCGGTGTCGCAGGGCGAGGGCGGGAAGCTGAAGAACGCGATCGCGGTGCTGCAGCGCGCGAAGTGGCGCGCGGAGATCGCGCGCGAGCGCTGGATCGCGGCGCGCGACGGCATGGAGTGCGAGGCGACTCTGTGGCCCACAGCGTCGCGCTCGCAGCCCGACGCCGCGACGCGCGAGCTCGTCGCGAGCATGCCCGAGGCGGAGCAGTTCTTCGCGTGCATGCACGCCGACCTCCTCAGCCTCCTCGGCCGCCTGCGGCTCCAGCAGGGCGTCAAGGACCAGAGGGCGGCGGCGCAGCGCCGCCAGGAGACTCTCATCGACACCATCGACCGGCGCGACAAGGAGTCGATGATCTGGGGCGCGCGGACGGAGAAGGAGCGCCGCGTGGACGCGCAGCGCGTGCAGAAGGCGATCGTCACGCCGGTGAACCCCGTCGCGGCCGAGAAGGAGCTGTTGGCTGACGCGGGGGACTCGCTGTACGAGCGCGCGGTGGCGCTGATCGAGATGGCGCCGTTCCAGGGCGCGGTGGAGCGGCAGGCGCAGCTGCTGCAGCAGGCGCACGAGTGTCTGCTGCGCGCGGAGGCCGCGGAGAACGAGTTCATCGCGCTGGCGCACCGCGCGGCGCCGCAGGAGCGGCTGAGGGTGCCGCCGTCGCCGGTGGTGCTGAGCCGGACGACGCGGAGCGTGCGGATCGCGTGCCCGGAGTTCCGCGCGAAGGGCGCGAAGCCGACGCATTTCGCGGTGTACGGCAAATCACGCGGCGCCGGGACGGGGCTGAGCATCAACTCGACGGCCGCGGAGCTCGACGGGCTCGGGGAGCCGGTGCGAATCGGCGAGGAGGTCACCGTGTCCGGGCTCACGCAGAACACGGCGTACAACTTCGCCGTCGCGTGCTACACGGCGTCCGGCGAGCTCTACGGGGAGCTGGGGGAGCCCACGCCGGTGCTGCCTGCGGCGCTCCCGCTGCCGCTGCTGCAGCTGCACGGCTACGTCGGGCTCATGGGGCACCGCCTCGGGCTGCTCCACCCGCTCAAGATGGCCGTCAACTCCATGTCTGCCCACTTCTTATTGCAGCGCGACGCCCGCCCTATCTGGGAGGCCAATCCCGTGGACTCCGTGAGCCTGAACAAGGACACCGTGGCCATCGCGACGCCGCCGCTCCTGCGGTCCTTCGTCCTGCTGCTCTACGCGTCCGCCGGGGAGTCGCAGCCGCGGGCGGACCCCAAGGTGCCGCGCGTAGGTCTCGCGGACTCGGCGACGATCCGTCCGCTGCCGTACGGCGCGCCGGCGATCGACGGGCAGCTGCGGCATCTGCGGCTGTCGCGGAATCTGCTCATCGGGATGCAGGTCGCGTCGATGATCGGCGACCAGCGGCTGATGTGCGAGGGCGGCGTGCGGGTGAACAACCACCTGGCGCCGCTGCTGGCGGTCCGCGGGCGCCCGCAGCTGCTCACGAAGGCCGTCGCGCAGTGCCACGCCGCGCTGCAGCTCGTCACGGACACCGGCCTCGAGCTCGCGCGTGAGGCGATGCCCGCTGCCGCGCAGGTGGCCCTGCACAGCATGCAGCTCCTGGAGAAGGGCCGCGAGGCCGACGCGTGCCGCGAGCTCGGGCGCCTCCACAGCGCGCTCCTCACGGCCGCCGGCGGCGTCGAGGAGGTCACGAAGCTCCAGGAGTATCTGCTAATGCATCCAGACCTCACGAATGTTGATTCCGAGGTCCTGAAGCGGCGGATCGCGGACACGGAGGACGTGGTCGCGGCGGTGCTGCGCGACATCGCGACGCTGCCGTTGCAGGACGTCTGGGCCAAGCTCGCGGACACGCCGGGCCCGGGGAAGCCGGAGGGCGCTGGCGTGTATCGCGCGAAGCTCCGGCGCGGGCCGCTCGCGCACCGGTACATGGAGTTCCTCGCGCGGATGGTTGAGCGCGCGTTCGAGGAGGGGCGGGACGCGCTGGTGACGGAGTGGGCGCTCGAGGCGCGGGAGGTGATGCATGACGCGCTTTGCTACCTGGGCCCGTGCGAGCCGGCGCGGTGGCGCATCGAGGACGCGGTGGAGGCGTCGACGATGACGCAGGCGCCCGAGGCCGACGTCGAGGAGGCGCGGCGGCGCAAGAAGGCCGCGCAGGGGCTGCAGGGCGGCGACAGCGGCGGCGACGGCGACGCGTTGCCGGAGCTGGACGAGGACGAGGCGGCTGCGGTGCTCCTCGAGGCCAAGCGCCGCGACGCCGCGGCGCGGTTCCTGCAGACGCGCTGCAAGGAGCGCACGTGGTATCTCAAGAAGCGCAAGGAGGTCCGGGCCCTCATCGCTGCGTCGCAGCCGTGGCTGTCCCGGATCAACTGCGTGCTGGGCCTCGTGCGCACGGGCAAGGCGTGCAAGCTCCCGCGCGAGGACTCCGCGCCGCGGCCCGCGCGCGACGACGCGGAGAGCGCGCCGGAGCCCGAGGACGACGCCGAGCAGGACCTGTCGGGTTTCGAAGACACCCCCGGGGGGGGTCCCGGCACGGCCGCGCAGCGCGACGGCGAGGTCCCGGACTCGTTCAAGCACTCGGCGCAGCTCGACGCGGCGCTGTCCGCGCTGCGCTGCTTCTGCCGCGCCGCGGAGCTCGCTGCGCGCTCCCACCGATGGGACCTGGTCAGCGACACGGTGGGGCACCTGTGGAACTCGCTGCGGCTGCTGCTCGAGGCGCACGGGGCGTCGCTGCAGCGCCCCGCCGCGCGCGCGGTCACGCAGATGGTGCCGTGGGTGCGTTTCATGCGCACGCGTCCGCTGCCGCCGGTCGGGGAAGAGTGGACCCCTGAGTGGGAGCAGGCGCACCCGCCGGCGTCGCCGTCCCCGGAGAAGCTCGAGCAGAAAGTCGCGATCAACGTCGGCAAGGACAACCTCGCGCGCGTGCTCCGCGTGCCCCTTGCGCGCATGCTCGATCTGATTGACCTGCGCGGGACGGGCGGGCTCGCGGAGGGCCTCGCGGTGACGGAGGACGCGGCCGAGGCGATGCCGTTCGTGCTGTACGGCGCGGAGCCGCCGCGCGCGAGCGCGCCGATGGACTTCGGGTCGCTGGCGCGCGCGGGAACGCTACGCAACCCCATGGCTGGCACGGGGTCGGTCGTGCACGACGAGCCCGACGCGGACTCGCCGGACTACGGCGCGGAGGTGCCGAATCCGTGGTTCTCGACCGCGACGGACGTCGACATCCACCTCGTCGGCGAGATCGTCGTCACGACAATGGTGCTCTTCAAGGCGGCCCAGCGGCACGGGTGGCTGTTCCAGGCGGGCGCGCGGTACCACCGCCTGACGTACGGGCGCTTCGCGGAGGCGGTCATCCCGCACCTGATTGCGGTGGCGCCGGTCATAGGGAAGGATCTCGTGCCGTGGCGCGGCGCGCTCGAGAGCGCGGTGCGGGACAAGAGCATCGTGCTGGAGGAGCTCGACAAGACGCGCGCGAGCACGAAGCACCGCATCGGCGCGCCCGCGGCGTGGGCGATCGCCAAGCCGAAGCGCTCGGTGAGCAAGCTGCGCCGCACGCAGTCCAACCAGCAGGGCGGCGAGGACGAGTTCTCCGACGCGGCGTCGATGCGGTCGCTGTCGTCGTCGCGGAGCACGCGCTCCGAGGGCACCGCGACGTCCGGCTCCGCGCTCACCGACGACCTGTACCTGCCGGAACGGTACCGGAAAGCGCTGGACAAGGCCAAGGAGATGCAGGAGAAGCTGCTGCTCGCGCAGGCGCAGAACGAGCTGGGCGACGTGCACATACACTTCGGGAAGCGGGACCTGGCGATGGCGAGCTGGTCGGACTGCCTGGACAGCGTCACGGGCCGGTACGGGTCCTGCAGGGGCGCGGTGTGGCGGAAGCACTTCCGCGGGGTGTCGCCGAAGACGATCCTGGCCGAGAACACGCTGCAGGTGCTGCTGTTTGCGTTCGTGCCGCTCGGGAAGCTCTGCCGGTACGGGCGCGAGGACGGCGTCGACCTGCGCGCCGATTGCGGGCACCTCGCGTCGCTCCTGGCGCTGGCGTGCTTCTCCGGCACGTTCACGCACCCGCAGCGGCCCGCGGACTTCGCGGCGTACGTCCCCGTCGAGCTCTGCGAGGGCGACGCCGCGCTGTTCAACAGCCACACGTGTCCCAACGTGACGGACCTGCAGTCCTCGCTGCAGTCGCTCGGCGCCGCGCTGGTGCACTCCGGCGGCGCCCTCGACGCCCTCCCCGTCCTCTCGCTCCTCGACTACGTCTCCACGCGCGTCACGGCCAACGCGGCCACCGCCGTGTATGCGCGCCTGCTGCGCGCCGAGGCCCTCTGCGACCTCGGTTTCCTCGAGTCCGCGAGCCGCATGATGCTCGACCTCATGCTCGGGCGGAACCTGCCCTCGCGCACGCGCGGCGGCCGCCCGCTCGTCCTCAAGGACGACGACGGCAACCCCATGCACCTGGAACTCCCCGAGGGGGTGTCTCCGTTCCAGGAGCCCAAGGACGCGTCCGACGAGGGCAACATGCGGCTGCTCAAGTACGTCGCGGAGTGGCAGCCCGAGAAGGCGCTCCTCGACGTCCTCGGCCCGCACGCCATGTCAGGCCTGCACCTCGTACGCGCGCGCTTTCTCTATGCGGTGGGGATGGTGCCCAACATGTGGCTGCGGAGCGACTCGGAGACGAGCGCGCGGCTCGCGGCGCCCGTGACGGAGCCGACCGCGGAGATGGTCGCGCTGCACCTGTCGTCGAAGTGCCTCGGCGCGCTCATTGCGGAGCATGTCGTGACGCCCGAGGAGCCGCCGCCGGCCGCGAAGGGCGGCAAGGGCGGCAAGGACGCGGACAAGGGCAAGAAGGGCGCGGACGCGAAGGGCGGCAAGGGCGCCAAGGACGCCAAGGGCGGCGCGAAGGGCGGGGAGAGCAAGCGCGAGGTCGCCGCCGCCGTTTTGCCGCTGCCGGTGCCCCCCGAGGAGTCGGAGCCGCCGCTGGGGACGGCGACGGAGGAGCTGGACAACAGGACGCTGCTGACGCTGTCGCGCGCGTTCCTGCAGCTGGCGATGGTCCGGAAGAAGCAGTGGCTGTGGCGGCACGCGCTGCGGTACTGTCTCGAGTCCCTGCGCTTCGCGGGGGCGATGACGCGCGCGGCGTCCGAGGAGCGGCAGGTGAACGCGACGCACGACGCGATGGAGCGCCGCGCGGCCACGCCGGAGATGTTCGTCGACGCCTACGCGATGATTGTGGACCTGTACCTCTTCCTGGGTCTTCCGCGGCAGTGCATGGAGACGGCGAGCGCGGCGAACGAGCAGGCGCGCGCCGCGAAGCACTCCGCGGCCGAGGCGCGCTTCCACGGCACCGCGGCGCTCGCCGCCGCGCAGGAGGGCCTCACGCTCTCCGCCCTCTATGACCTGGAACCCATCCTCGAGAAACTATTAGATCCTATCTCAGGAACCGCCGTCCCGGCCCGAACCGCCTCGCGCATCCTCCTCGACGCGGGCTGCCTCTACGAGGGCCTCGGCGCGCAGCAGGACGCCGCCCGGCTGTACGAGGCCGCTGAGGCGCGCCTGCGGGGCGAGATGCGAGCACTGGGCCTGCACGAGCACCGGGAGCACCCGGAGCTGCGCAACCGCCACCTGGCGTGCGCGGGGGACTTCTGCGAGGCGCTCGTGCGGCACGCGGCGTCGCTGCTGCGCCGCGGCGACTTCGCGGAGGCCTCTGACCTAGCCGAGGAGGCTCTGTCGGCCATGTCGTTGTACCACAGCATGCCGCATTCGAAGGCGCGGGCGGCGCACCTGGCGGGGCGGGCGGCGCGGCACCTCGCGCTGCGCGCGGAGGACCACGAGACGGCGCTGCGGCACCAGAAGGCTGCGTTCGGGCACCTGCAGCGCGCGCTGCGCTGGGCGGTGCTTGACGGCGGGCCTGACTACCGCCTGGCGGCGACGTGCGCGTGCGAGGCGGCGGCGATGCACCACGTGCGGCAGGACGCCCCGCGGATGGCCGCGTGCCTTCACATTGCGGTCGATATGTACCAGCGGCACACGAAGCTGTTGAATCGGCCCAAGGCTGGCGCGGTCGCGGCGGAGCTGGTGCCGGCGTGGGCGCTGGAGCTGACGGAGGGGCGGAAGGAGGCGCTGAAGGGCGTCGCGGACCGCATGCCGGTCGAGGAGGAGGAGGAGATGGACGTGTCGACGCAGCTGAGTCACTTGCTGAGGTATAACCTGACGCAGGCGGCCATGTCGGGCCCGCTGTCGCGGTCGGACTGCTGGGCGCAGGCGGCGGCGCTGCACGGCGCGCTGCTGACCGGCGGCGACGAGTACGTGCGGAGCTGCGGGCCCATTGCCGACGGTGCGCTGGACCTCAACCCCGAGAGTCCGGCCGAGGTGCCCGTGGGCACGGCGGTCATCGCGTGGATGGAGGAGGAAGGCAGCAACGACTGGCCGCAGAGCTGGCACGAGACGGGCTCGCTGCGGCCGCAGATCGTGTCCCGCACCGCGACGGACGCCGACGCCGTCAATCTCCCGAAGCCCGCGCTGTTCTTCACCATGCTGGTCGTCGTGCACGAGCCAGACGTCCTCGGGAGGCCCACGACGGGCCTCTGCGCGCTCCCGGGCCACCAGGCGCGCGACCTCCACTGGCGCGTCAACAACGTCATCCGCGAGGTCGAGGCGTTCCAGCCTCCGGAGCCGCTCGAGGGCGAGGAGCCCATGGCCGCCGGGGAAGACGACCGGCTGCAGGACCTCGTGTGGGACACCATGGCGGACGTGTCGGACCCGCTGCGGCAGGCAGGGATGGGCAAGGCGGCGGCCGCAGCGGCGGTGGCCGCGGTGGACGAGCGGCCGAAGGACGCGGGGATCGAGTCGACGGAGCTGCCGAAGTGGGTGGACGTGGCGACGCTGTCCTTCGTGAAGCAGGCGGTGGACGCGCGTGCGGGCGTGCGGCTCACAGAGAGAGGCCCGCAGCATGTGCTGCCGTGGCTGGTGTCCGCGATCGGACAGGCGCCGTGGCCGATCGGGGACCTCCCGGACGACGACGACTGAGCCGGCGCGCAGCTCGGCGTAGAAATATCCACGCGCTTGCGGGTGCAGTGACGCGACCACACCAGGATGTAACAGAGCGTAGCCTCGATCCGTCGTGGAGGCGCCCCTGAGCGCCCAGCTTGCGGCGGAACGACGAGTCACCGCGCGGGCCGGCCTACGAGGCGTGCGCGCGCACCCACTCGCACATCGACTGCCCGTTGCGTTCCACCCACGCCATGTTCGACTCCACTGCCTCCTGCGCTTTCTTGAAATCTGATTCCGAGATTTCCTCCGGGTGCGCGCTCCGCAGCTCCCGCGCGATCTCGATCGCGTCGCGCTCCGCGAGCCGCCCCGCGACGGTCGACACCAGCCGCCCCATGCGGCCCGCCGCCGCGCCCGTGCCCCCCACCTGCGCCGCGATCTCGCCCCAGCGGTTGCGGATCGCCTTCCACGTCCACTGCGCGTTCTCGTGGCTCGAGTACGCCACGCGCGTGAGGACGCGGAGCTTGTCCTGGGCGCGCACGTGCTCGCTGAGAGCATAGTCGATGGCAGCGCGTGCCAGGTCGCCGTTTCGGCTGCTGGCCAGGGCCATGAGCGCGCGCTCGACCTCGGCGGGGTCCCGCGCGGCCTTGTGCAGCCCCTTGACGAGGTCGAACGACTTCGTTCCGTCTGCAAACAATCGCGACAACCCATTCCAGGATTCAAGTCTCATGCCACCACGCACAAGAGCGAAGTGCCACGCGTCAAGGGCGCACAGCGCCGCGCCGCACGCGTGGCTGCTGTCTGGGCACGCACCGCGCAGCATCGCCACCTCGTACGTCACGTCCCGCGTGTCCGGGTGGATCCACCCCTCCGAGCCTGGCTGCGGGGTCCGGCCGTCCTCCTGCAGCACGACGTCCGCGCGCATCTTGAGCAGGTCGAACGCCTCGCGCCCGACCTCGTCGTCGCCCAGGAGACCGAGGTGCAGCAGCATCCTCGCGCGCACCAGCCTGCAACGCAACACAACACATCCGAAGCGAAAATGAGTTGCAGCGGCGCGTGTCAAGATGGGCGGCCGGGCGGCAGCGGTTCGGTCAAAGGCGCAGCACCCCGGAAGCACGTACCTGGTCGCGGGGGGCAGTGTTTCGGGGTCCGCCTGCAGGGAACCGATCCCGGGGTGCGCCAGCCGCAGCGGGCGGTACAGCTTCTCTTTCGCCCACGTCGCGAGCTCAGCGTCGCACCCGCGCTTCCCCATGACCTCCGAGTACCACCCGAGCTCCGTCAGATACCCCGGAATCGTCGCCCACGTGGAGTACTCGAGGGGGCCAGTGCGCGCCCCCACCGCGCGCACCAGGCCCAGGAAGTGCGAGATCGGCTGCATGCCCGCGCGCGACAGCGCCCACGCGTCGTCGAGGAGCCCGGCGATGTCCTGCTCGGTGAGCCCCCACGCGCTGTCGACCGTGGGCCGCGTTCGCGCCGCAGCGACCAGCCGCCCCCACAAGCTCGCGTCATACGCGACCCTGTAGAACCCGCGGTGCCCCGCGTTCACGAGGAGGTACTCCTCGTCGTTCTCCGGCGCCACCTCGACCACGTGGTGCGCGGGCTTGCACCTGTCGAGGGCGTACCACTTGACGTGGTCAGGGTCACGCCCCCGCCGCATCTCGAGCGGCACGAGCCAGCGGCCCTCGTTCGCCGCAACGCCGCGGTCCGCCGCGGGCTCCGCGTCGCTACACGTGCCCGTCCCGGCGCCTTCCAGGAACGGCAGCTGCTCCACGCGCACGTGTCCGTCGATGGACGGGTCCTCGTCGCGCACCATGGTCACGAGGACGAGCGGGTAGCCTTGCCGGTAGAGCCAGGAGTCGAGCGTCTCCTTCCCTGCCTCCTCGTCGCCGTCGCCGACGACGCGCGCGACGGCGGGCACGAAGGAGCCGCGCGTCGTCACCGACGACAGCTCGTGCGCCTGGAGGTAGCTCCGGAGCGCCGTGACGAGCTGGTCCTCGCCGACGGGGTTAAGACCTTCGCGGACCACCATCCTGCGGGGCGTGCAAGCGCAGAACGCGACCACAGTCACCAATTAATTAATTTATTAATTAATCAATCCATGTTTGGTGGCGACAGCACGACCGAGGCGCGGTCGGTGCGGGGCGCAGCGAGCACGCGCGCGTCTCACCAGCGCAGCATGTGCAGGAACGACGCGCCCTTGCGGTAGCTGATCGTGTCGAACATGGACTCGACCGCGAGTTTCGAGTCGACGTCCTCGGGCGGGGGCGCCAGCGCGTGGGACGACGCGAGGCCGTCCGCGTGCAGCGCGCCGCGCGCCGTGTCCACGAAGAGGCTCGGGAGGTGCGCGTACTCCGCGTTCGCCGCGTCCGCCCCCACGTGCTCGAAGTACGACGCAAAGCCCTGCGCAGGGGGGGGTTTTGAGTCGGGGGGGGGTTGAGAGCTTCCGTCCGGCGCGGCGGCAGCAAGCGCGCACGCGTAACGCGGGCGCGCACCTCGTTGAGCCAGATGTCGTTCCACCAGCGCGTGGTCACCAGGTCCCCAAACCACATGTGGGCTAGCTCGTGCGCCACCACGACCGCCACGCGCCGCACGCCCCTGCTGGACGTCTCCGTCGACACCAGGAGGTCCGTCTCGCGGTACGTCACGAGGCCCCAGTTCTCCATCGCGCCCGCCGCGAAGTCCGGCACCGCCACGAGATCCAACTTGGGCAACTTGAACTTCGAACCGAACAGCCCCTCGTACGCCGGCACGATCTTCGACGCGAACCGCGCGGCCGCCTCGAGCGACGCGGGGTCCCGCCCCTCCACGCCGAACACGCGAATCGGCAGCTTCGGGTCGTAAGAGCTCTCAGCGTCTACAGATGTGTGAACCAGGCTGCCGACGACGAGGGCGACGAGGTACGACGACATCGGCGGCGTGGGCTGGAACGCGTGGCGCTCGAGGCCCTCGGGCGGCGCGGTCCCCGCCGGGAGAGTCCCCTCGGGGGTGTTGGAGAGCGCCGTCAGGCCCGCGGGGGCGTCGACCGTGAGCTGGAACACCGCCTTCAGCGCGGGCTCGTCGAAGCACGGAAACGCGCGCCGCGCGTCCGTCGTCTGCATCTGCGTCGTCGCGAGGTACGACACCCCCTCGTCCTCGTCGTCGGACTCCCCCCCCGCGTCGTACTGACTCAGGTACAGCCCGCGGAGCCCGGGCTGCAGGCGGTACGCGAACGAGATGTCGATGCGCGCCCGCGAGCCCCCTGGCACCGCGTCGGCCACGTGCAGGCTCAGCTGCTCGGACTCCCCCCCCATCGCGAAATTGGCGCGCTGCGCCTCCCCCTGCGCGGCGCCGTCCGCGTCGACGACCACCACCTCGGCGCTGCGCACGTCCATGCCTGCCGCGTGCATGATGATGCAGTTCACGCCGCCGTCCTCGCTCGCGCGCAGCCCCCGCCCTGCAAGCCGCCGTCCGAAGGTGCCCACCGCAGTCGCCGCCCACCCGGCGGCGACCTCGGCGCGCCGCGTCGGCTCCTGCGCCTCCACCTCTACGTAGATCGACGTCGTCCCGGTCACCTCCGCGCCCGGCTTGATCTCCGGCAGCGTCAATGACACTTCCTGCCGCGTGGGGCGCACGGCGGTTGGGAGACGGTACTTGGTCCAGCGGCACGTCTCGTTCGCCTTCGCGGTCCGCGCCCACTGCGCCGACGTGGAGATCACGAGGACGAGCACCAGGAGCGCCGCGCCGCCCCACACGAACGCTTTCGCGATGTTGCGTTGCCGGTACGACAGCGAGTACCACCAGTCAGGCGGAGCGAGGCGGTCCAGCAGCGCCCTGCACACGGCGGGAGGCTGGCGCGTCGGCGCGGGCAGCCGGCGGGCGGCGCGGCGAAGCAACAAGGTGCGGTGCGCGATCGCATGTTGGGTGTCGTGGGGCGCACGTGCAGTCGATTCCGCAGATGCGGCGGCGAGGGCGGTACTGTCGGACGTCGATGGAGAGCGCGAGGCGCTCGAGGTCGTCGTCGCCGGGCAGGTTGCGCGCATCGTAACCGCTGCGGTCGTCGGAGACGTGCTGCGGTGCCGCGTCGTACGAGACGCCAGACTGGCCGACGGTCCTCGCTGTGGCAGCTCCGCGCACGAGGTTGGTCCTGAAGTCGTCCACCGCCTCCCTGCGCGTCGCAGGTGCCGTGACGACGAGCCACAATCAGCACACAGGTGTCTTCGCGCGCTCCTGACCCCACGCATCCCAGTTCCGGGAAGCTGGGCGCACAGATGCGCTACGTGACACAATATCTCGGCCGCAGCGCTGCGAAAGGCCGCCAAACGGGCATATCGTCCACGCTGGCACTGTGGGATCATGCGCTGTCGAGAAACGAGGTCCCGTAGAGCCGTCGGGGTGCGCGAGGAGCGCAGTTCGGCTCCGGACGGGCACGATCGCATGAGGGAGGGGCGAGCCCGGTGCGCGGTGACCCACAGTCACGGCGCGCACGCGCGCAAGTGGGGCACGACCAGGCACACGCCCGTCGGGGCGCGGGACCGCACCTCTCTCTTTGCGGGTCGACGACGCTTTGGTTCGCGCCACCAGTGAGATACAGGTTCTCCTCTAGCGGATCGTCGCTCCTCATCCTGCCCGCGCGACCACGTTCTCGCGCCGAGAGCGCAACTTTGCCACCAGCTACGAATCGCCGCCTCTAGGCCTATATATCAGTCAAATCGCGGGATCCCCGAGCTCATGTGTGATGCATGGTCAGAGGCCGCCCTGTGTCGCCGTGAACGCGCCAACAAACACCCTGGCTGTCGTGCCTGCCGCTCCTAGTGATTCTTGCTTGTTCCCGCCCTTACACGTCGCCACCTACTCTCGCGGCCACGAAAACACAACAGCCGAACAGAGCACGCACGACATGTTCCACCACGTCGCTTGATCACACGCCATTGCGGCCTCGCGAGCCGCTCGGAGCGGGCTAGGGGGACTCAATACAGTTTGACAGACGCAACACCGCAACCTCGTCAGGCCCGTCTCCCGCCGCCGCGCCGCCCCTCACTTCCCCCTGCCCGCCTTGCCCGCCTTCTGCACGATGTACCCCGTCTGTTCCAGCAGCTGTCGCGCAGCGTTGTTTATGAGCGCGAACCGCGACGGCCCCAGCAGCACCCCCCCGTACCACCGCGTCACCACCACCGCGCAGTCCTTCACGTCCGCAACCTGCAGCACACGCGCGCGCCCCGCCGCCGCCCCTCACGCACAGCTAGCGCGCACCGGGCCGCCCAAAGACAACACCATCGAACGCGCGCTGTCGCCGCGGTGCGTCGCAGCGCGGGAGCGCGAAGGGGTGTCGGGCGGCACTGCACCGGCGCGCCGCGTCGCACGAGCGGCGCGCAGGCGAGGCCCGCACCTGCATGAGGTGCAGCAGCCGCCCGCCGGCGGCGTCCTCGCCGGGGTCGTCCGGCCCGACGCCGTCGTCGCAGTCCTGGAGCCACGCCTGCCGCTCGTCGACCCAGATCCGGTACGCGAGGATGTTGTGTGTCGCGTTCCTGACTTTGTTGTTCCGGAACAGTGCCTCCACGAACGCGTCCACCTCCGCCGCCGACTTCACCGGACACACGTGCGCCTGGAACGTGGACTTCCGCTCTGCGCGCAGGCGTCCAGGGCGCGCGCGTTCGCGGCGCGGGCGGTTCCAGCGACCGCTCTGAGTGTGCGCGCGCGTGTGTGCGCACACCGGTAAATGGCTCGCCCGTGATGATCGTGCTCGCGACGTCGTCCACGAACGCACAGTGCTTCTCCACCGCCGCGGCGAGCTCGGCCTCCTGCTCCTCGCTCAGCTTGCCGCCCCCCGGGTCACCGTCGGCAGGCTCCGCGCCGTCCGTCGCCCACAGGTGCTCCTGCTCGCGGAGCCACTCCGCGACGGGGTAGATGCAGCTCGCGCCGGGAACGACGAGGTCCGACGCGCCGCTCGAACACCACTCACGCTGCGCCGCATCTGCGGACCGCGAACAACGCATCGCACGTAGGGGTTGGGGAGTTTTGGTTTCAGGAGGCAGCACGCGGTGCGCACGGACAGCTGCGGGGCGTACCTAGGTGCGGGCTGAGGAATTCGAGGACCGGGCCGGCGGTGGAGGGGTAGTCACAGGGAAGGTGTGCGCGCAGGACCACTTTTCGTGGGTGGGCGCGGTCCGGGACGTGGACCTCGATGACGGACGCGGCGCGGTCGCAGCGGGCGTCCTGGTCGTAGATGGCCTGCGGCGCGCGCGTTGCGGTGCGGCGGGTGGGCGGTGCTGGATGCGCTGCGGGGGGACGTGAGGGCCGCTTGCGGCGCATTCGTGCGGTCGCGCGCGCCGTGCAGCACCTCGATGGCTTGCATCTCCATCTCGCGCTCCTCCGCGTCCTCAGCGCTCATGATTCAGGCTCGCCGCGCTGCTCCACGGCCCATGCTCTGTGTTGGCAGCGCAAGCGCCCGCCGCGAACCCCGCGGACCGCCGCGATGCGGTCAAGAGCGCGCTTCTCTCAGTCTCGCGACATGCATCACTTTCGCCGCCAGCGCTCCCCGTCGTCGCCGCTACGCCGCACGCTCACGCCTGGGCTCCTTCTGCATACAAAGTAGCCTGTGGCGTCAGGGCACGGGTCCTCGCGGGTCACACTTAGGCGCGAAATGGCGCAGCCGGGCCGCCCGCTGCGCTACGTGGCGCGCAAACCGCAGGGTGGTCCGCCTCGAGGTCTGACGCGCCGAAGGTAGCACCAGGAAGGGTCAAGGGGGGCCGAAGCAGCTGCGTCGAGCGGGCGATCGTGGCCGGACGTGCGCCGCCGCGCGCGCCAGATCGCGTGCACGCCGACGAGTCATTCAGGCGGCGTCGGGACTCCGTCGCTGCGCGAGTTCCGGCCCGGAACGGCAGCAGAGAAACGGAGGCGGCGTTTTCCGCCCCGTGCGAGGTCAAGCTTGGTCGAACCGAGGCGGGGATCGTCGTTCAGTCTCGCATCTTCTCCGCGGTCGCCCCATCGCGCACCGACACGCTCGCAGACATGAGCACGCTACGAGGGTGTGGCTCGCTCAGGCTCCGCGCTGCCTGGGCGCCGGACGGCGGGCAGCGGCGCTGCAGCGCGGCTGCGTCGGGCAGGAGAGGCCTCAACAACAAGAAACGCGCCAGGGACCCACCTGAATCGCCCGACATCGCGTCGGGCGCGCGTCCCAACACAGGACGCACCTCCGCCGCGTCGCTCCTCGCCTGGACGGAGCGAGGCCAGCTCGTCGCCGGCGCATGCAGCCTCGTCCTATCCGTGCACGTGTGCGCCACCGTGCTGCGGCAATGCACCGTGCACCGCGGCGCGAGCGGGCGCGAAGCACAGCGCGACGCATCCACTCGCGGCAGCAAGCAGGCCAGCGCCTCGAAGCCGCCCGCCGTGCCTCTCGACGAAGCCGCGATCGCAGCCGCCGTCGGCGACGAGCTCGGCGTCACTCGCGCGGCCGTGCCCACGTTGGCCCTCCCGCCAGAGCACGCAATGGGGCAGGTGGTCCGGCCCGCGCTCGCGCCCGCGTGCGGCTCGCTGCTGTTCGCGTCGCTCTGCTGCGTCCTGGGCGCCGCCGCCGGCGCGCTGCAGCGCCGGCAGCTCCCGGCCCCCGTGCCTGCACGCGGCGGGCCGCTGCCCGGCCCGATGGACGGAACCCCCGAGGACGTGGCCGCGCGGATGGAGCGCGCGGAGAAACGCATCGAACGCCTCCGCGTCCGCTACCGCGCCGTGTCCCAGGACGTCCTGACGCCACTCCAGGTACCCCCAAAACAGCCCCCTTTCTGTCTCCGTCTAGCAGGACGCCGCCTAGAGCCACCGGCTGCGTCCTCGCTGCGCAGGATTTCGGGCGGCAGCTCGACAACGCGCAGGACGCGCTGGCAGTGGTTGTGGACCGCACCAAGGGCCTCGAGGACGAGGCGCGCGCGACGCAGGATCTGATCGCGCAGCTGCAGGAGGCGAGCCTGAAGCAGCTCCAGCTCATCGTGTCCGTCGCGGAGAGCGCCGCGGCCCCGCCGGCCGCGCCCGCGCCCTCGCCGCTGCGCAGGGGCGGTGGCGGCGACGCGTCGGGGGCGCCGGTGCCGGACCCGTGGGCGCAGGGGCCGGGCGATGGCGGGGCGCGGGCGGCGCGGGAGGGGCGTGCGGGGCGCGGCGGGGGGCGCGCGCGGGCCGGCGATGGCGGTTGGCGGCGGCGGAGGGCCGGTGCTGTACGTGGGGGACGCGGGGGCGGAGGCCGGGGCGGGTGCGGCGGAGGATGCGGTGCAGCGCAGTTTCGACGCCGGGCGGCAGCGGTTAGGGGACCGTGCGGACGCGTGAGGCGGGCTGGGCGCGTGTGAGGCATTACAGCGGGCGCGGAGCGGCGGGCGGGCGATGAGTCGGAGCAGTCACTTCCGGCCCTTGCGCGCCTTCTTCGCGATCTTCTTCGCGGCACTGCCGCTCGGCACGCCGCCGCCCATGCTCTGGACGGCGCTCTGAACTTGGGCGAGGGGGTCTGGCCGCTTGGGGGGGCCGCCGCCGCGCTTCACGCGGTCCGGGATCCTGCAGCGGGGGTCGCGGGCCGCGCGTGGGCGCCGAGGGCGCGGCCGGCGGGCGGGCGGGGGGGGCGCGCGCTGGGCGGAGCGGCAGGCCGCGCGTGGGCGTCGGGGGCGCACTTGGTGACCATGAACGCGACCTTCATGTAGAGTTCTCGCCGACTCCGCACGTCCTCCACGCACGGCTTCCCCGCGTCGTCCCTGAGCTTCACGCGCACCCTGCCCTGCTGCAGAGGATCCTTCCACGCGCGCGAATACCTGCGACGGAGGGACCTATGGTGGCGCGTCTGCCAGGGAAGACCACGTCGCTCGCACTAGTGCAAGCCCGCGGCCGGGGAGGCAGCAGCGGCTGCGGGGCAGCGGCGAAAGCGGGGTGGTGTGGGGGCGCACAGCTTGTCCGCCTCCATCTCGACCTCAAGTCCGAGCGCGCCGGCCGCCGCGATGATCTCCGCGGACGTGGGCTCCGGCGGGCAGTTCTCCTTGGGGATCTTGCGCCCCTGGGCGATGGTTCTTGTCGCATCTATGTAGGCTGGGTAAATGACCACGCGCTGCGGGCGACACGCGCGGGAAACGAAGCAGGTTTCGCCCGCAAGACCAAGCACAGAAGACGTTCATTCACGACCAGGAAAATCGGCGCCTTCAGGGCGCGGAGCAGCACGCATTCGCGGCCAGCCGGGGCCCGCTCTCGTCGTCGCCGCAGCCGCCGGGGCCACGCACCTTGTCAGGCGTGTACATCGACGACGACGCGGCCATCGTCGACCCCCGCGGCCGTGCCTGGCCGCACGCCCCTGCGGCCGCGCAGCACCCTCGCCACCCGCCAAGAGACTCGCCGCGCGCGACGCACAGCACAGCGCTGCTGCCGCCCGGAACCTCTCCAACTCGATCCCTCCGCCACCGGCCAGGCCCAAGTGACCCTGCGCGCGCCTCGGGCGCGCCTACCACCTCCACGCGAGCCCAGCGCGGCCGCACGCCGACCCCCCCACACACCCCCCCTCACCTCCGTGGCCCGCGGTTCCGCCGGCGGACGTGGGCGCCGGGAACTGCATAAGCCGCCGCCCGGCGAAACGCAAGCGTCCGCGGCCCGCCGACGCGCCCACGCGCCCCCCGCTGACGCACCTTTGCGTACGTCCGCCAGCACGAGGCGTCGTGCGGGCCACGGGGCGCGGCGCGGTCGCGCGGGCCGGAGGGACAGCTGGCCGCGCGCGCCGGGCCGCCGCGGCGGAGCGCGAGCCGGGCGGCGGCCGGCGCGGTCGGCGACGGCGGTGCATGCGTGTGTGCGTGGGTGCAGGCATGGGGCGCTTGCGCGGGCGGCGCCGGTGGAGGGGCGGTGTCTGTCGCCGGAGAGCTGGTCCTGATCGAGCGAGGCCGTGCGGGCCGGCCGGGGCGGCGTTTCGGGTGCGGGAGCGCGGCGCGGTGTGGCGTGGGGGCCTGAGGGCAGGAAACGTGGGCGGTGGCGCCGGGGAGTGGGGCGCGGCAGGGGGCTCGAGGGCGCGGCGCTCGGGCGCGTCGTGCAGACACGCTCGATTGGGCTTTTTAAACAGCGCGTTCGCCGTGCGTAGATTCGCTAGGAGGCGGAGAGGAGCGACAGGGCAGTAGACTGGGCACACGGGGCGCAGTGGGAGCGGTTGCGGGATCGAGTAGGCGCACGGAGGGCACGCGCTCTGTAGATACAGCTTTGAGGACCCCGTACGCGGCTGGGGAGCCCTTCGGGCCGGGCTAGCGCGCCATTCGCACGAGGGAGCTGCTCGGTCTCGACTTGGCCACCGGGCTCTCTTCCGCGATGGGGGCAGAGCCCGCCCACCGGGCACAGCCCACCAGGGCATCTAGGTACGCTTCCTCGCGCGACGGCAGCGCGCGGCGACGCCCAGCGGAGCCGCTTTACTACCTCGCTCCGCCTCTCCCACCGTCCTCTCGCGGGGGCGCGCATCATTTCACCTGATCGGCGTCACGGCGCGAAGAAAGAATTACCGGGCGCCCGCTGCGCGCCGCGCGCGCCCTCATACACCCCCGCGTCGACACGAGCCCACTATGCTCGCTGCATGTCCATGGGTGCTCCCCCGCCGCGCTCTAGGCGCCCCGAAACCCCGTTTCCGCGCGCCCGCAGCCACCTCCGCCGCACCACGCGCGCCGCTGCGCCCGGTCGCGCCCGCGCCCGCCCCCGCCCGGCGCCCCCGCTGACCCGTCCGCTTTCCTGGCACCGGGCCCCTCCGAGCCGCGGCCCCGCTGCAAGGCCCGCGAACCTCCCTCGGACGCGCCCTCCGGGCTGCCTGCGCGCCCCGGAAGGCCCCCGCGCGGCGCGCGAGGGCGCGCGGGCCCCGGCGCGGCGCGTCCGGGCGAGGCATTTCCGCCACGGGCATTCCCGGCTCACTCGTGGCGCGCCCTGGGTCGCAGGGCGGGCGGGGAGGTCGTGACGGACAACAAGCGCAAGGGAGATGCGATTATCTGCGCGGCGTGTCCAGAGTTCATGGTCACGGCGCGGCCAGGGGCCACTTGGAAGCTCAGCCAGTTTACCATCGGCAAGGAGCTCGGCGCGGGATTCGCGTCCGTGGTCTACGCGGCGACCTGTCGCCTCACCGGCCACCCGTGCGTCCTCAAGGTCTACAAGAAGAACGTGCACGAGGTCCTCGAGATGCAGGTGAGGGCCCGCGCACCTTTCCCCGCGCACCCTGGGCCGCGCGGCGCCGCCACGACCCTCGCGCGCGCGCCCGCGCGCCATGCGCGCTCCCAGGGCCACGCCGCGCTGCGTTCCGGCCCCTTTAGCACCGCAGCGCGCGCGTTCCGGGCACCTGGCACGCTGCTGCTAGGTGCCTGGCCGGTGGGCGCCGCATCGCGCGGCCTTTCGCGCGGCCCCGCGGCGTTCCTGCGCCCTTTTTGCCGCGGGAGCGCCCCGCGCGGGAGACGCACGCGCGTCCGCGCGCCGATCGCGCCCGCCGGGCCACAACAGTGCACCCTCGCACCACGCCCGCGCGCTCGCGCGGCGCCGTCGCACCACCCGCGCCCCTCGTGGCCGGCCCGCGACCATCGGAACCGCCTCCGCCGCTCCACGCCGCCGAGCCCGCCCGCGCGGGCGCGCGCCCCCGGCCCCGCCCGCCCTCACGCAGACCCTCAGGGCCCTTCCCGGCCCCCCCCGCCGCGCCCGAAGCGCCCCCGCGCCCCCCCGCCGCGCCGCCGTCGCCCACGCTCTCCGTCCCCGCCCGTCCGCGCAGATCGGGCGAGAAATATCCATCCATTCGTCGATTAAGCACCCGCACGCCATTGACCTGTACGCGGCCTTCGAGGACGAGCAAAACCACTACCTCATCCTCGAGTACATGCCCCACGGCGACCTCTTCGCGTACCTCGAGCTGCGGAAGAAGCTCGACGAGCCGTCGACGGTCCGCATCGTCGTCGAGCCGATGTTGCAAGTCCTCAAGTCGCTCCACTCGGAGGGCATCATTCACCGCGACATCAAGCCGGAGAACATCATGCTGAGCAAGCAGGGCGGGACGGAGAAGATCAAGCTCGCGGACTTCGGGCTGTCGATCCGGTTCACGGAGGAGCGGCCCGTGTCGCGCGTCGGCACGCTCGACTACATGCCGCCCGAGGTGCTGGCGTGCCGCGACAAGGTGCACGTGTGGGAGAACAAGAACAACTTCACGATGGAGTACGGCATCAAGGCCGACGTCTGGGCGCTCGGCATCCTCGCGTACGAGTCGCTCTTCGGCTGGCCGCCCTTCTCGGCGTCGGACGTGAACGAGATGCGCTCGAAGCTCCGGAAAGAGGTCGTCGGGTTCCCGAACACGCGCGTGAGCGACGCGTGCAAGGACTTCATCCGGCTGTGCCTCACCGCGGACCCCGCGCAGCGCCCCACGTGCACCGAGCTGTTGTTGCATCCGTGGGTCTCGGGGCACGCGAACCAGCTGTCGCACACGCCGAGCTTCCGCGGGAGCGTCGCGACGTCCGGCCTGAGCCTCGCGCACCGCGACCGCGAGCCCGACAGCAACGGCCTGACCACGTCGAAGAGCACCGGCGCCGTCAAGTCGTCGGCGGCGAACAGCAGGTCGGCCGCGGCGAGCAAGGCCCCGACGACGCCGGGCGGCGCGGCCGCGGGCGGGAAGGAGAAGCGGAAGAGCATCCTCGCGCGGCTCAAGTCGCGGCTGTGGCACTCCAAGGACGTCGCGCCCGACTCGCTGGACAACGTCGAGGCGCGCATGGGGAATATGAAGCTGGAGAACGGGCGGTCGTGACGAGCGGGAGCGGTGGCGCGGGGCCGCGCTCGTGCGCGCCCGCGTGGGTCGTTGGCGGGGGAGTCGGGCCGGGGGGGGGGGGTTATTACTTTCGCGTGTGCGCGAGCGTCGGCGCACGTGCCGCGCGGCGCAGCGTGCATGCGGGGCCTGTCGCGAGGCGGCGCAGCATGCTGGGATGTCTGTTGCGCGGGGGGGGGGCAGTCCCCCGGGAGGCGTCGAGATCGTGGGAAGCCGAGCAGGACGGCGACGGCGCAGGCGATGCGCGTGCAGCGCGACGAGGGAGTCGGTTGGTCGTGGCGCGCTGCGCGAGTTGACGCGCGCGGTGTGCAACATGGCTGACGCGCAGTCACCGCGATGTGGGGCGCCGGTGGTGTTGCGCTGCCCAGCCTTGTAGGTCAGCGAAGAACTACCAGCGGCCTCGCTCGCACTCGCAGTGCGGCGTTTCGGGGGTTGCGGCACGGGCGGCGGTAGGCCTTGGGCGCGGCCAGCGCAGGGCGAGCAGCCGCCACGTGTTGCTGATTGCCTGACCACATGTGCACATGTTTGTTTCACCGCTGCTCATCTGCATGCGGGTACTTCGTCGTTGCCCTCGGCCGCCCCTCTCTTGGCCAGTGTGACCCCCGGTAGACGCATTTGTCGTACTGTGCGTTCGTTGTCACGTTGCGTCATGCGTCGAACCTAGAATGACAGATGCCGTCGTCACAGCTCGCCGACGCCCTCGCTGCCTCATAGTCCCTATGATCGAGGCGCACGTATCACGCAGCTCTCGTGACCGCGGTCGCAGCATCACCCAGGCCACGATGGGCCAGGAGAGAGGGGGGGGGGTTTCGCTATTATTATTATTATTATTATTATTATTATTATTATTATTATTATTATTACCGAGTTACCAGAACACGCGCGCGAGCTGGAGCTGCCGCGACGCGCCGGTGCGCCGGCGCTCCTTCCGCTGCCCGGCGACCCACTTCGCGGCCGCCTCGACCTCCGCGCGCGACACCGCCGCCACCACCCCCCCGTGCCTGTCCTGACACAGCAACCGTGCCAAGTCCAGCCACCCCGCGACCGCGCGCGCGGCGGCCCGCGGCTCCCCCGCCGCCGGGAGCCCCAGCTCGTCCAGCAACCGCTCCTGCCGCGGCGTGAGCACCCCCAGCGCGCGGAGCAGGGGTTGCTGCCGCCGCCACGCCTCGGCTGCGCGCCCCATCGCGTCGCGCCGACCGCCCCGCGCCGGCGCGACGACGTCCGCGCAGTGCGACGAGAGGCCGCTGCACCACGCGTACGCCGCGTCCGGCCCCGCGCCGTCGCCGTCGCCGCACACCCACGCCACCACCAGCTCGGCCAGCTCGTCGCGCGACCCCACCTGCGCCGCCGCCGCCCACGCCGAGATCGGCGACTCCGCGCCGCCCGCGTCCTGCGGCGCGCGCCGCAGCGAGCAGTGGCTCGCGTCGAGCGGGCTCAGCGCGGCCCAGCCCGGGAGGTCGGCTGTGAGGGCCCAGTCGAGGCCCAACACCCCCAGGAGCTGTGTGGACTCGGGGGGGAGGAGTCCGAGGCTCTGCCGCCAGCGCTGCACGCGGAGCCAGCGGCGTAGCATGCGGCGCGCCTTCGCGGGGTCGTTCGCGGCGGGGAGGATCTCCACGGCGCGCACGTGTTCGGCGCCAGCGGCTGCGCCCGAGTCCATGCGCGCGGTGAGCTCCCTGACGCGCTCGCTCAGGCCATCGACGTCGCTCTCGTACGCCGCCGTGTCGAGCGTGTCGCGCAGGAGCGCCAGCGCCGTCGCCACGGGTAGCGCGGCCGTGCCGGCCTCGGCCGCCAGCGCCCGCGCAAACAGCTCGAACAACCCCGCGTACGGGTCCGGCGGAATGCCGAGCTGGACGAGGATCGACGCCTCGTTCAGCGGGCTGTCGTCCTCGCCGTACGGCCGCACCACGCGCAGCTGCTGCTCGCGCGTCCACTGTGCCAGCTGCTGCGGGATGCGCACCGCGTTGTCGAGCCGCCGCAGCATCGGCTGCCACACGAGGCCCCACGTCAGCCCCTGGCTCTGCGCGACCTCGGACGCCGCGAGGAGCGACGATGCGCCGCTGCCCTCGGACACGCTCCCGCTCCCCACCGGCCCCACGTCCCCGCCCAGCGCCGCGCCGATCGCGCGCTCTGCGGCGCCGCGCGCCGCCGCCGCGCCGCTCCGGTACCGCGTCACGAGCCCGAGCGCTCCGTCCTGCCCGTCCCCGTCCCCGTCGCCTCCAAACATCGCGCCGCTCACCGGCGCGGCAGCGAGCGCCGTCTCGGCCCTCAGCTCCACCGGCCACGCCGCCGCGCCCGCCTCGGACGCTGCATGGCCGTGCTCCGCGCGCGCGTGCCGCGCAGGGCTCCCGAGGTCCGGCCTCTGCGCGAGCAGCGACGGCGCCGTCGCGGCCTTGCGCCCGTTCGCGCCGTGCCGCGCCGCGGCGCCCCCGCCCGCCGCCGCCGCACGTAGCAGCTGGCTCGCGACAGGCGTCGGGACGTCGCCGCCGCCGCGGCCGTCGGAGACCTTGAGCGCGTGCGCAAGCAGACGCTCTGCACCAACGGCGTTCAGCACCGGCAGCCACGCCGCGTGCGTCTCGCACGCCAACGCGCCGTCGCCCGCGGACAGCGCCGCGCCGGCCCGCCGGCTCTCGTACGTGTCCGACACAGCGGCCTGCACGTTCTCGGAGTCGCCCTCGATGTCGACAGTCCCGAGCACGAACCTCGCGTCCTCCTCGTCGTCCGACTCCCCCAAGCTCGCCGCCCGCGGGCTCCGGCGCAGCTGCGCAGTGCCGTCCTCGGTGCACCGCTTCAGGACCTCCTGCCGCCGGCAGTGCAGCGCGAAGAGCAGCCCGCGCACACTCTGCGCCCACCGCGGCTCCCCGTCCAGCTCCCACGGGAACCCGATGCGCTCCAGCCGCCTCTGCCCCTCGACGCCGAGCAGCTGCCGCGCCCCGAGCTCCCGCTGCAGCAGCACCCACCGCCCGACCTCCCACCGCGCGGGGTCCCGCGATGCCATCATCTCCGTGCACGACCAGTCGAACGACGCCGGCGGCACCAGCACGACCTCCTCGCCCTCGGTCTCCGCGGCGCCGCCGCTGTCGTCGTCCTCCTCCGCCGGCAGCGGCGCCTCCGCGCCGCCGCCGTCCTCCGCGCTTGCACGGCCGGGCACCTGCGCGCCGGACTCCAGCAGGGTCTCGAGGAGCCGGTCGAACATGCCCTCCCAGTCCGCGGTCACGCGCTGCAGCTTCTCGAACTCCAGGCCCACCTCCCGCAGGATCGCGGTGCGCTCCGGCGCCAGCGACGACTGCGCCATTTCCACAAACTGCCGCCGGAGCCACCGGGGCAGCTCCGGGTTCTCCTCCCACTTGTCCGGCACGTTGCAGTGCCCGAACCGGTGCTGGAACGCCGCCAAATCCAGCGCCCGGCGGTACCAGCGGTCGTTCGCGGTGGGCTTGCACATCAGCAGCCGCGGGGCGTTCGCGATCAGCTTCCCGACGCCCTTCGGGCCCGGCTCGACGTGGCAGCTCTCGACGAGGTACTCCGCGACGAGCTGCGCGTTGCGCACCAGCATCGCCGTCCGGCGGCGGTCCACCGAGCCCGTGACGCGCCCCTGCGACACGCGGAAGGTCAGCATAGCGTCGAGGACCTTGTCGACGCGGTCCTCGCGCACGCCGAGGTCCGCGAGCGCCGTCCGCGCCTCCCGCAGCGCCGCGCGCGCCTCCTCGCGCGCCCTCCGCTTCCGTGCCCGGGTGATGCCCTTGCCCTTGGGGAGGCTGCGGTCGTCGTCCTCGTCGTACGAGTCCGCCAAGAAGACCTCGTCGTCCGAGGAGTCCTCGTCGTCGTCGTCGTCCGGGAGCGCCGCGGCGGCCGACGCCGCGGCGGCCGTCGCGGTGCGGGCCTCGGTGACGGGGAACCCTCGCACGGCGACGATCGCGCCGAGGGACGCGAGCGACCGCGAGAGCGGCACGCCGTGCGCGAGGTTCGCGGCCCGCTCTGTGCGCCGGGGACCCGCGCCGCCGTCGGAGGAGCAGGTGGCGGCGCGCGCGGCGGAGGCCTGCGCCAGCTGCTGCTTCTGGCGCAGGCGTTCGAGCTCGCGGCGCGGCGTGGGGACGTCTACGCGCGACTGGGCGCGCGGCCGGGGGGAGGCCCGCGTGGTCGGCGCGCCCATGATGATGTCGGGCTCCGCGAGCCGCGGCTGCCGGCGCGGGGCTGTCGCGTCCGCAGTGGATGGCGCTCCGTTCTGGCCCGGAGGTGGCGGTCTCGCGGTGTCGATCCCCGGGGGCGCGTCCGAGGCGGATGGTGACGCCGCTCCGGCGCCGCGCGCTGTGGGCGCGGCCTGCTCGGGCGGGGCTGCGTCGCTCGGTGGCGGCGTGGGTGCACCCGGTTTGCTTCCCTGTCCGGCATCCTTCCGTCGCTTCGCCGTCTCCGCGAGGCGCTCGAGGAGCTTGCGCTGGAGGTTGCGATTGCCGAGGAGCCTGGCGTGCACCACGACCTGGCCACGGCGGGTGATTGCGGGCCGAGGACGGTAGGCGCCGGCCAGACGCGATCCGAGAGGGACTCCCGCCCTGCAATCCACGAATTTCCGCGCACGGTTTCAGCACTAACGCCCGGAAACGAGCGCCACATCCGCTGCGTACCCGCGCACGGCGCAGCGAGGCGCTCGTCGCTCGCCTCAGCCCTGTGCAGCCCCCGCACGCGCACGAACGCAGATAAAGCGGCGCGAGGCGCGAGATGCGACTCAGTATTCTCGACCTGGCCGAGCCGAGCGCGGAGAGAGGCACGGGAGCGACGCAAGCGGCACCACCCACCTGCAGGCCTTCGCATCCAATCCCAGGCGCCCCGCTCGCTCCGCTCCGAGGGCCGACATCACCTCAGTGCACTACCCACACCTATGCGAACATCAGCGTCGTCCCCCGCAGCACCGTCTCCGTCCCACACGCCCACAAAAGAGCAAAACCTACAGATGCTTTCCCCCACTAACACAGAGCCGTCCGCGACCTCCCACGCGCCCTCGCGGACCTCAGCGCGCTCCGCGGTGCAGCGCGATACTGCCCGCGCCCTGCGCGACCCGGCGCCCACCACCACTGCGCCCCGCACCGCCCCCACGGTGCGAGTCGGACCGGCACGACTGTCGGCAGAATCGGCGCCGCGGGCGCTGTAGACGCCACGGAACGCCCCCCCCGCGCCACTCCCGCGCCCGCACGCCCCGTGCCGCCGCAGGCCTTCCGCCGCGCGGCCTCAGCGCGCCGCCCGGGCGCCCGCGGCAGGCGCGTGACGACGCGATGAGTGAGGGGGTTTCAGTTCACAGTCGACCCCCTGCGGCCCTCGAAGCCCGGGCGCATGAGCTTCTTCTCGCGCTTCGCGATGCGCCGCTCGGCCTTGGCCTTTTTGCGCGCCGTGAGGTTGTCGCTGCGCTTCTGCTGCTGCTCCTTCCGGGCCGCCTCCGCCGCCTTGTTGCGCTCCGCCCACGCCTGCGCGATGCACGCGAGCACACGCGGGGCGCAGCGGTCGACGCGTCGCGGCAGCAGGGGGGGCGTGAACCACTAGAATAATTATTTGTTGTACTGAGAGGGGGGGGGGTTCGGGCAGACGCGGGTGTCCGGCGCACCTTGGCCGACTTCTGCTTCTGCTTCTGCTCCCGCTTCAGCGCCTTGCGAATCAGCTTCGGGTCGTCGAGCACGCGCTCTCCCTTGACGCGCGCCATGGCCGCCTGCAGCGCCTGCTGCCGCCGCAGCGCAGCCCCCTCCTCCGTTCCCTGCAGCACGGACACCTCGCACGCAGTCAGCCACGCCCAGCCTGCGACCTCCGACGCCGCGACGGGCCAGCAGCACACTTGACAGCACCACGAACCCCCACCCCACCCTCTGCGAGCCGCCCGGGCCCCATGAGCGGAGCGGCGCTGGCCGTACACGCACACGAGAGCCACGACGCACCTCGAGCTCCTGCAGCTTCGCCCGCTTCGCCTCCGCCTTGCTTAACGCGGCAGCCTTGCTGACGCGCTTGCGCTTGGCCCCCGCGCCCTCCCCGCCCTCCACGCGCCCGAACGCCAGCTCCTCCTCCTCCGCGGCGTCCCCCGCCCCCGCCCCCTCGCTCCCACCCCCCCCCGCGCTATCGCTCCCGGGATCCGACACCCCCCCCTCCTCCGCGCCCGCCGCCGCGCGGGCCCCCGCGCGCGCGAGCTGCCGCTCCCGCCACTCGCGCGCCCTGTCCGCGGGCGACAGCGCCGCCAGCCGCTTGATCCCGTCCTTCGACGCCTGCCGCTGTTGCGCCCGAATCTCCTCCACGCGCTGTTGCAGGCGCGCCTGCAGCTCCTCGCGCGACAGCTGCGGGCCGCCGACGACGAGCGAGACGCCGATGCCGCGCTCAAACTGCTTCTGCTGCTGCCGCGCGATGCGCTCCTCCGTCGCGTCGGGGTCCAGCCGCTGCCGCTTGCTGTCCGCGCCTGCCCGGCGCGCCTCCTTCTTGAGAGCGCGCCGCTCAGACTTCTTGAGGTGCCGCAGGTCGACGCGGTCCGTGTGGTCGCTGCGGACGTCCGGGGGCGCGCCGGGAGGTCGCAGGCCGAGCACGGGCGAGCAGCGGAGCACTAAAGAGAGCGCAGGGACCACCAGCGGCGCGAACGTCGGCGCGTCAAGGCGACAGGGCGGGAATTTCGCCCCAGATCGTCTGTACGGTCCGTGACGTCGCGGAGCGGGTGGGAGCCGCGCTGCGGAAGCGGTGTGTGGCGCCCAGCGCGGACCCCGGTGCTCCGCAGCCGCCAGGTCTCTGTGCCCCGCCACGCGGGCGCCAGGGCGGAATTCGCCGGCCGCTGGCCCGCGCCGATCGCTTTGTGCGTGGTGCGTCACGTGCGCGGCGTCAAATCTCTCGCGGCGGCGCGCCACAGGGCAAAACGGGCCGCTGGACGTTGCCGCTCGTAATGTGCTGGGCGCGGGTGCTCGCGGACGCGGGCGCAGGAATGGCGCACACCGGCGATGCGGTGGACGCACCTGATGTACCGCGCCGGTATCAATTCGACGAGCATGTCGAAGAAGGCTGCGTGCTCGCTGAGCGGGGTGGGCGCCGCGCCAGCACCGGCGCCGCGGCTCCCATTCTCCGCCGATTTCTTCTTCTTTGCCATGCTACACCACCACCTATCCCATACGCACCTCGCCGCCGCGGATCAGGCCTGGCCCCAGGCGCCAACCAGCATTCGCGAACCCAAACAAAAACTACTCAGGTTTCACTCAGGCACGCCTTCGCGACACGATGCCGCGCCCACACGCGTCGAACGGCCGCACACGCCAGCGTCTGCCAGTACCGTCCTCGCGCGCGGTCCGGCCCCCTTGCGCTGCACGGAGGAAGGGGGGAGTCACAGCGCGGGGCCTTACAAAAGGCCCCCCAAGGCCGCTCAGCCGTCAGCCCGCCTATGCGAGCTCACGGCGCAGTCGGAGGACGGCGTCACCCCCACCCGCAGAACGCGTCCGAGCAGTGCAGCTCGCCGTGCGGCGCGTTGCACACGAGGTCAAAGCAGCCGTGGAAGCACTCGGACGCAGTGACGAACTCGTACGCCGGGTCCACGGCGTGGATCGCGGCCACGAGCTGCGGGACGATCCCCGGCCAGTACGCCTGGTCGTGGAACAGCACCGTAGCCGAGTCGCCCGCCGCCAGCGTGTCCGCGAGCTTCGACGCGCCCTGCAAGCACGGGGCCGGGCCGCGCGCGCTCGGGACGGTGCACTCGCGGCCGGCGCACGCGGTCGCGGCGCAGGGAGGGCGCCGGCGCTCACCGGCAGCGGCTGCTGGGTGTCGACGTCGGTGCCGTGCATGATGCGATTGATGATGCGCGTGATCTTGTCTGAGACGGGCAGGCTGCTCCACGCGAGCTTCCAGTCGTCCGAGTTGTGCGACCAGGTCGCGACGATGTGCCCGGCGTCGTTGCACGCGTGAGCGGAGGGGACGTCGATCACGCCGTACGGCGGGCGAACCATCGACAGGGGCGTGGCGCCGCCGGTGCACGTCGCGAACCAGTCCTGCACGGTCTGGAGCTCGGCGGCGATGTCCGGCGTCGACGGGATCTCGCCGTGCAGCCACGTGTGGCTCTGGACCTCGTGCCCGGCGGCCAGGGTGTCCTGGAGCACGGCGCACTTCTCGGGGAGGGTTTCCGGGCTGAACCCGATCGCTGCGGGCGAGATGAGGAAGGTCGCGCGGACGCCTGCCGCCGCGAGATCGGCCAGGACCGCGCTGGTGTGGGGCCTGCGGATGCACCGAGTCGCAACGGTCACGGCGTCAAAGGAAACAGATTATAATTCGTGATTACGAAGCGAATGTGCCGTGCGGCGCACAGGAACGCGCCGCGGGCGCTACCTGCTGGGGTCCCAGGACGCCGGGAGGACGGGGCCGTCGTCGAACGTGAGCGCGATGACCTTGCGACCCGCCCCACACCAGTTGAAGGAGTTGAGGCCTGCGTCGCACACACGGTTGTGCCACGTGCCGCCCCAGCTCGCGCACTGGGCCTCCCTCTCCGCGAGCATGCTCTCGAGGTCGAAGTCGCCGTTGGGCGGCGGGGTGTGGCCGAGCGGGGGCTGCGTGGTGGCCGGCGGCGCCGGCGTCGCCGCCAGCGTGGGCGGAGCGGTCGGAGGAGGGGGCGGCGCGGTGGGCTCCTCCGAGGGCGGCGAGTTGCAGCCTGTCCAGAACGCGCCGGAGTACGGCTCGCAGCACTCGACCTGCGCGAGGAACCGTTGCCTCGGGAAGTGTGCGACGCTTCGCTCTACGTAAGGTCAGTTGTTGGTGACTCACTTGGATGAACGGGCAGCAGCGGCTCCGAGGGTGCATGAGGACTCGCACGTGCGTGGCCGTGGCGCCGTCTCACCTGGGAGGCCCACGTCCCTGGCGGGCACGGTGGTGCATAAGAGGTGGCGACGCAGTTGTTGCCCGGAGCCCACGAGCTCATCGTGCCGCCCCAGCAGGCGGACTGCGCCAGCGCCTGCGCATCATCGACGCATCGGAGAGGAGCTAGGCAGCGGGGGGAGCAGATCTGGGCCGGCGTGGCGCTGCAGTTGACTGCAACTTCAGCCCGCTTTTCGAGCGGTCAGCGCATGCGGAGCACCCCAGTGCGCCCTTCTGAGGGGCGAATGAGTGCATATGAGCGTAGCGGTGGCGCCTTGGAGGTGCTCTGATCGCGGAATCATTGCTATGTTCGCAAAAGATGAAAACAGTTGAGCTGGTGCGAACTTTGCGTCCTGAATCTTCGCGCGGGGCACTCACCCGGGCGACGGCCGCGCTCGTCATGGCCAGCGCGACGCACACGTGCAGGAGCACCAGCGGCGGACGCGCGCTGAGCCGCAGCGACATGGTGGCAGTTGAAATGTCCTGGCCTGTGTTGCGCAGGCGATGCTGCGCGAGTGCGCGCCCGTTGGTGCCGCTCCAGGAATGGATCCCTCGGACCGAGCGGTAAGTGCGGGTCTTGCGCGCTCCGCTGATGCAACGAAGGCCGGTGGGGCCTGGGAGCAGTTAGCTGTTCGGAGAAATCGAGGCAAGGTATAACATCCAGATCAAGACTGAAAACTACGACGAAAAGCGTTTCTGTATCGCTTCAGCCACACCAACGGTCGCCGTCTCACGCCGATCACAGCGCCTCGGAGCCGCTTCGTCCCCCCGCGGCCCCAAGATCGACACGAGTGTGCGGCTGCAGCACGCAACACTTGTCACGCGCCGCCCAGCGCCCTACACGCCCCAACCGCAGGCTTCCTCGCCACACGGCGCCGCAGCCGGGGATCCTTGGTCGCAGTGCACGTCGCCGCAGCCGTGGTAGCACACACCTGCCGTGGTAAACTGGTACAAAGGGTCGATGGCACGCACAGCGTGCACGATGTCTTGCACGACGCCCGGCCTGTACGCGTGGTCGTGCAGCAGCACGACGGCCGACTTGCCCTCGCGCACCATCTTGGTCAACGTCGCCAACTGCACAGCGCCGCCAACGCGCACGTCGCTCGAACATGTACGCATCGCAGTGACTTGCATCCGTCCTGACTGGCGAGCTCTTCGCTGTGAGACGTCCGCACCTGTGGATCGTGTTCCGTCAGGTCCTGGAGGGTGACGGGATCAATGCCGTGCAGGACTCTGTTCGCGATGCGGTGGCGGGCGTCGGCGTCGCTCATGCCCTCCGACTGCACCAGGAGAGACACGCGCCAGTCGTCGCTGTCCACGCTCCACATCGACACCACGAGCCCGAGATCGTTGATGTGCTTGAGAGCCGGTATGGTGATGGAACCGAACGGCGGCCGAACCTGACCGATGGGGCGCGCACGCGTGCCCAGACACTTCGAAACCCATCTCTGGACCTGCGTGCACGATGACCATCGTTCTCGTGGCGCAATCAGTCACTCTGTGAACAACGCACAGAGCGTCGCGCGTCGCATCACCATGTCGATCCCGCCGCACCTGTATTAGCTCTTTGTTGAGGGTTCCGTCGGCGTACATGTCCGGGATCGGCCTGTGCGTCCACGTGTGGCTCTGGATCTCGTGGCCGGCGTCGCGGATCGCCCGCAGCGCCTCGCACTTCGCGTCCAGCATGTCCTCGCCGCCCCATGTTCCCGGGCTGATGTAGAAGGTAGCCGTGACGCCCGCCGCCGCCAGGTCGTCAAGCACGGCGTACGTGTCCGTGTACGGCCAGGGCATGTCGACGATCGGGCCGTCGTCGAACGTCAGAGCGATCACCTTGCGCGCGGGCGAGGACTCCCCCTCCTGACACCAGTTGAAGGCATTCAACGAACCATTGTCGCAGACCTCTCGCTTCCACTCCGCCTCCTCGGCACGGCAGGCCGCGCGTTTCTTCCGCAGGAGCTTGCCGATACGCGTCTCCGGCTGCGGCGAGCACCCCTGCCAGAACGCGCCGGTCGCGGGCGCACAACACGCCACCTGCACGGACGGAGGCCCGGTCTCAGCTTTCACGAGCTCCGCACCAGCTGCTCATGACCGACTGAATGCTCTGGGGCTCGACGGAGCCGCGGCGGGCCCCGCACCTGCGTCGGCCACGTGCCTAGTGGGCACGTTGCGTTCGGGAACGGCCCCGCGGCCCGCACGCACTTCTCCCCGGGATTCCACGACTCAACGCGACCGTACCAGCAAGACTGTCGCGGGGGCTGCAACGTCGTGGAGCTCGATCGTCACGGATCAGTCAGCAGTTGACGATGTTGTTTGTCTGTTGATGCGAGAACAATAAAACAACGTTGCGCGCACTGCTGCACGCGAGGCAACAACGCGCCGGCTCCTCGCGACAAACGGATTGTGGGGTGCGCTCCGTGGCGGGTGCAGCGCGTGCGAGCGCTGAGTTGGTGCGGCGGCGGCGGTTGTGGGACGCACCCGTGTTTCCAGGCGCGTCGCGGCGCAAACGCCCCGCGACGACGCACTCAACGTGATGAGCAGCAGGACGAGCAGGTACATGGTGCTCGCAGTGTGGGCTCCAACGACGCCTCGCGGCCCGAACACGGGCGGGCAAGGGCGTGAGATCAACAGCGTGTTGAAATCGATGCCGTGCTTGACCGGCGCGAAGGCCCGCTCCAAAGTGCCTGGCGATCCGTCGATACGGTCGCTTAGCAGTGATTCCCGCGGAAAAGCGACCCCGGGAGCAGTGAGGCACAAGGGGGGGGTCGACAACTCTGTCAGTCTAAGACACATGTTCGGACGTCCCGATGTGGCGCCGTTGCTGCAGCTGTGGCGGGGTCAGAGCGGAAGCGGCCGCTCCTCGTGTCGGAGCCCAACGCAGCCGGGCAGCACGCAAGGACGGACCCAGCAGGGCGTCGGCAACAGCACATGCGGCGTCAACAGTCTGCTGGACCGACTTTGAGGTGCCGCCGAGCTGTGCAGGGGCCCCGACACAAGGGTCGGCCGTTCCGATCGCTGGGGACACTGGAGACGCACGGCGTGACTGTCGCCGCGCCGCCGCGCCGCACCACGCATCTGACCTGTTTTACGAGGTTGGCGAGCATGCCGGACCTCCTTGTAGCTTCGGCGAGCTCGCGGCACGGGAGCGGCTTGCCCCGGTCCGTCCCAAAGACGGGCCGCGAGCACTCTGGGAGCGGCCGGGTGCTCGCAGCGACGGTTCTCGGAGTCCGGTGCCACCGGGCTCGGTGTGCTCGGCACCGGAGCGGCTTGCCGCGAGCACGCCAAGCCTCGCCGCACTGGATTCCCAGAACCGTCGCTGCGAGCACCCAGGGTGCACCCAGCGACGCCCGGAGCATTTCAAGTTCCTGCAGAAAGCGTGATAGTGCAGCAGCGGCAGAGGGGCGCCGGTCTGGTCTTCGGAGCGAGCGACGGCGCTGACGGCGCCGCAGCAGGCAGAGGAGGTGTACTGCACGGTCGTTGCGGCGAGCGGCTCCAGGCGCCGCGGTGAGCGCGGCCTCAGCGTGACGTCAACGAGAGCATGATACAAGCCCGTCTCACTGCTTCGACGGGGCGGCGCCCGGTCCGATGGCATGCAACTGGGGAACCGAGCGCCCGGATAGCACGTCTACGGACACCAGCGGGCCCGCCGGCGCCCTACGGTGGGGGTGTCGACCTGGCGGTGCTCTACGTTGAACAAAATCGACGGAAGGGTGGCGGAGATGGTCGTTTCCGCGCCGTCAGACTCCCCCGCTTGCGCGGCATGTGACCGTTGGACGGCACCGTCGATGTGCGGGTGCTACGGCCCCGCGTCCGCCGCCTCGACGCGAGGCGTAGGCATCGGGAGCACCCAGCTGACGACGTTGACGTACGCCTTGCACGCGGGCAGGTCCCTGTAGCCCTCGAGAAGATCCACGCTGGCCCGCTCGTTGCTCGCAACGATGCGCCGCCCGCCCTCGCTGCAGCAAACAAGCACATGAACGCAAATCGTGCCATGGCCAGCACCGAAACGCCGCTGCACTGACAACATCCGTTATAAACGGCGCCGCGGCAGGCAGGGGGCGGTGCGTCACTCACGGTCGCGAGAACCACACGTCGCCGCCCACGAGCGTCTTTGCGCTGCCGTGGCCTCCTGTCATGAACGGGGTGGTCCACACCGCCTTGATGACGTCCGTCGGGGCGAGCGCGTTGTGCCGCAGGATGTCCTTGAGCCGCTTCCTGCGTCGCACGAGGGTCGATCGTTTCGCCAGGCGGTGTCGCTGCAATCGACCGGGTTGCAATTGCTGCAATTGTGCCGCACTGCTGCTGCTGCGGGCGTGGCTCTGTACGCCGCCGGCACCGGTGCTACGGACAGCAGACGCAGAGAGCTGGGGCCATCGCACCGGTGCTCGCAGCGTACAGAGCCACGCCCGCAGCAGCAGCAGTGCGGCAGTATTGCGTGTTACGCGCGCACAGCGCACGTGTACCTGTCCGACTCGCACGCAGGCGTGTGGGCGCGCACCTTCCCTCGGACGTGCTGGCAAGGTCCCGCCACGGCGTGCCCTCCGACTGCCGGAAGAACTGCTCGAATGCTTGCGAGGTGGGCACCAGGACGGTCCCCATGAAGCCAGGCTCGTCGAGGTCGCGGCTGAAGCCGACGGCGCGCGCGGCCTCTACGTACTCGCTCACGTCCGCGCCGGTGATGTTGCCGATCACTTCCCAGGCACTCTGCAGCCATTTCGATTCGGAATATCATATCTGTGGGTGTCTTTCACTCCGACGACGCCCCGTGATGCATCACGAGTCCACGTGACGCCGCAGAACGCGGCGAATACCACGTGCTCTCACCTCGCAGCAGTCGCAGCGGCCGCAGCTGATCATGCAGTATCCCTCCGGCACCTCCTTGACGCTGTCAAACATAAACGGCTTCGTGCACTGACCCAGCTGCCGCTGCTCTGCAAGGATTGCCCCGCGAAAAGTTGCCGGTGGATGGTCGGGTGCGTTTCCATGGACCAGGCGGGCATCTGGGCGTCGCTTGGCTGCGCGTTCGCACACAGCGCACAAGGGGGAAGCATCCGGCGAGGCTGGCGCGCGGGGAGCGGGCTGTTCGGAGCGGCGAGTGCCGAGGGTCGCACCCATGCAGGAGAACTCCACGCGGTCGTTGTATCCCCGTCTGCGACGCGAATGTCGTTGCGTTGGTCCGTGAGGGCACTGACGCACCAGCGGCACTGCAGCGGGCCATGTGAGGCGGCTGACGGGGCACGCGGGGCGCCTTGGGCTCCAGTATGTACCTTGGATCGACGTCAGAACAGTTGCACGGCACCGGGGGAGGCTCTACGGCACCCAGAGCGACGCGAAAAGCAGACTGCAGGACAAGCACCGCGCACGAGGCGAGGAGGGCGCTGGCAAGCGTCCGCGGGCGCTTCGGCCCGGTTGTCCGCCCGCACTCCGACGCCCAGGTCATCGAGCTGATCGGACGAAAGCCGCGGCGTGCCCGATGGACGAGAACGACAGAGGTTGGAGTGCCGTCGCAGGGCGTCGTGGTGCGCGTCCGCGGCTAGATGCGCCTGTAGAAGCCCCCGGAAATTTGCCCGGTGTCGATCGAGCCGCTGAGAAATACCAGTCGCCGCCCGCCGCGCGCGATGAACAGCCTGGAAACTGTCGCCAGCTCAGAGACACAGACACCCCCCCGCTCAGAGCGGCCTCGGCGCAAGGGTGCCGCGCGCAGGCTTCTGCGTCGCATCCTGTACCGACCGCTCACGTTCGGCACAACGAAGGTCCTCTCCGCGCGGAACGTAGGATGGTCCGCTGCTTGTTCGTTGCCGCCGCCGTCCTCATGGTCGTGTTTGCCGCGGTGGCAGGTGCGAACGTTGACAAAAAATACTGCTGGAGGCGAGGTCCACGTCGCGTGCGCCCGCCTCGCGACCGCGTTCGTTTTTACCATGGCTCGCAGGCACAAACACATCAGAAGTGACGCTCGCGGACGGCACGAAGGTCTCCAAGCTGTCGGACAACCAGCTGGTCGTCCAAGGACCCAGCGCGGGCTCGATCTCGGGTGCGCAGCGACCGTACGCGCGAGAAACGCGGCGCCCTTGTGCACAGCAATCTCACCGCTCCACAGCCCTCACGAGGATAGGACACGTACGTGTGCGTCGCGCGCCACTGCAGTGGTCCAGCACCCCGACCAGGCGACGGTCCTGAACGTCGGCGGCGAGAGCGTCGACCTCCTGCGCCTCGGGATGGACGCGCGCGGGTCGCCGTCCGTGTCGACGTCGTCGATCAACGGACACGCGACGGCGACGGTGACGTTCGCCCCCGCAGGCTCGTACGGCGCCGCGAGCTCGAAGGTGTCGTCCTTCACGTCGTCATTCGCCGGCCGCTTCCGCGGACGCTCGTGAGGGCGGACCGTCACATGTTGCTCCGCGGCACGCAAACAGGTCGATGTGCGCGGGCGGGGAACGGCAGGGGATACGGTCGATCTCTTCGTGCACGGCGCGCGCAGACCGCGCACAGCAGGGCGCGCGAGGGCGGGGAGCCGCGGTGGGCGCTCGCCAGATAGGTGCGGCGCGCAGCTCCAGGGCGCCTGTGAGCCTTGCGTCGCGGTCGCAGGGGCAGCCCCGCCGCCCCACGCCTTTTCGTGACGCACGAGAGCGCCGTCGCGGGCGTCGGTACGGGGGCGGGGGGGTTACAGGTTGTCGGCACGTGCGGGGGCTCAGACGCTGCTGGCGAGCCAGAACAGCACGGCGATGGCGCCGAGGCCGACCACGACGGTGGCGACGGTCCCCACCTGCGCGAACAGCTGCGCGGAGGTGTCCTTCTTCCCCGTCTCCGGGTCGAACCCGGCGAAGCGCCGCTTGGGCGCCAGGCACTGCGGGCACCGGTAGTCGAGGTCGAGCTCGTCGAACGGCGTCTTGTCGCAGTAGATGTACCCGCAGTCGATGCAGATGTGCGTCGCGAGCTCCTTCTGCGACGCCGTGAGCTTCCGGCCGAAGCGCTTGGGCGCGGCCTTCTTGGGCAGGCGCTTCACGTCGACGGACGTGTTCTCGCCCTTGGTGATGACGAACGCGACCGGGCTCGGGCACGCCTGCGCGGGGCCGGGCGCGCGCGTGGGCGTGAGCGCGGGCGCGGCGCGGGTGCGCGGTGGCGGGAGCGGCGCGGTGGGGCGGTGCGCGGCGCACCTGGATGGCAGACCGGGTGAAACCGAGCTTGTCCGCGGGCCACAGCTCGTCGCCGAAGTACGACGACGCGTAGATGACGGTGTCGCCCTTCTCGATGCCGGCCTTGGCCGCGTTGCCCGACGACGACTTGACCGTCAGCCCGTTCTTGCCCTGGGCGAGGTTCAGGCCGAGCGGCTTGTCGACCTCGACCTGCGGGAGGCAGGGTGGGTCGCAGGCGAGGCGGGGTCGGCCGTGGCGCGTGCGGCGGCGGCGGGAGCGTGCGTGTGGGGCTGTGGGAGGTGGGTGGCGTGGGTGCTGTGCTCACCGTCTTCTGGACCTGAGCGCCCTTGCTGGCGCGCGCCTCGACGACGACGGAGCTGCGGGACTGCAGCGGCGCGGCGCGGGCGGCCGGGCGGGGAGCCAGGCGGGCGCCACCGAGAGCCTGCAGCAGGGATCAGACGCGTGCGGGCTGGTTCGGGACTGCACGGCCGCGCGAGCGTCCTCGCCGGCAAGCTTGCGACCGGCTGTGCCCGTGATGCGCGGCGCGGTGCGTCGGACACCCGCCCTGCTGCGCTGAAGGCGTGCAAGTGCCGTGGGAGGGAGAGAGCTGTCGAGTGCTGGTGATGCGCGCATCGTCGGCAGGCCTCTGGGGACACCGGCATCTGGGCGTTCTTGCGATGGTGATGCACGGTTTGGCGGGCCCGAGGCCGTGCTGTGGCGAGGAACTAGGGGAGAAGCACTCGATAACCACTCAGGACGGAGACGGCCAAGCACGCCGCACAGGCTCGCGTGTGCGTCACTCGAGCGATCGCGATGGCGAGCTGGGAAAAGAAATCACCAGACGCGCGACGTCTCGTGAGTTGCGAGGGGTGCGGCGCGCTTCGGGAGCCCGAGACGACGAACTTGGCGCCAAGGTCGCCCCGCGCCGTCGCGTCATGGGTCGACCACGACGTCCAAAATCAAGGGAATCTACCAGCGCGCGCAGCTGGCGGGGACTCGGCGGCCCGCGCACCTGGACGGAGGAGATCGCCCGCTTGTTGGTGGCCACAGTGCTCGCCCGCGCCGGGGCGGCAATGCCGGAAGCGATGGTGGACGACATGATCAACCTCGGTTCACCCACGCAGATGCTGGTACGCGCAGCGCGCGCCGGCCGGCCGCGACAAAGAGCGCCGCGCTCCGCCCCCCCGGCACTGCGCTCAGGACCCAACACCTTCCATCATCAATTGTCCCCCCTCCAGAACATGCGGGGCGCGGCTGCGGCGCCCCAGCCAGTCCCTAGGATCCACCCGAGCGATCCAGGCACCGTTTGTCATGTCGGGTGCTGCCGGCTGTGCGCTCTGCAGCGCGCCTGTGGCACCGCGCGGCGCCGGGGCGTCGTCGCGCGTCGTGCGGGGGCCCGCGGCGCGGCTGGACGTGGCCGTGCGCGCCCACGCTCGGAGGGAGCTGCTGACGGGTGGTGCGGCCGGGCTCGCGGCGGGGCTGGTGGCGTTGTCGCGGCCCGGTGCCGCAGGCGCGGAAACAGCCGCGTCGCCCCTCGCGAGCGGCGGACGAGGGATCGACAAGTACATCCGGAAGCGGAAACTCGATCCGCTCGAGACGTACCTCCCGCCCATGATCCAGGTACGCGCCCCCCGGCGCCCCCGCAGGGCTCGTCAGCATGCGCCCTTTGCACGCCCTCGCCCGGCCCCGCGGAGCAGCGCACACGTCGCGATGCGTCGCGATGTTCGCACCACTGTCCACGGCGGCCGCCGCCGCCGCCCACCCGCCGCGCCCCGCCCCCCGGCACAGGGGCGCGAGCAGGTGCTGCTTGTGGCGGAGGTTCTCGACGACCCGAAGTCGGCGCGGAGCCTCCTGCGCGAGGGCGCGATGAAGGGGTTCCGGGAGAACGCGCGCGCCGTGGGGCAGTACTCGAAGGAGAACGGCGGTCCGGAGAAGGCGGAGGCTATCTTCAAGCAGCTCGAAGCTCTCGACTTGACGCTGGCGAGCGCGCTGCGGGACGAGAAGTCCGTCCTGGACGAGCAGGCTGCGCGCAGGCAGCTGGACGCGGCGATCACGGCGGTGGACGCCCTCCTGGCCGCGGCCCCGCCGGACGCCGTTGCGCAGGCGCGGAGGGTCGTGGCGGTGATCGAGGGCAGGGACGTGGACGCGAGCTGAGCGGGCGGCGAGGGCGCGTGGTGGGCGCGCTGGGCGGGGCGTCGGAGAGTCTCACTCACATTGCCGGAGCGGCCTGTTGAAGAGCGGTGTGAACATCATTGATCATCGCGCGTCGGAGCGCGAAGACTGAATCTACGAGGAAGGAATCTAATAGGGGGGGGGAGGCAGGCAAACGGGCGGAAAACAGGACGGTTTCGGAGGTGTGTCGCAGCGGGGGGTTCTCCTGGCGCAAAATTTGCACGTCGATCGTGCAGGAGGTGTGTTAGCTGGAGGAGAGGTGGGTCGTTTGTCAGGAGAGGTTGGTCGTTTGTCAGGAGAGATTCGTTTGTCAGGAGAGGTCGGTGAGTGCGCAAGCTACGTTCGTTCGGCCAGGCTGGCAGCGCCGCGCTGGCGGTGCAAGAATGGCGCCGTTAATGCGCGACATGAAACAGCGAAAATACCGGGCGCGGAGTCTTCGACGGGCAGCGTGTGGGTTGGGCGAGCGCCGCGCCTTGCCGCCTACACGAGCGCGACGCCGAGCGACGCCAGCGCCATGGCCGCCGTCTGCGCCGCCTCCCTCTCGTCGAACGAGTCCGAGCGCTGGCGCGTCAGCGCCTCCGCGACGCGCGCCTGCGCGGGCAAAAAGGCCTCGTGCGCCGCGGGCGCCACTTGCGCCGGCGCCGCGAACTGCGCCGCCGCAGCCTTGTGTTGCGTCGTCGCGGGCACCTTGCCCCACCCGGGCGGCATCGCCCTGTACCGCGGCGTCTCCACCGCGGACGCCGGGTTGCTGCCGAGCACGTGGGCAGCGGCGGCGCCAGGCACCTCCGCCGTGCCGCGCGAGCCCTGCCCCGCGCCGGGGCTCGACGGGCACGTGCTGGGCGGAGTCGGGTCCTTCGAGGCCGCGCTCCCGCCGCGCGGCAGCGCCTGCAGCCGCAGCGGAGGCTCGGGCGCCGCCATCGCCGGCGCGGGCGCGACCGGGAACGGCACGTGTCCGGGGGGCCCGCCGGGGAACTTCCACGAGTCGGGGCGTCGGCCGGGCTGCCGGGCGGCGAGCACGGCGTTGGCGCGCGAGGCCGTGTCCGGGAGCGCGGTGAGCGTGCCGATGAGCTTCTCGAACGCCTGCGGCTGCTCCGGGCTCTTGTGCAGGGAAGGGTTCAGCCCCGGGAACCGCGCGAGGAGCGCCTCCGCCTCGCCGTCCTCCCCGGCCACGAGCAGGTACGCGAACATCATCGTGAGGATCGTGTGGCGATTGTCCTGCGGCGAACCACCCGGGCGCGGTGCCGCTCCGTGAGCTCTCTGTCGCGCGCAACGTGACGCGCGGCGTGGCGGGCGGCGGCGGGCCGCAGCGCGCGGGGCGGCCGCGCGGGCGCGTGTCTGCGGGCTCGCACCTTGTCCAGGAGGACGCCGAGCGTCCAGTCGTGCTCCACGCGCTGCTCGGTGGTGTACCCGCGCAGCAGGCCGGAAGCGGGGCCCCGGCGCCGGCCCTGGGCGCCGCGGGCGCGCTTCGCGAGGGTGCCGTCGGGGAGGACGTCGAAGGCGTCGAGCGAGGCCTGCGTGCGGGGCGCGGGCGGGGCGCGGCGACGTCGGTCCGCGGGCGATGCGCTGGCAGCGCCTGGCGGGTCGTGTGGGGTTGGGCGGCGGGGCGCGGCCGGGCCGCGCGATGCGGCCGTGCGGCGGAGATCCGGGCAGGGCACGCAGACGGGGACGCCTGCACGGGGCGTGCGCGGGAAAATCGGCGCGCCCGCGGGCACGCGCGGCACCGAACAAGGTCTAGACGCTTGGACGCACCAGCTCGCGCATCTGCGCCTCGTAGCTGCGCTCCCGCCTCCGGCGCTCGCCCTCCTGGTTCCGAATGGCTCTCTGCACCGGCGCGGGCGCGGGCGCGGGCGTGGTGCGCGGTGGGCGAGCCGCGCGGGGGCACGGAGTGGCGCGAGGTGAAGGCTCTGTGCCGCCCTCCGCACGCGCGGGCGGGGGCGCGAGGGGGGCAATGGCGCGCGATGCGCGCGTAGTCAGTAGGCTGGGGCGGCGGGGCGGGGCGTGCGGGGGCCTGTGAAGCGCCCGCGTGGCGGCGAGCGCCCGGGTAGGGAGCGCACCACACCGTCGTCGATGGCCTTGCCCAGAGCCTGGTCCCCGACGACTTCGTCGTCGCGTTTCGGCTTCTTACGCGACCGACGCCCATCGGTGATGATCGCGGCCGGGTCTATTGCCGGTGCTCGCTTCGGCATCGCGGCGGAGCGAGGAGCTGCACTGGCAGGAGGGCCGCGTGCTCCACGTCACGGGGGCGTGTGGCGGCCACGCGGCGCATGTTCGGAATATACATGTACATCAGGGGCTGAAAAGCACGCCAGCGCGCCATGTCGCGGCCACCGCCGTGCGCGCATGCCGCTTCCGAAGAGGCAGCCCCACGAGCAGGCAGCTGCGGCACCCAGTCCGCCGCTCCAGCGGTGCCCGGAACGAGTCGGTACATGATCATCCCGCGGGCGACGCGGATTCGCGGGATGGACCACCGGGGCGGGCGTCGAGGGACCCACGAGGGCGCGTCGTAAGCAGGTGCTTCGCGCGGTGGTAGGCGCGCGAAGCGGGCCACGCGGCATCGTATAGGACGCACCAGTGGATCGATCGAAGCCTCGGCGAGCTTCGTAGCTCGGCGCGCCTCGTGGCGCGCAGCGCAGCGTGCGAGCAGGCGTTTACTACGATACGGCGCAGCGAACGCGCTGCTGAAGCGATTGCCCGCTCAACGGGACGACCTCCTGCGATGATTGTGTTCCTGCGAGCCCACCGCGGGCGCCCATGGGGCCGCGGACCCGCCAGGCGGGCCCGGCCGGCACGCCTGTCTGGCACTTCCCTCCTACCCTTAGTAGGACCGCGCGCGGCGCGGGACGAGGGCCCGCGCGCCCGTGAGCTCGCCACACAACGCAGCGCACTGCGGGCCAGGCCCCACGCATCGAGCGGCGAATATTCGTGTCCGTTTCGAGACCGCACTGCGGATCTCCCTCCGCGCCCACAGCCTCGCTCCGCCGGTGGCCGGGGCGGCGCCGCCTGCGTTCGTCGGCGCGCTCTTCGGCGGGACTACGATCTAGGGGCGCCGAAGATCACCGAGAAGAATGGACGGGCGCGACGTAGGCCGGTAGCGAGGTGCGCACACCCACCCCTGTACTGCGTGCGTCTCCTGGTGGCTGCCCCGCACGCCGCGGTCCCTGGGGAGTCGCGCGCGCCGGCCAGGCCTCATGCATAGCGAGGGGGGCTTCGGCCGCGGCTCACGTCGCGCCCGTTGGCGCCCGCCGGGCGGCGCGCGCGGCGCTGCATGGCGGGACAGCTCCTGTCCGCGCGGGGGTGCGCCAGGGCCGGCACGCGGGCGCCGTGCGGGCCGCCAGGCCTCCACGCTGGTCCAGCGCCTCTGGCGGCCCGCGTGGTGTGCCGCTTCGGCGCCTCAGTGCGCGCGGGGACGTGGCCCGGTGCATCATGGCCGCAGTTTCGCAGCCTGCGCGGTGCTTTCTCTCCGAAAACGCCGCCTCCACGTCCCTTTAGTCAGCGTCGGAGCCGCGCAGTCCGAACGAGCCCCGCGCGCCCCCTCCCCGCTCGAGGTGCCCCCACATGGCAGCATCGCAGCTCCGCGCGCGCCCCGCGCGCCCCCCCTCGCCTGCAAGCCGAGCCCAGCCGGCTCCCCACGCATGTCACTTCTCAGCGAGCGCCCAGCCGGAGCCGGCGACGCGCACGCACGCGCGCGTGCCGCAACCTGCCGCGTGCCCGGCCCAGTGCACTGCTCACCTCGCAGCGCGCCCTCTCGCCGCGGGCCCGCCCCGCCCCGCGTGATCGTCTCCGCTGCCCGCCCTCACTCCTCCTCCGCAGGTCGCGCAGCTCGCTGGGAGAGACGCGCCGCCGTCCGCTGCACCTGGACGCACCCTGCAAGGACAGACACAGCAGCAATGCGCGCGGCATCGTCGCGCGCCCTGGCAATCATGCCGGTGCGCGCACCTAACTCCCTCCCTCGCGCGCGCCACCCGCAACGCCTCGCGCGTGCACCCTCCGGGCGCGCCGCTGCGACGCAGTGCTGTGCCACCTGTTGGCCGCCCGCCGCGAACCGTCCGCCCGGCTCCGCGCCCCCGCGCAGGAGATTCCGGAGGGAGACGAGCCCGAGGAGGCGCCGCGGCCGCAGATGTTCCGCGGCGGCAACTCCCGGCGGCGGCTCGGCCACTACGTGCCGCGTCCGCTCGAGCGCGGGGAGTCCGTCGAGAGTCGCCGGCGCAGCCCCGACAGCGCGCGCTCGGGGCTCCGACGCAGCCCCTCGAACGCGCACGAGGACTCCACGCCGGGCTCGGGCGACCACCGGTGGCTGCGCGACCCCACAGGCAGCATGGGGCGCCGGGGGGCGCACTCCGGGCGGCCGTGGAGCACGATGGAGAGTCCGACGGCCGAGCTGGACGAGCAGGACTCGCCGCTCGGGATGCGCATGTCCGCGCCGGGGTCGACGGAGGACGGCGAGCGCCTGCGCGGGTTGGCACGGTCGCAGTTTGGCCGCGACGGCGCGCCCGTGGTGGTCGTGGGGGACGACGAGGAGGGCTCGGACGACGAGGGCGGGCGGCGGTCGGCCGGGCGGTGGTTCGACGAGCCGATGGTGGCGCGGAAGGGCGGGCGGAGGTCCCCGGTGGACGCCGTGGGCGGGCGCGCGAGCCCGCACCTGCCCGTGCGGCAGAGCGTGCGGTCGCCGGAGTCGCCGGGCGGGCGCGAGGAGGGCCCCGCGCCGCCGGCGCAGGAGGACCTCACGCCGAACCAGCGCCTGCTCCAGATGCGGCACGCGAAGCGGCAGGCGGAGATGCGCGAGCAGTGGCGCAAGCCCAGCGTGCAGGGCAACTTCCGCAACGTCCCGGGGATGCGGTCGAGCGTGTCGGGGGCGGAGTACCGGCACGATCTGCAGGGCACGCGCCTGCAGCCGCAGTTCACGAAGACGCGGCGGACGCTCGAGGACGGCGTGCTGGCGTCGCTGGACCAGCAGCAGACCTCGCAGATCTACGGTGCGCGCCCCGCCGCGCTCGTGCTTGGGCCGTGCGGCGATGCGCGCGTGCCGGCACTCAGTGTCGTGTCGTTTCGTTCTGGTGCGCGCAGGCCCGGTGGTGATTCGCACGCAGCTGCAGAGCCTCGTGAAGCGGTTCAACAGCCGCAAGGGCGAGTACGACCGCGTCGCGCTCGTCCTCCCGCTCTCGTCGGCCCGGCAGCCGGACGCGCCCCCGCGCGAGCACAACCTGGAGGACATCAAAGAGCGACTGATCCGGCAAAAGGTGCACCAGCTCGAGATGCTGCGGCGCGAGCAGATGGCCGGCGGGGGCGCGGGCGCGGGCGCGCGGGGCAAGCAGCGCCGCGGGGCGCGGGGGCGCATGGGGGTGGGGTTCGCCGACGGCGGGTACGACGCGGACGAGCTGCTGTTCGGGGACCTGATCGGGTGCCAGGAGGTGGCGGAGGAGCACGACGAGGACTGGGTGGACCCGGAGAGCCTCGCGGGGATGGCGTACCGGTCGCACGGGCGGTCGGCGCGGTTCTCGCAGAAGGCGCCGTCGCTGATTGACAGCGACGAGGGGGGCAGCGACGGGAGCGGGCGGGAGCGCGCGGCGTCCGCGGCGGGGAGCACGCGGAGCGCGTGGAGCATGAAGAGCGCGCGGAGCGGGAAGAGTGTGCGCAGTGCGAAGAGCTCGCGCAGCGTGAAGGCCAGCGGGGGGGAGGAGGCGCGGTCAGGGGGGGAGTCCCCGAGCCCGCCGCCGCCGCCGAAGGAGCACGTGCGGCTGGAGCAGTTCGTGACGCCCGGGGGGCGGCTGCAGCGGCGGGCGGTCCGGGACGCGCGGTCGCTCGCGGGGACCCCGCAGCCGCCCGGGGGGGGTGTCTGGAACACAGCCCCGGGGCGTCTCTTCTCCGCGCCCGTCGCGCGGAACGGCATGTCGCCGACGCCCGACATGCCCGTGCGCGCCCTGACCTTTACGCCGGCCACCGGAGGCCCGCCGACCGCGCCCCCGCGGCCCGCCACCGCGCAGCCCACCGCGGCGCGCCCTCTCACCGCGCGACCGTCGGGCGCCGGCGTCCGGCCCGCCACGGCAGGCGACGCACCGCGCCCCGTCTCCGCGCACCTCGCGCGCGCGCAGCAGCCCCCGTACAAGCTGCCGGACACCCCCGACACGCACAGCCTGCTGCAGGAGCTCGCCGACGAAGCACGGGCGGGAACGTCGCCGCCGCGGTCCCCGCGCCGCGCCCCGACGCGCCCGGGCACGGCGCCCGCGCAGATCTACCGCACGGCCGCGCCTGCGCGGCGCAACGCGGACGGCTGGCGGCGGCACCACTACATGCAGCACGGACCGATGGTGGCGTCGACGAGGGTGGCGGACGCGGGCCCGCCGCCGGTGCTCAAGTGGATCCCTCCGCAGGGCACGAAGGAGCGCGCGCTGTACATGTCGAAGTCCATAAAGCCGAAGCGACCGCAGCGGAAGGCGGGGCAGATGGAGTGGCGGGACGTGCCCGACCCGGTGCAGTCTGACCGGCCGCTGTGGAGGGACGCGGCGCCGCTGGTGCCGTCGCAGGGGCCGCGCACAGAGCGCAGGAGCCCCGCGAAGAGGGCGAGCCCGGAGACGGCCCGCAGGGGGACCGCGTCGCCGCGTCGCACGAAGCGGAGTGCTGGGGCGGAGCTGGCGAGGAAGCCGCGCGCGGTGATGACGACGATGGCGAGGGACCTGACGCGGTTCTGAAGCGGGCGCGTGGGGGCAGTCAGGCGGCGGCGGGCCGGCGGGCCGGCGGGCGAGGTGTTTGTTTCTTTTTGGGGGGTGTATAGTGCCGTCAGGTCGCGCATGTGAAGGTTGCGTCGCGAGCGGGATGCGCTGCGTGGGGGCGGCGTAAGCCCCGTGTGTCGTCGCTGCGCGCCGTCTCCGGGGCCCGTGCTGGACAGACCTGACGCGGGCACGGGGGGACTATGAGGGTGGCTGGGGGTGGCTCCTAGCCGCTCGTGAGCGCGCGCGGGGCATACCTGGGCGCCCGCGCAGCACTCGCGGGCAGTAGGAGGGCGGATCGCACGTTCGGAACGCGCACTGTCGCAGGGTGGCGGGCAGCTCAGCGCACAGGTGTAGCTGGAGCTCGGGGACCACGCGGCTGCTTGGACCCGGGGGTCGTGGATGCTGGAACCAGAGTCGCGGACATGAGCTCGCAGGTGCGTCCGGCGAGGATGGCAGCTGGCGGGAGCGTCGCCGCGACGAGCACTGGGCCGCGCGCGCTGAACGAGAGGACGCCTGGTGCCGTCTAGACGCGCGTTCTCGCCACGTACAGTCCTGTCTCAGAGAAATGCGTACAACGAGTATGAACTGGGGTCGTTTGCGTCGCGCAGGCACCGAAGGAGCTCCCGGTGCTCGCGCCGCTTGACCTCAAAGTGGAGGAGGGGCGCGCGGAGCCCACGACGCGGATGCACATCGCGGCTTTCGGTTCGGGCGCCCCGAGGAACTTGCAGCAGAATGGATGGCAGGTGACGGCGGCGCCGCAGCAGAACACGCTGATCAAGAGGGCGCCTGAGGACCCAGACTCTCTCCCCGCGCGCGTAGAGCTCTCTGACCCCAGCGGCCACGTGTCGCATCACGGCACACGCCAGGAGGGTCTCTCGAGGCACTTCGTGCTCATCAAGGTGAGGCCCAGCGCCGGCGCAGGGCACCGCAGGCCGCGCAAACCGCCGAGGCGTGCACACGCGGTCGCCGAACGAGCGCGCGCGGCCCGCGTCGCAGGAGAGCGGGGGCATCTTCATGTACCCCATCAAGCACTGGTACCAGTTCCGCAACACCACCGGCGTGCGGAGGCCCCAAGCGGGCGCGGCGAAGGGAGATGTTGACATCGGGAAGCTTAACCTTGACGACTACTGGTGCGCACGCCGAACAGGCCGCGCCGGCGCAGAGCGAGGCCTGCGTCGCGGCTGTCGACCGCGCCGCACGGCAGCCGCGGTGCGCCCCGCCGCCGGCCCCACCCGCCACGCACGCGCCCTCCACGGCCGCAGGAAGCGGCGCCAGATCGCCGCTGCTAAGGCGCTGGGGCCCAAGGCCGAGACGAAGCCCGAGGTGAAGCAGGAGGCCGGGAGGGACGCGGCGAGGGACGCGGGCCTCGGCAGCAGCAGCGACGACGACGACTTCATGGAGCGCAAACGTGAGTGCCGGAGCGCGCTGTCGTGCGCCGCGGCCGCGCTGCCCCCTCGCCTCGCGCGCAGCCGTCGTGGCCTCGGCGCGGGTCGTCTCCCGTGGCCAGCGCGGCCGCAAGCGTCGCACGTCCGTGCCATGCAGCTCGCGGCGGTGCGTGCTGCGGGCCGGCGCGCTCGCAGCGCGTCGCGGCGCCGTCTCCGACCGTCGTGCTCACGTCCGCTCTGCCCGCAGCCAAGGTCGCCCCGCCGCAGCGGCGCGACGTGGAGGCGCTGCACAACATCGCGGCGGGCACCACTGACGAGTTCCAGCGCGAGCGGCAGCGCGAGGACTACGACATCCACGACGACGACGGCGCGCGGCCCGAGGACGCGCTGGACTGGGACTTCGAGGGCGCCCCGTCGGACGACGACGTGGAGATACACCGGGGGGAGTATGAGGAGAGGAAGAAGGCAATGGCGGAGCTGGTCGGGCGGGAGGCGAGCGAGGAGTCGTCGATTGAGGGGGCGCCGGACTCGGAGGAGGAGGACGACGGGGACGGGGAGGAGGGCGGGGGGGAGGCCGGCGCAGAGGAGGAGGAGGGGGGGGTCATTGGTGGGGGCGACAGTGGCGACGAGGGGGACGCGGAGGAGGAGGAGAGGGCGGAGGAGGCGCGGGCGAAGCAGATGCCCGCGATAGCGAAGCGGCCCAGGCGAGTGGGGGCGCGGGCTGCGTTGTCGAGCTGCGCGGGTGCGCGGCGCCGCGTGGCGTCCGCTCACGGCTGCCTCGGCGTGTTGACTGTGCAGGGAGGAGGACGGCTCGCCGGCGCACGAGCAGCCGAAGCGGCCGCGGCCGTCTGGGGCTGCCGGCGCGGGCGAGCCGCAGCTCACGCTCGAGGCGTTCGTGCGCGTCGTGACGGAGAGGCCCGGGGCGAAGCTGTTGGAGGTATACGCCGCGCTGGGGATGACCAAAGAGCAGGTGCAGGAGCGGAAGCCGGAGGTGATGCAGCTTGTCAAGAAGGTGTTGAAGAGCAAACAGGTGTCGAGGAAGGACGGCAAGTACTACCCGGGCAGCACCGGCCCGGGGTAGACAGTCGCGGTGCCGCCCCGCGCCCTGTGAGCCCGCGGCCTGCGATCTGCGCTGCGTGTTGTCAGTGGCTGCTGCCTTGATCGGGACGATAGCACACCCGCATTCCGTTTCGTGCGCGGGTGGTCAATTACTACTTTGTGTTGTCAGTGGCAACTGCGCTGTCAGTGGCAACTGCGCTGTCAGTGGCAACTGCGCTGTCAGTTACCAACAAATACAAACACCAACAGTGGCTGTTCTCGCGGGCTGTCTCTCCGCAACGAGGCGCGCTTTCGTTGTGGGGGAGGCACAGGCGGTCTGTGCGGGACGGTGGTGCGGGTGATGGCCAGGGAGGAGCGGCGGCGGGCGTGAAGCCGTGTCTGACTGCCGCAGTGCAGTGCACGCTGAGCACTTCGAGGCCACGCGGAGCTGCGCGGCTCCGCGAGTGGCGAAGTGGTGCGCGCGCACGGCTTGTGGAACCGGCGAACTTCCTCCCGCGGCGTTCTCGAGGCTACTTCGGCGTGATTCTGCGCAGACAAGCCGTCCGCGCGCAGCGTGCGCGTTCAGGACAGTGCGATGCCCGCAGGGCGCGCTGATCAGGTGCGACGCTCCCGTCTGTGCCGCTCCCGCCTCTTCGTTCCGCCAGGACTCCGGAAAGCCGTCGCCCGGGGCTGCGGGCCGCGTTGCCACGAGGCACGAGCGGCACTTCGTCCGAGTTTGCCGGCGTTGAATTGGCCGCCTCCCGGGTACCGAACGACGACGACGACCGCCGCCAGCTCCTCGCTCTGTGCGTATGCCGACGGCGCTGCGGCACCACGTTCGCGGAGACGCAGGGCGGAGGCGCGGTGGGGGCGACGAACATGGAGAGTGCACGGCGGGAGACGCGCGCGAACTTGCGCCAGATCAACGACGTGGTGTCGTACTACGGCAATGCGGCCAGCGCGGACCCGCGAGCGAACAGGCACATCATGACCGAGACCTTGCAGCGGCTGGGCGAGGTGATTGACGGCGCGGACCGCCCGCGGGAACTCGCCATGGGCACGCAGCAGCTCGCCGGCCTGAGCGACCAGATCCACCAGAACGCGCTCCGCCAGTTCGCCTCAGGTGCGTAGAACCGCCGCGGACCGACCAGCGCCCCTGAGCGCGCCGCACGGCCCCGCACCACGCCCTGCTCGTGCCTCGGCGCCAACCGCCACTACGCTCCGGCCCGCCGTCGTCTTCGGCCCAAACCAGCTCCAGCGGGACGCCCTGGTCGTGCGGCAACGGCGCGGCCGCTCGCGCTCTGTCTCTGTGCAGCGAACCGGAAATCCGCGGCGGACCTCGTTCAAGCTCTGCTCCAGTCGTACGGGGCGGCGGCCCGCGCGGGCGCGTCGGCCGGCGACGACGTGCAACAGAGCGGATTCGACTGGACCAACTTCGGCGAGGACAGCCTCGTGCGTTGCCCGCCCCGTTCACGCCGCCCGCCCACGCACCACCCCCGAGCGCTGCGTGCGCTGCGCGCCCCGCCTGCCCCCGCGCCCGCCGACAGCGACGCGCCCCCGCGGCCCGACGGCGCTGCGCAGGAGTACTTCGACGCCACGCCCGGCCTCGACACGATGCTCGGTTCCATGCTCGCGCCCGCCAAGGAGCGCAAGGCGCGCGAGGCCAAGCCGAAGAAACGCGACGCGCCGATCGGCGCGACCGTCCGGCCGCAGGACGTCGAGCACGTCGACGACGAGCTGGAGAAGCAGGTGCGCTGCGCGCCCGCGCCGTGCCCGGCGCCGTGCCCGGCCGCCTCCCCCCCCGCGCGCTGCGTCGCCGAACAACTGCGCGACGGCACGCTCGGGCGCCGCAGGACACGGACCGGAACATGGAGGAGATGTGGAAGCTGCTGACGCAGCGCACCGAGGGCGGGCAGCGCGTGATGTACTACGAGCTGGTGATGAACACGACGAGCTTTGCGCAGTTCGTGGAGAACGCGTTCACGCTGTCGTTCCTGGTCCGCGACGGGCGCGTGGAGCTCAAGGACTACAGGGACGGCGACTTCGAGACGTACGAGGTCGTGCCGGTCGTGGGGCGCAAGGGCGGCGAGCGGCACGGCGAGGCGCAGGACGCGATGCAGCAGTTCGTGTCGTCGTTCAACATGCACGTGTGGCGGGACGCCGCGGGGCGCATGAGCCAGGCCGACTGCATCATGCCGCACCGCGACTCCGCCGCGTGGGGCAACGAGCGCGCCGCGTGACTGGCCGCCGGCAGCGCCGCGTGACGCGACCGGCGCGAGCGCGGCCGCGTGTGACGAGATCGTAGCGTAGCGCACTCGCAGTCACCGGGGTCACACGCGCGCCGCGGCGGCAGCGAGGGCGACGAGCGACGCCAGCGCGACCGCGTTGGCCACCGGGGACGACGGCGACGCGCCGGCGAGGTGCTGGCGGTGCTCCGCGGGCCCCCGGTACCCGCGCGCGGACATCGCCCGCGCCATGTGGCCGCAGTGCGAGATCAGGCTGTCGAGCAGGCGCGCGATGAGGCCGACCATGAGATCGAGCGTGCCCATCAATCCCTGGCGGCGCCAGTCGACGCCGCGCGCCGCGAGGCCGCGCAGGAGGTTCTGGAGCTCGGTGAAGACGACGCCGACGAAGCGGATGGAGAGGAGGAGCGTCATGGCCATCGAGGCCACGGGGACGCCCAGCGCGGCCAGCGGCGAGAGGTACCACGTGAGCGCCTGCGCGAGGTCCTCTGCCTTGGTGGTCACGAGGCACAGCGACGCTCCCTGCGAGCAGGCGGCGGCGTGTGCGGGTGCGTCGGGGTGCGCGGTGGCGTTGGCGTGCGCGGTGCCGCCGCCGTGTCGGGTGGCGCGGGGTGCGCACCTGCAGCGACGCGATCGTGAGCGCGACGGAGGTCACCGCGAGGGAGAGCGACCGTCGCGTGATCGTCAGCGGGCCGAGCTTGGCGAGCACGAAGCCGTACGTGGCCTCCGGGACGATGGCGGGCAATCCGTCAAAGCCCACGGGCGGCGCGCGCGTCTGCGTCACGGGCGGCACGCCCTCCGCGCCGAGAAGCAGCCCCACCGCCAGGAGGCTGCAGAACAGCCCGAGCTGCATCAGCTGCGCCCGCCACACGCGCACGGGGAGCCCCACCACGGACAGCAACACCACCAGGCCCGCTGCGGTCCACGGGGGCGGCGAACGGCGCTCAGCGACCCGTCGCAGACGCGCACGCGCCGGGCCTCCCCGGCCTCGTCTCGCGCGTGTCCTTACGCGCCGCTGCGTAACAGACAACGCGTGCGGCAGCGAGGGTGCGCGCAGGGCGCGGCACGGGGGCAGGGCGCACCGGCCAGGGCCTTGAAGGGGACGGGAGCGCGCGCGATGACGACCAGGAGCGCGAAGAGCCAGAGCTGCTTGATGCGCGGGTCGACGCGGTGGAGCGGCCCGACGGGCTCCGGGACGTAGCTCCACGTGGGGACGTGCGAGGTGCGCAGGAGGAGGGAGAGCGCGCGCGCAGCTGCGGGCTCGCGCGGCCGTTTGAGCTTGCCTGCGGGGCGCGCGGGCCGGGCGTGGGTTTGGCGGCGATGGCAGAGTCGACGGGTGGTGCAGAGCGGTGGTGCGCGTCAGCGGCTCCCGCGCGGTGATGGGTGGTACCTTTTGGCTTCTTCGGCGCAGGGCGACCGCCGTCATCCGCCGCGGACGCGCCGGCGCGCGTCGCTGACGTCTGCAGCTCGCGCGGTCCTGGCGACGGCGCGTCGGGGCTGTGTCTCCGATGAAGCGCGGAAATGGGCCGACGCGAGAAGGTGGAGCTGCGGAAGGTCGCCGTGTGGACCCCGCTGAGACCACATCCCGTCTGATGGCTCACTCCAGCCATCGTGGTGGACTCGCGCACAGGGTACCCACTGCCGAGTCTGTGGTCGCCGCTGCGACCGAACGTCGTGTACGCAGAATCACCAAGCACGGAGCATCCATCGGCGGCGCGCAGCCATGACGTGCGCGCTGACGTCGTGCCGTGCCGTGCGGGTCTCACTGGCTCCTGACACGGCACGGGCCAGCCACGCTCGCCAGCTCATTGCGGGTCGTCTGGCGAGGGCACGCGCCAGAGGTAGGGCATCTGATTCGTGAAGTGTTGCAACCGAGCGGCGAGGTTCTGGCCCGCCTACAGCGCGGTCAAGTAACTGCACACAAGGTGCGCCGCTGTCCCGCAGACCTTCTTCGTCCTCCGGCCCCGAAGGGCCGGGTCCTGCATGTCGAGAGTCTGAGCCACTGCCTGAGCGACGGAACCCGCCGCTGACGCCACCATGCGCGGCGCTGGCGAGGCGACCCTGGCTGTCCCTTTGCATCGCCGCAAGCGCCGGATACTCGACGTTACTGCGGCACACCACTCGCGCTTGCTCGACTGGGCTTACGGGCGGCGCAGGGCCGGTCCAACCGCCGTGGAACGCCCGTGGTGCAGCGCGCCGGGCGCGTTTCCCACCTCCTGGATCCGAGACTCCGCGGACGTTGCTTTCCCTGCCCCGCGATGCAGGTTTCCGCAGCGGCCGAGGCTTGTCATCATGGCGGACGCAGCGCCGGCTCGCGCCCGCCCTGCAGCGCTCGACGTCGACCAGAAATGGGAGCGGTGCCTGGACATCAGTCTCAGGCGGGTGGCCTACGGGGTGCTGGGCGGAGCTGCGGCGGCGCTGGTGCTCGGACGTGAGTGCCCCGGCGTCACTGTATCCGTGCCGCGCTCGCTCTCGCTCTCTACTTCCCCCGCGAGCCCCAGAACGCACCACCGGAGGAGCAGCGCCCTTGCCCAGTACGTCGCGGGCGCCGCGCATCGCCTGCGCCGTCGGGATGCCGGTGCTTGCTCTCTGCGCGCCCCGGCCCGCGAGCGTTCAGCGCGCCATGCACGGGCGAGCGCCACACGTTGTCGCAACTTGTCATGTGCGTGCAGGCGGGTCGTCGAGCAGGTATTTGATGATGGGCGCGGGCCTCGGGTTCGGGCTCGGAAGCAGCTACGCGGACTGCTCTCGGATTCTAGATGACGGCAGCGGGCGGCACAGCCGCCTGTCGCATTGGCTCGGCAGGAGCGCCAGCTGAGGACGCCGGCGAGTTGCTGGGGCGCCGCGAACGCGTGTGACGCTTCACCAGACCTGTCGCTACCACAGCGGTGGGGGGTGACATGACTCGCCACCTAGTCGTATGATCTTCTCAGACCCAAAGCCTTATGGCTGACGACGCGAAGAATGTGACACCTCACCCCAGTGTGCTGCTGGGTGGAGCACCGGCAGGCCGGCTGCGGGAGGCGGAGTTGGCGAGAGAGCGGCAGCAGCGACGCGTGCTACCACGCGGCCCAACAACGGGAGCGCGCGCGTGCGCAGTGCGGAAGCCTCCCGCCTTCCCTGCAGCCCGCCTCTTTCGCGGGAAGCCAGGGCCTCGGCGGGCGCCAGGTTCCTGTGCTTGCGGGTCAGACTTTATGTGTTGGCAGAGGCGCGGCACTGCGGGCAGTCAAGTCCGAGTTCACAGAGTGCTGCGGAAGGCTGCTGCGGAGCGCTTCTAGGCGGAATTCTAGACCCGCGTCTGGTAGGTCCGACAGGTGTCGGCCCCTTCGCTGAGACGGGCCCACACCCAGGAGGGCGTGCAGGGTGCGTCGGCCCCCGTCGGACGGGCGCGGCGGCTTGCGCTGCGTGCCGTCACTGCTCTAGGATCACGTCGACGGTCGTGGTGCAAGTGACTTGGGGAAATTCTTCATCAGGTGTTGAGCCTGTGAAGGAGGAGATCATGAGACTAGGTGGAGTGGAGTAATGTCCACCCCCCACCGTTATGGTAGCGACGGTTCGGCAGCTGTGACAGAGGCAGCTTGGTGCGGCGGTGAGCAGAGAGTAGCATCTTGTCCCGGGGGCCAGGGCAAGGGGGAGCGAGCGATCTGCAGCACTGCGTGACGCACAGCAACGGTCAAGGGGGGGTGTTAGTACGGGAGGGCGTTATCCTGGAACGTAGGGGAGGGGTATGAATGGGGGTCTCTTGAGACATGGGGAAACGTGGCGTTAGAGAGGGAGGGGGGGTGGGGGACGTGGGGGAAAAGGCTAGAGTTCGCGTTGAGCTTGCCGTCCACCACGTGCCTCGCCTTGCGTCCGCACGCAGGATGCATCGACTGCAGTGCAACGGTCAGGTCATGCGAACGCGGGCTATCGTGCTAAACATCGCCGCAACGTCGCCGAGGTCGGCACGTCGGCGTTGTGTGTGTGCCGAGGAGGGAGGGAGGGGTTGTTTGATTGTGCGTGTGGATGCTTACTCGTCGAGGAATCGCAGCCCCCTGTGTCTCTGGGCGTGGATGGGGCCAGCTTTGACGGAGGCGGGCCGGACGGCCACCACGAAAAACACAACCGAGGTGTTTCTCAAGCAAGCGCATGCAGGGTCAAATGCGATACGGGGATCGTCGCCGAGGGCCCGAGGCAGCCTTGGACCTCGGGGGGGTTCGGCGCTCGCTGCAAGCTGGCCGCGCTGCCCGCAGGCAGCGGGTGGCGTGGCGCACGCTTGCCGCCGTGCTACGCGCTGAGCCGGGGCAGCCCGTCGGCGCGGTCGTCGTCCTCCCCCTGGTACACGTGCACCTTCCGCGGCGCGCCCGCGGAGAGCGGCCGCGGCGGCACCGCCACGGCGTCGCCCACCAGCCGCGTCAGCGCGCCCGAGCTCGCGCCGTGCGTGGGCGAGGCGCCCGCCAGCTCCTCGGTGCGGCGCGTGCCCGCGGAGACCGCGAACCGCTGCGTCGCGACGGGCGTGGCCGTCTCCATCGAGGGCGACCGGCCGCGCTTCCGCGGCGACGTCGGCGAGGCGGTGCAGAGCCGGTCGGGGCGCTGCTCGGAGAGCCACGCCACCTGCCGCATGCACTCCACGAGGCTGGCGTCGACGACGCCGAGGTGCATGAGCGCCTCGCGCACGTCGATCGGCGAGGGCGCGCCCTCCACGCCCCGCGACGCCGCGTGGTCGACCGTGCAGAGCAGCACGCCCGCCGCCAGCGTCGACGGCAAAAACGCCAGGTCCAGCCCCGCGCCGACCGCGGACCACGCCGTCGCGGACCACGCCGCGCGGAGCAGCTCCGCGGACGGCGCGGACATGCCCACCGCGCCCGCGACGCTCGCCACGAGCGCGTCGGCGAAGTCCGCCCCCGTCACGCGCAGCACGCGCCACTCCGCGACCCGCAGGATCTCCCCCTCCATCTCCGCAATCTCGCCGTTCGTGAACGTCACGCCCACCCACGGCACGAACACCTGCGCGGCAGGCGGGGCGCGGGCGCGCGGGGTCGGCGCGGGCCGGCCGGGTGGCGGCGGCGTGCGGGCGCCGAGCGTCGCCGCGCGCCCTGCGCGGAGCGGGCGGGCGCCGGGGCGGCGGCGCGCTCGGCCGGCGCGGGGGCGGGCGGGGGCCGCGGGTTCGCGGCGGTTCGCGGCGCGGCGGGGGCGGCCGCGCGTCCTCGCTGTCGCTGGGGCGTTTGGATTTTGGGGGCGTGGAAAAAGCCCGCCCTCGGGGCAGGCGGCTACCGCGCCGAAATGCCGTCCTCGGCGCCGCGCAACGGCGCCGCGGGCGGTGGCGCCGGTATGAATGGGGGATCCTCGAAACGGAGAGAGCGCGAACGGGGCCGGGGAGCGGCACCGCGCGAGTGGGGAGCGCGGCCACGTGCCGGCACGCGACCGGCCCCGCCGGGCTGCTCGGCCGCGCGCAAGTACCCTTGCGCGCGCCATTTCACGCACAGCGATACGTTCAGTCGTCGGCGGGGGGCGGCGGCCGGCGCGCACCTGTAGATCGGACATGGGCGGGGGGCGCCGGTTGTCGTCGACCTTGCCGGCCAATGACAGCGCCGCCACGGCCGCGAGGGGCGCAATGAATTGCGCATAGTCTTCGCGTTCCTGCATTCCATTCACGAGGAGCGCGCGCGTCCGATCAGGGCCCCGCGACGAGCGCCTCCGGCCGGGCAACTGCGGCGCAAATGTATTGCCGCGGTTCTCCGTCGTGCGCCCGCGTGTCGATGGGCGCGCACCTTGGGCGTCATTCCCGTCATAAATAGGTCCCATAGCGCCAGGGCCGACAGCCAGACGGTCTCGCGGAACGAGTAAAATGTCGCTGCCTGCATAGGGCGTTGAGCCAGGGGCAGCGGAGTGAGCGCCGCGCGTACATTCAGCGCGCAAATCGCGACGAATAGTATGTCGACCAGCGTCGCACCTGCTTCATCCACGCGGCGACCTGCAGGCGGCTGCTCTGGTCCATCGCGCCCTGACGGCCATCAAGGGCAGCTGTGGGCGTCGGCTGCTTCGCCTCCTGCTCCAGCATCAGCTGGATCCTCTCCTTTAGCGTTGTGTGGCACGTGTCGGCGGGCGACAACGCAAACATATCATCGGCGTGCGCGGCGCGAGGGCCACGTTCTTCACGAAGCAATCCCGGCGTCGCTGCGAGCCCGTCCTCCTCGCACTCGAGGTCGCGCCAATCCATCCTGCCTCGAATGCCTTCTCGACGCTCCGGGGGATCGCAAGGCGACCCCAAGGCGGTCCTGGTTGCCTGCGGAGCAAGCCAGCAGCTTGCGAGCGGGTTTGCGGAGGCGGGCGGGCCGCACGCGGCCGCTGGCGCCGCTCGCGGCACTGATGTGGGTACAGACTTTCGCAGGGAAGGCGCGGAAGATCCGCATCCGGCCCCTGGACACCGCCCGGGCCAAGGGTCGCTACGCTCGGGCTCACCTCGCCTCCTCAGGAGTACATGAACAGCACCAATGAGTAGACGTCTAGCGTCTTAGAGATATTCAACGAGTGTCCGCCGCGCCCGCGCCGCGCAGCCTCGTCTCCCGGCGCGGCGCGAGCCCTGTGCCCTCACCCCCCTCCCACGACTCATCTTGCTCTCCCGACAGGGACACCCGCCGCCTCCCCGCGGGCGCCGACGCGCCGAACAGGTCCCACGCGGCGATCCCCCGCTGCGGCGGCGGGCGCGGCGGCCATCGGCGGCCCCGCCGCGCCGCCCGGGGCGCAACCGAGCACCGCTGGCCCCGGCGATGGTCGTTTGCCGCGGGCACGGCTCTGGGGGCCGTGCCGCATCGTTCCGCGGGGCTCCGCGGCATGTCAGATACACAGGCGTCCCGGGCGCTGGGTTGACCGAGCGAGCGGCGGCGTCGGCGGGCGGCGCGGGACCCATGGCCGCCACGGCACACAACTGCCAGTGTGCGCGCCGCACGCGCGCCGCTGCGACCCGGGGCCCGTGCGCTCGCGGCCGCGGCGCTCGCGCGGGGCGCGCCGGGCCAGCTGGGCCGTGTATCGGGCCCGCTTGCGCGCCCCAGCCGCAATCGCGCCCGCGCTGGTTGCATGCACATGGGCGGCAGCAACCCCGCCGCGCCGCCCCGCCCCGCGCGGCGGGGCTCGACGGTCGCGGCGCGCGTGCGGTGGTGCGGGGCGGGGTCTGCGGGGGCGCTACGGGCTCCGATCGCGGGTGCGGCGCCGCGCGGGGGCGGCGATGGCGGCGGCGAGGTGCACGCACGTGCGCCGGAGGCGGGCGTGCGCGCGCTCCGAAGGCACGACGCCCGCACCGCCCGCGCGCCGGCGGCGTGGGCTGCGACCTGGGTCGTCGGGAGGGCGTGGTCGGGGCTCACACGCGGTGGTGCAGGATCACGAAGGTGGCTGTCCACTTTCGTCGAGGCTTCAATCGCAGCCTGGGGCCTCAACGTCATGGCACGGGGTCGTCCCGCGCCAGCACCCCAGCACCGTCGCGCACATCGGCCCGCGGCGCGCGCACGTCGCGCCACGACTTGGCGCAGCAGCGCGACCGCTCACCCCGGCCGTCCGAGCCGTATCGTAGGCGCGCGTGCGACCACCAGCGCTGGCGGGACACTGCCGCAGCGCCCGCGCGACGGGGGGGCCGGCCGTCATCGATGAAGTCGCTGCTGCGGAGGATCAGCTCGAAGAAGCGGGGGCCGGGCGCGGGCGGGGGCCTCTGCACGACGCTGCCCGCCACGCAGTCAGGCAAGGGATTTGGGTTGCTGCGCTGGCAACGTGGTGGGCCCGGCCGCGCGCGGCGCTCGAACGGCGCGAGGTCCCGCGCGGCGCATGCGTTCGCTGCGAGACGCGCGAAGCGCCAGCCGGGGGCGGTCGTGCGCGCGCGGCCGGGCCGTGCGCGGCGCGCACCTGCCCGCCAGGTTTCAGCCCGCTCCCTCCCCGCACCCCAGACCGCGTAAATACTGCCTTGCTCGTACGTGCCCTCGCAGGTATTCCGTCCGGTGACGAGGCGGAGCCAGAGGCGCCTCTCAAGGCGCCCAAGGAGGCCGACGCAGCGTGGGAGTCGCTGGCCGAAGCCTTGCCCGTCGTCTCTACCGTGGAAGAGCCTCCAGCGGAGCCAAGCACGGACGATGAGCCAGAAAGCGCCGGAAAGGAGGGGCCGGAGCCCGCGGTTCCCGGCGAGGCGCCGTCGCAGGACCCGGAGAGCGACCACGTAGTTGACGCGCCCGAGAGCGAGGCGGTGCCGGCGGCCGACCCCGTCGACGAGGCCCCCGCCCCTGCGCCCGAGCCCGCAGCTGTCGTCGAGGAGGAGGCGGAGGCGGCGGCATCCGGGCCAGCCCTGACCTCAAACGGCCCGAAAGCCTTGGAGGTGGCAGCGCAGCACATGCGGGGCAGGCAGCAGCGCGCGCCGATGAACCGCCTGGACTCCCTGCAGCAGGTCCTGAACGTGCCCGCGTCGCAGCTCGAGAGGGAGTCGCCCGGGCCGCCGCCCGCGGGCACGCGCGGCCTCCCAGAGGACGCTGGCGGGCCAACCGACGCGGCGCCGCCCACGGGGTGGGCGAGCTCGGCGCTCTCCACGCCGCGCGACACGTCCGGGATGCTCGGGACGATCCGCGAGGCCAGCAACACGGGCCAGTTCGCCTCGCAGGGGCCGGAGCACGCGCGCAGGATGACCGACGCCGCCCTGCGTGGCGGCGAAGTGCAGGCGTGCAACTGGCGCATCGCGGTACGCGCTGCCCGCGCCCGCGCGCGCCCGCGCCCGCGCCGCGCACGCCCGGGCCGCGCATCGACCTCCGCGTGCGCCCCCGCGCCCCGCAGGTGATCACGGCGCAGGGAGAGGACTCTGGCACGCACCAGCGCGTGGTGCTCACCCTGCGGGACCGGCACGGGCGGATCCTGGGCGGGCAGCCGCAGGAGCTGATCGCGCACGGACCGCCGAACGACTTCGCGCCGGGCGCCACCACCGTGTTCCAGATCGTCGTGCCGGAAGGTGTGCGAGACTCCCCCCCCTGGCACCGCGCGAACGGCCGAGCGCCGCTCTTTCTCGCGCGCGGCCGAGCGGCAGTCCTCCGCCTGCGCGGTCCTCGCAGAGTTCGCCCTCGCGGGCCCGCTGTACGCGCTGGAGGTGGAGCTGAAGCCGCGGCGGCCGGGAGTCCCCCCCGGGACGTGGCACATGCAGAAGATCGAGATCATCGACGACGACAACGACCGGTGGTACGAGTTCCAGCTCTCGGACCGCTGGGACGGCGTGTTCGACACCGCGGTGCCGCGCGTGTGGACGTGCCCCGACCACCACGCCGGCAAGGCGCAGGACATTGCGCTGTCGGAGGGCGCGGAGCACCTCGACCCGCCGGGCACGGAGGCGCGCCGCGAGCCGAACATGGCGCCGGAGCCGTCCGTGCGCGCCGAGGGCGAGGCGCTCGAGGCCTGGGCGCGCTCGCAGCAGGCCGGGCGCGTGGTCACCGAGGCCGGCCTGCAGCTCGCGTCCCTGCGCGAGCGCTCCCCGCTCCTCTACGTCCAGCTCTGCCAGCTCTCCGTCCTCCCGGCCTCCTTCGACCGCCTCTCCGCCACGGACATCGCCGGCGCCTACGAGAGCACCTTTGAGCAGCTGCTGCTCCAAGGGTTTCTCACGTTCGACGCGCGCACCGAGCGCTGGGGGCTCTCCAAGGCGATTCCGCGGGCCGAGCTCGAGACCGCGGCCAGCGGCCTCGCCGTGCCGGGCGGCCTCACGCTGCACGACGTCGCCACGGGCGCGCTGGCGCAGCACTTTGCGCGCGTCATGCTCGGACTCACTGCGTGGTGCGCCCCCGCCCGCCCCGCGCGCGCGCCCGCCGCCCGCACCCCTCCGCCGCGCGCCCACTCGCCGTCCGCGCCGCGTCGCTCGCAGGTACGACTCGCGGCAGGCCCCGCAGGCGCTGGCCACCATCCGGCTGGAGACACACAACATCGTTGCGGCGCTCGCGGCGTGCGAGACGCACGCCGCGCTGATCTACCAGCTCGACGAGGAGCAGCGCGTGCTCGACGCCCGCAACGTCGGCCGCCCCGACCGCTTCAGCGGCCGGCCGGACTCGGTGACGGAGGTGTTCTCCAGCCCCGTCATCGTCGCGGCCGCGGTGCCGCTCTCCGCGCACATCCTCGTCGGGCGGATCCCGCAGGACCGCGTGGAGCGCGCGCTGAGCGCGCTGCTGCTCGCGTACGAGGACGGCGTGGTCGCGTCGCTGCGGGAGAACGGCATCGGCATCCGCGAGGGCGGCGGCGCGTTGTCGTCCGAGGTGATCGCGGCGGAGCTCTCGTCGCTGCGGTCGCACGCCGCGGAGCAGCACGGGCAGGACGCGCTGGCGTCGCCGCGGCAGGGCGGCGGCGGCGGCGTGCCGCTGGAGGACCTGTTTCGCGACAGCGGCGACGTGCTCGGGGTGGCGCGGTCGCGGCGGCTGGCGCACCTCGCGCGCCTGCTGCTCGCGTTCGCGGACGTGCGCATCGCGAACGGGCGCTTCGAGGACTCCCGCGTGCTGCTGAAGCACGCGATGGCGATCGTGACGGCGGTGCAGGGGCCGTCGTCGCGCGCCATGTCGAGCTGCTACGCGTCGAGCGCGCGCGGCGCGCGCCTGCAGGGGCACTTCATGGAGGCCGCGACGCTGCTCGCGCGCGCGAAGGCCGCGCTGGAGCTCGAGGGCGCGCTGGTGCAGGGCGCCGCGCCGTCGCTGCGCCTGCAGCACGCGTCCGTGGTGAACAGCCTCGCGGGCGTGCAGGCGCAGCTCGGGAAGCCGCAGGAGGCCGTGAAGCACTTCGAGGCCGCGCTCGAGACGCGCCGCGCGCTGCTCGGGGAGCGCCACCCGGACGTGGCCGCGTCGCTGGCCGACATGTCGCTGGCGCTGCAGGCGCTGGGGGAGATCGAGGAGGGCCGCGACCGGTCGTACGAGGCGCTGGCGATCATGGAGTCGGCGCTCGGTCCGCAGGGCGCCGCCCTGCTGCCCGTGCTGTGCAACCTCGGGGGCGCCGAAGAGGCGCTGGGGAACTTCGCCGCGGCCGAGACGTACCTGCAGCGCGCCGTGAAGATCGCGCGCAGCGGCGACAGCACGCGCGGCCTCGCGGGCGCGCTCACGAACCTCGCGCTGGTCCACGACGCGCAGGGGCACCCCGACCAGGCGCTGGCGGGGTACCAGGAGGCCCTGCGCGTGCAGGAGGAGGCGCTCGGCGACCAGCACCCCGCGCTGGCGCTCACGCTGTACAACATGGCCGCGATCCAGTGCGGGCGCGACCTCGCGGCGGCCGAGAAGCTCCTGCAGCGCGCGCGCGAGCTGCAGATCAGCGCGATGGGCCCCGTGCACCCGTCGCTGGCGACGACGCTCGCGGCGCTGGGGAGCGTGGCGGAGGCGCGCGGGGAGCAGGAGGCGGCGCTGGGGCTGTACCAGCAGTCGCTGGACATCCGGCGGCGCGCGTGCACGTCGGAGGCGTCGCGGCACCTGCTCGTGGCGTCGCTGGTGGACCTGGCGCGGTGCCAGCTGCAGCTCGGGGCGCGGCAGGCGCCCGAGGAGATGCTCGCGGAGGCGCTGCGGGAGGCGCGGGGCGCGGCGGTGTCGCCGCTGCTGATCGAGCGCTTGCTGGGGGTGGTGCAGGCCCTGGGGGACGCCGGGTGCGACGTGGGCGGGCTCGAGCAGACGGCGGCGGAGCTGCAGGCCGCGCTGCCGATGCCGGGGATAGAGACGATGTGACGCGCGCGTGACGGGTCAGGGGGGTGGCTTTGGTCCCGTCGGACGGTCTGGCGGGTGGTTGGGGTGACGATGCCTGGCGCGGAGTGGCGGGAGGGCGTGATCTCGCGCTCGGACGTGAGTTCTGGCCCGTGAGAATGATGCAGGCGGGATTGCAGTGCAGTGTGGCGGCTGCGCCGTGCGCGCGCGGCCGGTCCTTGTGCAGCACGCCCATGCGCGTGCGGGGGGCGCCGTGCGGCCGGCTAGAGGCGCGCAGGGCGGTCGTTGCCATGGCGGGGCGGAAGAAGGGGAAGAAGGCCGGCGGGGGCGGCGGCAATGCGGCCCCGAAGCTGCAGAAGGGCAAGCCGGTGAGGCGCGCAGTGCAGTGGACGATGCCCACACGTCGCTCCGGCGGCTCGCGCAGGGTAATGATCGCCGTGCGAACGTCGCCGCCGCTATGCAGGTTCGCGAGGGAGGCGCGTACAGCCAGGAGACGCGCGAGACGATCCTCGTGATGGACAAAATCACCAAGGTAGCCCCCAACGGGAAACAGATCCTCAAGGACGTCACGCTCGGGATGTACCTCGGGGCGAAAATCGGCATCCTGGGAAGGTGAGATCATGAAAAAGCGCTCAGGCGACACTGACGCGCGGCGCCTGCGCTGCGCTCCCGTTTCGCGCGACGTTCCCTGTGCCCCCTCATCGGCGCTGAACGCGTGGTTCCGCGCTTGCCCTGCAGCAACGGCGCGGGGAAATCCACGCTCATGCGCATCCTCGCCGGCCGCGACACCGCTTTCGAGGGCCGCCTCATCCTCAACGACGGCATCACCGTGGGCTTCCTGGAGCAAGAACCCGAGCTCAACGACGGCGAGCGACCCCTGGCGCCACGCACCGCCGCGTCCAGCCACGCTCAGATCATGCGCATCCCACGTGCGCGCGCGTCCGGCTCGCCGCCCCGCGGCCCCACCGCGCCCGCACCGCCCCCGCCCCGCAGGCGAGACAGTGGCCGAAAACATCGAGGCCGGCGTGGCGTCGGTCCGCAAGCTCCTCAAGGACTTCGAGGACGTCTCCGCGGAGATGGCCGACCCGGACGCGGACATCGACGCCCTCATGGGCCGCATGGACGCCCTGCAGGCCAAGATCGACGCGTGCAACGGGTGGGAGGTCGACCGCATGGTGGAGCGCGCGATGGACGCGCTGCGGTGCCCGCCGGGGGACGCGAAGGTCGACACGCTCAGCGGCGGCGAGCGGCGCCGCGTTGCGCTCGCGCGCGTGGTGCTGCAGAGTCCCGACATTCTTGTGCTGGACGAGCCGACCAACCACCTGGACGCGGAGAGCGTGGCGTGGCTGGAGAAGTTCCTCGCGCAGTTCCGCGGGACCGTCGTGGCCGTCACGCACGACCGCTACTTCCTCGACAACGTCGCCGGGTGCGTCGCGCAACCGCCGCCGTGCCTGCGTGCTCGCGGCGCCACGGCCGCGCGCGCGCCGAGGCCGCCCCGCGCGCCGGCCCGCGTCCTTGCAGGTGGATCCTCGAGCTCGACCGCGGCAAGGGCATTCCGTTCGAGGGCAACTACAGCGAGTGGCTGGAGGCGCGGGGCAAGCGCATGGCGCAGGAGGAGAAGGAGCAGTCGCTGCTGTCGAAGCAGATCAGCGCGGAGCTCGAGTTCGTCAACAGCACGCGCAAGGGGCAGCAGAAGAAGGGCAAGGACCGGCTGCGGCGGTACGACGACCTGCTGGAGCAGGCCAACGCGTACGTGCGCGCGGGGAAGATCAACGGGATCACCATCCCCGTCGGGCCGCGGCTCGGGAACGACGTGCTCGAGGTCAAGGGCGTGGCGAAGTCGTTCGGTGACCGCCTCCTGTACGACGAGCTCACGGCCACCATCCCGCCCGGCGCCGTCGTGGGCATCGTGGGCGCGAACGGCGCGGGCAAGTCCACGTTCTTCCGCATGGTCATGGGCGAGGAGAAGCCGGACGCCGGCGAGATCGCGCTCGGGCAGACCGTCGTGCCCATGTACGCCGAACAGGGCCGCGGGTCGCTCCTCCCGGACAAGACCGTGGCCGACGCCGTGGCCGACGGCGCCGACGAGGTGCGCGGCCCCGCGCGCGCAGCGACGCGCCGGTCGCATGCCGCGCAGACCCCCCCCCGCCGAGCGCCCTTGCTTGTTGTTTGTCTGTGGGTGCAGATCGAGCTGAACGGGCAGAAGGTGGCGGCGCGGGCGTACTGCTCGTGGTACAACTTCAAGGGCGCGGACCAGCAGAAGAAGGTCGGGGACCTGTCCGGCGGGGAGCGCAACCGGCTGCAGCTGGCGCGCGTCCTGCGTGAGAACGGCAACCTGCTGCTGCTCGACGAGCCCACGAACGACCTGGACGTCGACACGCTGCGCGCGCTCGAGGACGCGATCCTCGGGTTCCCCGGCACCACGCTGGTCATCTCGCACGACCGCTTCTTCCTCGACCGCGTGGCGACGCACATCCTGGCCTTCGAGGGCAACTCGGACGTGGTGTTCTACCAGGGCGGGTGGAACGACTACTGGGAGGACTACAAGGCGCGCACGGGCGCCAAGGACCCGGAGCGCATCAAGTTCCGCCGCCTCGCCAACGCGTGAGCGGTGTTCGGCGGCACGCGCTGTTTCGCGCAGGGAGAGCCCGCCGTGTGATGTACGGAGACCGCGAGGAGGCCGTGCCGGCCCGGGGAGCTGCGGTTGCGCGTGAGGCGCAGCCCGCGTTGTTCGCTGCTGTGGCTGTCAGGGTCCGGAGACCCCCCCTTTTGCATGCGCAACTGACCACAGAAGCAGCTGTCCGCTGCGGCTGCGGGCGGTGATGTGCGGCAACTTTGCCGCGCTGCGGCCAGATGGACCCGTATCATACGATCTGAGTCGGCAACCTCTCGCCCAACAGCCTGAGCTGCGCGCCTGATGGTCCTGGGGGCACACTGCAAGCTCGGCCCCCGCAGGACGCTCACGGCGTCGGGACAGCGCATCACGGGGCTCACCGCGCCCTTGACGAGCCACCGTACCTCCCCGTGCATGTCCGCGGCCGGTCGACGCGCTTCCGGGGGAGATGGAGCACAGGCAGGAGCAGACCGCAGGCTCGACGACGCCGCTGCGGTCCCAGGGTCGCTCTCGGGGCCTGATTTGTGGAGTAGAATCCGTGAGGTCCGCTTCCTGCCACGCAGGCCCTGGTTCCGTTCTCGCTCGCCCGACGCGAACCACTGCAGTGCGGCGGCGGCGCAGTGCGAGACACGGCGTCCGCTGCGCCACGGCTCTCGCTGCCGCAGGTCTACCAGACGGCACGGGACACGGGTGCGGCGTACAGCATAGACACCAAGCCCCGCGTCGTCGAGGACGGCGGCATCCCCTTCGTGGTGCGCGTGGCGGTTGCCCTCATGGACAAACCCAAGGCGCCGAAGAAACCCGACGGCGACGGGCCCCCGCCCAAGTTCGTCAACCCCTTCCTCCCGTACGACCCGGCCATGTGGGTGGCGCACCTGTCGGACTCGCACACGTGTCTCCTGAACAAGTTCAACGTGGTCGACCACCACCTGCTGGTCGTGACGCGCGAGTTCGAGTCCCAGGACGACCCGGTGGACGAGCGCGACGTCGACGCGACGCTCGCGGTCCTCGACGCGATGCCCGGCGGGGGCCTCGCGTTCTACAACCGGGGGGAGTTCAGCGGCCGGAGTCAGCCCCACAAGCACGTGCAGATCGTCCCGTGCCCCTTCCTCGAGGACGTGGCGCACGAGGTACGCGCCGGCATCTGCCCACCGCCCCTCGCGCGGACCCGCACGCAACACGTGGCATGAAAAGGGCTCTTCCCATGACACCCCCTCCCCGCATGTCTGCGCACAGCGACGACGAGAGCGGCTCCGAGTCCGCTGCCTGCAGGCTCCGATCGACGGCGTCGTCACCAGCGCGATCGCCGGTGCGCGAGGAGTCGTGGAGCTGCGTGCGCTGCCGTACCAGGGGTTCGCCATGGGCCCGCCGCTCGGGGGCTCGTTCGCGTCCGCGGCTGAGGCGGCGGCGGCGTGCGCGGAGGTCGCGGGCGCGGCGCAGGCCGCGGGGGCCGCGGGGTCGTACAACCTGCTGCTGTGCCGGCGGTGGGCGGCGGCGTTCCCGCGGAGCGCGGAGGGGAGCGACCCGGTGTCGGTCAACTCGCTCGGGTACGCGGGGACGATGCTGGTGCGGTCCGTGCAGGAGATGGACCACCTGACGTCCGTGGGGCCGGTCCGGGTGCTGCGCGATGCAGGCGTGCCGTGGTGACACCACGCGCGCCGCACGCTCTCTCTCTCCGCACGGAGCAGCCGTGGCGGAGCAGCCGTAGCTGCGCTGCGCGAGTCACATCTACAGGCGGCCCGTTTCGAGGGCGTAGTACACGTCGGTGCGTGTGATGATTCCTACCAGGCTGATTTCGCCGGTCTTCGCGTTCGACTTGACCACGGGCAGGCGGTGGACCTTGTACTTGAGCATCATCGCCGCCGCCTCCGCCACGGTGTTGTTCGGCCGGCACACCTGCGCCTCGAGGGGGGCCGCGGGAAGTGGTGTCACCGGCAGCGTCCTCCCTGACAGCGGGGCGTCGCGCTGGCCGCCGGACCGCACCGCGCGGCAGCTCTCGCGCGCGGCGACCGGCGGTGCGCGCGGGGCGGGCGCGCACCTTGATGCGGCGCGACATCAGGTCCTCGACGCGCGTCTCGGCGTCAACGGCGCGCGTCTCGATGTCCGTCTTGGAGATGACGCCGACCATGGCGCCGGCTGCGTCCAGCACGGGCATGCCGGTGACCTGCGGGGGCGGGCGCGGGGGCCTCGTCGCTGGTGGGTGGCGTCGTCGCTGGTTGGCGCGGGCGGTTGGGCGGGGGTGGCGCGCGGCGGATCCTGGCGGCGCGGCTGGTCGCTCCGGCGGCGCGCGCGCCGAGATCATGCACTGGGCAAGGCGTGCGCACCTGTGTGAGATCGAGTTCACTCACGAGCTGGTCAGGGCGGGCGGTGACCACTGCCGTGGGCATCACGTCGCGCACGAGCAGCGGGACGTAGGGGGCCGGAGCGGACTCGTCGTCGTCGAAGTCCTCGTCCTCCTGCGACGAGCAGCGGCGCGCGTATCATGGGGAACGACGGACGGACGCCGCGATGCGGGGCGCGGTGCAGGCAGGTAGGGCACGGAAACTCGTGCTCCAGCAGCGCGGCGAAGCGTCCCCGAGCGCTCCCTCTGCGTCCGGCGTGCTTCGTGATGATGAAGCCGGTTCGGGGTCGCGCCGCCTGGCAGTGAACGAAGCGGCGACCGCAGGAGAGAGCTCGCTGTGCTAGGGTCGCGCGTGCGTCGCGCCGCCGGCCGAGCACGGCGAGAAGGGCGTCCGCACCTCGTAGGAAGCTAGGGAGAGGTTCGAGGGCCACGCGCGAGGGTCCTCTTCGACGGCGCGGCGCCGCACGCTGCGCTGTTGGCGCCAGCTAGCGCCCACCCGCGCCACCGCATGCGCCGCAACGGGGCCGGGCGGCGCCCGCCCTGTCCGTGCACGGCTCTGCGCGCGTCCAACCGGGCGCAGCTCGCGCCCCGCGGCGCGTGCGGCCATCGCAGGCGTCGGTTGGTTGGCGCGGTCCCACACGTGGCCGAACGAGGGAGATGCGCGCTCGATTCCGGCCCGAGCCTGAAATCTGCACCGCGATTCCCGGCACTGGCGCTGCTCCGCGCGCCGCCTCGCCTTCAGGGCCTGCAGCGGCGCGTCGGTGAGTGACACTCCCGCCGGAGAGTGCGCCGGGCACGCCCAGTGCGCCGCGGGACGCCGGGAGCGGTGCGAACTGGGATCGATGCGTGCGGGGAAACATGAACCGTCCACGAGCGGGCCCGTCCTGCGTCGGTCGCGCCTTGGCGTTGCGCGATGGCGGCGAAAGCGAGCCGGGTGGTCTTTAAGCGGTTTCACCCACCGGTGGAACTGCGCCGTAGAGCCGGCTCCGAGGGGCGCCGGCGCGCCACGGGCGAGGCAGTATCGATTTCAACGACTAGTTCATCATAGGCTGACCAGGAGTAGGGAGCACGCGACAGAGAGTCGAGGCTGGTTGGTGGAGCTAAGTAGCTTTGTGCCTCGAGAGGGGGCGCTGGGGAGCCGGTCCGGGGCCACAGCCATGGACTACCCAATGGGCGATTCGATGGCCATCAGGCCGGCGGGCGTGGCTGCGTTCCCGGGGTGCGGGAGCGGGCCGGTTTACCAAGCGTCGGCCCGGCCCGCGGCATCCGCGTCGCTTGAGGCGTTTCCTGCGCGCGGGGACCGCCTGCAGAAGCTGACTGATCGCACGGCGGCGAAGGAATCGCTGTATGCCCTCGGGGAGGCGGGTGACAACCTGCAGGGCGTGGCGGGCAAGGGCATCGAGCACGGCGATAATCTCCTCATGCCGCTGGGGAGCGCGTTCGCGGAGGCGTTCGCTGCTGACCAAAAAGACGTCAGAATCTTCGCTCCGCCCGACGGCGCCGTGTTCGGGGCGGTCGACGGGACCGCGGGCCCGGGCGCGCTGAGCCTCTGCACCGGCGCGGGGGCCGAGCAGATGGCCGCCGACGCTGAGAGCCCGGCGTCGATATCCGAGAACCACGAGATGATGGACATCGACGAGGCGGTCGCCGTGGACGCCCAGGACGCTCGCAAGCCGCGTCAGAAGGGTGGCAGGAAAACACCAGGTAATGGCCCGCCGTGCGAGGTTCTCCGGCGTTGACTGGCAGCGCCAAGGCCGTCCCTCGCGCAGTGAAGCCGGTTCCGCGACGAGTTGACGCTCGGCGGCCCGGCTAGGGCGCCCGTTCGGACGGTTGCGTGACGCGCACTTCACCTCCTTCGAAAAGGCCCGTCCGGGCAATATAGCCGCGATCGGGCGAGGGGGCCGCGCGTTGCTCCATTCATGCGAGGCGGGGCGACCACCTAGGAGCCGCGGGCGCGCCCCGCGGCGCCGCACGCACAGGGCCGCTTACCAACCTCGCCTCGACAGGCCACGTCGTCGCAGGCTCAGGCGGCAAGGGACGCAAGGGAACCGCCCTCTCACGCAAAGCTGCACCGAGCGCGCTGGTGCTCCCCCGCAGTCCGGCCCTCCCCAACGTGGCCTCCTCCGCCCCAGGCACTCCAGCGGAGAAGGCCCTCGCCGGGCACGCCTCGCTCGTCGAGGCGGCCCCGCACCACAACGACATCGACGACATGACCTCCGGCTTCGGTGCGCGCCCGCCCCCCGCGCCCCACGCCCCCCGCGCGCCGCCCCCGCCGCCCAACTTCCTGCCTGCGCCACCCGCCCGCCGACCCTCCACCCGCGCCCCGCACGCGCCGGGCCCCGCGCGCGCGCCCCCGCCGCCCGCACGCGCCAGCCCTCCCCGCGCTCCGCGCAGCCGCGGACCGCCCCGCCGCGCCCGCCGGCCTCCCGCGCCGAAAGCGACTTTGCGCAGCGACCTTTTCGCGACGGCCACCATGCGGCCCTAGCCCGACCGCGCCTTCCCGCCCGGACGCCCCGCGCAGGCGAGCCCGTGACCTTGGACTTCCTCAACGAGCCGCTGGGGGCGCACAGCGAGCACGGCGCGTTCGCCACCGCCGCGGATGGCCCCCCGCGCAAGCGCCACCACCACTCGCTGCTGCTGGGGTACTCGGACGCCGCGCGCGACGACTCCGCGCGCCACCCGACCGTCTCCGGGCCGGCCTCGCTCATGATCCGGTCGCCGTCGCCGCGCGAGAACCCCGCGGCGGGCCACGTGGTGGACCTGTGGCGGCTGCACGGGAAGCAGGAGACCTCCGCGGCCGCCGCCGCCGTGCCCGCGCCCGCCGCGTCCATGCCCGCGGGGACCGCCGCGGCGCCGCGCGTGCGCGCCAGCCACCGCCGCGTCCTCGGCGCGGCGTCGGCGGGCACGACGCCAGCCAGCCACCGCGAGGCGACCGCGCGCGGCGCCGCACGCGCCGCGCCGCGCAGGGCGTGCGGTCGCTCGTCGCGCAGCTCAACTCGGCCGCGCCGGGCACCGCGCGCACCGACAGCGCGGCGTCCTCGGGCGCGGGGGGCGCGGACAGCGCCGCCGTGGGGCCCAGCGCACCCGCGGCCGCGGCGCCCGCGCGCCCGCGCCGGCGACGGCGGCGCCGGCGACGCACGTGGGCGTCGGCACGCGCAGCAAGCCCGCGACGCGGCTGGCGGTGCGCGGCGCGGCGCTGAACGGCACCGCCGCGGCGCCGCCCCCCTGGAGCCCATCGCGCCGCCCGCGCAGGCCAGCGCCGACGTGCGGCGCAAGGCGGTGTGCCACAACTGCGGCGCCACGTCGACGCCGCAGTGGCGCTGCGGCCCGGACGGCCCGCGCACGCTGTGCAACGCCTGCGGCGTACGGTTCAAGAAGGGACTCCCCCTCGACAAGTACCCCAACGTGCGCAACGTACGCCAGTGGTCCGTCTCGCGGCGCTGAGCGCGACCGCGCGCGCGCGCGGCAGCCCGGCGCCCTCCGTGGGGCGGCGGTGCCCTCGCTGCGCGCGCGACGCGTGCGGGTGTGTGGGTGCGCAGCGTGTGTCGCCGATGCGCGGCCCGCGCGTCGCGGCATTCCGGCTCCTTTTTAACCACGACGGCGCAATGGCGCGCCTCCACCACCCCCCTGCACACACCCCCCCTCCCCGAGTGATTCGTTTGATCGAAACAGGCACTCCCCCCCCCCACAGTTCCGCCTCTAGACATTCGTTTCGCACTCTTCCATGCCGGCGCGACAGCAGGTCCGCTCTCCGCCCGCGCGCACTGCGCGCCTCACGAGAGTGCCCAGCAGCGCTCGCGAGGAGGACTGCAGTCCCCACCCTCCTCGTTACACCCCACCCGTCCCTGCGTCGTCCGCGAACGCGCCGCCCTGACGCCGCTTCCCTCCAGGAGGCGTGCATTCGCGCCAGCACGGCCCCGCCGCACACAGACCGACCGACCCCCCCACTCCCCCCCAATGTCCCCCCCTCCCCCGGCTTTGCGCCCTCCCCCTGCCTGCCTGTCTCCCCGTGTCTAGAGAGACTGGGACGTGCACGATGTGTCGCCTTGCGCACGGCCTTGCGTTTACGACTTCGGGCACTGCTCTGTTCAAGTCGCCAAGACGTATACATCTCTCCCCCCCTAACAGTGACCGCCCGAACCACCCACGTGCGCCGGGCCGCCCCAAAACGCCCCCTCCCCTGCCTACCCGGCTCAGTTCAGAACGCACCGGCTCAAGCCTCGGGGCTCCTCACGGTGACAGGGCCCCCCGCCCAGCCCAGCGCCAACACGCCGCAAGCGTGCGCCGGGCACGCGCGGGGCCCCTCATGTGAACAGCGCCTCGAGCAGCAGACCGCAGTCACGCGCAGTCGACCCGCCGCGCTCGTTGCCCACTGAGGCCGCGAACCGCGTCATCTACGCGTCTGTCTGCGTCACCGACGGCGCCGGGGGGCCGCCGCGCACGCCCCGCCCGTCGAGCTCGCGTGCGACGGCGCCTGGAGCCGCGCCACCGCCGTTGTGGGTTTCGGATGTCGTCACAGTCTGGGTGCTTGGACAGGTGTGCTATGCAGGTGCCACCGTCTACTCGTCCTCGCCGCCCGGGAACTGCGCCACGGGCTCACCCGCCGCGACCACGTCCTCGTACTTGCGCTTGTACTCCGCCGGCGGCACGCCTGCGCGCGAACACAGCGCAGTGCACGACGCTCAGCAACAGGCGCGGGGAGCCCCGCGCCGCTCGCTCCCGGGCGCCGAGCAGGCAGCGCGCAGGACAAGAGGAGCGGGGCAGCCTCACCGGTGTAGATGGGGTTGCGCGCCACGACGACGTCGGGGTTGGACACGAAGCGGGCGTTGCGGCCCGCAGCCGTCTGGGCCGCGACAGCCTCGGGCGTGGCCGTCTCCGGCCGCTCCCAGCCGTTGATATTGCGGATGAAGACCAAGTCGTAGAACAGGTACGTCGCGCCGAAGCCGAACGCGAAGTAAGGGAGCATGTACCTGCGGGTGGCGAAGGAGGGCGGCCTGGTTGGGCTGCTGCTGGCGCTAGACCGCCCACGGCGCGGTGCGGCAGATGTGTGGTGTGTCAGGGAGGGCCGCGAAGGGCGTTGCGACGCGGTGCGAGGTTGACCGAGGCAGGACCCTGCCAGGCTGTTGCAGTGCAGCTCCCCAGAGCCTCCACCCTGCTGTTCCGGCTAGAGAGCGGGTGCGCCAGCGCCCGGTGGCCCTCGTAGGATACCAGAGGATACGGCGGGGAGCGTTGCGGCCTCCAAGGCGCCCTAAGGGCCACGGGGACGGGCAGCTGCTGCACTTCCTCCTGGGTGCGTCTCAGAAGCGAGGCAGGAGGCAGGCAGCGCGCGGAGTGCGATGTTGCGAAAGTCTTCTACGTGCCCGTGCGCGGAGACGCGTCGGGGGAGCGCGGGGAGGCGCCCGCGCGCATCGGCTGTCCTACGAGCCAGCGTTGTCGCGCTCATCGTCGCCCACGCGGCGGTTCGCGCACACCAACCCCATCAGGTCATTTCCAGCAAGCAGGTCGCCCGGAGCCCGTGTCGGGCTGACTCACTTGAAGGGCACGAGTCCGTTGCATCCAGGCCTCCTGCAGGTGGTGCTTCGCGGGGTGAGCGGCTCAGAACGGGCCGGAAACGCACCCAGCTCGTCGCGTGCATGTCGGTCCGGGGCGCCGGTACGCTGGATTCGGCCCAGGGACGCGGGAAAGCGGCCCCACACCGGCGAACAGCAGCGTGCACGTCCCGGGCGAGCTCGTACCAGCGCAGCGCCGCCACGTCGTTCGAGCCCATGCCGCCGCCCTTCCATATCTGCGCGGCAGGGTGCCACGTGCTGGGCTTCCACCAGCACTCCTTGGACGCGTCCCAAGCCCCAGTCATGATGCCACGAGCCCGCCTAGCGCAGTGTCGCCCTGGCCGCTGCGTGCCGCACCTCTACCACGACGTCAACTGCCGCGACGTGTGCCCGCTGGCGCCGCGCGGGCTGGCCCAAGTCGCCCGGCTGGTGGAAAAGCGCACTCCCCAACCAACCTGGGAGGGTCCACTCCCTGCCTACCCGTCATCGTTCAGCGGCCTCGCGAGCGACTTGGCCGCGCCCCGCCGACCGGCGTGCCCACACGCGCTCGACCCCGAGGCAGACCTGGCGGGTCGGCATGGCGCGGCGGGTCTCGCTGGTGACACTGCACCACGCTCTCGCGCCGCGCGGTGGCAGCGACGTCCCGAACGGGATGGACCGGGGATAGGCTGGAGTGAACGTCCGTCTCTGGCGACGCGAGGACGCGCGTCCCAGCATGGTGTCGTTCGCACAGAGGCTCCTGAACCTGGGTCTGTTCCTCGCGGGGTGGCTCCCCGCCGCGTGGGTGACGCAGGTGGCGCTGGATGCCGCGAAACAGGGCACATGCGACTCGCTCTTCGGACCGCCCTGGCTGAAGCAGCAGGCGTGCAGGTACGGCGATGGTGCTCGCTGCATCTCGACGGATGGGTAGTCATCAGCGCACGCCCCCTGCTGTCAGAATGACAGGCTGCGCGCGGCCCCTGTCAGTCCTGACCGGCGTTTCCGGGCGGTCTCCGTCACGCGGCCCGGCCGGCCGCGCCCCGTTCCCGCACGGCGCCACCAGTCCTGGCCGATGTTGCGCGCCGCGACCTGGTTCGCAGGATTTGTGCGGAGGACCCCATGATCTGGATCTGCACGATGATCTTCGCCAACTACGTCGTGCTGTACTGGGCCGTGGGCGCGGTGCAGCGCTCGACGTGGCTCATGGAGGCACACTGGTGCCTGGGCCCGCTGCTGACGGTCGCGTACCTCCGGATGTTCCCCAGCGACCAGGTGCGCGCCACGCGACGCCGCACGCCCCAGCCTGCTTCCAAGCGCGCCCACGCGTCTCCTCACGTGGCGCGCCCACGCGTCTCCTCACGTGGCGCGCCACGCGACGTCCACAGGAGCCCGTGCCCGGCGCACCGCTTCGACAGCCGCCGCTGTCCACGCGAGCGTTCTTCGTGGACACCATCCTCTGGACATGGGCGGCCCGGCTCACGCACAACTACCTCCGCCGCGAGCAGTACGACCTCGGCGCGCGCGAGGACTGGCGCTTTGCCAACGTGCACCACGCCATCAGCGCCGCGGTGGCGTCGGCGTGCGGCCGCCTGCGCAGACGCCTGCTCGCGAGCGGCCTCCCGCGCGCCCTGCGCGCCGTCGTGAACCGCGCCACGTGGGCCGCCGCGCGCCTGCTGTCGTCGCGCGCCACCGTGTCCTTCTGGGTGTCCTACCTTCCGCACCTGCCGCTCGTGGCCGCGCTGTGCCTCCCCATCGTCCCGCTGCACTTCTCCGCCGTCCAGCCGCCCGCGTGGACGCGCGTCGACACCGCCGCGGCCGCGGTGTGCAGCACCGGCCTGCTGCTGGCGTGGGTGGCCGACGACGCGCTCCACCGCTTCGTGGCCGCGAACAAGAGGACGGTGGCGCGCGGCGAGGGTGCGCTCGACGAGTACATCCTGAGCACGGGCGTGTGGTCGCTGTGTCGCCACCCCAACCACCTCGGCGAGCAGGTGTTCTGGTGGGGCGTGGCGGCGTGGGGCGCGTACGCGAACGCGTCGTGGTGGCCGCTGGCCGGCGCGGCGCTGAACTCGCTCCTCATGGCGAAGGTGTCGAGCATGGTGGAGGAGAGGATGCGCGCTGGGCCGCGCGCGGCGCTGTTCGCTGCGTACGCGGCACACGTGCCGTGCGTCGTGCCCTCGCCGCTGCACCTCCTGCGGTGGCTGAGCGGGCACGTCCGCCCGCGCGAGTCGATCCGCCGCGCGCTCACCGAGCAGCGCGAGAAGCTGCGCGACGACCTCCACGGCGCCGAGCCCAGCGGCTGGGAGGAGGCATCGCGGCATCCGGGACAGGTGGTGTTCGAGGTGAGTTCGCACGCCGCCGCCCTCGAGCGGGGACGCCTCGAACGCTTGGCCGCGGGTCACGCGCACCCGACAGCATCATGCCATCGCGGTGTGCAGGGGGGGGAGTCGGTGTCGAGCCAGGACGACTACTACATGTCGCTGGCGGTGCACAGCGCCCGCGCGGGCCTCCGGGCGGGCCACGGCGGTCCGTTCGGCGCGTGCGTCGTCGACGCTGCGGGGGAGGTGCTGGCGGTGGCGCACAACAGCGTCCTGCGGGACGGCGACCCGACGTGCCACGCGGAGATCGAGGCGGTGCGGCGGGCGTGCCGGACGCAGGGGCGCACGGCGACGCGCGGCGCCGTGCTGTACTCGACGGCCGAGCCGTGCCCCATGTGCATGGCTGCCATCTGCTGGGCGGGAGTCAAGGTGAGCGCCACCGCACGCAACCGCGCTGCGCCCTCGGCGCCCGGCGCACGCGCTGAGCGGCCGCATGGCGCCGCCGCCGTGCGCTGCAGGAGGTGGTGTTCGGCGTGGACCGCCACGTGGCGGGCGCGGGGGGCTTCCCGTCGGACTGGCTGTACGAGGAGCTCGCGCTGCCCGCAGACCAGCGGCGGGTGCCCGCGCGGGGGGGCACGCTGCACGCGTCCTGCGCCGAGCTCTTCGACGAGTGGCAGCGCGGCAGCCACACGCGGTACGTGTAGCAGCGACGCCGACACTCCCCCGGAGCTGTAATCGCACGCTGCCCTCACTGCCGACGCTCCAGCCTGCGCGGTGCAGCTCACGGGGCGCCACGCGCCTCCCCTCGGCTCGCCCTTCGTGACTCGAGCGACGCGCCATCACCGGGCGGCATGTACGCTCACAGCAGCCGCGTCGTCCTGCGCGACGCGGCACGGCGCGCGCGTCCGCCTGCCCCCCGCGCCCGCGCGCTCACCCGTGCTGCTTGGCCCGCCGGCGCGCGTTCGCGTGCACGGGTCCGCCGTACAGCTCCGCGCAGCGCCCCTCGAACGCAGCCATCATGCGCCGCACCACCTCGTCGAAGAACACGTGCGCGAGCTGCGCGTGCAGCGGCGACGCGAACGAGAAGTCCACTTCGAACGACAGCCACGCCGTCCCCGGCCGCGGGCCCGGCAGCATCCGCCACGTCGAGTCGAGGTGGTGGAACAGCGCCGAGTCGACCACGCGGGACTTGACCGCGCGCCCCTCCTCGAGCTCGACCTGCGGCGGGATCGTTGCGCGCGGCGGCGGGTCGCGGGCGCGCGCGGGCGGGGCGTGTGTGCGCATGCGTGGGAGGCGCCGTGCGGCGCGGGACCGCACCCGCGAGGTGTAGCGTTCGCTGAGCATTTGGAAGCCGACTTCGAGCTCGGCGAGCATGACGTTTTCCCCCTCGTTCCCCACGACCTTGGACCCCACGCACCACGGAACAAAGCTGCTGTACTTCGGGACGTCCGACACGACGCTGTAGAGCTGGTCCGGCGAGTAACTGCGGAACAGGGCGACGCGGAGAGGTCGGTCGGGGCGGACGCGACGCTCGCAGCGCGCTGCGGGCCACGCCGGCGACGCGCGCACGCGTCGTGCTGGTGCGGAGCGACCGTGGCCGTAGTCGTCGGCGAGCGCGCGGCGAGACGTTGCGCGCGCGCAGCGGCGGCGCTGGGGCCGAGGGGATGGCGCTGCGGGCGGCGCACGGGCCGCGCCGAGGGCGCGCGCGGCCTGGAGGCGTCTTAGGGCTGGTGGTCTTGGCAGGTGGGCAGGCGGCGGGCGACGGCGGCGCAGGGCCTTGGAGGGGCGCTCACTGCAGCAGCTTGCGTTCGTGGTACTTCTTGGAGTCCCTGGCGGATCCGAAAAAGCCCCTGTTGCCATATTCCGCTCGCTGCGCGGGCGAGGTGGTCTGGGTGTGAGCCAACAGCCCGTTCCTGCCGCCCGCGGACGACACGCGCGCCAGGCGACCTAGCGTCGTCGGAGCCATACAGGTGTGGAGGTGGCACGCGCGCCGCGCGCCGACCTCGGCCGCTGCAGCCGACGCCGCCGCGCCCTGGCTGCCCGCTGTTGGAGGCATAAGCGACCGCAGTGCCCGCGCGACCCGCTGCGCGCGCGCGCTGCTCATGGCGCCTCGGCCCGCAGACAACGAAGCCGCCTCCCGCGCCGCGTCCTAGGTGTCACGCCCAGCGCAGGTGCGCCAGGCCGCGGGGAGATCCCGCGAGCGCCAGATCAAACCCGCCGTGTCGCCAATTCAGACAATCGCGGCGAGAGGACGTCGGAGCGATACCACGTGCTGCGGCGCAAAGTGCACGGCGGCACGGGACGCGCCGCACACTGTGGGCGGGACCGTCGGGCGTGGCAGGCGCGGAGCCCTCAACTGCTGGTCTTACCCGGCGGGGCGGGGGGGAATAGAATGGACGGCGACAGGCGGAACGCACCGCCCTGCCGCCGGAGATCGAGGTCGGGTCTGGTGACGCGGGCGCCGAGCGCTGCATTGTCGGGGGCGGTGAGTGCTCGGGGCTGGGGGTTGAGCGGTGGAGTACTATTGCTGGGCAGCGCCCCTGCCCGTCTTGAGCGTCGCCCGGCGAGGAGACTGTCGAGAACGACTCCGCACGCAACTGAAGTGCCCGTCTGTGCCATAAGTCGAATCCACCCGCTCGCCGGTTGGTTAGCGGCCTGTGCAGACAGCTGGGCCTTGGCGAGCGTGTGGTGCTGGCGGGGGCACAGCTCCACGTGACCGTCGACCCGATGGGCCCCCTCGCGTGAGGCCACGTGCTCGGCGCCGCGCCGGCCATGGCCTCTGCCGCTGGCGAGAGCCCGCTGCCGACGCTCACGGAATGCATCGTGGTCGGAGGGGTTCTCTTCCTGGCCACGAGGGGGCTGTGGTGGCTGTACGGGCGCGTGAGCGGTGGCCACGGAGGGGACGGCTCGTGGTCGGGACGGCCGCACAGACTCGGGGGTGCGGGCGCTCGGGACGGCGCCCAGGGGCGGGGCGCGGGCGGCGCAGCGGGGCGCGACGACGACGCGGACAGGCGGATACGGATCCTCAGGGGCTCGTACGCTAGGGAATCATCGGCTCTCCGACGACTGCCGCGCAAGGTGCGCGAGGACGCGCGTAGAGCGCAGCAACACGTGCTGACGCCCACTTCCACGCAGCCATGTGTGTGGACGACCGCTGTGCCGCGCACGCGAACCGCAGGTGACTGCGGCGCTGCGGACGCTCGCGCGGGGCTTCTTCCGCGCGTCACACGCGGTGAGCTGCAACGGCGCCGTCGGGTCTCTCGTCGCTTTGAACGTTGTTGTCTTCCTCATGTGGCAGTCCGCCGGCAAGGGCCGCACGCCCTGGGGGCCGTACGACCGCCACTCCGGCCTGCAGATCGACCGCGCAGACATGCACCGCCACTTCACAGGTGCGCCCGTCGATGACGCGCGATGCGCACGCCCTCCGCAGCGCCGCAGCGCCGTCACGGACGCCCGCCCCCCTCGTCGGTAGCGCAGTGTCGGTGCGCAACCAGGAGAGCGGGCGGTGGTGGTCCCTCGTCGGCGCCGCGTTCAGCCACCAGGAGCGCTTCCACCTCCTGGCGAACATGGCGTCGCTCGTCACGGTGGCCCGGTCCGTCGACGCCGAGGTGGGCAGCGGCGCGCTGCTCGCCGCGTACCTCGTCTGCGGGGTCGTCGGGAACCAGGCGTGGCTGGCCTGGGAAAGGTGCGGTGCCCGCCTGCGCAAGGTCTGACCGGCCCCTGACGCGGGTGCCTTCACGTGTGCCCGGGCAGTGTCTGTTAGAGCTCCGCGCCGACCCGCACGCTCATCTCACGCATCCATGGTGTGTGTGCCTGTCGCGTGCAGGGGGTCGCGACTTGGTGCCAACAGCGGCGGGGGCGTGGTGGGCGACATGTGGAGGGCGTTCGACCTGCCGGGCGACGCACCTGGCTTCCTCAAGAGGTGGTTCGGACCGTCGATCGCGTCGCTGCGGTACGCGCTCGGTGCGTCGGGCGCGGTGGAGGGCCTCCTGGCCATGCTGACGGTCCTGCGCCCGCTGGCGCCGCTGTCGCTGAGCGTGTCCGGCGTGCCCACGCCCCCGATGCCCGCCGTCGTCGGCACGCTCCTGCACCTGCTGTTCGAGGTGTCCTACATGGTGGACGAGCCGGGCAGTGGGGTGGGGCACTCGGCCCACGTGGGCGGCGGAGTCCTGGGCCTCGCGCTGGGCCTGCTCCTGCGCGGGGCGAAGGGCGTCGCCGGCGCGTGACGTCGTGGGGCACAAGCGGCGCGGCACGACGTGCCGGGCCGACTGATAGGTCACACAGTGCTCGTTCACTGTTGCTGCGCACTGACGCGACCAGGTGGTCCTTTCCGGGAAGTGTTCCGGGTCACACACACACATACTAAGGCAGGGCTCGCGGTCGACGTCACGCTGGCACGGGCCCGGCACGTCTGGCCGGGCCCCTCGGCCGCAGACCGCGTTTGTAAAAAAATGACTGCACTGAGCGCGCGGGGGCCTACTTCGGCAGGCGCAGGATCGCGCCGCCCTGGCTGGGCTTGGTGCCGAACACGCACTTGCCCAGGTCCTCGGCCTTGACCACGCCCGCCTCCACGCGCTTGGCGTAGTACTGTTTTTCCACCGCGGCGATGAAGTCCTCCACCTGCGCGTCCGTCACGAGCGACACCGTGCAGCCGCCCCACCCGGCGCCCGTCAGCCGGCTCCCGAGCGCGCCGTTCGCCTTGCAGACCGCCACCAGCTCGTCCAGCTCCGGACACGAGCACTGGTACAGGTCGCGGCACGACGTCTGCGAGGCGTCCATCAGCGCGCCGAGCTCCGCCATCGCCGCGGCAGGCTCGCGCGGGGTCTTGCACACCCCGCGGAACTCCAGCACGCGCGCGGCCTCCTCGTACACCTGCCCAGAAACAGAGAGGGGGGTGTTGTGTTGTGCGTGGCGCGGTGCGGAGGTAGCGGTCGCTCGACGGCGCGTGCTCGTGCGCCCGCTGCGGGCGAGCCGGTGCCGGGGACGGGGTCGCACGTGGCGCGCGCGCTGCTGCAGGGCAAACCCGCCGGTGTTGGTCGCGGCCTGGAGGACGCGCAGGCTGTTGTCGTTCCCGGAGAAGAGCGTCGCGAGCTTCATCCCGATGATGTCCTCCACCTCCTGCTGCGTGTAGAGCGCCTCGTGCAGCTTCTCGCCCGCCATCTTCGCCGCCGCCTTGAGCACAGCGAGCTTCGCCTCGTCGCCCGCGGGCTGCTGGTCGAGCTGCGCCTGCACGAGGGGCTCGAGCTCGACGAGCGTCTTCATCTTCACCGCGTCCGCCGGGGCCACGCCGAGCGCGATGGCCAGGCACGCCGTCGCCAGCCGGCACTCGACGACGCGCATGTTGTACCTGCGCGCACCCGCCCGAACGCACGCACGCTCGCACGTTTCACGCGAGCACCGACGCGCGACCGGGGCCACGGCGCCCCGCCGGCGCGCGCCTGCAAGGAGACGCAACGGCACTCGCGGCGGGGCGGGCGCACCTGTACGGCGCGGTCTCGGCCTTGGCGCTGACGGCGAGGGAGTTGGCGATGACGAAGGTCGCGCCCTCCCCGAGCGGGCAGTCGGTGCCGCGCACGGGGTTGAATTCGATCATCATGGCCACCCCGGGGCGCCCCATGATGGAGATGGCCTGGTCCATGCCGCCGGACTCGGTGCCGACGAGGCGCTCCGTGGTGCACGTGAACTCGGCGACCTCGCGCTTCGTGAGCTGGATGCCGTGCACGCCGAGGATGGCCATGGACGCCGCGCACACAAAGGCCGAGGACGACGAGAGGCCCGAGCCCGTGGGGACCTGGCCGTGGCACATGACCTGCAGCCCGACGGGCTCCGGGACGGGCATGCCGCGGGCCTCGAGGTGCGCGTACACGCCCTTGTACGCGGCGAGGAAGTAGTTGCCCCACGTGTGCTTGCCCACGTCGACGGGCTGCGCGGGGTCGGTCGGGAACTTGTTGTCCTCGTACTTCTCGTCCAGGTTCGCGAGGTGCAGGCAGTCGCCGCCCCTGCGGGCGCGGGCGGAGCGCGGGCGACGGGAGGGTGGGGGCAGGCGCGGGGGCGCGGGGAATCGCGCGCGCGCGGGTGCTGTGGGAGATCGGGCCTCGCGGCGGGAGTCGCGGACTCGGAGGCGGAGTGCGCGAGGCGTGCGCGGCGGGGGAGGGCCGTGGGTGCAGGCCGCGGGCGCGCGCGCGGTGGCGTGGTAGGGAGGGGGGAAGCCGGCTCACTTGCGGATAGCGAACACCGTGTCCTGCTTGATGGCCATGGGGAGGACGGCGTAGCCTTCGTAGTCGATGTGCTCGCCGATCAGGTTGACGCGGCCTGCAGAACGTGGCGCTGGCGGAGCAGTTAGGTTGCCAAGGGGTGCGGTGCACGCTGCGCGTCCGAAACGGCCGAGGCAGTGCGCCTACGGCCTTCCTCGTGCAGTGGGGAGCATCGCACGCAGGTGGATCGCAGTGACACGCGAAGTCGGGGCCGCTGCACGGCCATCAAGGCCCAGGCAGGGCAACAGCGCTCCCGCCCGGCGCAGGACGCGGGCCGGCGAGCCGCGGCGTCGGCAGGACTGCGGGGCGGCTGCTCACCCGGGCTGCGCGCGAAGACGTCCGGGCCGGCCCCGAACTTGCGCACGAACGACTCGTTCAACAGCTGGTACCGCTCCTGCGCGGCCTCCTTCCCGGCGGCGCCGTAGACCGACCCGAGGTCCGTGAACTCCGAAATAGTGTCGCTCATCTTGTCTCCGTGCAGCGAGTGCCGCGGCGCCCCGCGCGGGCGCGGCTACGGCGCTGCGAGCGCCACTGCTAGGACCGGCTCCTGACCCCCCTCAACCGCCCGCCCAGGCCCGGAGCGGACGTGCCCGCCTTCTGGGGCGGCGCCGGGCGCTGGCGCGGCGTCGTTTGCGTACGTGCGCGTGCGCGCGAGGTCCGTGACGCCCGCACCGCGCCGTGTGGCGGCACAACCCTAGGTGGCGCAGCAGAGGAGAGACGCTGGGCGCGGGGCCGGCAGCGCCGCGGGCCGCGACGCGATATGCAGCGCGGATGGCGCGCTCTGCGGGCGCTCCGCAGTCTGGCGCCCCCGGTCGAGCGCGGTGCGGAGTGGGCTGCTCCGTGGCGGGTGTGCAGTGCCAGCCGCTCGTTTGCCGCCAAGCTGCACCCGCCCACGGACAAGGAGCGGCAGTCGAGGGCGCCGATCCGCAACATAGGCATCAGCGCGCATATCGACAGCGGGAAGACGACGCTCACGGAGCGCATTTTGTACTACACGGGGCGGATTACGGACATCCATGAGGTGGGCCCGCAGCACGGCTGCCCCGCCGCCGCCGTGCTCGCAGCTCGTGGCGGGCCGCTGTCGCTGCGGCGTGACTGGGCTGGAACTGGAGGGGCAGTCGCCCGAGCCGTGCGTCGAATCACGCGGCCCGCTGGGCACGCGGGCGGCGCAGCAGCATGCGCTCTCCCTCGGCGCCCGCGCGTCGCGCCGGTCCTCGCGCGGCGTGCCTGACGCAGCGATCTGCGCACGAGACTGTCTCCGCGGCGGCGTGCGCGCGCCGGCCTCGCGCCCCGGCCCGCACCGACGCTGTCCCGCACCTGGGCTGCGCGCTGCAGGTCCGCGGGAAGGACGGCGTGGGGGCGAAGATGGACTCGATGGAGCTGGAGCGCGAGAAGGGCATCACGATCAAGTCCGCGGCGACGCACTGTCGGTGGGGCGACAACGTGATCAACATCATCGACACGCCGGGGCACGTGGACTTCACCATCGAGGTGGAGCGCGCCCTGCGCGTGCTGGACGGCGCGGTGCTCGTCCTGTGCTCCGTCGGCGGCGTGCAGAGCCAGACGATCACGGTCGACCGCCAGATGCGTCGCTACAACGTCCCGCGGCTGTGCTTCATCAACAAGTGCGACCGCGCGGGCGCCGACCCGTTCCGCGTCATCGCGCAGGTCCGCGAGAAGCTCAAGCTCAACGCGGCGGCCGTGCAGTACCCGATCGGCCTGCAGGACCAGCACCAGGGCGTGGTCGACCTCGTGCGCATGAAGGCGTACGGCTTCGAGGGGCCCAAGGGCGAGCAGGTGGTCGAGGTGGAGTGGCCCGCGCACCTCGACGAGGGCATCCGCGAGGCGCGGTCGGCGCTCGTGGAGGCGCTCGGCGAGGTGGACGAGGGCATCGCGGACAAGTTCTTGATGGAGGAGGAGGTGGGCGGTGAGGAGCTGGCCGGGGCGATCCGGCGCGGGGTGCTGGCGCGGTCGTTCGCGCCGGTGTTCATGGGGTCGGCGTACAAGAACAAGGGCGTGCAGCTGCTGCTGAACGGCGTCGTGGACTACCTGCCCAACCCGCTGGAGGTGGCCAACACCGCGCTGGACGCGCAGGCCGGGGAGGCGGAGCTGACGCTGCCCGGGTCGCCGTCGGGGCCGATGGTGGCGTACGCGTTCAAGCTGGAGGAGTCGCGGTTCGGGCAGCTGACGTTCATGCGGATGTACAGCGGCACGCTGACCAAGGGCGACACCATGCTCAACGTCACCACGGGGAAGCGCGTGCGGGCGTCGCGGCTGGTGCGGATGCACAGCGACGACATGGAGGACATCGACAAGGCGCAGGCGGGCGACATCGTCGCGCTCTTCGGCGTGGACTGCGCGTCGGGCGACACGTTCACCGACGGCACCGTGCGCTACAGCATGTCCTCGCTCTTCGTGCCGGAGCCCGTCATGAGCCTCGCGATCACGCCCAAGGACCGCGGCTCCATGACCGCGTTCTCCAAGGCCATCAACCGCTTCGTGCGCGAGGACCCCACCTTCCGCGTCGAGTTCAACGAAGAGTCGAGCCAGACCATCATCAAGGGCATGGGCGAGCTGCACCTCGAGATCTACGTCGAACGCATGCGCCGCGAGTACGGCGCGGACTGCATCGTCGGCAACCCGCGCGTGTCCTACCGCGAGGCGCTCCGCCAGCGGTCCGACTTCAACTACCTGCACAAGAAGCAGTCGGGCGGGCAGGGGCAGTTCGGCCGCGTCATCGGGTACATCGAGCCGCTCCCGGAGGGGCACCCGACCAAGTTCGAGTTCGAGAACGGCATGGTCGGGAACAACATCCCGCCGAACTTCATCCCGGCCATCCAGAAGGGCTTCGAAGAGGCGGTGGGCATGGGCCACCTGGTCGGGCACCCGGTCGAGGGCGTGCGCGTGGTGCTGCTCGACGGGCAGTCGCACCCCGTGGACTCGTCCGAGCTCGCGTTCAAGATCGCCGCGGCCAACGCCTTCCGCGAGGCATACGCCGGCGCCGCGCCGGTGATCCTGGAGCCGGTGATGGAGGTCGAGGTGCGCACGCCCGCGGAGTTCCAGGGGACCGTGATGTCCGACCTCGTCAAGCGCAAGGGCGTCATCGTGGACTCGACGCAGGAGGCCGACGACTGCGTCCTCATGGTGCGAACACCCCCCCTCCCAGCACGCGGCGTGCAAGCAAGCGCTCCCTGTCGCGAGGCACGGCGTGCTGACTCTGGCACCCTCTGGTCGCGCGCAGGTCCGCGTGCCGCTCGTGGAGATGTTTGGGTACTCGACGGCGCTGCGGTCCATCACGCAGGGCCAGGCGGAGTTCAGCATGGAGTACGCGCAGCACTCCCCCGTCGGATCCGACGTGCAGGCCGACCTCATCGCAAAGTACCAGGCCGCTGGCGGACGGGCCGCGCAGCGCGGGGAGGCGGGAGTGATTGCCGCGTGTGAGTGATCCATGCGATAGGCCTACCGGCAGCAGGACGTGCGCGACACAGCGGCGCGGGCAGCGACTCGTGCGAACCGCGTTCTGCTGCCGGTGGGGGGCTGTGCGGCGTCAGGCCCGTAGAAGGGGGGGGGAGTGTGTTCAATGCGTATGATCCCTTTTCGCATGACAGGCCACGCGCGGGGGACGGCGATGACGAGGAGAGCTGAGTAGCCGTCGGCGCGTCGCCACACAACGCGGACAATGCCGCAGACTCAGTCACCGCTGTCACCCAGCCGGCGGCCGACACCCCCTGGTACAAGCAGCCTAGGACGTGGACCAGCACTTCGGCGCGTCGGCTGGCGGGCGTCGTCCAGTACTCGCGCGGCTCGCCGCGTTGTTGCTGACGACGCCCGCCACTCCCTCTAACTGATTGCAGGTCAGAGCCTTCCCTTGGCACATGATGGCACGCTCACATGGCATTTCGCGCGAGTACTCCTAGCACGCTGCCGCCTTGATCAGGACGATAGCACACCCGCATTTCGTTTCGTGCGCGGGTGGTCAATTACTACTCTGTGTGTCGTGTTGTGCTGCGCCGGGCCTCGAACCTGGGGCTTTGGCGCAGTGCCAGCTGAGAGCTACCTCCCTACTCCGGCCTTCAACCGTCGGCGTAGACGAGCCTGCCTCCGGCTAACTGACTCCGCCGTCTCACGTCCGTGGCTCACCGCCCGGCGTGCTAGGAACGCGCAACTTAGGTAGAGCTCTCCCCGTCATCGTCGCCCTCCCGTCGTGGCTTGATTACTGCATCCTCGGTCTAGTTCCGCACACCACCCTCTTTTCACCCCCAAAACCTCTCACCATGCGCACTCCAATCGGTCGCCGACGGAGGAAACGGCTCCAAGCAGCGTTGCGTCTCAGCGACCAGGCCGGCACCGCCGAGGCGCGCACGCTGCGTGGCCACCTTTCGAATGGCACCCTGTTCCACCATGTCGCAAATCTAAATGACCACGACCCGAACTTTCGACCCAGCATCACGCACGCACGCCGCAGCGCGGCCGCTATTGCTCCGCAGGCATCTCCCCGTGCCTGGCCCCCTCCTAGCCCCCACCACACACCCTCCCACCCCGCCTCCGCACTAGCCCCTCGACCCTACTGGGACTACGTGCCCCGCGACGAACGGGCGCCCGCATACCCGCACCCGTGCCCCCCACCGAGCGCTCCTTTCCCACCGCCCCCGCCGGCGCTCTCGGACCTCGCCGCGCTACCATCGGTCACGGCAAACCCCCCGCTTGCGGCGCGCGGGGTTGTCTATGTCCTCTTGTGCCGGAAATACCCCTTCTTTTACTATGTCGGGGAGACATAACGCACAGCGATCGAACGACTGCAGGAGCACTTTGATGCAGCATTCACGCACCATCCGAACGCCGTGCACCCCCCGCTTTACGAGTTTATGCGACGAGTGTGGGCGCAGTCGCCGAACGGCCATGTCCCGTGGCGCGACTTCACCATCGTGCCCCTCTTTCGCATCAATTTCGCACGCCAGGTGCCCATCCCGCCGGCGACTAGCCCGGACGCTTTGAAGGCCTGGTTCCACAAGTTCCGCACCTACTCCCTGGCCTGGGAGCAGACCATGATACGCTGTCTGGGCTCCCCATACCCCGGCGGCCTCAATTACTGCAAGGGCATGTGGAATTTCGGCTACGGAGCTGGCCACTCTGATGCTGCCCCATGGCCTCTATCCCCCCTGGCGTTCCAAATCGCCGCTGACCCCCACCCCGTAGCGATCCCCCACAACGACTTCCCCGTCCCGCCCGGCCCGAGTGGGCTCCCAGCGCTGGCGACCCTCTTCCAGCCAACGTTTGCCATCTCCTCCACGCATCAACGTACCATCCACCTCGACGCTGACAACTGCCTCACAACTACGGCACCAGCGTTGTCCCTGCCCCCCGCTATCGCAGGCATGTCTCCGCGCCTCGGTACACGCGAGTATATCTACCAGACTCGCCTCCTACTTGACGTTGTTTTGTTCCGCCGCGCCGGCGACACAGAGCACGATCATTGGAGACGCGCGGTGAACCATTGCACGGCAGCGAACATCGGAAAATACCTCTTCTCCCTCCATCACTGCGTGTCGCACATGCATCCCGATGCGCTTAACCTGGGTCTCGACGAGCCCTTTTACACACAGCAGATGTTGGACAGTGCCCGCACCGTTTTGCAGGCCGCCATCAACCACCACTACCCTCCCGTCGCAGACATCGACCTCGGGAGCCGTACCCTCATGATCCACGACTTCCCTACCCCCCTGGCTAGCCTCGCCCCCCTCGAAACCCTCGTCAATAATGATGACTTTCTCAACCTCTTACCTGAGCGTATCCGCGAAGGTATGGATGGCTTGTTGCTGGTGGCCCCGCGCTATTCGGTCAGGTTTCCACCGCTGTCGCGCTCGGTGTGCACGCACAGCGGAGTTGCCAAGTTTGCACGCAGTCGCCTGTACGACATCATGGCGACGCAGTGCGACTCTGCGCAACACCAAGGACCGGACCTACGACGCCACTTCACGCTCGAGGACCCCTACTGGCAGATCGACGGCGAGCCTGTGCGGCACCTCTGCACGCTGGACCCTGCTGCGGCGGGCATCCAGAGCACCGCGTACCGCCGTTTGTTCGCCGTCGGCGGTGCCAAGCACCGACACGTCCCGGAGCTGCACCAAGCCACGAGCGCGACCGTAGCTAGCATCGTTGAAGCCTACCAGAAGCCGCTGCTCGGGTGGACGAAACGCGTCAGCAAGGCCGCCGACATGGACGCGGCAGCGTGCATGCCGTACATTGATGCTATACTTGCTGCTACGCAAACGGCACTCCAACCCGCTCTTCAACCCGGGTTCCGCCTTCCATGGCCCCCGCCGCTGGCGGCCATTCAGCCCGACGATCGCGTGGCTCTGCGGCGAGACGCGCCACGCCTCACCATCACGACCATGGACAAGAACGCCGGGAATTTGGTTTTCGTGTGTCGGCGCGCCTACATCGAGGTCCTCCTGCACGCCCTGCACAGCAACGACGCTTTCGCTGTCAACGAGCCGGCAAATGCCAACATCACGCATGCCAGGCACGTGGTGAACGTCGCTAACACGACGGAGGCTATGTTGGACAACCTGCAGCTACCAGGAATACGCACCGAACGCGAGTGCGGTGGTCTACCGCACTACTACGGGACGATGAAGCTTCACAAGGCCAAGGTGGACGTGCGGTACATCTCGGACTGCTCGAGCGACATCACGCGCCCCGCAGCGCAGCTGCTGACGAAGGCCCTAGGCGCGCTCATGTGCCACGCCACCCTCGTGGAGGTCTGGAGCTCCATCTTCGACGGCGTCCCGGAGGACCTCTGCAGCAGCTTCGCGCCCTTCTTGGTGGACTCCAGCCGCGGCATGCGTGACATGGTGACCGCGTATCTACATGACAACCCACCACGCTCAGCGATACATGCTCAACAACCACCTCTGCTGCTGGGCGCCGACATCAAGCGGCTCTACCCGCACATCCGGCACGAGACGAGCGCGGACCACGGGACCGGCCTCATCGACTGCGTCATCGAACACATCGACGCTGTTTTTGCACTGCATCCAGGGCAACACCTCCTGATCGACTTGCAACCCGCGTTTGACGCGAGGGAGACGTGGTGGTGGGTGGCGCAGCGGCCGGACGCGGACGGCATGGTTGGGAAATGGGCACCGAGCATCGAGCAACTTCATGGTCTCGTGCACATCCTCGTCAAACGCGCCTACGTGGTGTTCGGGGGCGTCGTATATCACCAGACCTGCGGTGTGCCCATGGGGCGCTCGGCCTCCCCCCACCTCGCGAACTGCTACATGTTCCGGCATGAGCTCGCGTTCCTCTGCCAGTTGCGCGACCGCTGGTTGAGCACTGGCGACGTCGCTTGGCTGAAGGTCTTGGGGTCTTTCCGTTATTCCAGGCGCTACATCGACGACAATTTCTCTCTCGCGAACGCACTGTACCGCTACTTCAACACCCACCCCCGCCCCCCCACCCCGCCCCCCGAAACCCCGTCGTCGATCGTAGATCTCATCTCTGGTATACATAACATGTACCCCCCCTGTCTTGAGGTCGAATTTGACGCCCCAGCGAACCCGCTCGACGGTGTCTCCTTCCTAGACCTCCGCGTGCGTCCGCATCCCGAATATCAGGGCTTCCTCCTGATCTCGCACTATGACAAACCCGGTCTGTTTCCTGAGAACATTCACCTCATACAGTACCCCCACGCTTCGTGTGCGCTGCTGCGACGACACCTTTACAACATCGTCCGCACCGAACACATCCGCGTGTCCAGCGAGGTGACTGACCGCGACAGCTACGTAGCCAAGATGTCGGCCATGATGCGCTGCATGCGTGCGCATCGAGGTTACTGCATGCGACAGGTCCTGGCGATCCACCGCGCCGCCTGCCGGACGCACCCGAGCCCGCATTTTGGCCCTGCCACGCCGGCGGGCCTGGCTGACCTCGTGCGTCGCCACGTGCAGTTTGCAGACCATACTGGCCAACCTGCTGACAGGGCGTGCCCGGCGCCCTGCAACTCGTCACCCTCATACATGATCCCGGCGCTGCGAAGCTGGCTCGGAACTATCCAGCCATGCCCGCACACATGACGCACTCTGTTACCCCCCCGATGTTGACATGTTGGCCATGCGCGTATTCCGTGGCCGCTAGACCGAGGTATGATCCCTTTTCGCATGACAGGCCACGCGCGGGGGACGGCGATGACGAGGAGAGCTGAGTAGCCGTCGGCGCGTCGCCACACAACGCGGACAATGCCGCAGACTCAGTCACCGCTGTCACCCAGCCGGCTGCCGACACCCCCCGGTACAAGCAGCCTAGGACGTGGACCAGCACTTCGGCGCGTCGGCTGGCGGGCGTCGTCCAGTACTCGCGCGGCTCGCCGCGTTGTTGCTGACGACGCCCGCCACTCACTCTAACTGATTGCAGGTCAGAGCCTTCCCTTGGCACATGATGGCACGCTCACATGGCATTTCGCGCGAGTACTCCTAGCACGCTGCCGCCTTGATCAGGACGATAGCACACCCGCATTTCGTTTCGTGCGCGGGTGGTCAATTACTACTCTGTGTTCAATGCGCTCCGGCTCATGTGCGGTGCGTGCGATACGGACGCACAGAGCGCCGCGTTGCTCTGGCCCGGCGTGAGCGAGCAGAAAGCATCCTCTGCACGGCAGCTAGGGCGGCTCGTTGCGTTGCAAGCTTCCGCTGGTGAAGTGCAGCCCGATGGGGCGACGCGCGTGCTAGGTGGACGAACATGGCGGACTCGATATCGAGCTCGACCGTGGCGGCGGATGACCGCGCCAGGAGGGTCCGCGAGCTGCTCTCGGGGTTCTACGGCACCGCGGGTGGACCCCCGTCAAGCTTCCGGCGCGAGCGCGAGGCGCGCGAGAGCGACTATTCCGATTTCGACGCCCCCGACGCCTCGCTGCCGAGCTCCCTTCGCATATCGCGCGCGGCCACGGCGAGCCGCGCCCCGAGCAGCGCGGCCACGGGCGGTTTGGACTCGCACGTCTTCGACGCGGACCGCTACGTGTCCAGCGTGCTGCGGTCGCTGCGGCTCTCCGACCTGCTCAAGCACCACTCGAACATATCGCACGAGCAGCGCGAGCTCGACTCGGCGCTCCAGGCGCTGGTGAGAGCACGCCCTCTCGGCTGGCGCCCGTCTCCCGCGCCCGCCGCGCGGCGCCAGACGCCCGTCCGCCCGCGCGCGCCCCGCAGGTGTACGAGAACTACTCCAAGTTCATCGACGCGACGGACACCATCAAGACGATGGTCGACTCCCTCGGCGGCATGCAGTCCAACCTCGAGGGCCTCCAGGACTCCATGGCATCGATCCGCGACCTCTCGCAGTCCGTCGACTCCAAGGTCCACGCCTCCCGCACCGACCTCGAGGAGCTCAACCGCATCAAGAGCATGATGGCGCGCCTTCAGGCCCTCCTCGGCCTCCCCGCCCGCATGCGCGCCGCCCTCGACGCAGCCGACCCCGCCGCGGCCGCCCGACTCTACGTCTCCGCCCTCCCCACGCTCACCGCGTTCGGCCACCAGGGCGCCATGCGCGCCGCCAGGGCCGAGTGCCGCGCGCTCGAGCCGGAGATCGGGGCGGCCCTCCGCGCCAGGATCCTGCAGGGCGGCGAGGCCGCGAGCGAGTCGATCGAGCTGCTCGAGGCGATGGGCCACGAGGCGGAGTCGCTCGCGGGGCACTACCTCGCCGCGCTCGACGAGCGCGCGTGCGCGCTGCTCGCCGCGGGGGCCGCGCTGCTCGCGGACTGTGGCGCCGTGGCGGCGGCGGCCGAGGAGCTCGCGCCGTGGGAGGGCGTGGCGGAGCGGATACCGCGGCCGGAGGAGGCGCGGGCGACGTGGGCGCGCTGGGCGCGGGCGCGCGCGGCGGGCGAGGCAGACGCTGTCGCCGCGCGGCCCGGGCGGTCGGCCGTCGGTGTCGCGCGCGCTCTCGCCGCCCGTGTCGTCGCCGCGCGCGACGTCGCCGGTGCCCTCGGCGCCGCTCACGGCGAGCCAGATCGCGGAGGACGTCGCGGCGCAGCTGCTCGCGCTCCTGCGGCACGCGGCGCACGCGTTCGGGCGCATGTTCCCGGGGCACCGGTCGTCGCTCCACGGCGCGGTGCACGCGCGGGTGGCGCAGGCCGGGGAGCTGCTGCGGGCGGCGCTCGCGGGCGTGACGCCGTCGGGGCCGCTGTCGCGGGAGGTGGTGCTGGGGCGGGGTCTGAAGTCGCCGCGCGACGTGGCTGCGGAGGTGGGCACGGAGGTCTTTTGGACGCAGGCGTCAGGGGAGGTGGCGTGGCGGGCGTCCGAGGTGGCGCACGCGCTGCAGGTGCGGTGAACCGCGTGGCGTCTGCCCCGCGCGCCGGGTGCGTCGACGGCCGTGGCTGGACGCGACACCGCGCTGGGTGCCTGTTGCGCGCAGGCGGTGGTGTGCGACCTGCGCGAGGTCGAGGCGGCGGTGCCCTCGTGCGGCGCTGGCGAGGAGGCAGCCGCCGTGGTGTCGGCGACGCTGCGGCACGCCACGGCGCAGTACCTCGCGCTGCCCTGCGACAGCGCGGTCGCCCTGCTGTGGAGCGTCGTCGTCGCCGACGGCCCCGCGGCCGCGCACGACGCCGTGCAGGCGCGTTACCCCCCTCACTCCGTCCCCGCAATCAGCGCCCCCTCGCAGCGCCTCGCCCCACCACGCGCCCCCGTGCGGCGTTGTTGCAGGCGGCGCTCAACGTCTACAGCTATGGGACTGCCGCCGCCGTCAGCGCGCTCCGGGGCCTGCACGACACGGTGTCCCCGCTCGTGGACGCCGGCGAGCGCTCAGCTCTCGAGGGCCTCGCGCGGGACGCCGCCTCCTACGGCCTGCAGTCGCTGCTGGAGCTCCTCCTGCACACAACGCAGCGCGCGTGCGCCGCCCGGACCGGAGCGGCGTGGCCCGGGTGGCCGGAGGACGCGCCGCCCCCCGTGTTGCCCGAGAGCGCCGCGTTCCGTCCGCTCGGGGCCGCGAGCGAGCGCGCGGGCAGCGAGGCGGTGCCCTTCGGGTGCAGCGACTTGCGTGGCGCGCTCGAGGAGGTGTGCGGGGCGGAGGGGGGCCGCGCGGCGGTGCTCGCGAGCGCGCTGTGCGCGCGGGCGCTGGCGGGGAGGTTGCGGAGCGTTGCGGAGTGCCTGGCGCGGAAGTTCCCGGGGGGGGAAGGGGGGTTGTGGGACGGGGAGGGGAGTGGGAGGCCGCGGCAGGGGCGCTGGTGCGCGGCGGCGACCGCGGCGATGCTCGGCGTGTACGTGCGCGCCTGGGCGGACCCCGCCGCGGACCTCGGCTCTGCGCTGCGGGGCTCCCTCGCCGCGACCGCGCAGCCCGCGTGTGCGTCAGGTGTGCAGCCCCCCGCTCCGCCTGCGTGCACGGGACGCGCCGGACGCGCCGCGCTTGCGTTCAACACTGCGTCCCCTTCCTGTGCGCAGAGCCGGCGAGGGCGCTCATGCGGCTGCTGGCGGCTGCGGGGTCGGAGGCGGGGGCGGTGCTGGCGCAGCGCGGCAGCACGCAGCGCTCGAACGCGCCGGTCGTGGACCCCGTGAGCGCGCTCGCGGCGTCGCGGGGGCGCGACATCGAGCGCGAGGTGGAGAGGATGTTTCAGGAGGCCGGCGGGGGGGCGTCTGCGCCGCTGGAGGCCACGCGCTCCTCGGTGGTGTGCCACGTCAGTCTGGCGGGGCTCAAGGGCGCGGAGCGGGGGTTCAAGGACGCGGACGGGCCGCGTGGGGAGTGGGCTGCGGCTGCGCTGCAGGTTGACCTGGCCTGCATCGCGCGCGTGGCGCTGGGCGCGGCGGGGGGCAGTGCGCAGGCGTCCGCGCTCGGGTCCGCGCTGGACGACGCCGCGGCCGCCGGACTGGAGGCGGCGGTGGGCCGCGGGGGCACACCGAGGCTGCTCAGAAAGGACGCCGTCGCGGCAGCGGTCGCGGAGACCGAGGCGGCCGGCACGCGCGTGTGACACCAAGGACATGAAACACTACGTCTACGTGGCGGCGGGCGCCAGACACTGCAACCGCGAGCGCGCATTCCACGGGCATGCGAGTGCGCGTGCGGCGTGGCGTCCCGGCCACCCCGAGTGCGGACTTCGCCGCAGGGTGTCGTCGCGGGCACCTGTGCGAGGGGTGTTTGTTTGTACCCGCCCTGGCAGGGCCAGGGAGCCTGAGGGCTCCAGGGGGCGCGGCGTCGATGACGGAGGCCTGCTCACGTCCATCGCGATCACGAATTCGTTCGCGGGATCTCCCTGCGCAGCCGACGCCCGCCCCGCTTCCCAGAGACTGGTTCCGCCCGCGCAATGTTCGCCGCCACGACCCGCGTGGCCGCTCCCGCCGCGGCGGTGCAGTCGCAGCGCCGCTCTGTCCGCGCGGCCGCGAGCGGCGTCCCGCGCCGCGACGTGATGCTGGCTGGTGCGCGCCCCTCCCCCCACAGCAGGGCTCCCGGGTGGTTGGCCCGCGGCGCGCGCCACACGGGTTTGCGGCGCCGATGCCGCTAATCACGCAGCTCCAGCACTCCTGAAGTATCAGGGAGCGTTGTCGGACGGCGCTCTGGCCGTCAGAGCAGCGCGCGCGGCGCCTGCAAAGCGGCCCGCCGCTGCGGATATCCTGCGATCTGGGGCTCTCATGGCGTGCGAGCGATCAACGGTCTTTGCTGCGCAGGCGGGGCACTCATGGGCTTGATGGCGAGCCCTGCGATGGCGGAGGGCGAGATCGCGACCAGGAAGGTGGGCGAGGTGAGCTCCCTGCCCACGCATGTCTGGTCCGCCACGATCCCTCGCTGAACGGCGCGGCGAACGCCGTGATGTCCCCCAGCGCCAGCTACGCGATGTGAGAGACCGCTCACGCCGCCGCTCACGATCGTCTGCCCCGCGCAGATCTCCGTCGACTCGCTGTCTGGCTTCCAGCGCTCGGCGCAGCGCGACGCGATGCTGGCTCGCATCAACACGTACCTGAAGGAGGGCCTGACCTACGAGGACGCCTCCACTTGCCTGCGCCTCGTCCTCAACGACGCCGCCACGTTCGACCTGCCCTCCAAGACGGGCGGCATGGACGGGTGCGCCCCCGTCGCCCCCGAAACCACAGCAACCCCGGCAGCTTGGCCTCCGGCCTCGCACCGCGCCCTGACCACCTTCCCCTCCCTCCGCCCGCGTGCGTCGCAGGAGCGTCGTGTTCGAGCTGGACCGTCCGTGCAACAAGGGCCTGGACGCCACGGTGGCCAAGCTGAAGGGCATCAAGGCGAAGATCGACGAGGAGAGCACCAAGGTCGGGCAGGGCGAGGTGTCCTGGGCGGACCTGCTGGTGTGCGCGGGCCGCATCGCCACGCTCGCGCTGTGGCGGAAGCAGAAGGTTGACAAGGCACAGATCCCCTCGGGCGGCGAGACCATCGCCACCGCGTTCGGCGCCGACTGGCCCGTGCGCCTCGGGCGCGTCGACGCGACGGAGGCCGGCCCGAACGTGGCGGTGCCGCAGCCGGGCGACGACGTGGAGACCATCAAGGAGTTCTTCTTCAAGCTCAACTACAAGAATGCCGGGGAGCCCATCTCGCGTTTCGGACCCAAGCCGCCCTTCTGGTACAAGCCGGTGCGTTCAGGGCCCACCGTTGCGCGCACCTCGCGCGAACGCGGCGGCGGCGCGTGAGCTGACGCGCGGGTTGAGTGCCGTGGTGCTTGCAGACCTTGCTGCTGCTCGGTGCGGCCTCCACGGACATGAACGCGGAGGAGGAGCGCCTCGTGGCCGCGGACGAGGCGTTCAAGAACGGCAAGGTCGGGTACGACCGCAGCCGGCGGACGGTGACCCGCACGGACTACGAGGTGGACTTCGTGACCTTCTACACCAACCTGACCAACCTCGGAGCGAAGTTCGACAACAAGAAGTACCTCGTGCCCGTCTCCGTCGACCTCCCGAAGAAGCTCTAGGCCAGACCAGCAGTATACAGCGCCCGCAGAGGGGCTAGCATCGTTCTGGGCTCATTGTTGTTTGACGGTCCGGAACAGGGGTTGTCAAGACAGGCCGGGACTGGTAGATCTCGGAGTGTGACGTCGTCAGTACTGACACGCTTCTGCCCACAAGCGAAGGTAGCACTGCATGTTCGCAGGCACTGGGGCACAGCCGTCTCGGCTGCAAGCGCGTCGCACGTCGGCTGCGGCCACAGCTCCGAGGGCGCCGTACTGTGTCATCGCCGTCGCTGCGCAGGCGTGCGTCAGGCGTGATGGAGCCACCCCCGTGTTTGCTCGTGTTTACAATTCATGGCAAAGCGCCGATCCACTCGCGGCCTCGAGCGGACAAATCTACGCGGGCGATGCGGCTCCGATGCGGCGAATGATCTGCATGCCCACCCACGCGAGCAGCCACATCAGCGCCAGGGCGATGGAGCCGTTGAAGATCCCGCACTCGAGCCGGTCGTCCTTCCAGAGCTTCTTCATGGGCTCCGCGCCGTTGATCCGCAGCACGGCGGGCTTCCTAACGAACGGCAGCACCTACGGACGACGGCGGCACCAGCGAACGGCGCGTGTGCATGATGGACGCAACGGCGTCGTGTGGCAGGGGGGTTCACGGGAGGCGCGAGCCGCACCTTGGAGATCACGAGCTTGAGGGAGACGCGCATGAACCAGAGGAGCGACGGCTTGGTCGTGCTGCGGCGGCGCCTCCCGCCGAACGCGTTGGCGCTGAAGTCGACGGCGGCACGCGCGTTGGGCAGGTGCTCCCCGGAGAACCGCTCGAGCGCCCAGCGGATCCACTCGTGCTCCGTCTCCTGGCTCGCGTACACCTGCTGCGACCCCTTGAGCGCGATGGCCAGCGCGTTGGCCGTCTCGAGCGCGGTGTTGGCTCCCAGGCCCAGCGAGGGCCACATCGCGTGCCCGGCGTCGCCCACGAGCGCCACGCCGGGCCCGTGCAGCGCGGAGCACCAGACGTTCGTCCCGCCCGTCGCCGGCGACACGCCCTTCATCTGCTTGGCGATGTCCGCCAGCACCCCGGGCTTTACGTCCCGCATGAAGCGCGACAGCACCTCCGCGTACGCGCCGCGGTGCTCGAGGTCGTCGTGCTCGCCCGGCGGGAGGATGACCGTGCACACGAGCGACCCGTCCGGCCGCGGGAACCCGTACACGGTCCGCAGGCCCGACTTGTCCGACCACGTGTGCGTCACGCGCGGCGCCCGGTCCCGCGCGCTCAGCCGCCCGCGCGCGCCCCGCAGCGCCCGCGGCTCGAGCAGCTCCCGCCAGTCCCCGTCCGGGCACGCCAGCACCGCCACCTTGTACTCCATGTCGTCCTCCTGCTTCCGGCACTCAAACCCCAGGTGCGCGTCCGACTCGAGCTGCTTCCGCACCACGCTGCGCCGGCCGTCCGCGCCCACGAGGAGGTCGTACGGCAGCGCCTCCCCGCCGATCGTCACGCTGCCCGCCTCCACGTCCACCGCCTGCACGCGTCGGTTCCAGTGGAAGGTCACCCCCGCGTCCGCCGCGCGGTCCGCGAGGAACGCAGTGAGGTCCTGCCGGGCGATCGCGACCAGCGGGGGGTCGAGCGGGCTCGGGTTGAGCTGGATCTTCCCGTCGCTGTTCCGGCGCGCAGACCCCTCCACTGCGGACACGGGGCGAGCGCGAGGGTGGTGTGCGGGGACGGCCGGCTGGGCCGGGCGCGGGCGCGGGCGCGGCTGGTGGCGGGTGCGCAGCGGGGCGCGGGTGCGGGCGGGCGCTCACGTCGCACCGCCCCCTCGCACTCGTCGATGTTGATGCCCGCGGCAGCAAGAGCCTCCTGCCCGCGGCCTGAGAGCGCGATGACGTACGCGCGGGTCTTCGAAGGGGCGACCGTGTGAGGGTCGGCGTAGGCGTCGTACACGTCGACCTGCGAGCGCACGCACCGCGCGCCGGTGAGGGGGGAGGCAACTGCCGCAGCGCTTAGGACCCGCACGCGCCAGACTGAGCGCACGTCGAGGGACCTTGCAGCGCTGATTCGACGGCCGAAGAATTGAGTATCGCAGCTGTGGGGCATCGAGAGGGCTTGGCGCGCGCGGGGGGCGCCGCACCTCGAAACCAAGCGCGGCGAGGTGCATCGCAGTTAGCGACCCTGCTGGGCCGCCCCCTGCGACGATTGCCCGCGGCTTCGGCCAGCCCTGCTTCTCCGGTCGCACTGCATTCGAGGGCGGCACGACTCTCTGGCACGTGCGCCGGAAGCAGCGCTGCTCGCCGGGCCGCACGACCGAGGGGACTCGTCGCGCGGGGGGGGCGCGGTGCCGCGGTCCCGGGGCCCTGAATCGCGTCTCTTGCGACAGCCCAGTCGACGAACGAGGGAGCGCGGTGCGAGTCACCATGGTTGACCTCGGTCTGCGCCTCCCCGCGGCACCACGAAAAAGCCTGGTGCAGCCAGTCCGGGCCGGGCGTACAGGCTCGCCGATGTGCTCGGCTGGAGAGTGTCAAACTGCTCCGCGGCCAGGTCGCACGAGCGGCACTGCCGAACGGCGCCGCGCGTGGATCGGAAGATCCGGCCCGGCCAGCGCGGGCGCGGCGTGTCGGTCCTACTTTGACAACCCCCGGAGCTGCCCGAGCTGCGAATGCTCGGTCATGGCGATGCGCTGGTGCATGCTGTCCACGTGGCCTCCGCACGGCGTCGGTACTGCGTTCCCAGCTCTCCGTGGCCACGGGCCTGGCCGATCGCCAGGTGTGCGTTGCGGGTCGTGCTCCCCGGGCGGAGGAGCGTACGTGGTGCGAACGGTTGGACGCCCGGGAGCGCATTCATGGCTCAGTGACAAGACGCTCGCGTCGAAGCGCTGCCCGCCGCGGCGTGGTTGAGGGCGACTTGACAGTTCCGCGGGCTTGCCTCATCGTGAGACGATGATGGCCGGACGGCGCGACGGGCCGCTCTGGACGCGCAACCGCCAGATCTTCTTCATCTTCGCAGTGGCTGCAGCTGCCGCATCCGCGGCCCTCCTCGCGCTCGCGCCGCACAGGACGCAATTGGCCTCGTCCAGTTGGTGGGCTGGGCGCACTGTTGCGCAGACAGACGCCTCCTCCCCGACGGATCCCCCTCCGCCGCAGACGCCCGCGCCCCCCCCGACGGATCCCCCTCCGCCGCAGACGCCCGCGCCCCCCACGACGGCGCCCCCCCTCCCCCCCGTCGCGGCGTGCGTCACCGGGCTGCTGCGGGGGTTCATCTTCCGCGGGTACTACAAGACGCACAAGTACGTCGTCGACGCGCTCGACCCGGACTACTTCTTCGTCATCGAGGCGGACCCGACCTTCGCGGCCTTCGGGCGCACCTACGACTACCAGCTGGAGGACCTCGAGCACGCCGAACAGTACCTGCGCGTCGTCGACAAAGTCTACCTCGGCCTGTCGCCCGTCGACAAGACCTCGACCGACAACAACGCGCTGGCCCAGCCGTACGCGGTGTACCGCCCCGAGGGGCGGTACGTGGACGTCGGCGACACGCACCACGTGCAGATCCGCATCCACTTCAAGACGCGCATGTGCCTGGAGATGCTCGAGACGCGCGAGGCCACGGCGCGCGGGGGGTTGCCGTACGAAATCGTCCTGCGAATACGCACCGACGCGTGGTTCCACCGGCCCTTCCCGACGCTCGCTCGCATCCAGGAGGACATGCGCGTGGCGACAGAGGAGCACCTCGCGCAGGGCGGTGCGGCGCCGGCGGGCGTGGGCATACTGGGCGCGCGCGGGTACTCAGCCGCCTGGTTCTTCGTGCAGGACGACTTCGGGATCTACGACCGCGAGGCTGCCCGGGTGCAGTTCACGCAGTACAGGGACATGGTGAACCGGACGTGGGAGCGCATGCCCGAGGGCGTGCACAAGTGCCAGGAGAGAGGGATGGTGACCGAGTGCATCATGATCGTGCGCCTGATGTCGCACAACATCCTCATCCGGCCGCTCGCGCTGTACGGCGACCCGGACATCGACGCGAACAAGAGGAGCACGGACGATTCTGTGTGGACGACTGGGTCGACCCCGATGACTGCAAGGACAAGCTGAACGACGCCTACTACGTTGACACCGCCAAGGAGAAGGCGGGCATCGAGCTGCGGCGCGTGGACCTCCACGTGGGCGGCACCAGGCACCTGGCCTGCGAGGAGGAGATCTTCAACACATTGCGCGCCGGATACAAGCCGGAGCATACCGAGGAGCAGCCGGCCGAGGAGCAGCCGGCCGAGGAGCAGCCGGCCGAGGAACAGCCGGCCGAGGAACAGTAGACCGAGGAACAGCAGACCGATCCCGAGCACGAGGCGGAAGATACTCCTGATGGCGGACCGCTGGCGCGGCAGCGATGAAGCCGGCGCAATCGCGCACGCAACACTTTTTAATTCATTCAGAACCGGCGACGCCGCCCGTGTGCGCGTGCACTTGCAGCAAGAGCGGGCTGTGAGACTCGCTCTATTACCGTCATGGGTCCTGCACGGGGGCCTTGTTGAGATGACATGCACCTCTGAGCTGCATATTGTGTGTGCTCGGGTGTGCAGCTGTACGGACTGCGCCCGTGCCCGCGCCCTCTCCGGTGGGCTCAGGATCGGCGGGATCCACGGGACCCTTGCGACGCCATGTCTACAACACATCCCCCCCGCGTCCATGAGACCCCCCCTGAGTCAGGGGGTCTGACCCCCCCTGACGCTGTGCAGCAAGGTCTCTCTCAACCGTTAGTGACGGTCACCTTCGGCGCGGCAGCCGCACAAGGGTCCAGACGGGATTGCGCCACGGCGCCCTGCTGCAGCAGCACGTTGCGGCCGCGAGCGTAGGCTGTCTGGTCGTTGTCAGAGGGGCAGTAGCCGCTAGGGCGGCGCCAGTGGAGCGGTTCGCGCTGTGCACGAAGCTAGACGTGCGCCGGACACCCTCAGGAGAGAGGGTTCGCCGCGTGCTCATCCTCGGAAGGGCCTCTTCTCTTCGAGTCAGTTGCAGGCCTATAAGCTTCTTGTTGTTCTGAGTGGGGGCAGAGCGCAAGTTTGCCTGTGCTGGAACCCACGGCATCGCACGCTCGCAGAGTCGTTTGCGCGCGCTTTACGGGTGGCCTCTGACCGCGTGATTGCATATGCGGAGGTGCGATGTCGACCACGTCGGACGCAGCAGCGCCCGGCAGCTCGCCCCCTAGGCAAGGCAGGGGACGGACGCCTCAAGCGCACCTCTGGGCCCCTCTCGGCTACGCACTGGCCATCCCGCTGAGCGTGCAGGTTAGCACAATCTTGCTCCGCCTCTGTGTGCACCGCTACACGTACTCCTGCTGCGCTGCGACCGGTAGCAACTTCCCTGCCCCGCAGTGTTGCAACCACCTCGGGATCAAGGGCAGGGCGCGCACGTCCGTCTTCCTCGGCCTCACGCTCACGGCGCTGGGGCATGCGGGTACGCGCCTCAACACCGATTGAGATGCGGTCTGCTATGCCAGCGCCTAGTCCATTGTCTTGTCTCCTGTGGCAAATGATGCGAACAGTCGAGGCAATTTCCGTTGCGCAGCCGTGCTCGAGCGGTGCCAGATGCAGCGCGCGCGTGTCCAGCCCGGTGCGGATCGCGTCGCTTTGTCAGTGTGCGCAGCTCCTCTGTCACGACAGATGGATGTCCGCGACCTGGACTGTCTCTGCTCCCGCGCGTGCAGCGTGGATCATGGGGCGCGACTCGACCATGGCTGGCGGCACGGGCGACACTGGGGAGCTCGTTGGTCGGAGGAGGAGGGCGACGTAGCTGCGTTCTAGCACTTGTGCTGACGCGGGTCGCATGATGGCGACAAAGGCGCCGGGACGACGCGGAGAGCGGTCATTTCACAGCAGTATCGTGGTCCCCCGTACGCGCTGGCGCTGTGTGCTCATGCACGCGGCGAGGGCGCGACTGTCGGAGCTGCATGCTGTGGTCGTGGAAGAACGCTGGCAGGGCTTCAGGGTGCTTTTGCGCCCTTGGCTTTCTTCGCCTTCCGCGCGGCCACAGCGGGCCGCTTGCCGCCGGCTCCGGTGTGCGCTTTGCGCTGCGACGGACCTTCGGCGGACGGCTTGCTGGGCTTGTGCGCCTTGTGCGGGCTGCTCTGCGCCTGAGCAGGCCGTGTGACCTTCGGCTTGCCAGCCTTGGACCTCTTCACCTGCAGCACAACGGACAGGAATGCGCCAGGTTCGCGCCGGACCTTCGCAAAACCGACATGCCACGTGCAGGGACAAACATGCACTGCCAAAAACGCACCTTGACGCCCATCCAGTCCTTATCGCTGGCCTTCCGCGGTTCCTCGCTCCTCGAACCGCGCTGCCCGCGCGTGTCCTTTGCGACGCGCCCGCCCGCACCCTTTCTCTCCGACTGTCTGCTTGCTTTGTTCTTCAGCCTGCGAGCACGCCTGGGACGCAGCGCCGCGTCGCGCATCCGGGACCGCGCGTTTCGCGCACGCCACGCCACGTAAGCGACGGCGGCTGCGGGGGGAGTTCGCACTTGTCGGACACGGCCACGCATCTGTTGACGCGGACGGGCCTGTCGCCGATGCGCGCGCCGTCGAGCGCGAGGCATCCGCGCACGGCGCTCTTGTGCTTGAACATCACGTACGCAAATCCCTTTCCGATGTTCGTGTCCTTGTCTCGAACACACCTGCGGCGATGAGCGTCCGTCGTGCCATCACTGCGCGACCAAGCACGACACCCCTCCCGCGGCGCCCGCGCAGCACAGCGCCGCACGCGCCGCACCTGACCGCCTCGATGGCGTCGCGGACCTCCGGCGCCTCCTCGAGCGACGCGTCCGAGTACAGCCACTCGATGATCTGCTCCTCCTCAACGTCAAACGGCAGGTTGCCGAGGAACACCGTGCGCGCCGTGTCGTACAGCGCGCCCGTGCTCTCCTGCGCGGGGGCTAGGGGACAGCGCGAAGGAGTGGGCGCGGGGGGCCGCGGGGCTGCCGCGCCAGGGTTGAGAGTGGTGCGGGGCAGCTGTGTGGAGCGTTGGGAGGGCTCCAAGGACGGGCGCCACCTTTGTCGGCCGCGCCATGTCCACGCGGATGTGCTTGACGGCCTCGCTCTTCGGGTCCTTCATCTCGCTCATGTTGGCGGCCAGCGCTGCTCGTGCTGCCGCCTCCGTGGCAAACACCACGTACGCCGACTGCGACGAACGCTTCTCTGCGTTCACCTTGCCTGCGCAACGTACACGGCCATCGACGCGACGGGGCCTTCGCGACACAAAGAAGCCCAGCGCAGGACCCCGCCGACGGCCTCGCAACACCGGCGCAGTTCAGTTCAGCTGCGCGCACGCACGTTCCGACGCGACTCACGGCGGCCTCACCTCCGAGCACCGCTGACCTGCGCGGCATGCCCTGGTCCAGCGACACGGGCACGCTCCGCAGCCGCACCGAGTCCACCCCCCCGTACTGCTTGAACACGCGCTTCACGTCCTTCCGCGTACTCGCCAGGGGGATGTTGCCCACGTACACCGTCCGCCGCGTCTTCTCGGCCTCGTCCTCCGCGCGCTGCGCCGCGGTCGCGGCCGGCGACTCGATCGCCGGCGCCGCACCGTCACCGTCGCCAGGCGTCACTGGCGGCGAACTCGGCGCCTTGCCCGTCCCGCCTCGCAGTTCCGCCTCGGGCGCCTTATCCGCCCGGGTCCGCTTCTCGCCTGCACGCGCTAGGTTGGCGCGGCGATGAGGAGCGCGTCACAGGTGCGCTGCTTCGTGACAGCCGCCTCACCGGCAGCCTACGTGCGCGCAGGCGGGTCGCTTCCGCAGATTCCGAGGCGGACGATGGCCCTCGGATGGACTCACATACACACCGTTGCACGCGGCGTGATCGCGGGGCGTCACGCACCTTTTTGCTTCTTCTTCGGAGCGGGACCGTCCGCCTTGGCCCGCCTCTTCCGCTGCGCGCCTGCGTCATCCGCACGGTGCGCCGCCGGCGGATCCGACGCCGGCGGAGCGCTCCTCGGCTTCCCCGCCTCCTCCTTCTTCCCCGCGGCGGCGAAACCCAGCCAGCTGTCCGACGCGCCACCGGTCTCCTTGAACAGGGACGAAAACATCCTAGCTGCTCGCGCGCCGCGCCGCCTCGACTCTGCGCCGCCGCACGTCCTCGCCGGCGCCGTTCGGCGTCTACCGGGGCGGGCAAGCTCCTGGTCGCGGCCGGCGCGCGTGCGAATTCAGCGAGGCTGTGCAGGCGGTTGAGCGGCTCCGAACGTGGCGGAGGCAAGGACCCTCGCCGCCCGGATGGAACGCGTGGGCGCGCTCGTGCGGTGGAACATGCCGCCGGCGCGCTGAGCCGACGTGTTCCTGCCTGCGGGGGGTCCTGTGGGCGTGCGTGGTTGCGCTGGTGAGCCGTCCTTGCGTCGCACCGGGTCAGACCTGGGCCGGGCGGCCGCCGCAACCTTGGCAGGCGCGCGCGGACGCCGCCCGGCAGATTGCTCGCGAGTTCCGCGCCATCGTTACAGATTCTGCCCCGTGGACGCGCGCGGCGAGAGTTGGGCCCTGGCTGGGACTTCTGGCAGCCCGCGCCGGCTCCGAACGGCCAGCTGCGCGCGGCGCGTCGAGCGGCCTCGGCTCGGCAGCGGACGAGCACGCGGCCGGCCCGGCGGGCGCGAGAGCGGGCCCCTGGCGCCGCTCCGCGTCGTCTTCCATCGGTGCGGCCAGGAGCCGTCTCCCAGCGTCTCCGTCGACCCGCTGCGCTGCCGCTCGGGCGCCCGCGGAGACCCGGGGGCGTGAGGCCTTGAGGGCGAGCGAGGCGCGATGGCGCGCGCAATGCACCACCAGGACGGCCCTTTTTACGAGAGAGCGCACTGTTACGAGTGCCTTGGACCCGACGGAAGACCGTTCGGGCCCTATCCGCCATATGCTCTCCTGAAGTGGTACATGAACAATGCGTGTGGACCGCATCTAGGGGTGAGTCGGCCCCGCGCAGAGGTCGCCTAGCTCGTCACGTCACGCTCGACGCTCGCGCTGCCCTCGTTCCGAACCGCGCCGGGCCGGTGACCTCAGCGCCGAGCGCGAATTGTTCACCTCGATCGCGTGGCCCGATTTCCCTGGCGCGAGCCCCTGCGCGCCAGCTCCACGGTCCGGTCAGCAGCCAAACCGTTTACTGGCGCCTGATCAGTCCCCACGCTGCTTTTGCCGCGAAGCAACGCGGCCACCACGGATGTTCAGAGCCCGCCTGGACAATTGACGCCGTGCCGTGTGCGTGTCGTCCCGCGCCGGCCAGGGCACCTCGACCAAGGCCACACAAGCCTACGTCGGCCGCGCTGTCGTGCACGCGCCCCCCGCCTGCCGCCCGCGCGCGCGCCTGCGCCGTCCGGTCACGAGCGAACCGAGCGCGCCGCGATCCAGGACGCGTTTCCCGCCCAGCACGGCCTGGTCAGCGCGGAGGTGGTTTTCTCCTTCCGTGGCACGTTCCGTCGAGTGCCTGGCCTCCGCGGGGGAGCCCGGGGTGCTGCACGCGGCGCCCGATCGCACTGGCTCCAACCTGTCGCGACGCGGGCACGCCGCCTCGCTGCGCCGCGCCGCTGACGCCCCGGCGCGTGCACACCCCACGCAGGTGCGCAAGTGTGGCTCCAACACCGACTTCGCGCCCTTGGTGTCGACCATGCGAGTCGTCCAGCAAGAAGCCGTGTCGTGGCAGTACGAGGACCCGAACCGCATCATCCAGGTGGGGCCCCCGTGACGGGCGGGACGTTGACGTCGATGCCTACGACGCGTCCGGCACTGCCGCTGACCGGCCCTGTCATCATCGCGCCGTGCTCGCAGGGCCCGTTCGACGCGAGCAGAATGCTGACGTGGCAGGGCAAGTACCCGGATCGGTTCACGGCCAACCTGTCGGTCCGGCGGCTGGGCGACCGACACTGGCAGTCCCTCGACAGCGCCATCCAGTCCCTGCAGGCGGACGCCTCGTTCCACGAGAACTGCATGAACGCCATGCCCTCGGGCTCAGGTGCGCGGCCGCCCCTCCCTCGCAACGCACGCCTGAGCCAGCGCCGCAGACCTGCCTCACAGCGGGGAGTGCCCCCGGACGCGCGCGCAGGAGTCATCCACGTCGCGCAGGCGCCCGTGCAGATGACCGTGGCGAGCTCTGCGCCCGCGGTCCCGCACATGCACAGCGCGGCGCTGCCGCTGGTGGTGCCCGCGGGCGCGCAGGTCCTGCCGCACCTGTCGCACATGCCCGGCATGGCGGGCGCGGTCCCGCAGGCGGTCGTCCCGCCCCCGCGGCGCCCGAACCACGCGATGCAGGCCGCGGCCTCGATGGGCCCGCAGGTGGGGTCGCCAGTGAGCCAGGCGCAGCACCTCGCGCCGCCGGTGTCGCACGGCGTGAGCGTGCAGGCCGTCGCGATCCACAGCCAGGCCGGGCCCGCGATGGCGCAGGAGGTCCCCGGCGCGCACGGCCACCCCATGGCGCTGCACAACGTGGTCATGCCCGTCGACCGGGCGCAGGCGGCCGCGTCCGAGGCGTTCCGCGCGCGCACACAGCCGCAGACGAGCCATCCGCAGCCGGCCGCGCAGCACGCCCAGCCCCCGCCGCGCGAGGAGGCCGCGCCCAGGGGGGACGTCGAGGTGCAGCCCCCGCCGCCGGCGCCAGCGCAGCGCGCAGGCGTTCCCGCCAAGGGCGCCAACGCGGTCGCCGACCGGGTTGCGGCCGTTTCGATACAGGAGCATGCAGCAGCCAACGCGGAGGACGGGCTCGCGGAGCAGCGGAAGGTACTTGCACATCACATGTCCACAGCCGCCTGGTTCGCTGCACTCGCGCACGTCCACGCCACCGCCCGCGTGGGCCCGGCAGCTGACGCTCGCAACGTCCAGCTGAGCCGAGCGCAGGCTGAGCAGCCGAAGGGCAGTCGCGCGGCGTCTCGGACGGAGGTGAGCGTGGATAGGTCGGGGAACCAGGCACACGCCGCACAGCCGGCGCCGGAGCCCCCGCACATCTCCTCCTGGGCCGAAGAGATCGAGCAGCAGACCGGGCCGCAGCCGCAGGCACCGCAGGTACGCGTGCCTCGCGAGCAGCCCCACTTGGCACCTGTTGGCGCTCGACACCTCGTAAGCATCGTCATTGCCACCTTGCAGTGCGCCCACACCGCCCGCATCGCTTGTGCGTCGCTGCAGGGCGCCGCGCGCCTCCAGGAGCCCCCCTCGGGAGGCAGGGGCGGGGGGGCCTCGGCGTCCGGGTCGGGTCACCGCGGGCAGCAGAGCAACCACTCGGGGGGGTTCGGCAGCAGCCGCGGGCGCGACATGGAGCCGCGCGGGCGAGACTTCCGAGAAGACCGCCCCCGCGGTGGGCGCAGCCGGGACGGGGGCGGGCGCGATCGCGGCTGGGGCGGGCGTGGCGGCGGGCGCGGAGGGGGCGGGCGCGGGCGTGGGGCCCCAGAGGTGGTGCGTTCGCCCTCCCTCGCGCCGCCGAACGACCGCGCGCGAGCCTGCGCCTGGGGCGGCGCGTTCCGACCCAGCCTGCTGCGGTGTGCGTCCGTGCAGGGGCCCCACTTCGCGGGCGCCGTGGAGAAGGCGCCCGCAGCACGCAAGCTGTTTACGGCCGGGTGCACGCGCGTCGCGGAGCAGCCGGTGTGGTGGTACACGGGGGAGCAGGACCGCATCCAGGGTCCGTTCCTGCCGGACGACATGGCGAAGTGGTTCACGTCGGGGTTCCTGCCCCCGGACCTGGGCGTGGCCGCCACAGACCGGTCGGTGAACTACCCGCTGCGGCCCGCCATGCGCATGTTCGCGCCGCTCAAGCAGCTGATTCAAGAGACGATCAAGGGCAAGACGTACAGCGTGTACTCCCTGCGCGACGTGCAAGTTGGCGAGCAGGACGGCGACCTGGACGTCGACCGCATGAAGTGACGTAATGCATGTATGTAAACACAACGCCAGCGACGTCCGGGCGTGACACGCGGGGAGCGCCAACGTACCATTTCGGTCGCTCCGGCATCCTCGCGGTGAGGGTGCTCGTAGGTCAGCAAAGAACTGTCTCGAGCAGCTGGTGCGCATCTCGGTGCCGCGAGGTACGCAGGGCAGGAGCAGCCGCCGCCCGGCCTCCAGGACGCCAGAGGACCCTGCGGGGCGCGGCGTGCCCGGCGGTGGTCAGGTACTTCGTTCGCGTCATCGCGTGACGCATGTGGTAAGGCTGAGTAAACCTCCGGGGCGGCGGAGTCGCGCCACGGCGTCGCGTTGTGTTCGGACCCAGATGGGAGATCGCTGCTGTCGCGTGCGTCGTGACCGTTTCTGCCGCAGCGCCGCCCCGGAGCGCGCCGGCCAGTGCTGGCGCCTGTTTCCCGCCGAGCTGGCGACACCCCTCCCGCGCGTCTGAGACCGTCTCAGACGGTCTGCGGCTCGGAGGTCGGGCCACAGTGGGCTCGCTGCACCCGTCGTCGGCCACTCGTTTGTGCGCGACGGTGAGGGCGCCAGCTCAGGGTTCGACGGGACGCCGCTCGCGCGATTGTTGAAGAGGCCACCGAGCAGCCGCGCAGCTTGTACGGGAAGGGTTTGCCGAGCCCGAGCGTCATGTGCGGCTCCCCTTAGCCGACTCAGACGTTCGGGCACATATATAGGGCGGAACGTGCAGCAGGAGCCGTGCTCGTGACGCGTGCACCTCGCGTGGGGCCCAGGTCGACTGCACGGCACAATGGCGCCTCCAAACGGACATGGCGATAGTATTTTCCCGTATATTGCTCCCGGTTGTCCTTCGGACATGGTCGCTAGGCCCGAAGACTGGAATGCGGAGAGGTTCAAGATCGTGCTTCCTCTGGGCCAGGTGAGAGGCTCCGCACACACGTGCCCGGGGGCGTGGAGCTCTCGCGCTCGCGCCCCTCTGACCGGTTTCGATCTCGATCGGCCGGCATCAGGCAGGCGGAATCCCAGTCGGCGGGCAGCCGGCCGTCGCTGCGCCTCACCTGTGCAGCGCATCCGTCTCGGTTCGTTCCTGCATGTCCGAGCGGTGTGTCCGGCGACTGGCCCCCCACCTGATGCCACCTGCGTCAGCGCTGGAAAGCCGGTACTGTGTGCCCGCTGTCACGCGCGCGTCGCCCGCAGTGGTAGTCGCCTCGCTGCACACCTCGAGCACCTGATTGTCGCGCTCCGCCGACAACTTCAAAAGCGGATCACCTTCCCGCGCCTGCACTACCGTTTCCTGTGCGACGCGCCCTGGAATCCGGCTGGCGGGCGCGCCCCGCGAGCGGTGCACAGGCCCCAGCCTGCGAGTGCCACGCACGCCCTTCCGAGCGTGTGCTGGGCCACGTTTTCGTGGAATCCTCTTCAGAATCAGTCGGTCATGCGGACCACCGCGTGCGCACGGGGTCGTCCCTGCGGCAGACGTCTCGACCCGAGCACCGCGTGCCTGGGGATGCACTGACAGCAGCAGCGCTCCGCGCCGACCTGCACGCACTTCCGGAGCTCGTGCCGCGCAGGGGGCGAAGAGCAAAGTGATGCTGGCGGTGGACAGGCTCTCTTGGCGGCAGGTGGCGCTGAAGAAGATCAAGTGCAGAAGTTTGAGCAGCCGCGAGGCGCAGCAGCTGGAGAAGGAGATTCTGATCCACGGCTCGATCACACACAAGCACCTGCTGGCGCTCTGGGGCGCGTTTCGGGTACGACTGGCGGCCTCGCTGCGCCCGCCGCGGCTCGCACGTCTCGGTGCCGCTGTTTGCAAGACCAACATCAAGAGCCGACCTGCGTCGTGGTTTGTGTTTGCGCGCAGGACGCCGACAACTTCTACATCGTGCTGGAGATCGCGGACGGCGGGGACCTGTACCGGCGGAGCCACCGCGTGCAGATGAAGGAGGCGGCGATCGTGAACCGCGTCCTGCGGCCCCTGCTCGAGGTGGTGGCGTTCCTGCACGCGAACAACGTGATTCACCGCGACATCAAGCCGGAGAACATCGTGTTCACGCAGCAGGGGCAGCTCAAGCTCGCCGACCTGGGTCTCGCCCTCGACACCTCCAAGGACCAGGTGCGCACCACCACTGCACAACCACCCGCGTGCGCCGCGCGCCGCCTCGCGGGGCGGCACCCCACCCGCGTGCGGCTCCTCCTCGGCGTGCAGGGCGTGTCGCGCGTGGGAACGCTGGAGTTCATGGCGCCCGAGGTCATCATGTGCGGGCGCATCACGCCGGTGGGGATCACCAACGAGGTGCTGCCGCTGCCCGGCAACGAGATCCCCAAGGAGCAGAGGACGCCCTACGACGAAAAGGTGGACATCTGGGCCGTCGGGTGCGCACCCGCCCGACGCGGCACGGCCATGCGTGTCGCGCGGGGGCCTCGGGCCAGGCCGGCCGATCGCCTGCGGTCCCGCCCCGCTGCTGCAGGTGCCTGGCGTACGAGATGTTCTGCCACGTCACGCCGTTCCTGCACGACAAGCGCGAGGCCACCATCGCGCGCATCCTTGAAGGGCGCTTCACCCTCCCCGCAAAGATGCCCCCCAAGGCCGGCGAATTCGTGACGGCGTGCCTGCAAGTGCCCCCGGCGCAGCGACCGTCCGCGATGGAGCTGCTCGCCTCGCCGCTGCTGGCCCTCGACCGCCCCCGCGAACCGGTGCAGACCTCGGCAATGGAGGCAGGGAACGCGCGGCCCGGGGCGTCCACCTCCGACGTCGAGCTCGGCATCGACGTGCGCGCCGCCAAGGCGGCGGTCTCGCTCGCGGGCACGGCGTCCCTCCACGGCCTCCACGGGAACCATCAGGCGACGTCGGTGCCCCGCGCCCCCAAGTCGGAGGCGATGTTCGGCACGGCCGGCCCGCCAGCGTCGACATCTTCCGTGCACCGACGCGAAGTCAGGGAGTCCAACTCGGGCGCGCCGATGCGTCTGGCCATGGTGCGTTGCTGGCCATGGCGTGTCACCACTGCGCTGGAGGCGCTGCGGCTGAGCCATGCGCAAACCAAATTGATGCGTTCGTCGAATTGCGTGCAGGTGTCGTACTCGTCGTCGCGATTCGCCCCTTCGGAGGTGCAGTCCCATCCGGGCGTGTCGGCGATTCAGAGCCCCCACTCTGCCAGTGCGCGGCAGGAGCAAGAAAACCCCAACGGCGGTCAGCCTGCTTGGAAACGTTTCGGGGCGAAGCTGCCGGGCCTCCATTCCGACGGAAAGCAGCACGTCAACGCCAGCGATGCAGGTGAGAGGACTCCTGCGAGCACAGGCACAGGCATGCAAGCAGGCCTGCCTCCAAGGTCCAAGCAACCCATCGTCCGAGGAGCGCTCGTTTTCCTCACGTCTCTCTGATCATTCTGATCGTTGCAGGAGCTAGGACGCATCAGGGACAGGTACAGCAGAGGGCCACAACTTCGCCCGCTAGCGGCCGGCCGCCGCAGCCGTCCGCGATCCTCACACCTGTGTGCGAGACGACTTCGGCGGCAACGAAGGCGACCCTGGGCCTGTCCACCGGTGGTCAGACGGGCGAGTACACGTCCGGACACCAGCCAGTGCCCGCCAAGCCGGTCGATCATGCCTTCCGTGGCGAGCTGCGAGGTGAGATGCTGCGCAGCCTGTCATGGAGCCTGTCGTCGACAGCCGCTTGATGGTGCAGCCCGAGCCAACATCGCCGCCCCCGCCTTCCTGCGCGCAGGTCAAGTAGGAGGCAAAAAGCGTTCGGGCATATGCCTCTGCTTCGGAGCATGAGTCCATTATCCTACGCACGTCAACGTGACGTGCTCGCGTGAGAACCGCAACGGTGTCAGGCCTGCGCCGCACGAGCCCAGGCGTCACGCGCCGATGCTGCATATGGCACCGTCGTTGCGCTCGGTCCAGCCAATCCGAACACCCCCAGCCGCAGCGTTTCAGCCTCGCAACAAACGTATTCCGGCCCTGCGGATATCAAATCCGAGGCAAAGCGCTGGAGGAGAGGCACCGTGACGCTGGTCATGTGAGCGAGACGCCGTGCATCGTGCGAACGGGGTGCTGCAGTGCTGTAGAGATGATGCGAGCACGGCCACAGACGGCGAGGCGGGCGGTGTCACAGTAATGCTCGGCCGCACGCATCCAGCTCACGGGTCCGACAGCTTCGATCCCAGTGTCATGATGTTCGTCAAGTCTCGACATGCTTGGCAAGCCCGTCAGATCACCACCCCCGATATGCCGATGATGCACGCCGGTATGCAAGTTTCAGAAAGTGGCTTGGTCGGTGATTGGAGGCGGTGCTGGGGCCTACTGCAGGCCGGCGGCGGCCTTGAGGCGCGCGATCTCGTCCATCATGGACTTGACCATGGCCGGGTCGTACTGAGCGCCGCCGGGCGTCATGGCGCCCGAGCCCGGCGTCATCGGCGTCGCGGGGGCGGCCGAGTACATCGGGTTCGCGACGGCGGAGCGCGCCCCGCCGTGGTGCTTGGACAGCGCCTGCGCCAGGACGTCCTTGTTGAAGGGCGTGCCCAGGGTGGGGCCCTCGATGTTGTCGTCGGCGCCGAGCTGCGAGGCCGACGCGGACGAGCTGCTGAACGCCACGACGGGCACGCCGAAGTTCGACTTGACGGCCTGCACGATCGCGGGGTTGGCCTGCGCGACCGAGGGCTGCAGGAGCACCAAGTCGACCGTCTGGTTGATGGACTTGTAGTAGCCCAGGCACTGCATGGCCTCGCTGTCGTTCTGGATGTGCTCCACGGTGACGCTGCACGGCAGCTGCTCGAACTGGCTGCGGAAGAAGGCCACCGTGCCCTCGTCCTGCGCGGCGACCACCACGAGGGCCGACGACGGCAGGCTGTACTTGGGCCCGGACGGCGTGGTCTTCCAGCCGGCGTTCGCGGCCATGGCGGCGGGCGCGGCGGGGAGGCGGCCGCGCGCGGTGCCGAGCGCCACGTCCGACTTGACGGGCCCGAACGGACCGGCGACCATGGGCTTGATCATCTCCTGGTCGATGTGGCTGGGCATCTCCGCGTCCTCGTCGAGCGACGGGCGCACGCGGCGGCCGCGGGACTTGAGCTGGGTGCGCATGTTGCGGATGGAGCGGCGCTGCGACACCGCGTGCGACGCCTGGCGCGTGGCGTCCGGGTCGTCCTCGTCGGCCCAGGCCTCGATCACGCGCTTCGTCCCCAAGAAGTCCACCTCCATGCGCTTGGTGACGACGCCGTGCATGACCACGTGCTCGTGCACCTTGTAGTGCAGGTACCAGCCGAGCATCCCCCACAGGTTCTTCGAGATCAGGTCGCACACGCTCTGGGCGATGACGGAGCCCGACGAGTTGAAGAAGCCGAAGCCCTCCGGCCCCGCCAGGAAGTTGAGCGGGAAGATGGGCCACGAGAGGAAGAACGCCCACGTCATGTACCGCACCAGCTGGCGGCAGATACCCGCGGGGACCACGTGGTAGGACTCGATGTAGATCTGCGGGGAGGGGCGCGCGGGGAGGGGAGCGGTGGGGGAGGGAAGGACGGCGCGCGGGCGGCGGCGCGCGGTGCGGGCGGCGCGGCGTGTGCGCGGGCGGTTGCGGCGCACCTGGGCGGCCGTGTAGAAGGTCGTGCCACCGAAGACGACACCGATGAGGAAGAAGATGATCTTGGGCACGCCCGTGGCGAGCGCGGCGGTGACGCCCATGATGAGGGTGCCCTGGTCAAAGGTGATGAGGCGCATGGTGCGGCTGTTGTACTGCTCGCCCAGGCCCGTGATGTTGGACAAGTGGATGAGCATCACCGGGCACGTCAGCAGCCACGACATGTACCTGCGGCGGGGTGGTCGCGGGCGTCTGGCGGTCGGGCGGGGGCGCCGCGGGGGCGATCTCGGGCGGGGGGAGATGCTGCAGTTGGGTGCCGCGGGACGGGACCCGGGCGCGCACCTGAGCCACGCGGCGGTCGCGCCGTTCGCGTTGTACACCGTGAAGGGCGGGTAGCTCTCGAAGAAGATCTCGAGGATGTAGTACATGGACTCGAGGGCGCCAACGTAGATGACCTCCCACCCGCACGTCGCGACGAAGTACTGGTACGAGAAGAACGTGAACAGCGACAGGGAGATGACGAAGGAGGACTGCGACGAGGGGGAGGGGGCGTGCCGGTGAGCCGTCGCCACGCGCGCGGCCGAGACGGGGAGCCGACCGCAGGGTGGGCCAACAAACAGTTCGTGGCCGCAACGAGCGCGCGACTTCGCCAACGCGCTGGCCAGGATTATATGTACTCACCCACTGGAGGACGCGCGCGAACACCTTCACCCCGCCGCTGCCCGAGTCGATGTACACGAGCTGGCACACCTTCGGAGCGTAGCCATCGTGCTCACCTGCAGCCGAAACCAACAGGCGGGATCCCTAGTTCACTTGCGTTCCCGTCGCAGGCGCGGCACGCGGACGCACAAAGAGCGACGTGCGGCCCGGGCCGAAGTTGTTGATGCTCGGGGGCCCGAGCCGCGAACGCGCGCCGCCGAACAGCACGCGCGGATCTCGCGGCTTGCAAGGCCACGAGCACAACACGGACGTGGGAGGAAAGATGTGGGTACGTCGTCTGGCCGCTCCCACAGCGCCGGGGAGCCGGCAAGGCCGAGGGGGCAGGGGCATCCAGGCGCGCTTCGACAGCGCCCGGGCGCTGTGTACCGGCCGCGGATTCCGGTTGACTGCGGTTTAAACGTCCGTGCACGCTGCTGCCCCGACACAATTCCGTTCGGAGGCGGGCAGGCCGCCCTCGTTGACCGTGGGGCTCACCTTCGCAGACCACAGCGCAAGGAACCCCGCTGCTGGAAGAGCTGCCGGAATCAGTGCCGAGAGCGGTGCTGTCGGTCGCCGCGTGGGTCGTGGTGAACGCCCCCGCGAGGCAGAGGAGCAGCAGGGTAGCCAGGAGGGCCGCAGCCCTGCGTCCCATGCGCACCATTGTGAGGCCTCTGCGACGTGTACGGACGTCCGTGTGGGGCCGCAGAAGTGTGCAAATGTGCCGCGGCGCCCCCCGTCGTCCCCGCGCGGGCGGGTGGTGCGACGTGACGGTCGGAGGCCGGCTCAGTCTGCCGCGGCACCCTAAGTGACACCTTTCCGCTCCTGCGCCGCGCGAGCGCACCAAGGCCCCCGCTTCCCGCGGCCTCGGCGATCCCTGCGAGCTCCGAAACGCCATGGCGGCCGCGGCGCGCACTGTGCGGCACAGCTGGTCCGCCCCTGCGGCTCTCCCGAAGATCTCCTCACAGGCGAGGCCGGGGGCGCGTGGGCGCAATCCCTTAGCAGCTCGACGCCTCGAACTGACACGCATGATCAGCATCCGGACGAACTAGCGCTGCATGGTCGTAATGCGCTCCCAACGAGCGGGCGGGAGCACGCCACGCTGGTCAACAGCCTCGCAGGGTTCGCCCCGAGGACGCCGGCGGACGGTGCGAACAGCGCCTGCGTCGCCCTGACAGCATGCGCACATGGTGCACGGATAAGCCCGGCGCGTCCCGGCGCGGATCAGTCGGTCTGCAGCGGGTGACGGCTGCGAGCCACCTGGGCAGTGCAGCTGGGAACGTGCCCGCGTGGGGTGCCGTGACGACGGCGCCAGGCCGTGAAAGGTGTCCGAGCACTCGGGACCAGCTACGTCCGGGGCGGGCGACGAGACCCGTCCTCCAGCTCGCGTCGCCATCGCCGTGCCGCACGCGCGAGTTGCACCGCCACGCGGGTACGTCCGGGTCATGCCCGCGGCGGGCGTCGGCACGGCCGAGTCGACGGACGCGGCCGCCGAGCGCGCTCCTCCCGAGCGGGCGTGCTGTGTGCCGACCACCACGGCGGCGGCGGTCCCTGCCTGGCTCGTCCCCGTGCTCACGCACGTCACATGCACACCGCGCGCTGCGTCGCGACTCGCCACCCTCTTCGATCACGCCGCTCCGCCACGCAGCAGGGGTCCTCGGAAGGACCGGTGTCGCCTTCGCTCTCCGAGCGGCCGGCGGCGCGCACGGCAGGGTGCTGTGTTGGTGACCAGTCTGCCACCAGCGCCTGGAGCCGCGCGGGCGTCGTGCGGGAGGCGCCGCGGCGCGCCGCGACACTTCGCGGCGACCGTCGCGCCGGTGACGCGATGAGCGCCTTCCGTTACGCGCCCGTGACGAGCAGCGACGACGCGCTCGCGCGGGAGCTCGAGGGCCTGGGCGGCGGCGACGCCACGGTGGGGGCGCTGCAGTGCGTCGTCAGAGTGTGCCCGCTCGCGAACGACGAGTCGCAGAGAATCGTCCATGCCAGGTGCGCCGGCACCCCCCGCAGTGGCCGGGTTCGAAGGCAAGGGGCGTCGAACGGCGCCATCCGAGCTTGAATGCACACGCGACAGCGTCGCGGGGCGCTCCCTCCGCGGGCGGCCCTGGTGGAACGGGCAGGCTTGCATCGCGTGGCCTTTGTCACTAAGAGAGAAATCTGCCGGCCACCATGTCGTGCCAGAGAGAGAGACGGGCCCCCACCACGCACTCGGCTCCAGCGCACTGCATTTGCGCCCTGCCATGCGTGGCCCGGGGCGGCGTTTCACCACTGTGGCCCGCGCCGCGACACGGACGACCGTACCGACGTCTCAAATATCGCGCACCACCGCGACTACCCGTGCTCTCAGAGCCGCCAGGGCCGGTGTCGGTTTGCACCCACCACGTCGCTTTTGCCGGCCTCGTGACACGCGCAGGGACGACTCCGTCGCCGTGACAGACCCCACAACCAGCGACGATGCGAGTGTCGACGCCAGGGCGCGGCGATACCGCGTGCACCGGGCCCACGGGCCCGGGGCCTCGCAGGGCGACGTGCACGGCCCGCTGCTCCAGGACGTGCTGCGGTGGCTGGACGCGGGCTTCCACGCGGCGGTGATCGCGTACGGCCAGGAGGGCACAGGGAAGACGTACACGCTCTTCGGGCCCGGAGGCACCCACTCGTACGAGCAGATAGGTGCGCGACACGACACGATACGCGCCAGGGACGCACCGACCCCGCCGGCGCACACGGCCGCGTCCAACGTGTCCGTCCCCGCAGGCCTCGTTCCGGTGCTGGCGAGGGCGCTTCTGGACAAGTGCGAGGGCAGGCGGTCGTTGGAACTGGGCATGTCTGTGTGGGAGCTGCGGGGACAGACGACGGTGGACCTGCTGCGCACGGGTGAGTCCGTCTCGACGACGACGTCCCCACGCACGGCCGCCGTTGCTGCGCGCGCGGTCGCGACCGCCGCCCGTGGAGGGGTCCGTGGTGCAGGGAAGCCAGATGACGGGCGCGTGCAGGTGCAGAACCTGCCGGGGGCGTGGCTCGAGTTCACCACGGGCGCGGTGGCCACGTCGGACGACGTGCACGCCCTGATGTCCCTCGCGCAGCGGCGCTCGGCGAACTGGGGGCTGCCGGCGGAGGCGAAGCAGGCCCAGCCCCTCGTCGCGCTGCCGAATCGCGCGCACTTTTTCGTCCGCTTCGTCGTGTACGACAGGGCGCAAGAGCGGCTCGCGAGCGTGACGGTCGCGGACCTGGTCGGGCAGTCGTCGTCCGAGGAGCTCTCCCGCAACGTTACCGCGGGCATGCTGACCCAGGTGCGCACGCCCGCGACGTGGCGGGGACGGGGCGTTGGGACGGTCGAGGGGACGCACGTGCGCGTTCACAGCGGCGTCTCCTCCTCGTGCGCGCAGGCCAGCGTGGAGCGGCGGGAGGAGAGCATGAACATAGTGTCCCTCAACCGCCTGGTCGCCGAACTGTCCCGGCGGAACGCGCCGGCCGCAAAGGCGACTCCGCAGGTCGTACCAGCCGTGCAGGACTGCCAGCTGACAAGGTGAGCCCCTCCCAACGCCCTCGACCGCGCCCTGGGGTTGCCGCCGCATCCTGGAGCGCACGAACGAGGCCGCCGCGGCGCGGCGCGCGTGCAGGGTGCTTTTCCCGTTCCTGGCGGGGAACTGCCGGTGCTTCATGGTCGGGACGGTGGCGGACAGCAAGGCGCACTACCTGGACACCATCAACACCATGCGCATTCTCACGCGCGCGCAAGGGATCAGGACGGCGTGCACGAAGAGCTGCGACGTCCGCGGCGAGGACGTGCGCTTCGTGAGTGTCGCCAAGCTGCTGTCGACGGAAGCGGCGCGGGACATCGGGCAGCCGCGCGCAGCACGTGAAGCGACGCAGGGCGGGTCCCTGCCAGACGCGCCGTGGCTGGGGGGCGGCACGAGTGCGGCGGGGGGCGGGCGACAGGACGCGCACCAGACTCTGGTCAAGAACAAGAGCCTGCAAGTGAGGGCGTCCGGGGGCGGCGGGAGCAGCTGTCACAGCTACAGGGACACAGAGGGAGCGGCGCAGACGCAACCGGCGCGCGCAACCGAGGCACCCGAGCAGTCCGACGGGGGAGACGTGCCAGGTGAGTCGCCCGCGACGCGCCACGGGCAGCCCGGCTCGCACACACCCGACAGCTTGCTGCCCGTGTTGCAGGTCATCCTCTCCCGACCCTGGCAGATGTTGTGCGGGGCCGGCGCAGGTGTCGACAGGCAGCCCACGCTGCAGGAAGCCGCGCTGATGTCGTGGGAGGAGCTCGTCGCGGCCTCCGCCAACAGCAACTCGAGCGGAGCCAGGCAGGGAGGCGAGCGCACGGCGCCAAAGTCGCAGGGCATCGCGACGATCCCGAGTCTCGCGCAGTGGAAGGGCGACAGCGAGGCCGGGCAGGGCGCGCCAGCGGACGTGCAGCCGGGCGCCCCCGTCCCTGACACTTCTGGCAGTGTCAGGGGCTCGGAGGCGGAGGGGGGCCTCGCGACCGAACAGCCGCCGCCGGCCGTGGAGCACGAGCCGCGTTCGCCCGACGTGAGCCGGATCGGGGCGGGGCAGGCGCAAGACGAGACGGCGCTGTCGCCTGACTCGCAGAAGCTGGTCCAGGACCTGCACGCGCTGGAGCCGGAGGACGACGGCGCGGGGGACGCGGGCGACACGCAGGGCCAGGGCGCTCGCGGCGTCGAGCGTCCACTGCGGCCCGAGGACGTGTCCGGCGGCGACCAGAACGAGGTGCTGCTGGCGATGCTCAAGGCGGAGCGCCGGAAGCGGGAGCTGGCCGAGGAGAGGTGCAAGGTGAGGCGGAGGGCGTGCTGGGCGTGCGTGTGTCGCGGGCGTGGCGCCGGGGAGGTGACGCGGCGGGTGCGCGGGTTGTGCTGTGCAGGCGATCGAGTTGGATCGGCTGGAGCAAGCGACGGTGTACGAGCTGCGGCTGGAGGACGCGCGGAAGGAAGCCACGCGCGTGAATTCGCGGTGTCGCGCGCTGCAGGTGCGATTTGGGCGGCGCTGCATGCGACGTGCGTGGCGTTGCTTGTGCAGGTTGCAAGTGAGCTGGCGTTGCTGAGGTCCTCGCAGGCGGAGGTGGGGATGGCCGAGGTGTTCGACCGCTACGAATCGGACATCGCAGGCCTGCAGAGGGAGGTCGAGAGCCTCCGCAAGGGGCACTCGCAAGCGTTGCAGAAGGTGCGGGTGCTGTTGGCGTGTCGCGGCCTTCCCGACCATGACGTGACGCCCCCTCGCGGCTCACCCGCGCCACGAGCGTTTGATCGGTGGGACGCAGGCGGCCGTGCTGGAGGCGGAGCTGCAGGCCGAGCGCAGTGCTGCCAGCGCGGCAGGTCGCAACACGGTGCAACAGAGCCAGGCTTCCAAGAACAAGAACGAGTGGCTGACGAAGCGGCTGAGCAGGTGTGTGGCGCTGGACGTGCTGACATCGCTGCCTCTTGCGGTACAAGTAGCACGGCGTCCAAACCACGCCGGACGCACTATGCTGTCCTCGCAGCATCGAGGCCCGCAACGAGGAGCTGCACCTCGAGATCGCACACTTGAAGCAAGAGGAGCGCGTGTGGATGGCTGGGAAGCGCGTCAACGAGCGCCTGCGCGACAAAGTGAAGGACCTGCAGCAGAAGCTGCTGCACAAGGAGCAGGAGATGGTCGACAGGTGCGCGCACAACGAACGCGACGACGACCTGGCGACCTGACGACCAGGAATCGCGCGTCAGCGGAGCCATCACCCGGGCGCCGCACGTCGCACCCGTGGCAAACCAAGAGGAAACTGCTGACAGGTTGTGTTCTTCCCGTGTGCCGCCGTCCCTCACCGCCCAGCCAGCCCCCCTGCTGCAGATCCCTTGAGTCGCGTGCCGCCGTCGCGGAGAGCCAGCGCCTCGCGGACCTGGTCCGGAAGCAGGAGGCAGAGGTGCGCGCCCCACTCCCCACTCCCCGCCGGCGCCGACCCCGCGCAGCCCTTTGTGCCACCGCACGCACGCTCCCATGGATAGCGCGGCATTCGCGCATCCGACCGCGTCGCCCGCGGCGCTCGTCCGTGCAGCTGGACGACCTCTTCAGCACCAACAAGGACCTGGAACTGTCCCTGCGGACACTGCGGCAGCAGGTGAGCGCGCCCGCCAGGTGTCCCGGCGCTCTACGTGTCCCGGCGCTGCTGGGTGCGCCTCCGTGCAGATCAAGCGGGACACCTTTCGCTTCCCCGCAGGTGGTCGACATGCGCGTGGCAGAGCGCACCACGCTGCTGAGTCGCGGGGCGCGGCCCATCAACCGGGACGCGGGCGAGTGGCCTGGGCCTGGTATGAACCGAGTGTAAGCGCCCGCGGTGCCTGGGCGCCCCACCGCACGCGGTCTGCTTGCAGCAGCAACAGTTGCGCGCCACGCTAGCTCATCCCCGACGCAACCCGTGTCGCTTTCCAGGATGGATCTCGTCAAGGTGGTCAGGTCACAGGTCGGCAGGTACTCGCGGGCGGAGGAGACGCTAGACCGCTTGGTGACGGAGTTGAATGGCCTCAAGAGGGAGGCGTCGGCCCTCCTGGAGCGGGAGAAGCTGCTCATGGAGGACGCGGTGGCGGTGCAGGCGTCGAGGAGGCCGGGCGCTGTGAGGGCGTGATGCGGCCGGAGTGGTGCGAGGGCGGCTCCTGCGGGCGCAGAGGTGCTCACTCTTGACCCTCGGGTGGTGCATCCGGTGGCTGCAGGGAACTTGACGGTATTGGCGGAGGGCGCCACGCCGGTACCGTTGGCTCCGCGCGCCCCGGCGGCCACGGACCGTCCGATCCCCCTGCGCCCAGGGAGGGTTGGGAGCTGCGCTCTGGAACGACGCAGCGAACGCGCACCGTGCTGGGCGAGCCTCGCTCCGTGAGGGGGGCACGCACCAGACGCATCGTCCGGCGCCCAGGGCTTCCGCTTGGCCTGTTGCGAGGAGCCGAGGGGCCGGGAGCGCGCTTCGTTGGTTGGGGTGTTGTCGATCGACGTCCTGATGCCGGGCACCGGCTGCCCGCGGCGAACAAGGTCCAACACGTCGGTGTAGCTCAGAGCCGGCGGGCTGCCCCCGGGAGCTCTCGGTCCGCCTCTGGCAGGCTCAGGAGTGCCTTGCTGTGTTCCACCGTCACGCGGGACGTCCTGTGGCGCCGCGAGGGCAGGACTCCGTAGTCCCACGTACAGGAGGGCGCGGTGCGTGATGGAGTGTGCCAGGTCGTAAATTTCTCTCCCTTTGTAGTATGCAAGTGCAGCTGTCAACAGGAAGCCTGCCGCCAGCCACGGCGTTCGACTCGTGCGCGGCGCAACCTGCGACTTCTCCTCTTGCACAGCCGAGTCTCTGGCAGAAGCTTCCCACGCGTGGTCTATTTCAGCCGCGGTGATGCCTTTGCCCAGCAGGAACTGCCGTTTGTCCGCCTCGCTTGCGTGCCTCACCTGCACGACACCTTGCGGACAACGCTCATAAATGCGTACTCGCAAGTACGTCTCGACACGATCGAATATGTCGGGCCGGGCGTCGGCTGGTGAGGGGCAGCTTGGTGATGCACACAGGGGTAGGCGCACCCCCTCGGCATGGGATTCGACCTTTGGATTCGACAGAAACTTGCGAGCGTTCTCTACTGCGTGTGGCCGCAGCGTCGTCCCGGCCATTGTGCGCGGCCCCTGCGAGAGCGCATGTCATGCGCGGACTGCGGATGCAGCCATCCCGTGGCGAGCTGACGCAACGTCGTCGACAATGCAGAATCCCACTGGCCTCCCAGCGCTCCCGTGGAGCCAATGCGACAGCGCGTCGGATCCCGGGACTGTCATTCCCTCGGCAATCGAAGGCCCCTCCTTTCCCGAAGGGATGTTCGTGCGCGGTCCGTCCAGACGCGTTCAGCCGGACTCACTGGACATGCTGGCGAGGATAGTCGCCCACTCCGTAGAGATGGCATCGACAAGGACGTGGTCGGGACTGCACGCGGCGGTCTCGGCCAAACGCCTGGAGGACCTCGGCGCCGTGCTGTGCACGGAAGGAGGAGAGACGGACGCCGCGGCCGCCGCAACGCTCGCGGGAAAGGTCACCAAGACCTGCTGGGTTGATATTTCGGGCGCACTCGCGCTGCTGTCTGGGGCCGCGGGGAGCGAGGCAAGGACTGGCAGCGATGCGAGAACCGACCTGAACGGGCACGATCAAGACGCCCAGGCCGCGTTTCAGAAATCATTGATGCTCGTGCGCATAGCCTCGGGGCTTTCTGCGCGAGAGGAGCCGGTGAACTCGGCCGAGGCCCTGCACAACATATGCACTGAGGCTTCCAAGATCGCCCTGCGGTCGGAGCGGGACACCGGCGCGACCTCGGTGGCCGTGACCTCCCTTCAGAAGCTCACAACGACGTACATCGCATCGCTGAGCAAGCCGACCGCGCTTCAGGTGGGAATTCGCGCCAACTGCATTTGATGCGAGGCACACGCTACGGCCCACCATTCCGACGCTCGCGGCGACGGCAGCCGCATCAGTCGTGGTTGTCTATCGCGCGAGCTGTTCGCAGCGTTGAATTTGTCTTGGCCCAGGACGTTCTTCTGGTTTCTGCAGGTTATTCGAAATCTTGCGTTGACGACAGCGCGGTGCTTCCGTCCGAGAGCATGGGAGCCCCCGGCAGCACCGGGGATGACGGAGGAGGAGCGCAGGATAGCGCAGGCCGCCGCCGCATCCATCCAGACGGCAGCGTCGCGGGTGACGGGTGGCATCACGGAGGTGGAGCTCGCGGCGCACACGCTCAAAGCGTGCACCGACGCCCTGCAGACGATGACGCGAGGTGCGGGGACGTGCACGCAGGGCGCCGTCCAGCAGATGCCCTCGGCCGCTGCGCACCCACCCACGTGCTGACTGCGGTGGAGTTGCGCCTTGCAGGAGGCAATCTCACGCAAGACTTGGCGTGCTCGGCGTCTCTAGTGGCCATCTTGAAAGCCATCAACAACATCGCGAGCGAGTCTCGGTCCCTGGCGGCGAACGTGGCCCCGCAGCTCGTGCAAGTGCTCAGTGGGCTTCTGGGGTTCGGCCTCTCGCTGCCCGGGCCACGAGCGAAGCAGGAGGGCGGGGCCGGGGGGGCGGCGAGCGCAGCCGCAGGTACTGCCACGTGCCCTGCTGGCGGCGCGTGCGTCGTGTCAATCGTCCGCATCGCTCTCTCGTCAACGCTTCCTCGTGTTGTCTCCTTCGTTCGCAGTGTTCGTTCCCCCGCACCGTCGCGAGAAGTCGTCGCCGCGGGTGGGGCGCAACGCGCGGCAGCTGTCCACGGGGGGAGCGGTCGACGGGTCGGCGAGCGAGGCTGACGGGGTGGACGACCCCATCAACGCCTCGAAAGTGCGCCTGGGCGCTCTCGCCTGCCTGCAGGCGTGCGTGCGCGCGGACTCGTCGTCGGTGCACTCGTCGTGGCAGGCGCTGTTCCCCTCGTACAGCACGCCGCAGGTGTTCCGGGCTGCCGCGCCGCCCGTGCCCCTGCTGCAGCGATGTCCGTCGCTCCTAGGATCGCTGCTGCACGACCCCCACCACAAAGTCCGCTCCTCGGCAGCCGCCACGATCGCGATGATCCTCGAGGCCCCGAGCCACAAGAAGTACTTCGCCATCGCCGACAACAGGTGCGCCGGCAACACCCTGCCAACGCACCCGCAAGGCTGCGCCCCCCGGGCTCTGCACACCCGCACGCGCGTCGAGGGACCGCTGCACCACGCAGGTCATCGGGGCACCGCCAGCGCCAGGGGTTCACGTCCGCGTCGGAGACTCTGGCTCAGGTCCTCCTGGTCCTGCACGCGGCACTGCTGCACGCGAGCGCGGAGGAGAAGGAGCCCGCGGCGCTGGCGGCGTGTCTACGCACGCTTGCAATCGCGATCTCCGTGACGCCGTACGAGCGTCTGCGGCCGTCCACCCTCCCGGCGGACGTGCTGGTCGTCGTCGCCCAGGAAGTTGAAGCACTGGCCGCGCTGCCCCCCGAGAACACCGGCACGATGCTTGCGAGTGCGCTCACTAGCACAGCCGCCGTACTCCAGGTCAGTGAGGGCCGGTCGCTGCGCTCGGACGCCCGAGGTCGCCGCAGGCAGCAACGCCTGCACCCACGCAGTGGTCCACGTCGTGTTCGCAGGCGCAAGACGCGGATGGCGCGATCAGAGCCCTGCTCACTTCTGCAGCCAGCGGGCAGGCGGGCGACTCGCGGCTCCCCGCCGCACCTCGGGGCGTGCAGAGTCTGCCCAGGACGGTCATTGATCTCTGCTCGTCGAGCTCGCAGGGCTACCACACACGCGTGGAAGGGATGTGCGCGCTGGCATCGCTAGCCAAGTGCCATCCGATGGTCCTGTTCGACCACTTGAACGACATCCTCGCGCTCACAGAAGCAGCACTGTCAGGTGCAGCCCACGCGTTTCTGCAGCTGCACGTTGCTCGGTGGCACGCCGGCATGCGAGGGTGCACGCGATCGTAACGCCCCCCGAACGGCGTGTTTGCTGCAGGGCCGTCCCCCGTGAGCCCGCGCGGCATGAAGTCGCCCGCCAAGTCTGGTCATCAGCGCAAACCCTCCGCAGGGGGCGCGCCTGGGGATTCCGGCCAGGACCGCTTTGCGCAGCAAACTCTCAGAGTGATCGAGTACATCCTCGAAGCGCTGTCCTGCACCGGCGACATGGAATCAGACACGACTGCAGGCAAGGGCACATACGCATTGCACGTTGCTCTACCAGGGCGGAGGCGTTCGTTCGTGCCGTGTACCGAGCGTTGAGGGTCGGCATCACCGCATGACTGTGCAGGGGAAGTGGCTGAGCGCCTCGCTGCGGTGCACATTCAGTCGGGCACCGGAGAGATGCTGGAGAAGGTCATGAACGTGCACGTGCGGCTGGGGATGCAGCACCCGTCCGCGATGGTCCGAAGTGCGGCGCTCGCCTGTGTCTGCGCCCTGGGTGGCACAGGCCTGACCCAGCTGACGCGCCAGACGCAGGCGTTCGTGGTCTCGCACGTCACCATGGAGGCGCGGAGTGGCACGCCTGCGGCCACGCAAGCAGCCGCGTGCAAGGCGCTCGGCTCCATCGTGTCCAGCGACGTCCTCTCGTCGTCGTTCGCGCAGCTCGAAAGCATTTTCGGGACCATCGTCGGCTGCCTCACTGCGCGTGTGGGCAGCATCAAGATCGCGGCGGCGTGGTCCCTGGCGAACGCGTGCGATTCCGTGCGCGCGGCAGTTCGGCGCGGGGCCCTGCCTCCCGACCAGGGTCGTGCTTTGACGGCAGTCGCGGCGGCGCATGCAGTTGACACGGCAGCTGGGAACGACAAGGTTCGTGCACACGGGCTGCGCGCCCTGTGGCACATCCTGAGCCTCGACGCCACGCAGGAGGCGCCCAGCACGCATGAGGGCAGGGACGACCGCTGGCTGGTCGCGGCCTCGCAAGCGCTTCAGACGGCACTCGCCACTGGGAACGCTAAAGTGCAGTGGAATGCCTGCCTCGCGGCCGGCAGCCTGCTCGGGCACCCCTGCAGCGCCCAGAAGGGCGAACTGGCTCTCAAGGTTCAGATGATAGTCCAGTCCCTTCTTTTGCTGCTTCAGGTGCGTGCTACGGCCGTGGCGGTTCCATGCAAGAGCTCCTTCCTCGCTCCGGGTGCACTTCATGTCAACGCACCCCCTCTCTCGCAGAACTCAAGCAACATGAAAATCCGCCTGCATGCTGCGGCCGCAATCAGAGAGGCTCGCGGGCGGGAGGTGCTGGGCGACTGCTTCCTGACAGCCGTTCAAGCCCTCATCAACGTCTCACGGTCGCTCGACCCGGTGCTCGGCGAAGACGAATCGACCTTGCAGCCGTTCGGCCCCGACTCCCGCGCCCCTGCTCAGCCCACGATCGCTCAGGACGAGCTCGAGCGCGGCCAGGAGTCGCACCGGTCCCTGGGCACCCTGAGCGCGCAGGTCGCCCGCACCGTCGCTACGCTTCTGGGGTGGTGCGTCGTCGGCGACGCGAGGCCCCTGCGAGACGTGCTTCTGAAGCGCAGCCGCATGCTGCAAGGTCTCCTTGTGGCGCTCAGGGACACGGACGACGAGGACAACGACAAACAAGTGACGCTGCACCGGTGCGTGGCCCCGTGCCCGCGCGCTAGCAGACTTGCTCGCACAGAACTGCACTGGAGCAGGCAGGACCGCAGCACGGCCTCTCGATGCGTGCAGGATCTCGGGCGCAGCGACAGCGCTGGTGGCTATCTATGCATCCCTAGAGGAAGCGTGCACGCGCGAGCTCGACATCGCTGTGTGTGGGGAAGCGAGGCACGCCCTACAGGACCTTGTGCGTCCCGCGGCGAAGTGAGGCTTCGTAGCGCACGCGTGTGACCGAGCGCCAGAGAAGCTCGGTGTCGCGACACCTCCGCAGCTGGCGTGCACAGCGTGATCAGGTTCACGACTCGATGTCACTCGCCAGGAACCGTCGTCATGGAGCCTATTTGTGTGTGATGTGCAGTTGGATGTCTGTGTCCACGTCGTGGTAGGGCCCGTTGAGGTCGCAACGTTGCGCGACGGCCGCGAAACAACAGATTCGTCCACAGCCACAACGTCGCCGTCGCCTACAGCTTCGTTGCTGACCAGAAGGACGCGTACATGTTGACTCGATCCATGCAGTCCACCTTGTCCGCCCGGCTGATGCACTTGACCTGCGTCGCACATCGCAAGGCGCGCGGCTGATGCGCGGGGCGTGCGTCGATCAAGCACAGGATCGCGCCCGGGTCGCCGCCGCGTGTTCTCACCTTGAACCCTGCCTTCTCGACGAGCTTGGCGTACGGCGGCTCGTACGACGCTGACCGCCAGATCACGACACCGCCCTTGACGACCTGCTTCCCGAGAGTCTGCGCGAGCTCCTCGCAGGACTCCACGGGGAGCCAGTCCGCGTGGTCCATCATAATGACCTTGCTGTACTTCCTCTTCGCCAGCTCGGGCACGAAGAAGTTGTTCGCGACCGTCAGGTTCTTGATCTTCCCGTTCTTCAGCTCCTGCAAACGGAAGGTCCGCGCGGAGAGCCTGTTCGCCCCGCATGTGGGCCTGGCAGGGCAGCGCACCCCCCTCCTTGGCCGACCATGCTGTTTGCTCCCGGGGGGCGCTGGTCTCACCTGGAACCCGTGCTGCGTGAGGAACGACGGACAGCACTCCTTCGAAAACCGGCCGGTGAGGCAGTTGTAGTAGAAGTAGTTGTCGTTGCGGACGTGGGTGTTCATCGCCGCACTGTGGAACGTGCGCCCAACGTACCTGCAGGCGCGTGTTGCGAGGGCGGACTGTTCAGGGCGCTGCACGACGTGCGGCATAGCGCGCGGGCGTGCGGGCCGGCGGTGCGCGGCGGGCGTACTCGGTGATGTGGACGCCGTCCTTCTCAATGAGCTCGAGCTGCTTCAGAGGCACGCCGCCGCCGAACCACATGACGAAGCGGTTCAGGAAGAGGATCCCGCACAGCGACGACAGGATCCATTTCAAGAAAGCCGGCGCGTGCAGGAACAATCGCACCGCCCAGCAGCCCAGCCAGACCTGCAGGACAGCACACCTCGGGCGTGCTTCACGACGCTCGGGGCGCGGGGCGACGCGCGGGCGCACACGTACGCTCGCCGGGTCGCACCTTCCGCTGCTCCTCGAGCGTCGGGGCGTGCACGAACTTGTCCAGCGTCTTGGTTAGGAAGAAGATGCGGCACAGCACAGCCATGGCCCACACCACCATCCCCATGCCCCCCTGGTAGTACAGCCCCCCGCGGAAGTAGTGCAGGCGCGAGTTCCAGAACTTGAGGGAGTTCTCCGACAGCCACGGCGCCAGCTCGCGCTCGTACAGCCTCTCGATGTCCTCGTGCTTGCCCTCCCCGAACAGCTTCCACGCGTCCTCGTACGACCCGTGCTCGATCGCCGCCTTCTTGATCTCGACGAGCGCCGACTGGGCGGGGTTGCAGTCGACGGTGACGACCTCCCGCGCGCCTTGCAGGCACAAGTTCAGCGCATTGCAGCCACCCGACGTGAGCGTGAGGACAACGTCATCGGAGTTGATCTTCAGGACCTGCGGGAGCGGCACGTGTCTGTGCGGTTGCCGTGCCTGCGCAGATCCGCCGTGCGGGGTGCTCCAGGCGACCCAGGGGGAGGGAGTGCGCACCTCCATGTCGGGGCGCGGGTCCTCCCAGGACTGCGTGTACAGGAACGTGGGCGGGAACCGCGGGGGCGCTTCGTGGTGGAGCTCGTTCTCGAGGTCGACGTCGACGCCCGGCTTGCCCTTCTGTCCCACCCAAACGTACCACGGCGCCCTCAGGTACGGCACGTACGGGATCGAACCCTGCGAGGCGGGACACGACGTCGAGCGGCTGTCAGCCCCGCCGCCGGCCTCGACGCTCCGGGTCCAGGGCGTTCGGAGCACCCGCTCGCGCACACAATGACGCGCACCTGGCTGTTGACCTCCATGACGCGCTGGAGGCGGTGCTCGAGGTACGCACGCCGTTCGGGACCGATGTCGATGTTGTCGGTGTCGAACGTCGCCCGCCAGAAGAACCGCCGGATCCACGACATCCGCCTGAGCGGCGAGTCGTACTTGCCCGACACGAAGAAGTCCGCCACACCTGCAGCGGCGACGCGGGGACGCGGGGCGCGCTGGATGGGGCGGAACTGTCACGCGGAGGGTGGCGGCGGTGTGCTGCTGCGCGCTGGTCCGGGGGCGCACCGAGGATGGCGTCATCAGCCATCATGTCGATGGCGTTGTCCACGGCCGAGAGGAACGGCGGGATCATCGTGAGGGAGTAGGAGAACGTGACCAGGTCCGCCTTGACTGCGGGCTTGAAGGTGCACGCGTCCGCCTCGACGACCTCCACATTCCTCCACTTGTGCGCCGCCACCTTCTCCTCCGCCTGCGGCCAGCGGACGACGCGCGCTCGCTCGCGAACTCGACGATCGCGCGGCAGGCGTGCGCGCACCTCCACCGCCGCGTGCGCCCCGCGCGGCCCTCACCTGGCGACAAAGCGACCCGCAGAGGTCCACCACGTAGATCTTCTTGAAGTGCTTCAGGTCGATGTAGTCCGCCATCATCTCCACGTTGCGACCCGTCCCGCCGCCAAGGTCCACCCAGACCAGGTCCTTGCGCCCCGTCTCCCTCAGCCGCGCAGCAGTGGCCGCCAGCATAGGGCGTCGGCCCCACAAAAAGTGCTCCCGGAACTTGTCGTCTGCGCCCGGTGCCGGAGGACGCGGCGCGTGACGTGGCGGACAGACCGAGGCGCGGGGGAGCGGGCGTGCTGCACAGCGGCCTCGCGCGCGCCGCTCTCCGGCAGCGCGAGTGACCAGGGGGGACGTAGGCGCGGGGCGCGCCCGTGCGGTGGGCTCAGGGCGCCGTGTTGCGTGGCCGGGCGCGGAGCGACACGCACGGTACACGAGGGGCGCATCGTGCCAGCGATCGGCCTGCACGGGGCGCCGGGGCGGCGTTGATTCTCGCGAGGGCACAGGAGCGTACATTGCGCAGCTTGGCCGCTGTAGAATCCTTCGAGACGCGCGGCATGGTCCACGTCTGCCTTCAGGGACTTGAACCAGATGTTCTTCAGGACCTCGAGGTCCTGCTTCACCCCCCTCACGCCCTGCAGCGTGCAGCGGGGATCGCGGTGCAACCTCAGGCTCGCCAGGGTTCCAGGGCTGCCGCGGATTCCACGCAACGGCCGGCTTTCTGCCCGTGGACGCCCAACAGCGGCACTCCGGCTCATCTCTGCTTCACCGTGACGCATTTGGATGCCGCCGCGAGTCCCGCGCGGGCACCCGACGGGCACCCCTTGCCCCACAAGCTGGGATGCTCGCGACGGCTGTCCTCCAGCCCGCGAGGTGCGACGGGAGTGCGCGCAGGGAGGATGCGCCTGTTCGTGCGCAGGCATTCGTGGCGCGATCGGAGCCGGAGGAGGTCAGGCCCGGGGACGGGGTCCGCAGTCCTGCCAGTGACGAGGGATCGCTCGACGCGTCCAGGAGCATGGCACGCCGCAGCGCCTCCCGCTCGGTACGCAGAAAAATGGCTTTCGAGCTGCCGAACGTTCGGTCCGCTCACCTTCTTGAGATCGCCGAAAAACGACTCCTGAGGCGCCGTGGCAGCCGAGCCGTTTGCGCGGCCCCCGCTACTGTCGCCACCTTTCCCCATTGAGCCTCTTTCGACGGTCCGTCGTGGCCGAGATGCGAGTGATGCGGCCCTCCGACGCCGCGCATCATCACGGCGCGACGCTCCACGCCGTCGTCGCGGACGGTCGAGGCTCAGACAGACGGGCTCGCAGGGGTGTTCGCGGCGGAGGGGAGCAGCGGGCGGCGCCGCGGTGTTCAGGGGCCTGTCGTGTGGCACCGGCGCAGATCAGGCTCGCACCGCGCGCGGCACGAGAGGCCGCGCATACAGCTTCTGGTTGTTTGGGGCATGAGCGAGCATGACGTAACCTGCTTCCGGGGTGAACGTCGATCCTAGCAGTGCACACGAGCGCGTTGTGCCATACCAGGGCATTGCAGCATGTGCGTGTCAGCGAGCTAGAGCGACGAGCAGGGAGGTCGCGTTGCTGAAAAGAGGCAGGCAGGCAGGCAGCGGTCCTGGACATGGACCGACCAGTAGACGTCGACGACCTTCATGTTGACGTCAAGTCGAAGGAGCGGGAAACCAAGGGAGAAGCCCCGCAGGTACGCCGTGGCTGTCTGCCGCTCCTGGGCGAGGCCGGCCTCCACACAGGCCGCCCGTGCCACTGCCCGCTCCTAGCCTCTCAGGCACCGTGCGACGCCCCCTGATGCGGAGTGTCGCGTCGGGCAGCTTCTGGCACACGGCCGCGCTGTGCTGCCCGTGCACGACCCGCGAGGCACCTGGCCCTGAGTGCGCAGGTGGACGCGTCGCCGCGAGGTAGCACCGGCAGCGAGAGTATCGAACTGCGGGTGAGATGGAAAGACGACGCTGGGGGGGCTCTCGCGGAGGTGTTCGAATATGAGCAAACGCCAACTCCAGGATGGATCACTGCTGGTCCTGACGATCAGTGCTGCTGCACCATTCAGTAGTAGTAGTTAGATTATATTCATGGAGTGCCGGACACAAGTCTGCTTTCCGGACTACCGGCTCTCCAGGCCATGTGCCGTCGCGCCACATCATGCCGCAACGCAGCGCGCGGCAGGCGGCCACTCACGGACCCGCGAGTTGCGGCGAAACGTGCGTCACGCCCGGCGCGGCGCCTGCCCCTTCTCGACGAACCTGCAGCCCGCCAGATCCACGCCCGTGTCGGGAGGCACACGGCCCGCCCCTTCGGGCGCAAGCGACCGGAGTGATGCATCTCGAGTGATGCTGGCGCTGCCACTATTTCTGCTGCACATCTCTTCTCTCACGGATAGGGGGAATGACTTGCCAACGGGTGCCTGTGATGGACTTACAGCGGCGCGCCACGGCATCGCGAACAGGGGGCGCGATGCTGCCTCAGCGCCCTGCAACAAGACCATGCCCTGAGCCTGCTACTCAGGGCAGCCGGCGCGCTGGGCAGCCTCGAAAACTGCCTGGCGGCCGGGCAACCGCGACGTCGACGATCTTGCATGTTCACACGGCCGCACGATCTGCATCTTGCCGATGCGCCAGTGGGCATGACCTGGTGTCAGCGCTGGCACCCACATCAGTGATACACCCCCCCCTGCGACCGCGAGGTCGTGCCCGCCAGCAGCGGGCCGTCGCTCCCGGAAGCCATCAACCAGGGCGACTGCGCGTGGGTCGTTGGTCCTGCGTCAGTCGCGCTTCGGTGGCAAAATGTAGTACTCAATCAACCTGCAGTCCACAGACCCAAGGGTCAGCGGGTGCCGCTGGGCAGCCTTCATCCGCAGGTGCCTCGTGACGTCCTTGTTGCCGCTCAGAATGTACGCCCTGCTCCCGCCGCACTGCTCCCTGAAGAAACTCGCCAGGTCCCTCCATGCACCCGCCAGCGCCTGCAGGGCGGCTGACAACGCCGTTGTTCGTGACTGCCGCGAGCAGGGCGCATGCGGAAACGAGAGGGTCACCGCAGCAACTACGGCCAGGCAGCTTGCGGACATCTGTCGGCTGCTCGCAGGCACACCTCGTTCTCGTCCTCGTGACCGCGTCTCGCGCCACGCTCGTCGTGCAGCCGTCTGCCCCAGGGGGGGTTCGTGACGATCACGTCGGGTGCGCGAGGCAGCCGCCAGGACACGCAGTTTCCGTGGCGAATGGCGACATTGCCCGCGCCCGCACGGGAGGCACACTCCCGCGCCAGTGCAACCGCGCCCGGGTGGATCTCCGAGCCAACGATGACGTGCCTCGAGTCACGCTTCCCTGCGTGAGCCAATTCCTTCGCGCGGTCCTGCAGGCGACGTCGCGACGCAACATGTCAACTGACGGAGGTGTGAACCATCGTCCCCCTTGTGTACGCACCGCTCCCGCAACCACCGCACGTACCAGTTCCGCCCTCCAAACGACCTGGTCGGCGTCGGGCCAGCGTAGAAACGGCCAGTCCGCCCTCCACAGACCAGGTGGCTGTCTAGCTGCCATCATCGCTGCCTCCACCAGGAACGTGCCGGAACCGCACATGGGGTCGACAAGCACAGCGTCATCGGCCTGCAGCGAGTAGTGCACACGTGCCGTGTCGCAGGGGCGCAGACGAGGCAGCCCTGCGCTGTTTGCGACTGCTGTCCAACCCGCCATGGTCTCAGGAAGCGGACGCCGCTGGAAAGACACACACCTGAGCGCAGATCTCATCCCAGCCCGCCAGCTGCAGGATGCCGGCGGCGGCAACTTCGTTCAGTGCCGCCTTGTGCACCACAGACCGGTACCCTCGTTTATGAAGGGATGTGCCCGACAGGTCTCTCCAGAACACGACCTCTGGCCCGTACACTGAGACGTGGAGCGGCACGTCCGCGACGCCAGTCGGGGGCGCAGGGCGCAGCCCCGTGGTGTCCCGGACAGCATCGCAGATGGCGTCGCGAACGCGGGTTTTGATTATCGTGGTGTTGCGCACGTCGGGATTGCGCGCCGCGGTCGCATCGACGGAGAATGTCGCGTCGGTGCCGCCCAGGACGTCGGCCCACGGCACCAGATCCCTGTGCGAGAGTGCCAAGAGGGCCGCATGTCAGGGCCGTGGTGAGCATGACACGCCCTGGCCGGGCGCTGATGATGTTTGCGGCGGGACGCATCTCGCTGGCGACGCCAGCAGGGGCTTCCTGCGAACCGACCATCCGCGGCGCTGGCGGAGCAGCAACAACGCGAGGGGCGCACCTGGTCATCTGGTACAGCTCGTCCCCCACGTGTCCGCCTTGCAGAAATCTGCGGTCGACAGAACGGCGGGGCGCAACGTGACCTGTGCGTTGCGACCAAGCGGGTGGGCCGGCGGAGGCGGTGGCGATGGCACGCAGAGCGCACCCGCTTGCAAGCCGCTGGCGGATGCGGATCGCTGTCCGCAGCCACAGACACGACCTGTAGCACATCCCCACATCGCCCCGGAACATCACGCCCGCGCGCGCCTCGCGAATCTCCTGCAGTGGCGTCACGGCCAGGGCAGCTGCTCAATGTGCATGCGAAGCACCTCACTTCGACGCACGGGCCCGTCAGCGCCGGCGCTCGCGCGCCGCACGGCCTCCAGCGATCGCCCCCCCCGCGCTCAGTGAGCGCCAAGCAGCGTGCGAACGCAATGTTTGGGTGGCAGACCATTGCGCCGAGATGTTCCAGTTCCCGCGCCAAGACCTCCTGCAGACGCCGACAAACTCGGAGCGGGCGATACGTTGCGTGTGTTGGAACGGGAGTGCGCGGGGCGGGGTCGCCCAGGGCCAGCGTGTGTGTGCCGTCAGGAAGGCAACGACCGTCGTTGCTGCGGGTGACCTGCAGCAGCCCTGACCTCGAGCCCCGGGTGACAGGAAGCGAAGAACACGTGAAGGTTGCCGCCCTCGTCACGCACTCGTTGCGCCGACATCTCTCTCGGTGCAGGCGCTCTGCCCGCCGGCACTGCCGAGCACTGCTGATCGCGCCTGGGGCGAACAAGCAGGCGCTGCGACGCACACCGCCCCTGCAAACGCTCAGCGCCGCGGTGGATGTCCACATCTGAGCGCTGCAACTCACAACATCCGCGCACGCCGGCGCGAAGGAGGCGGGGCATGCTACGAAGCAACCACTGCACGTGGACATGCGTACAGCGCGAGGGCGGGGCATTGCTGCTCACGTGCCTTTGCACCATGTGGCGCACATGCCCGTGGTGCGCGGAAGAGCGGTCGTCTCCAGGCTTGGACGTGCGCCAGTGTACGCATAGCTGCCACCATTGTGTGAGATCAGTCAAGCAGGGCCCCGCCCTGCCGGTTCCAGGAGCCTGACATCGAGCGCGCGAGTGTCCGATGTCGTGCTAGGCCGGGGGCATCGTCCACCGAATTTTCCGCAGGCGTTTCCGGTCCCCGCGAGGCCCTCTAGGACCCCCCCCCGCGCGCCACTGGCCGAAACGCCCCGACGGAGCCCCTTTGGCCAGCGTGCGGCACATGTCTGGCATCTTTGTGCTGGCCCTCGTCCGGTAGTGGGCGTGATCTCTGCTACAGCGGCCTCGAGTCCGCGTGAATACCTCGAGGACAGCATGGGCGACGTCTCCCTTGACCAGCGCCGCAGGCGCAAGCCCGCGGCCAAGACCGATGCCCCGGACGCGATCGTTCCCGACGTTGATGCGGGCTCGGGAGATGCCGGGCCGGCGGGCCGGCAAGAGCCTAACGCTGCGCCGGGCAAGCTGGCTCGCAACGACAGGCAGCGCAAGGCTACGAACGGAATCTGGATTCTGCGTATTCCTCGTGCGGAGAAGGACAACGCCAAGCTCGACCACCTGCAGGCGAAGTTTTCGGGCCTGCTTGACACTGTCAAGGTCTTGAACGAGTCCCTGCGTCTGAAGCGGGTGCGATACATCCCATCCAGATTCACCTCCGCCCCCCTTGCAAAGCCCACGAACCGCGATGGCTGACAAGCGGTGCTCGCGCGGGCCACACCGAGCGCGAGGCCTCGTGCCCTTCGTGCATGGCGGGGAGCCTCCGCGGTCACTTCCGGGGCTGCTCCTCCATCGTGCATCGCGATCGCGGACGCCAGGGTGCATGTGTACCGCCATCTGTCGGTGCGCCGCCGTGTTCGCGGCTCCCTTTCGGCCGCAGCCCACCTGCTCGGCCCAGCGCACGCGCAGGTCGTCCTCAAGGAGCGGCAGGAGCTCGTGAACGAGGAGATGACGCGCTTCCGGGCGGCCCAGGGCGAGTACAAGGCCAAGGCGGACGAAATCATGCCCCTCAAGGAGCGCCTGGAGGGCCACGACAAGGAGGTGCGCCACAGCGCATCCCTGCGAGCACGCGGCCCTCGCGACCCCTCCCGGGGGCGGGAGGCCTGCTGCGCTGCGTCGCACGCTACATGCTACGTTCATCGCTGTTGCCGGGCCGCCCGGTGCCGTGCGACGCGTTGCACAGCGCCGGAGCCCCGGCCCCCTCCTGTGCAGGCGCGCGAGATCCGCGAGGCCCTTCGCGAGATCGATTGTCGGTCGGAGGAAGAGCTGGACGCGCGCATTGAGTCGTACGAGCAGAAGATCGCGCACGAGACGATGCCGCTGGCCCAGGAGAAGGAGCTGATCAAGCAGATCAAGAAGCTCAAGGCGCAGCGCTCCATCATCGTGGTGCGCGCCCGGGGAGCCCGCGCAGCCGCCCGCCCCGCCCGCGCACGACCGCGGCGCCGCCGTCCTACCGCGGCGCGCCAACCACGCCCCCCCCGGAGGCCGCCACGAGCGCGACCGCGTCCTCTCGGCACCCTGCCCTCTGTTCTGTGCAGGAGCTCGCGCAGCGCCAGGCGGAGCTGACGGTGGGCAAGAGCGAGCGGGAGGAGCTGTCGGCGCAGATCAGGGACATGCGCGGCGAGCTCGCCATCCTGAAGGGCGACAAGGACATCGTCAACGTCGCCGTCAAGTCGGTCATGGCCGAGCGCGACCAGGTGCGGGGCGCCCGCGCGACGACGCGCGCCCGCGGCACCCTCACACGCCCGCACTGCGGCGCCCGCGGCGGCCCGGGTCTTGGCGCGCTGCGTGGTGGCGGGGCGGCCCTCACCCTCTGCGTGCCCCCGCGTCCCTCCGCAGATCCGCGAGGAGATCAAGAAGATCGAGGCCGAGCGCGAGGTGCTCGTGGCCCAGAAGGACGCGGTGTACGCCGAGCGGAGCGCCCTGCGCGACGAGTACCGCGCCCGCGACGCCAAGTTCATCGAGCGCATCAAGCTCAAGGACGCGGCCGCGGAACTCGTGGCGGGCGGGAAGGCGCCCGAGGCCCGCGAGCGCGTGTCGACCTTCGTCGAGAAGTACTGCACGCTCTACTGCACGGACCCGGCCTTCCGCAAGGAGTACCTGTCGCTTACCGAGCGCTCGCGCCGCCGCAGGTGAGCACGCGCGCCGACGAGCCCTCGGCGCGCGCCGCGCACCCGACCGCGCCGCCCGTCGTGCACTGACGCGTGGCCGCCTCCGTCGTCGCGCAGGAACGCCGGCGCCGGCGAGGACGAGGACCCCGCGCCCAAGGGCAAGAAGGGGGCCATGAAGGACATGATCGCGCAGGCGCAGAAGGAGAAGGAGGAGGGCCCGCAGCTCTCCCCGCGGTCGCGCGCGCAGCAGATCATCGACCAGGCCATGAGCGAAGCGCAGGCGCAGATCGCCGCGCAGAACCGCATGCCGCCCCCCGCGGAGCCGGAGCCCGAGCCCGAGGACAGCGGTGCGCGCAGGCCCCCCGCCCACGTGTCGCAGCGGTTGTGTTGCGAGGTCGCCGCGCTGTTCCCAAGCCGCTTCTTGGCTGACGCGGCCGCGACCCGCGCCCACTGTGCAGAGGAGGTGGAGGAGGTGGCTGCGCCGCCGCCGCGCGCCAACCAGGGAGTCGTCGGCGCCGACGGACTGGCAAAGCCCCGTGCCCGCAAGGCGGCCGCCCCGTCCTCGACGACCACCGCGGAGGTCGAGGTCCCCGTCGTGCCGGACTTCGACCTGGAGATGCCCAACCTCCCCGCCAAGGAGGCCACGCCCAAGAAGCCCACCAAGCGCGAGGTGAGCGCAGCCGAGCCGCCCACCCGCGGCCCCGCACCCGTGCACGTGCATGTGGACGGGCCGCATCACTGTCGAGTCGTGCTGCTGCCGTGCAGATCCGCGAGCGCGAGATCCGCATGGCGAAGGAGGCTGCGGAGAGGAAGGCCAAGATCGCGGAGAACAGGGAGAAGAAGAAGCAGCGCCAGGCGCGCCGCCAGGAGGAGTCCGACACGGAGCGCACCCGGCTGCGCATCATGCAGGTAAGCGGATCGCTTGCGTTGCGTTGCGGCCCTCGCCTGTGTGTGCAACGCACGTCCTTTTGAATGAACGCGCAACCAACGAACAGTCACGAGCAAGAGTCGCGCTCCGTGCAGGAGCTGATGGACACGACGGAGGCCGAGACGTCTGGGGCCGAGAACACCGGCGCGGACACTGCCGACGAGGCGGCGCCGCCTGCTGCCACGCCCCAGGTCCCGGCACCCACCGAGGCCGCCATGATGCAGCCCGCCAAGCACCCCCGCAGGCGCAGGACGAAGCCCGCGAAGGGAGTCAAGGCAACCATGGCTGTCGCGCAGGTGATTGTCGTCGACAACCCGCAGCCGCAACACCCCTGTCTTGGCATCCCACTCAGCCGTTGGGACACACGGTGGTCGCCGCACATCGCTCAATCATCGAATTCGCCTTTCGTCGCACGTGCAGAAGATCGTCCCGTCCAGCCTGACCACTCCGATCGCCGTGGCCATCGGCACGTTTGGCGTCATGATGCTGGTCATCGTGGCACTGATGGTGTTCCCCACGACTGCTGTCTAAGATCTCTCGCCAGAGTGATCAAGCGCTCACATCCGTCCCTTTTCCGCCACTCGTGTCTGGAGCGTGTGATGCATACTTGCGCCCCGTTCTCGTTCGCGCACGCGGTCTAAACCGTCCAGAGCGGCAGCCCCCACACGTCTGCCTCGTACCTCATCGGAAGGTCCGCGCCAGGTTCAAGTCGGTCAGCGCCACGAAGTCCCCGCCCCGCGAAGAGATGGGTAGCTGCTTGAACTCCTTAGGAGACAGCCCCGAGATCTGACCCCGGCTTGGATAGATCAAGAGACAGCCAACGCTGCGTCCGGACTGGTCGAGCTGAGACAGCACGCCCATCCGGTCCTCGACGTGCAGCCGCCCACACACGTGAACGCAGAACGGCTGCGAGCCACCCGAGCCGGGTTTGATTGCATCCAGCACGCTGCCAGCCATCGAGGCGTCCCACAGCGCTTGTACTTCCATCAGGCGATCGGAGAAGCCGTGCGGGCTTTCCTTGTTGATGAAGGCCATCTTGTCCCTGTATGCCTTGGACGCAGGCGGGTACGGCAGGGACGGCAGGAGCTCTCGCTCCGCCGCCGAGAGGCGCTGCAGGCCATCGGGGCCCTCCTGTCCGACGACCCGCAGGCTGAATGAAGGTGCGTTGGCACAAACAACGCGCACTCCAGCCTCCTGCAGGATGGCAACAACAGGCGTGGGGTCAGCCACGTCCACGACGGCGTTCCATGCCCGCGTCGGCAGCCGGGCGCGAAGTTGCCGCCGCACCTTGCAGAAGTTGACCAGCGGTCGGTAGTCGGTGATGTAGTTCGGCCACAGGCTCCCAGAGTCCCTACACGCGTACAGGAAGTCGCGCTCCGAGATCTCGTCGGCGAAGTACTTGTCCAACGTCCCCTGCATATCGCGGTTCAGCATCTCCAGCGAGAACACCAGCGGCCGTCCCTCGGCGCGGCACTGCGCGGCGAGGTTCTTCAGGAGGAGCATCTCCAGCTCGTGGGCTTGCGGGTCGTCGTGGTTTTCTGCGGAGGGCGGGCACGTGATCGACGTGAGCTCGCTGTACGTGGCGGTGACAGCGTCGATCCACGTGCGAGCTTCCAGCAGGGGCGCCCGGGCCGCCCCGCACTGCTGTGCGCCGCACCTCCCACTACCAGCGCTCCGTACTTCTTGAGCGCGTTCTCGGTGAGCTGTTCGATGGACACCGCGGAACCAGATGCACCCGTGTAGATCGTTGCCGGCCTGGCACCCTCGCTCTCTGGTTCGACAAACGCCAGGCCGTGCTGTGGCGAAACGACCTGGGCGCTGGCCCAGAGCGAGCACGTCAAGCCTCCCACGAAGCCTCTCCGAGTCGTCACCCATCGGGTCGAAGGCGTCGTCTCGTCAGCTGGCGAAGATTGGCAGGCGATCTTCCGGTGCGCGAGCCGCGGGGCGCGAGAACGTGCATCGTTCCTAGTTGTGTGGGACGAGGACCACAGCACGCGCGACGGCCCCTGGCCTCGACACAGGGACTGCGGCGGCATCCTGGCGCAGCGAGGAGCGTCACGTGCGGCGCACGAGGCCCCCTCCTGGTGGCGCGAACCGCCGAGCTCGACGCAGGTGGCAGGCGGGCAAAACGTCCACGAGAGGTTTAGGGCTCGGGTGCGCACGCGCCGACGTGACCGAGAGAGTCCCTGCAGCGGGCCACTCAAGCGCGTTGTCACGCACCGGCAGTTGCGGCCCCACTCAACGCGCCACGCGTCGCGTGCAGGTCGAGCGGGGAGGGGCCTCGTGTCGACGCAGCGGCATCGGGCCCGACCATGTCAGACATCTGGCGCGGGGCGGAGGAGCCGGCGCGGCATATCGGCTGCACCGTGCGCTTGGGCAGCTCGATTTCGGCGGCGGAAGCCTCGCGGGATACGCGTGCGCGCCCGTGCTTCGGGGACCAACGAACGGCCACTGCCATTCCGTCGTGCTCGGCGACGTTTCACGCCGTCGTGCACTGGCGTTCTGCGGAGGAACTGCGATGTCCCTAGCGGCGATGTCCGCGCCGTCGCCTCCGTAGCCGCGAGATGGGCGACGACCTTTCCGACGCACTCTTTGCTGCGCAGCAGGCCTCTTCGAGCCGGGCTTTGCAGCGCGCCGAGAGGGAAGACGCACGCAAGCGGCCACGGAACGATGGGAACGGCAGGGACCATGGCGGTGGCCGAGGGTCTAAGCGACGCAGCGGCGGCTCGGGGCGGGGCCGGGGCCGCGCAGTTCAGCGTGATTCCTCGGGTGAGAAAACTTCACAATGCTCTTCATGTTGCGCGTGGAGGTCGAATATTCGCCAACAAGGTGGACGGTCCGTTCTCACGCTACCTTAATTCGGATAGAAACCGTGGCATCGGCTGCCTTGCCGACGACCTGCGAGCTTCAACACCACTCAGCAACCTGCTGCGCGCAGGCCTCCTTCAGCGCTCCAGCCTGCACAGAAGCGCGATTTCTGGCAGGCTCTGGTACCATGGATGTCAGAGCTCGGCTTCAGACCTGGCAGTCCGCGTGCCGACGTCCTTCCTCTCCACCGAGGCGTACCAGACAGTGTTCGCAGCTATGATCCATGAGGAGGCGCGGGCTGCGATACGGTCGTCGTTCAACGAGTGCGCGGACCAGACGCAGGTCCGAGTAGAGGTGAGCAGGCCATCGCCGCCGATGGCGCGAGCGCTGAGACGAATCCACAGGCAGCCCGGGCCGGCAGGAGGCTCGTCGTGCGACTCCCGCGTTGAGAACGACCAGAAGCGTGATGTCGACGCAGGTCAGCGCTGGCCCGGACGACAACGGATGGCACCAGCTGACAGTCTCGTTTCCCTCAAGAGGCGTGCGCGAACATGACTACTTCAATGGTCTAGTTGTCGTGTTGACGTCGCGCCAACCGCCGCGGCGGGGTGCACTTGGCTGGCTGTCCGAACAGACCAGCCCTGCCCGGAGCGGGGCTCAAAAGCAAGCGAGTGCGACGCTCAAGTCGAGCAAGTCGACGACATGCACAAACGAGGTCGAAGAGGGGGAGATTCTGCCGGCTCCAGTGGACCCGCGAGCTAGAGGAAGTGCAGCTACGCCCGAGGACAGCACTCCGAGCGGTCGCGGAGCACGCATGGCACCGACACCATTGGTCACACTCGCATGCATCGTCAGCGCGGCAAGCTTCAGAGAAGGCAGATGCAAGTTGGTGTTGGACGCTCATCCGGCGTGCGAAAACCACACAGGCGTCGACAGTGAGCAAGCAGAATGCACGAAGGCAAGTCCACATCGCCGATCGTGTGCTGCGCGCCGCGCAACGAGGCAAATCTCGCTCACATGTCGGTTTGTTACAACAGTGTGCCGGGTCATGGCGTGCGAAAGAAGATCAGCACCCGCGATACGTCCAATGAAGGTCATGCTAGCCGTGAGGCCCGATGACACGTGGTGGATGAAGAGAGCGACGTCGTTGATCACGCAGCAACGAGAGTGCGAGGCGGTCCAAAGCATCGGCACCATGGGCGACTTGTTGCAGCCGCTGCTGCGCCCTCAGCAGGTGTGCTGACCTGACGCTTTCGGCTCGCCCCGTCACGCAGTGCGTCCTGGTTCGAACATCTTGCCGATTTCATCGCAAGGCGCCCAAGAGTCTTCGCAGATCACATCGCAGTCTTATGGAATGTGGCCTCAGTCCGCCGTGAGCAAGCAGTTCTTCGACTTCCTCCATCACAGCTTCGACATGACGCAGCTTCACGCGATCGAACAGGCCGTGGGCTGCCTCGGAGCTCGTGAAAAGAAGATGACGCACCGACCTTTCACGCTCATTCAGGTGACAAGAAGAAAAAACGCAACTATAGCTTGCCGTGAAGCTCCCCCCCACCAGGACCGTCATGCGCCGACTGAGCATCTCGCTGCTGCTCTCCGTAGGGCCCCCCAGGGACCGGGAAAACTCACACAATAAGAGGTATCCTGAACGTCTGGCACATCGTACCGTATCAACAGCACTACAAGAGCATCGAAACGACCTTGAGGAGTTTGGCATATGGCGCGAAGGAGTCCGGAACAATTGACTGCCTGAACTGGGTTTTACAGGAAAAGCTCCCTTCAGGCAAGTCGCAAGCTAGGCTTGGTCATGCGCATCAGCAGCTGTCGCACGCAGCAGGCCGTGTCTCTGCGCCAGGCAGGACAACACGTTGCGGGTTCTCAGCTGTCAATCGCTTGAACCGCAGGGATAGAGATACATCCACTGCCGAAGATCTTGGTCTGTGCGCCTTCAAACGGGGCCGTGGACGAGCTCTTGGAGCGAGTCTTACTGCACGGATTCGTTGATCTTCGGGTGCGAGGCTAAGCTGATTTGCGGGCGCACTGCCGATGTCTCAGTCTGACAGCTGCAAAAAAAATACTTGACCTCTTGCTCACAAGCTTAAAAGTGGAATGCCATGCAGGGCACAGTTTACAGGCCCGAGGTTGTCAGAGTCGGGTCCTCAGACGCGCCGATATCAGCACAGGCGAAGCGCGTGTTTTCGGAGACGCAGATACGACAGATACTGGACATGTCTCCAAGTGACTTCGAGAGAGAAATGGAATCGTCGCGAGCGCACCTTGCCACGATGACTGAAACCGTCGAAGATCTGAGGTGCTCACAGTGCCGTACATGAATTTTCGGCTCGCGAAGCAATCGATATTTGCGTGACAAGGCGAAGTGCTCGCGGGTTACTCAAAGGTCGATATTTCCGCTGGTGCAGAGCACGGCTCATGGAGGCTCCTGAAAGTCCAGCACTGCCGAAGCTGCTGGCTGAGGCATTCCATTCGAGATGCCGCCATCTCCGGCGGCTGGAACGCTTTGAAATTGCGCGGAAAGCCGTGGTGAAGCGGGACAGGTCGAGGCGAGTCCCACGCACACACGCACAGTTCCCAGGCTTCTTCTGGTACACCGGCCGCTTGCAGTCGCTCAGAAGGCAAGGCTTGTCGGGATCCAAACGCGCGCAGGCTCAGGCAAGTCGAGGAAAAGCTCGAGCAGTCTTTTCTCAGCGAAGCTCAGATCGTATTCGCAACTTTGTCGTCCTCGGGGCGGAGGAACCTGCGTCGGCTGTGCATGGAATTTCCAATGGTGTTGATTGACGAGGCCTGTCAAGCACCAGAGCCAGCCGCCGTACAGGCACTTGTCCAGGGTGCCACGAACTTCGTCCTCGTCGGCGATCCACAGCAGCTGCCAGCGACCATCCTTTCTCAGCAGGCAAGAACGAGCTCAGCTTGTATGTGGCTGCATCTATTGCCTGGGACGCGTGAACGACTCGCCAGCGGTGGACAACCGCTGCACACGATCCATCAATCGATACATTGCAGATCTTGAGCCTGAAGTACGAGAGGTCTCTGTTCGAGCGCCTTGCTCAGTGTGGTAGCCCAGTGCATGGCCTGTCTGTCCAGTATAGAATGCATCCGGAGATTCGGTTCTTTCCTTCGAAGCACTTCTATGACTCACGGCTGCGCGACGCGCAATCCGTGGAGCATGATCGGAACCAGCCTTTCTACGCCCACGCACAGGTGAACAGGCCACCTCTAGCAGCTGCGGGAGAGGGGTTTGACACGCTTTGCTGTGTCAACTGCCAACCGCCCACATCGCTCGTGAAGGTTCACGTTTGATCCGCAGCTCCAGCCGTACAGGATTTTCGACGCGTCCTCAAGTCAAGAGAGGCGAAAACATGATGGGTCAGTCAGCAATGTCGTCGAGGCCGAGATTGCTCTGGCCCTTGTCCTGGCTTTCTTCAAAGCTGTCAAGAGGTACGCACCAGCGACGTTGAAGCATGCCCTGGCATGGTTCTGCACAGCGGGGGTCCTCGTCGCGACTTCTCCTCGCGTAACTTGTGGGGACATCACTGAGCAGGGATGGAGCAAGGAAATACGAAATTGGAGTCATCACTCCTTACCGGCAGCAGCGAGACACGATGCGAGCTATGTTCAAGGCAGCCCTGCATCCTCTGCAGTATGAGGCAGTCAAGATCGAAACCGTGGACGCATTTCAGGTAGAGTGAGATCGGCGTCCTGATGGGTAGCAGTTTCGTGCCTTGGGACTCCCGAGAGCGCACATCGAGGCGCCCTCGGATCTGCACGTCGCAGGGCAAGCAGGTCGACGTCGCGATTTTCTCCTGCGTTCGTGCGTCGAGCAAGAGCGGGATTGGCTTTGTCGCCGACATTAGGCGGCTCAACGTTGCTATCACGAGAGCCAAGAAAGCCATGTGGATAGTTGGGAATTTCGCGACTCTGCAGCGTAATCAGGTGTGCCTGCTTGAGCACGACTTTGACAGGGACGCCGTTTTCGGTCCTTCTTGGACGCACTGTGCGGGCAGCCTTATGCCGCGGCATGCGCGAAGGTCCTTTCGGGGCACACGTGTGTTTGCTTGCGGCTGCAGGTTTGGGCCAGCCTCCTAGAAGATGCCAGAGAAAGAGAAGTGGTTCTCGATGACGCTACACCGTCGCGAATCACCGACGACGAGGAGCTTCTTGCAATTGTGCGTGCTGCTGGGAGGACCAGTCGCGAGCAGGCATAGCTTTAGCCACAACTCATTGTGGCTCATCTGCGAGACATCCCGTTGCGGGGCCATTCATTGCGACCAAGTTCCGACGAGGGACATCCCGTTGCACAGCCCGTGTAATGCATTGCCGCAGCTACTTTCTCGGGTGAAATTTCGATGCGCCCCTCCCTCTAGGTTTCGGTGCCTCAGCCTTGTCCTCCGCGGTACGATCTGCGTCCGATCGCATGCCGCCTCTCCGAATTTCCATCCCGACGACGTCGCAGCGGCTCAGCAAGCTTCGATCGATCGGGGGGCGATCTGCGGGAGGCGATCGGCTTCGGCGAGGCACCGTGTCTGGATCTTCGCCATCCATCTCCATGCTCGCTCTTGCTGGACTCGAGCCGCGTGTGCCCTTGCGACGCCGCTGCTTGCCGCGGACCCACAAGTATCTGCTTCTCTTGTTATCCGGGATTTTGCAATCCTCGACAGTGCCGACTCTCAACAGCAGAGGCAGCGTCGTGCCGTCCGGCATGGCGTATTCGGTGCCTTTGTGCCACTGCATCTCCAGATAAGCTGGGGCATTCTGCGGTATTCCTGCCGTCGAAGCCAAGTCCTCGTCGGGGATCGGCTGTCCCAGCGCAACGATCGCCCTGCAGCACGGAGGCATCACGGGCCTGGCACACATCATGTGAGGGCACACCTACAATTTGCGCACAATGAGCCTCGTGCGTCGCAGCGACATCTCGGCAAGCAAGTTTTCTGCGCACCTTCGGCAGGACATGAGATCGGCGAACACCACCAGGCAAGAGCTGTCGTCAATCCACTCGACACGGAGAGGTGCGAAGCGTTCGCAGTACTCTAGAACATCTCGAGTACTCATCCTGTCCACGCCGTATATGTACATTGTCTCCGGCCGTCGCGGAACGAGCGACCCGACTTTCTTCGGTTCTTCGAGAACGTCGGCCCCTTGCATACCAGTTGCATCGTATTTCAAAAACGAGTCCATGCCGAATCGCTTGGCTCGTTGCGCCTTGATCTTGTCACCTTCCGTCATTTCGACCGGCGATTTGATTTGGAGCCCTGCGGTACTGTCTAGACCGAACTTTTCTGCGCGCGCCTTGATCCGTTTCTGCTGCTCCTCGTCAAAAATGTCGACCCCTGCAAACCAGTATCGATGCCATGGGGGACTCAGACGCACATTCATGTGCACTTCCGACATGCAACGCACTCCTGGCCAGCGTACCTGTCACGAAACCATCGTTGTCCTCCTGCGGCCGGACTGGACCAGGGTCGGCTTGGCCTCGCACTTCAGCCGACCCTGCCTGCATCTTTCGCCGCAGGCCAAGTTGCATGTAGGTTGAGATTCCTTGGAGACACCTCAGTCGTGCGGGGTGGCTGATTCGCGCCTGGATTGTCGACGGTGGAGCCTCCATCGGAGTGGGCGTGCACACCTCGTTGCCTGCGAGCTCTGTCCCCGCGCCCTCCTCTTCCGTCCTTGCGAGCTGGTCACCAGCCCCCGCGTCGATTCCTGCGCCATCATCTGACGTATCCATCATGGATGCCGTTGCGGGGCGGCCGCACGGCAGGCGTCACGAAATTGCACCTGCGTGCCCCCGAGTCGCGGCAGAGAGTAGCGCTGGACGAATTGCGGCCTCTTCTGTGTGGCCGCCATGCAGCGTCAACATCGAACACAGAGCCGTGCGAGGTGCCCGCTGTGTTGGTGCCTTGCAAAACAAGAGGCCCTTGAAGACGGTGGGCTGTTCGCAGGGCTGTTCGGGCAGGCCCCCTCTTGAGGACGATGCCGGATTGCAGCCCGAGGGTGGCTGTTGCCAATGCCTGCAGCAGTGACCCAGCATTCGTCACGTGAGCTGTGGACGGGGGATGAGTATCGTCTCGCGGCAGGATCGGTGAACTCTGATCGGGACGAGAGCGCGGCCGAGTGCTCGCTGGTCTCTGCGAAAGTGGCAGCTTGTCTGCTGGCGGTAGCTTGTTCGGGTGCTAGAGACGCACCGCCGTACATCGGGGCGCGCTTGTGTTGCGTAAGCACGTCGAACGCGTGGGGACTTGGGCCATGGCGGACGAGTACGCGCGTAGGGTGGCGCGGCTCGTTGTTGCGCAGCTGGCTGAGGCGAGGGGATTCGATGCCATTCAGGTTGGCTCGCGATGGAACACGTTTGATGAAGAGCGGCGTCCGTGCAGCCCCCCGAGTGGTCGGGCTTCCTGTCGCATGGCTTCCCGTGTCACTTGCTCGGCATGACGCGTCCTGTCGCAATACTACCGAGCCGTGCGGCATCCCCCATCCCGGTCGATCACTTCGATGCCTGCAGGAGTCAGCGGTCGACATCGTGGCGGATTTGCTTTGTCGCTTTGTAGAGACCGTGGGTCAAACTGCGCATGCGCGCTGCCTGCACGCTCGCAGGACGGAGATCAATCTCAGCGATGTGGTAAGGCCACCAGGCGTGCGTCGCACCCATAGAGCTGAGTCCGATGCGGGCACTGCACATCACTGCGTGATGTGCACCCGACGACTTCTCTGGCGTGTTGGCAGCGAGTGTCGCGCAGCACGGCCCGATGCACATCGAGGCAGACATCTGGACGCTCACCTGTTTGTGTTCCTCGCAGCTGCCGGTTCTCGAAGGCCTCGGGTCATCTCTCGACGACGTGCGGGGAATCGTCGCCCAAGCAAAAGAGCTCGAATTCGCCGCATCGCTGCCGTCCTTTCCACGAGCGCGCGCTCCGACGATCCCGGAACATTTCAAGGCGAGTGACCGGGCGCGATGCCGCCTGCTGCACGGACGGAGGCACATTGCGAGAGAGCACGCTGCCACTTGTCACCGAACGTGAGCAAGTCAAGCATGGTCGACCGCGCGCGTTTCCCGGGTCATTGATGTGCAGGGCGTGCGTGGATCGTCTCAGGGCGGCGAGGAGCCCCCCGCGCACATCCCAGCCCACCTGCCGGCGTTCCCGGACTCGCACACGAGACAGAGCACCAAGGTGTATCAAGGCGCTGTAGCCGATGCGCGGCAGGCAAGACAGCCCGCCGGCCCTGCGCATGTGCCCCGAGGGCAAACGTGACGTCAAGCCCAAACTGGCGGCCAACGCAGTGGTTGATTGCTGAGAACACCCTCCGTTTCGCCGCCGCCGTGCAGAAGATGCGACAGATTAGCAAAACGCAGAGAGAGGGCGAGGTTGCGATGATTGAACTTGCTCGGCGGCTTGACGGGGCGGGCAATGCGTCACATGCTCAGGGCAGAGATCAGACTGGCGTGCACCCGAGTGCACAGGCGCACGCCGGCACGACCGGACAGCCAGCCGCCAACGGAGGCACACGCGGTGCATTCGAGACCTCGTCTGCCAAGCCAGCGGCAGTCAACGTTCTGGAAGCGTTCCAAGGTCAGGGTCGCAACTGCCACAGGCACTCCTGTGCGTGTCACGGCCCGCCCGCAGGCTCACGGCATGACAGAGCCACTACCGTCTGTGTGCGATCCGTGCAGAGTTCCTGCATCAAATGCCTGAGGGCCCGGGAGCGGCGGACGGAAACGCGGCAGGACAGACGTCGAATCACGGTGGCAACATTGCAGCGCCCATCGTGCCCCCGCCCGACGAAAGAATGCCTGAGAGGGCGCCGATCTCCTTCATGTTTTCACAGCCGGTGCGTCAATAGAGGCGCAAACTCTTTCGATGCCGGCAGTCCCGAGATCCCGTCGTCGACTTGTTCATTTTGCCCACGATGATGTCGTCGCGCTCTAACACCAGAGCCTCCGGTTCTCTCTGAGCTGCAGCGGATATCCCGCCTCGCCGCCCGGGCAATCCAGTTCCCGGCGTTTGAGGACACGGGGGACAGGGCAGAAGTCGAGCATGTCATGAAACTTGGCGCTGAGCTGGGAGCCCCGGGGCACGGAACCGAACCTGACATTATCGACTGATGTGGTTGCGCGCGTCGTCTCTCGGTTTTCAACTCGTCCTGCTCCCTGCGTTGAAGTGGGACTGCTGCGCTTCAGGGCCAGCGCGGCCGGGTGGAGGGCGACAAGTACATGACTCCTTCCCAGCGGCATCATGACCCGCGCGATGCCCCGAGGCGCGAGGATTGGCCAGCTCTGTGGTCAGCATGACGACTAGCATCCACGCGGTCGACCAGCAGGACGACGCACTCCTTGCTACCGGGCTCGAACGCACCAGAGGGCCACGATACAGCGACCCATGTTCGTCACACGGCTCTCGTCGCGAGGCCGGAGGGAAGAGGCACGTCGCAGATCTTGACAGATAGAAGGGCCCTCGACGGCCGCCGGAGATCGCCTCTTGGGCATTCAAGGCTACGCAATCGACCTCACACGGTCAGTCAGTCCGCAGCTACGGTTCGCATGAGTTGTCGCATCCTTGTGAGCCGTTTCCCGTAGTACGACATGTAGTCGAAATCGATCTGCGACCAGCGCGCCTGCAGTATCGCCCAATATCCCCAGAACAGGTGGCTCGCCAGGGCGTACACGTTCGCTTCCCTGACGAGACGCTCAACATCTCGCCGTTCTGGCGCAGCGCCACCGGCCGACAGGTACTCTCGCACAAACACCTCCTGCTTGTCGCGAGCAGGGAACCTCTCCCACTCGAGATCGAACCCTGCGCACCACGCACGTCAGAAAGCACATGGCGATCACGAGGGCTCGCTGGCGCGCGGCACCGAGTCAAGCACATGCATGGGTGCCCCGCTGGTTTCCGCCCACATGCCTGCGTACTCGTTCCAGTGGTTTCCGATGTCGAATCCGCGCGGCGCGTGACTTCCGTACTCGAAGTCGATGAACTGCACGTCGTCCTCTCCGTCGGGAAGCTTCTTCCCCCCGAGAACGAGAATATTACCTGCAAACACGAGACCGTCTGTTCAGACCCGCGGCGGTCCGCGATGCCGAGGCAGGCGCGGGATAAGGGGCTCGGTAGAGGCACACCTGACAATAAGTCGTTGTGCGACCACACGACGGGCGATTCGACTTGCATGCACATCTTTTCAACTTCGTCTATCTCGGTTCGCGCGGCAGCGAAGTCTATTTTACTATGTTGCTCTAGAAGGTGCTGGTTGTCAGAGAAGTCGAGCTTGGCGGCACGTTCGAACCAGTCCCTGATGGTGGCAAACAGCGTGCTTTGCTGTGATTTCACCCCGTCAACTTCCGCAATTCGATCTCCGGAGTTCCCACCGCACGCATCGTGCATATCGACTGCGTGAAACTTCGCCAGGCGCTTCGCCACCGCGCTCATGACAGCCGGGTGCGGCAGGTCTTGTGGCTCGAGGGTGTGCGAGGGCAGGAACTCCTCGACGCGGCCGTTCTTGAAGGTCGCCAACACCCTCGCACCGAACCCGAAGTGGTTCAGTCGCACAGTAGCAGCGAGCTCCCGGTCACGATCGATGAGCTGATCAGTGTTCTCGCCGAAAACGCGCACGAGCACTGGTTCGTGTTCGGCACCTCGCGAGCACGCAGCGCTGACGCTCAGCTTCACCAACGCGTTCGTGATACCTCCTCCGATCATCTGCGGTGAGCGTATGCACCAGCGAGTGTCGATGCGGCCGTCTTCACGCAGCACGTGCCGCCACACTGGAGGCGTTTGCGGAAGGCAGCATTTGCCGCTTGCAGTCGGCGGCCGTACGCCACTGTCGCCGCAGCGGGTCGCCTCGTCAAGTCTTTCGCACCTCGCACTCGATCCCTTCGTCGGGCAGCTTGCCGAACGAGTTCGGAAGCAGGCGGCGAGCAGCCCGTTTTGCATCCTCGGGCAGCAGCTCGACACCCAGACGTACGACCACGTCCCCATCGTGGGCGATCGCGTCCATCACGTACGCCGCCGGCTCACTGTCCGCGAACAGCACGTCCGGGGCGACGACAAGTGCGGGCCCCACGATCCCCGCTGCCAGCAACGACGAGCAGTCAACTAGGAGCTCGTGGCGCCGGGCGCGGAAAGGCGCGCTGCCCGTCCGCTGCAGGATGTTACCGTCGATCCGACACGTCACGCGACAGAGGCGGCTGCGAGTGCATAGACCCGCGCCGCTGCGCCGTCGAATCCCTTGCGCGGGCCCCGGGTGGCCCAAAAAATGGCCCTAAAAAGACTCCCCGTCCCGGGCGGGTCGGGCCCGGCCCGCCCTGGTCTGCTTGCGGGACTTCACCCTCCTGACCTGCGGGCTGCGTGACAGTTTGCTGGCGCACGTGCAACTCTCGTGAAGCGCGCGTACAGCGGCAAGCACTCGGCTCTGTTTGGTTGGTGGGGCTCGTTTCCCCCGCCAGAGCACACAGGCGAGGCTCGTGAGGCGCCGTCGGGATTTCCCTGCGTTTTCCGACCGCGCTCACACCTCCAGGGCGCAGCGAAGGCCCTGCGTCTCGTCGCGACCCGCAGGCGGCGCTCGATTCTTCTTGATACAGGAGGCCCGTCCCGCTCCATTTGGTGGACGAAACAGCAGCTCCGAGCGCCCAAGGGCCGGGACTCGAACTCAGGACTCGAACGCGACTGCATTTCATCCTAGACGACCTCCTCGTTTGGACGGGGCGCCACCATGAAGCTCAACCAACAAAAGCAGCGCGTCAGCAGCGAGCGCACGGCCCTGCGGCCCCGGCCGAGCTCTTCGCCGCGCTCGGTCAGGATCGCTCCGTGTCGCGCGTTGCGTGGTCGGCGCGGCACGCCGGCGGACGACCGGGCCGCTGAGGCCAGGACGGAATTTCACTCCGACTCCTCGCGGACGGACGCGCTCGACGCGCGGCACCTCCGTCTCCGGGGCGGCGCGCGGAAAGCCAAGCAGGTCGTGCAGCCGCCGGAGCCGAAGACGCCCGTCGCGGCCTGGACCGTGGGCGGGTTCGCTCTCGGTGGGCTTGCGGTGGCTGGCGCCGTCCTCCTGGCCCCCAGGTCTGTCCGCGAGGATCTTGCGTGTCGCGTTGCCCGAATCTCGCGCTGTTCCGGGCCGTGCGTGGCGCACCATGGCTTGCATGTCCTCTTGCGCTGCGTTACGCCCGCTGGCCATGTCACTATCCTGCAGGCGGTCGAGGCGCGGAAGCAAGGCGAACAAGGGAGGCGACGCACTGACGCCCAGCGCGGTCGCTGCGCCTGTCGAAGAGGTGGTGGAGGAGAAGGCCGAGGAGGTGCCTGAGGTCGCTGTGCCCGCGGCGCCGGAGCCCAGGCCGCAGCCCGAGCTCAGGGTCAAGCTCGACCCGGAGGCGCAGCGCAAGCTGCAGCGCGAACTGCAACTCAACCTCGAGCGCACACCGGTGCTGGAGCAGGAGCCGGTGCTGGAGCAGGAGCCGGTGCGGGAGCCGGAGCCGGAGCCGGAGCCAGAGCCCGAGCCCGAGCCGCAGGCGAAGCTGGAGCCGGAGCCGGAGCCGGAGCCGGAGCCGGAGCCGGAGCCGGAGCTGGAGCCTGAGCCCGAGCCGCAGGCGAAGCTGGAGGCGGAGGCGGAGGCGGAGGCGGAGGCGGAGCTGGAGTCAGAGAGGCCGCCGGTCAGGATGCGCGCCGGCATCGCGGTCCTGCCGAGTCTGTGGAAGGACACCGCGGGCGAGGATGCGGGCTTCGCATCGGGCAATTGCTTCGCGATCTGCGACGGTGTCGGTGAGTGCATCATCATCATCATCATCACAGCGTGTTGCGCGCTATGGCTGCAACCGGAATCCCCGCGCGACGCTGCCGCAGGTCGGTCGCGCCATCTGTACCTGCGTCGATGTCACGTCCGCGCTGTCCGCCCCTGCAGGTTGGTACGCCCGGGACGGCATCGACGCGGGGGAGTTTTCAAGGGAGCTCGTGGCGAGTCTGCAGGAGAACGAGGCGCTGGCGAGGGGCGAGGCCGGGCTCGTGGAGGCGCTCGACGAGGCGCACGAGAGCGCGCTCTCTCCGGGCGGGAGCACGTGTTTGCTCGGGCGCGTGGTGCCGTGGGAGGTGGAGGACGACTACCTGACGCTGCAGCTGCTCAACCTCGGGGACTGCAACGTGCTGGTGCTGCGCAACGGGGTGCCCATCCCGGAGACCCCGCTGACGCCGCGCCTGCACGCGTGGAACCAGCCCTACCAGCTCACAGGCATCGCCGAGGACCCCGACGCACTCACCGACTACGCAGAGGCGCGCACGCCCGCCCGCCGCTGCGCTCTGCTTGCGCTGGCTGAGGCCACGTGCTTCCCGTGAATCGCGTGCGCAGCGCTCGTGACGCGGGGGGCGCCTTGCGTGGCATCGCGTGCAGGATGGTGAGGAGGCGGACATCGTAGTTCGCCCCGGTGACATCATCGTCGCCGGATCTGACGGGTTGTTCGATAACGTGTGGCCGGACGAGATCGCGACCGTCATCGCGGAGCACGTGCGCGCCGGCGCCGGGTTCCCGGTGCCCGTCGGCGCCCTCGTTGCGGAGGCGCAGGGTGGGGGCGCGCAGAAGCCGTTCGGGAACCTGCCCGGGTGGATGCAGCGCATGCAGGCGCCCACCCGCGTCATGCCCGCCGCCGACCCGGAGCTGGCGACGATGGCTCTGGAGGGGACGTGGGAGCCGCAGCACGCAGCCGAGGAGCTGGCGGCGCTGGCGCAGGCCAACGCGGACGACGAGACCTATCACAGCCCGTACTTCGAGGGCATGAAGGAGCAAGGGCAGGTGCCCTTCCCCTACTTTGGCCCCGGCGGAGGGAAGGCTGACGACACGACTGTCGTTGTCGCTGTTGTGGTATGAAACACAACGCGCACCGTCGCGTCGTGCTGCGTCACGAGCCTCGCCCCGGACGACTGCTGCCAGAGCGCCTGGTCACATTGCTGGGGCGACGGCACGTTGTTCGTGGGGGGGCGGGAAGTGAGATGTGTGACCGAAACAACTTGACGTGCCGCGCCCTGCGCGCAACACGCGGGGGAGGGGCGGGGTCTCGCGATCGGCGGACGCTGTCGCAGTGCTGCGCGGACCCGCCCAGTTCCGACGCCGCTGCCGTTGAAGACGAGAGGTCAAAGACAGGTCCGACTGATCAGTGACAGACACCGACTTGCTGCAAGTTGCCGTGAACGACCGGTCTCAAGGGACGGGGCACGCAGCGCAAGTTCCACTGACTCACACAGCCGCTTTGCTTGTCCGGATCGGGCAGCGACGGGGTACGGGTAGTCGAGAGGGGAATCACGGCAAACGTGCTGCCAGCAGGTACGCGTGGTCGGGAGACTGCGCTTTGCGCCCCTCGCCCGCTCGTCCTCCCCCGCTCCTCTACGGGCGACTGGCGTGAGCAGATAGGGCGCCGTCGCGCTCGGCTCGCCTGTGCGAAGCTGGCATCGTCGCACAGCACGCGGCGAACGCAGCGCAGATCGGTCTGTCGGTATCATTCTGCCGTCACGGGAGCACACTCTCTTTTCATAGACCGTCCGCGTCCGCTGTTGCGCCTCGTCAGGCTTCACGCAGACGTGTATGGCGCTGGTCTGTGCATGCAACAAAGCGAACGTGCTGGCCTTCGCCCGTGATGACACCGCAGACCCGCTGAAGGTAGTCGGAGAAGTGGACAGACATAGACTCATCTCCCGTGTCCAGAGTCCCGCGAAACGTGGGAGCGTGGCTGTGCGCACCGCGGGCGCACTCTGCCTTGACTGGCCTGCGCGGCACCCTCGGTTGGACGCGCACAGTGCCCGCCGTCGCTGGTCGTCTGTCGGCGAGAGGCCAGACCTGCGCCGCGAGGCGACGTACGTCGGTTCACCCCGCGGCCGAGGGCCGTCCCGGGCAGCTGCCACTGCGCTGCCTGCACCTGTAGTTGCCGGAAGCGGGCTCGCGGCGGGTCGAAAGCGCTCAACATGAACTCCGGCTCAGCAGTTAAGAACTGGGACGCCCAGGCGCGAACTAATACGGTCCTCGCCGCATCCATCAAGCAGCTGCGGGACGAGGTAGTGGAGCTGCGCACACTGCTAGCATGGAGGGACGACGTGAACGACCAGCTGCAACAGATGGTCGATGAAATCGATGCGGTACGTCCGTCGTGCACCACTGCTGGGCCTGGCTCTCTGGAAGGGGGGGGGGGGCGGAGCTCTGTCGCGTGATGATGCCGCTCGTCCCATGGGTCTGAAGGCCACTTGCCACCGTCCCGCACCCGTTCGCACGCGGCGCTTGCAGGTGCGTTCTACCGCGACCGCGCGAGGAAAGCTCGGAAGGGGTGCGTCGTTCAGGGGCGTGGGGCAGATGCTGCTCCGGGGCCCCTCGCTGATGCGGCAAGCGAGCGGGAACCTGGGTCTCCAGGGCAGCAAGTCGATCGGGCGGAACAACCAGGTCGCGCCCGGCGGCGGGGAGGGGAGGGGCGCGGCGGCTCCTGCGCAGGGCGCGTCGCGCGTGCAGATGTACTGGAAGCCCGTGCTGTTGATTCTCGCGCTCGTCTTCCAGGTGCGCGGCCCACGGCGCCGGCGCGGTCGCTCGCCCCGCCGCCCTCCCGCCTCGGCGCCCTCACTCCTGCGAGCCCCCCCGCCGGTCCGCAGGCGTGCATGTCGGCGCCAATATTGTACGAGGAGTGGGAGAACGGCAGCGACGACGCCCAGCAGTGGATGTCGTCGATCCTCTCCGGCGCCCTCGTCCTGTCCGGCTTCTTCGGCATCATTGGAGTGGGGAAGGAGGGACTGCGTCTCCTCGCGGCCTTCGGTGCCTTCGAGGCGTGGATCGTGCCACTCTCACTGATGTATGTCATGGTACGCGCCCGCGACCCGAGCTGCCCCCGTGCCCGGCCGACCGCGCCGTGGACAAGAGCGTGGAGCGCCACGAATGCGTTCGGCCCCCACCGAACGACGCCCGTCACGCCCGTGACACCTGCAGGTTGCCTTTTCGGGAATCAGCAAAGTCGACAAACTGTGCGCTCTGGACGGGGTCGGGTGTGGCGACCTGGAGTGGGGCATCTATCGAAGAGTCATCTACGGCTTCGTGGTCGCCCTGATGTCGCTCGTGCTGACGGCCTGCACCACCGCCCTGCGGGACTCACTGCTGCATAGGTAACAGCCCTCGCCGCGCGGGGATCTCGCCGGGCTCGCTGGGCCTCCCCGGTTCGCTCTCTGCGAGTCGCAGCTCCTCACCGCACGAGCGCCTCGCTGCGCGCCGCAGGAACGTCATGGATGCGATGCCCTTGCGTCTCCGAATGGCACTTCGGCACGCCGCCGCGTCTGCGCCGCAAGTCGAGGAGGGCGAGGGGCTGCAGCGGCAGGGGTCGCGGGTGGAGGCGTCGGCCGCCCAGTTGGTGAAGACGGTGTCGATGAAGATGGCCTCGATGGGGAGGAGCCAGCGCAACCTGGCCGCGTCGGTGCTGAAGCGGCAACAGAGCGTCGACCCGGAGTGACGCACGCGTGCCGCGACTCTGGCCGCCAGCGAGGCTGATGCGGGAGGGCGTGGGTGTCTGAGATGTGGGCCGAAAGTTGTGACTCGCAGCGCGCCAACGTTCCCGCGCAGACCTTGCAGAGAGCCCATCTGGCAGCAATCGGTGTGCGTTTGCGTCGAGGTGTGGTCGAAGTTGCTGCCTCTGTACGTCACCAGAATCAACAAGAAGACTGCCAGGATGTTGACAGCGCCTTGCCAGCCGGAACCAAAACTGCCCCCCCCTCGTCTCAATTGTCGCGAGCGCGCAGCACGACGCGTGCGAGTGTGCACGAAGCTGGCACGTTCCGGACGTGCGGACGGTGGTTGGGACGCACTGCGCGGTGGTCGGTCGCGGGAACCATCGCGCGCCACGCTCTCACAAACCGCCCCACGTCGGCACGGAGGTCAGGCGCCTCCACTAGACGGCGCCCTCCAGGTCCGCCTCCAGGCGACCATTGGCCCTCACAAGATCCCTTTCGCAGCAAGATCACTTTGCGCGCGCTGAACCGCCCGCTGCATCGATACATGCGCCTCTTCGACGGTCCTGAACGACATGACGCCCGTGACGAGCCAGAAAAGCTCCACGAATGCGAATAAGAACAGAACGTAGAGCGGGAACTGCACGGATGAACGTGGTTGCCGGCCTTGTGAGACCGCAGATGTGCTTCGCAGCGCAAGCCTCTCACTCTCAAGCGTGGTCCATCTTGATAGCGAAATGACGTGGGCGTACGCACCGCCTTCGCGTGCGCCCGGACCCTGCTCCCAGCAGGTGCCTGAAACAGCAATGCCCATACAGCGATGAGCACTACGCCGACGTTGAGCCACCGAAGAAGCACCTTTCCCATGTTTCAGTCCAACTCGGGGACGCCGCCCGCCTGTTACGTGAACGTCGCAGGATGCCGTGAGCACAGAGCTGCCTTCATGAATCAAGCCTTATTGCCGGTCTAGCGGGAACTCCCCGTGCACGAGGTGCTGAGGCTGTGACCAGAACAGGATCCTTTCGGCGCGCGGCGACGGTACGTGCAATTCAGGGCCCGGGTCTCATCCCAGCAGGGCACGACTTGCACTGTGCTCCAACTCCCGTCGAGGGTGCAGCTTGGTGAGCGCAAGTCCGAACAACCTCACCGCAGTTCACCTGAATAACTTCAAGGGCACACGCAGGCGCAACGTATCTCACGGCTCCGTTCCACAGCAGCGTTTGAGAGGCACCTAGGGAACTATTTCACCCCAAATGATTCAGGCCAGCGACCGTCGCCAACCGAACATCACCGGCCTCTTGACAGGGGGTGGCTGCATGTCCGAGCTGGAGCCACCACGGCGAAGTGCCGTGCTATCGCAAGGAACGGGCAGCTGGCAGCGTGACACTTGCACGCACTGCACCGAGGATGCGGCATTTGGGCGTGCCGCGGCGCAGGATGCCCATGTTCGATGCGTTGCATGTGTGCTGATTGAGCCCACATGCGGACGCATGTCATCGTTGGCGGCGGCATAGCCGGGGTGTGCTGTGCGGAGACGCTCTGTCCGCTATGCCCCGCAGACGAGGTGGTGCTGGTGACCGCGTCCGTCTCCCTCAAAGGCGTGGCGAACGTCGAGCGCATTACACAGCATCTCGAGACCTTTGACGTCGTCGAGAAACGGCTCGACGAGCTTCCGCACCGGAATCTCCGGGTGGTGCATGGCGAAGTGGACGACCACGACGTGGGGGGGCGGACGGTGACCGTTCGCGGCGAGCGCATCAAGTATGATCGCCTCTGCGTGGCGACTGGTGCGCGGCCGAAGGAGCTTCTGTCACATCCTCACGCGCTTGTGCTCAGGCAAGAAGCCAGATCATGCGATGTTGATGTTGATGCTCGCACGTGCGGGCGCTGCGGCCCGGAAATTCCGGCAGCTGCATTCCTCATCGTGCTGCCGGCAGTGCCGATCGGAGTGCAGGGACACGGAGAGCATCCTAGCTCTTGCCAAAAGGTTGAAGTCTGCAAGGAGAATCATCATAGCTGGCAACGGAGGCATCGCCCTGGAACTCGCGGGAACACTGCGAGGCATTATGTCTGGCGGGCAGGCGCGTTCCTCCGGCACGGGGCCTCGAGCACCGAAGCGCCCGCGACACCTGGCGCATATTACACATGCACGCGAACAGAGCTCCAGGATGCTCACCTTCCCAGAGCGCAGTCCTTCGTGCAGGTACTGTGGGTGACCAAGCACGGGCACATCGGGGACGCTTTCTTCGACGTCGATGCAGCCGATTTCCTCCTGAGCAGATATGTATCTGCAGGCAAGCGTCGCTTCCCTGCAATCGATTGCAACAGCCACTGGAGCTGCCCTACTGCGTTCAAATGCGACGCTGCGGCCGACCAATACAGCTGTCTTCGTGCAGGCAAGGAGGAGGTGCCAGCACACACATCAGGAGCCAGTGACCAGGCTGGCGTTGATGACGATACGACACGCGACCAAGCGAGCTCTTCGCGCCGCTCGTACGGGCACGCTGTAGGCCCTACGTGGTCCGCTGTCATGGCTGCCGCTGCGGGCCGGCGACGTGTTCCCTCAGATGGGACCTCGGCTGACCTGGTGATCGAAACAGGCAAAACGATTCGGCGAGCGATCCCCGCGGACGAACTGGACGTAGAGGAGCGCGAGGCAGCGTGGAACGTCGTCGTCGAGCTCTCGTGCGGTTCAAGGTGCGTGCCCCACTGGGACATCTGTCACGCTGGCCGTCACGCGACAGTGCCTTACGACTCGGCTCCATGAAACACGAAGCATTGCAGGGTCGGCGCTGACGAAGTCGTGTGTGCTTGCGGGGTGGAGCCGTGTTCGCAGTGGGCCAGCGATGAGCTCCGGAGGGGGGACGATGGGGGCATTCTCGTCGACAACCGTCTACAGACGAACATCAGCGGGATATTTGCCGCCGGAGACGCATGCACCGGTGCGCGCCCCCGAACGACCTACGCACCCGGGACCATGCGGGGGCGAGCATGCGATCCTGGACACAATTTCTGGCGCGCCCTTTCCCCCCGCAGCTGTGTTCGGACGACCTCACGGAGACATGTCCAACTGGTTCCAGATGCGCCTGTGGAGTCAGGCGAGGTCGATGGGGATGTATGCTGCACAGTCCATGGCCGGGGTGCTCGACGAGCTCACTCTAGGGTTGCCATTCGAGCTCTTCACGCACGTGACCCAATTTTGCGGAATGAAGGTGCGCGGCCGAAAACGACGAGGCCTTCCGCTCGGACGGGGTCTTGCTGCCGGTGGCCATGTGCACTGCATCACATGCCAGCAGATCGCGACACCTGCAGGTCGTGTTGCTGGGCCTGTACAACGGTCAGGGCCTGGAAAACGAGCCTGAGGGCGATGTCGTGATGTACACGCGAGACGACCGACATGGGGAGCCCAGCTTCGTGCGCGTGCTGCTCCTTCGTGGGCGTCTGCAGGTCCGGTGCCCTTCATATTTCGCTGTCCGAGACGCGCGACGTCTGACACCCCGCTGACGTGCCGCATGCACTATTCCATGGCTTCGCAGGGTGCCGTCCTCATCGGCGAAACTGGGCTCGAGGAGACGTTTGAGAATCTGATACTCAACCGCCTCGATGTCACACAGCTCGGCGCCGACATTCTGCATCCCGAGGTCGACGATGTGTTCGACTAGGTCCGAGCAGGACGCGCTGTGCATCTCCCCGAAGCCCGCGGGTGTGCGGTCGAGCTTGTTTGCCGTGTTCAACACCTGCGCCAGTTGAGGCAAACATTGGCACCTGACGCGAATCTGCGGTGAGCATCAGCATCACTCGTGCCCCGGAATCTGGGCGTGTGACAAAGTCGGCGCGCGCGCGATGCGGGCCACTCGGCGCGTCGGAAACAGCAGGAGCCACACCGTGAGATCGAGGAGATTCCCCCGAGGACTCCACTGCCGTGCTGTTGGCCATTTGCAGGTGCCTCTTCGCTCTGCTGCGCGCCCCGCGCGCCACACTCGGTGGCCCGCTGCTTTGTCGAGTGTAGACCTGTGCGGGATCACGACGTGTGTGTGCCTTGGAAGCGTAAGCGAGGAGCTCGAGCCGCATCAACCTCCGGCCTCTCACTCGACCGGCTCGCCAGCGATGGGGTCGGCGCAGCCGTGCAGGGCGTGCACGCACGCCGGGAGTTGGTACGAGGCAGACGGTACGCGCGCTCGGCCTCCTGCGTCCCCGCCTGTGGACGGCCCGTGCGCACCGACGAGCTTCTTGCAACCACCTACCTCGCCATTCCGTCCCTCCTGCTCGCGTCTACCCTCACCGAGGGGGTCGCTTCGTGACGATGCTGCGTGAGCGGTGCTTTCGCTCGCTGTGCAGGTGGGAAATTGGCCCCGCAGCTGCAAGACTGGCTTGCAGCTGGTTCCAACACACAGTACGGGCATCCAAAAGCGATCATCGGGCCACACGCGGGCCTGCGGTACAGCGGGCATGTTGCTGGATACGCCTATGCTCCGATCGACGCGAGTCGCGTGTACGGAACCCGCCGGGCGCGAAGTACAGCGCGGCATGTGCCATCCTAGCACCGTGCAGGCACTCTCATGGCCCACGTGCTGGCTGCTCCCTGCCAGCATTGCGCGCACAGAGGTACGCGGCGCTTCGTTACACTGCAGGGACAGGGTGATACTGTTGGGCCCCTCCCACCACTTCTACACGAAGAAGAGTTTGGTCAGTCGAGCGGCCTCGTACGACACGCCACTCGGCCCCATCGCCGTCGATCGAGCGATGTGCGAAGAGCTGGTCCGAAGCCACGGGATGGACTGGATGCCACTGGACGTCGACGAAGCCGAACACTCCCTAGAGCTCCACCTGCCATTCATCGCACAAGTTTTCAAAACGACAGGCAAGGTCGCCCCCGGCTCTGCCAGACGCTGCGCACTCCCCTGACGTCTCGGTCAGGCTCGATTAAGAGCGGCAGCGATCTCCAAGACCACGTGGCGCAGACTTCAAGCTGGTCCCCATCATGGTCGGGGCGGTCAACTCCTCCACCGAGGAGGCGTACGGGCACGCTCTGGCGCCATACCTGCAGGATGAGCGCACAATTTTCATCGTATCCTCAGGTGAGCAGATAGGCGCCTTGTCAGGCGTGGCAAGGCACATGATTTTGTTTCGCCACTGTGCGACTTGACGGCATCTCCGCTCGTGCTCCTGCAGATTTCTGTCACTGGGGCAGCCGCTTTCAGTATCAACCGACCGATCCCAGGTAGGCCGCAGCCCGGCTTTGCAACGCATGGCCGCCAGCGACAGTGGTGGCCATTCCGCCTCACATCAGATCTCGCTCATGCTCGGGCTGCAGCACCGCGGAGCCGATCCACAAACAGATCGAGCAGCTGGACCACGACGGTATGGCGGCAATCTCATCGCTGGAGCCTTCCTCGTTCCGGAAGTACCTGTCGGAGACGCAAAACACCATCTGTGAGTGTCCTGCCAAGCCGCAGGATGCCATGCCGGGCTCGCGGCGGCCGTGGCGCTGCACATCTAGGCGCATTCGGCGCAGAAACTCACGCACTCACGGATCGCTCCCGCTTCTTGCAGGCGGGCGGCATCCAATTTCCGTCCTGATGCATGCCCTGTGCGCCCATCGACGGGCGGACGGCACCGTCCCGTATCGCCTCGAATGGGTACGCTATGCGCAGAGTAGCTCGGTCCAGACCATGCGAGACTCGTCCGTGTCCTACGCGTCGGGACTTGTGTATTGCGAGTGACATCTGAGGCAAGCAGGCGCGCACAATGTTGATACAATCTCGCGGGGCTGGGCAAGCGGAGACCGGCCGACGTGTGTGACGGCGCGCCGACGGCATCGGGACACGCTCTCCTCGTCAGACCTGGTGGCGTTTCACAACCGCAAGCCGTCCAGCACGCCGGAACGACGGGCACCTTGCTTGAGCTGCCCTCCCTCCTGTTTGCACCTGCCGTCGATCCCAGCGTTTGTTTTCGCGGCGGCAGTGACGCAACGGTCATAGTCCCGCAAGGTGCGCTGCAGCTTGTCGTCCCACTTCGCCTCACTGGCGAGGCAGCGCACAAACGCGGCTTCAAGGCGCTCTGTCGTGTCCTTCAAACAATTCTCCGGATGCTTGGCGCATGCTTCCTGCATTGTAGGGGTCGAGCTGCATGGTTTCGGGAGTGCCCAGGCCAGCTCCTCACAGCTCCTCACAGCCACGAGGCGTGCGGGTGCGCTTGCTGCGGGGAATTCGTGTCCGTCTGAGGCTCGTCGATCCCCGGCAACCACGTTGGCCGCGACCCCGGGTGCCGGGTGCTGGACGGATGAGCAGCTCACCCAGGCGCTCTTGTAGCGAGCACAGTGCCTTTGTGCCGTCTCAATCTCCTTCTTGCGTTGCCTGGACCTTCCCCAAATGGATTCGAACATCGTTCTACCGCAAGCGCCCACTAGTAGTTCGTTCACCGCACTTGACCTACGCGGTGGTTCCTGCGCGAGGTGCGGCCCGCTGCAGGCAACGCAGGCCCGGAATCAACTTATGATATCGCTGGATAGGATGATCGGCTCGCGCCTAGTGACGAGGTGCAGGGTAAGGAGTGCTGGCGTGCGTCGCGCTGGCCCCAGCGCAGACACAGGAGAGAAGAGAACCTTCCAGTGGTTCACCAGACAATAATCGCCTCACGCTGCTATGCACCTCTGCACATATGCTGGTGTCCCTCGCAGCTCATGCCAATCAAGCCACCGTGTCGCGGCGCATTTTCGCGCTAGCTCGGCGCTGACACACACACACCCTGGAGCAGTCACCAGAGGTGCCTAGGCGCGAGATCGTGTCCCCGTACTCGGCGCCACCCGCGTCCAACAGTGCCAATGTCGCGGCGTCGATGCTCTGTACCGTATCACCGCATCAAGCGGGACGGCCGCAACAGGACATGTGGCCTCGGCATCCAACTCAGATTTTGCTGGCGAGCGCAGTTGGGCATGCAGGCAGACGCGCATCCGCGAGACCATGCCACGTGCTGGGCGGGGCGCGTGCCCGGCTCACAGGGGCAGCGACGCCGATGGCGGCCACGTGATCTCCGAGTCGAACACTGGGTCCAAGGGCCCCTGGAACGCCGAGAGGAACTCCGTCAGCGTCAGCGTGTCCGGGCTCTCCTGGAGCGAGACGATGCGGTCCGCCTGCGGGAGGTCTGACGCGAACGTCTGCAGCGACGCAAGCGCCGTCTTCAGCTCCTTGGTCGACTTGATCTTGGTCAGCTGCTTGCCCAGGGCAGTGATCTGCAACGAGCGACGGCGCACCGGCGGGACAGTCGCAAGAGTCATCGGCGCCGGCGGAGCGCATGGACCGCACGCATCCCGGCTGGACCGGCAAGCACGACGACCACAGAGGAATGGCACTCATCCAAGTGGGAACCCGCCTGCACAGCGAGCTCGCTCAATGCTTCCCCGCAAAGATCATATGTGAGCTGCTCGACAGTGTCGTTCGCCGCGTTCGGAATGAATGCGCTCTCGAACCAGCTGAATGCTCGCTCCGGGATGTCGTCCATCAAGCATGCAATTTTCGGCGCGAGCACCGGAGCTTGTTCTGCACACGGCACCGCCACGCAGGAATGGAGCGTCACATCAGGACGCGACCCACATCGCGGCAGGGGACAAGGTGTGCGTGCGCGACTGCAAGGTGATGTGTGCAGGGCATGCGTTTGAGCACAGAAGGCCCGACGATGGCCAGGTGGGGCGTGATTTCGTGTCGTGTGAAAGGAAAAGCTGTGCTTTCTTTGCGCTCCCGGGGACCACGGCCCCGAAAGCACACGGTGGGCGCCGCACCTCGCTTGACATAGCGCTCCACATGGTGGGCAACCGTCGAGAGCTCCGCGAACTTTCCCTCGACAACGAGCATTGCGCACGTTGGCCAGATGAGCAGCAGTCCTGTGATTCCGGGGCTTCCCTTCGCCTTCGACGCCTCTAAAATGCGCTGGTGCCACTCAGTCAGCTGCGCGGTAGAGACCTGCTTTTCCCGCGTCTTCGACACCAGACACAGCCTGCCGATAAGCTGCGTCTTCCCTTCGCTCTCCAGAGCCTGCTTGAACGACTCAAGCAAGGTCGTGGCCTTCTCGTCCAGCCCCTCTGCCCCCAGGTCACCTATGCTGCCTTCTGGGGGCGGCATGCTCTGTGCGTCCATGGTGCCCCCGAATCAGCGCACGACGACGGACGCAGATGCCCGGAGACCACACGTCTATCCAGTTGGGTGGTGCTTCGCAGGCAGTCCGCGCCGATGCGGCGACCCCAGCGCCGAGGGCGCGAAACAGGCGGTGATGTGCCAAACCAGGCAGGCAGGGCGCGTGGAATGCTGCGGCACTTCGACGTCTTCGACAAGCTGATGCGGCAGTGTGGCGCGCGTGGAGGGCGCCGCGAGCCCAAAACGCGACGACCTCGGACCGAGTTGCCGGCCCGTCTGACCTGGAGCCGAGAGCGCCACCACTGACATAGCGCGCCCCCACCATTGCAGTTCGCGCGTCAGACGCGTCGCGGCGGATGTTGCCGACGCGGTCGTGGTCCCCGCTCAGGTCAGAACTGCGACGCCCCAGCTGTCGGGAGCACGCGGACGCCTGCACGTGCCTGCTGTGCTTGTGCGAATTCAAAAACGCTGCTGTCGGCAGGGACAGCCGTTTCACGGTACTCGAGACAACGATCCTTTGAGTGCTTCACCGACAGCACGGTCCAACGCTGCCCTGCTGGCTGACTGCCGGTCTGTGTTCACATCGCACGTCCAGCGAAGCTCGGCACGGGCGGTTATAGTGCGCCTGGGCCAGGCGGGGCACGAAGGGGCGGCAAACCTCCGGGCGGCAGCGGCGGCGGCCTTGGCCTCGCGCCCGCCGCAATTGCGCGCGCAGCCTCTCTCAGCCTCCTCCGCTCCGACAGGTGGGCCACGTCCTTCGCCACGTGCTCCAGCTTGTCTGTCAGCGGCCGCATACTCGTGACGTGCTTCTCGACGCTGAGGACGTCCTTCTGCACGTTGTCCACGCGCGTGTTGACCTGCATCCACCGGCAAAAGCGCAGCGTGGTGGGTTGGTTGCTCCCGGCGAGGGAGGCAGTGAGCCGGCGACGAAGCAGTGCCGCGAAGGTTACGCACCTGACCGAGCCCCCTGCGCAAGTCGCCCCGAAGCTCCAGGACCAGCGCCATGAGGTCCTCGATGGGGTCCGCGTCGCGCATGTTCTTCTCGAGGGCCTCGTAGTCGCGCGCCTTCATCACCCGGTTCTGATACTGCCGCATCGGCACCTGCAGGCCGGGCTTCTTACTCGCAGTAGCCAGGATGTTCTTCACGACCTGGTAGCTGTACTCCACCTCAGCCTTCTCTGACACCTCCTCGTACGACGTGGCCATCATGGCTGCACGCGCGCGGGCAGGGAGGCTGTCGGGTGCGACGGCCATGTCTGGGCGACGGCCATGTCATGCGGGCTGGGTGGCGGGCGTGCGGCGCACCAATCAGCAGGTTGAGGAGCAGCACTTGACCCATGACCGCGTACAGAATGCCCAGCGCCGGACCCATGTAGGACGACGCCGACGTCAGCGCCTCTATGTAATCCGACACGCCGTCCAGAAGCATGAAGAATGAAGCCAGACAGGCTTTCGGGTACCTGCAGCCCGCGGCGCAAAGCATTGGCTGTGTCGCGAACAAACGGCGGGATCGCGTGCGGGGGCGAGGGACTGAACCAGCGAACAGTCGCGAACATCCGCGGGCGCACGTGCTGAAGTCTTCCGTGTCCTCGCTGTGCCGCAACAAGACGTAGAACGCAGTGACGAATCCGAAGAAGAAGAGGAGGAGGATGGCCAAGAAACGCGCGATGTCCCGGCGCAGCATCGTGAACACCATCACCTGCGTCACGCGGGGAACGGCCGTCACGAGAACCGGACAAAGTGCCCGCACGAATGCCACGCATGTGGCGTGATGCTTCAGTGTTCGCTTCAGGCAACAAACCAGGCACGCACCACGAGCGGCCCCAATGGCTGATACGTGAGGAAGAAGCGTGCCATCTTCCCCCAAGCCAGAACCGAGCTTGCACACATGAAGATGATGTCCATGTCGTGGAGATGGCTTGAAATTGGATCCTCGTCTGAATGCTCGGTGAAGTAGTGGAGGGCCCGCATTCCGTACATCACGGGGACGATGATGTGCAGGGCTATGTCGTTCAGGTTGAAGACCGACGACGTGTACGCCTTGATCGCGTAGAACCATAGCAGGAACCGCGGCGGCGGCCCGTGTCCGGTCGCGCGGTTGGTCAACTTGGCCCACATCTTGTGGAAACTCGCGCGATCAATGGACTCGGGCGGGAACACGCGCGTGGCCGCCGCTGTGCCTTCAGTACATGACAAGGTCCGCGTCATGGTCTTGACCTTGGGCGACAACGGCGCCTCCTGTGCTTCGAGCTGCTGCGCCACGAGACGGGCTCCGAACTCCTTGTCGATGTGGCTCGGCTCCAGGTCGAGGCCGAGCTCCTCCGCGATGGCCATCGAGGTGGCCTTCTCCCGGTTGACGTAGCCGTCGTCCTGGATCCGCGCGAAGATCAAGTCGACGGCCGGCGTGAGGATCTGCGACTGTCCCTCGCCCCTGAGCTCCTGCGTGCTCTCCATCAGCTCCATCAGCTCGCCCCACAGAAACCACATGTTCATGCTCAGGGTGGCAACATCTACCGCGAGCCGAGCCAGCCCCGTGAGGTCCTTGTAGGAGTACACCCCGAAGATGACCGCCATCGTCGAGGACAGGGTGACGAGGACCACGAAGATCGACACGAGCGCCGTCTCCTTGACAGCCTCCCGCCGGAACCCGCCAGACCACAGGGCGTCGACCTGCTGCTGTACGACGGGGTGCTTGAGCAGGAAGTGGGCGTCCGGCGTGGCCTCGATCGGGGTCAGGAGGTCCGCGTCTTGCGCGAAGAACTTCTGGTCGACCGTGGCGCTGGCCTCGGCACTGCCGCCGTTGTCCCACCACCCGAACCGCAGGTTCACGTACGCCGCGTGCGTGCCGGACGTGATTCCCTGTGCGACCATGTCGATGGGCGTCGCCGCGCGTCGCCGCACCATGCGGTCCAGCACCAGCTCCTTGTACAGCTCGGGGCCCATGTCCATGATGTGGTGCAGCACCCCGCTGCCGGAACTGTCCCGCAGCGTCAGATCCGCCCCGAGCCGCACCATAACGCGCAGCAGATCTGCAGCTCGCGAGGTGCGGGCGCCGACGCGGGTGACGAGGAGCAGGGCGTCGCGTAGGGTGCAGGCGGGCACGCGGCAGTGGCGGGGGGCGCACCGATGGCGCTCTTCGTGTCGATGAGCGACTCCGACCAGTCCTCGAGCAAGTGCTGCACCGCGGTCTTGCCCTCCGCGTCCGCGGCGTTGATGGCGCGCAGGCGGATGTTGTTCCTGGGGTCCCCCCAGTACTCCTTCGACCGCACCGCGCCGAAGAACTTGTGCGCCATCTCCAGGCACTCCACGACGCGCTCGACGGGGAACGCCGACGCGTCCATGACGAGGAAGTGGAACAGGCTGCAGTTGAGCGAGGCCTCGCTGGTGATCAGGGGGTCGGCGGCGGTGTTCGTCGACGCCGCCCGGAGCGTACCTAGGGTGTTGATCACGTTGCTGTGCTTCTGCTGCGCGGCAGCGTACAGGGCAGTGACGCCGTCGTCGTTGAAGTCGTTCGGGGAGGCATCGCTCTCCACCAGCCGCTTGACCAGCACCGCGTCGCCCAGCGCGGCGCGGCGGATCAGCAGGTCCGCGCGCACGTCCGTGTCCGCCAGCGCCTTCGACGCCGCGGCCCTGTCCTCCTTGGTCATCTGCTCCGGGGCGATCTCGAAGGCCACGTCCGGCGCCGCCCGCACCAGCCAGTCCATCGGCCGGCCCCCCGTCCCGCCCTCCGCCGCCGGCACCGTGAAGTCGCCGCCGATCGACGTCAGGGCGCGCAGCACGGCGTACTTGCTCGCCGCGAACGACTCGAAGTCCTTGATGTAGTCGAAGGCCAGGTGCACAGCAGACACCCCCTGCCACTCGTCGCCGCCCCCCTCGCTCAGCGTGTTCACGGTCAGGGGCGACTTGCCCTCGCCGTCGGCCAGCATGTTCGCGAGCTCGTTCGAGGCCATGATGGCGTCCTTCACGCGCGACGAGTCCTTCCAGTAAATGTCGCAGTCCAGCGTGGCGTAGTGGAACAGGTACATCGACGCGTGCCCGGGGGGCGCGCAGCACATCGGATCCGCCGGCACGCCCACGCCTGTCTGCCTCGCCCGCTTGAAGGACTCAAGGACCTTGTCCTGCTTCTGCCAGGCAGCCGCGTACAGCGCGGTGAGCGGCCGTTGCAGGAAGCCGTGTCGCGTCATCGGGCTGATGCTGGGTATCTGTTGCGACTCGATCACGTCCTCCACGATCCAGAACCTGTTCGGGTTCGCGCCCTCCTTCAGCAGCTCGAACACGTCGTCATTGATGCCAAACAGGCACGACCTGCAGACGCACGGCGGGCACCGGGCCCGGCTGGGGGTTTGGCCCCGACATTGACGACCGTGATCCAGCAGGCCCACGGTGCCACAGAGTATCGGGCAAGGTCCTGCGGTGGGCGATCAGTAAAGTGGTGTTGTGGTCGAAGGTCGCGCGATGAGGACGCACCTGAAAAGCGCCTTGTCACGTTCGTCTCCCTCGGGCACAGCATCATCGTCGAGCATCGTCGCCGGAGACGCCTCGGCGTCGTCCTTCTCGGGCACGATGGCATTCTTGGTCGTTTCACTTCTCCCCTTCTCCAGCTCCCGTGCGCTGGATCCTGCCTCGCTCCCTGCCGCGCGGCTTTGTATCGCACTTGGGTCCAGCGACAGCACGCTCTCCAGCTGCCCACGTAGAGCGGAGTTCTCGTCGAGATACTCGTTGCTGCTCTCACCCCCGTCCACTGGAGGCCCTGCCGCAGGTCCGTTGGGCCCCGCGCTATCCTCACCAACATCTCCAGTTGGCTTTGATTCCGGTTCCTTCGCGCCGTCGCTCGTTCCGCCCTGGCCTTCGAGCAACGGCCTAGACTCGTCAGTTGAGGCACCTTCGATAGCGCCGCCATCTCCTGAGCGCTGTCCGCCCCCGTCCCTGTCGCCCGCGGCGTCTGCAACAGACCAGTGGTGCGCGGGTGGCATCGGAAGCTCAGTTTCAACGTTCTCACCGCGCGAGAATTCGCTGCCAACTAACCAGCCACGGGTGGACGTTGCCGTTGGCCCCTCACCGTCGGTCGCGCCAGAAAACGGCACGTCGCGCATCGAGTCTGCCTTCGCCGGAGGCTCCTCGTCGAGCCCGTCGATGCCTAAGCTCGCGGCTACATCCGGCGGGAGCTCCGACTTCGTAGGAGCAAGCGCACGCCGAGCCGACGCTGCAGACGCACCAGGCACTGAGTGTGTGGCACGGTAAGTAAGACATGCGATGGATGTTCTGCCGCAGGGTCGCGCATGAGAGGCGCCTGCGACTGTTTGTGCGTGGGGCGCCTGCGCAGGGGCGCTGCTGCTGCTTGCGCGCGTCGCACCTGGAGACGCTGGCCGGGACGCGCTCTGCGACCCGGCTTCGGAGTCAGGATGAACGCGGTTCATGCCGGTGGTCGCGGGGACGGATCAGCTACCACGGAGCGCGGCTGCGCAGCGTCTGGCATGCACCTCCTCTGGCAGGCACCTCCCGCAACGCGGGCCTGCCGCGAGGGGGCTCGTGTGCGCGCTGCCGCGGTGACCGACGGCGGACGTACGCGGCGGGGCGGGAAGGGCATCTACCGACGTGCGCGTGCGGGCGTCTGGCGCCGCGCGACGGCATTGGGCCACATGGGTCGGCGACCGCAGCAGCAGGCCGCGGGGTGTTTGAACCCCCCCTGCCGTCAGTTGTCGCCGCGGACAGCAGCCTCGTCGACCAGCTGCACGGCGCGATGCGCGGACACCAGAGGTGATCGCGCAGCAGGCGGGCGCATCACACAGCCGGCGGGTTGCGCGATCAGCCCTCGAGTTTGACGCAGCGCAGCAGTTTGAGCAAACACGAGGCGTTCGTCATCATCGCCGCAACGTGGGCCGCCGCGGCCGCGTCCCCCCCCGCACCGACGTGCGGCGCCTTGATCGCGCCCAGGACGCGCGACAGCTTCGCGTAGTAGTCCTGCACGCGGTCGGCCGCCGCAGCCATCCGCTCCAGCAACCGCTCCGACCCCCCGCCCGCGGCCAACACCTCCTCGATGCTGCGCGCCGTGTCCTCCGCGTGCGACAGCGCGTCCAGCAGGTCGCGGCGGGCGCTGTCCGGGAGCCGCTCCATGATGATGCTCTTCAGCAGGCATGCGCGCCTGGCCTGCTGGTGACCCCTGCGATGGCGGGAGCGGGGCGGGGCGTCAGGGGCCACTGCGGTGACACAGGTGCGCGGCTGGGCGCGGGCTTTGCGCGGGCGCCTCACCACGCGGTCACCAGGTCGCCCAGCTCCTTCGAAGAGCGCGGCTCTGCTGGAAGCCACACGCCCGACAGCGTGGTGTCCTCGCCGATGACGCCCGTCGCAGGCTCGCGGGCGCCCGACGGGCCAGGCCCGGAGAGTCCCTCCACGCCGCTAGGTCCCTGCGTGACTGAGGTGTGCCACGTGGGCCCGGAACGTGCCCGTTTGTACGCTGCTGCTTTGCCAGGCGGGTGTTCGACACGGCACGTGTCGCTGCGCTGGCGACTGCTGCCGCGCTCGGACCCCGACGACAGCTGCCGCTCGCAGGTCGAGTTGTCGCTCTGCTTCTCGCACCCGACCTCGCGCACGTTCCGCACCGAGGCTGGCGGCGCAAGTTCCTCGTCGCTCTCACTCTCAGAGCTCGAGGAGGAGCTGCACGAGCTCGCGTCCACGCAGCCGTAGTCGCCGCGAGCGTCGATGTCGTCGGCGACCCTGGCCAGGTCCGGGCGATGCTTGCGAAGCAACCTGCACCGAAGAGAGCCACGGGACAGCGAGCGTGCGTGGGAACGTTGGCCTGGTGCGAGCACCCATCGCGCCGAGAATCTCCGTGGGAAGAACCCCACCTGAGCCACTTTGCCGCCATCTTCGGCCTGCTTCTGTGCGCGTGCCGCCACGTCCACGGGAAGTTGCTCGAGGCCGTGTAATTCTGCGTCACGGCAACCGTCATGTCCAGGTTCATCACCACGTGCCACCAGCCCCACGGAACGAAGATTGTCTCGCCGGGCCGCTGGAGCACCTCGATCGGGCGGTGCGTGGGCCAGTCGCGGGCCTGCGTGCGCGGGTACACTTTGGCAAACCACGACGCCGCCTCCTTCTCCACGCCCACGGGCTTGATCAGCTCCACGGGGGTGTCGGGCGGGAACAGTGCCCACCGCTTGTGCCCCGACAGCAGGGCGTTCCACGCGTTCGTCGCCAGCGGGTCGACGTGGATCGAGGTGCCCGACCTGCAGCATCATGGTTGGGACCGGGAATTCAGTTTTTAAACGACGGCCCACAAGCACGCTCCGCGGCGGACTTCGTGCCGGTGCGACCCCAGACACACGCATCGATGCGGCGGGCGGCGACGGAAGGCAGCGCAACGAGCGCAGGGGCTGCGGGTCACCTGGGCGGGCCGATCACGATCCAGCGATACGGTGGTCGCCTTCCCTCGCCGACGAACTTGAGAAGGTCCTCGTTGAAGAGGTCCGGCACCGAATAGTCCTTCGTGAGCTCCCTCACGCCCTCGCGCTCGTGGAAGGAGCCCTCGAACACGTACAGCGGGGAGTCGTCCTGCGGTGGAACGCCAGCGCGCGATGTGAGACAGCGTGTGTCGCGCACGTGGGGGCTGCGAGAGCCCAGAGCCCCGACCCCCCCCCCGCACCTGCTTGCTGTCGCTCCTCGCGTACTCCCAGAAGTACTTGAACTTCATGCGCACCGGGTAGCCGTCGTCGTCCGTCCCGCACTTGAACTTGTACTCCCCTGCGCCGTTGAGGGCGCAAAGTGTCCCGGTCAGACGGCAGTGCTGGGCGGGGCCGCTGCTGTGGTCGGCAGCACGTGCTGCGCTGGGCAACGCACCATACGACTCCTTCAGCTTGTCCATCGTCCAGCGCTCGTTCGCGCTCCAGGCGTCTGTCAGCCCTGTCACGACGACGGGGCATCGTGGCAGTTCGAAGTCCTGAACAAACCGTTCATGCGTCAACCGTGACACATGCACACGCGGCACGTGATCTGGGAAGCCCTGCGTGACCGGGGCCGGGCGGTGGACGAGCCGTCAGGGGCCCGCGGAGACCGCGACAGAGGTTGACGTATCCGCAGGTTTCGCGCGACAAGCGGCGTGCACGCGGCGTGCGGGTGGCGCACTTGCAACTTGGTGAGGGAAGGCATCGACGCATATCCGTGCTTGCTCCAGTCTCCCCTGGTCACGCTGAGCTCACTGCGCGCGGCGCGCTTCGTCTTTCGAATCTTCCGCCGCCATTTCTCGCTCCACTCGCCGTCACCTGCTGCCAGACGGACGCCAGAGAGCCGCTCAGGTTTCGCCGCTCCACAGAGCGTACTACGCCGGATACTCGCAGCCTCTGTTCCGAGGCGGGCTACTGTCGCATATTCTGACCACAATACGACAAGGCGGCCGCGACCGGGCCGTTGCGCTCGCCGTGAGGGCGGCCTGCAACTGCGCCTCCTTGTGCACCGTCTTGCGCAGCGCCGGAGATATTCGTGACACAGTGCCCGGAGCCCCACCTTCATGCGGCGAAGATTGCCTTCCGCCACCATCTCCAAGCGTAACTGGGGCGAGATTGCCGTCGAGCTGCATTTGCACCACAGAGGGTCGACTTCCTCCGACCTCCATGTCCGCGCAACCCTGAGCACCCACCATGATATGAAACACTACTCTATGAAAATACTAGTCCAGGGGCTCAGTCAGGAGGCGGGGTCACCCATCAGCCGCCGCCGCAATCCACTGGATGGGGTGAGCCAAGCAGAAAGTGCGTCGAACGACGAATTGACTGGGAGCCGCGGCGCACAGGGGCTGCTGTCCGGATCGCATGGCGCGGAAATAGTGTTCACGTGGACTCGCCGGCGGACTCGAGCTATGCAGCCGCTGTGCCGCTGACGCAACAGTCCCCAAAGTAAAACTATCGCGGCACGGGCCGCCCGGTCTCGAAAGCGGGCGACAGCGCCCCTGCCGCCCTCTCTCTGAGCCACGGACCGCGACCGCTTCCAGGCACAATGAGCAGCCGCCTGTTGCAGGCTGCAGGCCGGCACGCCTATGCCAGAGCATCACTGCCGGCGCTGCGACAGCCGCTGCTGGCGACACCCCTTCGTCTTCGGGCGCGAGCCCGCGTCCCGGGCCATGTGTCTCGCACCGTGTCCTGCGCTTCCTCGACGGCGGGCGTTGGCGCTGGCGTGAGGGAGACGTTCGACAAGTGCCGGGAACAGGGCAGGTGCGGGCGCCGCCGACGGGCGCGGCTCTCTGGAGCTGCGCGGACGGCACTCCGCGCACACCCAGTACGACGTTCGCGCCACCACGGCCCTTTCACAGAGCACGGCGCCGGGCTCGGAGGCTGCGCACCTCGGCCATCCCGCACACTTGCGTCCGCCGGTCGATGTGGCGCCGATGCGACGTGACGCCGGGCCCCCGCGCCCGCAAACGATCGTCTCTGTGCATCCGCCTCGCGCACGGGCGACCGCTGGCCGCGTGGTCCCCGCGGCGGCTCGCCCGGATGAATCGCACTGCACTCATGGCGGTTGCGTCGTCGTCACCGCGCACGTCTTCGGGGCGATGCTCGCAGGGTGGCGCTGATTCCGTTCATCATGGCCGGCGACCCCGACCTGGACACGACGAAGAAGGCGATCTTGGAGCTCGACTCGCTGGGCGCGGACATCATTGAGCTGGGGGTGCCCTACAGCGACCCGCTCGCCGACGGACCCGTGATCCACGAGGCCGCCACGCGCGCGCTGCGGAGCGGCGCCACGATCGACAAGGTCATCGCCATGGTCCGCGAGGTGGCCCCGCAGATCAAGGCGCCGCTGGTGCTCTTCACGTACTTCAACCCCATCATCAACCGGGGCGTGTCCGAGTACTGCAAGTTCATCAAGGACGCCGGCGCGTCCGCGCTCCTCATCCCGGACCTCCCGCTGGTGCGCCGCGCCCGCCGCGCCGCCCCGCGCCGCCCCTGTCGTGCCACTGCGCGGCAGGGCCACCGGAACCGCCGCTCGAGCCCCCCGCGCGCTCGCAGGAGGAGGTCCTCAAGGTGAAGCAGGCCGCGAACGACGCGGGGATCGAGCTCGTGCTCCTCACCACCCCGACCACCCCGCGCGACCGCATGGCGAAGATCGCCGAGTCCTCCGACGGCTTCGTCTACCTGGTCTCCGTCACCGGTGCGCGCCGCACCCGCACCCGCCCGAACGAACACAGCACTGCCTGCCGCGCGACAGGAAGGAGCGCGCTGCGACGCCCGCGCGCCCGCGTGCGCGCCATTGCAGGGGTGACGGGGGTGCGCGCCAAGGTGTCTGACCGGGTCGGCGGGCTCGTCGAGATGCTCAAGGAGGTCACCGACAAGCCCGTCGCCGTTGGCTTCGGGGTGTCTGCGCCGGAGAACGTCAAGCAGATCGTGGACTGGGGCGCGGACGGTGCGCAGCCCCCCTAGAGCGACCGGCCGCTGCCCCGCGTGCACACGCACCGCCGCGGCGCTGCCACGTGCGCGCTTGCTCACGCCGCCCTCGCCCCGCTGTCGCAGGCGTCATCGTCGGGTCCGCGCTGGTCAAGGCGCTCGGCACGGCGGGCAGCGCGGAGGAGGGGCTCGCCAACTTCAAGGCGCTCGCTGCGTCGCTCCGGGAGGCCGCGCCCGCAGGCAAGTAGCTCGACGCGGTCGTGTGATCACATCGCTGGTGCTACGAGGGCAGCGATCTGAGCATGCGCGTGTACATGACTACCAGCGTCGCGAGGAAGGACAGCAGCGCAAACAGCCCCAGCAGCGCACGCGGGTCCGACAGCCACGACCGCCCGCGACGCGCACGCGCGCCCGACCGGGGCACGCGCCTGATGCCCGGCCCGCGATAGCTGTTGGACGGCGACTCCGCGTCTCTCCTGCACAGCACCACGAACGGCCAAGTCAACCTCTGCTCGCACGCTCGACCCCGGCACGCGCTGGCCGCAGGGGCGCGGACGGTGCTCGTGCGGGCGGACAGCGCGGGGCGCACCTGGTGACCGGCAGCATCGGCTGGCCGAACAAGCTCGCGTACATGCGTTTCAGACCCAACGTGACGCCGCTCTGCTTCCTGACGTACTTGTCGCCCTCGTCCCCGTCCTGCGTGAGCGGCCCAGCTCCCAGGGACACCCGCTGGGCGATCGGCGAGCGCGACACCGCCTCGCCCGCGGAGAGCGCCCCCCCGCTGCTCTCGTGGCGCAGCGGCCCCGCGGCTTGCGAAGTGCTCGGCCCCCAGCCTGCGTGCCGCGCCGGCGGGCGACCGCGGGTCATGCGCGCCCCTCGGGGGTGTGCCCGCGTGCGACGACCGGGCAGCGCGCGTCACGCAGCGGCACATACCTGCACTGGGCTGTCCTGCGTCCCGCGGCGCCGCGGCCTGCGAGCCCTCCGCGATGAGATCGTCGATGTCGGATATCTGGGAGAGGTCCGTGATCTGCTTTCCCGTCGCCGCGAGCGTGATGCTCGTCAACGTGGCCAGGCCCAGCTTGCGCTGCACTGATGCTGTGAACTGCGCCCAGCTCTGCGACTCTGGAACTGGCACGGCGACTCTCCTCCGCGGCTTGGAGCCTTTCAGAGTGACGAACACCAGCATCGACGCATCCTGCAGGTGCCGGGGAGCGCTTGGGGGTCGGCCCGCGCGCAGCAAGGACTTGCCGGCAGACAGTGGTGGTGGCCTGGGCTGGCCGTGGCGGGGACGCAGCGGCGCCGGCCCCCCGCAGACTGCCGTGGAGTAACGGACGCACCAGATCATTGCGTCCCAGCCGCGACATGCTGGCAGGCTACGCTGTTCCCGGGCTGCGCCCCCAACCACCACCGCCTGCGCACGTCACCCGCCCCGCAATTTCCTCCCCCCCGTCACGACGCACGTACTTTCGCGCGATCGCGTCCTCGTGCCTCGAATCCAGCGGCGCAATCGACCGAGCTCCGCCTGGGGGGCAACGAGTGAGGTGGAAAACCAGGCTTCGGCGGTCGCGCCAGTCCACGTGGACCACCGATTCTGCTTCGCGAGGGACCGACGGTGCGAGGGGTGTAGCCGTCTCGCGGTGGCCATGTAGTCTGTCTGCGAAAGCCCTTGTGGAAGCGGCGCGGCGGACACTGTGTGACACTGCCCCGCCCGACGGTCTGGCGCCAGGGGCCGCTCGGCCGGGCCGCCACTGATGCCGTCGCGCGCGGGCCCTGCAGGATACAATCGTCTCTGCCAAGCCGGTGTGACGGACAACCGCGCCGCAGGACCCGACAGTGGGTCGAGTTAGTGCGCTCCTTGTTTCGGCAGAGCTTGAGTTGCGCGCAGCCATGTCGTCGGGCGGAGGGCGTCGCATCTCCCTGCTCGTCAGGAACATCTCTGGAGACACCAGGTGCGCCCCGCGAGGTTGCAGTGTTGGCGGTTCCCAACCTGAGCAGCAGACCACCGTGCGCGCGGCGGCCCTGCGCGCACACGGCGCGACAAGCGGCTAGAAGCACGCACACCACGCATGTGACCTCCCCTGCGCGCTCCCAGTCGCGAGATAGCGGCGCAGTCCGCCGCAACTTCGAGGGGCGCTTGACCTGAGGTCTGCTGCCCGCGCCCGTCGCCGTGCAGGCCAGACGACGTGCGCTACGCGTTCGAGCGGTATGGGGAGGTGCGCGACGTCTACATTCCGCGCGACTACTACACACGGTGAGCACGACGCGCAGAGCCGCCCGCGTTGAAGCCCTTCCCGCCAACCGCGCCACCGCGTCAGTCTAACGGCCGTGTGCAACCGCCCTGGCGCACAGCCGAGTGCGCGGACGGCGCACATCATCATCGAGACCTCCCCGCGTCCGCTGACTTTGTCTGGCCTCGGCGGACGCACGAAGCCGACCACGCTAGAGAGCTCCGTCGACCGAAGCTTGCCGTGCCACGATCCGCCGCTGAGAACCGTCCGAAGAGCCCTGGTTGCCGCCATGGATATCGGCCGACACGATGATGTGGGCGTCGAGTCGCAAGCATGTCGCCTTTGAAGCCGCGAGAGGGCTGCAAGTTCGCAAGCTCTTGGCAGAGACCTCAGAGAGCCCAGATTTCCCAAGCGGCCTCCGCCGGACACGCACGAAGCGAATCGCAACCTCGCTTGCACCTCGAGCGTCCGGCGGCCGGTCCGGACCTCGCTCGCGCCCACCAGTGCTGCTCAGCAAGCTGCCTGCCTGGCGGCCCCGCAGCGGCGGTGCGCATGCACGGCCCCGCTGCCCCCAGCTGCCCCGCCAACGCCGGCAACGCGGCTGCCCGCGCACGAGGTCCGCGCCGGCCGCACGCCGCCCAGCCGCCCGTGCAGCACCCTGACGCACGTGCGCCACCGCCTCGTCGTCCGCAGGCGCCAGAAGAACTTCTGCTTCGTGGAGTTCATGGACGCGCGCGACGCCGACGAGGCAATGTACCGGCTGGACCGTTCGCGTCTGCTGGGGAAGGAGATCACGGTGGTGATGGCGCGCGAGAACCGCAAGGCGCCCGACGAGATGCGGCGCAAGGACTCCCGCGGGGGGCGCGAGGGCGACCGCGGGGGCGACCGCGGGGGCTACGGGTACGGCCGCGGCCGGAGCCGCTCGCCGCGGGGCCGGCGCAGGTCGCCTTCGCCGCGGCGGGGGCGCTCCCGCTCACGCGGCCGCCGCTCGCCCTCTTACGACCGCCGGGGCAGGAGGTCGCCGTCGTACGACCGCAGGTGCGCGGCCACGTCGCATGGGGCGCGCTCGCCGCCGTCGCCACCGCCGCCGCCAGGCCGCACCGACGCCACCCGTCGAGCTGTTTGTTGCGTGCAGGGCAAGCAAGTCGCCGAGCAGGTCGCGGACGCCGCGGCGCCGCACGCGGTCGCCCTCCCGCTCGCCGTCGCGTAGCCCGCGCGGCAACGCCAGCCGGTCGCCGCCGCCCCGCTCGAGGTCCCCGCCGCCGCGCTCCCCCTCGCGCAGCCCCCCCCCCCGGTCGAGGTCGCCGCGCGACGACTCGCCGCCGAAGTAGGGCGCGGCAGCCGCTCGACGATGACGGTCATTGTGACGGATGATGGACCGCGGGTTACGCTCGTACGGGCCTGAGGCACCTGCGAGGCTGGGGGGTCGCGGACCGTCGTATGCGCGCGACCAAACGCAGGCGACGGGGCGTGCTCCTCATGACGTCGACGTGGACCCGCGGGCGGGGCCACTCCCACGCCTCGAGGCGAGCGGGCCGCCGCGTCGTCGTCCTCCCAGCGCAAGGTGGTATGAAGCAACCTCTCTGCAGCACAGACCTGCGACTCATTGCGACCGCGAGCGGCGTGTCCGTGCCGTTGACAATCGAAAGAAGAGGCTGGCGTACGTACGCTCGCTGTTGATTGCCAATTGCGCAGCTAGCCCCCTCCTCCTTTGCACCTTTTGCCTCGAGCTCCTCTGGCTGCCCGGCGGTTTCGAGTCTTGAAATCAGCGAATCTCCGCCCTCTCCAATTCCAAAGAAACCTCACACGATGACTGCGACCATCACGAGCGCTGAGCGCAAGGGGAAGCGCGGCAACAAGTCTGCTGCTGCGCCCGGCGTGAAGTTCTCGACCATGCCCTTCGCGAGCGTCGCCAGCGCGACGCTGGCCACGAAGTCGGCGCCCCGCCAGTCGAAGTCGACGATGAAGGAGGTCATGGGCAAGGCCGCCAAGCGTGCCCTGGGTGGTGGTCTGCCCGGCGCTGCGGCCATGGCTGCGAACGTCCTGTCGCTGATGTGGCTGCGGACTACCGTCAACTACCAGTACCGTTACGGGACGTCGACCGCTGAGGCGCTCCGCACGCTCTACGCGTGAGTGCCCGGCCCGCGTGGATGCATGACGGGCGCGCGCCCTCGTTACGCACTTCCAGCGCCTTTTCGCCCCGTTCGCGCAATAGTTACGAGCAATGTGTCCGGGTGTTTTGCACGCGCATCCCATCGAGGGAAGGCATTGGCCGTGCCGCCCTGGTGCCTTGCCATCTGCTAAGCACTGGGGCGGCGAGAATGCCTCGCGGGACATCACCCAGCACGGACATCGATCCTTCCTTTCCATGATGGTGGTCCCTTTGACGTCGCTTGTGTGTCCCAGCGGGGTCCCGAGGGCCCTCCTCCGCCCGGGACCACCTGGCCCCTCCGCTGCCAAGATCGCCGACGTGCGTCACCCCGCGACTGCGCGCGCAGGGAGGGCGGCATCCCCCGCTTCTACCAGGGCCTGGCCCCCGCCCTCATCCAGGGCCCCCTCAGCCGCTTCTGCGACACGGCCTCGAACGCCGGCATGGTGGCCCTGCTCGACGACATGGAGGCCACTCGCGACCTGCCCGTCTTCGTGAAGACCATCGCCTCGTCGGCCGCGGCCGCTGGCTGCCGCATCATGCTGATGCCGGTGGACGCCTGCAAGACCATCATGCAGGTGCGGGCAGCACGGCGTCGCGCTGCACCCTTCCGCCATGGCAACATGCCACGCGCCACCCCCCGTGGACCCCGCATCACACGCCTCCCCGCACCTCCCCATCCCGCAGGTCGAGGGCAAGACGGGCATGAAGACCCTCGCCGGCAAGGTGGCGAAGAGCGGCCCGACTGTGCTGTACCACGGCGCCATCGCTGCGTCCGTCGCCACGTTCGTCGGTCACTACCCCTGGTTCTTCGTGTACAACGCGCTGAACGCGCGCCTGCCGCAGTACGAGGACATGCCGCGCCGCCTCGGCCGCTCCGCCCTCATCGGCTTCTGCGCCTCGGCTGTGTCGGACACGTGCTCCAACTCGATCCGCGTCATCAAGACGACGAAGCAGACCTCCGCGGACGCCAAGGGCTACGTCGACGTGGTCAAGATGGTCATTGAGAAGGACGGCCTGGCGGGCCTGTTCGGCCGCGGCCTGAAGACCAAGATCCTCGCCAACGGTCTGCAGGGCCTGCTCTTCTCCGTGTTCTGGCGCCTCGGCATGGACGCGTGGGCCAAGGCCGAGGCCAAGAAGGAGGCTCAGAAGAGCAAGCGCTTCTAAAGGGCCGTGCCCCGCCCTGGCGACGATTTTGACCAACAGAGATTCAATAGCATGCTCGAGGCGCTCGATGGCCGGCGAACGCCGAACGCACCCTGCCGGCCTCCCGGCCTGGTGCGACATCATTGCAAAAAAGAGGTGTAAAGGACAGCTGCGCACGAACGCCGTCACAACTCTTGGCGACGACTTTCCTCCCTGTTTGCTGATGGACGCGGCCCCTGGTCCGAGGCCAACGCTCGCGACATGATGGCCTCCTGCTGCGCATCGTACGCCGTCCACTCTGGAATGATGCGCCTGGCCATCTGGAGCTTGGGCTCCTTCGTCAACGGGTTGTTGCACAGATCGATTGTCTTCGCCGCAGCCTTCGTTGCATTCCCGCACCACGTCTCGCACCACAACCATTCCTGGGGCAGACTGAAAATGGGTACCTGCATGTAGTCGAGACAACACGCGTGGCGCTCTGCCGTCGGGTGCTGCGTGCACAGGTGGTGCGGGAGTCTGGTGCGCAGCACGCGTCCAACACGTACCTGATCTTGCACGAAATTCGGCAGGTCCTGGTCCTGCAGAATACACGAGGCTCGGTCGAGGATCCTGAGGAGCGTGCAGTCTGGCCATGCTGTGCAGACAGCGGTCCATGTGCAATGCCATGACACGGGGACGAACGCGACGCACCAGGTTGGCCAGCGAGTTCGGGTCCATTGAGAGCTGGTGATACACCTTCCTCAAGTGATCGCCAGCGCCCATGCGGCGGAACTTGTCGAGGTCCACGACGTACAGTGCGGAGATGTGGTAGTTGTGGCTGCCGATGGTCCTCAGGTGGTCCTTCCAGAACCCCTGCTTCCAAAAGCGGAACCCTTCGACCTGCAGGGCGTTCGCACAGATGTGCGCACGTCCTTCGTACCGTGCGCTGGCTTCCCTTCCAGTCACCAAAGTCGGCTACCATTCAGCATGGATTTGCCGGCCGCGGCGCGAGTCGCACCTCCTTGTTGTTCTCGCAGAACGGAACGTAGCCGTACGGTGCTCCTTGAAGGTCGTGACGAACCAGCTCGCGCAGGTCCGAGCGCACTACCTGATCAGAGTCGACGAAAATCATCTTGGAGACAGTCAACGGGAAGATGACGTCCAGGAACAGAATCTTGTACGCCCAGATGATGCGCTGACGCTCAGACTGCTTGCGAAGCCAGTGTGGCCACTTATACGTGATGAGCTCGTAGTCAAACCCGATCTCCGCCGCCATCTTCGCGAGAGAAGCTCTCCAAACGGGCGACATGTAGTTCTGCATACAAGAGAGCGCCGATGCGACCGCGTGAATGCTCGTAGCGTGTCGAGCATGTGCTCCTCGAGTGCGCCATGGTGTTGCAAGCACCTTGGCGCGGACACTTTCCAGCTTCAAAGGCTCTCCGTGCGCTCAAGTCGAGTGGTCGAGGCCAGCAACAAGCAGTCAGGAGCGGCGCAGCAGAGCTGCGACGGGCCACCAGCAAGACGCCCGCGGCGACGGCGCACCTCGATGAACCAGAACTTGACCGGCTTTGTCGTGTGCTTCACCACGCTGAGCATCATGATGCGCTGCAGTCTCTCGTACAGCAGCCCCGAAGCCACGGTCATGACATGCACTGGCTCCTCCTCCTCCCCTGCTCCTGCCGCTTGGTCGACCCTGCCCTGCCCAAACGAGCCAAAAAGTCTCGACACCAGGCCGCGCCGCGTTCCAGCCCCCGAGGCCTCCCCCGCACCGGCATCAGCGACTTCACTTTCGCCCGATGCGGTCGGTGGTTGGCTGCTGCGTTCGCGCAGACGCAGTTGCACTTGTGCACCTGAAAACGACAACACCTCCACGTTGGCAACCGCGCTCGTATCGCCACCACCGTCGGCGAGCGCGATCCAGTAGGGCGAGTGGTCGTCCGAGGTCTGCAAGTCGAGCGCACGGAGTCATTGGAGATTTTCGACCGGCGTTTGGTGCGATGTGGCATGCCAGTTCGACGCCCGAACAGGAATGAGCGCCGCGCACCATGATTTCGAACTGCTGCTCGTTGCCAGGGATGAGACGGATGCCGTACGTGCCCGGTTTGACGTGCAACTGGAAGTATCCGAGAGTGTCCATCACCAACGTGTCGGCAACCCGCGCTCCATCCTTGTCCACTAGGTGCAGCTGCAGTCCCCGCGGGTGCACAGCCTCGTACCTGCCCTGCTTAATAGCGTCGGTGTTCTGCGTCATCCCCGTGATGAGGAGCGCGTCTAGCTCGTATTCGAAATGGACGGGAGCTTCGACGTCATCTAGGAACACGTTGTCTGCGTCGCCATCGGCACGGCGCAGACTGGCGAGCCACGGCTCCGGAACGTCGAGAGATACCGTCAGGACACGGCGCTGCGGTAGCGCAACAAGGCTGACTGACGGCGGAAGTGGCACGCCCCACTTGTCCACCTGCATCAAGTCGCATGGCCATGGCTCAAACAACTCTGGGCGCTGATCTGGATGCAAATTGCGTGAGAAGAGCATAGGCGAAGTAGCGCGATTGATCGGGCGCACCTCACGCAGCGACGGGAGCGCCACGCTGTAGAACGTCTCCAGCGGGAGGTCAGATGCACCTCCCATCGGGGCCAACACCAGCTGCAATTCCGCCCCCACTGCGTCTCTGATGAAGCCCAGCATCTGTGGAAGGATCTGTGCCTGCTTGCTCAGGGGATCTACGACGAGCTGTAACTTGAGCACGCCGTCGGATTTCCGCGAAGAAGCGGTGATCAAGGGCGAGCCGACAGCTTCAAGGTCGGCGATGACTGCGCCGACACGCGCTGAGGCCGCCAAAAGGAAGTGCGGAAGAGTTCGTCCCTGATGAAGGACCGGGTTCGCGGTGAGAATCAGGCTTGCCAGCAGCGACAGGTCGCTCTGGCTGAGAGAACCCTCCGAAGCGGAGCCACGCTGGCGCTCCAGTACCCCGTTAACGCCGCGCCCTCCGAAGTCAGACCTGCGTTCGAGGCAAGCTTCGGCGACCGTGAGGGGCTGGCTACAGCACACCAAGATGACGTCGGCATGGTCGCACACTTAGCCTGACTCGCACCTCGCCAGGGCAACCATGAGCGCGACGTCCTTGGCGCGGGTGTCGCCGTCGAGGAGCACAATGCGGCCGTTGACAACCGCGACGTTGTCCCCAGGCCTCACGCCGGCGTCGGAGAGGAGCTCTCGCTGTGACACGAGCGATGACAGCAACGAGGGCTCGTTCCCGTCGGCGCCGAACAGATCTTGCGCAGCCGACATGACTGACGAGCTCGCCTCGTCAAGCGTCTGCGAGGCTGCTGTAGCGAGCTCGTGAACCTGCGGCATCGTCCGGCCCAGGCATGCTCCTGTTGGTGCACGTCAGGCGCGTCAACATTTCTGCGGTGCACACAGCTCTATTCGATGTGCGCGATGCGTACCTGGTGCGGAGCGAGAGATGCCCACGTCTCAGGGCTCTCCAGAGCCAGGTCGCGCGCGTGTTCGAGAAGAGATGCCAGGGCTCGTGCTTTGTCAACTTCGCCTCCCCGCTCCACTCGGATCAATGCCTGCACAAGCGCAGCGACGACGCTGAATGGCTTTTTCGAGGCAATCTGCGATGCGCGGGAAGCACGAGCAGCACCGGGGCGGGCGGCTTCAATTCACCTGTACGAATGTTTCAATGTGCCGTGCATTGCTGCTTTCGATCCGGGGGTTGTTCATCAGCGCAAGGCGCGCGCGTCCCATGTTAGCTGACGCCCAGTTCGCCGCGGAAGCGCTGATGTGCAAGCCCTCAGGCCTGCTCAAATCCGTCACGAGCCAGATGGTTGTATCCGCAACAACTGCATCTGCTCTTCGAAGATACGGGACCGCCTGGAGTGTCTCATGGACGGCGGCGTTCAGGGGATCGAGCGTGATAAAGGAACCAGGACCGACTCGCAGCTGTCCCGCACTGTCGCCCTCACCGCCACCCTCAGAATCCAAAGCCCCCAACCCCCAGGCCTGAATGCACGGGTGAAACAGGCACAAACATGGTCAGAGCCACGCTCACGGAGCGCCGCTGGCGTGCGGTGTCCTGGTTGGGATTCCGGGCGACGTCCCCACCTGGAGGACCCGCGCGTTGTACCGCGGCACAGCACGATGGTGCCGCAGCATCCAAGTGAAGAGCTTCGACTCTTCGTCCTCCAGCCTGCCGCCACTGTACTCCCGCAGCACGACCCGCGTCTCACTCTGGAGAGCTGCCACGAGTTGCTGGCCAAGGTAGTCCCTCGCCTGTGCAGAAGGCGACAACTGGCGCACCCTCCCATTGAAGGCAACGACCGCTCCACCGTCTTGCGGCACGAGGCCTCGTTCCTCCGCTGCGCATACAAAGACGCGGTTGTAGCAGCATGATGCACCTTTCCCCCCGAGACGCCGTGCAGGAGATCGGCAGGTGTGCCAAAATGAAAAAGAACGGACGTGGGGGAAGGGAGAGCGCACCAGACTTCAGCATCGCGGCCTCTGAATCGAGCACAGCCGTACCGATCACGCCCGTACCCTGCCAGATTCGGTCCCAGGCTTCCCCGGGTGATGAGACGTCGAACTTTTTCTTCTTGCCTCCCCTGTGGGAGGCAATCAGACTTTGAAATCGTGCGCGAAGCTCTGATACATCCTTGCACACGAGGTCCAGGTAGCGCAGTCGCAGAAACTTCGACGCAGCCGCGTTACCGATCAGCACTTTGAGTGCTGCTGCAACTCGCCGCGCCCTCTGCCCGATCGTGGCCGGGACATTGCCTCCAGGTGTGCCTCTACTGCACCGGGGGCCAACGGAGACGGCAGCTCGGGATTTCCTGCCGCCACGACGAGATTCGCGGGTGCGGCGAGAAGAGAGCGAGGAGTGGCTCAGGGGCTGCGCAGCATGTGAGTCATTCCCGCACCTGGACCGAGCATGGCCGGCCTTGTCCGACGATGAAACCAAGACCACGTGGAAATCGACGGGCATGCGTCTCTCCATGACCGCCGCCATCGTAGCTAGCCCCCCCCACCAGTTCGCTCCCTCGACATCGGCAACAAACGAACACGTTAAAATGGGGCGACTGACCGTGCCGTATCCGAGGTTCCTGAAGGACCTCGGGAACTGCCTGCGACTTTCGGGGCAGCACAGCGGCCTTCAGACCCCCGGGAGGGTCGTGACAGCCGCATCCATGGACCGGAAGGCAGAATGGTGACTTCTGAAGCAGTGTGCATCCTCGTTGCGCATGCCTTGCCTGTAATCCGGGTCTCTGTCGACGTCGTTCATTTTAATGTAGTATTTCATCCTCGCATCGACGCGAAGATCCGATCGATCTGCAACGTTTGCTCGCAAGGCCAGCAATGACCTGGCAGCCCCCTGCTCAATTCCAGCGCCAGTGAGTTCCTCGAACAGCCGCACCTGCGGTACAAGTTCCGATCGTCCGCGACGTGACCGCGCTGATCGTGGGCGGCGAACCTCTACGGCGCGAGGAGGACGCTGCGGCCCAGATCAGATGCTCACCTCGAGGCGGATTCTGTTCAGGAGCGCATGCAACTCAGGCCCCGTGTTGCTATCCATCGGATGCATCAAGCCATTGACGAGCAGCAAAGCCGACTTCCCGTCAAATCCCGAGGCATACAAGTCCTGCAAGTCCCGTCCGACCTCGGACCACGTCGAGTTCAGCCTCACCGAGCGCCCGAGAGAAGCCGCCACCTGTGGCAGCCGTTGGGCGATGCCGGCAGCGACCGCGAGGTGGTCCCGCTGCCGCTGGGCCTGATCTCGCACCATCTTGGCTGCCTTGAGGCCGAGATTCTGCAGCACCACGTGCAAGCGTGTCGGATGAGGCGCTGCACGTTGGCTGTACTGCGGATGAATCGCCTCGCCATGTGCCGCACCTTCAGTCCCTGGACTTTGATGGGCCGCTCCTCGGTGGCGCTCTCGGGGCGCAAGATCCTGAAAATGCCTGGCCGTCTCGTTCGCCGGGCCGCCTGGTCGACGACCGCGGCTTTCCCGCCGAGCAGCGGACGCTCGATCACTTCTGCTGGCTCGCCGGCTGAGCTGTCGTCCGATGCTTGCGTGTCTGCGCGGAAGCTCATGCGCATGAACATGTGGGCGGCAAGACCAGGGCGAGTTGGGAGGTGCTGGGCGATCGTCAGGGCCCCGTACCTTCTTCAGTGTCAGCGGCACTGCTGCTCTCATCCATCGCGTTGTACTCCATCGACTTCAGCCGCAGCTCGACGCCGAAGCCAGGAACCATCATACCCTCCCGACTCGCTCCTGCGGCGGGGAGAAAGGGGTGGGAGTGTTGCGCACGACATGGCTGCACGTCAGAAGTAGATTGACGCCTCAATCTTGCGTTGCTCGACGCCGAAGGAGGGTCTTTACCTGCCAGCTGGCAGGGGTGTCCCCCACGTTGCACATCACCCGCACAAGAATCCCCCAAATCCACATGTCGCAAAACGACCGTCAAATCAGCGCGCTGGGACTGGACTGCCTCCCGCAGCACGTCTAGGAGCCTTCCGAGGCATGCACTCCCGACCAGACCATACACGGCCACAAGAGTGGAAGTGTCGCTGCCGCGCAGGAACACGTGGTCCGTCGGCAGGGCCCGGGACACCCCTGCGTGGCCACGTTGGGACGTGGATGCGCCACTTGTCATTCATCGCGCCGGCGAACACCGCAGTCCAGCCCGCACAAGCGAGACGCAGATGCGCACCTTGTGGGGCCCTGCGCGAGTTGAGCACCGCCTTCAGCTCGCTCGCGTCGGTCACCAGCCTGGTGCTCCCAACATCGACGACACAGCAGGCCGAGCGCGTGTCACGGCCGTCAAGTTCGTGCCGAGCGGCATCCCTTGCCGCATGCACGCGTGGCGAGTACAGGCGGCTCATCAGCGACGTCTCCATCGTCTGCGGGAACACGGACGTCGGAGGCGGGTGAGGCCCGTTCCCCGGGAGCGGCACGCAGCGCCCCGGCGCCTTGTGTGCTGGTCCTTCTTGCGGGGCACGAACCAGTAGCATGGTGGCGCTCAGGTCCTCCCCGGCGACGCCGACGATCGTCGACCAGCACGTGGTCGGGTCTGCGTCGCTCGCGTTCCACCTCTCGTCCGCGCCCTGAGACCCCGTCTGTGTCGCCGCGATGAACCTCCACAGCGACCGGGCGCCGCCCTCCTCTGCGAGGAACTCGAAGGCCTCCAGGACCGCTGGCGTTGCTGCCCATTGAGATGTGAGCGACACGTTCACAGGCTTGAGCTTCGTGTTCTTCCTGGAGGGCTTCGCGTCCGCCGAAGTGCAGGCGAGCGAGCACAGCAGCAGAAGAGCGGTGAGAAGCCACATCTCGATATCAGTACGTTGCCATGTGTGTCCTCAAAGGCCAACCACCGCGCTGGTGATGCGAACGAACGCGGATGTGGCGAGCTCGCGGCACATCGCCGCCTGCAACTCGGCACTCGTAGGCAGCAACCGTGCCTCGCGCACCCGCGTCCGTGGACGGCGCGTTGCTGCGTGGCCTGCAGGCCTCATGCACGGGTGTGCAGCACTGTCCTCGTTCGCCATGACGCCCCGCAGGTCACGCCGCTCGGTGCAGGACGTGGAACTACCCCCCGACACGCGATTGACTGTGTGCCCGACACAGAGTGGCGAGCAGGGGGGCACATTCGGGGCAGGGGCAAGGAGCGGCCGCCAAACCGGTCGCGAACCTCAACGGTGCATGCCGTCGCAGAGCACCATGGCGATCGACGTGTAGTGGGGGCGGGAGGGACACGGCTGCGACGCGCTCGCCATGAAGTTCGCCAACGCGCGGCTTGTCGACTACTTTGTCGTCGTCGGCCTCGCACCGACGGCCACTCCTTCGCTGCAGACGAACGCCGAGCCCGTGATACTCAGTCGATGGCCCAAGGAGGACCACAGCGGCGTCAAGCTACCCGACCAGATCGCTGCGGTGCGCCCCCGCGCCGCGAGACACCGCTGTGGCAACTGACTGCCTGTCAGGGGCGTACCGCGGTGCCGGCCGCCCCGCAAGGTCGCTGGGCGGCTAGTTGCGTGCACGTTGATCAAAGACTCCGCCCCCGCGTGCGAGCTGCGGGCCGCACGCGCGAGCCCGCGTTGCCGCAAATGCTCTGGCTGATCTGAGCAATATGAGTGCCGGCCCGGGTGCTGGCGGCGACGGTGCAACGACACGTCGGAAGCCTGCGTGATGTGCAGGTGTCCCTTCCCGAGGGCGTTCTCTGTAGGCCTCGCACCGGGTCCGATGACCGCGAACCTCGGACATATCCTCTCGTCCTGCGCACGGACGATGGCGGCCGGGCGTTCGCAGCATGTTTGTCGTTCTGGGACCCCGTGCCAGACCAGGTGGCGCTCTCAGGCAAGCTGGTCGCCGTCGAGCACGCAGAGACACTCGCGGGCCCAGGCCGTGCAGCGCGCGTCGCAGTCCTGCCTACCCTGCTCACTGCGCGGGACGTCGCACTGCGGGCCCGCACTCGGCGTGTGCTGCACCTGTTGCCGTCACTCAAGTCGGACCCGCCTTCCCAAACCCGGCCCGCGCGCAGACGAGCAATGGGTGGGAGGCAAGGCGCGGAAGTGCATGGTGCTGCTGTCGCGCGTGCCGCTGTTCAACACGCTGAAGGGCGTCCTGCAGGCCATCTACGAGGGCGCGCTGTTCCTGGGGCTGGAGCGGCCCTTCTCGGAGGTGGTGCAGTCGCTGCTCTGCATCCGGCTGCCGGACTCGTACAGCAAGAGGTGCGCGGCCGCCCGGCCACGCAGCACGCGCCCCGCGAGCCCCTCGCGCCGCTGTGGTGTTGTCATGTCATCCTGCTCCCCCCACGCGCGCGTGCGCAGGTACTCGCTGGAGCTGGGGCCGTGCCGCCGCCCGCTGCAGCTGTGCGTGCCGCCGGACTCGGCGCCGTCGCTCGCGGAGCTGTCCTTCCAGCCGCTACTGTCGGCGCTGACCCCGCGCACGCTGCTCAAGGTGTACTCGGCGCTGCTGGTGGAGCAGCGCGTGCTACTGCGCGCCAAGTCCTACACGCTGCTCACCATGGCCGCCGAGGGCCTCCGCGTCCTCCTGCACCCCTTCGCGTGGCACCACCACGTCTACGTCCCCGTGCTCCCAGCCTCGCAAGTGGAGCTCATCGAGGCGCCCACGCCCTACCTCATGGGCCTCGACGCCTCCGTCCCGCTGCACGGCATACACACGGGCGAGACGCTCATCGTCGACCTCGACGCCGGCGAGATCGCGTCCCCGGGCCCCGCGCCCATCCCGGGCCCCCCGCCCGCCGTGGCGCAGGCCCTCATCACGCGGCTGCACGAGCTCGTCCGGCCCGAGCTGTGCGACCTCGACCTCCCGAAGTCGTACGCCACCGGCCGCGTCGTGCGTCTGGCGCGCGCCCCGTGGGGCCCGCAGCACGACTTGGAGGTCGCGCGCGCCTTCATGGACCTGGTCACCGACACCCTCCGCGGGTTCGAGGCGCACGTGTCGCTCGACGAGAACGGGTCGCCCGTCGTCGCGTCAGACTTCCTCGCGCTGCGCGAAGAGGAGGGCGAGCCGCTCCCGCTCCTGCGCGGCCTGCTTGAGTCGCAGCACTTTCTAGCACTGGTGCACGAGCACTGGGGGCACATCGAGGCGTTCCGCAGGCGGCGGGAGCAGCTCGCGTCGGCCGCGGCCTCGGTCGGCAACGCGGACCCCTCCCGGATCCCCTCGCGCTTCCCGTCGCACGCCGTAGACACCAGCGACTCGGGGAGCGGCATCACCGAGGCCCCGGGGGCCGGCGCCGCCGCCCCGTCCGCGGCGCCGAGCCTCGAAAGCAACCTTGTGGAACCGATCGTTGCGCCGACGGCGTCCGCGACGACGGCAGGCCCCCCCCCGCCGCCCCGGGTGGTGGCGAACGACCTGCTGCAGCTGTGGAACAGCGCGGCGCACCTGGGCAAGTGGCAGGACCTGCAGGCGCGCAGCACCGTGGAGACCGTGTCGCCGCTGGCGCCAGCGCCGCGCTGGCTATCGCCCCCGCACGGGTACTGGTACGAACATCTGCCGCGCATCAGCCGGCTGGCACAGACGGGCGCGGCGCTGTCTGGCCGCCGCGCGCCGAAGACGCGGCGGTCGCGGCGCGGTGGCGAGCTGACGGGGCCCCTGGGGACGGTCGTGGAGGGCCAGCCGTCGCGCGGGCTAGCGGCGCCGGACCGCGAGACGTCCCTGATCTCCTCGCACAGCGTGGGCAGCCTTGCGTCGCCCGAGGGGTCGCACGGGCACGCGTCGGCGCCAAATACGGTCCCCGGGATGCAGATGTTCGGCCTCGGGCCCATCATCGAGCACTGGGTGTCGTGCTCGTCCAACGCCGACCAGGTCATGCACCTGCGCGCCCTCATGACCGCGCAGGAGCCGCGGAAGCCCACGCGCGTCCTCCGCGAGCTCGCGGACCGCGCCCGCCGCGGGCAGCTCCTGCAGAAGCCCGTGCACCCCACTATCTTCCCCGCCGTTGAGGAGCTCGTCGCCTCGACCGCGCGCGCCGCCCTGGACACTGAGGACTGGGAGGCGCTGTACGACACGATGTCGCTGGGCAGCACGCTGCACACGGTGCACCGGCCGCACGGCACGCCGCTCGGTCCGGACGCGGACGTCGTCGGCGCGCGCAGCAGCCTGCCGGGCGTGCGGCGGTACGCCCTGGCGCGGATGCGGCACCAGGCGCCGTGGTTCCGCGAGGTGCTGTGGGAGTGCCTGTTCGACGTCGGGCAGGAGTTTGTGTCGTCCTGGGCCGGGCAGCGCGCCGATGCGCTGCCGCCGGACCTGCTCGTGGTGAACGCGCTGATGCTGTCGCGCTGGATGATCCTGGTGGGCCTGACCGCCAACCAGGCATGCCGGCTGATCACTGCGCTCGTGAAGCGACGTGAGGTGCACTCGCGCAAGCCGTCGCCGCCCGCGAGCCGGGGCAGCGAGGGCGAGGACGCGGACGGCCCGGACATGGCGCCGGACCACGCGGTGCTGCAGAAGGTGCACGACAGCATCGCCTACCACGAGGCGCTGGAGCGGGCGCGCGACGCCATCATCGGCGCGTACCGGTGCTCGCGGCACCCCTCGCGCGCCGCGCAAGACGCCCAGAGCGACGTCAGGCCGGCGTCCCCGACCTCCTCGGTGTCGGAGCTCACGTCGATGGTGCTCCCCAACGCCACCGTGCCAACGGCGCCTACCGTCGACCTGTACGGCGCCGCCGTGTCCTCCACGCGCGCCTCGCCGGCGGGCCGCGGCCTGCGCGGCAGCTCGTTCACCCGGGAGGCGCCGTTCTCCGGGGGCTCGTTCCGCAACAACACTCGCAGCACGCTGCTCGACCTGGGCGCGAGCGAGCGGGCGCTCACGCCGAGCCCGACGGCGGCGCAGGCGGAGCGCGGGGGCAAGCACCGGCGCGGGGAGAGCCACAGCTGGATGATCGACGAGGAGATCCTGATGCCGGGGGACATGCAGAAGCTGGAGAACGAACTGGGCATGTCGAACGACCCGCGGGACTTCTCGGGGCGCCCGCAGAACGGCCCCATCCTGGGCTGGGAGGGGGGCTCGCTCGACACCGAGGTCGGGTTCGAGTGGACCGTCAGCTGCGTTCCGAGCGCCCACTCCCAGGCAAGTGCCCAATGCTGTGCCTCGTTCGCCTTGGCGGCGCGCGCCCCTGGAGCGCCGCCCGCCCCCTTGCGCGCGTCGTGTCGCTGAGAGAGTGCGCGTCGTGTGTTTCGCTCCCTGCAGGCCGTGGTGTCGCTGGACGCGAAGAACAACCACGTGGTGTCGTGCGGTGGGGACCAGCTGGTGAAGCTGTGGGCCGCGTCGGAGGGCGGCATCCTCGAGCCCGCGTCGCGCCTCGACGGCGGCGCGTCGCGCATCTCCACCGTCCGCCTCGCGCCCGAGGGGTCGTGCGCCGTGGGGGGCGCGCAAGACGGCTCCCTCCTGGTGTGGGACACCGGCTCGGCCTCGCGCCGGGTGCGCCTTGTGGGGCACTCGGGCTCCATCACGTGTCTACACTGCTCCTGGTCGGGCATCCACGTGCTGTCCGGCAGCGAGGACTGCACCGCGCGGTTCTGGGACTCGAGGACCTCGCAGGGCCTGATGGCCACCCTGCGCTGCCACCGCGCGCCGGTCACCGACGCGCGCCTGCACATGACGGTGCGCCGCGCCCGCCCTCGCACGCCCCCCGCGCCGCGCGCGTCGTGCCGGACAAGCAGCGTCTCGCTCACCTGGGCTGAGCTGTTGTGGCTGTTGCGTGCAGACGACGACGGCCGTGACGGTTTCGCGGGACAACTCCGTGGCGGTGTGGGACCTGCGGCGCCCCGACGACCCGCGGATGGTGCTCCGCGGGCACACCGACGCGGTGACGCACGTGGAGCTGCTGGAGGGCCCCGCGGGGCTGTCCGCCGCCACCGGCAGCCGCGACGGCACGGTGCGCATCTGGGACCTGAACAGCGGCGTCGAGAAGGCGCAGCTGGCCGGTGGCGGCGGCCCCGTGTCGGCGATGAGCGCGTGCCCGCTGGAGACGCAGTGGGTGGTGGTGGCGGGCTTCTCCACGGCCTCGCACCAGAGCATCCGCTTCTGGGGGCAGCCGAAGCAGGCGAGGGACGCCGAGGAGGACGTGGCGAAGGAGGAGTGGCCCTGCATCCACGCGTCGTCGTCGCCCGGCGTGGACCCCGCAGCGGAGCCCCACATCTGCTTCGCTGCCGCTCGGCCCCACTGGGCGGTGACAGGTGCGGACGCGGGGCAGAAGGCCGCGGCATTGGTTTGCTGTCTCGGTGCGTCGTCGTGCGTGCTCGTGCGGTATGTCGTCCGAGGCTGCTCACGGTCCCTGGTGCGCTGCAGCCAACGCGGGGAACTTCGCCACTGTCTGGGTCGTGCCGGGACCGGACATGCCGCCGCAGGGCCAGGTCGTGGCCGACGCGGCGCACCTCGCGAACGTCACGTGCGCGGCCTTCGACCCGGAGCCCGGGCTGCTGGTCACGGGGGGGAGCAATGGGGCCCTCTACAGCTGGACGGTTGTGGCCCAGGACGACGCCGACGACAACGACGCGCTGCCGGACTCCTCCACGTCGACGGAGTCCAGCTTGTACTAGCCACGTGCACGCCAGGATGTTTTGTCGCAGCGGCTGAACGTTTCGACTCACATCTACATAGATAGACCCCGACACCGGCGGTGCGGGGAGGTGTGAGACGCCTCGCGCAACGCAGGGGAGCAGGACCACCGTGTGGCGGCTACAGCGGCAGCCGCAGCAGCACGCGCTCGAAGCCCGGCCTCGCCGCGCCCCCCGCCACACCCTCGTCAGTTGGCGCAAAGCCGAGCGAGCGGTACAAGTACCACGCGCCCTCGTTGTCGACGTCGCAGTGCGTGTAGATGCTGCTCGCCCCGTACACGTCCTTCGCGACCGCGATGGCCGCCGACATGACTGCGGACGCATACCCTCGCCGACGGTGCTGCTTGCGCACACACAGTGACTGTGCGTACGCTCCTGCGTCGAGAGAGGCAGTCGGAACACGTTGGCTGGCTTTCGTGCCTGGCCCGGGACGACGTTGCCCTGGCGGCACACTAGACCCAGCGTCGTCGCAAGCGCCGGATCTGACGAGGGCCAGCAGGGACGAAAAGGGTTGCGCGGCGTGCTGCGCGCCCTCGCACCTTGAGGGTCGCTTTCCGGCACCTTGCAGTGAGGGTTGTCTGCTAGAAGGTTCCGCGGCGGACAGAGGTCCACGTTGGCCGCTACGTGGCGCGCGCCGCTACGTGGCTCCCCCACGGCTAGGATCAAGCACGAGCACGGCGCCACGCTCTGACCGAAGCGCGGCCGGGTCCGTTTCTGCAGGTCGCGCAGCTCTGCCTCGCGGAATTTCCGCTCGAAGGTGTCTTTGAACCGGCTCGTGTCGTTCTCGTGGTAGGCCGCTGCGCGGGCGTCTGCAACTTGGCGCATCTCTTCGAGCGACGCCGCTGGAGCGATGACGTACCCCTCCCCGACCACGTAGGTGTCCTGGAGGTTGATGGCGTTGAGTTGATGGCGCCTCGCGGACCGCTGTGCCCTGGCCGACCACTTGCCTAGAGTGAGTGCGGCAGTCCGTAATGTGGCACCATCCGGCCGCGGTAAGGGCCGTAGCGTGTCTGGTACAGTGCGAGCTTGCCGGCGCGGTCCGTGAAATCCGGTCCCCGCACGAGGGCCCTGCAGCAGAGTCCCTTGCATCGCCATCTGCTGATTGATAATTGCGACACCGGTGGGGGTCGAATTCGGACGCTTCGCGCTGCGTGTATCGCAAACGCGCGACAGGGTTGCGCCAATTCGCCTCAGCGTCCGCACGGGGCCCTCGCGCCGTCACTCCTCGCCCCAGGCAGACACCGGAGGCCTCCTATCGACCACGGCCTCCTGCGCGGCCGGGGGGCCATGTTTCGACGGATCCATGCCCCGCAGACACCTCCCCGAGCTGCCCGGAGAGCACGTCAAGATGTCCTCGATCGTCGCCCGCAACGTGGTGCGTGCAACTTCCCACACGACACCCCGGCCCGGCCGCGCCGAGAACTCGACGCGGGCGCCTTGATCACGCACATAGGATGCTTTCTCGCTCCGGGATCGCCCTCACGTGCCTCCGTAGCTCCGACCCCATGGTCCCAACAGCCTCCTAGTGGTGCACGGCGACACGCGCGCGATCGTCGCCCGCCTGACACTGCGTGTGATCGCGCTCGCGCCGTGCGACGAGTAACATCCATCCGGTGATCTCGGTGTGCTCGCAGGTCCTGGCGCGGTCGGCCGCCGCGGCCCGCACCCGCAGCCGCGCGTCCTCATGCAGCTCCCCGGTGCCGCGCGTGAGCGGCCCGGTGGCGCCTCCCCTGGGACGCCCCGCGACGCCCGCGTCCTGGAAATCGTCGAGCCAGCCCCGCCGCGCCGAGAACATGCGCTGCTTCGCCACCATGGCCGAGGTGACGGACAAGGTGACACTGCGCCTGCACCCACTGCACGCCAGATCCGCCTGCGACGACGCCCCGCCCGCCCCCGCGCGCCGCGCGCGTACGCCGCCCGTCGTTGCCAGAGGTTCTGGCCAGACCACTTGGTCTCGCAAGTCCAGTCGGTCTCGCTGGGCCAAGACTGGTCTCGCGCGACACTCGTTGTACTTGGGTGGTCTCGCTGCCATCCAGCGGCACCTCCTGAGACTTATCGCACCGCCCCGGGCCTCAGCGGAGGGAGCACTCCGCCCCGCATGCATCAGAAAAGCGACGCCGCCGGGCATTTCGGGCACATGTCGCCTCTGTTGCATCTGCAACTCAACTTGAGCGCGGCGTGGGGTTGCAGCGTAGCCGGCTTCCGCTACGTCTAGGACGTTTTCGTAGTTTTGGGAGGCCCCGCGGCTGCCCGGAGTGGTCTCGGGGCTTCAGACCGGCCTCGCGGGTGGGACCAAGTGGTCTCGCCAACGCCTTTGGTCGTTTCTCCAAGCTCTGCTCCGTCTGGTGCGTCGTGGCCTTGCGCAGGTGTACTTCGACCTGGAGATCGGCGGGGAGCCCACGGGCCGCGTGACCTTCGGTCTGTTCGGCGGCGTGGTGCCCAAGACGGCGGAGAACTTCAAGCAGCTCTGCACGGGCGAGCCCGGGTTCGGCTTCAAGGGGTCGTCGTTCCACCGCATTATCCAAGACTTCATGATCCAGGGCGGTGATATGACCGCAGGCAAATTCACAACCCCCGCACGCACTCTCACTCCATCGCAACCTCAAATTCAGCACCCTTGCAACCACCCTACAACCCCCGTCGCGACCGAACACGCCGCCGCACCGCACCGCGAAGATGGCAACCCCCCCGCACCCCGCGCCTCCCCGATCCCGTCACTCCACCGCAGGCAACGGCACCGGCGGCAAGTCCATCTACGGCCGCACCTTCCCCGACGAGAACTTCGACCTCGCGCACACCAAGCCGGGCCTCCTGTCGATGGCCAACGCGGGCCCGAACACCAACGGGAGCCAGTTCTTCATCACCACGGTGCCCTGCCCGTGGCTGGACGGCAAGCACGTGGTGTTCGGCGAGGTGCTCGAGGGCATGGACGTCGTGAAGAAGCTCGAGGGCACGCCCACGGACCGCATGGACCGCCCTCTCGCGGGCGCGGTGATCAAGGACTGCGGCCTTGTCGAGTAGGCATGCGGCGACGTTGGGTGGGTCCCGGGGGGACTGTGGCGTGCAGCGATGCGCGCAGAGACCCCCCTCCCCTCCCTGCCGCAGGGCTGCGACGGCTGCGTACACAGCGGCGGCGCGCGCGTGGCGGCAGGCTGAGGTGAGGTGAGGCTGTGAGGGACCGTGTCCCATCTTGTCTCCGCACGCCACTTGAAGGGCGGCAACAGATGACACGCGCGCCTGCAGCAGCCCTGCGCCCGCCCGCGTGCCGCCGCCCAACACAGCAGATGTCCATTATGCCATTATCTCATCTCACGACCCGCCAAGGACCGCAGTTCCGAGCTCCTGTCGCCGGTGCAGGGAGCAGTGCATTCGGCTCACGCGCTGCTGCCGTTTTTGGCAGCTGCGATGCTCACACTGCATCGCTCTTGTTCTCCACAGCGACGCAACCGACCAAGCTCTCACGCACTGACGGAACGCCAACAGCGACGCGCACGGGGCCGCCTACCGCCTCCTCGTCAGCCGCGCCCCGCCCCTCACCTCCTCGTCGCCTCCCGCGTTCCCCTGCGCCTCCACGCCCCTCACCTCTATCACCGTGCCCTGCCCGACACCGTACAGCCCGTACTCTTTGTTGTTGTGGATCCAGCCGCGGTTGATGACCAAGCTCGCCTCGGCGCCAATCGCCTCGGCGCCGTTATGGAGGTTGTTGCCGCACTCCACAAACTCCCCCTCCACCTTGGTCCCAGTGTGGTAGGCGAAGAGTCCGCACTTCTTGTTGTTGCACAGCCGCCCGCTCACGTGCAGCCTCGCACCCTCCTCGGCGCACGCGCCTTGCCACCCGTTCGCCTCGCACACCACGCCCTCCGCCCGCACCTCCGTCCCGCTGCCCTGACCATGCACGCCGCACTCCTTGTTGTTGCACAGCCGCCCGCTCACGTGCAGCTTCGCACCCTTCTCGGCGCACGCGCCGTCCTCTCCGTTCGCCTCGCACACCACGCCCTCCGCCCGCGCCTCCGTCCCCTTGCCGCGACCATACACGCCGCACCTCTTGTTGTTGCACAGCCGCCCGCCCACGTGCAGCTTCGCACCCTCCTGTGCGCACGCGCCGTACCACCCGTTCGCCTCGCACACCACGCCCTCCGCCCGCCCCTCCGTCCCCCCGTCAGACGCAAACACGCCGCTCAGCTTGTTGTTGCACAGCCGCCCGCTCACGTGCAGCTTCGTGCCCTCCTGCGCACACGCGCCTTGCCTGTCGTTCGCCTCGCACACCACGCCCTCCGCCGTCACCTCCGTCCCCTCGCCGACACCGCACACGCCACACTCCTTGTTGTTGCACAGCCGCCCGCTCACGTGCAGCTTCGCACCCTCCTCGGCGCACGCGCCGTCCACCCGTTCGCCTCGCACACCACGCCCTCCGCCCGCTCCTCCGTCCCCTTGCCGCGACCATACACGCCGCACCTCTTGTTGTTGCACAGCCGCCCGCCCACGTGCAGCTTCGCACCCTCCTGTGCGCACGCGCCGTACCACCCGTTCGCCTCGCACACCACGCCCTCCGCCCGCACCTCCGTCCCCCCGTCAGACGCAAACACGCCGCTCAGCTTGTTGTTGCACAGCCGCCCGCTCACGTGCAGCTTCGTGCCCTCCTGCGCACACGCGCCTTGCCTGTCGTTCGCCTCGCACACCACGCCCTCCGCCGTCACCTCCGTCCCCTCGCCGACACCGCACACGCCACACTCCTTGTTGTTGCACAGCCGCCCGCTCACGTGCAGCTTCGCACCCTTCTCGGCGCACGCGCCGTCCTCTCCGTTCGCCTCGCACACCACGCCCTCCGCCCGCGCCTCCGTCCCCCCGCCGGCGGCGTTCACGCCGCACTGCTGGTTGTTGCACAGCCGCCCGCTCACGTGCAGCTTCGCGCCCTCCTGTGCACACGCCCCTTGCAGGCCGTTCGCCTCGCACACCACGCCCTCCGCCGTCATCTCAGCGCCCACGCCCCATGCGATCACGCCGCACTGCTGGTTGTTGCACAGCCGCCCGCTCACGTGCAGCTTCGCACCCTTTTCAGCACACGCCCCGCACTCGTTGTTCCCGTCGCACACCACGCCCTCCGCCCGCGCCTCCGTGCCCTGGAAGGCGGCAAACACGCCGCACCCCTTGTTGTTGCACAGCCGCCCGCTCACGTGCAGCTTCGGACCCTCCTCTGCACCTGCGCCGGACTTTCCGTTCCCGTCGCACACCACGCCCTCCGCCCGCACCTCAGTCCCCCCGTCAGACGCAAACACGCCGCACTCCTTGTTGTTGCACAGCCGCCCGCTCACGTGCAGCTTCGCGCCCTCCTGCGCACACGCGCCATGCACGCCGTTCGCCTCGCTCTCAGTGACCTTCGCCCGCACCTTCGTCCCCCTATCTCTGGCATACACGCCGGTGTCCCTGTTGTTGCACATCCGCCCGCTCACGTGCAGCTCCGCGCCCTCTATAGCACACGCCCCGCACTCGTGGTTGTTTTCGCACACCACGCCCTCTGCCCGCACCTCCGTCCCCTCCCCCTCCGCCACCAGCCCGTCCCCGCTGTTGCCCACGAGCGTACACCGCTCCAGCCCCACCTCCGCGCCCCCCTCCGCCTTCACCCCGCAGCACCCACCCTCCTCGAGGAGGGCGAGCTCGTCCTCGCTGCCGCCCCCCGCCTCTGCAGCCTCCCGCCCCGCGCAGCCCCCGTCCACACGGCACTCCACCATCCGCACGCCCCGCGCCCCGCTCACCCGCACCAGCGCCTCCACACCCCCCCCGCCCTTCCTCACGCCCCCACGCACCACATCCACCCTCTCCAACCGCGTCCCGCTCGCGCCCGCCCGCACCTCCACCGCCACGCCCCTCAGCACGCCGTTCCGCACCACCACCGCCTGCATCAGCTCCACCACGCTCCCCTCCTCCCCCACCACCGATCGCCCCCCCAGGTCCACCACACCCCCGGGGCCCTTCGACGCGATCAGCGACCGCAGGCCGTCCAGCGTGAGCTCGCGCGCGTCGGCCGCAGCTGCGCCGCCGCGCAAACCAGCGGTCCCCGCCCGCGTGTCCCGCATCCCGTCCACCGGCTCCTGGCAGTCTTCCTCCACTTTGACCAACACAGTCGCCGTGTCTCCGCCGTTGACCCGCGCACGCTTCGCGCGGCGTGACGGGCCCGCGCCGCCGCCCGAGGAGCCCGCCGACATGCCTGCCGATGCGCCGGCCTTCCACGCGCGCTTGCAACGGCCGTCCGCAATCCTGCAGGGAACAGGGCTAGTGCTGGGCGGGTCGCTGATTTTGGCGGGCTGCTGGTTGCGCATCGCATCGTCCCATCATCAACCGACGTCCTCGTGCATTCCGTGGCCCAGTCACCGCGCCACGACGCCGAACGTCCGGCGCAGGCTCTGGACGCAGTGGTCGGCCCTCGGGTCGAGCGCACATCGCCGTCACGCGAGCTCACACCGCATCCAGCGCCCATGCGGCATGTACTGATCGTGGCCTCACCTCGAGGAGGCCCGCAACCACAAACAACTCCCGTCAACGCCCGCACCACGGCCAGCCGTTTGCGCGCCCCCTAGGCCGAGTACCTGCCCGAACGCTGACGTGCAGGTAGCTTCCGAGTCGCTGCGGCACTGCTTGAAGTGGCGGAGCCGGCCCCAGGAGCGCGCTGTTGTCGCCGGCCGCGCCTCTGCGAGCGCCGCGCTGCGTACGTGGGACATCCCGTCTGTCATAGGAAGTTCCACCGCTGAACAAGAACACGGGAGTTGACAGCAGCACAGGCCCGTCGCGCTCGTGGACGGGAGCCCGCAGAGTCAGCGCGCCGCGCCAGCCGACCGCCTGCTGCACGCGAGCCTCGAAAACACTGGTGAGGCACCGACGTCGCCCTGGGCGTGCCTGTCGCGCTGCCATGACGGCGTCCGCGACCAGGTCGCCGCAGAGCGGACCGCCTGCTCTCAGACAGCGATATCACGGGCTGATGCGCCGGAGCAGTGTGTGGCCTGTACGAGTAAACCTGTCCGCACTGCATCGAAGCAATCGCATCACAGGCGCCTACTCGCCACTCCCCTGCCGCGCAACTGCGTCCCCGCCCTCCTTCGCTTCGCCGCCAGAAGCACGACGCGGTGGCGACCGCGACCTGCTGCGCGACGCCCGCGCACGAGCAGCCTCCCCGCCGTCGTCGCGCGCTGGGCTCCCCGCCCCACCCGAGTCCCTCTCCTTGCTGCGACGCCGCTCCCGCCTCCGGCGATCGTGACGGTCGTCGCGGTGCCGGTGCCTGCGCTCCCGCTCGCGCGACCCCTCCCTGTCCCGGCGGTCCCTGTGCGACCTGTGCCGGCCCCCGTCACGCCGCGACCCCTCGCCCTCGCCCCCCCGCTCCCGGTCCCGCCTCTCCCTGCGCCTGTCCCCCTCCCGGTCCCGGTCCCTGTGCCGCTCCCGGTCGCGCCCCCGCTCCCGGTGTCCCTCCCGGTCCCGCCGCCCCGGACTGCGCCGCTCCCGCGACCGCGAGCGAGACCGCCGCCGCCGGCCTCCGTCCCCGCCGCCCCCGCCGACCTCGCGACCAGCGCCCGCCTCGCCCGCCCGCGCAGCGACCGCCCCCGCCGCCTCGATGGGGGGTGGCTGCGCCTCATCGCCCTCGGCCGGCGCCCACCGCGAGGGCTTCGACTTGGACGGGCCCCGCCCCGGCGTCAGGCCGTACGGCAGGGCGCCGCGGGTCTGCGCGAGCGCCTGCTGCTGCTGCATGTGCTGGAACGCGGCCTCCCGCTGCGCCTTGACCTGCGCCAGCTTCTGCTGCTCGCTGTCCAGGAGGCTCTGCGGTATGCCCGCGGGGGACTGCATGGCCGACAGGAGGTGGCCCCAGAGCTCGCGCATGAAGAGCGACGTGTTCTTCTCCAGGAAGCCCGTCAGACTGATCTGCATGTCCTTCCCGTCAATGTTGCCCTCCTGCGCGCGCGACGCAACGCCGCCGCGTTCGAGCGCGGACGGGGCGCGGGCGACGCTCGTGCGCGGCGGCGGGCGGGCGGCGCACCAGGTCCGGCTTCTCGAGGAAGCTCTGGATGTACTCGATCAGGAAGTCGTCCTCCAGCCCACCCAGCAGCTCCGTGATGCGGCGCTCAACCCACTCCCGGATCACCTCCATGCGGACCTGTGGCGAGGGAGAGCGGCCGTGGAGGGGTTGCGCGCACGGGGAGCGGGTCCCGCGCCCAGCGGAGGGCCTGGGAGACGGGCGCGCTTGCACGGCCAGCGACGACGCACCCTTCGCACGTCCACTTTCTGCGACAACTCGGACGGGAATTTCATCGACTTCTTCAAGCGCTTCATCTTGCTGCAGGGGCACGGCGGCAGGCAGCCCGGGCAAGATGAGCCAGGGGTGCGGCCTGCAAACCACCTCCTTGCGTTGCGAGCCACACGTGCCCTGAACCGGGACAGCGCAGCGTGGTGCGTGTACTGCAAACGGTGGACATGGCGCCTCGGCCCAGAATCGGCTCGCGGCCGTTCGCGCGAGGCGGCGGTGGCGCTGCAGGGCTGACGTTGCACGATTGCGGGCGCGGCCACTCACTCGCCGAAGCGCGGGTCGTTGCCCAACGGCACCCCGCTGTAGCCCGACATTGTGCAGCGACTGACGCGGCGGCCCGGCCGGCCAAGCGACGCTGGGTCTCAGCAGAGAGGTGGAGTGCTTCAGCTTCGACGGTGCATTCGACGGTAATGCGCAGTCTGGAGAAAGGCAACGAGCCCTGTTCGGACCCTCTGGTGTGCTGTCGCTCGTGGCGGCGAGTGCACCTCGCCGCCCGGTCGGGCAGCCCAACATCTCGCGGCGCGGCGCGAGCCCGCCTTGCGCCCGACGACGGCAATCAACTCCTCCGGCACAGACAGCACCGCGGGTTGCGCGCAATGAGGCCGCCTCACGAGGACCGCTTCGCAGACTGTGTAAGACTTCCAGGCGCGCACCAGCGGCGGAAACACTACCTGCCGAGATTTCGAAAGGCGCGGGAAGAAGCCTGGAGTCCGTATAGCACCCAACAGCGCTCCTCCAACGTCGCCCCGTCGGGACCTCTGCCGCGTAACGACTCCTTCATAGCATAGTGGTCATACTGTGGGCGCCACGTTGGCTGGAATCGTCGAGGAGCGGGCGCATTGCGAGGCGTGCACCGTAACCAACTAGCAGCGCGGCTCCAGCGAGCCCCGCGGTAGCCATGCGGGGCCCGCGGCATCGAACGTCGTTGCCGCTCGCGGTAGTTTTATATTTCGGGCAGTGGTATTCAGTGCTGTTCTGGATTCTGAGCATTCTCGTGTTCTTCTACAAAGGTGACCGCTCACGGGCGCTCCGAGGACACCGCCGTCGGTTTTCGCACGGCGCCTGTGCTCCCATCATACCATGGTTCCTGCCCACGACAATCCGACGTCGACATTCGCCACGAGCCATGCGCTGTTGCGTCGACATCAGTCCACTTGCTTTTCACTCAACATCAGGCACTCGGAGGACACGCAAACTCCCACGCTTGTACCACGGACTCCTCGTGCCCCGTGCCAGTCATGCGCCCGGTGCATGCGGCGGTCGGCACGTACGCACAGGCCGCGATGGGTCTGGACAGACTGCGAAGCAACACGCGTTCCACCACCTGGCTCGCAGGTTACAACCTGCTGTTCCCGGACGAACGCTTCGGGATCGAGATCGCGTGCCTGCTCATATACCTCCTGGTGGAGCCCGCGCGGATCTCGATGATGGACCGCGGCAACAAGGCGTCGAGCTGGGTCAGCATGCTGGGCGGGCTCCTGCTCAGCGTCATCCTCATCGTCTACTACTCCTACCTCATGTTCCTCCAGACCTACGTGTACGTCCCACGCGCCGTGCACACCCAGCGCCCCGCGCCCTCGGTTCTTGCCGCGCTGCGCACCTCTGCATACCAGACGCGCCGCGCACGCGGAACACTTCGTCCCCCGCCGCCGCGAGAGCTGCAGGCTGAAGATCGACCTGGTGCTGGGCGGCGCGGGGCTCGGCTTCACGGCGCTGCAGCTGGTGTTTGGTTGTTTCGTGCTGGCAGTGTCATGATCGCGTAGCGGAGGCGGGGGCGCCGCACGCCGGACCCGGTCGCCCTGCCTGTCGCGCGGGGCTGTGCAGGAGTGTGTGAGATTGCTGCCGGCGTCGTGCGTGTGCAAGATGTGGGGGCGCAAGCACTGCGGTGCGCGCGTTCGTCGTGGGCGCCGGTGACGGCGCCGTGCGCACTGCTGGGCGGTGGACGTCCTGTGGTCCGCGCGGCAGGGTCCGCGTGCGCCGTCGCCGGGTACGCTGTGCGGGCCTACCATTGCATCGTGCCTGGGGGGACCAGCGGGGCGGTCGCGGGGGCCGCGAAGGGATCGCTGCGACGGTGTCCGCAGACGGTAGTCGCGTCGCCGCTGGTCCGGGTGGCGGGCAGCTCAACGGGGCGCAGTCCTCGCGCGGTCGAGGACTTGCACGTCACAGTTAGCATGAGCCGAGGCGCTGTGGGGTGGCACCTCCGGAGGAGATGTCTCGTCGTGCCGCAGTCGTTGTTTGCGCCTTTTTGTTTCCCACGGCCTCCCGACTGAGCTGACCGCGCCATGGTTCCCGCGCGCAGGAGGACGTTGAGACGCCGCGGCAGCCGACGCCGCAGCTCCTTGGGGCCGCAGCCGCCAACCAGAACCCCCAGATCCTCCCTCCGCCGGCACTGCGCCTCCCAGCCACGTCTCGCATCACACCACGTCCACGTGATGCGTATTGGGGCCGCGCTGACACACGGTGCGCCCGCCGCGCGGGCAGTGTGCGTTTGAACGGGTCATGCAAAGCAACGGTTGCCGCGATGGCAATGGTCGTGCTGACAGACGGAGGGGGAGGGTGTCGCGATGATGCAGCTCTGCGTGGACCTCAGAGGTATCACGCTCGACTTGCCCGAGCACATCATCTCGACAGATCGCAATCGTTGTCGTTGACTAAGGAAATAGGGGTCAAAACACGCCAGTCGACTATATATGTCGCAACTCAGGGTACCAGGGCGGCTTGAGGCCGGTAGACGTCCGGCACGTGATGTATTTATCGAGACGAGGCTCGATGGCGCGAGTGCAAGTTGCGAGGGAGCGCTCGTTCGCCAGGTTGAGCAGGTGCTGCATCGAGGCCGCAGCAGCGGGGCCAGTCGCACGGGAGGCAGTTGCGGGGCGGCCGGTGTCGCGGCTGTGATGCGGGGCGTGCGGGTGGTGTCAGGGGGGGTGTGGGGGTGTGAGGGTTGAGCCTGAGGTGGCGATGGGACGGTGCGGGCTGTTTGGGTGGCACGGTGGCGGTCGGTGGGGAGATGCGCGCCGGAGCGCGTTGCGGGTGTAGGCGGCGGCCTGTTTGAGCGGCGGGTACGGTCCGCGTCGTCCTAGGCACGCGTGGCGGGATGCAGGTTGCAGCGTCTGCGGTGCACGCCCGCGGACGGGCTCGGGCGGGGCTGTTGGAGGGCGTGAGAGCCGTGGTCGGAGGGTGGGTGTACGATCAGCGCGACGGCCGGACAGATGAGACGCAGACGCGCCTCTCCGCTGCGGCAGGGCCGCATTGCGCACTCCCAGACCAGGGCCAAGGGTCGCTGGGGGCGTGCGCGGCATGGGCGTCGAGTTGGGTCGGTCACGGGTGCTGGGCGGACGGTTCACATGTACGGCAACGCGATCGTGCGATGAGGTGGCGCCTGGCGCCCCCCGCGGCTCCTGTGCAGGGCCAGGCGCGCACGGCGAGTGGTTTGGTGCGAACGCCTCTTGCGCGGCTGACGGGGCGCGTTCGGGGGTCTGGGGGCGGCGTGTGGGGCGCACATGTACAGGGGACCGCGATGCGGGCGGCGCTCGGGCCAGTGGGGGTCGTTGCTTCCCCATGGTGGCGGAGGCTGATGGTGGCGGAGGGTCGCATCAGCACGGGGCAGGTGTGGCGCACGGTGAGCGGGCGGGCGGGCGGGGACGGCAGGGCTGAGCGGCAGGGACGCAGCGACAGGCCGCGAAGCAGGGAGGACCGCCCAGCGGATGCCAAGCGTGCACGTGTTCCGGGGAGGGTTGTTGCGGGGGGTGGCACAATGGGTGGGCGGGGCGGCGGGCGAGGGGCGAATCAAGAGCGCCAGGATGGCCGGGCGCTGCGGCAGCAGCCGCGGGACCGGCACGGGAGTGGTGACGGGCTGCGGGAGGCCAAGCGCATCAACAATGACATTATGATCGCTGCGGGGCAGGGGACAACTGTTGAGGCGGTGAGGGGCCTGCTGGATGTGTACCGGCGGGACGGGGCGCGCTTCGACGCCGTCAACATATCGACGTGGGTGCACAGGATGGCGAAGACGCTGTCGAGGGGGAGTCGGAGAGGGTTGAGGACGACGGAGGTGAGGGAGGCGGTGGGGGTGGCCGGGGAGCTGGCGTGCGAGCTGGGCGAGCGCGCTGCGGAGGCTGGCACGCAGCATCTGGCGAACACGGTGTGGGGCGTGGCAAAGCTCGCCGCAGCCGACAACAGGGCGGCGGATGCGTTGTGTGGTGAGTTGGGTGCGGTTGAGGCGGTGGGGGCGCTTGCGGCGGCGCTGGGCGCGCGGGCGGGCGAAGCGAAGCCGCAGCATCTGGCGAACACGGTATGGGGCGTGGCGAAGCTCGCCGACGCCGACGCCAGGGCGGCGGAGGCGCTGTGTGGGGCGGGGGGCGCGGTGGAGGCGGTGGGGGCGCTGGCGGCGGCGCTGGGCGAGCGGGCTGTAGAGGCTAAGACGCAGGATGTGGCGCACACGGTATGGGGCGTGGCGAAGCTCGCCGACGCCGACGCCAGGGCGGCGGAGGCGCTGTGTGGGGCAGGGGGTGCGGTGGAGGCGGTGGGGGCGCTGGCGGCGGCGCTGGGCGAGCGCGCTGCGAGGCGGACACGCGGCATCTGGCGAACACGGTGTGGGGCGTGGCGAAGCTCGCCGACACCCACGACAGGGCGGCGGAGGCGCTGTGTGGGGCAGGGGGCGTGGTGGAGGCGGTGGGGGCGCTGGCGGCGGCGCTGGGCGAGCGCGCTGTAGAGGCTAATACACAGGATGTGGCGAACACGGTATGGGGCGTGGCGAAGCTCGCCGACACCCACGACAGGGCGGCGGAGGCGCTGTGGGGGCGGGGGCGTGGTGGAGGCGGTGGGGGCGCTGGCGGCGGCGCTGGGCGAGCGGGCCGGCGAGGCCGACACGCAGCATCTGGCGAACACGGTATGGGGCGTGGCGAAGCTCGCCGACGCCAGAGGGCGGCGGAGGCGCTGTGTGGGGCAGGGGGTGTGGTGGAGGCGGTGGGGGCGCTGGCGGCGGCGCTGAGCGAGCGGGCCGGCGAGGCCGACACGCAGCATCTGGCGAACACGGTATGGGGCGTGGCGAAGCTCGCCGACAAGAATCAGAGGGCAGCGGAGGAGCTGTGTGGGGCAGGGGTGCGGTGGAGGCGGTGGGGGCGCTGGCGGCGGCGCTGGGCGCGCGGGCCGGGGAGGCTAATACGCAGGATGGCGAACACGGTGTGGGGCGTGGCGAAGCTCGCCGACACTCACGACAACGCGGCGGAGGCGCTGTGTGGGGCAGGGGGTGCGGTGGAGGCGGTGGGGGCGCTGGCGGCGGCGCTGGGCGCGCGGGCGGGCGAAGCGAAGACGCAGGATGTGGCGAACACGGTATGGGGCGTGGCGAAGCTCGCCGACGCCGACGACAGGGCGGCGGAGGTGCTGTGTGGGGCGGGAGGCGTAGTGGAGGCGGTGGGGGCGCTGGCGGCGGCGCTGGGCGAGCGGGCGGGCGAGGCGGATACGCAGCATCTGGCGAACACGGTATGGGGCGTGGCGAAGCTCGCCGACACCCACGACAGGGCAGCGGAGGTGCTGTGTGGGGCAGGAGGCGTGGTGGAGGCGGTGGGGGCGCTGGCGGCGGCGCTGGGCGAGCGGGCGGGCGAGGCGAAGACGCAGCATCTGGCGAACACGGTATGGGGCGTGGGGAAGCTCGCCGACGCCGACGCCAGGGCGGCGGAGGCGCTGTGTGGGGCGGGGGGCGTGGTGGAGGCGGTGGGGGCGCTGGCGGCGGCGCTGGGCGAGCGGGCGGGCGAGGCGGACACGCAGCATCTGGCGAACACGGTGTGGGGCGTGGCGAAGCTCGCCGCCGCCCACGACAGGGCAGCGGAGGTGCTGTGTGGGGCGGGAGGCGTGGTGGAGGCGGTGGGGGCGCTGGCGGCGGCGCTGGGCGAGCGGGCGGGCGAGGCCGACACGCAGCATCTGGCGAACACGGTATGGGGCGTGGGGAAGCTCGCCGACACCCACGCCAGGGCGGCGGAGGCGCTGTGTGGGGCGGGTGTGGTGGAGGCGGTGGGGGCGCTGGCGGCGGCGCTGGGCGAGCGGGCGGGCGAGGCGGACACGCAGCATCTGGCGAACACGGTGTGGGGCGTGGCGAAGCTCGCCGACAAGAATCAGAGGGCAGCGGAGGAGCTGTGTGGGGCGGGAGGCGTGGTGGAGGCGGTGGGGGCGCTGGCGGCGGCGCTGGGCGCGCGGGCAGGCGAGGCGGACACGCAGCATCTGGCGAACACGATATGGGGCGTGGGGAAGCTCGCCGCCGCCCACGACAGGGCAGCGGAGGCGCTGTGTGGGGAGGTGGGCGTGGTGGAGGCGGTGGGGGCGATGGCAGCGGCGCTGACAAGCCGTTCTACAGAGACAAGCAGGTGGGAGCTGAAGGACACAATATTGGGAGTAGCGACCTTGGCCGACGCCGCCGACGGGGCTGCGGAGGTCCTGAGCGAGCAGAAGGATGCTGTGGGGGCGCTGGCGGTGGAGCTGGGCAGGCGCCCGGCGGAGGTGAGCACGCAGCATCTGGCGATGACGGTGTGGTGCGTCGGGAAGCTGGCGGACGTACATCCAAGGGCATCAGAGGACCATGCGCCGTATGGGGTTGAGGGGTTGGTGGACGCGGTGGGGGCGATGGTGATGGAGGTGTGCGAGCGGGCCGCGGAGGCGGACTCGGAGCATCTGGGGCGCACGGCGTGGGGCGTGGCGAGGCTCGCAGGCGCGGACCGCGGGGCGGCGGAGGTGCTGTGTGGGGAGGGGGGTGCGGGGGAGGCGTTGGCGACGGAGCTGCGCGAGCTTGCCGAGGAGGCGGGCACGCCGCAGCATGCGAACGCGTTGCGGAAGCTGGCAGACACTCTCCGCCCGCCATCTGCGCGTTGACCACGCAGAGGAGTGGGCTGAGCGTGACACAGTGCGCGAGGTGGACGCGCACGACTTTGTGAAATGCTTGCGAGCTGCGGCCGCTCTGACGTGCGAGGATCAGTCCAGTGCTGCTGGGCCACTCTGGCCACCCGGACGACCCGATCGCAATGCTGACAGCAGCATGTCAGGCCCCTGACAAAACCACTGTGCGCCGGGCGTACCAGAGCCCCGGCCCGGTACGTTTGCGGCGCCGACAGCAGGAATCCCCCAGTCGTAGCAGCAGGGATGTGCGGCAGCGCGTGACATTATCTCACGGAGGAGTGTCTGAAGCGTCGCTTTTCCCTGGTCTGTTGGTGAGGTTGGCGCCGTATCCTGCAGCGACGCCGCGCGGCGAGGTCCCGCCTGACCTTCCGCCGCCATGACGGAAGGCAAGGCGTGGGTAGAAGATGTGTCGTGGGCAGGCGTGGGCCTCACAGGAGCCTCGGCGCTCTTCGTGCTGGCATCGGTGCTGAGCGGGAAGAAGGCGCGCGAGCTAGAGTCCGCGAAGGAGGTCGAGCGAGTCTCAGGTACACACCAAGATCGCATTTTTCGCAACCGGCTCGGGCATTGTCCGCTGGGTGCCCGGCACCGCGCGATGGCACAACTGCCAGCAAAGCAGTCCGCGCCGCGGTCGACGCTCGTGCGAGGCGCTGCACCGGCCATGGAACGGCCAGTTCACTGCACAAGGATGGTCTTCGGGCGCGGCCGCGCCCTCTCTTCCACCGTCCAGTCATTCTGCGCGCCACCTTCCCCGTGCAGACGTGCGCCTGATCAAGGGCCTCACGCCGATGCTCGTCGCGGTGTACGGCAAGGTCGCGAGCGACGCCCCGCTGGAGGTCCCCGGCTGCAAGGACGGCGCGGTCATCCACACGGCCAGCGAGGAGCAGATATACTTCCGGCAGCAGCAGGAGTCGGGGGAGTGGCTCCGGGACCGCGCGACGATCCTGAGCACCACGCAGGAGGCGCCGTTCTTCCTCGAGGACGTCGACGGCAAGGCGGGCGCGCTCGCGAGCGGGATCAAGCTCCCCGTCGTCAACGGCAAGGCCGCGGACGGCATCCCCTACGTGGTGGTGGTCGACACGTACGAAGCACGGTCCACGCGTCCGGACGGGTCTCTCGCCGCGCCCATGGAGGTGGTGCCGCCGCCTCGGTCCGCGCCGTGCAGTTCGCGCGCCCACAGTGCCTGGTGCGGCGCCCCGTCCACGGTGACTTGCAGGTTCGAACCGCTGGGCAAGTCCCTGCTCAAGGCCGGGCTGGACTACATGCGCGGGATCCGCGTTCTGGGGACGCGCAGGACGGAGGCGGTGCTGCCCGTCGGGACGCACGTCACTGCGGTCGGGGAGCTGACTCAGGCCCCCGGGGGCTCCGAGCGGTCCGTGGGGCTGGTGCTGAGGAAGCCCGAAAACGGCGGGCCCTTCTACCTCTCCGTCAAGTGCGCCGCCCGTCGGCTCGCCCGCCCCGCCGCCGCAGCGACGCGCGGCCCTCCCTAACTCGGGGACTCCCCCTGACAGCAGGTGCCGTGTGCGTCTCGTTGCAGGACCCTGAAGGACCTGATCCGGTCCAAGGATCGCATGTCGGGGATATGCAAGGTGGTTGCGATCGGCCTGGGCGTGACCGGCGTCGTCCTGGTGACCCGCAAGCTGTGGCGCGGGTTCATGGCGCGGCGGCGACAGGAAAAGGCGCGCCGGGAGGTCCGGCGGAACTTCAACGCGCTGGGCGAGAACCTCCCCGAGGGCGTCACCTCCGAGGAGGAGCTCTGCACGCTGTGCTTCGCGCGCAAGCGGGACTGCGTGTACCCCAGCTGCGGCCACATGGCATGCTGCTACGAGTGCTCCGCGCGGGCCGGACCCGCGTGCCCGATCTGCCGGGCCCGGGGACGCGCCATCCGCATCTACCACAGCTGATGCGGAGCCTCACAGGCTGGCGGGGCCACCGACGGCCCGGCCAGCACGCTCGCGCAGCCCCGTGTGCCGAGACATATATGCACACTTGCGGCCCGCAGACCGATCGCTGTAACGCAGCTCCCTGCACTCCGCCGCGCGCTGGGCGGGCTCAGTCGTCCCGCTCCGCGCGGGACCCCCGGCGCGCCTCCAGCTGTTGGTCAAACGCACTCAGCTCCGCACGGTTCCGCTCCCGCTGCATCCGGAGCTCGCCCTCCGAGGCCACGCGCTCCCGCTCGGCTGCCAGCTCCGCCGCGGTGGTCGCTGTGCGTTCCCGCAGCGCGAACATCGCCTCCTTTGACGACACGCGCAGCCCCGCGAGAGCCTCCGCCGCCGTGCCCTCCGGGAGCGGCACCAGCTCCGGCTCGGTGCGGCTGACGCGCTCCAGTTGCATGTGCAGCGCACCGACGACGAGGGTCACGATGTCGAGGCCGTCCAGCATCGGCCCGGAGTGCACAAGCGGCAGAGCGTACAGCGCAGCGAACGTCCCGTACAGCAGCCGGTGCTCGGTCTGGAGCGCCAGAAATATCCAGGACATGAAGTTCACTTCGGGGACGCATGCCAGGACGCTCGCGACGGACCACAGCACCCCTTCTCCGTCGCCGTCCTCGCCACTGAGGCACACCTCGTCGTCCTCGCTCCAGTCCGCTGGCTCGCACGTCTCCGGCCTGCAATCCACGCACGTAACACGCGGCTGGAAGTGGCCGACCTCTCTCGCGGATGCGGCAGCGCGCCGCGTCGCGGCCGGTCCGTCTCGCTCGATCGCGCACGCCGCGAACCGCAAGCGAGCACGCACTGCACGCACCCTCGCGCGCGCGCGTCGAGCGCGTTCGCGATCAGCGACAGCCCGGAGTGAGTCACGGCCGCCAGCAGCGCGCCGCCGTACGCAGCCGAGAAGAAGACGCCCTCGTCCCCCGCGACGGACGCGACGACGCTCGATCCTAGCACACCCCGACGCGGCACGCTCCCGCGCCGCCCCCCTCCCGCCCCCAGCGGCCGCCTGCAACCGGGATCCAGCGCCTCCCGGTGGGGTACGTGCCGCAGGCCGAGCGGTCGTCGCCGCCCCACAAACGTCGGCGCCAGCGGCCAACTGCAACAACCAGAGGGCATGGTGCCGCGGCTTGCAATCTATTCGCGGATGCTTGAAGCGCGGGACAGTTCTGCGGGTCCGCGCCGCGCTGTTGCGTGTGCCCGCGCTGCACGAACGCCTTGATGTGGCGGACCACACTCGAGGCTGACTGTCAGTGTCAGACACCAACTAACGTGGCCGCACAGGGGGGGCTGTGCCCACCGGCGGCGACGCCCGCGGCACGTGCCCTGCGCGCCACGGCTGCTCCTTGATGCATCCACGCCGGGATGCGGGGGCAGTGCATGCACAAAGAGTGTGGGCAACTGCGGCCCGCTATCTGCGACAGACGGATGTAGCCGCCGCACAGCACCCCGGACGCCCGACACTCGTAGCCCTGAGGCCGCACGCCGGATCGAGTGCGAGGGAGCTGGTGCGGGGGACAATTGCAGCGTACAAGTGAGACCTGAATCAAGGGTCTGGCCAGACCCCCGCCGGGCAGCGCCGCGAACATCGGGCCGGAGCACGCGAACGTCGCAGTCAGAAGGGCTGGCGGCACGCGAACGTTTGACTTCGGTCCTGCGCTGCTCTCGAGGTTCACCCCGCGAGTGCTTTTCGGTCGTGGCAAGGCTTTGCACAGCCGTCCGGCGAGGCCGCTCCGCGGCGAGCTTAGTGCGGGCGACCGACGTGTTGTCGTAGATGGCGGGGGACGCGGGCAAGCAGCCCGCCGCGAAGGAGGCTGGGAAGGAGAAGAAGGATGATAGCAAGCAGGATGGAGGCAAGGGCGAGGACAAGCCCGTCAAGGTGCTCTCAGAGGCCGAGATCGAGCTCCTCAAGTCGTACGGCATGGGGCCGTACTCGATAAAGATCAAGGAGGTGGAGAACGACCTCAAGGAGAAGCTGAAGCGCGTCAATGAGCTGTGTGGGATCAAGGAGAGCGACACCGGGCTCGCGCCGCCGAGTCGCTGGGACCTCGTGTCGGACAAGCAGATGATGCAGGAGGAGCAGCCGCTGCAGGTGGCGCGATGCACGAAAATCATCAACCCAGGTGCGCGCGGGCCGGAACAGAACCGTCCCAGGGCCACACCGTGCGTCCGGCGGGGACGCGGACTGCTCGCCGGGGGCAGAGCACCGGGCCACGAGCCTCCCTCGCGAACGGAGCTCGCACCCGAGCGCAGGATCTTGCCACGGCGCACCGCCCGCGCGGTGTCCGGGCGCCTGGGTCCCTGCTAGAAGGTCGCTGTCGCTCAAACCCTTCCGTCCGCGCGCGACCCTCCCGCAGACACGTCGGACGCGAAGTACGTCATCAACGTGAAGCAGATCGCGAAGTTCGTCGTCGGCCTAGGCGACCGCGTGGCGCCCACGGACATTGAGGAGGGGATGCGCGTGGGCGTGGACCGCACCAAGTACCAGATCCAGATCCCGCTGCCGCCGCGCATCGACCCGAGCGTCACCATGATGACCGTCGAGGAGAAGCCCGACCTGACGTACTCCGACATCGGCGGCTGCAAGGAGCAGATTGAGAAGATGCGCGAGGTGCACACAACGCCCGCCGCCCGCGCGGACCCCGCCGCGCAACAGAGCCCCCGTCGCGACGGGACGCGCCCTGGCCACGTGGTCTCTTGCACCCCGCACCGGACCCATGCAACGGCGCGCCCGCGCCGTGCCCCGTGGCCCGCCACCCACTGCACGGGGCGCGCAACAACAATGTCGCGTGCGTGACGGCGCCGACCCCGCCGGCTGCCCCGCAGGTCGTCGAGCTCCCGATGCTGCACCCGGAGAAGTTCGTCGCGCTGGGCATCGACCCGCCGAAGGGCGTGCTGTGCTACGGCCCGCCGGGCACGGGCAAGACGCTGCTGGCGCGCGCCGTCGCCAACCGCACGGACGCGTGCTTCATCCGCGTCATCGGGTCCGAGCTCGTCCAGAAGTACGTCGGCGAGGGCGCGCGCATGGTGCGCGAGCTCTTCCAGGTGCGCAACGCCCCCCCGCTACCTGCGCACTGCACACATGCAATGCCGCCGCGCTGCGCCACGCGCACCGCCTCACGCGTTGGCCCGCATCACCGCGGTCGCGCAGATGGCGCGCTCGAAGAAGGCGTGCATCATCTTCTTCGACGAGGTGGACGCGATCGGCGGGCAGCGCAGCGACGACCCCGGGAGCGACAACGAGGTGCAGCGGACGATGCTGGAGATCGTCAACCAGCTCGACGGGTTCGACCCGCGCGGCAACATCAAGGTGCTCATGGCCACGAACCGCCCCGACACGCTGGACCCGGCCCTGCTGCGCCCCGGGCGCCTGGACCGCAAGGTGGAGTTCGGGCTGCCGGACCTGGAGAGCCGCACGCAGATCTTCCGCATCCACACGCGCGCGATGAACTGCGAGCGCGACATCCGCTTCGAGCTCCTCGCGCGGCTGTGCCCCAACTCGACGGGCGCGGACATCCGGTCGGTGTGCACCGAGGCGGGGATGTACGCCATCCGCGCGCGCCGCAAGACGGTCACGGAGCGGGACTTCCTCGACGCCGTCAACAAGGTCATCAAGGGGTACCAGAAGTTCTCGGCCACGCCCAAGTACATGGTGTACAACTAGCAGTGTGACACAACACCAACCCCGCCGCACACAACAACCTCGCACGCGTCGCGCCCGAGCCGCTCCGAACGCGGCTGTGGACGTTTGCGGGCAGCGTCCATCGCTGGGGCGGGCCACGTCCCTCGGAGGGACGGTGGGGTGTGTCCTGGGGACTCTGGGCGGCCCACGCCGGGCTCGAGGGTCGCGCGCGGGGAGAAGGCAGCAGCACACGGCGAGGTTGAGCGTCTTGGACCTGCCGATCTGGCGCGTGGCAGGTTCTGTTTTCCCCCTTGTCTGCGCGGGCTCGCTGGGGCCTTCACGATGGTGCGGCACGTGCTGCGGACGTGCGCGCGCTGGCTCGGTCGCGACGTGCGCCACGAGGCGGCGAGCTCCGCTCTCGTTGCGCGCGCGACGGGCGAGCGGGCCCTCGCGGTCACCTCCGCGCAGCCCGATCTCTGTGGGTGGCGGGCCAGCGGGTGCCCACCAGCGCCCCGTAGCAGTCCTGCGGCCTCGCCGACGGATCTGTCCAGGGACGCCATGATATATGGACGGAGGTTCGCGTCAAGCCCCGAGTCAGACAAAGCGGCGCCAGGAGACGCGGCGGCGGGGGCTGACCAGGAGCCTCAGGGTGGTCCCGCTCGCGAGCGGCCAGAGCGCGGCCTGGACGGGGGTCCGCCGCCGATTCCCTGGTCGTCGGATGGGAAGACGTTCGACATCACGGCGGAGGAGATGGAGCAGTACATCCTGCAGGACTTGGACGGGTACCGGCGACGCCTGCAGGGGTGGGATGCAGAGCACCGGTTCCCGCAGATCTACACCGTGCGAGTCGTGCTCAAGGGCCCCGACGAGGAGGCGCTCCAGGAGAACGTCGACAACGTCCTGCGGGCCGCGCAAGTGGCGTGCTCGCCCCGGCCCAGGCACTCGAAACGCAAACCTAAGAGGTGCGCCCCATCGGCCGCGTCCACGCAACACACGGCGCTGTCGATGGCTGCGCCCACATCGGACACGCTACGGCCGCTACAGTGGTGGACTCAGGATTGTCTGAAACCCCATCCCCCCCGAAGGTGCACACTGGTGTCGCACACTGCGCGCTGCCTCGCAGGAAGCTCGTCACCGTGCCACGCGCGACGTTCAAGTACAAGAAGGAGGGCATGGAGCAGTTTTGGATCGTCGAGCGCACGCACGAGGTGTCGGTGACGTTCGGCACGGAGCGCATGCTGAAGTTTTTCCTGCACCTGCTGCGGCACATGAGGTGGTACGACGTGGACGACGTGATGTGCAACGTGCGCTACAAGGTCGACCTCGAGGACCTCCTCGCGGTGGACGTCGGGCCGCTCGAGGACGACGGGCCGGAGACGAGCGAGCCAGCGACGACGACACCGCAGGAGGCGGGCAAGGCGGCAGAGTAGGTCGGCGACGAGCGGGGACCGCGGCGCACTGTGAGACCGCGGCGGGCTCACAACGGCTGGTGGATGAGTCCGGGCGGTCGCAGCGGGGCGGCAAGACCTGGGCCCTGCATGTTCGTGTGTTTGGCGGCGTGCCACCGTCAGAAGCTGTTCTTCATGAACTTTGAGAGGCGCACGGGCGCGTCCGAGTCGCTCGCGCTGCGTCCGCTGTTGGAGGGGCTCGAGCTCCGCCCCCTGTCCCTGCTGCGTGACCGCCGCCTGCGTGACGGCGAGCGCGACCGGGACCGCGACCGACGCCGCTCCTGCACGAGCAACCGGAGCGGGGGCGTGTCGCACCGGGAACGCGGACGGCACCGGCGCGCGTGCGCCGTTGCCCGTCGCATGGAATGATGGCGCACCTTGCTGTGTTTGCTCCGCTTCTCCTTCTTGTCCTTCCGCCGCTCCTTCTCCTCCTTCCGCCGCTTCCGGTCCTTCCTCTCCTTCCGCTCCCTGCTCCTGCTCCTGCTCCTGCTCCGCCGGCGCTCTCTGTCCCGCTTCGACTTCTTGCTCTTCCTGTCCGAGTGGTTGACGCCGCGGGACAACTTGCGCTCCCGGTCCGCGTCCAGCAGCGCCCTGTAGTCCCGCATCATGCGCTCCTCCTCGTCGCTGTCCAGCGGCGCGCCCTTGCCCACCATGGCAGCCTCCTTCTGCTTCTGCAGCCCAGACGGAGCGCGGGGAGCGCAGGAGCGTTGCGGACACGGAACCTCGAGCGTGAACAGTGTCGGCGCATGTAGGCGACGTGGACATGAGATGGCGCGCCACGGCGGCGCCTCCGAGGGCTTGCACGCAGGCGCACTCCTGCGCCGTCGATCACTCGCCTTCATCTTCATGAACTGGTCCCAGTCCATGCGCTCTTGCATCAGAGATGCCAGGCGTGCCTCGTGCCAGGCGTCTGAGTGGAAGCTGACGTCCACGTCGCGCGCCTGCGTCGCAGCTGCTTCGCCCCCTGCATCGCCCCCCTCGCCGTCGACCACCACCTCCACCGGCCGAGGCGGGGGCCTCCCGCCCCCGGACTTACGGCCTCCCATCAGGCGGGCGCCACCTCGCTCGCCCCGCCCCCCCCTTCGCGCCGCCCAGCCTCGCTCGCCACACACTCCTTTTGGTGGCGCACCGTGCGCCGCGCACGCGACTCCACTCGAGCCAGGTACAGCGGCAGAGAATGACACGGAGATGCAGGCCGAGCAATACCATGTTTCGCGCACCCCTCGTGACGGTGGCCACGTCGGGCGGGTGGTGTCTGGAGCCACGCACAGTCCGCCCAGCGCCGTGCGGTCACCGCCCGCGCATTTGGTCTCGTGGCCCGCAACGGCGCCGCCAGTCGCGGGGGTCCAACCTTCAGGGCCGCAACGAGAGCTGAGCGCACGCCACAGTGCGCCACGGCCCGCACACGGACTCGAGCACGAACCAATTTTCGCGCCAACTGACCCCCCGCGGGTTCCCCTGCCCGCGCTCGGCCGTTGGGCATGCCGGGCGTGAGATAGGACCACAGGTTTCAAAATGGACGCGTTCGTTGAGCGCGCGGACTTCGACAAGGAGCTCCTGATCGACACCGCCAGCGGGCTGGGCAAGTGGCCGCTGAACGAGCGCGACAAGGAGCTCCGACCCGGCATCTACACCAAGTCCGACGACGTGGTCGGTGAGTGTCGCGACGAGGGGCGTTGATGCGCCGCGCGCGACGGCGAGGCCAGAGCTTCCGGCGCAGCAGTGCACATGAAACACCGGCCGCGTGTTTCTGCCCCCGCGGGCCCGCCGCGGGCGCGCAGGCGGCCGCGCCTTGCTGCGTGATCGCGGTAGGCCGCGAACCTGCCTTCGTTCCCTCCGCGGCGCGCGCAGAGAGCCTGAAGGACCTGCAGCGTTTTTTGCGCCGGGATGATCCCGCCACGCGCGGCGTGTTCTACACGCTGGCGGACCTGAAGATCGTCGCGCAGGACCTGGTCCCCCTGATCGTGTTCTACCCGGACGAGGAGGACGTGGTGTACAACGCGCTGAAGGTCCTCACCTTTCTGACGATGCCCGTGGACATGGAGTCGCCGCAGGTCGCGCGGCAGATCGTGGCGCTGCAGGACATCCGCGCGGCGTTCCTGGACGGCGACGCGCTCTCGCAGGTCGTCGCGCTCCTCTCGGGCCCGCTCGAGCGGCACCCGCGCATGACCGAGAAGGACGCGCTCACGGTGCAGCTGGTGCTGTGCTTCCTGCGCAACCTGCTCTGCGTGCCCGAACACCAGACCGCCGCGCACCGCGAGCGCCTCGACGGCCGCACGCCGCAGCGCGACGCCCTCCTCCTGCGCTTCGCCGAGGACTCGGTCACCGACCTGCTCGCCTCGGCCGCGCAGCACGCGCACGAGCAGCCCTTCCGCCAGGACGCGTCGCTGCTCCTCGAGATCATCGCGGAGGTCGCCGCCGCGGGGCGCCCGGAGGACCTCAACCGCGCGCGCCTCGCCAGCGACGAGGAGGCCCTCGCGGACCACCGCAAGCGCGCGGGGGGCGGCGCCGCCGACGCGTCCAAGCTGGGCGAGCTCCTGCGGACCGGCGCGACGGCGCGGAAGGCGCTCCCGCCCGCGCGGCACCCGCGGTTCGCGGGGACGTACGTGCGGCGCGGGGCGGTCGGCGGCGGCGGCGCGCGCACCGTCAAGGGGGACTACAAGGCCAAGGGCGAACACATCTCACACCTGTCCTCCAAGGGCAAGCTCGGCGCCAAGGACGAGCGCGCGCCCCCGCAGCCGCCGTCGCTGCTCGTGCTGAAGCACCTCGCGGCGTTCGCGGACCTCCTGCTGGACGGCGGGTACGACGTGCTGATGGACATCACGCGGCAGGAGGCGGAGAAGGGGCTGGGGATCTCGCGGCTGGACCGGACGGACTACGTGCGGTTCCTCAACGTCGCGCGGTTCTTCGCGGAGTACGTGTCGCGGAAGGCCGAGACCGACGGGAAGCGCCGGGCCGCGGAGGCGCGCGCTGCGGCGGGCGCGGGGGCCGCGGCGCCCGAGGTGCAGCCCGCGGACTCGCCGTTCGGGCAGATCACGGCGACGATGGGGTGGGGGACGTTCCACCTCGCGTACACGCTGTGGACGGGCCAGATCGAGATCCCGGCGTCGATGGCGGACAAGGACTGGGAGCTGATGCACGCGGCGGTGGGCCTGCTCAAGGAGATGCTGTTTGCGCTGCAGACGGCGCTCAAGTACGGATCGCAGCAGGACCGGCGCGCGGCGGACCGCATGCAGCGGAAGCTGATGTTCGACACGCAGCGCGAGACGGGCCTGCTCCCGCTGCTGGCGCGCGCCATGCGGGGCTTCAACATGAAGCACGAGTCGGCGCGGCACGCGCAGGACCTCGTCGAGGCCGTGTACGTCGTGCTCAAGACGCTCGACCGCCTCGACGAGTGCGAGGTCGGCGGGTTCGTCGTCGGACGCAAGCGCAGGAGGAAGCGCGCCAAGGCCAAGCCCAAGAAGGCCGACGGCAAGGGCAAGGACGGAGGCCAGGAGAAGGCTGCGGGGGACAAGGAGGGGGCTGCGGAGGAGGGCAAGGCCGAGGGGGGCAAGGCGGGCGACGGGGAGCCGCAGCAGGAGGAGGGGGAGTATTGGATGGAGGAGCCCGACGGGGCGGACCGCGAGGCGGCGCTGGAGGAGGTCAAGCTGGACCGGATCAAGCGCTTCCGCATGGACCTCGCGTCGCCGGTGATCGTGGCGTTCTACACGTGGGTCCTGCGCGGGTACCGCAACAACCACGCGTTCCTCAACCACTGCGTGCTGGACTACTTCCGGCGCCTCGCGCTCCCGGACAAGTGCAACCTCATGCCCATGCTCTGGCAGCTCTCGGTGCTGCGCGTGTTCGAGGTCATCATCAACGACGAGCACCTCCGGAAGACCAACGGCCTCCCGCACCTGCGCGCGGTGAGTGCGGCACCGCGCACGCCGCACGCCGCGCACGCCGCACGCCGCGCCCGTCCCCTGTGCTCGCTCGCGCCCCACCGCCGCGCGTCCTCTTCTCCGCAGTTCATCACGGAGGTCCTCAGGGAGATGTTTGCCAGGATGATGTACGTCCCGCCGCGGGAGGCGCGCGAGGCCGCCGCTGAGGAGCCGGGGGACGCGGACGAGGCGGCCTCGCAGCCCGGAGCCACCGAGACGGACGCCGACCTTGAGGCGGCCGTTAAGAAGGAGCAGCTGGTGCGCCCCTCAATTGCACACGCGCTGACGTCAGGCGGCCGCCGTGCGCCTGCGCGGCCCCGCTCGCGCCGTCGCCGCGGGTTCCGAGCGTGTCACGTCATGCGCGCGCGTCGTGTTTGCAGCGGCGCGAGGCGGACATCCGTTTGGGGTGCGCGTCGATGTTGTTTGTGGAGCTGCTGTTCTGGAAGTCGGCGAAGGAGACGGACGACCTGCGCGAGGAGTATCACTGGCGCGAGGTGTACGAGCGCCGCGAGCGCCTGGAGGGGCGCAAGATCAAGGCCAAGTTCGGCGCGGACCTGGTGGCGCTGAAGGAGGTGGCGGGGGCCGAGAGCGACAACTACTCCGACAGCGAGGGCGAGTGGGACGTGGGGGCGCTCGCGGAGGGCGCGAAGGAGGCGCGCAGGCGCAACAAGCGCGGCGCGTGGCCGCTGGAGCGCGAGGAGGAGCTCAAGATGTGGTGGGAGCGCCTCAAGGACGAGAGCAAGGTGGTCGACCTCATCACCGCGCAGCTCGCGAGCAACGGGTTCGAGCAGCCGCGCGCGACGGTGCTGCGGAAGCTCAAGGAGCTCGAGCTCTGGCAGCACCGCCCGCGCGGGGTCGGCGGGCCCGTCGGGTCAGCGGCCGGGCGTGCCGTGGCGGCGCTGCTGGGCATGAAGCGCACGGGCGGCGCGGAGGCCGTCGCGTGGCTCGAGGCGCGCCTGGACGAGGCGCAGATCATGTGGGCCCCGTCGGCGAGCGCCAGGCCGGAGCAGGGGCCGGCGGCCGCGGGCGCCAGTCCCGTGTCAGGAGGGGAGGACTTCGAGATCATCGCGTGGGACGAGGAGGGGGAGGCGGCGCTGAAGGCCGCGCCGATGCAGCGCCTGCTGCGCGTCCTGGGCTGCCGGGCGCCGGGCGTGTCGTCCCCGGCCACGGCGGCCCCGGCTGGCGAGGAGGAGACGGGCGCGGTGGCGGCGAGCGAGTTCTGGCGCGTTCCGGGCGAGCTGGGCCTGGAGGGCCTGCACGCCATGCGGCGCGTGCTGACGGCGGCGCGGAGCGAGGGCGAGCGGCTGCGCGACGAGGCGGAGCTCGAGCGGGCGGAGAAGCGCGCGCGGGGCAAGGGGCGCGCGGGGAGGAAGGCGCGGGACGAGGCGGAGTGGGAGACGGGCGACGAGACGGACGAGGTGCGCGGCGGCCGTTCCGTGCGGGCGGCGGCGTCGCGTCTGCGCGCATCGATGATTGCATGTTGTGGACTTGCGTGTTGAGGACTGCGTGTTGTGGCCGCGACGCAGGGAGGCGATGGATACCAGAGCTCGGATGACGAAGGGAAGCGAAGGGGCAGGCCGAAGAGGAAGGCGGCGCAGGCCATGGAGGCTGCGCTGCGTGCCACTGTTCCCGCCGAGCCCACTCCGTCGGACGAAAACCCCGCGCGCTCCGCGTCGGAAGGGCCCGCCGCGCCCGAGACTCCGTCGCCGAAAGCGAAGGAGGCGCGGGCGCCTGACGCACGGGCGAGCGACGAGGCCCCGGCCAAGGAGGCGAACGTGGCAGCGGCGGAGGCTGGCAAGGAGGGCCGCGCCCCGGCGGAGAACCGGAAGCGCGGGAACGTCGAGGACGAGGAGGCCACGCGCCGCGAGCTGAAGGCCCTGGTGCGTGCCGGCCGCCCACAGCCCCGCCGTGCCGCGCGACCTGCAGAGAGCACATGTGGTTTGCGACTGACCTCGCCGCGCTCGCTCGGACCGCGCAGGCGGAGATCCGGAAGAAGCGCAAGCTCGTGGTCGCGCCGAAGGCGTCGAAGAAGAAGGCGGCGAAGGCGGCGGAGCAGGAGGCCGCGCGCCAAGGTGCCATGGACGGCAGCCACGCGCACGGCCGCCTCGCGCGCGCGGTCGGCGCGCCGGCCGACGAGGCGGACGACGACATGGCAGGTCTGCTGGATGACTAGGGCGTCGACCATGGCGCTCGAAGGCGCCTCTGCTGCGCGTGTTGCTGCACACACGGACGACGACGGGGGCCGCGAGCTGCACGCGCGGCGGCGCCCGGTCGCAGGCACGACGCGGTCGTCTGTGGCGCGCGCGGGCGCCAGCTCGCGTGCGAGGCCGGCAGTGTCGCACCGGCCTCGTGTGAGCCTGCACAGGTGACCGTTGGCGGAGCTAACGCTTCGACCAGCCTGTCGACCTGGGGACGCGCAGACTGTCGACGTCGCCGTGCTTGACGGCCTGCGAGCGCCTTCGAGCGCCCAGCGCAGTGCCGGGGGTGACTTTCCCAAGGCCCCTGAGCGCGCTTTGACGCGCCGGCGTCATGGGGCGGCCGCCGCGCAGGCGACAACGAATGCACGGTACTGTGGAGGCGGCTCGACGGCGCCGAGATCCTCTCGAACGCCAGCGTGTTGCTTGGGCAGCCCGCACGAACGCAGCTGTCTTAGCGTTTCTTGCGTCGCACGGCGCTTTAGGCCAGCGGAGCTCAGCTGCTCTCGCTTCTATGAGCTCACAGTGATGCGCCGGGGCTAGCGATACTCGCCGAAGAGTACCACGGCGACGCTCTGACGCGAGGAGCTTCGCGTAGCAGCAAGTGGCCTGCCTGTCTGTCAGAGGTGCGCACTGACCGCGCCCTCGCGGGTAGACGACTTCCTGCCGCGAAGCCGGGCGGATTCAGCCGCGCGCTGGGCCTGCCTGCCGATCGTAGGCCCGAGGGGGGCTCGATGGCTCCCGCTCGTAATGTGGCCACCAATTCCCTGATGAGAGAGCACGGAGTAACTAAATTTCATCGACTTCGGGCCCCGCCGCGCTCTGAGATCGCGTTTGATCGGTCTGCGGGGCGTGGCGAGAGGACTTTCTCCTCCGCTCCTTCAACGTCGCCTCGCTCCCTCACGCGGCCGCTCCCTCACGCGGCGTCGACCCGCAATTGGTTTTTTTCGTGCTCTCCACGCCCAACCGCTGGACGCAGGTCGTCGCACGTCCTCGCAACGTCCGAAATTCGCGATGCTGCTTGGTCATGAGTGCAGACGCCATCACTCGAGGATTCCTCCCGCGAACGTCTGACTTCGATTGATCCCGGGGTCACTTTCGTCTCGCTCCAGGCGCTGGCTGCGGAGTCTGCCCGCGAGGCGCGCCAGGCTGCGCCCCGGGCGGCAGCGAGCCCGGTGCAATGCGCACCAAGGGCGGCGGTCGCCACGTGGGGCCCTCGAGGGAAGGCGCACACGCCGCACGGGAGCTGTCACTAGAGCGCATCGTCAAGTCGCGCGTCACGAAGAAACGGGACCCGCGCACGCCACAGTGAGCACCCTTGCACCGATGCCGCTGCCATCGCCGGGCGGGCCCCGACCACGCACGATTGCGACGCCGCTGGTGCGTCGCCGGGCGCGCAACGGTCGAACTATCCGCCGCGCGCGCTCTCGCAGGCTTCCGGCGGGCGCGGGCAAGCGGGCGTCGGCGCTGCGTCCCCAGGACAAGTGGGGGGACAAGGGCGGCATCTGGGCGGCGCTCCAGCAGCGCGACAAGGAGGAGGAGGAGAATGACAAGCTCCTCGCGAAGCTCAGGGTGCGCGCGCCCCGCGCTGCTCCGCGTCGCGCCGCGCGCCCACGCCCCCCCCGGGCCCCGCCGGTGAATGTCCGCCGCCCCGCCCGCTCACCGCCCGCGCAGGCCCAGTACGCAAAGCAGCAGGAGGCCGAGGCCGAGGGCGTCGCGTCGGATGCGCTCCTGGCGCACCGCGGCGGCGTGCGCGGCCCCGGCCCGCTGCCGGAGAGCGAGGACATCGGGGCCGACCTGAACGTGCTCGCGGAGCTGGCCAGCCCGCTGATGGTGCTCGCGGAGCACGCCAGCCTCCAGAAGAGCAAGGAGGAGGCGGCCGCGGCGGGCCTGGAGGACCTCCTGCAGGCCGCGGACCACGTGGCGCCGAAGAAGGATGCCCGCACGGGCGCGCGGGGCGGCGCGGCGGGCGCGGGCCGCGGACGCAAGGGCGCCCGCGCGACGCCCACGGCGCGGAAGTCGGCATCGCGCGCGTCCGGCGCGGAGGCGCGGCGCGGCGAGGCGCGTACGAGGAGGCGCGGCCGCTGCTGGACCGGGCGGCCGCGGCGCCGCCGGAGCAGCCCAAGCACCGCCGGAAGGCGCGGCCGCAGCGCGTGGTGCCGCTGCGGCGCCGGCTGCAGCTCCTGGGGAGCACGGGCGCGGCGCTCCGGCGGCTGGAGGCCGGCGACGCCGACGAGGGCCTGCTGGACAGCCCCGAGGGCGGGGAGGCCGGGGCGGAGTGCCACGCGCGGCTGTCGCACGCGCTGAGCGTGCGCACGCGGCGGTGGGCGCGCAGCGAGTGGCTGTACAGCACCATCGACCGCCCGTGGTTCCAGCAGAACCCCCTCGTGCAGTACCTCCAGTGAGCGCCTGCGCACACGACCCGCCCCGCGCCGCGCCACGCACGCGACCGCGCACGCGACCATCGCACGCGACCGTCGCACGCCCCCCGCGCCCCGCAGGTACCTGGACCTCGGCCACGTGTGCAGGCTGACCAAGGCGGAGTGGTCCATGATCCGGAGCTCGCTCGGGACGCCCCGGCGGCTGTCGCTGCGGTTCCTCCGCGAGGAGCGCGGCCGGCTCGAGCTGTGGCGCAACCGCGTGCGCAGCGCGCACCGCGAGGCGTGGCGGTCGGGCAGCGCGGCCGTGCTGCCGCCGGGCGTGCCGCCGCCGCTGCAGGTCGGGCAGCGCGTGCTGGCGCTGCACCCGCGCACGCAGCAGGTCCACGACGGGTCGATCTTGACGCGCGGGCAGAACGAGTTCCGCGTCCAGTTCGACATCGAGGAGCTCGGGACGGAGAAGGTGCGCGACGTGGACATCGTCCCGTGGGACCCCGTGGAGGGGGTCCCGCTGGGGCTGACGGTGCCGGGGGCGCTCACGACGCCGGCGGTGGAGGCGGCGCAGGAGGGGGGCGCGACGGCGGCGCGCGGGGCGACGCGGCAGCTGGACTTCTCGCACGGGGGGGGTGTGGCGGAGGTGGACGCGGGGGTGTCGGTGGCGGGGCTGCGCGCGAAGGAGGCGGTGCGGGCGGCGCGGGAGGAGGCGCGGCAGCGGCTGCGGAAGGGCGCGGTGAAGGAGAAGGGCGCCGGGGGCGCGGGCGCGGGCGCGGCGTCCGAGGCGGCGATGGCGGTGGGCGGGGAGGCGCTGGCGCTGGTCGTGGCGGTGAAGCGGTGCCTGTCGGACCCGGACGCGCTGGCGCTGTCGACGCACGTCCTCGAGCAGGCCATGCTGGAGATCAGCAGGGCGTGCACGGGCGCGCAGGTGACGGGCCCGGTGCAGGAGATTGCGGGCCTGGTGTCGGAGCTGAAGCGGCTCATGGCGGGCTGAGGGGGCGCGGCCGTGTGAGTGCGTCACAGCTCGCGCGGGGGGCCGTCCCGCACGGTGACCAGGATGTCTCCTCGGCTGTCCTTGGCCACGCGGTACTTGCCGTCCAGGTAGATGTTGTCGAACCAGCCCTGGCCGAACGGGGGCAGCGGGAGGGTGCGGCCGGGCGTGCGGACGCGCGCCCCGCTGAACTTGAACTCCACGCGCACGTCGTCCTTGGCCGCGACGGAGCTGTCGACCGTGAAGGCCCCCTCCGGCGGGAAGGTGATGACGTTGTTCAGCGAGCCGTTCGCCATGTCGATCACCTGGTACACCTCCCCGGCCTCGGTGCCGAACAGACCCGCGTTCTTCAGAATCCACAGCGTCTCCTTCTGCAGCGACGCCGGGCAGACGCGCCGCTCATCGCATGGCGCGTCAGGCAATACAAAAGGATGCGCAGAGTGGTGCGTGTCTGAACACGAGCCCACCTCCGACGTCCACAGGAGCTTCCACGTGGCCGACAGATCCTTCCCGTTGGTCTTCTTGCCCTGTGCCTCGTCGTACAGCTGTTGAACTGCATCCTCTATCTGCTTCCGCTGCTCCTTCGTCGTCGCGAGGCCCCTGTCAGTGCCTTCGATGGCGTCTGCATAGTTGCAGGAACGACGGTGTGGCCGCGACCTCTCATCGAGCGCGTCGCAGGGTGCGCGCGGGGACGTGCGTTCTCTGCCACCACGGGGTTCAGCGCCCCTCACGCGCAGCTCGGACCGCTCCACTCCATCTCGCCAGCGGGCGCACCTAACACATCGCTGAGAGCCGTCGACGCCTTCTTTTTCGTCAGGAACGGGAGCGAGGGCAGCGCTCTCCGCGCGACGTTCCTCCTGTGCCGCGCGGGCACGACTGATGCGCGTGTCGTGAACAGCGACTGCGTCATTCTTGGAAGAGAACCGGTTCCCACAGCGCACACTGGCGCAGTGCTCCAGCCTCGATCCCCAACAGCCGCGGCACGGGCCCGGCCTCGTCGCCGCGAGTGTCCCCCGTGGACTCCGCTGCAGTGCCGAACGGGGCGCTCCTCATGTATGTGCGCCCTCGCAGGCGCCCCACATTCCGAGCTCCCGTCTCCGTCTGTCGACTGCGCCGTCGCTGCGTGCCACTTACCCTCTTGTCGCCCCACGTACGGGCACTGGTAGCCAGCGACCTGCCCACGATGAAGCGCATCTTCGGGGTCAGCAAAAAGTCCTCCGCGCCGTCGGGCCCTGCTCCGTCTCTACAGGAGACCACCGACAGGATGGGGGAGCGCGTCAAAACGTGCGCCCGCCCCCTCGCGCGCTCGCGCCTCGCGCGTTTCCCCCACGCCTCCCGCGGCCCCGCGGCTTGCACACCGCAGGCACCCGCGCTGCACGGCCGCACCTCCGGGGCGCAGAACGCCTCACTGTGTGTCGGCGGGGCACCCTCGCCGGCGTCTTATCCCTGCGCGCGCACCGTGAGCGGGGAGGGACGGTTCCCCCGGTGCCACTCTCGGGCTCGTCCCACGCGCCCCCGCGACCCCTGCTGCCCTCTCCGCAGCCTCGAGGCGCGCATCAAGGAGCTAGACAAGAAGCTGGTGCAGCACCGGGAGGCGATCAAGCGGACGCGGCCGGGTCCGGGGCAGGAGGTGGCCAAGAAGCGGGCGTTGCAAGTGCTGAAGCAGAAGCGCATGTACGAGCAGCAGATGGAGCAGGTGATGCAGCAGCAGTTCAACGTCGAGGCGACGCAGTTCGCGACGGAGCAGGTCAAGGACAGCGTCACGCAGGTCGAGGCCATGCGCGCGGCGCAAGTGGAGTTCAAGGCCGCTGTCAACAGCAAGGAGCTCGACCTCTCCGAGATCGACAAGTTCCAGGACGAGATGGCCGACCTCATGGACTACCAGCGGGAGATCCAGGTGCGCGCCGACGCGGCCCCGCGCCGCCCGGGCGCCGCCCTCTCCGCGCGTCGTTGCCCCACCCTCCGCGACGCGCCCCCGCCTCCGTGCAGGACGCGCTCGGCCGGTCGTACGACCTGCCGGACGAGGTGGATGAGTCGGAGCTCATGGGCGAGCTGGAGGCGCTGGAGGCGGAGATGGGGGAGACGTCGCTGGAGGAGACGGCGGACGGCGTGCCAAGCTACCTCGCGGACCTGCCGGAGCTGCCCGAGGCGGGCGAGAACCAGGCGGAGGAGGAGGCGCCGCAGCCCGCGATGGCCGAGGGGCAGGCGGCGCACAGCTGAGCGGCGCCGGCCGGGGACGGTGCAAGTCGTTGTAGCTTGACTCAGGTCGACTCTCCCCCCTCCCATGGGAGGCGTTTCCGGCGACGAGGCGTCACGCGCCGGAGCGGTCCGTCGTAGTGTCGCAGGCGCGCAGAAGATCCTTGCTGCGTCGCAGAAACTGCATAACAGCCCGCACAGCGCTCGTGCGTGTGTTGTGAGCTCCGCGTGCGCTCTGCCGGGATGGCCTCGCTCGCAGCTCATGTGCTACCGCTGCGACCAGCACGTCAGAGCTGTTGCAGCCAGTGGCGATCGACGCCGCGTCGGCCTGTAGGGGGCTCGCATCGGGCACCTCTGGGCGGAGGTTGCAACACCATGCGGATCACGCGCGCTGCCTCTCGGGCGACCGCCAAGCGCCGCGCGATCGCTGCACGAGCAGCTGCGAACAGTGATGAGCCCGTCATCATCGTCGGCGGAGGTGCGCGCGCGCGTGGTCGGGTGCTGCGGACGCACTCCCTGCCTCCTGCGCTGGGCTAGGCAGGCCCTTCGCGGCAGAGTACCATCCTGATCGACTGCAACAGGAATACACGACAGCTTTCTTGCGGTCCGCGATCCTCGCAATCCTCGTGGTCCTCGTGATTGGAAGATGGACTCAGCACAGGTGCTTGCGCGCGAACGCTGAGGCGTGCAGGGATCAACGGATGCTCCATCGCGTACCAGCTGTCGCTGAAGGGCCGCAAGGCGATCGTCATCGAGCGCTCTTCCATCGCGGCGAGCTCGTCGGGGAAGGCTGGTGGGTTCCTGGCACGCGGGTGGGGGGACGGCGGAGTGACGCAGGCGCTGCACCGCGTCAGCTTCGACCTGCACGCCCAGCTCGCCGAGACGCTTGGAATCGAGTCCTACCGCAAGTGAGTGAGCGCGCTGAACGACAACTTCAAGAACCTGTGTTCACATGGTAGTGAGCTTCATCTCCTGCCTATGCCGCCCCTTGCAGGATCCCTGTTTTGTCGGTGCAGCCTGAGGGCGGGGGCCTGTTCCGCATGGGCGTGGGCAGCGGCGTGCAGCCGGCGTGGCTCAGCGGCGACGGCGTGAGTGCGCGCATGCTCGACGCGGACGGCGGTGCGCAGGTCGTGCCGCGTGAGCTGACGGAGAAGATGTTTGCTGCGAGCGGCGCGGAGCTGGTCACAGGTGCTGCAGAGGGGCTCGAGATGAGCGACGACGGAACGTGCGAGGGCGTGAGCGTGCGGCACGAGGACGGCAGCGTGTCGATCGTGCGCGGCGCGCAGGTCGTCGTGGCGATGGGGATCTGGAGCGTGTTGCTCGAGGACTGGCTCGGGTCCGACTGGATCAGCGTACGTGTCGCCGCGCCACAACACGACGTGGCGCCCGTGACCAGAGGGCACCGCCGCCGCGCACCCACCCGCCTCGCCGTGCGCTCCGTGCAGGTTCCCATGGAGGGCATCAAGTCCACGTCGCTGGTGTTCGACGGCGGCGACGCGGTGCGCCAGGAGCCGTACGCCCTGTTCACCGCCGAGGACTCCAACGGGTGCCACCTCGAAGTGTATCCACGCCCGGACGGTACTGTTTACATTTGCGGCATCGGGGGCTCGGACTACGTGCGTGGGTCGCGGCTGCGCGCCGGGGGGGACTGCGAGAAGCCCGAGTACGTGCACGAGGACCCTTCGCGCGTGGCGGCGGGCACGGCGAGCTTCACGGCGATGGCGCCGGGGATGGCGGGGAAGGAGCCGCTGGCCCAGGCCTGTATGCGGCCGTGCGCGTCCGACGCGCTGCCGATGATCGGCGGCGTGCCTGGCACCACGAACCTCTTCCTGGCGACGGCGAGCAACTGCTGGGGCATTCTCTGGGGCCCGGTCGTGGGCCTCGCCATGGCGGAGCTGCTCACGGAGGGGGAGTCCAAGTGCGTCGACTTGACGGCGTTCAGCCCGGGCCGCTTCATGCGCCGCAAGACTGGGCGCGGGCGCAAGATGGGCAGCGTGCCCACGGGCGAGCAGTGGTGAGGGGCTGCGCTGCGCATCACGTCGTCCGCTCACAGCGGGCGCTTGAGCGTCACCCCCAGCGGGAGGTGGTCGGACCACTTGGGCATCTCAGTCATGATGAACGCGTCATGCACCTTGCTCGCGAGGTCGCGCGACACCAGCGCGTAGTCCAGCCGCCAGCCCTTGCCCTTGTCGCGCATGTTCATGCGGAACGAGTAGTACGTGTACCCGATGACGCCTGGGTGCATGGCGCGGAAGGTGTCGCTCAGCTGCAGGTCGTCCACGAACAGCTTGGCGAAGCTCTCGCGCTCCTCGGGCGTGAACCCGGCGCTCTTGAGGTTCCCCGCCGGGTTGTGAATGTCGATCGGCTCCCGCGCGCAGTTCAGGTCCCCCACCAGCACCACCGGCTTGCCACGCCCCTCGAGCGACTTGATGTACGCCGAGAAGGCCGGGTCCCAGGAACCGACGCGGTAGTCCAGCCGCTTCGGCATTTTCGCGTTGTCGGGGTCCGCGGCGCCCGCGTTCGGCACGTAGGCGTTCACTACAAAGCACTCTGGTAGCTCCGCGGTCTGCACGCGCCCCTCGTTGTCGTGCTGCGGAGCAACGGACACACGGCGGTGCGGGTGAGGCGTGCTTTGCACCCCGCGCACGACGCCGCACTGTTCAGCGCCAGCACAGCACGTATCCTGTGCACGTGTGTTGGCTGCTTGTTCTGCGCGAGGCCACAGTGAACTTGCTCTGCGCGATACTCGGCGCGGAGCCGCACCTCTGCCATGCCGATGCCCGAGGTGAACGTGGGCGCGGCGGGAACAGCGCTGTCCGCCGCGGGGGGCGCCACGAACATCGCGACGCCGGCGTACCCCGCCTTGTCGGTCGAGCACACGAAGTGCGCCTGCCAGCCCTCTCCCAGCGCGCCCAGCACCTCCCCCTGTATCTCCTCCACGTGCTTCTCCTGCAACTTGTGTTCTTGGATGCAGATGATGTCGGGCTGCTCCTCCTTGCACAACTGCGGCAACGCCTCCGGGGCCTTCTTCAGCAGCGCTCGGAGCCCGGCGACGTTCCACGACAGTACCTGCAGCTCGCGTCCACGCAGCAGCCCGAGGTCTCACGCGGTGCGCCGGCGTGAGGAGGCCATTGCCGGTGCGCGGGTGTAGCACGTCTGTGGCAGGTGGCGAACACGCACCTTGAGAGACGGCCCGCTGAGCGCGCCCTTGCGCATGTCGACGGTGTACTTGGGCCCCTCGACGGGCTGCGGCTTGGCCTTCTTGGCCGCACCACCGCCCGCTCCCTCGGCCTTGCGCTTGGGCTCCGGGGGAGGGGGCGGCTCCTTGCCGAGCAGACGCGCAGCCCTCGCAAGGAGGTCCTGCTTGGAACCGCCGACGGTGGCGCCCTTGTACTTGCAGAAGGCCTGCGGAAACGCATGTGAGGTAAACCATGAAGCGCACTTTTCCAAACATGAAGTCAGTGCGCATCATCCGGGGAGAGCGCCTGCCTTGAGCTTCGGCGCGGTCATCTTCCCCAGCGTCCCGTCCTCGGCGGCATCGATCACCTCCTGGACCTCCTCTGGGACGTCGCCCTGTTCGCTAGAAGCCTGCAGGGCACCAGTCATCGCTCCGAGCCTCGGCCGACGGTTGCGTGTCGAACCATGCCGTGCACACGCATGCAAGCGACAGGGTCATCACGTCGCCATGCGTCTGCCTGGTGTTCGGGGAGCCAGGGCGCACCATCGCCCTGCTCGCTACCAGCCGCAGGCCAAGGAAAGATGTGCCCAGGAGGCGCCTAGTCCCGTAAAGCCCACCGAAATCAGTTGCCTGACGCAGAACAGCAGGTGCAAAGTTGTATGATCGAGGGGACGAGCGCGCGTATGTATACGACGTGGAAGCACCGAGCCTCGCCAAACACAGGATGCGCATGAATGCTGGCAGCGGAACGCGCAGCAGCGCAATCGTGATAAAGCTCTGCCTCGACAGAGGTCGCCTGTGTGCACGGCAGGTGCTGACCACACGTCTTGTGTGCAGGGGCGACGAGCGCGCGACTTGTGACCGACAGACTAGCAGCCACGTCAAGTGGAAAAACAGGCGCCAAAGCGCACTTCTCTACATGATTCTGCGCAAGTATCGTGTGAGTGCATACGAGCATCAGACGGAGAGCAGAGCTCGCCTGCACGAGAGCTGTGTTGACTGCGTGAGCCGCTTGGGGGAGGCGGACGTCTTGGCCTGACGCGCCGCACGTCACGGCAGCCCATGATACAGGAGGTCTTCGTCCTGTGTTTGTCATCAAGTGAAGAGGGGCCTGGCACATATTCGGCATCTGCCGTGGGCTCAGGAGACGCGGATCGGCCGTGCAACCTAGGAGGTGCAACAAAGCGTTACGACGCCCTGGCGCGTGCGCTGGCCGGCGCTGGAGCCCACCTGCGCGCAATACGCGTGCAAGTAAGTGAGGAGCAGGAATCTGCGCAGCGTCTCGCCCAGCGGGCCCTGGGCTGCATTGCCCGCAGCGGGGCACCAGACCTGGCGGAAACGGTCATCGTCGTGGCCTGCGACGGCGATGTCGAGGGACGCGTGCAGGTCGATGCCCTTGCCCGGGCGCTGTCGGAGGCGGCGCGAACTTGGTGTGTGGCCATCGACGCCGCCGCGGACCACCCCGCAGTGTGTCGGCGTCTGGCGGGGCTGTCGACGCACGAGGAGGGGGCGCCGCGCGCAGACCTGAGCGTCGTGGTCGCGACGGACGAGCAGGCGGTGTCCGCGATCGGACGCTTGCAGCTCCGCAGCGGTGCGCGCGTGTGTGGGTGTTGTATGAAACAGTCCCGCCTGCTGGACATGCGGGGGCGCGGACTCCTGCCCATCGTGCCGGGGGCGTGGGGCGTCGTGTTCGTGCCGATCACGAGCGCAGAGCCGGAGCTGTGGGAACTGGAGCTGCGGGGCCTCGACGTGAGTGCACGCACTGCTTGCGCGCTGCCTGCTGACGTAGCGGGACGATTTGCACCCGCGACGGACGAAGTGATGCCACTGGCACGCAGGCGCTGTTGCACAAGCCAACGGACGACATGGTGGCGACGCTCGACGGCGGGGACCGCGGCGGGCAGCTGCGTGTTGATTTCTCGCAGGCATCGCTGCAACTGGCAGAGACGGCCCACCGCTTGGACATCGCGGTCATCGACGACATCGCCGCTCTGCGCGTCGTTTCCGATAGGTGGACGACCCACGCGGCGCTCGCGGACCTCGGCGAGGTACGGAGAGGACGCATCATGCCACACAGCGCGACAGCGCGCGGCTGCGCCTTTCCCTGAGCGCTGCGCCCCTCGCCGCTTCACCCGCAGGCGACGACGTTCGACGGCCGCCGGATTCAAGTCCCTCGCGCCGTGCTGCTGCCGGACCTCTCGCCTGCGTCGGTCCAGACCATCACACACGTCTCCTTCCCCTGCATACTGAAACCCCGCGTCGCCTGCGGCCCCGACGCTGCCCACGAGCTCGCGATCGTACCGTCCGAAGCAGCAGCCCTGGCAGCCGGAGGGGGCCCGGTGCCGCTCCCGTGCGTCGCCCAGCAGTACGTGCGGCACCGCGGCACTGTCCACAAAGTCTACTGCGGCGTCGTGCCGGACAAGGACGGCTCACCGGCGTGCCGCATCGCGGTGCAGCCTCGGATGTCTTCGCCGCCGGCCGAGTCCGTGGAGCAGGGGGCCGTGTTGCGATTCCACAGCCTGAGAGACATGCCGAAAGGGGAGGTAGTGCAGGAGGGGGGTCTGGACGAGGAGCTGTGCGTGATCGCGGCTCGGAGGCTGGCGCAGCGCCTGCAGCTGCGGCTGTTTGGGTTCGACGTAGTGGTCGAGGACGGCGGCGCGCACTTCATCGTCGATGTCAACTTCCTGCCGTCACTCAAGGGGGTGCACGGGGCCGCGGAGATCGTGGACGGCGCGGTGGCCCTCGCCATCAGGGAACACGAACAGCGCAAGAGAGCGCGCGACGGCCCGTGAGGAAACAGCGTGGCCGCGACTCACTTCTTTTGTCTTACATGTAGGTGCATCATGTGTGAGAGCTCTTGCCGTAGCCCTCCTCGCGCGTTCATGCTCCGCCGCGGGATGTGTCAAAACCGCCGCCCGTCACCGTCTCCGCGGATCCCTGCTCTGTCGCGGGAGGTCGCGCTGCAACGCTCCGAATCTGTTGCCCCCCATGGGACCCCCCCTCCCTCCCACCCGCCCGCCCGGCCCGCCGTATCCTCCGCCGTAGCCCCCCGCCACCGGCCCGCCGCCGGCCGCCCTCGCGAACGTCTGCCGCTGACCGGGGCCCGGGGGAGGCCCCCCAACTGGGCCTGGGGGGCGGTACCCAGGCGGTGGTCCGCCGTACGGCCCCGACGGCGGCGGCCCGTACGGGTTCGCCGGGGGAGGGCCGCCGTACCCGCGCGGCGGAGGCCCCCCTCGCATCGGCGCCCTGCCCAGGCCGCGCCCCGCCAGTAGAGCCGCCGTGGCCGGGCGGCTCGCCAGGCCACCAGGTCCGTAGGGGCCGGGGTGCGGGCCGCCGTGCTGCGGTCCCATCCCGTACCCCCCCGGTGGCGCCATCCCGTACTGCGGGGGTCGCTGGTACCCGCCTCCGCCCGGCGGCCCGTACGGTGGCGGTCCATCGCGCCGGAACCCGAGCTCGTGCGCCAGCATGCGCTGCCCCGCCCCGCTGAGCCCGCCGCGGCCCCCACCGCGCCCGCCACCGCGCCCGCCTCCGCGTCCGCCGCGCTCGTGCCACAGCACCACGGCCTCGGGCATGTCGAGCTCGGTCAGCTCCGTGGGGGGCATGATGGTGTCCGGGTGCACGCGCGGCTCGTGGCGCTGGTGCGGGGGGTCGTCGTAGACCATGCAGACGACCTGGTTGTTCTCGACGTCGTCGCCGAGGCCGAACGGCGCCTTGATGCGCGCGGGCATGGCCTCCCCCTGGCACGCGTAGATCGTGCCGTTGGTCTTGTTCGCGGTGCGGGGGTCGATCGCGGCCTTCGCGCTGCGCCGCTCGTCCTCCGGCAGCGTCTTCACGCGCTCCTCGAGCCCCAGCGCGGTCTTGGCGAGCGGGAACGCGCGGTGCACGAAGAGGAGCGCCAGGCGCTGCCCGTTGCGCCAGCGCTCCTCGTCGCTGAGGCGGCCCTCGAGCGGCTCGGTGGCCGCGAGGAGGCGCTTCTCGTCGATGAAGGGCAGCAGCGCGACGCCCTGCCACGCGAACCGCTTGCCGTTCATGTCGACGGTGAACTTGGTCGGGTAAAAGTCCAGGATGGGGGACTCCTTGCTGTCGAACAGCCACCGGAACGGCTCCGGGAGGCAGTGCTGCGACGCCGCGGGCAGCACGCCCATGAGCTGGTTGAACGGCTTGAAGGGCTTCCCGGGCTGGAACTGGATGTCGAGCTCGCTGATGCGCTCGCCCAGGTCGCTGGCGAAGGGCGCGTAGTGGTACGGGTAGTACCACGTCCACGACGCGACGCCGTCGTAGTAGTACCGCATCACCCACACCAGCCCCTCCACGAACGCCCGCGCCACCTCCCGCGCCTTGTCCCGCAGCGCCGGGCCCTCCACGCCGAACTTCTCCGCGTAGTACCGCTCCTTCCACCCGGGCTCGCCCAGCCGCACGCGCCCCTCGGACTCCAACATCTCGTCGAACTTGTCGCTGCTGTCCTTCATGAACGACGACAGCTTCTCCTTCAGCTTGTCGTTGTTCGCCCGCAGCAGCTCCGCCGGCACCTCCTCCTCCTCCACCGCGTCCGTCTCTTCCTCCTCCTCCTCCTCCTCCTCCACGACGTCCGCTTCCTCCGCCCCCGCGTCCTCCGGCTCCTCCTTCACGCCCGCCCCCTCGACCCCCCCCATCTCCGACCAGAACGCAGCCGGGTCGCTCGGCTTCTCGTCCTCGCCGCGATGCCCCGCACCCGGCGCGTCCGACGACTCGAGCTTCGCCGCCTTGCGGTCCGGGGCCGCGTCGCCCTCCGCCTTCACCGCCGCGTCCGCCTCGGGCTGCTTGCGCTTCATGCCGGCCATGATCTTGTCCCGCAGCGCGGCCGCCGCGCCCTGGTTGCTCTGCGGGCCCGCCGCGCCCTCGCCCCACGGGCGCTTCTCGTCGCCCGGCGCCCGCCCCGCGCCGTCCATGCGCGCCATCTCCGCAGCCACCATCATGCTGGGCCCGCGCGGCGCCCCGCGCGGCCCCGCGCCGGGCGGCTGGTTCACGGCGCCGTTCATCCACTTGGGCATCTCCCCGGCGCCACGCACGCGGTCCATGCGCCCCGCCGCGCGCTGCTCGGCGCGCCGCCGCTTGTCGCGCATGAGCATGCGCGCGCGCTTGGAGAAGATGAGGTCCTCGTACGCCCCCACGCACCGGATGAAGTGCTGCACGCGGTCCAGGTGCACGTGCGACCCGTCCGTGAGGTGGCCCGTCCGCGCCACCTCGCGCCGGTACACATGCATCAGCAGCTCGATCGCGCCCTCGCGGATCTCCAGCGTGGGCATGTGCGGCAGGAAGTCGTTCCCCGCGAAGAAGCACATGAACACGAAGTCGTCCAGGCAGCGCTCCGGGTCGAACCCCCCCGGGACGTCCGCGGCGCGGTCCAGCGGCGCCAGGTCCAGCGCCAGGTACTCCCGCAGCACCGCGATCTTCACCATCTGGTACGGCTTCTTCGACACGGGCTCCTCCGCGCGCTCCGCCTCGCCCACGGCGGCCTTGGCGCGGTCGAGCACCTCCTGGCGCGCGTCCTTCTTCATGGGCAGCGTCACCAGCTCGCGCAGGATGAAGAAGTGCGGCTCGTGCGTGGCCAGCGCGAGCATGATCAGGTCCGCGTCCAGCCCGTACACCACGTGCCGCGTGCACGGGTTCCACCCCGGCCGCCCGCGCTGCTCGCGGATGAACCCGACCGCCTTGTGCTCGCCCTCGCCGGGCACGTTCGAGTCCGAGAGCACGACCATGAGGTCGCGCCACGCGGGCTGGTGGTTGAGCCGCACGTGCACGTAGTACTGCAGCGCCGCGGAGAGCCGCCCCATGAAGGGCGTGCCGGGCGTGATGGTGTTGGAGTCAAACACCTCCCCGCCGCCGTCCTGCGCGGGCGGCAGCCTCACGCCCTCGGCCTCGAGCTCCGCGCGGATGCGGGCCTCCTGCTTCGCGCGCTCCTCGTTGTCCTGCGCGGCGCGGAACCGCCGCGACCGCTGCTGGTTCATCTTGGCACGCGGGGCCACGCCGGCGATGGCCATGTACAGCACCTGCCGCGGCCGGACCATCGCGACGAGGCGGTCGATGTACTCGAAGATGTTCTGGAAGACCTGCGGGCGGCGGCGGGCGGGCGCCCGCGCGCGTGAGACAGCGCTGTGTGGACCGGCGGCGCAGGTGGTGTGCGGGCGCAGGTGCGCGGGCGGACCTCGGCCTCGGTGGTGGGCGCGGGGCGGTCCTCGGGGTGGAAGCAGGGGTGGATGATTCCGTTCATGTCGAGGTACAAGTTGTCGAACTCCTCTCCGTTGGGGTTGGGCCCGCTCCAGTCGACCGGCGCCTCCCCGCCGTCCGGGAGGGGCACGCCCTGCTCCTCGATCACATTCTTGATGATCTTCGGGTACCTGCGGGGAGGTGTCGTGGCCGGCGCGGTCGCTCAGAGGGCTGCGTGGTGGCGGGGCTGCTGCGCTCGGTGGGCAGCTCGCGGCCCTCGCGCTCAGGTCGGCGCAGGACCGGAACGGCGCGCCCGCTGCGGTTGGCTCAGTAGCGGAGGAGCGTCGCGCGATGGTGAGGGAAGCACGCCGCGATGCACCGGCGACGGCCGGCCGCCTGGCCCAGGGCAAGTGGAGCTGGGCGCACAGCGCTCTGTGGTCGGCGCAACTTCGGCGCGCAACCACCTCAATCTCTTTAAAATGATAGAGGCAGAAATGCGCGGGCAAATACAGCCTGTTTCGATGGGCCAGCGCGCCGGGGTCAACGGCGAGGTGTGGCGAAAAGTGTACCGGGCTCGCTGATGCCCGCAGGCGGCTATCAGCGCGAACGGTGCGCCAATTCTGCGACCGTCATGCGTGATGGTGCAGGTGATCCATGTACAGGCGGCCACGAAGGGTGTCAGACGGCAGCAGCGTCGGTGGCTCCTGCAGACTGCAAGGCACGCACTTCTCCGAAAGCCACCGATAGAACGCCGGCACCCCCATCCTCTTCGCTCGACCCTGAGGAGCCGCGCGTCAGCGTGGTCCGCTGTGCCCTGCGGAAGGGCGAGCGTTTGCGCACTCCTCAGCAGAGCCCAGCCACCATACAACCCGAATGCAGTCTGGTGCGTGGAGATATCTCGTCGTGCTCCCGCGGTGGAGCACAGTGCACGGCCGACACGCGTGCGGGGGGCCTTCAAGCCGGACTGCGGGGGGCACCCGGCTGCGCTCGGCAACTGCCGTGTCGAGGAGGGAGGTGTCGGCGCATGGGGCGCGAACCTTGGGCGCCGCCCGCGCTGTTGGTGCGGGTCGCGCTCGCTCATTCGAACTCCACACCAGGCCCAAGTCATCGACTGCTGTCGCACGTGCTTGGCGGACGGCGGTGACGAGACGGTGCGCGGCGCTTCTGTGGGCGTCTGTCGTCGCTTCAGGGGGTGATCGGGCGCGACCTGGCGCTCCGTAGCGCTCTCATGTACTGACGAGCGGCGCGGGAGGCCGGAACCAGCGTCGACATGCCGCTCGTCGTGGTGTGCGGGCAGCCAAGCTGTGGCAAGACGACCGTCTCGCAGCGCCTGGCAGCGATGTTCCGTGAGCGCATCGCGCAGGCGACACCAGAAGACCCGCAACTGCTGCGGGACTTGAAGGACGTGGTCGTGGTGGACGAGCCGTCCCTGCACATGCGGCCCAACGAAGCGTACGCGGACATGCCGCGAGAGAAGATGCTTCGGGGAGCCATCCGCGCGGAAGCCGACGGCAAACTCAACAAGCGGACGGTCGTGATCGTCGACTCCGTCAACGGCATCAAGGGTTTTCGCTACGAGCTGTGGTGTGTGGCGCGGGCGGCGGCCACGCGGCACTGTTGTGTGCACGTCGACACGCCCAGCGCGAGCCGCGAGGCCTGGAACGCGGCCCGCGTGCCGGAGGGCGACCGGTGGCTCAGCCACATATTCGACGACCTGTCAGGTGCGCGCGGCCGCAGACGCAGGTGCGCGACCTGACCGTGCGAGGCGGCCGAACGTTTCACCACCGCCCGATGCCCAGCTGCGGCGCAGGGAGGTTCGAGCGCCCCGACGGACGCAACCGCTGGGACTCTCCGCTGATCACGGTGTATCCGGAGATGGGCGCGGACGCGACGGAGCGGGCGCTGCAGGACGTGGTCGCCGCCCTGACGGAGCAGGGCAACAAGAACAGCACCCGCGCACTGGCCAAGGTGAGACGCCGCGGGGCCGCAGACCGCACGCGCACGCGGCAGGAGCTTGGCGGTGACCGGCGACGTCGTTTGGGCCGCCGCGCTCGCAGGATCTCCGCCCCACGATGGCCACGTCCAACGTCCCCCTGTCGTCCACCAACCTGCTGCACGAGCTCGACCGGGCGTCCCAGGAGGTGGTGGAGCGCGTCGCGAGCTGCCAGGGCGGAGCCGCGGCGGCGGGCGTCGGCGGTGTGGTGGTGTCGTTCGGGGAGGGGCTGCCGGACCTGGCACTGCCGCGCACCGTCACGATGGCAGAGCTGAGGCGACACAAGCGGTTCTTCTTGAAAGCGGCCACCCAGAACACGTTCTCGCGGTTGAAAGAGGGCGGTAATTCCGCCAAGCGTGTCTTCCTAGACTACCTCGCACGGTCGATCACGTAGGGCGCGAATTACTCACCTGGTGACGAATCGAGATGCTATCGAACTAAGAGAACGCTCTGTGGGCGAGAGATGTGGTCACAACGAGGTCGCGTCACGGGAACAAGAACGGACTGCGGATCCCGAGCGTGTCAGCGCCCTCGCGCAGGAGCCGCGCCGCGTACTTGCCAGCGGCAATGTGCGGCTCGTCCGGCTCCACGTCCAGGATCTCCGCCTCGCGCCCCACACCGGAGTCCTGGATCACCAGGTTCGCGGCGCGCAGGCCAGCGACGTAGGCGCGCTCCTGACACAGCGCCTGCGAGCCATGCGGCAAGCCCTTCACCCAGTCCCCTGCAACGAACCAAAAACGCCCAAATGCTGTGAGCCACGCAGGCGATGCCGGTCGCAGGCGCGTTGCGCAGGGGCACTCGATGTGAGCGAACGCACCGGCGACGAACAGGTTGTGGATCGACGTCGTCTGGAGCGGCCTGAAGGGGTAGCTGCCGGGCGTAAAGTGGGTGACGGCCTTCGGGAAGCGCAGCACCGCGAAGTCGGTGACCTTGGCGCCCTCGAAGCTCGGCTCGCAGGTCCTGACGAACTCGGCGACCTTGTGCGCCACGGCCTCGTCCGAGAGCGGCAGGAGCGACCCGGCGTGGTAGAAGTCCGCGGCGATCACGCTGCCCTCGCAGTCCTTGTACTCGTCGTGCAGCTCGTTGAGGTTGAAGAACGTGCCCCCGACGTTGGGCTCGAACCCGGACAGCACGTTGGACGGGAACTGCGTGGAGCCCTTCTTGTCGAACCAGACGCGCACCGACATGACGTCGATCCCGCGCAGGTGCATCACGTTGCGGAACTCGCGTCGCCGCCCCAGCTCCGCGCACCCCTGCACCAGCTTCTGCATCCCCGTCACGCCCATGCACAGCACCACGTGGTCGGCCTCGAACGACACCTCGCGCTTCCCGTCAATGTCGTACGCGCTCACCGACTTGACGCGCCCGCCGTCCATCTCCAGGCCCGTCATCGGGTGTCCGCCGAGGATCTCGCAGCCCTGCTCCCTCATCTGCGCCATCAGAGGCTGGAAGATGGTCTCCGACACCGACCCCCGCGCCCACTTGACGTCAAAGTCGTTCTGGTGCGCGAGGGCGTAGTAGTACAGCATCTCCAGCACGACGCCCGCCGACAGCTCCTGCGACGCAGCCGTGACACGCACGTACATGCGTTCGACCTGCGGCAGCAGGCAACCATCGCGGACTGTTCTTCGTGCGTAGTGCGAGCTGCGCGCGCGCGTACCTCGGGCGGTGCGAAGAGTCCCACGAGCAGCAGCGGCTTCATGAACTCCTCGTACAGGGTGTTGGATACCCCGCACTGTCGGCAGAGCTCGCGGAAGGTCATTTGGTCGTAGCGCTTGTAGGTCTCTGGGGTCGCCTTGTACTCCAACAGCGCGGGGAAGAGAGGCAGCATCGACGCCCGGTCCGGCAGCGGGACGCCGCGGAACAGGTCCACCGTGTGCACAAACTGCCCGAGCAGGGTCGGCAGCCTGCACGCACGAGTGTGCTCCCAAGACACGTCGTTGTGGTCCAAAAGTGCCGCGCTGTCGACGGCGGGTTTGTGGCACGCCGGGCTGCACAGGCAGCCTATCTGTCGCGCGTGGGGCGGACCTGGGCAGCTCGGAGAACACGGGGGACTCCGTCACGAGGCCCTTTGTTGGCGACCAGAAGCCAGACTTGGTGTAGGGCGTGAACGCGTCCGTGATGCCGAGCTCCTCCTCCACGAGCTTGAAGATGTTGCTGTACGTGTACCAGAACCCCTGCGAAGGTCCAGAGGCCCACCAAGCCATGTTGTTGGAAGGTTGCTGCATCGTCGGTGAATGAATTCTTCTGAGGTGCATCGGTCGACACGCGGCGAATACCTTCATGCCCGCCTCCACAGTCTTGCCGTCGCGCGTCCGCCAGCCGGCACTGAGGCCGCCTGGGTTCGGACTAGCGTCGAGAAGCTTGACATCATAGCCCTGACTCGCCAGGTGCTTTGCAGCGCCGAAACCGGCCCATCCTGCTCCCACGACGACCACCTTGAGCTTCTGGGGGCCGTCCTGTGCCTTCTGAGCCGGCTCGGGCGCAGATGAGACCGGTGCTTTGCTTTCGACGGCGCTCGGAGCCTCCTCCTTGGGGGCCTCCTCAGCCTGGTTGGCTTCTGCCGATGCTCGGGGCACCCTCTGCAGCCTCTGGCCCGCCGAGCAGTGTCGGGCACGACCAATGCGCAGAGTACTGCAACGGAGGGGCTTGCGGGCGGCCCCAACGCCCAGCTGGCGCGTGGTAGCGGGCATTGCGTTTTGTGGCCTCTACCAAACGACCCCGCAAGACACCAATCCGCCACCTGGCGAGCGCGAACCTTCAGTCTGATTTGTGACATGGGCAGCGCACCTTCTTGTCGCCCAGGCGGGCTCCAGTCAGACCAGGGAGGCGCGTGCCCTATCATCAGGGTAAAAGGAGGTCCCGCCCGACTCTTGCCGTTAGGCCACGAGACTAGGCGAAGGCGCGCCTGTACAAGGTCGCATTGTGCGCGAGGCCACACTGGATCGCTGGACACCCGCATGCGGCAAGCGTGGCACCTGCATGCTGCTGTGAAGAGAGGCGAGTGCCGGGCCACGGCTCCGCCACGTGCCCGCTAGCTGTGTTTGGTGCCTGGCTCTAAGCGCACAGCACTTCCGAAGCACAGCCTTCTCGTATCGCCGTGCTCGGCACCGCGCGGGGCGAGTGCATTGCCTGGCGGTTGCTCAAGCCCAGCGCTCTCTCGGCGCCTGCGCTCACAACCAATGCTGGTCTCTCTTCGCTACGCAGGGCTGTCTCAGTGCATGCCCAGGCTGCCGCCCCGAAAGACGCTCGCGGCTGCGTCGGACGCCGCGAGCGGGAAGCAGCGCAGTGGAATCATGGGCCCTGCCGGTCGCAAGTCGAGGGCGAAGAGCGACCCCGCGAACGCCGCCACAGACGACACGTCGCCGACGCCCAAGCGGCGACGGACGACGACCACGGAGTCGAAGGCCAGCAAGGCGAGCAAGGCGAAGACAACGTCCAAGGCTGGGCCGGGGCGTGCGGAGGAGCTCAAGGCCCTGCGCCGCGGGCACAAGGTCGTCGCCGGCGTGGACGAGGCTGGGCGCGGCCCTCTGGCGGGGCCCGTCGTCGCCGGCGCCTGCATCGTCCCTGAGCATGTCGACCTGACGTCCCTAGGCGTGACGGACTCCAAGCAGATGTCCGAGGAGCAGCGCGAGGTGGCGTACGAGGCGCTGATGGCGCACCCGGACGTGGTGTGCGCCACGGCGTTCGTCGACCACGAGGAGATTGACCGCATCAACATCCTGCAGGTGCGGGCGCAGATGGTGCCCGCGCCGGACCGCCACGAATCGCAGCCCCCATCCGCCGACGCGCTGCCACAGCCGGCGCGTGCTCTGGAGGACAACGCGCGGCTTTCTCGCCCAGGACGGTCGCGTCACCCTCATGCCGGTGGCTGTCGTCGCGCTCGCGTCCCTGCAGGCGGCGATGCTTGCGATGTCCAAAGCGGTCGAGGGGCTCAAGGCCGCGGGGGCGTCCGAGGAGCCGACGTGCGTCCTCGTGGACGGCCCGCGCGCGCCGCAGCAGTTTTCCGAGCGGGGCATCGAGTCGGTCCCGATCGTCAAGGGCGACTCCAGGGAGCTGTGCATCGCGGCTGCGTCCGTGCTCGCGAAGGTCGAGAGGGACCGCGCGATGCTGGACCTGCACAAGCAGTACCCGCAGTACGGGTTCGACCAGCACAAAGGGTACCCGGTGCCAGCGCACAAGGAGGCGGTCGCGCGGCTTGGGCCGTGTCCGGTGCACCGCAAGTCGTTCCAGCCGATCAAGGGCATGCTGGGGTGGGAGCGGGAGCCCGCCATGGGGAGCAAGACCACGGGCAAGAGCAACAAGCCAGCCAGCAAGCGGGGCAAGAAGGCCAAGTGAGACGCGCGCCGCGTGGGTGCGCTGCGAGCAGCGGCGACGAAGGCGCGGCTGGCAGGGCGACGGTTCGCGCGAGGGCGCAGCTCGAGTCACAGCGTCACCGACGCTCTCGCAAGCCCGGCGCGGCGGCAGAGGAGATGCGGCCGGTCGACGCCAGGGGTGCCTTGCCGCGTATGAGTCCGGCGGCGCGCGAGGCCAGCTTGGCTCCCAGGAGTCGCAGCATGATGCCGGCCACCATGTACTGGAGGAACGTTAGCATCTGGGGGTTCTCCGCGCACTGGCTCACGTTCGCGATCGCAGTCACGGGCGAGAGGCCGCCGGTGCCCCACCCGGCCCCAAATAGCGCCGCGCCCAGAATCTGTAACGCAACGTCAGTCAGCGATCGAATCAAAACAGCGCAGCACAACGTGGAGTGTCCTAGCGTGCCAGCATGCTCCCCATCGCGCAGTGCTCGGATCTGTCCACCTCGACGGTGTCAGCAGGGCGGCAGATCCGGGATCAGGCGCACCAGGAACGGGTCGACATCCGTCTTAGATGGCAGCGCAAAAGCCTCCCGGAAGGCGGGCCGCGTTGCCAACCACCTGGGGCCCAGCGCCCAGAGGCCGAGGGGCGCCGCGACCGCGGCCGCCGTCGCCATGGCCAGTCCGACCGTGGGGTCCCAGGCAGGGGACGCAAACGACAAGAACGCGACCACCTGCAGCAGCACGGATTCCGTGGTGGTGTCAGACACCAACAGCAACTTCGACACTCTCTCCACGCGCATCACGGGCTGCAGCTGGGCCGGATCGAAGGGGTAGCTCGCCCACCTTGGACGGGTGCGTGACGCCCGTCGCGCCCAGGGCGAACATGGTGAGGGCGCCGGCGAAGAACTCCCCGAAGAGCTCGTTCACCTTCCACCCGCGACGAATGAGCGACTCGGTGCGCTTCGGACCGTGCTTGAGGAAGAACGCCGTCTTCTTCGCCCGCTCCAGCGCCGTGGCCGCGTGCGCCGCGCCCCTGCAACGTCCCACAGGATGCCCGGAACGACGCTCGACTGTGCTTCGAGCAGCAACGCAGAGGCGGGGCGGCCCGAAGATGTGGGCGCGTGCATCCGCACCTGAGCGATGCAAACACGAACAGCGCAGGCACGACGATGATGGTCCCCAGCCACGTCCACTCTTGCACGCTGCGCGGCATCGCAGGCGACGTAAGGGCGGTGCCCTTCTTCTCGTCGACGCCGAGCGCGGCCGCGGCGCCGGTCGAAGATGCGGCCGCTGCGCCCGCAGCGATCATGACGGCCGTCGCCAGTCCTCCCCGCACCCCACCGACCGACAGCCCACTCAGCCCATGAGTCAGGGTCGACCCCCCCGCAAGCGACGCGCCCAGGCCAACGAGGCCCCCCGCGAGCGCAGCGCGCTGCTCGGTGTACGTGCTTGGCAGGCGTTCGAACGCCCCCTTCGCGAAATCGACGCCTCCGGCTGCTGTTTCAGACAGCCAGTACGAGCCACCTGCAACGTACGTGGCAACACTTCGCGACTGTGCGGGGAGGCGGCGAGCCGAGCACGCGTGCGTTGGCGCTCAGCGTGCGGCAGGCTGCGCACCTACTACGCCGCCGAGGAAGACCACGCGCCAGAATATCTCCCCCCTTTTATACCCGCCTACAAACACCGACAACATGCCCTCCAGGGTCGTGGACGCCCCCAGGAACCTGCACGCGGCGGAGCAGATCGGGGCACGGTCACGGCCGCCCTCCGTGCCGTGCTGGACGTCGAAGGAGGCGCGCGGGGTTGAGGGTCTCAGGCAGGGCCGCGGGGACGCGCGGTGAGACGCGAGTGGACGCGCATCCCTGGACGCGCCTCGGCACGCAGCGAACGCGCATCGGCGTCCAGCGCGGCCCGCCGCGGCGACGGTGCGTCGTTCCACGCCGTTCCTGCAAAGGCCCACCTGCCGTTGCCCATCAACCGCGCCGCCGCGGTGAGCCCCAAACTTGAGCCTCCCAAGACTGCTGCGACGGGCGCGAACTCCAGAGCCTTCAAACTCTCGACGACGGCCGCTGGTTCCGCAACCCTTGCTGAGGGCGTGGTCGAGAAGGCGCGGCCGCGGAGAGCCCAGGTTGGCGGCCGCGCGAAGCTCGAGCGGGCTGCCGGGTTGGGTATTGTGCTAGAGAGGCATCGCGGTCCACCAGCTTCCACCGCGCTCGCCGCCGAAGCCAAAAGCGCCTCGGTTGCTGGACTGCGCAGCACCTCCAGCGCCCTCCTCGCCCTGCCGAGGACAGACATGGTTTGCCCTGCGACGATCCTCCCAGTAGATCGGACGCGTTTGGCGCAAGGTCGTTGTGCAGCCCCGCGCGCTACGTGGTCGGAACCGAGACACTATGCAGAGCAAGCAAGTTGCACCGCTTGTGGGTGGCAGGAGCCACCAACAGCGCTGATTTTTGGCTGAAGAGCCCGCGCACGGAATAGATCTTCCAGGCACGCGGCGCCGAGCGTCATATCACGCCGGGCTCCTGCACAGGGATGGCCCGACCTGAGCAAGCTCCTGACCTCAACACACAGACCGTCGCGGGGCGAGATGTGGGCGGCCGCGCACTGGGAGGGCTCGTTCTCGTGCGCGCGAGCTCGATACTCCTGATCACGCGTCACCAGCGAAGAGCACGTGAATCAGACGTGAGTTGATTGTGTGTTGCGCTGCTTCCTGTTGTGTGGACCTCTCTGAATCGCGAACGCTTCCCAGAGCGGGCGAGCTGAATTTTCGGATAGCTTACAAGGGCCTGGGCCTGCGGGAGGTGGCCCCAGATGGCCGATTCGGGAGCCGTCGTGTGTCCGGGCGAGCGGCTCGCAAGTGCAGTGGACTACTGCGCAGGGGACGGGGTCTACGAGCACAACTCCGATTTGATAGCATGTCTCGTCGGTCGTAGACAGGTTTCCGCTGCGAAAGAGGGCTCAGAGGTGCGCACAAGCGCGGTGCAATCCGCGAGCAGCCAGGCCTGTGCTTGCGTGCGGCAGCCGACCGCGCACGGGCGGGCAGCGTCGTTCCACGGCATGCGTTCTGAGCCGCTTTCCGTACCAGCTCGTCCACGCGTGCAGGACGCCCGTCCGGTGCTGTCTGTGGTCAGCCCACGGGCCCCAACCGCCACTCCCAAACCAGGCGACGTTGTCGTCGCACGCATCACGCGCACCGCTCTGAAGATGGCGAACTGCGACATCGTGTGCATAGGACAACAGGCGCTCAAGCAGACGTTCGCGGGCGTGATCAGGTGCGGCGCACCCAAGCCACCAGCCCAGTGAAATCCCGGCTACTGCTGCGGGCGCTCCAACCACCTTGCGGCCGGCTGCCCGCCTCGCCCGCGCTGAACACGCCCCGCGCGCACGCACTCGCAGGCAGCAAGACGTGCGCGCGACCGAAATAGACAAGGTGGAGATGGCCAAGTGCTACCGGCCAGGAGACATCGTGCGCGCCGAGGTGCTCGCGCTGGGCGACGCGCGGTCGTTCCAGCTCACGACGGCCAAGGACGAGTACGGCGTCGTGTACGCGAAGTGCGCAGTGTCGGGGCAGGCCATGGTGCCCAGCAGCGCGACGGAGATGGCATGTCCTGAGAGCCGCGTCGTCGAAGCACGCAAGGTGGCCCAGAGCTAACACGCACGCCGAGGCGAGGTGTCACATATCGGGCGTCGGCCATAAGGCTTCGGGCTGCGATCGGCCGCCCAAGCGTTGGGCGTACACAATGGCGTCCCCAGTGAGGTGCACGCTACCGCACCGTCCCCGCTACGCTACGCTTCGCCACTTCGCAGCCCGGGCGGGGTATCGAATGTTTCGCCTGTGACACAGTGTCTCACCTCACTGCCTGTGTTGAGTGTGTGCATGTCTATGTTGCGGTCTTTGGTAGAGCAGCAGGGTCTCACGCCACGCGCTCCTACACCGGCGGCAACGTCTGCCGGCACGTGGGGCACTCGTGCTTGATGTCCATCCATCGCAAGAGGCAGGTCGGGTGGTAGAAGTGGTTGCAGGGCGTGACCATGCGCCCCGCGGGGGGGTCCACCTCCACGACCGCCATGCAGATGGCGCACAGCGGGCCCGCCTCCCCCGTCTCCACGTCGCCCTGGTCCTCCTCCCGCAGCACCACCTTGCGGTAGTAGTCGTACTTCTGTGGCCGCCACGCCACGGGCACGAGCCACATGGGCCCCCAGAGGAGCTGCAGGTGCAGCACCGCAGCCTGCGCGACCACCCAGCCGCCCAGCAGCAAGAACAGCCCTGCGTGGATGCGAGAGCGCCGCGCCGCGTGTGGGTGCGCCCGGTCGGCGGCGGTGGCGCGCGGCGAAGATGCAAGGGCAGGGAGGGTGTGTTACCTGGCGACGGTGCGGTGCGCAGGACGTTGTTCGGGCACACGAGAACGTACGCGAGCGGGAGGAGGCGCAGGGCGGTGGTGCCCCAGATGAAGCGCGGGTCGAACGGGGGACGCTGTCCCGCGCGCGCGCTCTTGTGGATTTGCGGCACCCAGAACGACGCCGGGACGAGCGCGAGCCACGCCGTGGCGGGCGCGACGTTGAAGGACAGCAGCAGCAGGCCGAGCAGGAGCAGGTAGAACCGCGTGTAGATCACGGAGACCGCGCGCCTGGCCTGATTCATGTCTGCAGGAGGAGGAAAGCACCGCACGCGCCCGGGTCAGCGCGCTACGTCGCGAGCAAGCTGCAGAAGGCGTCGAGACAGTGCGTGCGGGGTCGCCGCTCACCCATGCTCGCTCCGTCCGTCGCGCGCCACGCGGCGAGCAGGAGCCGCATTTCGATGACCGCGAAGAGGATGAACTGCAGCACGGCGAGCGTGCCGAGCGTGAAGCAGAGGCGCTCGACGACGATCGCGACGGTCAGGTGCAGCAGGCACAGGTACGCGTCCAGCACGGCGTGCATCATCACGCAGCCCTGCGACACGCGCGGCAGCCCGGGGCCGCCCTGCGCGGCGGGGAGGCGCACGAAGAGCCACGACAGCGCGATCGTGATGCACCCCATGAACGACGCGTACACGGACGCCTTGCTGTAGTACGCGTCCAGGTCCACGGCGCGCGCCAGAAAGTGCGCGGTGAGCCCGCAGCTGGGGTCGCTGCGCACGGCGCCGGCGATGGCGGCGTCGAGGAAGCCCCACTGCGCCTCGTGCGGGCGCGGGATCGGCGCGAGGTCGACCGGGACGCCGGCGGGGAGCGACGCGGCGTCGGTGTGCGTCCCGTCCCACGAGAAGACGCCCGCGTCCAGCGTCAGCGTGCAGCGGTGCTGCAGCCGGCCCTCGTCGTCGAACAGGTCCGCCGCCGACGGGGGCGCGCCGAACGGGCGCGAGTCGCCCAGGCGCTGCGCCGCGGACCGCAGCGCTTCCCTGCACGTGTCAGACACACGAAACACACCGTCAGGCGCCCGGAGCGCGCGCGGCCGCGGCGTCGCGAGGCTGCGGGGTGTCTCGCGAGATCGGGCGCGTACCGGTACGACGCTCGGTCCGTGGTGTTGGATGCGACGCGGGCGTGCATCGGTGTGAGGGCGTGCGGCTCCATGGCCGCGACGAGCCTGCCCGTCTCCGGCACGTAGACGCCCCGCACGTTGAACTTGACCGCCTCGCTCCCGACGGACTCCCCGTCCCGCAGCACCATCTCCCCGAGCACCTGCCGCACCTCCGGTGCCGCCCCGCGGTCCCGCCTGTCCTTGTCGTTCACTCTCGGGCGCGGCAAGGGCTCCTGCGCGTCGCTCTCGGGCTTGTAGGCGCGCAGGCGCAGCACCGCGACGCCGGCGTCGTGCGTCAGGTAAGCAGACGCGGCCCCGGCGCCCGTGTGGCTCCACCTTCCACGGAAGCTCGACGTCACGGGGCTATCCTCATCCTTCTCGCCGTTACCGAACGACTCATCATCGAACGGGTCATCCACGTGCGAAGCACGGCTACCTTGTGCCAGCACGCGCCGCCCGTCGCCAGCTCTCTGCCACGCGTGCACAGCCCGTCGCCACGTCGGGCTTCGGCGGTGGCCCGCCTCGGCTTCGAGGCCAAGCGCCGCGTCGAGGCCTCCCTGTGCGCCGTCCGCCGCGAGGTCGCGGCTCTCAAGCACGCTGAGGAGGCTCCTTGCTCCGTATCTGTTGCCCAGGTGCATCTGTGCGCTCCCACCCCCCTCGTGCTCCGTCCGATCGTCTTTTGCGAAGACGAGGCGGTCCTGTGGACAGGGACAGCACGTTGATGCGGATTCGCGGCTTGGCGGCGCACTGCGCTGCTGCGCGGGGAGCACACTTGCGGTCGAGAACGAGGCCCTCACCTGCCATCGACGGCTGTCGACGTGGCCAACGGCAGCCACCAGGACGAGGAGAAACGCAACGAAGAAGCCGACCTGCATAGCTGCCAGCACGTCACCGCCCCGAACGCATCACTGTGGTCGTCCTTGAGAGTGCACCAGCAAATCCGTGGCCCCGCGGAGCCCGGATCCGAACACAGCCCGCAAAGCAGCCGGATCGAGTGTGCGCGGAGAAGGCGGCAACGCGGGTGACGAAACAGCCTGGCGTCCGTCCTGGCAGGGAGGGAGGTGCAGCAACTACAGACAGCGCCGCGACGCACGGGGGCGGGGTCTACGTCTACGTCCACGTTGTACCGCAACGGCCACACGCTGTGGTGCTCATACGCGCGCGCCGCGCCTCATGACACCGCGTGCAAAAAGCGGCAAGTGCGAATTAGGTCCCACTCCTCCGCACACGCTGGAACGAGCCTCCGCCTCTTTGCCGTCGCCGTCACGCGCGCGCCACAAGTTCTGTAGTGGTGATGTTGGGGTTGGTGTTGTTGATCACCTTTGCAGCGGTCGAGTCCATCGCCAAGCGGCGCGCTGTGCGGCCCGGGAGATGCGAGGCGAGCTTGGTGTTTGATGTCGCACCGACGCCAGGAGATGCCGCGGTGATCGTGGAGCACCTGTTCAAGCAGCTCCTCTTCATTCGCGGCCAGATACCCGGGTGAGCTCACCTGCCAGTCTGAGGCTGGCTGGAAGCTCCCAGCATAGCTCTGAGGCTGGCAGAAGCCGCGTCCGGAGCCCTTGCTTCATGCGCTTTCCGCAACTGCGTCCGCCGCAAGTCCTCTATTTTCTGTCGCGGCACTGCGTCACAAGCCACGCACGTCACGACCCCCCGTGCTCGCAACGCCCGGCCTCTCACGCCTTACTCGCGGCGCAGGGCGTTCGCGCGCGTGGCCGCCGAAGTCGACGCTGTCCGGTGCGGCGGCGTCGGGACCGGCAGCGCTCCCATTCGCGTGCCCGGGCGTCCCGCGTCCCGCGCCACGTCCCAGCAGCGGCGACTCGGCAAGGTGGTTGACGCTGCTCGCGCCATCGTGCACGAGTGCGCGACGCCGGACAACTTCCCGCCGGGCCGCGACGTCACTCTCTACATCAACTTCGGGTCGCCCACGCGGCCGAAGGAGTGCTACGAGCTCCACATGCGTTGCGGGGAGGCGGAGGCAGCACCGGACGGGCGGCGACAGGACGCGCTGTGCAAGCAGGTGCTGCGGACCATCGTGACGGAGGCGGCGGGGCTGCCGGAGGGACCTGCGTCGGCGGGGCCGATCGCGGTGAGGCTCGTGATGCGGTATCGGCTGCGTGCAGGCGAGAGAGCTGCAGGTACGTCATGGGGTGCGCCGGGTAGGGTGGGGTGGCCTGCCGGTCTCGGGCGCACGGTGCGCAGGGCCGATGCGTATATGCGCTTCGTGGACCCGGACGTTGACTGCTCCCGTTTGTGTTTGTGTCCGCTGGTCGCAGATGTCAAGGGTCCGGGGGGTTTTGTACACAAGCCCGGGTTCAAGATGAACTTGAGCCGGGCGCTGCACGTCGCCGTGGATATCGAGGGCCGGGAGCAGGAGGGCGACCCAGCCACGCTGCGGGAGCTGGCGGGCTTGGACGCTGGCGGCGGGCCGTGCATGTATTTTGTCAGCTCCGTCAAGGTGAAGGGGCTGGGGCAGGCAGGAGAGATCTGACGACGCTGCGTGCGGCGGTGCCGGAGCGGGCGCGCCGCCTGTGAGTGACTGGGCTGCATGTGCCCCCCTGACGTGGTGCGGAAGTCGGACAACACTAGGGTTGTCACGGTGCCCGCCGTGTGTACACAGCCGCGGATCTCTGGACCGCTAGTGCACTCCAGGAGTGGCGTCGGCAGGCACAGACTTCGTTGTCCGTCGCGCAAGCCGTCCTGCTGCCATGGCTGCGCTTCAGCCAGCTGCGCTCCGCCCACAGCGTCCCTGGATACGCGGCAGATGGGCGCAGCGGATACAGATGATTCCAGGAAACAGGTTTTATGGAAGGTCGGAGCGCTGCAGGGCCGGGGCGGAGGATGTCGACGTGGTGTTCACCACAGGCGGGGACGATGAGGGCGTGTCTGTCGTCGCCAAGTCCGGAACCAACTTGTACGAGGTACGCAACGACGCTGATGTCATGGCAGGTGGCGACGCGCTGCGGTTCGCGCTCACGTCACCGCGTCAGCTGCCGACGGCGCGGAACCTAACCAGGCCACTTCCTGACAGCGGCGCGTCGTCACGAAGCGCAGGTTGCGTGCGATGCGGGCGTCGACATATCCCTTGGATGTTCAACAGGGTCCTGCGGGGTGTGCGAGATGGAGCTGACGAAGCACGGGTCGCTGGACGGGTCAGGTGTGGGCGAGGGCACCAAGGTGGTCGTGCGGCCGTGCATTGGCGTGGTCCCGCGAGGATTCCGGAGAGTGGAAATCCAGGACCTCGAAGACGACATCTGGGGCGCAGACGGCTTCGACATCTGAGAGAGAAATCACATCCAATTCATAGTGCTGTCGCCACTCGTCGTTTCCGCGCACGCACAGCTCCCAGCGAGCACGCGCACCGTCCGCGGTGTGAGCCCGAGACAGGCGCCCGCGTTCACTGCTCGTCCCGCCCCGCCGCTGGCCCCCCCGTGCGCAGGTCCATGGGCCGCCGCTCCACGCCCACGCACACGATCTTGTCGCCCACCTGCACGCCGTCGAAGCCGTCGAGGAGCACCCCGCACTCCGTCCCCGCGCGCACCGTCCGCACCACGTCCTTGTTGTGCCGCATCTCCTTGCACCGCCCCTCCCACACCACCTCCCCCGACCGCAGCACCTGGAACCGCGCCACGTGCTCCGAACGCAGCGCCCCCGAGTCCACCTTGCACCCCGCGACCGTCGCCACCTGCCTCCCCTTCTTCTGCAGCGGGAACAGCGCCTTGACCGCCGCCTCTCCCACCGCCTCCTGCAAGCAGCGACGCCAACACCATCATTCTGGGAACGGCAGCGGCGACTACAGCGCAGCCGGGGACGTTCGCCGCGCCGCCGCCCACGCACCTCGACGGGTATCCGCGGCAGCGCGCTGGTCATGGCGCTCTCGAGCCGCTCCACGAGGTGGTAGATGACGTTGTGGCTGATCAGAGACACGCCAGCCTGCTCGCACCACCCCTGCACGCGCGCATCCGCCTTCACGTTGAACGCCAGCAGCGCCGCGCCCGAGTCGGCCTCTTGCGCGAGCATGTCCAGGTCGGCCTGCGCCACCGCCCCGACGCCGCTCGCCACCACGTGCGGCCGCGCCACACACCCCTCGTACTGCCCCAGCATGCCCAGGACGGCCTCCAGCGAGCCCTGCACGTCCGCCTTGACCACCACGGGGATGCGCAGCGGCCGCTCCGGCGTCGGCGCGCGCGCACGCCAGTCCGGCAACTCGCCCCCCTCCACACCCCCCTCCTCCTCGTCGTCCTCGTCGCTGTGCGCCGCCGCGAGCTCCTGCAGCGCCGCCGCCTTGGCCTCGCGCCCGCGCACCTCCCGCCGCTCCGCCCGGGCCTCCGCCAGGCGCTGCGCCTTGGCCGACGAGTCGACTTGGATGAGCTCGTCCCCCGCGCTGGCCTCGCCCTTGAGGCCGGTGACCAGGGCGGGCTGCCCGGGGCCGATGCTGTCGGTGCTGCTGCCGCCCGGGAGCACGAGCGACCGCACGCGGCCCCACGTGGCGCCCACCACCACGTGCTGCCCGACCTTGAGCGTGCCGCGGCGCACCACGACCGTAGCGACCGGCCCGAGCCCCTGCGCGACCTGCGCCTCGATCACGAACGCGCGGCACTCGCCCCCGCGAGGTGCCGCCAGCCCCATCACGTCCGCCTGAGTCAGGATGCACTCCTCCAGCTCCCGGAGGCCCACGCCCTTGACCGCCGCCGTCTCCACCACCTGCACGTCGCCGCCGAGCGACTCCGCGACGACGCCCTCCGCAGCCAGCTCCTGCAGGACCCGCTGCGTGTCCGACGCCGGCCGGTCCGACTTGGTCACCGCGACCACGATCGGCGTCCCCGCGCCCAGCGCCAGCGCAATGGCCTCGCGCGTCTGCGGCATCACGCCGTCGTCGCCCGCCACGGCCAGCACGACGATGTCCGTGACCTGCGCGCCGCGCGCGCGCATCGACGTGAACGCCGCGTGCCCCGGCGTGTCCAGGAACGTCACGGAGCGCTTCGACCCCGGGAGCGCCACCTCAAAGGCACCCACGTGCTGCGTGATGCCGCCCGCCTCGCGCGCCGCGACGGACGTGCTGCGCAGCGCGTCGAGCAGCGACGTCTTGCCGTGGTCCACGTGGCCCATCACCGTCACCACCGGCCCGCGCGGCGACACCTCGCCCTCCCCTCCCCCGGCGACCCCACTGCCTGGCTGCATCGTGGGGTTGAACCCGAGCTCCATCGCGATGAGCTCCGCGGACTCAGCGGGCACGCGGTCCTCGTGGGACTGCGGCTTGTCGCCCAGGTCGCGCAGGTGGCCCTCCACCACCTCCGGGGCCACCTCCAACAGGGACGCCAACTCCGCCACCGTCACGCCGTACGGAATGTCCACGTCGCGCTCCTCCGGAACCTGCACGGCCGCCGCCGCCCTGTGCTCCGCCTTGCTGGCCTTCTTGCGCTCCGCGTCGTCCTCCGTGCGCTGCTTCTTGCTCGCCTTCTTCTTCTTGTGTCGCTTGCCGGTCACCACGGACGAATCGCTCTCGCTGTCCTCACCTGCGCCGTGGAAGTGGCATCGCACGTCCTGGCTGGGGCTGGCGACGCAACGACGCGATGAGCGGCGGTGGGGGGGGAAAGCATGCGCGTGGCGTGGCGTGCTGCCGCCTCACGCACCTCCGAAATCGCCGCTCCAGTTCCCGAGCATGCCGCGGCTCGCGGCGTCGCCCATGTCCTCGGCGGTGAACCGGTCCGACTTGACCGCGCCCGCCCCCTTCATCTTCGCAAACATGTCCTTCAGCTTGTTCGACTTCTGCATGTCACCCGCCGTCATCTGCTGCGCGCCGGGCGAGCGCGCGGCCTGCCCGGGCCGCTTCTCGCCCGCGCGCCGCTGCTTGGCCTCCTCCACCTGCCGTGCGACGCGCGACCACAGGCCCAGGTCCTGGTGCATCCGCGGGTCGTGCGGCTGCGGGGGCGGGCGGGCGGGGGGACCGGCGCTCGGACGGACGCCGCAGTCAACATGCGGGCCAGGTGGGTGCAGCTCGCAGTGACGTCTCGTTCGGCCCGGGAAGCGGACGGGGCTGCGAGGTGTGCGGGGCAGGACGTGCTGCGCCCTGGTCGCGTCGCTGTGTTGGGCGACCTGGGGGACGCACCTTCGCGTGCGCGATCCGCGGCGGTGGCTTCGGACGCATCGCCGCCAGCTTCTCGCGCAACGAGCTCTGTTGCCCCGCGCCCGCGCTGCCTCCTCGGCCCGGCTCTGCCGCCGGGTGTGGGGACTTCCGGTTCGCGAGCGTGCCCTTGAAGAGGAGCTCGTTCAGGCTCGGCCGCTTCTTCGCGGTTCCGCCCTGCGCGGCGGTCGAAGCGGCCGACGCTCCTGCTGCAGGCGGCCGCGCTGCACCAGCCTGCGCGGTGCTCGCCTTGCCCCGTGACGCGCGGCCCGGTCGCTCCCAGCCCTCACCCTGATGCCTCCGGGCCGCATCGTCGCCGTTCCCGCCTCCCCTCCTCTCCTCGCGCGCCTCCCGCTCCACGTCCACAGCCTCTTGCGTCTTTGCGCTCCGCCTGCTCGCAGACCACACGCAGATGTGCCGCGCGAGACCCGCGACGGCAGCGCCTGTCTCGTGAGCGACGGAACCTGGCCGAAAGGAGCCCGCGTAACGGCGAATCAAGCCTCTGTGGCCCGCCATTGCAGTAGACCTAGCCCTCCACCCCGCCCCTACAGGGCCCAAGCGAAGGGTGATGCCGTCAGCGCGCCACCGTCGAGCGAGCCTGTGAACTAGGAGAGCACCCCGACGAGCTGGGCGCCAGTCCCCCGGCCTGAGTCAGCCACGGTGCTGCGACACAAGTACGAGGTACCTGCGCTGCAACGAACGGCCACGCTCACCCCGGTACTCTGCCCGCGCCGGCATGCGGTGTCTCGAGCGCGCGCGCACAAACTGCGGGCGCCATGCCGGCGGGCCACGCAAGCAGCCCTGTCGACGCAGTCCTGCATTGACACCCCCACACACAAAGAGTAGTAATTGACCACCCGCGCACGAAACGAAATGCGGGTGTGCTATCGTCCTGATCAAGGCGGCAGCGTGCTAGGAGTACTCGCGCGAAATGCCATGTGAGCGTGCCATCATGTGCCAAGGGAAGGCTCTGACCTGCAATCAGTTAGAGTGAGTGGCGGGCGTCGTCAGCAACAACGCGGCGAGCCGCGCGAGTACTGGACGACGCCCGCCAGCCGACGCGCCGAAGTGCTGGTCCACGTCCTAGGCTGCTTGTACCAGGGGGTGTACACAACCCCCACGCCACCCGGCAGGGGCGGATCGACATGCGCCACCGCCCACGCGCTGGCGCGCCGCAGCCGCCACGCCCCGCGAGCAGCATGACTCGCGCACGCCACCGTTGCGGGCCTCACACCTCCCCAGCTACATGACGCGCCACCACGCCGTCACGGGCGAGTCACCGCGCCGACGGCGCCGCGATTCGCGCCCCCCCACACGCGGCGGGGCTCCGTGGGTCGCGGCACCGGCGCGTGTGTGTGTGTGCGCGTGACCCCCCCCCCTACACCCTCAGGCCTGCTTCTTGGCCTTGGGCGTGGGCCCGAGGGTCAGGCACCAGAGGTAGGCGGCGAACATGGCGCCGTTGAGGAGCGCGAGGGCGCCCGTGGGGAGGTACTGGTGCGTCTGCGTGTACCTCTTGGCCAGGTCGACCCACAGCCCGCCTGCGCAGCACCAACCGCCGGAGGGGGCGGGTGGGCCGGGGCGCGCGCGGGGGCCGGCGCAGGGGCGGCGGGGCGCGCCGCCGGGACGGTGAGGTCGCGTGAGGGGCGTGGAAACGCGCGGCCGGCGCTGGTGTTCGCGGGGAACGGTGCGAGGTGCGGAGGCAGTTGTGACAGTGGGGCGGGCGTACGAACATGCGATGAGCGCCTCGAGGACGATGGCCACCTTGTTCTTCCTTCCGCTGCACCAAGAGGCGCGAGGCGCGGGAATTCGTTTGAGGAACGGCGCGCAGCGCGGCGCAACGCGACGCGGGAGGAGGGAATTTCACGGGCGGCGGGGTGGCGCGGACAGCGCGCATTCGCGGCGAGTTGCGATGGGGGCGGTTCCTCACTTCTTGAACGAGCGCCAGGACCACGTGGTGAGCGCGAGGATCAGCACGGCCGCCGCGAGACCGGACTGGAGCGAAATGGTGGAGCCGGCGAGGAAGTACCCCGCAGCGCCGCCGCCCGCGAGGATCAGCGCGTACGGGTAGCTGAAGCAGAAGTCGTACATGGTGCGGAACTGCCACGCGGGGGTCACGAAACTGAGGTTCCGCGCAGGTGCGGCACGCGCGGAGTTGTTGGCAGAGGTGGTTTGGATGCCGCGCTCGGTGGCCGAGGTGCGATTCAGGCAGTTCAGGTCGGCGAGTGAATGTGTGCGACAGGAGCGAGCGGGGAACGGGCAATGTGCGCGCAGAGGCGCCCGAGTGACGCGGGAACGGACCCCTCGGAGGTGTCCCAACGCTGGCAGTTGCGGCGGCGGCCCTGTGCAGCTGAACGGCCCGGCGCGGAACTGCGGCGCGGCACAGCGGTGCGCGGCAGACGAGGAGTGCGCTTTGGCCTTGGGCGCCCGGCGACGGATGGAATCAGCCGCACGGGGCCGTAAAGTGGGTGACAAGTCCGCGTGTGCTTGCCTACGTGGCCGCGGGGAGTCGCGGCGATATCCCCCGAGGGCCCCTTGGCTACGCACACGTCCGTGCGAGGGCAGAAACGAAGGAGTGAGTGCCGCTCGACCGAACAGGCCGAGCCAAACACACAACGATGGACCTGCTGGGAGGATACGGCTCCGAGTCCGGGTCCGAAGGCGCGGATGTGAGAGAGACCGACGCGGCAGTGGCGCGACCAGGGGCGCAAGAGGGCTCCGCGAGCGACGACGACAGTGGCTCGGACAGCTCCAGTGAGGTGCGCTGTCGCCTGTGCTCCCGCGCGCCTGCTGTTTTTGCACGCGCGCGGGGATCGACAGGCACCGTTGCCGTCAATGCCACTGCGACGCGCGCATGCCTTCGCGGAGTGTCCACCACACACAACGGGCGAGGCTCGGGCTCACCCTGGCCTGCTCGTCTCCGTCTCTCTCAGGACTCCGAGCAGGACGAGGATCCGTACCTGACATCTCAACGACGTGCTGAGGAGCTCACGCGTTCTGCACAGGCCCGCAACGGCGAACAGGCGGCTCGCAACCAGGGCACACGGCTGCCCTCCGCTCTCGACGTACTCGACGCGCAAGACGGCGAGGTCCCGGGCTTCCTGGCGCCCGACGCAACGCGGCCGATGGTGGTGAACCACGCGCACGGGGCAGAGGCGCGGGCTCGCAGGGCCGCGGAGGCCGCTGCGCAGGCCGCAGAGGCGCGCGCCGAGCGGGAGCGCGCCGCACGCGGCGGCCCGGACTTCGACATCGCCACCCTGGTGACGCAGCGGCCGCAGAAACGCCCTGCGCAGGGCGCGGTGATCTCCGCGGCGCCGACGAAGCGGCCGGCGGGCGAGACCTCTGCTCCGGCATCCGCGCTGGAGCAGCACCTGCAGGCGATCGGAGGCGCCAACCCCGCGGCGCTCGCGATGCTCGGGGGCGCCGGGCGCGAGGGCGCGGGAGAGAAGCAGCGCAAGCCGTCGGGTGCGATGGGCGTGGACGACTTCCTGGCGCGGGGCGTGGGCGGCGCGCAGCTGCCGCGGAAAAAGGGGCAGGACCGCGCGGAGAAGGAGAAGCAGAAGAGGGCGCGCGGGCAGTCGACGCACCACGCGTGGAAGAGCGAGGCAGAGATGGCGTTGCGGCAACAGTACGACTGACCTGCAGGCGGTGGCACACGAAGTGCCGAGGTCGCTGGGCGTGTGCAGCGGCCCGGAGGACGCGCAACCGGCCGCGGCCACGCCCGTCGGCGCCGCGGTCGGAGTCACAGCGGGGTGGTTGTGAGGAGCGCTACGTCGGTCACGACAAGGAAACACGCCTCGAACACGAACTTCGGCGCGAACAGGCCCCAGACCATGAGGTGCCGCTTCATGAGGCTCGCCGCCAGCGCCGCGCCGAGGCAGGCGACTGCGCGTGACAGCTGCACGCCTATGGCGAGACGCACAACTGTGGAGCGGAACTCCGGGCCCGCGCCGGCGCCGCACGTCGCCCGCGCGAGGGCCGGTAGGGCGGCTGCTGTGGCCAAGAGGTGCCCGAACGTGTTTGTGCCGAGGAGGGGTGCTGAGCGCAGGAAATTGAATCTGGGGAAGCCGACGTATGCAGACATGTACTGGAGGGCGGGGAACTCGCAGCGGTGCGCCGTCGCGAAGAAGAGCAGTGACCCGAGGTGGCACACGACGGGCAGCACCGCCGCGACCGCCTGTCGCGCGCGCTGCGCACCGCCTGCATCGCGGGCCCACTGCAGCCAGCGCGCGATCGCTGCCGACGAGGCGAGCCACAGTGCGAGGGACGCCTGCGCACCGGCGCCCTGGTGGAGGACCACCATGGTCGGCCAGAGCAACGCGAGCGCGAGCAGGAGCGGGGCATCGGCGTCGCGTTTGCCATGCCCAGTCACCCGCTGGAAGCAGAGGCTCGCCCAGCCCGCGATGACGCACGCGTACACTCCGCGTGCACACCAGTCTAGCCATGAAGGCGACGCCGCCTCGTCGCCGCCGACGCGCACGAAACCTGCGGCCGTGTAAGTAATTGCCAGAGCGCCACCACCCAGAGCGCACGCCCACGCGACGCGCGACGCTGTCGCCGCCGTGGCGCGCGTACGCGCCGTCATGAGGAGACCGAGCGTTCCAGCGGCGGCGGCTCCGACCCCCGTGACGCCCCCCACGAGCGTCCGCACGTCGTCGCGCAACACCCAGGCTGCCAGCTCCCGCAGGCCTATGCCGGGATCCGATCCGTCGTACCTCCGGTTCGCGAACAAGCTCCACGGACTCGGGTCTAGCACGCCGCCGGCAGCACACTGCAGCCGCACCGCCGGCAGAAGCAGCAGGGGCGCCCACGCAGCGGCACTTTCGCCAGCGGGCCACAACGGCCACGCGCGGGCGGGCTCCTGGAGGCTGGTCGACGCCCAGCGGACGACGATCAGCGTGCAGATGAGCACCATGCCCGCGAGGAGCGGGCCTTCCTCGAGGATGAAGGAGTTGGACAGGAACAGCGCGCCGTGCAACACGACCGCCGACCACGTCGAAACCGCCGCGAACGCGAACTTCCAGTCCCCCATCTTGTCGCCCGCGAAGAGCGGCGCGAGCCCCACGGCTGGGACGCCAACGCCGAGGGCCAGCAGCAGCAGGCCGGCCAGCATATGCGCGTCGCTGAATTGCGTCCACTGCTCCCGCGCCAGGCGCCCCGCGTCCTCGAGAAGCCTCTCAAGCACTGGGACAAAGTCCGCAGAATCCGGGTCCGATCCCGCTGAATGGAACGCGTCGACGAGGTCCCTGAGGCGGTCACCCGGCAACTTGCCACCTGCTTGAACATACGTCTCCAGATACCGAATCACCTGCCAGGCGACGACGCGGAGACTGTGCCGGTAGACGCGCTCGGTCTGTCGCGCGGTTGCGCCCGTCGACCGCGCCCCCAGCTCGATCAGGCCGCGGATCGGGCGTCCCACCGACCCGAATGGCGGCGGGGTGCCCAGGAGCAGCGACAGTGTGCTTGCGAGGTCCGTCTGCTGCGCCTCAGGGAGCTCCGGACCTACGTCAGCCGCGTCCGTGTCGCTGTCGGCATTCGAGCACCCCGTGCAGCGCGTGAGAGCGCCGTTGAGGCGCGGAGAGTAGGCCAGTAAGAATGAGTCAGTCTCCTCGGGAGTGCCGCCGCCGTGGTCGCCTGTGTCAGTCATGCCGTGGTCGCCGAGAACCAGCAGCAGCGTCTCGCTGCGCGGAGCGGCGGCACAGGGCGTGGGCGCTGAGGTGCGAGGACGTGTTCAGGTGGAGGCCGCTACAACACAAACACACGTGCTCGTCGCGCACCTGTGCGGCCCCCCGCCCGCGGCGTCCGCGTCAAGAATGCGCACATAATCCTCGATATGTTGGTCGATTTCGGCCAGTTTCGCCGCCATCGTCGGTGTGTCCACGCTGCCCACGTGCCCTGCATGATCCACGCCCAGGTAGTGCCCGATGACGACGTCCCACGACTGCAGCGCAGCCTCGAAAACAGCAGTGATCGCACCAGGGCAGGCACATCGCCCACAGCGACGCGGCAGGGCCCGCGGCGGGCGGGTGCGCACCGACGCGTTGTGCAGGAGGGCTGGGATGTGCTCGCGCACGCCGCGGTCCACGGTGTGCAGGTCGTGGATGTCGAACGACGGGTACGGCAGCGCGTGCTCCCACACCCCGTCCCCGGGGTAGAGCGCCCCCCAGACGTCGTCCCCGACGTACCCCAGCCTCAGGCCCTGACTCCGGAACTGGGACACCACCGAGTCCTCCGCGACGGACCCCGCCGTGAGCGACGTGCCGATGTCGATGAAGGTCGGCAGCCCGCCCGTCGCCAGCCCCTTGACCCGCTGCGAGGTCGTCGTGGGGGGGTCTGCCACAAACCGCCACGCGCGGGCCGCGCCGTTCGGGCGCGACAGGAGCGACCGCGTGAACGGCATCGTGCCCTGGTGCGACCTGCGCGAGCACCGCGTCGGGTGCGATGCGCTGTGACGGAACGTGCGTGTGTCGCGAAAACAAGAGAGTGCGGCGCGTCTTTGACGCGGGCGCCGCACCTGGGCGGGGCGCCGGTGGGCGCGACGACCATGTCGTAGCGGAGCGCGTCGACGACCACGAGGACTGCGCGCCGGAACGGTCTTGGCGCCCAGCACCCGTCGTTGAATTCCGTTGCTGGTCCACTGCTGGCTGGACCATCTGCGTGGCGCTCACGTGGGTCCGAGACGTCGAAGGCGTCGCCGTCCACTGGGTCCTTGGCGGCTTCACTGGACGGTTCTCTCCCGGGATCACGAAGCAGGTGCTCCCAGCCGCGGTAGAGTCCCGCGTTGGTTGCATCCAAACACCCACTGGCGTTTGGGACCTCCACGCGCGTCAGCAAGAAGCCGCGAGCGAAAATGACGATGCCCGCGACATGGAGAAAGGTGGCCAAGGCCAGAACTGCCATCTCGGGAACACGATATCCCCACACAGCGCTGCGAGCCCCCGCTCTCCGCTGAGTTGGGGTGGCCCTGCTCGCGCGCGGCCGCGTGGGTGCGGGGGAACGCGCCCGGCGTCCGCCGCGTGCAGGCGACTTACTCGCTGATCTCACGGGCATTGCGGCGACGCGGTGCCAAGGACGCGGTGCGTCACCTACGGGGCCGTTGCCCGCACGTCATGCATCGCGCCGCACACGCGGTAGCAGTTGGCCGCGGACACGCATGGTGAGCTCGGCGGCAGGTCACGTATCACCCGCCCCGGCGCCGCTCCCATTCAGCCCGAGCTCGACGGTCGCTGGCTGGTTCGAGCCCGACGCGCGCCGCGCTTCGCCCCCCCCGGCACGCGCAAGGTCGCCTGGGTCGCTCCTGGCCGAGCACATCGCCCTGCAAGGCGACGTACGACGTGTACGTTGCAGGGACAGTCACGTTTATTGAACTACGGGTCGCAATTGCGTGAGACACGGGCAGTTGAGTCTTCCGCACCCGCGAGACTCTGCTCCCGGCTCCAGGGCGCCAGCCGATACGAGAGGTTGAGCGCGGGTGCTCCGATACTTGTGAGCGCAGCGAGTGTGTCGGGGACGCTTGTGTAGCAGCATCGGGCGGACATGGGCGCGCCAGAGGGCAATGAGAAGCCAGCGACAGTGAGCGAGCAGGAGGAGATCCTCCGGGAAGGTGCGCCTCACATACGTGGCGCTCGCTCACCCTCCAGTACAAGACCATGCCATCAAGCCCGCCCTGCGGCCGGTCGGCGCCGGGACCTGACGCGCGCCGCGGCCGGCAGAGCAGGGCCCAAGGGCTCCGTCCCGTGCGGCGGTCACCGGCCCGTGCATCGCCTCTCCCTCACGCATTCATGGAGACAATGCACCCGTCATGAAGGGGCCGCCACGTTCGACCCGGGTCGTCGCCATCCAGCCGCGTGACGCCCCTCCTGGCGTTGCACACGCCCGGTCCACCGGCCGCGCCCTTCGCGGTCGAGAGCCCGCCCGCGGCGTCACCGATCTCGCGCCCCGTCCGCCGCCCCCCGCAGCGCTCGAGAAGCCCGCCCGCGCGACCGAGGTTGTCATCGAGGGGAACCGGCGCACGCAGGAGGCCGTGATTCTGCGCGAGCTGCGCGGGCTGACGGAGGCGCCGCCGACGACGAAGCTGGCCGACCTCTTCGTCCAGGCCAGTCTCGCCTCTGCGCGCCTGCACGACCTCGGGATCTTCGAATGGGCGACAGGTGACCCTGACACCAACACGACGCTGCGTGCAACACCGCGCGCAATGACGCATGACGTGCAACTGTGTCCGGATCCGCGGCACCGCAGCGCCGACGCCGTCCGGTCGAGGCGGGCGCGGGCCTCGTCGGCAGCGTGACGGACCCAGCGCTGTCTGCCAGCGCGATGCCCTGACGCCACTGCCACGCCGCTCCAACCAGCGCCGCCGCGTTCCACGCGCGCCCTGCAGTTGAGCTCGACGATGCCTCGACGGCCGCGACCCCCGCCGGCGCACCGCACCCGACCGCAGTGCGTGTGGAGCTCCACGAGCGCCCCCTGTTCCACGGACGCATCCAGGTGCGCCCCCTGCCCACCAGCCGCGGCGCCGCGCACCCCGCGCCCCCGCGCGTGCGGCCCACGGTCCGCGCGCTCCCCGCCGCCGCGCAGACGAGCTACGCCGCGGCTGCCCGGGAGACCACGGTGGAGGCCACCACGCACTTCATCAACCCTCTGGGGCGCGCGGAGAAGATCGAGGTGGGGCTGGAGGGCGGGCTGCGGCGCCTCGCGGTGGCCGGGGACGGGTTGCCGTACTGTGCGCACGCCGCGTACACCGACCCGCGGTTCCTGGGGAGCAACTGGCAGTACCGGTTGGAGGCGCGGCGGGCCGTGACCGACTGGACGCAGTCGTCGTCGTTCCGCCACATCTCCACGGGGCTCTCCACGGAGTTCAAGGCGCCCATGGGCGTCACCCTCGCGTACGAGATCGCCATCCAGACGCTCACGGACCCCACCAGGTGCGGCGCACACACACCCTCACCCCGCACAACCGCCTTTCGCGGCGCCGCGCTCGCGCCGTGACGTCAAGCTGACTCGGTCTCCGTGTGCGGCTCGCGCAGGCGCGCGTCCAAGGCGGTGAGGACGCAGATGGGCGACGCGCTGAAGAGCGCTGTGTCGGCCAAGTGGGCGGGGGCGTGGGCGTCGCACGGCATCGCGTGGCGGACGTCGCTCCGTGCCGAGCTGGCCGGCCTCGCGCCGCCGATGGCGGGGCTGAGCCGCTACGTTCGGAAGGAGGCGGCGGTGGAGGCGTCCACGGGCCTCAAGTGCTTCATCCCTGGGGCGCGGCTGCACGTGACGGCACGGGGCGGCGTGCTGGTGCCGTGGGGGTCGAGCGTCGGGCGGCCGACGCCGCTGGCGGAGCGGTTCCACCTCGGCGGCGTCGGGTCCCTGCGCGGCTTCAACGCGCGCGGGGTCGGGCCGATGGAGCCGCGGCGGCAGCCGGCGGAAGACGCGGCTGGCGAGGGGCAGCAGGCCGCGGCACCGGAGGCGACGTTCGACTCGGTCGGCGGGGACGTGATGTGGTCGCTCGGTGCGGCACTGCGGGCGCCCGTGCCGCACGTCCGCGCGGACATTCCCCTGCAGTGGCAGGTGTTCGCGGACGTCGGCAGCAACGTCGCGCTGCCCGCTGGCGACGACGTGGTGAGCTCCGAGCCCCCCGAGTGTTTGCGTGAGCCGCGTGTCAGCCCAGAGTCCGCCTCACACGCGTCGGTGGTTCCTGCCCGTTGTCTGCAGGGCACGCTGCGGGCGCTGAAGGAGAGCTGGGCGGCGGCGCGCGCGACGCCGCGGTCGTCGGTCGGCGCGGGCCTGGTGCTGCCGTTCCCCGGGGCCGGTCACCTGGAGCTCAACATGAGCAAGGTGGTGGGGTCTATGGAGCGGGACCGCTTCAAGCAGGGGTGGCGGTTCCAGTTCGGACTGACCGTGTCGGTCTGACCGCACACTAATGTGAGACAGCGTGTGGGACAGCGTGCCGCTCGGTCGGCGCGGCTCGATCTCGATGCCAGCGGTCACAACTGCGGAGATCATGATCGTCGCTGACGTGGCTACGTCGGGAGCCCCCAGGAGCGCATGACGCGGTCGACGGCGCGCGGCATGCGCGCGGCCCAGGGCTGCGGCAGCATCTCGCGCAGGGTTTCGAGGATGCGCAGGTTGGGGTCGAGTTTGTTGGCCCAGCCCTCGAGCACAAAGGTGGAGATCACGATGCTCGACACCTTGGGGGAGAGGTTCACGCGGTTGGTCCGGATGATGTCCATGACGTCCATGAAGACGTCCGACGCGTGCGTGAGCAGCCACTCCTCGTCCAGCCCGTCATACAGCTCCTTGACCTGAGTCACGAACTTCTCCGGGTTGGCGCACGTCTGCGGGCCGTTCGACAGGCGCAGGATCGACCGCGCCGCGTGCTCGCCGTCGAGCGCCGCGCAGTACCGGAAGAAGTCCACCAGGTCCCGCTGCGTCTGCTCCTCGAGCTCCACCGTCATGCCCACGTCCAGGAAGACCATGCGCACGGGCGGGTTCCACGACGCGAGGCGGCGGAGCGTGGCGAGCGGGCGCGAGACCTTGATCTCCGGCACCGTCACGAGCAGGTTGCCCGGGTGCAGGTCGGCGTGCACCCAGTTGTCGCGCAGCAGCATCTGGAGGTATGAGTTGAGCCCGACCTGCGCGAGCTCCTTGTTGAACGGGCCGGGGTCGGTCGCCTCGAGGAGCGGGACGATCGAGGAGCCCTCGCAGAAGGACTCGACGAGCGCGGCGGTGGCGACCAGCGGGTACAGCGGCACGGGGAAGGACACCGAGCGCCAGCGCCGAAAGTGCTCGTTGAACCGCCGGAGGGACTCCGCCTCGAGCGCGAGGTCGAGCTGCTCGCGCATCGGCGCGCCGAACTGCTTGATCGAGTCCTCCAGGCGCATCCACTCCAGGTAGGTCGACCGCGACGCCATGGCAGCCACGCGCTCCATCAGGTGGAAGTCGCGCTCCATCAGGGTCGTGACGCCCGGGTGCAGCACCTGCGCGCGAGACAACACGACGACGGCCTGCGTGACGGTGCGGTCCCTGCTGGGGCGGCTGGCGCTACTGCGCGCACAGTCGCGCAGGGGGGGGTGCGTGCCTTGACAGCGACCTTGGTGCCCTCCGGGAGGCCCGTGAGCGCGGCGCCGGCCTCGTTGAGCGTCGCGCTGTGGATCTGCGCGATGCTTCCGGACGCGACGGGCGCCTCGTCGAACTCCGCGAAGAGGTGTTCCAGGCGGCGTCCAAAGGCCTTCTCGACGACGCGGCGGGTGTGGGCGAACTTGTGCGACGGCGCGTCGCAGTGCAGGCCCGCGAGCGAGGTGCAGATGTCGCGCGGGAGGAGGTCCGGCCGCGACGACGCCCACTGCCCCCACTTGATGAAGGCGGGCCCTGCCATCTCGAGCGTCCAGCGGAGGAGCGCGACCCACCGCGGGCGCAGCTGCGAGGCGCGGCGGCGGAGGGCGTGCGTGGGGACGTGGGCGGGCGGCGGCGCGAGGGCGCGCGCGCGAGGAGGGGCGTTGGGGGTGTGTTGCGCACCGAGGGGTAGAAGTGCAGGGCGAGGGGGGCGGTGACGGCGAGCGGCGTGAAGAGGCAGGAGAGGAAGATCGCCCTGCCGATGAGGACCAGCTCGTCGGTCACGTAGGCCCACCACTTCCCAAACGCGCTGGGGGGCGACGCCTCCTCCTGGTAGCACTCCGGGAGCCGCAGGATGCGCTCCCCGGGGTGCGAGTTCCGGTACGCAGGGTCCGTGCACCTGCGCAGCGGGCGGCGCGCGCCGTCGGCGGCGTGAACCGGCTGAACGCGCACGTCGTCGTCGTCAGTGGCACATACACATCTTGGAAGCGAGGTCGCCGCGTAGCGGGGCGTGCTGCGGGCGGGCGGACCTGTAGACCTCGGACCCGAGGGCGGGCAGCACCCAGGACCCCAGGTGCCGCGCGGCGGGGTCGACGTACGCGAAGGCGAGCGCCGAGATGAAGCGGCTCTCCAGGACGAGGCGCTGGTCGAGGACGAGCTCGCTGAGCGTCTGCTTGAGGTGCTCGCGGAAGTGCCGGGCCTGCGCGAGCAGGAGGTTGCGGTGCGCGGCCGCGTTGTCGCGCAGGTTCTTCTCGAGCGGCCGCAGCGTGGCGCCGATGCTCTTGGAGACCTCCTCGCGGCCCTGCTTCGTCATGTTCGACAGCGCCTGCCGCATCTCGTCGAAGATGACATAGTGCCTCTGGATTCGGCCGCCTGACGCGTGCCGCGTCCCTGCGTTGCGGGCGCGACGACGGGCTTCGTGGGCAGCCAGTGCACCCGGCGTTACGCAGCGGCGGCGGGGAATGTCGCACGGCACGATGCGGCGATGAGGACAGCGATCCACGTGCGGTCGTGGCGCCGCAGCGAAGACAAGTTTGCCGCGACGGAGCCCGGCGCGCAGGAGGTGGAGCCCACACTCGATCAGGGACCGTCACGCGGCGCCCGAGCGCGAACCGAACAGGTGGAGCCCGCGGCGGGATGGCGACAGACATGGAGATCCATATCTTGGCGTGTCGCCGCCCGTGCGGCCCCGAGCCACGCGGGGGGCCGCACGACGTCGATCGCGGCCCACGCACGCTCGCTCACCTGCCTCCCGCGCGAGCCGCGGTGCAATACCCCACACCCTGGCTCCTCGCCGCATCGCCCACGCTCCGTGCGGCGCCCCACACCGAGACCACATCGCCCGGAGTCCTGTCGCTCCCGTGACACCTGAGCCTCCCAGCACCGCCACGCATCCACCGCCAACCGCGCAGGACCTGCAGGCGGAACGATTGACGGACATCACGGACATCAGGACGCATCGTCGGCTGATCGCCCAGCTCCCGCTCCTCGACGCGCGGAGGGCAGAGCAGTGCTGCACCCAGGTTCGCGCCGGCCAAGCCCGTCCGACAGGGGCCAAACAGACAGCGCGCGCCAACGCCGGGCAGCGACCCCCGCGACGGCGAGAGAGGCGCCCGGCGACGACGTGGCTGCGAGCGCGGCCGCTGCTGCGGGGTGGCGCACCTCGCAAGACGTGCCCCTTCCCGCCCTAGACCCGCACAGCCCCACAACTGACCCCCCGCCATCTCGATCGCTGCGGAGCAGCTATGACGTCTCATCCCGTGCTCTATCCTACGGACGACCCCTGTGTGTGACGCGGGCTAGGTGCCCTGCATCCTGGGTGGTGACTTGCACGAAACAGGGCCTCCAGTGCACTCCAGTCCTCCTGATGGTGCCCGCGGCGGTCTGCGAGCCTCGAGTCACGAGCGCCGCGTCCTCGGCTCGCTCTTGTGGTGGACGTAGGCTCCCTAGTGGCCCGTCTTACTTGTTCAGGGGCGTGGGGGCGTGCCCGCGACGCGCTGGGCCGGCGTGGGGACCACAACAGGGCGTCCCGCGCGTAGTGTGGACCACACGCCGCTGAATTACAGTCGAACCCACGAGGGAGCACGCCTCTCAAGGGCACATCGCGGCAGAGGGTCTGGCATCACGTACACGGCCTGCGACTCCGTGTCCAGATACAAAGTCGCGCCCGTGCACAGCAGCGCCGCGCATCCAAGGTACGACCCGTGCGTCTGGCTCATCGGCGACGGCGAACGCCGCGTGAATGTGCGTCTGCGGCGAGAGCTGTTTGTTTGGTGCCAACCCGCTGCGCGCGATCGAATCGTACGCTGCGGTGCTAGCGTGCTCCCTTGAACGGCGGCAGAGCTACGTCGCAAGCTGACGCGCACACGAAACACGCCAGGAAGAGCCTCAGAGGCCGCCCCCTGCAGCACAGGCCCCAGCTGATAGACTCGGAGCGCGCACGCCGCACGCAACGCAAAGCGACGGGCCCCGTCTGCGCAGGGGCCGGAGCTCGGGACCCACAGCCTTTCCACGTAGGTCGGAGGCTCCGTCGACGCGGGTTGCGGCCCGAGTGCGGTCACCACTTGGGCAGCTGGAACGCGCGAGTCGTACTCCGAGCCATGGACACACCTTGGGCGCCCGCAGCGCAATCACGAGATCAAGGTGCGTGCATGCACATTGACGCATTCCCCCGTCCGCCGCGGCACGGCCCGCGCGCCGAGGGAGATGGTTTGGCTGTGCACGCCCCCGAACGCTCTGATCAGCGCGACAGGGCCTTGAGCGAGCAACCCGCGGGGCGACAACGAGCTCTGCCGCGCCGCCACGACCCCGCTCGTGCGCGAACGCCGCCTCGCGCCGCTCAATTTCCAACCCAACTGACCCTATCTCTCCCTGCTGCGCACCGTCGCCCGGCTGCCGGAAACAGCGACCCCGCGTCGCGCATCGCGTGCTTGATCGACGGAGACGCGTCGCGTGTGCGCAGGTCTCCGTACGATGGTCCCCTCCGCCGGCAACGAGGCCCGCGACATGAGGGTGCAGCGCGCTGCCGCGGCCGCGCGGCAGGACGACGCGTCCGCGCCGGGGGGGCAGCGGGTCCGGGCGGATGAGGACGCGAGCGAGGACGAGACGCCGCGCTTCCTGCGCGACGAGCGCCCCGGCAAGGACTGCGAGGGCCCTCCCATCGCGCTGCCGCCCTCCCAGGGGCCCGACGCAGCCGAACACCCCCTGGGCGTGAGCGTCTCGACGGTCCGCGTCCTCGCCGAGCGCACCGGCGCCGTTAGTCCCGCTTCGAGCGGCGCGGGCGCGGGCCCCTCCGACGGGCCTAGCACGGGCGCCTCCAGCGGGTCCTGCGCGTCAGACGAGGCGCCCGCGCCCTCCGCCGCGCCGGACACGCCCTCGTCCAGCGATGGCTTCGTCGCGGACGTCCTCGGCGGCGCCTTCAGCGAGAGTGAGGCGTCGGAGGGTGCGCCGAGCCCGCAGCAGGGGCGAGCGGAGCCGCTCACGCCGCTGGACCTGGCCGGCTGCCCCGCGCGCCTGCCGAGGGCCCGCGGCCGGAACTCCGCGGACGCCTCGCCGGCGGGCGGGGCCGTGTCGCTCCGCGGCGCGGATGCCCACACCGACGCTGCGGGGAGTGCGACGCAGCACAGCTGCCCACCGAGCCCTGCGGGCGCAGCTGCGCACGCGGAGAGCGCACCGCCGCGGCCGGGCTTGCCGCCTGTCCCCGGGGAGCGCGCGCACGGCGCGGCGGCGGCCCGGTGGTCGCTGGAGCAAGTCAGTGCGGAGGGGGGGTCGAGGTCCAGTGCGCGCGTCTCCCCGGCGGCCCTCAACACCGTCGCGAGCACCGCGTCGGTCCTGGAGGCGGTCGACGGGCCCGCCGTCGTCGCGGCGCCGCCGCAGCTCGAGATCCCAGGCCACGGGGCGGGGGCGAGCGGCGGCGAGGCTCGCGAGGCGGCGGCGAGCGAGCCGGACAGCGCGTCCTCGAGCGTCCTCGTCCGCGCGCTGAACTGCCTGTGCGGGCCCGAGGGCGGCGTCGAGCGGGACGCCCCGCGGCGTTCCCAGACCACGGTGCGGCGCACGGCGGAGATCGTCGGCACGCCCACGCCCGGGCAGCGCACGCTCTGGTCGACGCAGATGGTCACGCTGCGCGAGGACGGCGAGGTCATCGTCCAGAGCCGCGGCTGCCTGAGCGCGGCGCTGAACTTCATGTGCGGGCCGCGGGGGGGTCTGTCGGCGCAGGACTGGGTGGAGAGCGTGATCGCGCACGAGGAGGCGCGGATCCAGCGGCACGCGGGGCGGTACGTGAACCCGGCGTGGCGCGCGATCCACGGCAACGTGCACGTCCGCGTGCGCGTGCGGCCGCGCGGCGTGGCGGAGGCGGAGGCAGCAGCGGCGGCGGCGCGGGGGGCCGGCGTGTCGCGGCTGACGGAGGGGCAGCGCATGACGCTGCTGCGCGACCACGTCAAGGTGTTCTACTACGCGCAGTACGAGGTGTCGGACGGGAACGTCGCGCACACGCGGCACGGGAGCTTTGCGGAGGACTGCCGGTCGATGTGCACGCGGCGCAGCTCGCGGATGATCAACTTCGACACCGAGGACCTGGCCGAGGACCACCCGGGGGACTTCGGCGGCGACCTGGACGACCAGCTCATGTGCGTCGTGTGCCAGGACTACCTGGAGGACGGCGACACCGTGGTGCGCCTGCCGTGCAAGCACATGTACCACTGGGACTGCTTCCGCGGGTACCTCGAGCACCGGAGCACGACGGACCACCGCTGCCCGATCGACAACGCGATGCTCGCGGACATGATCGCGGACGACGATGCCGACAGCGCGCCTGCGCCTGTTGAGGCCGAGGAGCCGCGAGCGCTGCCGGCGGAGGTGGCCGCGGACGTGTTGTGAGCGCGCGACGGGACGGGGAGAGCTGCGCGAGCGACTGCGCCGTGCGCGCAGTGCATGACTGCTCGGGTTGCGGCGTCTACCCTGTCTGCTGTGTGAGTCTCGCCTGCCGTACCACTTCGGTCGCTCAAGCATCCTCGCGGTGAGTGTGCCTGTAGGTCAGCGAACAACTAGCGAAGTACGAGCGCTGGCGCGAAACACGGGAGGCGTTGAATGCGCAGGGTTGAGGGGCGCGGGGCACGCTGCCGGCCGCGACCGCGGTCTGCGGCGGCGTCTTAGCACGGCTTGGCCCGTTGCACGCCGCGTGGTTGCATGCAGCACCACGCATTCCCAGGCGCCGTCGGGCGTTCGCCCCTCACCGGAGCGCTGGCTGAGAGCCTGGTCTGTGTGCGACCTGCTCCCAGGGATCCTGCGAGCGACGTTGCACAGGGCGTCCGTACGAAGGCGCATGCGCGTGAGCCGAGAGAGCGGCGATGGCGCGCGGGCCCGGCGTCTGGAGTCCAAGACGGCCCTGCAGAGCACCACATGCTACGTGCCCGCGAACGGAGGGCGTCACAGTCGCGGAGGTGGCGGCTTGCATCGCACGGTGCTCTTCCTCGCCCAACTAGGCATCTCGGTCCGGAACCAGTGCAGCTCGCGTTCCGCGGCGGGTCGGGGGGTAGGAGGTGTGCTCTTCTGTGGTTGGGGGACGGTCGCCGCTGCCATGCCAGGGCTCTGATGGGGGCCGGGCCGCTCTACTGCGCCCTCGCTTTCGCAGAGGGCGGTTTCGAGGCCTCTGGTTCCCGCGAGCCGCGGGAGGTAGAGCTGCCGCCCGCGCCGTATTCCCTGGTGAGCGCTTGCAAGACAAGATCGCTCCGATGGCGCGTGCTCAGCTGCGATTCGATGACCCCCGCCGGGTCGTCGACATGCGGCGGTTCATCCGGTCCGTGCGCGAGGTTCGAGGTGCGCGAACGCCTATGCTCGTGAGCGCGAGACGCTGTCACGTTGCAAGATGCTGTGCACCCAGGCATCGGCTGGAATTTCTTCGAAATCGCGCACCTTCACGGGATTTCCGCTCCTCTCGGCCCTGCCACCGACTCAAAGAAGACGTAAGACACGCCAGGCAGGCCCTCTCCGATCCTCGGTCCGCTGTCGACCCTCTTTTCCTCAACAGGATGGTTCGGCGCGATCGCGATGTTCCTGTGCTTCCTCATCGTGGGAAACTTCGCGAACGGGAACGGTGATTTCGTCGACGCCGCATCCAAGGCCCTCATGGAGGCCAAACTGCTGCAAGTCGTCGACGGGCGGGAGTTCGCCCTAGACAGTGCGCAGGGCCTCTCGGGTGCGCGACCCGAGCGCCTGGCGCGCGACACCCGCATCCACGCCGTCACCGCTGCACCTCGATGTGTCACGACGCGCACATCGACGGGTGCCGGGTCTCACACGCGCCCAGCAGCTCGGGCCCCCGTGGCGTCCAGCACGTCATACAACGTGGGCTCTTCCGCAATGCCGCGCTGCAGGCGTTCTCGGCGACCTCGGAGCTGAGCTGCGCGACGAGTACGATGGATAGGGAACCTTTTACCCGAGCACGACGGTGCTGTTCGCGACGATTGTGCTGCGGGGCGCCGAGGGCTCCTCGCAGCTCTGTGCGGAGGAGGGAGGCGCGGCGTCCAAGTTCGAGGCGTTCCAGCCGGACTGTCCTGGCACGCTGACGCCTGAGCAGCGGCTCCGGGAGGCCGGGCTGGACTTCGCTTTCGACCCGGGGTGGCCGAGCCGGTACTGGTATCGGCGGTTCTCCCGCGAGCAGCAAACACCGGAGCTCGTCTTCTACACCGCCCAGCAGTCGTCGTTCAACTTCACCGCGCGCGCCGTGGACGTCCTGCGCGAGGTCATGGAGGAGACGCGCCCCAGGGAGGTGGACCAGTACTTCTACGTGTACAACCACGTGTCGCGGCGCGTGTTCCGCACGCAGCTGTTCTTCAGCGCCTGGCTCGCCACGACGCGGTACTCAATCAGCACCAGCTTCTTCTCGCTCGACGTCGACGCGCTGACAGAAGGTGAGCTCTGCCGCCGCGACCACGCACGATCGACGAACGTGCGACGCACCTGCATGTTGTCGGCTTCGATGTACCTGCTGGCGGCAGCCGCGCGCTCATGCTCGGGCCCGTCGGTGCGTGGCGCAGGATCGAGGACGAGCAACATCAGGACCGCGTGGGGCGTGTTCCTGATCTTGATCGGTCTATGGGTCATGGTGGGCGAATTTTACGAGATCAGACAGACCCGCGAGTGGCTGCTGGTCAATGACGACGAGCTCGAGAACCTCGACGGCGAGAAGGGGAAGGCCAAGCCGGGGCAGCGCTGGACCGTCTGGAAGAGAGCACTGTAGGTCCCTCGGCCTCCCCCTTGCTTGCGTCCGGAGGGCTCGTCGGGTTTGCTTGCGTCCGTTTGCTTGCGTCCGGGGCAGACCGGATGCAACTCCCCGTCAGACTGAGAGACTGAGACTGGCGCGGGGAGAGGCCGGACACGAAGCGCTGCACGCTCTCATCGCGAGGCCGCGTCGACCTCTCCGCAGGTTCCTGCATTTCAGGAACAACTTCGAGGTGGCGTTCTTCAACATCTCGGACATGGTGTTCGGCATCGTCGCGATCCTCGTGGCGGGGATGGCCCTGCGCCCGCGAGGGTGGTACGACGACATCGCATTCTCGGCGCCGAAGACGCTGTCCGCCGAGGCCGCGGTGGACGAGGTCTGGGTGAACCTCATCGACAGGGAGCTGTACTGGCAGCTGTGGTTCGAGAGCTCCGTGCTCTTCGGAGGCATCCCCCTGTTGTACCTCCTCATGACGGTCCGGGTGCTCAAGTTCTGCCGCTTCCACATCGGCCTGTCCCTCGTCTCTCGTACCCTCACGCTGGCCGCGTACGAGCTGCAGGATGTTGCTCTCATCACGCTCGGCATCATCGCCGCCGTCGCCGCCTGCATCTACTCCATCGCGGGCGTTTTCGCGGTGAGTTCGCGCGCACGCCCTTCACCCGGCGGCTCGTCGCGCGACACGTCACTCCCCAAGCCGGCGGCTCCCGTCGCGCGACACGTCTCTCCCCAAGCCGATTCCGTTGCGATAATCCCCAACCACAACGGCCGGCTGTGCGGTGGTCTGTGCTCGCAGGGCCATCCAAACTACACGAGCTTCGGCTACTCGTTCAGCAACACCGGTCTCCTCTCCTTTGGGTTTTACGACGCGTACGATTTCTTAAATCAGGTTTGTGGTCCGTTCCATCGTCATGACCGTGCCGCAACATGGAAGCAGCGTCAGGAACGCATCGATATCGCTGTCGCTGCACCTGTGCTTGCAGAGCCGGGGAGAGCGCTACGAGGGGCTAGGCGCCGGCAACGTGGCGATTCTGCGATATATTCTGCTCTGGCTGCTGCTCTTCCTGCTGTTCGTCGTCGTGCAGGTATGAGGTCGCAGCGGGGGGGCGCAACTCATGTTCCTGTCGCGTGATTTTTTTGTGCACGACGCCACAACAATGTCAGCAAGCATGCCGACGTGATGCAGAACGTGTTCATCGGTATCGTGACCACGGCCTACGACAAGGCGCGCGCGGGCACTGAGGCGTACCTGGGAACCAACGCTTCCGGCGAGCTGGCCGTGTACGAGGGCTTCCCGCGCTTCCTGGGCCGCATGATCGTGTACTCGCTCTACTGCGCCGTGTGGGTGATCAAGCAGGCGGCGAGCAGAACGGAGCGCTCCTCGCAGCTGGGGATGAAGCGGATGATCTCCGCAAAAACCAATGCTCGCAAGGCGGCCTGGTCCTGGAGATCGCGCAAACGAGGGACCGGCGCACAGGACGAGCAGGCCGCGGGTGCTCTGACCGTCGAGCCGCCGGCGACTGACAGCGCCGCGGAGGACGCCATGCTGTCACCGCGCCCTGACTGGTCTGGGAACCCTGAGGCGATGGTCGCGCGGGCGTTCGGCAGCAAGCAGGAGAGCGTCGGCACGGCAAAGGTCCACCCGCTCCCGCACAGCGAGAGCTCGAACTTGTCCGCGAGGAAGCTGCGTCGCTTCATGACTAAGGACCAGCTCATGGAGGAGAGATCGAAGAAGCCGTCGTGGTTCTCGTGGAAGGACGGGTTCAAGGCGTTCATGCTCTGCGCGTCCTCCAAGGCCGGCACTGTGTACGACCTGATCTCCGCGCCCCACGACACCCCCTACATCGACAGCAGTGACCGCATGTACCTCATTACAGGTGAGATCCGCAGCGCGTCATGCCGCGCCGCATCGCCACACCGCGAGGTGAGGTGCCGCGCCGTGCCGACGGTCAACGCCACGTGCTCGCGGCTGCAGTGGGCGAGCTGACGCGTCTCTTCCGGCGCGAGGACCTCCGCCACCGCCCGCTGTCGTTCTGGGGGTACCGCTGGGAGTACTTCCCTGGAGTCGTGGGCTTCGAGGAGACGCTGCTGCGGCTCCTCGGGACCGCCGAAGTGGACCACATGCCCCCAGCGCTAGCGCACATCGCCGAAGGCTCCGGCGCCGGCCCGCCGACGCCCGGACCAGGTCCCAGCTCCAGCTCCAAGGTCGAGCCGGAGTCGCTCCCCGCGACGGGCGAGCCCTCGCGGAAGGAGGGCAGCGTGACGAAGATTGCGTGGTGACGGGAGGAGCGCTTAATTTATTGCATGGCTGCACCTGAGCATCACGTGCAATGGCGTTGCGCCTGTGCGAGCGGTCTACGCTCGCACGAGGCAGCATGTGACTCGTCGACCCACGCGCCTCGGTTGAGTCGGAGCCAGCTGTGGATGACGGGATTGACACGCGACGCCGATGCGCGACCCGGGCGCCGTCAAAATGCGGCCCGCGTCCCAGCCCGGGGGGCGGACCCTTCTGTGACCCGCCTGCTGGGTTCGGGGCATGCGTGACGCGGTGCGCGGTGACTCCATGTAGGCCGGGCCTGACTCCGCTGGGGGATGTTCTGTTGCAGCAATACTCTCCCCGCTGTGGACGCTGATCGCCCGCTGCCCTCGTCTCCGCTCGAAATAGAGGTCCCGCATCACTTGTCGAAGGTGTGTCTGCGAGGATACGACCCACCGGTGGCCTAGAGGCAGCTGTTCGGGGAGCAGCCCCCCAGCCCTGCGATGCCGGCGGCAGAGGCGGGCTCGAAGGAGGCGGTGGAGAGCTCAGGAGATGCTTGGAAGAAGGCCATCGATGCGGTGGTGCCGTGTTGTGTCGTCATCAAGTGAGAGCGCCCGGGCAACTACCTCCAGCTGGGTGACCCCGCTGGCGCACAGAGAGCGCGCGCTTCCTTTCACTGCCCGCACTGTCGATATGATGCGTGCACATAGGACACTACAGACTGCTTTTCAGACTGCGGCAGTCCGTCCACAAGGCCAGAGCGATCACGTTGCAGCGTTGGTGTCCCCGAGGGCGACGATCACTGGAACCGTTCTCCGCAGGGTGACAAGGACGCGCGCGTTCGACACTGAGAGCGCTGGCTCGACCTCAGGATCCGGCTTCGTGGTGGACAAGGAGCGCGGGATCATCCTCACGAACAGGCACATTGTAAGCCCGGGGCCGATCATCGCGGAGGGCATTCTGCAGGCAAGACACCGCGCACACACTGTTCCTGGGCTGCCACGTCAGCTCGCCACGCACCGCCGTCGCGACCAACGCTCCTGGGCCTCTGCGGTCAGCAAGGTGCCGCGTGGCGCGGCGCGCAACGAGCCCCGGCGCCCGCGCGACGCCGTGCGCGCAGAACCACGAGGAGGTCCAGCTCACGCCGCTGTACTACGACCCAGTCCATGATTTTGGTTTCATGAAGTTCGACCCGGCCACAGTGCGCTTTCAACAGATCGGAGATATACCGCTCGACCCCGGCGGCGCCCACATCGGCCAGGTACGGCGCGCCCGCCCGCGCGCCCCCGCCGTGTGAGTGCCCGCGAGCCGACCATCCTCGGCCTGGGTGCCCGCGCGCAGGAGATCCGCGTCGTCGGCAACGACTCGGGCGACAAGCTGTCGATCCTGAGCGGGACGCTCGCGCGCCTCGACCGCGACGCCCCGAACTACGGCAAGCGCAAGTACAACGACTTTAATACCTTCTACTACCAGGCCTCGTCCGGCACCAAGGGGGGGTCCAGCGGGTCGCCCGTCATCGACGTGCGCGGACAGGCCGTCGCCATCAACGCGGGCGGCCGCAGCAACACGTCGTCCTCGGCGTACTACCTGCCCCTGCCGCGCGTGCTGCGCGCCCTCGAGATCATCCGCGCGGCGAACCGGCTGCCGCTCGCGGGGCCGTGGCACGCCGCGACGATACCTCGGGGGGATCTGCAGACGGTGTTCCGCTACGATGGGTTCGAGGAGGTCCGGCGGCTGGGCGTGCGGCCCGAGACGGAGGCGGCCGTGCGCCAGGCCATGCAGGGCTCGCCCATCTGCAACGGCATGCTCGTCGCGCGCTTCGTCGTCCCCGGCGGCGTCGCGGACGGGAAGCTCGCGGCCGGCGACGTGCTCGTGCGCGTGAATTCCGTAGTGGTGACGTCGTTCGACGCGCTGGAGGACATCCTGGACGACAACGTGGGCGGCATCGTCGAGGTCGAGATCGAGCGGTCCGGCGAGCCGAAGCGGCTGAACATCCCCGTGCAGGACCTGCACGCCGTCACGCCGCGGCGACTCCTCAACGTCGGCGGCGCCTGCCTGCACGCGCTGTCCTACCAGCAGGCCATCCACTTCTCCTGCCCCATCGCCGGACAGGTGTACGTCGCCGATCCTGGCTACGTGCTCCTGGGCGGGCCGCCGAAGTACGCGCTGCTGCGGCGCATCAACAACACCCCCGTGCGGACCCTGGAGGACGTCGCGAGGGTGGTGCGCGACGTCCCGGTGGGCAAGCGTCTCCCCGTGCAGTACGTGATGATGGACGACCGCAACCGCGTCAGGCACAAGCTGGTGACGTGGAACGTGCAATGGTTTGGTCGCCCAGTGATGTGGCAGCGGGACGACGCGCTGCAGCGCTGGCATCGCCACGAGGTGGACGCGCAGCCGGGAGCCGCCTGGCCGGACGCGCCAGTGGTGACCCGGGTGGTCAACTCCGGAGCGGTGAACGCCGTGGGTGTGGCGGTGGACGGTGAAGCGTCGGGTGACGCGGGGCCAGCGCCAGGCCGCGCTCGCGGGAAGCGCGACAAGGTTCCGGACGGGACAGGTATGCGAGAGGGCACGCAGAAGCGCAGCAAGACCGGCCACGCCGCGCAGCGTCCGCGCGGGGGCAGTGACGCTGAGATGCAGGCCCCGGCTGTGGGAGCACCTCTGGAGGCGCAGGGCGCCCGTCGGGGTGGCAGGACGGGCGCGGAGAGCGACGGCAGCGATGCCGCGAGTGGTGACGAGGCGGGCGGCGGCGGGAGCGACGCGGACGCGATCAGCGGGGGCGGCGGCGAGGGGGGCGCGCCCGACGCGGGCGGAGCCGCGGCCCCGATTCCTGTCGCGACGATCGGGGCTCTTCCGGCCCCGCCGGACGCGCTGGACTTGGACTTGCTGCAATCGATGGTGAAGCTGGACGTCAGGATCCCCTCTGTGGCGTTGGCTGACGGCGTGCACTCAAAGTCGTTCTACGGGCTGGGTCTGATCGTCTCTCTGTCTGACTCGCTCGGGATGGTGTTGACGGACCGGAACACCATCCCGATCGCCAGTTGCGACGTCATGATCACGTTCGGGGCCTTCCCGTCAGAGACGCCAGCACTTGTGCGCTTCCTTCACCCGCTGCACAACTTCGCGATCGCCACCTTCGACCCGCGGGAGGTCGCGGAGGAGGCGCGCGTGCAGCTCCGCGCAGCCACTCTGTCGGTCAAGCCGTTCGTGCGCGGGGAGCGGGTCGTGCTTGCGGGCTTGCAGGGTTCGAGCAAGGTCGTGCGCAAGGACACCAAGGTCCTGACGACCGCGGGGATCTTGCAGATGCGCGGCGCGAAGGTGCGAGCACGCGCCGAACCAGACAGTGCGTACGCGCCGCTTGCCCGAGTCGAAAGTGCACTTGTCAGTCATCACAGTCCGCAACCACTCCGCGGAGGCGCCACTCCTGCGACCGCTACCCGCATCCGGGTACTTGAGCCATTGACTGCCCGCTTGGCTTGACTGTCCGCGGCATGCAGGCTCCTCGCTTCCGCGCCGTGCACGAGGAAGCGGTGATGTTGGAGGACGACTTCGGCTCGCGGTTCGCAGGCGTGCTCTGCGACCACCACGCGTGTGTTCGAGGGTTGTGGGGCAGCTACTCCGACCACTCCTCCGCCGGTAACCACGAAATATGCGCCGGAATGCCCGCCATCGTGTTCGTTCCGTGGCTCGCGGAGGTAGCGCGGTCCCTGAGAGCGGGTCCCGCAGCGCTCGAGGAGCTGTCAGTGCGCACCCTCGGTGCTGAGGTGGTGCCGCACAGCCTGAGCACGGCCGCGCAGCACGGAGTGCCCGCCGCGTGGGTGCAGCGTCTGGCGTCCATCGATCCGGAGCGGCGGCAAGCCATGCGGGTCAGCTCGCGCCTGCAGGGATCGCATGCGCACGAGGTGCTGGAAGACGGGGACTGGCTGCTCGCGGTGTCGAACTGCCCCGTCGTCGGGTGCTGCGGCCTGCAGCAGCTCGTGTGCCCCGTCATGGGCCAGGTCGCGGCTGAGCAGGCTGAGGAGGCTGCGAGGGTGCGCAGCTGGCGGGACTCGGTGTCCAGGCTGCCGCGCACGCTTCTGGATGCCGTGCGCGGTGCGATGTTTGCGCGGAAATCCGAGGTCGGCGAGCGTGTCGAGGTAACAGACCTGCGGCGTCTGACGGTGTGTCGCGACGGGAAGGTGTTTGACATCGACGTCAGGCTAGAGCGGGAATCTGGAGGGGGCACGCAGAGGCTGGTGTCGTGGTGCGGCGCGACGATACAGGACGCACACTTGCCTGCCAGGATGCGGGCGGTGTCGCAGGAGGGGGTGTACATTTCGCGCTACGCGCACGGGTCGCCGGCGTACAGGTTCGGGCTGGCTCCGACCTACTGGCTGCTGTCTGTCAACGGCATCGACACCCCGACGATCGACGCTCTGATAGAAGCCGTCAAAGGTGCGGATCGATGGCGGACGCTTCGCTTCACGAGCAGACGTTGCCGACTGACGTGCACTTGTGGGACGGAGATGAGTCTGCTTGACCTGTCGCTGCGTCGCATGCCTCGCGGTGCAGGTATCAAGCACGGGCAGTACGTCCCCGTGAAGACCATGAACCTTCAGGGCACTCCGAAAGTGCTGACGATCAAGCCCGACCTGGTGTACTGGCCAACTGCCTGCCTGCAGGCCGATCCGCACACAGGGCGGTGGGGCCTGCAGGCAGTCACCGCGGCAACGCAGTAGTGACCTGCCCGCGTGCGCAGTGCAGGCGCTCTCGAGAGCGCCCTCGCGCTCAGCTCGCAGCAGGCTGTACAGCGTCCCCCATGCATGCCAACATTCATCTCCCTCCGCCCGCGTCGGTCGCGACCAGGGGATGAAAACATCGCCCGAAGATGCGATGTATCCGTCGCGGCACGGTGCGCGGCACGTCGCCGAGATCGACGGGCGCTCGCACCCACGACGGGACGAATGTTCCTGTCGCAGGATGGCCTCGACATCACATCGCTGTAAGACATCCGAATCGCTCGCGGTGGCCCGATGCAGATCCTCACAGGCAGCTGACGTCGCGCAAGTCCCTCCCAGAGACGTGTCGTAGGCCAGTACTTGAGCACCTAGTTTGTGATCGTTTCAATAATAGCTCAGATTGCTCGTGGCTGGGGGCGCCGTCTGGCCGCTCACCGTGCTTTCCGGATCCGTGATTTCCGCGGCAGCGGTCGGATGCCCCGCGAGGCCCAGGTCCACTGGCCCGGCACACCCCCCACTGACGTGGTGCATGTGTGCCAACAGCAGCACGTACAGGTGCAGCAGCACGAGGTAGCCCGCGACGCCGACGCGCACGAAGGGCTTCGCGAGCAGCACGCGAGCCACGTGCACTCCGAAGGTGTCAAACGCCGCCACGCCCTTCCCTGCCACGTCGGCCCATTTGGTGCCCTGCAGGCGCTGCATGCCCTGCTTCAGCAGCGGCGCCTGCGCAGCACGGCGCACAAGCCAACAGCCTCAGCACCGCACGAGACTCAAGCGAGCTCCCTCCCTCCAGGCAGTATGCGGCGGGCACGTACCGCTGCAAGTCGGTTGAACTGTCCCGCCGAGACCGCGAACGCCTCGTCGGCGTGCAGCTCGTCCTCGTCGTCGGCGTCCATGCCCGCCTCGATGTCCCGCCCTGGCTTGCGCTTGACAGTGTTGCCGGGCGTGTACGAGCTCGCCGCCACGTCGTCCTTCGCGCGCGCAAGAATCTCCTCTGCACGTCAACGAACAGCACGGAACCTCGTCCGCATCAGGGCACGCTCGCCGCGACAGCAGCACGCGGCAACCCCGAGTGATGTTGCGCGCGAGACACGCACCTGCTGGGGGCGCCACTGACGGCGGCAGCGCGGGGGGCTGCTTCCGCGCCGCCTCGAGCTCCGCGCGCGCCTCCTCGAGCTGCTGGGCCAGCTCGCCCGCGCGCGCCTCGAGCCCCGCAGCCTGGCCGCGCAGACCCTCTGCAGCCGCCTCCGCCTCCGCGCGGCGCTCCCGCTCCTTCCGCACAGCGCCGCCGACGGCGCGCGAGGCCTCTGCGAGCTCGATCGCCGCCTGCGCCGCCGCGGACAGCGCCTCCGCGGCCGGGCCCTGCGTGCTCTGCACAAGCTCTGAGAGACCCCCGGGGACGTCGGCGTCCGGAACGTCGCCGCTGCCCGCCGCGGCGTTCAGGGCCGCAGTGACGGCGCGGACGACGGAGGCCACGTGGTCGACGGCGTCGGACACCTCCCGAGACTCCCCCATCTGCGCAACCATGCTCTGGGTGTCGGCCAGCGCCTGGGACAGCTCGTACGCCGACTGCTGCGCCTCGGCCAGGCTGGCCTCCGCCGAAGCTGCACGCGCCGCTGCGCGTTCGGCCTCGGCGGCCGCGCTCTCCCGACTCGCCTCGGCCTGCACGCACACGCACCCGCATGCACGTCACACCAACGCCCACGCCGCCGCCACGCACGCGCTTGCGCTGTTGCGTCGCGCTCCCACCCGCAATCTCGCACCTGTTCGAGCGCGGCGCGCACGTCGGCGATCTCCCCCTCCAGCACCTGCAGGCGACCAAGGGCCTCCCCCGCCTGCCCGTGCTCCTGCGCCGCCTGCAACGCGCACGACGCAGCCACACAGCGCACGTCTGGCCGGACAAACAGACGGCGCACGCCCCGGCACGCATGGGCGGCAGCCGCTCCGCCGCAACGCGAAAAACGACGGCATTGGCAGCGGCGCAGGGCGCGACGCATAATCTGGCTGTCTCGACGCGCGCACCTCCTCCAGCTGCCCTTTGAGCCGTGCGACCTCCGCCCTGGCGGCCTCGGCCTCCGCCCTGGCCTCCTCCGCCGCCCGCCAGCCCTCCTGCGCCTCCGCAGTCCTCTCCTCGCGCAACTGCCTCGCCTCCTCCCGCACGCGCCGCGCCGCGTCGTCCGCGTCCGCAAGCTCCGCCCGCACCTCCTCCAGCTCCTCCCGCAGCCGCCGCACCTCCCCGTCGGCCCGCTCCGCCGCGGCACTCGCCTCCTGCGCCGCCGCCTCCGCCGCGGCCACATCCTCCTTCGCCTGCGCCAGCGCCGCCTGCAGCTCCGCCTCGCGCGGCCGCGGCGACGGCTCGGTGTCGAACAGCGGGTTGGTCGCCACGCCGGCGCCGCCCTCCGCGCCCCCGTCGCCCCACGAGTCGTTCCAGCCCTCGCCCGCAGCACCGTCGCCGCCCCTCGCCGCCTCGGCCGCGTCGGTGCGCGCGCGGAGCTCCCCGAGCTCGGCCTCGAGCTCCAGCGCGCGGTGCCGCGCGGCCCGCAGCTCCCCGTCGACGCCCTTGAGCTCCTCCTCCAACTCCCCCCTGACACCCTCCGCCTCCTCGCACCGCGCACGCAGCGCCTCGCACTCCGCCCGCGCCGCAGCAGCCGCCTCCTCCACGCGCTCCGCCGCCTCGCGCTGCGCCGCCTCCGCCGCTCGCTCTGCCTCCTGCAGCCGTTCCGCAAGCTGAGCCACCTCGTTGCGCGCCGTCTCCGCGGCCTCCTCCGCCTCCCGCAGACGCTCCGCCGCCTCGTTGCGCGCCGTCTCCGCGGCCTCCTCCGCCTCCCGCAGACGCTCCGCCAGCTCCGTCGCCTCGTTGCGTGCCGCCGCTGCCGCTGGCACTGACAGCGGCGTCGCTCCATCCCACCCGTCCCATCCGTCCCGCTCCCACTCCCCGCCGCCGACCTGGGCCGGCGTCGCGGGCGCCTCCGCCTCCGCGTCCTTTGCCTCCCGCGCCGCCGCCAGGTCGGACTCGAGCTCCTCGCACCGCGCACGCAGCGCCGCGTGGCGCTCCTCCGCCTGAGCCAGGGCCGCCTCCAGCTCCTTGCGCTCCTTCTCGATGCCCTTGCCCTTCTTCACGGCCGCGTGCAGCTTCTTGCGCAGGTCCTCGGCGCCGCTCCCGGCCCCCTCCGCTGCCCGCACCCTCCCCTCGGCCTCGCTGCACCGCGCCTCTAGCTCGGCGCGCTCGCGCTCCGCGGCCTCCAGCGCCGCCTCGAGATCCGCGCACTGCTGCCGCACGTCGTCCACCTCGCCCTGCAGCGCCGCACACCGCGCGCCCTCGTCGTCGCGCAACTGACTCAACTCCCCCTCCACCGCCCGCAGCTGCTCCTCAGCCTCCGCACGCGCCACGCGCTCGCGCTCCTCCGCCGCCTCCGCGCGCTGCGACGCCTCCGCGGCCGCCGCCTCCGCGTCCCGGCACGCCGCCTCCGCTGCCGCCACCCGCCCCGCCAGCTCCGACGCGCCCTCCGCGCCCTCCCCGAGCTGCTTCTCGAGCTCCGCCGCGCGCACCGCCGCGCCCTCGGCCTCCTCCCTCGCCTCCGCGACCTCCGCCTCCAGCTCCCCCACCCTCCGCGCCGCACCCCGCAGTTCCTCCTCCAGCCCCGCAACGCGCCCCGCCGCCTCCGCAGCCGCACCGACCTCCTTCTCCAGCTCCGCGCAGCGCTCCTCCGCGGCCCGGCGGGCCTCCTCGGCCGTCGCGACCTTTGCCGACAGCTCCGACGCCCCCTTTGTGCCCTGGCGCAACTCCCTCTCCAGCTCCGCCACGCGCTCCGCCGCCCGCGCGGCCTCCGCCTCCGCCGCAGCGACCTTCTCGCTCAGCTCTCGGACGCGCCCCTCGAGCTCCGCCTCCGCCTCCGCCGCCCGCGCCGCCCGCGCCGCCGCGCGCTCCGCGTCGCTCTGCACGCCCTCCAGCACCTCCTGCGCCGCACGCAGCTCCCCCGCCAGCCCCTCCGCACGCTCCTCAGCCGCCGCACGGCCCCGCTCCGCCTCACCCTGCGCCTCCCGCGCCGCCTCGAGCGCCTCCGCGTGCACCGCGGCCGCCTCCTGCGCCCTCTGCGCACTGGCCGCCTCCACCTCCGCCACCTCGCGCTCCCGCTGCTGCAGCTCCCCCGCGAGCCGGTCCAGCTCCCCGAGCTGCTCCTCGAGCGACCGCCGCGCCGCCTCCGCCCGGTCTCGCGCCGCGCGCGCCTCCGCGGCCTCGGCAGCCAGCTCCGCCACGCGCCCCTCGCCGCCAGCGACCGCAGCGGCGAGCTGCCGCTCCGCCGCCGCGCGCGCCTCCTCTGCTGTCGCCGTGCGCTCCTCGAGCTCCGCACGCACCCGCGCCCACTCCCCCTCCTTGCTCGCATACTCCCCCCGCGCCGCCTCTGCGTCCGCCTCCGCTCCGGCGACGCGCGCCCGCAGCGCCGCCATCGCCTCCTCCGCCCCCTCCGTCTGCTCCTGCAGCGCGCGGTTCGAGCTCTCCAGCGCCCCGCGCAGCGCCTCGCACTCCTCCTGCGCCGCACGCGCCGCAGCGTCCGACGCCTCCTTCTCCGCGCCGAGCCGCTCCACGTCCGCCTGCAGCGAGTCCAGGTCGCTCCCGAGGTTCTCCGCGGCCGTGGCGGCCTCGTCCGCGCGCGCACGGTGCTTCCCGACCTCCTGCTTGAGCCCCTCCGCCGTCGCCAGCGCCGCGTCCCGCGCCGCGCGCAGCTCCTCGACGCTCGCCGTCAGCTTCGCGACCTCGCCGGCGCCCTTCGCCGCGTCGACCTCCGCGGTCAGGCGCTCCACCGCCGCGCGCGCGTCGTCCCGCTCCGCGCTCAGCTCCGCAATCCGCGCCTCGAGCCGCGCCGCCGCCGCCGCCGCCTCCCTCTCCCCGCGCTCCCTGCACAAACACACACCGCGCACGTCGTCACGCGCCGCACACACGCGGCCGACCCCGACGACCGCACCGCCAGCACCAGTCAAGCGTAGGCCGTCCAACGCATCACGCGTCCGCCCCCCGCGCACCTGGCGTCCTCGAGCTCCTGCAGCCGCTCCTTGCTCTTCACGAGCAGCTCGTGGTACTGCCGGTGCTCCTGCTCCATGGCCACGCGCGCGCGCACCTCCTCGTCCTTGTCGCCGCGCAGCACCCGCAGCGACTCCTGGTGCCGCACCGCGTCGATCCGGTGCGCCTCCGCCGACCGCCGCGCCGACCCCACCTCGTCGCGCGCCGCCGCCGCCTCCGTGCGCGCCTCCTGCAGCTGCTCCTCCAGCTGCTCCACTGCCCGCTCGCGCTCCTGCGCACGCCCCAGCAGCCCGTCGAACTGCGCCTGGAGCGCCTCGGACCGCTGCCGCAGCTCGTCCGCCTCCGCGCGCACCCGCGCCAACTCCCCCTCCAGCTCCTCCGCGCGCCCCCCGCCCGCCGCGCCCTCCGCGAGCATCCCCTGCATCGCCTCGATCTTCCCCGCCTGCGCCTCGAGCGTCGCGCGGAGGTCCTCGTTCTCGCCCGCCAGCCGCCGCTTGTCCGCCTCCAGCTGGTCAATACTCCCCTTCAGCTTCTTGCACTCCCCCACCGTGGCCTGGTGCTCCGCGACCGCGCGCTCCATGCGCGCCTGCAGGCCCTCGATGTGGTCCTCGATCTCCTCGTGCACCGCGAGCCGCTCCCGCATCTCCTCGCGCTGCCGCTGCGCCTTGTGCTGCTCCTTCACCGCCGCGTCGCGCTCGGCACGCAGGCGCTTGGCGTCCGCCGTGCGCTCCTCGCACTCCGCCGCGAGCGCGCGCAGACGCTCCTCGAGCTCCTGCGCGGACGGCGCGGCGCGTGGGCGCAGTCACGACGCCGTGGCGCGACATGCCCACAACTAAACACCAAATGAGTAGAAAACAAATATGCGAATCGACGCAATGGCACCACACGAACGAACGACGCTCGCAGAGGCGCGCGTCAGCACGGGACCGAGCGCGGTGCGGACCGCCGCGCGTCCGGGCGCGTCGCGCGGGCGCGCACCTGCAGGCGGGCGCCGGGCACGTCCCCGCTGCCCCACCCGGCCTTCAACTGCGCGGCGAGGGCGTCCTTGTCCCGCTCGATGGCCTTGCCCTTCTTGACCGCGTTCTTCAGTTTCTCCTTGTACGTCTCCGCGTCCCGCCGCGCCTGCTCGAGCTGCACTTCGAGCGTCGACACGCGCCCGCCCGCCTTGGCGTCGGTGCTCCGCCTCTCCACGTCCAGGCGCGCGCGCAGGGAGTCGGCCTCGGAGCGCGCCTCGCGCAGCTCGCTCTGGAGAGCGGCGATCGTCTCGCCTGCGGGGCGGGATCCGGACGCGCGGCGGTGTTCGGCGCCTGCCGGGGTTGGGGCTGCAGCGTGCGGGAGGCGGTGCGGGGTGAGGTCGCGGGGGGCGGAGGGCCTTGCCTGCGGATTCGTCTCGAGCGAGACGCGAGTTCTCGATCTCCTCCTCGAGCCTGATCACTCTGCGGGAGCCGGGGCGGCGCACGCGACGGTGACGCGCCTAGAGTGCTGGGCGGTGGACTCGCCGTGCCCGTACGGCGCGCGTGCACGTCCCGGACAAGCCCGAATCATCGCGGGCGGATGTTCATCGATCCCGCAACGGGTTAGCGGCACGTCAGGGGGCCGAGGTGCCACATGCAGCGCGGACGGGCGCTGTCACGCAGGACAGGGAGCAACCACCCGCAGCCCCGCGGTGCCCGCACCTGCCGTGAGCATCGGACAACCTCTCCGCGGCGCGCGAGAGCTCCTCTTCGCGGTGCTGGACCAGGCTCTCCAGCTCGGCGATCTTCGCATCCTGGTCCATCCTGCCTGCAGAAGGAGCCAGAGGCGAACCCGCCTGCGCACCCGCCTCTGGGGCTTCCTTTTCCGGCGTGAAGAACGCCTCGGAGTCGGCCTCTTTCGCCGGTCGCTCGGGCGTGGGCGGCGCCCGGAGGCCAGGCACCCCCGTGGGTTTGAAGCCAGCTGTCCCGCTCCCAGCCGCGCCGCCCGACTGTGGGGAGTTCTGCTGTCTGGCGGTGCGGCCGCTCTGCTTCCTCCGTCGGTAGTCGTTCAGCTGCGACGCACGCGCGCACTCGTAAGGCGGCGGGGCTCGGAGCTGCTTGCTGTGTCGGCGGGAGACGCCCCACGACGCGCGGCCGAGATGCGGAGGGAACACGCAGCCGCGGGGCAGGGAAACGGCGGAGAATGTCGCTGCACGCCACGCAGACGCATGCCGGCCGGCGCGCCGTGCGCGTCGCGGGGCAGCCGGACGCCCGGAGGTTTGATCACGGGAGAGGCAGCTTGCTGGTCGCACGCACGGTGGTGGCGCGCGCCGCGAACGCATCGGCGCGCTCGCGGAGCTCACCTTCTTCAGCTCAGCGTCGCGCATCTGGTCCGCGCTGCGGTCCGCCATGCCGCCGGGCTTCGCGGGCGCACCGGTCCGCGGCGAGGCCTAGGCCGCTGGCCGACGTGAACGGCCCTCGCGTAGCTCCACTGCTGCGTCGTGCGGCCGCGCAGCGCGCTCGGTCGGCAACGTGCGCCGGAACGGCGACCGTCGCTGCCGATCCAGGGCCCCACGTGACCCACGTCAGTCAGTGGGGGGGGTTGATGATCCGCGGCGGCGATGCGGCGCGACGCGCCACGGAGAGGAGCAAGCGCGCAGCCAGTAGTACGCTCGCACGCGTCACATCTTCGCGCCACCACTGCGTCCGACCAAGCACCGAGCGCCAGCCCTCACGTCCGCCGCGCGCCGCGATTCGACCCCAGCTCCTCCGCGATGGTCGCCCCCTCCTCGAGCACCCTGTCCCGCACAGTGTCCATCCCGAACTTCCGGATCTTCTTCCGGAACGACCGCTTACGGCTGAAGGCCTTCTCCACGGGCCGCCCTGCCTCCACCGCCAGCTTGATCGTCTCCGCCAGCTGCGCCTGGTCCGGCGCGTACAGCGACGTCACCCAGCCCTTCGAGCCCGCCCTGCAGACACACAGCCGCGCGACACGGCTTTGAATATATAAGCATGACATAAATCGATGAAAAAAAACCACTGTTTGCAAATAGGTGTGTCTTCTGCCGTTCTTGCGCGGCGGGGCGGCCTCACCGCGCCGTGCGCCCGATCCGGTGGATGAAGTCGATCGCGGTGTTCGCGAACTGCCCCTGCACCACGTGCACCACCCCCGGCACGTCGACCCCGCGCGCCGCCGAGTCGGTGCACACCATCAGGCCCCCGCTGCCGGCACGGAACTGCTCCATCGCGAGCGCCGCGTCCCGCGCGGGCAGCCCCCCGCGGTAGAGCACGCAGTCCACCCCGGCGCGCCGCAGCACGTCGTGCGCCCTGTCCGCGGCGCCCTTGCCGTTGACAAACACCATCGTCTTGCCCTCCGCGGGCGGCCCGCTGCGCACGGCCTCCTCGAGCGCCTCCTCCCAGTGCTCCGCGGCGACCTGCAGCCAGCGGTGCCGCACGTCCGCCTTGCTGCGGTGCAGCTCCGCGCCGTTGACCCACACCGCCTCGGGGTGGTCCCGCAGCACCATCTCGACCACACCGCGCTTGCCCGTGTGCGGCATCGTCGCGCCCGCGAACACCAGCTGCCGCTCCCAGTAGAACGGCTCCTCGCCCGTCGCCTTCCCGCTCTTCCCCAGCAGCTGCACAACGAGCACGGAGACACGCAGACAACAACTGAGGCTCCAACCGCCTAGATGGCGCGGAACGACGCCAAGCAAACCGACCCCGCCTCGCGCGCGGCGCGCCGCACCTTGAGCAGCGCCTTCGGTCCCTCGCGGTTCATCGTCTGCCGCGCACGCAGCGGCAGACTCTGGATCTGGTCCTCCGTGACCTGCAGCTCGGCCATCGCCGCGAGCTGCCGGCGGCGGCGGTCCCCGAGGCGGAGCTTCTCGAGCAGCCTGTCGAGCGACTTGGCCTCGGAGCCCTGCAGCAGCGCGTCCGCCTCGTCCATCACCACCGTACGCACCGCCGACAGCATCCCGTCCAGCATGTTGCCGCGCCCCCCTGCACCGCACGCCCGGTCGCGTCCACCGTCGGACACGCACACGCGCGCGGGCGGGCGCCCCAAGCGAGCAGCGGAGGCGCCGGCAGCTGCACGTCGCGTGCGCACCTGCGCGGGGGTGTTCGCTCCAGTAGAGCTCCTCCATGTGCGCGAGCAGCGCGGCGGGCGTCGTCACCGCGACCTCGACCGGCTCCGGGGCGTACGTGGACGCGTTGTACCTCAGCGACGACACCAGGGGGGTCCCGTCGGGGCCTTGCAGCGCCTGCAGGACGCCCAGCACCTGCTCGCACAGGACGCCCGTGGGGCACAGGACGAGCGCCTGCACGCCGTCCACGTAGCGCCGCGCCTCTCCGGGCGCGTCGGCGTCGCGTGCCCGGGCGGCGCGTGCGGCGATGACCTTGGAGACGACGGGCGCGAGGTACGCAAGGGTCTTGCCGCTGCCCGTCTCGGCCGCGACGACGGTGACCTTGCCCGCGACGATCTCCGGGATCGCGTCCGCCTGGATCGCCGACGGCCTGCGCGCGTGAGAGGAAGCACGGGACGCGGCATGACGCGTGCCAACAGAAACATGAGCGCGCCGGGCGCTGTGAACAGCGGTGCATGCGCGGTGTTCGCCCCCCCAGGCTATGAACACTATGCCTGGCGTCATCTCTGCCAGATATGGGGCCGAACGCGGCGCTGGCGACGGAATGCGGGTCGTTCGTCGTTGCGAGCCTCACCTCTCGAAGCCCGCGCGTTTGATGGCGTCCACGACCTCCGGGTGCAGCCCCATTTCGTCGAAACTCGTGCTCGACTCGGCGAAGAACGACGGCGCCTGGTCCACCGGGCTCTTCGTCGCCGCGCACGCATGCAGCGACCGCCCGAGCACTGCGGGCCCCCGCGGGCCCCAGACGGCGCGTGTGTTTCCCGACACACCGCACGACGCCCCCGCGAAGCGCCCCAAGAAGCGCTGAGGGCACACACAGGCCGACGTCGTGAGCCGCCGCCCCGCCCCGGCCAACCTCGACCGGAGCGGCACGGCCGGGGAGGCAAGCATCTGGCACGTCATGCGCACCGCCGCCGCCGACAGGCGCAACACTCGCTCCCTGATCGTCCTGGCTGCCGTGTTCAACCCAAGCGCATATCTGGACGGCCGTCCGCGAGTGCCGCGGCCCGGCGAGCGCCGCGCGCGACGAGCTGCTTGGCGCGACTGACGCAGCCTGCACACCCCCCCGGCGCCCGACGAGCACTGCACGGCCGGGCGTGCTCTGCGCGCACCGGCACTCGCGCCCGCCGTCCCCAGCGTGACTTGTCGCCCGTGTGTGTGGGAACGGCGACGTCGTACAACGTGACATTCAGAGTGTGGAGGGTGGGGCCCGTGGGAGGCACGTAGTCCCTCGCGATGCAGGGGCAGCAGTACGGGTCCGTTTCCGGCAGCGTAGGCGACGGCGACCCGCCGCGGGGCGTCGCGGCGGTCCGCGCGATGCTGTCGGGGGCCAAGGACCGCGTGCTGGCGATGTGGCGAGGCTCGCGGCCGCTGACGGAGCTGCTCAACCGCCACGCCTTCTCCAAGCCCGCGTCCATCTTCGACGCCGGGTCGCGCATCCGCAAAAACGTGTCCTACTTCAAGGTGCGCGTCGCGGGCCGGTCCACAGCGCAGCACTGCAGCGACGCAGCGCCCAGGCCCGACGCGCGGCCCGACGCGCACCCGAACGCCCTGCTGTGCGTGCAAGTCGCACTGCGCATGCGTGGCCAGGGAAATCCACCCCCGCAGGCCACCCTCACGCGCACGCGGCCAGCACCGCACCCGGCTCCAAGCCCCGTCGCTCTCCGCGCCCCAACCAGCGCGTTTTCCGCGCGTCCCCGCGCCCCCGCAGGTCAACTACGCAGTCATCATCGCCTTCGTCGTGCTGTTCTGCTTCATGCGGCAACCAAACACCCTCCTTACCCTCATCACTCTCACTGCTATTTGGACCTACCTCTTCGTCCTGCGCACGCCAGGTGCGCCGCAACCCACCCGCGCCCCGCCCCGCACCTCGCGCTCACCCTCGCATCCCGCCCCCGCGCCCCGACCGCCCACACCCGCGTCCCCCGCGCCCCCGCCAGCGCTCACGCGCCACCCAGCGCCCTCGCCGCAGGCCCGCTGCGGATCGGCCAGCGGGAGTACTCCCAGCGCGAGCAGACCATCATTCTGTCCATCGTGACCATCCTGGTGGTGTTTTTCTTCTCGTCCGTCGCCTCCGTGCTCTTCTCCGCCCTCTCCATCTCCTGCATCCTCATCGCCGTGCACGGAGCGTACCGGGAGCCCGAAGAAATCTTCGACGCACAGCCACCAGGTGCGAACCCGCCGACTCGCCCAGCCGCGCCGCCCCCACTCCCCCCCAACTACACGCAATCAGTCAGACGCTCAGTGCTTGCGTGCTCGCCGGTGCCGGACGCCGCGCAGGGGGCGCGGGGTCTGCGCAGTCCGTGGGCGTGCCGGGGCAGACGGATCCGCTCGGTGCGCAGATGGCGACGAGCGTGCTGGGGCTGCTAAGCAAAGCGCAGCAAGGGCTGCAGGGGTTCGCGACGGGGGGGTTGCAGGGGGGCGCGGGGGCGTCCGGGGCGGCGCAGAACGGCCCAAGCAAAGTATAGGGCGTCGGATCCACGCGAGTGCGTGAGTGATAGTGTCCGGCGCCGGCGGCCACGAAGGCTCGGAACCTCGAATGATCATTCGACCGCAAGGTGGCGAAATACTGCCAGCCGCCCTCTGCAAGGGTCGGCCGTGTGAGCCGGCGGTCCGTGCGTGTGCCAGCGCCGCGCGGTGTATGCCGAGCCGCACAGACGGGTGAGAGCGTCCACTCGGGGTGCGCCGCCACTCGTAGCTCCGGGCCGCCCCTGTCGTGGCTGTTTCTGTGACCCTCAGCAGGAACGTTCGTCCTGATCGGTGTTTTTTACAGCGATATCAGGAGGTGTCGCGAGACCCCGACCCCCCCCGCGAGGCTGCTGCCTGCGCAACGTCTGCTGCCGACCCCCCGCTGAGCTCCAGCACCTCGGCCCGCAGCGCGAAGTTCTCCTTGCTCAGCGCCTCCAGCCGGCCCTGCAGCTCCATGATCTTCCGCACCTCGTCGCTGTCCGACTGCGCAAGACCCCCCCGCCCCGACAGCGGCGCCCCGGCCGCCTCTCCGTCCTCCGCCGCCGCCCCTCCGCGCGTCTTCGCCGGCACGGCCCCCAGCACGGCGTTGAAGTACTCCGCCACCGCGTTGTCCGTCCACGGCGCCCCCGTGAGCCCCCCCTCCGTGGTCACCCACCCCAGGTGCCCCCCGTGCGGCGTGACCGCGAGGACGCAGTTCGGGTTGCGGTCGATTGCGTCGTACGGGATGGCCTCCTCGGGCGCGATGGGGTCGTCGCGCGCCTGGATGCACAGCAGCGGGATGCTGACGTCAGGGATGGCCAGGTGCGACCCGCTGCCCGCGTAGTACGCGTCGACGGACGGCCACCCGAACGACACGCGCGTGATCGCGTCGTCGAAGTCCCGGATCGTCTTCGCCGACGCCGCGTGCATCTCTCTGCGCAACACCGGGACGTCACGGGCGCTCGTGAGCGGACGCACTACAATCGAACCGCTGCGGGCAGTGCGACGTTGCGGGCGCGTTTGCGCGGCGGCCCTGACGGCTCGAGCCATCGTCGAGCGACAGTACAGATCAGGTGGTCGCTGGAGTGGGGGGTGTCTCACTGGTACTCCCCCCCGATCTCGGTGAACAGCGCGGCGTGCTTTCTGAAGATCTTCCGCAGCGCCTTCGCGAGGTTCCAGTTGTAGATGTTGTTGAACCCGCGGTTGAAGTTCCGGTCCGCGACGACCAGGTCGAACGGGTTGCACATCGACACGGCAGCCGTCAGCGGCGTCCGCGCGCCCTCCTCGCCCAGGTACCGCACGAGGATGTTGGCGCCGAGCGACCACCCCGCGGCCATCAGCGGCGCGTCCGGGTGCACCGCCGCCGCCACGTGCGCCACCACCTCGCGCGTGTCCCCCGTGAAGGACGCCGAGTAGAACTGGGGGGTAGTCACGGGGGAGTCCGAGGTGCCGCGCGAGTTGAACACCACCGACCGGATGCCCGCGCGCCACAGCCGGCCCACCGCGTGCTGCACGTACGTGTCGTGCGAGCCGCCCGTCAGCCCCGGCAGCAGCACCACCACCGGCGCGTCCGCGGGCAGCTCCGGGAGGCCCACGGGCCAGTCCAGGGCCACCGCGCCGCCGTCCTTCATGATCACCACCTCCCTGCAGGCGCGGGGCCGCACACCGGTGCGCGCGCGTCGGCGCCGCGTGCCGGGCAGACGTGACGCAGCGCGCACGGGAATAAGGGGGGGGACTCCGCGGACGGGCGGTCCCGAGACTGCGTGCGTCCACCCTCATTCCGGGACACGTGGCTCGGGGCGTTGAAATGTCGGCAAGTGCGCGGCTGCGTGCGCGCGGGGGCTCCGCGCCGCGTGCAGATACCTCGCACCAAGGACGCAGAGCACGCGTCGCAGCGCCGCGCACCTTCGGTACTCGATGCCGAGCCCCTTGCGGAAGAACGCCGCCCAGATGGTCTCGACGTGGCCGTTGCGCAGGAGCGCCGGCGCCTGGTAGGGTTTCCGCAGGGACGGCATGCTCTCCACCAGCCGGCGATTGAGCTCCGCAGCGGCGTAGTGCAGGTCCGGCGGCGAGCCGCGGGGCCGGCGCATGATCACCGTGGCCCCGACGGCCCCGATCGCCACGCCCACGCCCACCGCGAGTCCCCCCCCCGAGCTCAATTGCGGCGGTAGCATCGACAGAAGAACAGGCATTCAGCGCCGGACACGGGCCCCCTCGCGCCCTGAAGCAATCCTCGCTGGATCTCCGGTTCGAGGTCCGCTGTGTGGCGAGCGGGCAGCGGCGGGCGCGACGTATCCAGGACGCGCCGCAGGGAGCCTAGGTGCTGTGAAGGGTCGGGGGCCGTGGCGCTGCGGAAGGGCGTCGATGCGCGCGCTGACGCCGCGGGCGATGTGGCTGGAATAGGACGAGAGTGCTGCGCGGCGCGGGCGTCGCGTGGAGTCGACGGCGCGGGCGCGCGTCGCAGGTCGGACCCCTCGGCCGTGAGTCCGTCGGCGGTCCGCGCCCGGGCAGGCGTCGCGGGGCGCCATGGCCGGGCTGCGCGCGGGTGCCTCGTCCTCTTCGAGCCACAGAGAGAGTCAAGGAACCAAGATGAGCCTCAGCCAGAAGGAATCAGACGTGCAGATGATGCTTGCGGCCCAGTGCCACCTGGGCACCAAGAACTGCGACCACCAGATGGAGCGCTACGTGTTCCGCCGCCGCCAGGACGGCATCTACGTGATCAACCTGGAGAAGACGTACGAGAAGCTCGCGATGGCCGCGCGCGTGATCGTGGCGGTGGAGAACCCGCAGGACGTCATCGTGCAGTCGGCGCGCCCGTACGGGCAGCGCGCGGTCCTGAAGTTCGCGCACTACACGGGCTGCAAGGTGCTCTCGGGGCGCCACACGCCGGGCACCTTCACGAACCAGGCCCAGCGCCGGAACTTCGAGGAGCCGCGCGTGCTGGTGCTCACCGACCCGCGCACCGACCACCAGCCCCTGCGCGAGACGACCTACGTCAACATCCCCTGCATCGCCTTCTGCGACACGGACTCGCCGCTGCGCAACGTGGACATCGCCATCCCGGCCAACAACAAGGGCAAGCACTCCATCGGCGTGCTCTACTACCTCCTGGCGCGCATGGTGCTCCAGATGCGCGGCTCGCTGCCGTACGCGCAGCCCTGGGACGTCATGGTCGACCTCTTCTTCTACCGCGACCCCGAGGAGATCGAGAGGCAGGAGGAGGAGGAGGCTGCTGCCGCTGCGGGTGGCGCCGCCCTGCTCACCGAGGGTGAGGACGCCCGCCCGCCACGTATCCGCGGCTGAATCAACCCGCATCCGCACAGCCGCGCGCCGCGCCGCGCTATTGCGCCCCCGCGAGGCGCCTCGGCGGCAGGGCGCACGGCTGCGCGCCCTCTCTGGAGCGCAGCGGCCCGCGCACGCGAGGCGGCCGGCCGCGCGCGCCCGCCAGTTCGCTGCAATTCACATCCTCCATACCAGCCACGCGATCCGCTGGCCCTCTGCCTCGCGCACCGCACGGTTTGCGCCCCCAGCACCGCTCTGACGCTCCCTCGCCCCCCTCCCGCGCTGCAGGTGGCGAGCTGGCCGCCGCTGACACGGCCATCCCGTCCTACGAGGTCAACATGGCCGAGACCCCCGCCGCCCCGGCCGCTGGGTACTAAGTCCAGGACGCGGGGCGGGGCGGTGGCTGCTGCGTGAGCGGCGCCGTCGCCCCGCCCACGGACACATGCGCGCGGGGGAGGTTGCCGTGAGGGTCGCGGCCGCTGCAACACTCGTTGTCTCCCCCACCTCTGTCTGCCCTCCGGCGCCCGGGGCCGCGCCGTCCTGCGAGTGTTGGCTTGCGCGGCGTGCCTCGGGCGCTCGGCGGGAGATGGCACATCTGCCCACCGTTCTAGGCCCCCATGCACCCTGAGGGCTGCAGATGGCCGCTGTTCCGACCGGCGGAGCGCCCCGCGCGCCCTGCGACGACCCCGCAGGGCCGCTGGGCGCCGAGCTGGCTGGCTGTTCCCGGGTCTCGCACCCATTGACATCTGTGGCTCAAAAAAACACCAAAACCCAAAAACTTTCAAAACAAACTCGGCCCGGGCTCCCTGTGACTCCGACGCCGAAACCGCGCCCCCCGCGCCCCTGGCATCACCAGTCCTCTGCCTGCGCGCTCGGTCGCAGCGCCGACGCCGCCGCCGCCGCCGCCGCGCCGGCCGCCCCACAGCGCCGCCCCTGGCACGCGCGACCTGCGGGCCCCGCCAGCGACGCTCCGACGCGAGCAGCCCTCCGGCGCACCTCTTGCCCCTTCGCCCGCGTGCGAGCCCCACCCGGGTGGCCGCTCCGCGACCGCGGGGGCGCGGCCGCACGGCGCAGCAGCTGCCCCGCCGGGCGCGTCCGTCGCGCGGCGCGTGCTGTCGATGCGGCGCGCGCTCCACGTCCGTGCCGAGCGTCGTGGTGGTGCACATCAAGAGGGAGCCGTTGTCGATCGTGGGGGGCGCTGCTGCTGGCGCGCGTGGGAACTGTAGCACGGGCGGTCCCCGCTGCGGCGCCCGCAGCACCTATGAGTGGGCGGCCCGGCGTAGCCCGCACCGGCGGTCGGTCATGCCGCGGCGGGGGGCTGTACATGATTCTCCCCGGCCGCGACATGTGGGCGCGAACAGAAGGGCTCCTCCGCCGCGCCGGGTCCGTCACTATCGCTGTCGTCGGTTGCGCGCACGACTTGCCGTTTGGAACCACGGACGCCCGACGTTGCCCGGGAATCTGCAGCTCATCAGGTCTGAGCGTTCCCGCTCGAGCGAGCCCGAGCGCCCCTATTGGGGCCGAGGCGTGGAGGTAGAGCGGGCGAAATGACGAGCCTAGATGAGTACAGGGCGGGAACGGTTCGCGCGAGCATGAAGACGAACGCGCTGCTCCAGCCTGCCGAGCTCGGCAAGGTGAGCCGCTCCCGCGTCCCGCGCTCTTGCGTCCGCGCGCATCTGGGCCAATCTTTTCCTGCTATCCGCAGCTCGGTCGAAGCACCGACTGCGCCCTGGCGCAGGCTCGCTTCGCGGCCCAGATGTTACCCACCTGCGCATCAGCGCATTGCTGCACCACGCGCGAAGTCACCCATGTTGCGGCCTAGCCACCTCCTTCCTGTCTTCTGGAATGGATCTCCCCCCTCTGACTGGCCGAAAGCTGCCTCAGAACGGAGAGACTGAGCGCATGGCGTCGCCGGCACCGAGCACCCGTGGGCCCGCCAGCTGCCCACGCTGCCTGCCCGAAACTGTCTCCACGCGGGAGGATCGTCGCCTAGTCGTCCCCCGTCCGCAAAAATCTCGGCTCGCGACGTCCTCCCCGGCGCGTACGGCGCCCCCGTCGCATGTGTGTGGGAGCACGCCCACCCCACCGCCCCCTCCCGCGCCGCGCCGCTCCGCAGCCGAAGAGAATCCTCTTCAACAACCCACCGCCGAGCCGCGTCTTCGGCATGCCCAAGAAGATGGACGCTGAGAGCTCACGGGACGTGATCATGTACTGGCAGGTGCGCACCAGTCGCGGACCCCGCACACACACCGCGCGCGCCGCACCCGCCCAGCAACGCCGCCGACGCACCGCCGAGGCCGTCGTCCACCACACCAGCGAGCAAACCGCGCCGCGGCGCCCCCTACCGCTGCGGCGTCGAGCGTCGACCATGCGAGGCGCCATTCACAGCCATGTCCCGCGCATCGCGCACAGGGGCGTTTCTCGGCCCGTTTCTCCCCGTGCCACCACCGCCCTGATGTTCTTCTCCCCCGGCGCCGAAGACGGAGCGCGTGTGGCGCCGCACGAGCCCGCGGGGACCACCAGCATGGCCGGCGGAGTGACGCGCGCTGCCCCGCCCCGTGTCCGCAGGAGCACCGCGGCGCCGCGGACGAGGCCCCCGGCCCGGACTTCTGCACGATGAACAAGCTCGCGACGATCAACGGCAACGTCACCGCGAAGCAGCACGCGGACTTCCGCAAGTCCAACCCCGTGGCGCTCCCCGGCGCGGGCGAGACCACCCGCCGGACGCGCGCGACGCTGCCCTCGGACCGCGACCGGCGCTTCACGTACGGCTGCCCGTCGTCCTACAAGCCGCTCGAGGTCCTCCGGCGCACGGGCGAGGACTGCGACATGCAGTCGCTGATGCAGGGCGCCTACGTCTACGAGTGGGTGCGCGCGAACCAGTCCAAGGAGGCCATCCAGCGGGAGCAGAACCGGAAAATCGAGCCGCGCGCCACGCTCGCGACGGAGGGCCACGCGCGCGGGTCGGCGATGCGCCGCGCGGGGCGGCCAGTGCGGCCCTCGGACACCTTCAAAATGAAACGGTTCGCCGGGGTCAAGAGCAAGCTCACGGCGTCGCACGAGGGGGCGCCCGAGGCGGCCGCGGAGGCCGCGGAGCAGGCCGCGATCGCGCAGACCGCGGCAGCTGCGGAGGCGGAGGCGGCGGCGGCGGCAGCGGAGGCCGAGGCGGCCGAGGGGGAGTGACCGGGCGTGTGGGGGCCGGAACAGTGCCAGGGCGAGGGTCTCTGGCACTGGCTGCGTGTGACTGGCGTGTGACGTTGAGCAATTGACGCAGCCAGCGCCGACGTCGGGGCATCAGTCGTCATGTTGTGCATCACGGGCGACTCAGCATCAGTCTAACAACCAGTGCCGTCAGGTCTACCAGCTGCTGCTATCCGACGAAGTCCCCGAAGTCCCCCTCGCCCCCCCCGCCCGTGAACTCCCCGAATTCGTCCCCCGGGGGGGTCTGTGGCTTCGTCTTCTTCCCGCGCGCCGCCCGCATGCTCACCGCCGGCCCGCGGGCGCCCGCGCTCGCCCCCGCTACTCCCCGGCGCGCAATGCGCGGCTCCGCGGCGCTGAGATCCGAGAACAGCGCGGAGTCGGCTCCCTGGTCTGACCGGTCCTGCTGTGGCCCAGCGCGCGTTGCCGGTCCCGCGCCCAGGATCCCCGCCGCCTGCGCAAAGCTCTGCGGCTTCTGCTCCGACGCCGGCTTCTCGCCGGGCTTCAGCGGCACCCACGACGGCTTCACCGGCCCGCTGATCTCCTCCGTGGCCGCAGAGGCTCCGGGCGCCGCCGCGGGGCCGAGCGGCTGCGGCGCCGGGTGCGGCGCGAATGACCAGGACGACGATGCCGCCGGGGGCGGGGCCGCAGAGGGCTCTCCGCTCTGATGCGCGTCGGCAAAGTCGCCGAAGTCGTCCTCGCTGAGCTGCAGCGGCTGGAGCGACGAGGGCCCTGCCGGGGCGGAGGACGCAGGGTCCGGCAGCGTGGTGCCCGCAAACGTCGGCGTGGGTGGCTGCACCGCAGCAGCGCCAGCGCCCCACACAGAGAGCCCTGGCAGCGGCGCTGGCGGTCGTTGCGGTGAGGGCCCCGTCGACGCTACCTGGAACAGATGCGACGCGCCCTGCGGCGCGGCGTCGTGCGGCGGTCCAGACGCTGCCGCGGCGGACATCGCTGCTGTCAGGCCGGGGGGAGTCCCGCCCACAGGCTCCCCGAAGTCGAGCGGTGACAGCGGGTCGCCCGCGAGCGGCTGCGAGGCGGTCGGCTGCGGCGGCGGCGTCGCGCCCTCGAAGCCCCCGAACTCGTCGTCGCCCGCGTCCGCACCGCCCGCCGCGGCGACCTCCTGCGACGCAGCAGCAGGTTCCGGCGACGGTGGCCCTGTGGTGTCCCGCGCCGTCTGTCGCCGCCCCGACGAGTCCAGAAACTCGCCGAAGTCGTCATCCGCGTCCGCGTCCGCGTCTCCCGTGCTGAACTGCGCGACCGACGGCGGCCCTTGCGCGTCGTACCCCCGCGCAGCTCCCTCCAGCCCCACGCCCTCCGACGACGCAACCGACGCAGCGACGCGGTTGTCCCCCTGCGCGCCCATCCGCGGAGTCACGTACGGCATCCCAGGCAGCCCCGCGCGGCGCCCGCGCCCGCGTCGGTCCCCCCCCGCCACCGCAGGAGAGAGAATGCGTTGAGCAATGCGCGCCAGCTCCGGGGGCACGCCGCCCCAGCGCGTCGGCGTGTCCGTGCCGCTGACGCCCACGTTCATGCTCCCGCTCGCCGCGAGCTCCTCCCACGCCTGGTTCTCGCGCAGCGCCGGCAGATGGCTGTGCGTGGTGCTGGCGACAGAGAACGCCGACAGCGACGCGGTGTCGAGCTCCGGCGCCCCCCACGCCTCGCGCTCGCCCTCCTCCGACCGCGTCGCCGTGCCGGCTTCCGAGAGCGCGCTCCCGACCCGCGCCCCGCCCACGCGCCGCCCGCCAGGCGGCGGCCCCCCGCTCGGCCCCGCGCCGCCCGCGACGCTCGCGCCCCGGCCGGCCACGCTCATCCGCGACCCCTCCCCGACGCTCGAGATCTCGTCCCGCACGTCCGCGCCCCGCTCGGCCCCGCGCCCGTCCCGCAGCGACACACTCCGCGCGGACAACCCCTCCCCCCACTCCCCCATGGCACTCCACGCCGCGTACACCGACCCGCTCGCCACCGTCACGTTCCCCGGCCCGTGCGTCGACCCCTCCGACGGCTGCCGCTCCGGCCCCGCCAGCAGCCGCTCCCGCTTCTGCGCCAGCGCCGTCGCCCACGAGTCGAACTCCTCCAGCTCGTCCTGCGGCACCTCCGACCCCGCGTCGCTCGGGGCCTGCGCGGGCCGGTCCACCGCCAGCGCGCCGCGCACCGAGCTGCGCCGGATCGGCGGCGGCCCGAGCGCCGGGAGCCCCTCGGAGGGCCCCACGTACTCCTCGAAGTGGTCGCTGAACTCGTCGTCGTCGCCGTCGTCGTTCTTGCGCGGCGGGGACTCCGGGGGCTTCGCGCCGAGGACCGCCGCGGCGTCGTCGTCGCGGTCGTCCGCCGCGGCCACGCTCGCGCCGCCCCGCGCCAGCGACGGCGGGTAGCTCTTCGACACTGAGGCCAGCGTCGACCGCGGCGACAGGTTCGGGGCGCCCGCGACCGAGTCCCCGCCGCGCGCCGGCACGAGGATGTCCAGCTGCGGCGCCGCGGCGTCGTCACCGTCGACCGCCTCCAGCACCACGCCCTCCGGCAGCTCGAACCTCGCGCCGCGGACGGCGTGGTGCGATGCCGACTGCTGGTCTGTCGAGGACGCGTCGGCGACGGCGCCCTCGGGCTCCCCGAACGACACGCGCACGTCGGTCACCGTCGGCCGGCTGCGGTCCGCCGCGGGCTTCGCCACCTCGGCCCACCCCCAGTCTTCGTACTCGTCCTCGTCGCCGTTGCCGCTGCTGCTCTGCGCGGCCGAGCCCGGGCGCAACAGACCGTCGCGGCGCAGCGAGGACTCCGAGCCCGCGATCGCGCCGACGCTGCCGTCGAAGGACTTGGGCTGCTGGAACCCCTCGAACCCGCCCATGTGCCCGCTGTCGTCGCCCTCTGGCTCCTCCCCCGCCCACACCACGCCAGCAGGCTTCGGCTCGTCTTGTGGGGCGGCCCCGGCGTCCAGCGGCGCAGCCACATCGCCCCAGGCCTCGTCGAGGGCTGGGGCCGCGCTTGCGGCGGCTGGAGCGGCGCTGGGAGCCTCGAAATCTCCAAAGTCGCCAAACTCATCATCGTCGTCGGCGTCGCTGATGTGTGTGGCCTCTGGAACGCCCCCCTGCGCCACTGGTGCAGACGGCGCCCCGCCAGACAACGCAAACGCGTCTGTGCTGTCCACGAGCGGGACAGGCGGGGTCGCGGGTTCCCCGAACCCTTCAAAGACGCCGGAATCAGTCAACACCTCCCCTGACGCAGGCGGCATCGCGGCTCCCTGCGGCGCCTCCGGCCCTGCGTCCCGGCTGACCGCCGTGGCGGCCTCGAGTGCTTCGAGGCCGCCCGCTGACGTGCGCGGCTGCGGCTCGACCGCGGTCGCGGCGGCGGGGGTGTCAAAAGTCCATTCCAGGAAGTTCCCCCCCTGCGCGGCCGGCTGCCCCGCCGCGGCCGACGTGGAGCCGCGCGCGGCGTCGCTACCCGCAAAATCCCAGCCCGCAGGGTCCAGCGGCGCCTGCACAGCGAACCCCAGCGAAAACGGCACGTCGTCAAGCACAGCGCCAGAGTCCACACGCACACAAACACACAGCGCGGCATCGCACGGCGAGGCCCAGCTCCAGACGCACCTCGTTCTGCGACGCGGCCGCGTCGGCTGACGCCGGCAGGTAGCTCGAGACCATCTCGTCCAGGTCCATGCTGGCGCCCGCGCTGTGGCTCGCGAACTGGTGCGCGCCCCGCATCCGCCGCGCCGCCACCTCCCTGCTCCCAGCGCCCTCGGGCCTCTGCCCCGCCGGCCCGCCGCGCCCCGACGCCCCCGCGTCCTCCCCCAGGTGTTGCGTCTGACGCAGCACCTCCGCCGCGCGCAGCGCCGCGTCCGCGAGGACCTGCCGGGGATCCGACTGTCGGAGCGGGCGCGGCGCCGGCAGCGAGCGGCTCTGCTGCGCGGCGAGGGCGCGGAAGGAAGGCCCGGGGGTGTGCGTGGCGGTGGGGGCGCGTGGCTGCGTGCCAGCGTACGTGATGTCGAGGTGGAAGCCCAGGGCGCCGAGGAGCGCCGTGACGGCCTGCGCGACGCGCTGCGTGGGGTCGTAGCTGCTCGGGGCCGCCGCGGGCGCCGGCGGCTCCACCGGCGTTGCGGGCTGTGATGCAGGCAGTGATGGAGGGGCCTGGGCGGGCGGGGGCGCGGCGTCGGCGGTGACGAAATCGTCGAAGCCGTCATCGTCGAAGCCGTCGTCGAAGTCGTCGCCGTCTGCGGCGCCGCCGGGCTCGCCCGCAGCCCCGGCGATGGGCCCCTCGTCGTGTGTGTGCGGGAGCGACGAGGGGGCCTCGCGCGCCGGTGACGTGTCGCGCGGCGCCTCGCCCAGCCCCGGTATTGGCTCCGCAAACGCCATGTCGCCCCAGCCGTCGTCGTCGTCGAGTCCTACGCCGCCGGAGCACCCGTCATCCCCACCGCTCAGCTTGTCGCCATCCGGCCGGGCGCCGGAAGCGTCTGAAGCAGCACAGCTTGCCTCCAGCGCCTCCTCTTCAACTCTCTCGCGAGAATCACTGCCAGCGTCCGCGCCACGATCTGCCTGTACGTCGTCCTCGGCGTCGCTCGCACCTGAGCACCGGTGCGACCCGTCCCCGTCCGAAAGCGCGCGCTCCCGCCCTCCGTCCGACGCGCAATCCCGCTGAGAGACGTCACTGCCGTCGTGCTCGTCGCTGCCCGCCGCTGGTGCGTCCTGGTGATCCGCAGGGGCCTCTGCGTCGACTGTTGAAGTCGCAGCAACAGTTGCCTCCGGGGCCGGCTCCTGCGCCTGCGCGCTGGGCGGCCCGGCGAAATCGGCGAAGAAATCGTCGTCGTCGACCTGCTGTGGCGCCATCCAGCCTCCCAGATCCGCGAGCCACCCATCGTGCGCACCCTGCCCATTGCCTCCTGCAGGCTCGTCCCCTGCGCCGGCTCGCTCCTCCCGCTGCGATGTCGCCAGCGGCGCGCCGCTCTCGTTGCCTCCATTCGCCGACGCCCCGTGCCCCGCCTCTCCGTTCTGACTCCGCGGCGACTCGGAAGGAGTCGCTCCAAGCCCAGCTGTGCCCTGCTCGCCATTGCCGTGCCCGTTCCCGAGCGAGTGAGCCTCGGAAACGTCGTCCAGGGACAGTTCGGCCTTGACCGGAGCCACGTCCGGCGCATCGACGGCAGCGGCCTCCGCCAACGCCGCGGCGGGCACCTCCCCGTCGCCCGCCTCCTCGCTGTTCGTCATGGCGCTGAGCTGGCCACGCGACCCGTCCTAGCGTGCTGGTTGCATCCCCTTGCTCTGTGGCCAAGTATACGGCGGTGTACGCCGCGTTCTCGGCCCCACAGGCCGCGCGGGGGGCAGCGCTGAGCTCTCCCAGACAGCACCAGTGCTCTCGTGACACGCCTGCGCGTCCCTCTCGATCCAGCTGCGACTGGTCGCGGAAACAACAGGCGAGGTGTGCGTGCGCCCGCTGGCAAGGAGGGCCACGCACGGCCACGACGGCAGTATGCTGAAACACCCTATGACTGACTCATGGGGGGCGTTTCCCCCTGATGACGTCATCTTCGAGAACGTCCCTCCTCGTGCGCGCCGCATGCACTGCGACCGGTGACGCTCGCACATCCGGGTCAACGTCGCCTCACATCTGCGCAGTGCCGCGTGCAGCGTCGACGCGTCGCTCGCCGCTCAGGTGTGCTTCTGGTACAGTGCGACCCAGTCCGCCTTCTTGCCCTTCTTCAGGTTGAGCTCGTGCACCTCGTCCGCGTACCCCGCCTCCGTCAGTTGGGATTTCAGGTCTGAAATCTTCATCGTCGTGGGGTCCCCCGTCAGCCGCGTCTGAGCGCTGACCACGGGCGCGGCCGGCACGAGCGAGCGCCGCGGGGCCGCCACGGGGGGCGACGGGCCGTCCGTGATCTCCGGCTCCGGGCTGTGCTGCCGCCGCCGCTTGTTGCCTGCGCCCACCGCGCCCGCGCGCGCCGCCGCCGCCGCCTCGCCCGCGCGGACCGCTGCCCGCGCCTCGCTGCACATGGAACACAGGAACGGGGCCAGTCAGCGCCCCACCACTCGCGGCCCGTGAACAACGGCAAAAACAAAACAAGTCCCGTTGAACCGGGCTGTAGTAGAAATGAAGATGTGTTCGGTCGACACAGTGCTCATCATAAACGGCCGCCGATGGGGCAAATGGAGGCAGCCGCTGCTTGTGTCCGCGTCCTGCGACGCAAGCGACTTCAAGATCGGCGCCTCCATAGAGGCAGGCCCGCCCAGCTGGGCCGAGGCAGAATTTGTCACCCACCTTCCGCAACATCTACGCCAGACATCGTCTACGTTGCGGGAAAACGTAAAAAATCGTCTGGCGTAGACGTTGCGGAAGGTGGGTGACAAATTCTGCCCCGGCCCAGCCGGGCGGGCCTGCCTCTATGGAGGCGCCAATCGCAGGCACACGCGTTCGTGCGCGGCCCGGTCGACCGTCGCGCCGCACCTGAGCTCCTTCTCGATGCGCTTGCAGTCCTTCTCCAGCGTCTCCGCGCGCGCCGCCGCCGTGTCCGCCCGCTGCCGCTCCACAGACACCTCCAGCTCCAGGTCCCGCGCCCGACGCTCCGCATCGCGCACCCGACCCTGCGCACGCGCCGCGTCGTCGCCCCCGGCCTCCAGCCGCGCCGCCAGCCCCTCGCGCGCCGCCTCCGCCGACGCCAGGCTCTTCCGCAGCGCCACCGCCTCCGCCGCCGCCTGACTCATGCCCGCCTCCGCCTCCGCCGCGCGCGCCCGCAGGTCCGCCACCTCGCGCCCGCGCGCTGCCAGCTCTGCGTCCAGCCGCGCAATCTGCGACGCGCTCTCCGCCCGGATCTCGCGCTGCCGCGCCTCCCCCGCCGCGTGCGCCTCGCGCACCCGCTCCTCCGCACGCTCCCGCACCTCCGCGATCTGCTGCTGCAGCGCGCGCAGCTCGCCCTCCGCGCGCGCCAGCTGCGTGCGCTCCGCCTGCAGCTGCCGCGACAGCTCGTCGAACCGCTGCCCGCTGCTGCGCGCCTCGCCCGACAGCCGCGCCACCTCCGCGTCGGCCGCCTTGCGCGCCGCGGCCTCGCTCGCGGCCCGCTCGGTCGCCGCCGCGAGCTCCTTCTGCGCCGCCGCGGCCTGCCCGCGCACCAGCCCCGCCAGCGGCCCCGCCAGCACGTCGCGCACCAAGAACTGACTCAGCAGCTCGTGCTTCCTCGGGCCCTGCGCCGCCGCCGCGTACTTCCGCGCGAACGCCTCCAGGGCCTTCAGGACACCGTCGTAGCTCGCGTCCGGCCGCGCGCAGGCCTCGGCCACCGCGCGCCGCCCCTCGTCCAGCACGCCCTGGCACGCGAGGGTGGCTTGCAGCACCCGCGTCTCGCGCGACTTCTCGAAGCCCTCGTCGAGGAGGGCGCGCAGGCGCGCCTCGTGGCGCGCGCTGACCTCTTGGTCGCCGACCGCGGCGGCGCGGAACGCCGCGAGCGCGCGCCCGACGGCCCGCGCGTGCTCGCGGGCCAGCGCGGAGTCCTCCGGGGGGGTGTTCTTGTCGAACTCCCCCTCGTAGACGGCCCGCGCGGCGTCGAGCGCGCGCGCGCACTCGCTCTCCGCGACGGACTGCCAGGCGGACTGGATCGTCGGCACGGCGCCGTCGTTGATGGCCGCCACGTACGCCTCGGTCAGGCCGGCCAACACCCCGCCCGACACGGCCGCGTTCCCGACATGCTTCGGGCGCGCGCGGTCGAAGATCAGCTGCGTGAGGTGCTCCATGCCGGCCAGGAACTCCGGGCGCAGGTCCCTGGTGTCCATCTGCTCCAGCTTGGTGAGCTTGCGCTCGTCGCTGACGGGCCGCACGAGCGTGAAGCAGTCGCGGTCGGGGAACAGCGCGCGGATGGAGTCGCGGATGCGGTTCTTCGAGGCGACCGCCGCGGAGGCCCCGGGGGCGTTGCGCAGCGCGCGCTCCAGGTACTCCCGCGCGGACATCTCGCTGCCGTCCTCCTGAGTCAGCTCGAGGTAGAAGTCGCGCAGGAGCCAGAGGAACGACGGGGTGAACTGCTGGAGGTCTGCGCGGCGGAACGGGAGACACAGCGCCACGTGGGCAATCGCTGCGGGTCCGCGAGCGGTCGGGGCGGCGTGCAAGGGCGCGGGCGCTCACCGTGCTCGTTAGCGTCTCCGTCGTGCGCGCGGACGCGGATGTGTTTGGTCATCTCCGTGACGAGCGACAGGCGGTCGATGGCGGCCTCGTCGATGCCGCCCATCTGGTTGTACACGAACATCGACGACAGGAGCACCGCGAGGGAGAACACCTGCGTGGAGTACTGCCCCGTCTGGTCGAACGCGTCGATGCCCTCCGTGTCGAGCAGCACGAGGTGGTAGGGCTGCCCGTCGGTGCCCGTGCGCTTGATGGGCGCGGACCACATCCACAGGCCCTTGGTGCACGGACGGACGCTCGGCGCGACCTGGAAGTGGAGGATGGGCGGGACACGGCGTCGGGGAGGCGAATCTGCGCCGGAGCGCCGCGGGAGCGGGGCCGGGAGCGAGCAGCGTGCGTAGCAGGCGGGAGGGCCGCGCAGGGGCGTCGATGCGGCGGATTGTCGGGGCGTTCTTCGTGCGTCGCGTACCTGGAATCCGTTGCTGCGGCCGAGCAGCTGGTTGAGGATGTAGGACTTGCCCTGGCGCGCCCTGCCGCACACCGCGACCACAGCGACAGGGCCCTTGACGCCGCGCAGGACCGACAGAGCCTCCTTCCCGACCTGGAACTTCCCTGCAACGTAGATACAGGGTGTGAGAACGATGATACGTGCGAACCCAGCACGGAGGGCGCAGGATCCCCGCGGAATCACGCCCAGTCGAGCCCCAGGATTGTTGTGGGGCATCGGCCCGGGCTGGGCGCGCACGACGGCGCTCCCGCGCCACTCACGGCACGGATCCGGCATCCTTCGACAGGCAGGAGCCCATCTTGATGGCTCGAAGGCAGGTACGCGCACACGCGTTGCGCAGGTCCGCGGCACAAGCCAGCAGCGTGGGAACGCTGCGCCGTGCCAGCTGTCGCGTCGCGGAGCCGTCTCGTTCGACGCAGATTCCCGCAGGACCTGCCCGCTCGCGCACGATGCATGTTGTTCCGTCGCTCACCTGTCGATGAGTCGTACTGGACGAGCTCCAGCGGCTTGGCGGATCCGCCCATCTTGGCGGGGGGCGGGCTGAGGTGGCCTGTCGCGCCCTTGGTGCTCCGGGCACCCGCTGTCATCGGGACCGATCGGCCGCGGACCTTGTGCGGGACCGCGCCGGCGCTGCGGCATTCAGGCCGGCGCGCGGAGGGGGGTAGAACCGGAAAAAAAAAAACACTCCCCCTTGACTCAGTCGCGCACCTGGCCCAGTCGGTGCGGCGAACGAGGGCGTCATGCGCGTGCATCGAGGTGTCACATCGTGCACGGGCTCGCTGTCGTCCACGTCACGCTGCTGACACTGGCTACAAGTTGCATTTGTGCACATCATGAGTTCGTTGGTCGCCGCACGGAGCGCCGACGCCAGCGCGCCTACCGGATGCGCCCTCAACGCGACGTGTGGCACGTGGCCCTGCGCCTGCACCAGCGACGTGGGGCGCACTCAAACAACCAAGGCATTCTACACGCTGCAACCATCTCGTCCTCAATCTCACAGACCCGCGTCGCCTGGGGACGTGAACCGTCACCTGAGCCGTAGCGAGAATCGCACGATGGGTGTCATCGAGCTCACCGAACACCGCCGCTCAATCGCATGATGGCTGGGAGGCCACGGGCGACGGCGGCTCCTCCGCCGTGTCGTCCGGTCCACGCAACCTTTCAGCCGCCTCTCCGAGCGCCTCTCGCGCGTGGTGGCTCCCCGCCGCGCGCAGCAACGTCGCCAGCGTCTCCGCCAGCCCTGCGCGGCGCGCTGCATCACGCCGCTCGCCTTCCGCGCCTCCCGGGCCAAGCAAGTGAGCCGCTGCCTCTCCGAGCGCCTCTCGCGCGCCGGCGCTCCCCGCCGCGCGCAGCGCCGTCACGAGCGTCTCCGCCAGCCCTGCGCGGCGCGCTGCATCACGCCGCTCGCCTTCTGCGCCTCCCTGGCCAAGCAAGTGAGCCGCTGCCTCTCCAAGCGCCTCTCGCGCGCCGTCGCTCCCCGCCGCGCGCAGCGCCGTCACGATCGCCTCTGCCAGGCCCGCTCGGGACGCCGCGTCGCGTCGCTCGCCCGCTGCACAATCTGTGTCACCCCAGCGAGCAATCGCCTCTCCCAGCGCCCTCCGTTCGGCGTCGCTCTTCGCCGCACACAGCGCCGCCATCATTTTCTCTCCCACATGCGCGCCGGACGCCTTGTCGCGCTGCTCGCCCGCCGCGCCCCCTGTGTCACGCAAGCGAGCAAGTGCCTCTTCAAGCGTTCTCCGCGCGCCATCGCTTTCCATCGCCAAGCGCAGCGCCGTCAGTGCTTCCTCTGACAGCTCCGCTTGGGACGGCGCATCGCGCTGCTGCGCGCCCTCAGCGCCTCCTTTCCCAAGCAAGCGAGCTGCTGCCTTCCCGAGCGCCTCTCGCGCGCCGTCGCTCCTCGCCGCGCGCAGCGCCGTCGCAAGCGCCTCTGCCAGTCCCACTCGGGACGCCGCATCGCGTCGCTCGCCATCCGCGACGCCGGTGCGAAGCAAGCGACCAGCCACCTCCCCAAGCTTTCGTCGTGTGCCATCACTCTTCGCTGCACGCAGCGCCGCAGCGAGCGCCTCTGCCAGCCCCGCTCGGGATGCCGCGTCGCAACGCCTGCCTACCGCGCCGTCTCGATTTCGATGATAGGGCCACAGCAGATCGGTGACTGCCCCAACCGGGGCAGTGTAGACACTTCTCAGGAAGCTGTCGGCCGCCTCCCCAAGCGCCAGTCGCGCGCCGTCGCTCTTCGCTGCACGCAGCGCCGTCGCAAGCGCCTCCGCCAGCCCCGCGCTGCACGCCTCGCTGCGCCACTGTACGCCCGCTTTCCACCGCTCACGGTGGTAAGCTTGGCCAGCTAAGCGGAGTTGGAAGTTCAGCATCAGCAAGTGGGCAGCAGCCTCTGCAAGCCCCTTCCGCGCGCAGTCGCTCTCCGCTGCACGCAACGCCTCGACCAGCGCCTCCGCCAGACCAGCTTGGAGCGCACCGTCGAAACAGGCAGCGTCCTCCCAAGAGGTGCGCTGTGCGGAGTCGCTCTTTGCCGTACGCAGCGCCTCCGCGAGCGCCTCGGCGTTGCGACGTGTGCGCCTCATGCGTCCCCGCAGCAGCAGACGCAGCGCGACCGCGGCCGTCGCGAGCCACGGCGACACCACGCCGCTCGCCGAGGCCACGAGGAGCCCCACAAGGGCGCCTAGGGTCGTGACCAGGCCCAGCAGGGTCGCGAACTCTCCCGCCACGTACGCCTCACCGAGCCACCTGACCTCCGCGCCTCCTCGAAACAGCAGATAGGTGCCCGCTACTCCAAGCAGCCGCCAAGGGTCCCTCGCCACGGCGATGCGCGCGGTGGCCAGCACCGCAGGGATCTGCCCTGACCACGCACCGTCCACGGGCGCCAGGGCTCCCCGCAACCACGCCTCGGCGCCCTGTGGCCACGCATGCGTCATGGTCACGCACGTCGTCAGCAGCACCGTCCCGAAAACGAGCGCCGCACGACGGGCGCGGGGACGGGCACCGAGCGCTTGCCCCACCATTGCGATCGGCAGGGTAGGAGGGCGACGGGAGCTCGATGACCTGCTCGAGTGCTGCTCTCAGCTGCAATGAGCACGCACACGCGGTGCACGGGGCACTGCGCCGCTCCGCCGCACGCATAGCCGCGCTGACCTTGAGACACCACCCGCGGAGTCAGCGACACACTGACGCGTTTCGAGGCGCGTGACGCGACGGCCTCGCCGCCTGCCGCCGTGCAGCATGCGCGCCGACCCCCCCGACATCATGCGGTATCACACTTCTCGCCGCCGCGCACCTCCCACCCGTACGCCACGCTGTCGACATGCAGACATGCAACCTGCGCCCTCAGGGGCCGTGTCCGGGGCGCAGCGGGCGCCGCTCACGCAAACACCGCCCCCACGGAGCACAGCTGCGACCAGTTCGACCCCCACGCCGCCCCGAACGACGACGCCGACGTCAGCGACGTGGTGGCCTGCGACAGCGAGCCCGCCTGGAACAGAGACGCGCCGAACGAGCTCGCCGCGCCGCCGAGGGAGCTGCCGCACGCGCTGGACGACGAGCAGCCGTGCAGGAAGGACGACACCCCCTCGAACCCTACCGACGACGTGTGCTGCGTGGTCGACGTGGAGACGACGCGCGGCACCGCCACGCTGGCCGTGAGGGCGAGCGCGCCCTGGGACGAGAAGCCCATCTGCGCGGGGAGCGACGGAGGGGAGAGCAGCGGCGATGAGGAGCAGCTGTGACTCAAGAGCTGAGCGGAATCGGCCAAAAGCATGGTGCTGCGAGTGAGAGCTGCGTCACGGCTGCGCTGGTGGGGTCGCGGCGCACCTGCTTCACGAAGAGCGACTCGAGGTTGGCGGCCTTGGAGTAGAACGCGTTGCCGCTCGACAGGGCGCCGCAGCCCCCGCAGTCGGCCTGCGTGGCGTCCACGCGCCCGAGCTGCAGCTGCACAGTGCTCTGGACGGGGTACTGCAGGACGACGGCGGACTCGACGGAGCACAGCGCGATGACGTCCGCGAGGGAGATGGCGTACTGCGTCTGCGCCGCGACCTGCTGCTTGATGGCCAGGAGCATCTCGATGGCAGACAGGGTGTCCTGGTCGGTGATGAAGCTCGTCTCGTACTGGATGCTGCCGTTGGCGCCGCACGTCTGCTGGACGCACGCGGGGTCCTGGTACGTGGAGCTGTCCAGGAGCTGCACGTGCATCACGCTCGTGGCCACGGCCTGCGACGACGGCGCGACGAACGAACAAGGCGAGCTTTCAGGGTCGCGGCTGGGGGTCGGGATGGCGCAGCTTGGCCACGGCGCGCAGTCATATGCAGTGAGAGTGCGTTTGCGGGCCTAGCTGCGCCGTGCCCAGGCCGTGGCAGCGAACGTCGGCGACTTGCCAGCGTACTGGCGTGCATCATCGGTCGGGGCGCGCGGCCACCCACCTGCTGCTGTTGCGCGGACATCGCAGCTAGCTGCTGGTTGAACAGAGCTGCGCAAGCCTCGGCGGCGGTCTGCTGCTGGCTGGTCGTCTGCACGAGGTACGCGACGTTGTGCTGCAGCGATGCGCCTGCGCTCAGGCCGTGGAACGACTGCATGGCCCCGCCGCTGGCCGCGCCGGCGCTCATGCCGCTGGAAGAGGAGTAGGAGACGGCGCCGCCCGAGGACGCCCCGACGCTGCTCGACTGACTGAAGCTGCTCTTGATGCTGTTGGCCACTGCGCCGACGGCGCCCGTCACGGCCCCGACGACCCCGGCGGCCGCACCTCCCCCTGCAGCTTGAATAGTCGTGCGAATCGGCGGTTCATGAAGGGCAAGAATCGACACGAGGCGAAAGATGCGGGGTCGAATGCAGCGTTCAAATGCCCGGCCCGTCGCATGCGATTGCGCTCGACCGCAGGGGGGGCGGAAGTTCTTCATTATATGCCTCACCGTCACACGCCGAGCCGGCGACGCATTTCAGGTCCCGGGCGGCCGCGGCGAACGGAGAGGCGAGCAGCACCACCAAAAGCGCGAGTTTGACCGCTTGCGCGTACATATTGCTCTCCTGCGTGAATGTAAGAAGAAGAAAATGCACGACTTCATCGCGGTAGGGGTATCGGCGAAGCTCGCAGACGACAACGGTGGGCGCAGTGCCTGCAGTGCAAAACCATCGCTCCTGGGCCACGTCCCGGCAAGCGACTCGCAAGCACCTGGAAGCAAAATGTCAAGGAATCGATCCCGAGCGCGAGGCTGCGTCGCGGAGGGCACGGCGGCCGAGACGCGGACTCCCGCCACTCGAGCAGGTTTTGAGCGTTCCTGGGCGTGGCCGCACCTTGATTGCGAAGTAAGGTACTCGACAAGACGGTCCTGAAAAAGAAGATCACGGAGGAGAGTGGCGCGTCGGCCCCGCGTCGCGCGCCCTTGAAGCGCTCGTCCGGGACCGTCCGACTAGACAGACTGAGTGCACCTGACCATAGTCTCACGTCCGACCGTCACAACGGCCCTCCGCGGAGCTGGAACGCGGTCGCGCTGCCGAGATTAATTACGAATGTTCGCGAATCGAGGTGCGGTCCGTTGTCGGCGCCACGATGCGCCTGCCGCGCCTACTGCTTCTTAGCTGCGCCAGCCATGGCCAGGTCGCCCAGCTGTCCACACGCCGCCATTTCGTCGTCCCCGCGGCTCTCCCGGATCGTGCACACCAGGCCCGCGTCCCGGAGCACGGCCCGGAACGCCGCCATCGCCTCGGGAGACGACCCCTGGAACTGCGCCCCCTCGTGCGTGTTGAACGAGATCAACTGCGGGCGGGAACACGGCGCAGCGCGCGCGTCAGAGCAATGCGGGGTGTCAGAACCAGCTAGCTGCACCAGCGCGGGGGCCTTACGTTGACCATGCAAAACACCCCCCGGACCAGCTCCACCAGCTGCTGCGCGCACTCCACCGAGTCGTTCACGCCCGCGAGCATCGTGTACTCGAAGATCACGAACCGCGGCTTGCCCCCGCCCGCCCGCTCCCGCGCCTCCCGCCACGCCCGCGACCCCCCCCTCGCGTCGGCCCCGAGCGGGTACAGCTCCCGCAGCGTGCCCATCAGCTCCGCCAAGTCGTACCGGCGGTTCACCGGCACGATGCGCGACCGCAGCTCGTCGTTCGGCGCGTGCAGCGACACCGCGAGCTGCGTCGGCGCGGCCTCGTGGTGGAACCGTCGGATCTCCGGCACCAGCCCCACGGTCGACACCGTGATCGAGCGCGCCGAGATGCCCGCGCCGTCGCCCGGGCGCGCCGTGATCACGTCCAGGGAGCGCAGCACGGCCTCCATGTTGTGGAACGGCTCGCCCATGCCCATGTACACGATGTTGCGGATGGGCACGGAGTCGCCCTCGTCCTGCAGGAGCCGCCGCGCCTTGGAGAGCTGCTCGAGGATCTCCGCGGCGCGCAGGTTGCCCAGGAGGCCCATCTTGCCCGTGTGGCAGAACTCGCACCCCATCGCGCACCCCACCTGGCTCGAGACGCACAGCGTGTAGCGCGGCTTCTTGTCCGGGCCCTGGTCCATCGGAATGACCACCGCCTCGGCCGTGCGCCCGCGGTTCGGGCCCTCCGTCGCCATCAGCACCATCTTGCGCGTCCCGTCCGACGCACGGTGCACCGTGTGCACCACCATCCCTGCGGGGGGCGATGTCGGGGCAACACGAGGATGAGTGTGCGGTGGCGCTCGAGGCGATCAGCCACGGGCGCCGCGAACTGGCGCTGTCGCGTACCGGTGTCGAGCGTCGCCACCCTCAGCAACAGGCTCCTGAGGTCCTTGCCGATGGCGTGGGCCGTGCCGCGCGCCTCCTCGAGCACCTGGATGTTGTACTTGTGGATCCACCGCCAAATGTGCGCCTGCCTGTGCGCCCCCACGCCGAGCAGCCCGAGCAGGCGCCCCAGCTCGTCCCAGCTGAGCGCGCGCAGGAGCAGCCTCCCGGACTCATCGCGCTCCGTCTCCGGCCCAAAGTGCGAGAGAACGTGCTCAACGTCGACCTCGTCCGCTCGGGGCATCTTGCTGCCGCCCGCACGAGGAGAACCGCTCTTGTCTGGAGGGGCCGAAACGGCCTGCGCCGCCCGCGGCGCCCTCCGCGCCTGAGCGCGCCTCTTCGCGCGCATCACGAGAGGTCGACAGACGCCCTGCTGCTGGGCGCGGAGCCTGCTCACGGCGCGCTCCGCGCTGGCCGCGCAGGTCCGCAAGCTGCCGGAGCCGTGCATCCTGCCAGCGGTCGATGCGTCCTCGCAAGCGGCGATGCCACGACGTTCGGACTAGAACCAGCGCGGACACGGTGGCGGCAACATCGCGCCGCGCCCTCCAGGGCATGATGCCGCATCGTCGATCGACGCGGCCACGTGCGGGGGGCAGTGTCGACACCTCCCACGGAGACCCCGGAGCTCCGGAACCGCGCAGGAAATCCACGGGCACGGAGCATCGCGAAGCTCGCACCAGCGTGCGCCGCGAGCCTTGCCCGCAACTGCCCGCCGGCCCGTTGGGGCGCAGCTACGGAAGGCAATGGCTGTTGACTCTCCGCGCAGGCTGCAAGAGCCTCACATAGCGTCGCCGGCCGCCGCGCGTCACGACGTGATCCCCATCTCCCTCGACAGCGCCGCGAGCTCCTCGTCCGCGTCCTGCACCTTGGCCGGCTGCTTCGTCTGCGGCACCCCCGCAGGGATCTCCGGCAGCGCCGCGGTGTCCAGACCCTCCAGCACCTCCTTCTCCTGCTGCTCCGCCTGCGCAGCACGACAACGAATCGCACCGCGCGCACGCGTTCGGCACGCTCCGACGCCAGGCCACATCGCTTCGCCAAGGAGGACGCCGTGGCAGCGACCGCGCCGGGCCGCCGTGCGCGGCTGTCGCGGCGGTGCGAGTGCGGGTGCGGGTACGGGCGCGCGGCAGCGCCTCACCTCCATCTCCGTCTCGAGCTCGGCGAGCAGCTCGTCGTCGTCGTCGACGCCCATGGGCTGCCCGAGGAGGTCGTCGATCTCCTGCTTCTTGTCCTGGGCGTCCCTGATATCCTCCTGGACCTGCTCGACCTCGTCGATCTTGACGTTGCTGAGCGCCGCCTTCTGCGCCGCGGTCGCGCCCTTCATCGTCTGGAAGTACTCGCTGGTCGTGTTGGTCGTCTCCAGGTCCCCCTTCAGGCGCAGGAAGTTCTCCCACTTGCTTATGTTCTTCGACATCTGCTCCTCGAACATCTTGCACTTCTTCAACGACATCAGCGCCCGGCTCTTGCCCGTCTTGGTGCCCTCCGCAAGATGCTGCACGCACCGCCGCGGAACCAGCGGGTCTCGCGTCGCGCCAGAGCTCCGACAAGCAGCAGAGACCACGAGGAAAGCAGCGAAGGGGCGCGCGCGCTCGGACGGTCCAGCGCTGCGCGTTCGGACCAGGCTGTGCTACTGCCCGAAGGGCCAAGGGGCTGCGCAGGCCGTGTCGGACGAGCAGCGACCTACGAGGGCCGCGCGGGGGGTAGTCCGGATCGACTGCCGTCCGTTGCGGCGGCGGACAGAAGACATCACCGGACGACCAGACAATGCTCCGCGGTTCAGCGCTGGAGCCAAGCCAGCAAGAAAGGTTCTGCGCGGGCTTCTGCGCGCACGAGCGCGCCAATCTGCGGCACCCGGACAGAGTGAATGCGTACGGGAGTCCCCGGCGCGCACGTTCGGGGGGCCCGGCGCGGTGTGGGCGAGGTGCAGCCGCTGCAAAGCGGCCATGAGGAGCAGGAGGAACCTCTCCGCGGCCTCGCGCGGGAAGTGCACGCGAGCCTCGTCTGCGGCGCCCGAGCCACGGCGTCTCAAGGTGGCCGGCGGCTGGGGGCGAGACGGCCCGCGTCGCCGCAGGGAAACGGCGCTGCAGCCCCCCGCGCCCCGGAGGGGCTCGGCACCCGGCTCGGGCTGCTGTTCCGCTCTCGTGCGCGGCCTCGAGGGCGCGCGAGCGACAGATTCAGAAGGGCGTGCGTTCAGTCGCCCGCTCCGCTGGAAGGCGGGGCCTCTACGCCACGTCCGGGACGTCACGGACTGGGGTTGGGCATCTCACCTTCTTCGCCTTCGCCTTCTCCTCATCAATGCACTTTTCTAGGTAGGTATTCCGCTTCTCCATGAGCTCGATCTGCTCATCTAGGCGCTGCGGGAGGCACACGTGCCGCGCGGGCAGCGGGTCAGCATCGCGCGGGCGAAGTCTCGCGGGCCCGGTGGTGCAGACGAGCGGCATCCTGGCGCGCAGACGCACCTGGATCTCGGAGATCAGGTTCCTCGTCTTCTTGTCCCCCGAGCCACCGCCGCCGGAGGAGGGCGGCGGCGGCGGGGGCGGCGAGGCGCCCGACTTCTTCGCCCCGAACAGCTTGGCGAACATCGCGTGTGCGCCGCGCAACGACCTCACGGGCTACGCCGCGCCGCGGTTCCGGGCTCGAGACGGTGCGGGTCCGCGCCCGGGCCGTAGTTCTGCGGTGTGGCGCGCCCCGCCCTCAGGATCCGCGGGGGAGGGGCGACGTAGGGACGTGCCGCCAGATACCTAGTGCGTGCAGCCTGGCAGCACGCGGCGCAGTTGAGTCGCACGGTTGGGCTCGCAAGAACGCTTCTGGCGCGTGCCGGCGCGAGCTTCGGCCCATGGTGGCCTGTGGCGGACGGCGGGTTGACCTGGGGTGTTCCCCGCGGGTCCGACCGCCGCGTCAAGGTGGAGACGTCGAGCGGTGCGCGCCCACTCGCCGGTGACACCCGAGGGCTCTTTGTCTGTTGAGCGTTTGCATCGTTTCGAGTCACCGCGGCAACGTAGCGAAGCGGAAGTCGACTGTGCTCTTGGCCGCTGCCCGCAGGGGGCTACGCGCCATGCGTGCGGGATTCCGACGAGGTTTTGAATGATCTAGGTGCGACAACCTGGGGAGCGGGAGCCGAGCCCGGTTGGGCCTCCGTCCCGCCAGCAGCGCTCGATCTACGTTGCACTGCATCACGCCCCACACTGTCGCGGCTGCAGCGTTCGATCGTCTGAAACCGTTGCCGTTCTCGCGACCATTTCAGGGCTGTGCGGGGCGGCGGGGCGAGATGAGGCCGGGGCTGCACACGCACAAGTTGCCCCACTCCCGGCGCGGGCCGCTGGTGCTCTTCGCGGTCGGGGTGGCCCTGCTCCTCCTCGCGCTGCGCTCGATGCACGTCCCGCACGTCAATCTCCACGTCTCTCACGACGACGCCGCCGCGCCCGAGCAGCACGAGCCCGTGGAGCAGGAGGCGCAGCAGGCGCCACTCGACACGGAGGGGCCCCCGGCCCCGACGGAGCCGCCGCCAACGCGCGCAGCGGCGCGCGGCCCACGCGTCGCCATTTCGCTGACGGGGGAGCTGCGGACCTTCGTGTACCGCGGAGTGTACGCGCCCGCCCGCAGCTGTCGTGACGCTTGATGTCACACCGGAACGCACCGCGGGGTCTCAACGGACGCGCGCGCCCCGCCCGTGCAGGTACAAGTCGTTCCAGACCAATATAGTCGACAAGCTGCGCGAGCTCGGCGCCAGCGTCGTCGACACGTTCCTGGTCCGCTCCCAGACAACCACCCGACGCGCCGGGCCGGCGACCCCGCGCGCGCCACCGAGCTCCGCACGGCGTCTCGCCAACCGGCCACTCGGGCTTCCCGACGCGCAGGTGATCAACTACGACCTGGCGGAGTTCGGGCGCAGCTTTGCGGCGCAGGAGGCGGACCTGGCGCTGGCGATCGAGGCGATCCAGCCGCGGCGCGTCATGGCGGACGAGGTCTTCCGCTGGATCGAGAACTGCAAGCCGTCGGGGTGCGGGCAGGACGACTTCAAGGTGTGCGGGTACAACCACTACTGCGTGCTGCGCGAGCAGCGGCGCGAGCACGGGGAGCTGGTCGGGGAGCCCCGCACGCGCAGGGGAGCGTACAACCACGCCGCGCAGATCCTCAAGCTCGTGGATTCGTGGGAGCTGATCCGCGCGGCGGAGCGCGAGGACGGGCAGCTGTACGACACCGTGCTGCGGCTGCGCACCGACCTCAAGTACCACGCGCTGGGGCCGGAGATCGAGACGGTCCTGGGGGAGTTCAGCCGCGGGCAGGACGTCGAGGCGAGCGAGCTGCAGGGCCCCTCGCGGTGCTTGGTGCCGTGGGTCAACATGATGTCGCAGACGGCGGGGGACTATGCGGGGTACTGCACGCGCAAGGGCGGGGAGGCGTACCTGAGCACGTTCGCCTCGTCGGTCGGCGACGGGCGGTGGCTCCCCGTGCGCTGTCTGCGCGAGGCGAACGACGCGGAGTCCCCCGAGTGCTTGTTGTACAACATGCTGTACATGGCCGGCGTGGAGGTCGTGCCGGTGCAGGGCATGCACGGGGACTGGTTCACGTTCAGCCGGCTGTGCGGGGACGTGTCGGCGGTCGGCATGAACAACAACCGGCTCTGCCCCGACCTCAGCGACGCCTACTTCGTCAGGACGGCCAAGGACTACGGCATCGACATTCTGCCGAGCGAACACTACGGACGATAGCGACGACGACGACGGGGCGCGCGGGAGCCGGTTCCTGGGCGTCTCGGAAACGGCTGCGCCGCGCCGTCGGGGGTCTCTGACCCGGAGTGGCGTGCCTGCGAGAGGTGGTGTGATTCTGCACGATGTCGGGCGCCACGCAAACACCCCCGCGTCCTGCTGAGAGGCGCCCCCGCAGAGACCTCGCGCGCGCCCTCCCGCCAGAGGGGTAGAGGCTCGGACCGCGTCGTGAGCACATGCGTCAATTCTACCACCGCCGTCAGCTCACCTGAGCTGGCGGGGCAGCCGGGCCGGGGGTCGCGTGCCGCCGGTCGCAGTGCGGTCCCGCAGTTCTCAGCAGTAGAGTCGGCGGCGATCACGTCCCGATCGACCCGCTGCGACGCTCGTGGCGTTCGTCAGCAGTGCATGGAGCAGCTCAAGGGCAGGGCGCAGGGGGCGGACACGGGCGTGCCGGCGCTGGAGCGGCTGACGGACCACGTCGACTCTGAGGAGCTGTGGAAGCGCAGCGCGCGGCCGCTGACCAGCATGGGCGGCGAGCCGGACGCCCGGACGCGGGCGCTGCAGTCGGTGACGGATCGCGTCATCATGTCGCACTCGGTCGACCCGCGGGACGACCTGGCCAAGGAACGAGCCAAGCGGAGCTTCGACGTCGAGGCCATGGCGACCGTCGTCGTCGGAGGGCCCGAGAAGCTAGCGCGGAGGTGAGCTCACGACCGAGTGGCGGCGGACCCCTTTGACACGCGGTCGCGGGCGCCCGGGTGTGTGCCTGTCGAGCGCCACGCGGATGGTGTCTGGAGTGGTTCGCTCAGCACAGCCGCAAGAGCCCGCGCGGTGCGCGTCAGGGACCGGCGCGGGGAGCGCTGTCCGTCCTAGCTGGCTGGGCGACACGTCGCGTGTTTCTGGGGTTGTCGCGGACGGTGTCCACGAACGACGCGCGCAACTGCCTGAGACTGCCTCGGAGTATGATTGTGCGCGGGGGCGACGTGTCGCTCCGCGGCACTGGGTGCGCGCGACGCCCAACTGCCACCGAGTGCACCTCCGGGCACTCTGGCACCGTGTGGCCGCTCTCTGCGCTCTCGAGTGGGCGCGTCCTGTTGATATGATCAATGAGACGCAGCACGCGTCAAGCACGCGCGAGATCCTGCCGCCCGTGGGTCGCACGGGGCATCTAGTAAGCACATGCAGCAAGTTCCTCATCCCACCGCGGCGTCCTCGCACTCAACCTCGCGCGCGCAGGCGGCGGATCGTCAACATCCTCAAGAGCCAGCCCTGGGCCGAGAAGACCGACGTGTTCTGGCGCAGCAGAGAGGACGAGTACGTCGGCAACCTGAAGGTGACGCTCCCGCGCCCCGCGCCCGACGCCGCGCCGCGCCGACCGCCCCACAGCGAGAGGGACCCTCGCAGCCACGTCCTCCGCGGCGCGGCGGCGCCCCTCGCCCGCTCACGCCCGCACCCTCGTCGCTTGTGTGCTCGCGGCCAACCGTCCGACCAGGCCCGCCGGCCGCGCCTCGTGCGTGCTGCAGTCCCTCCTCGGGCTGCGCAACTACGTCGAGTCGCACGGCCTGTCCCTGGACGATTACCTGGAGCTCAAATTCCTGATGGACAAGCCTGGCGGGTTTGAACTGCACACCGCGGTGAGCCCCCGCCCCGCGCGCCCCTGCAGGCATCCGAGGGCCTCCGCAGCTTCGCGCTCGCGGGCGGCTTCGGCGCCGCGAGCCGCGAGGACGCCTACCGCGACTACGTCGAATGCAAGGGCGTGCTTGACCTGCCCTCGGGCTATGAGCTCCACACCATGGCATGCGCCCCGCCCCGCCCCGCAGCGCGCCGCGCAGCGCGCGCAGTACCCGCGGACCGCGCGCGGGCGGTTCGCTGGCCCGTTGCGAGCCGCGAGACCGTTTCGATGCTGATGTTGTTGTCGCCGATGATGCCAATGTGCGTTGCAGATGTACATCCCGACGCTCGAGTCTCAGGGCACGGACGAGCAGCACAAGCTCTTCCTGGAGCCCGCGCTGCAGTTCCGCAACATCGGCACCTACGCGCAGACCGAGCTCGGCCACGGCACCTTTGTGCGCGGCATCGAGTCAACCGCCACCTACGACCCAGGTGCGCCCCAACCACCCCCACGGGCCCGCGCACGCCGCCCGCAGCCCCTCGTCTGCGCGACGGCAACCCCTCTTCGGGCCCACCTTCACACCCCCCCTCACTCCCCCCCGTGCAGAGACGAGGGAGTTCATCATGCACTCGCCGACCCTGACGGCGACCAAGTGGTGGCCCGGGTGCCTGGGCAAGACGTCGACGCACTGCGTGTTCGCGGCGCGGCTGTTCACGCAGGGCAAGGACCACGGCCCGCACTTCTTCGTGGTGCAGATCCGCGACCTGGAGACGCACCTCCCGCTGCCGGGCGTGACCGTCGGGGACATCGGGCCGAAGCTCGGGTACGGCGGCGTCGACAACGGGTTCCTGCGGCTCAACCACGTCCGCATCCCGCGCGTCAACATGCTGATGCGCAACGCCAAGGTCACCGTCGACGGGCGCTACGTGCCGCCGCCCAAGGACAACGAGAAGGCGGCGTACGGCACGATGATGCTCATCCGCGCGCAGCTCGTCACGGGCGCCTTCTTCGCGCTCTCGCGCGCCACCACCATCGCCACGCGCTACTGCAGCCTGCGCCGCCAGACCGGCCCGCGGTCCGGCCCGGAGACGCAGATCCTCGACTACCAGACGGTCTCGCACGTCGTCGTGCCCCTCATCGCCACGTCGTACGCGCTCAACTTCATGGGCGCGTCCATGATGGAGATGTACCACAAGGTGATTGCCGAGGGCAAGCGCGGGGAGTACGGGAGCCTCCCGGAGCTCCACGCGCTGTCCTCGGGCATGAAGGCGCTCTCGACGTGGCTGGCGCTGGACGGGACCGAGGCGGCGCGGCGCGTCGTCGGCGGGCAGGGCTACAGCGTGCTCTCGGGGCTGCCGTACATTTTGAACAATTACGCACAGAACGTCACGTGGGAGGGCGACAACCCGATCGTGTGCCTGCAGACGGCGCGCTTCCTCGTCAAGTGCCTCGTGGCCGTGCGCATGGGCAAGACGCCGCTGCCCCCGAGCGCCGCGTACCTCATGAACGTGCAGCAGGAGCTGGCGCCCTCCAACAAGTGCCAGGTGGGCGCGCAGGCGGACTGGCGCGACGGCGGCGTGCTCATGTCGGCGCTGCGGCACGCCGCGACCTTCCAGACCGTGGCCGCCGCGAAGGCGCTGTTCAAGGCCGGCGGCGGGCAGCTCAAGTTCGAGGGCGCGCCGTGGAACAACAACATGGTCGCGCTGGTCGAGGCCGCCAAGTCGCACTCCCGCCTGGTCATCGCGGGCACCTTCTACGACGTCCTCGAGCGCCAGGAGGACCGCCTCGACGAGGGCACGTTCCGCGTCCTGCAGAAGGTGTGCACGCTCTTCGCGCTGCTCACGATCGAGCCGGAGGTCGGGAAGCTGCTCGAGTCGGGGTACCTCGCCGGGAAGCAGGCGACGTGGTGCAAGCAGGAGATCGCCGCGCTCGTCGCGGAGCTGCGGCCCGAGGCGGTGTCGCTCGTGGACGCGTTCGACTACGACGACTACGTGCTGAATTACTCGGCGATCGGGCGCGCGGACGGGAACGTGTACCACGCGCTCTGGGAGATGGCCAACCGCACGCCGCTCAACAAGACCGAGGTCGGGCCCGCGTGGGAGTCGGTGCTCTCGAAGCAGCTGCGGCCGTCGTCGCGCATGTGACGCGGCCGCGGGACGCCGCGGGGGGCCGCGGGGGGGCGGAGGCGCGTGTGCGAGCGAGCGGGTGGCCTGTCGCTCGGGAGCGCGCGGCGCGCACCGCTTGTCTGGTCGGTGACTGGGATTCATACCGGAACACGCTCGTCAAGTGTTTTGTGAGGCTTGTCTGCCACGACAGACGCCGGGTGCGCCGTGCGCGTGCTCCGAGCACGGGGGAGCCGCCACGGACGGCGCGGCTGTGCGTTGCGGCTGGCCGCGGCCCTGTGTGGCGTGACGTTTGCTGCGGAAACACACAACACGCACGTGCGTGGCGGCCCGGGGCGCGCGGCGGCCGCTGAGCGAGGCGCTGGCTGCCAGGGGACCGCGGAGTGGGCCGGGGCGGTGCGCGGAAGCTGTGTCGGCGTCGTGGCGCCGGCCCCGCCCCTTCGTGTCACGTTGCTGGCAAGCTGTCACGTTGCTGGCGGCGCCGGGGATGATCGGCGGCACCGGGCTGCTTACTGCGCCGCGTGCGATACCTCATAGATCAATCAAAGGGATCCGGATGCGTTTGGACGCGGGAGGAGGCCCTGGAGGCGCGCACACGGGCAAGCAGGGGGCTATAGCTCCTACCTGGGCAACCGTGTTGAGCAACAACGGGGGCTGCTGGGGCTGCGCGGCGCCATTCGCGCAGATCGACGACACAACGTGAACCTGCAGGTGACCAGCAACACAGCAGTGCCAGACGACCGTTCACGTCGTCGCGCAAGGGCCCCGACAGACCTTCATCACTAGGTATGCCTGATCGCGCGCCGTGCGAGAATGCTCACGGCGTTGCATGGGCATGAATGCCTTTGTGTTGTATCACTCGCCCCGGAGCGGCCATTTATTTGCGTCTGAGGGCCTTTGAGAGGCGCAGAAAGGCTTCGAAAATCGCACCAGTGCCACGTGGCGCCTCCGCTTGAGAAAGTCGCGCATTCTCGCGCAACCACGAACGGTCCGAGGCAAACACGTGCCGTCGTGTATTGTCTTATGTTGCCTCCACCGGCTCGGTGCAATGTCAGGCGAGAAACGCATCGCATTCGCGCACAAGGCGCTCTCGGCCCACCTTTTTCACCGGCACGTCCCCCGCACGGGCCCGACGTTTGTTTCGCGCCCCGCGCGCCGAGGTTCGGCCCCCCACATCGCCTGCACCTCGGACGCCCGCGCTCGCACCGGCTCATCGTCGACGCGCGGCCGCGTTGCTCCGCAGACAGCAACCCTGCCAGCTTGGCACTCTGTAGCGACCCACACGCCATGGCAAACATCGAAGACATCGTACAAGGCGTGAGACGCAAGCTCATGCTAGCAGAGACCGACTCCGAGCGCGAGCGCCTGGGCCTCGCGGTCGCAGCCCTCGACACCGCGCCTCCGGAGCAGGGCGGCGGCGACGCAGCGCGCGACCACGCCGCCAAGGCCGGCCTCGCGCTCCAGCTGCGCAAACAGCTCGACGCCGCCGGGACCGACCGCGCGCGCGCCCAGCTCGGCCTCGCCGTGGGCAACCTCGTGGCGGGGACCACGGGCTTTGGCCCAAAGAGCGCCGACGTGCTGGACAGGGTCAAGAGCGCCGGGCTGGTGCAGGCGGTGGTCCGGCAGCTGGAGAAGGCTGGGACGGACGAGGCGCGCGCGCTCCTCGGCGCCGCGCTGCGGAAGCTGCTCGAGGGCGTCGGCGAGGTGCAGGCGCGCTGGGAGGCCGCGTGGGGGTGTGGTGCGGTGGCGACGCTGCGCATGCAGCTGGACGCGTCGGCGGCGGACGGCGCCGCGGAGGCGCTGGGCGCTGCGATCGAGGCGCTGCTGGGGCCCGTCGCGGGCGAGTCGGGCCGGGCGCAGGACGAGGCTGTGCGGGCGGGGATGGCGCTGGCGCTGCGGGGGCGGCTGGAGGCGGCGACGACGGACGGGGCGCGGCAGATGCTCGGCGCGGCGGTCGGCGCGCTGCTCGCGGACGTCGGGCCCGGGGCGAACGCGCGGCGGGAGGAGGCGGCGCGCGTCGGCATGGTGACGACGCTCGTGCGGCAGCTGGCGCAGTGCGGCTCGGAGGCGGCGCGCGAGGGCGTGGCGTCGGGGCTCGCGGGGATCCTCGAGGGCTTCGGCACGGGGCTGCCTCGCCGGATCGAGCGGGCGTGCCGCGCCGGGGCGAACGCGGCCGTGCGCGCCGCGATGGGGCTCTCCGAGGGCGCCGGCGCGACGCAGCAGCTCGCGCGGTGCATGGCGGCGCTGCTCACGCCGGGCGGCCGCGACGGGACGGCGCGGCGCGTGGCGTTCGCGCAGGAGGGCGCGGCGGACGCGCTCGCGGAGGGGCTGCGTTGCGCGTCGACCAACGGCGCCCGGCGGGAGCTCGCGCGCGCGTCGATGCAGCTCTTCTACTTCCCCGAGGGCGACGTGCCCGCGGACGTCCTCGGCGCCGAGGAGGCGCTCGCGGCGTCGCTGTACGTGCGCTCGTGCGAGGCGTGCGGCCTGATGACGCTGCAGCTCTCGCGCACGTCCTCCGACGGCGCGCGCGAGGCGCTCTGCGACGCGATCACCGAAGCGCTGGCCACGGACGACCCCGAGGTCGACGGCCGCGGCGAGGCGGCGTGGTCCGCCGGCGCCGCCGACGCCCTGTGCAAGCAGCTCGACGCCGCGCGCTCGGAGCCCGCGCGCCTCGCGGTCCTGCGCACGCTCGGCGCGCTCGTCCGGCCCGGGCCGCACGCGGGCGACCGCTGCGACGAGGCGGCGGCCGCGGGGATCTTCGTGGCGATCCGCGACGCGGTGGAGGCCGCGGAGACTGACGAGGGCGTGGAGACGGCGGCCGAGGTGACGGCGGTCCTGCTCGTCGGGCCGCGCGGGGGGCACGGCGGGCGTCGCGGCGGGGACGCGAAGGCGCGGCGCGCGGACGCGGCACGCGCGGGCGTCGGGACGGCGCTGCTGGCGCAGGTGAAGCAGGTCCGGGACGCGCACTCGCGGGAAGTGGTCGACTTGGCTGTGGGGATGGTGATGGGCCTGCGGACGTAGCGCGGAAGGGCTCGGGTGTACATATGGGACGTTGCGCTTCGTACTTCGCTGACCTACGAGCACCCTCGCCGCGAGGACGCTTGAGCGACCGCAACCGCCTGCTCCGTCGACAGAGGCGGAGCGCTTCACGACGACGCCGTGTTTTTGAACACGATAGATTGTTTATTAAATGTTGATAATGTTGAATATTCTACTTGTGAATACCTCAAGAACATCAAACGAGCGCGTCGCCCGCTCGCGCCCAGTTCCGCCGCGGACGTGCACCGCGCCGCGCGCCGCCCGCCATCACATCACCGACACCCCCTGCACCCGCAGGTACAACAGCGCGACCCCCGCCAGCACCAGCACCGCCATCACCAGCCACAGCCCGCCGTCCCCCGCCCCCGCGCCCCCGCCCGCTCCAGCCCCCGCCTCTCTGCTCTTCGGCGGCTGCGCCAGCTCGAGCGTGTACTTGCGCGCCAGCGCCTCGAACCCCGCCGTGTCGCCCGCGCGCAGCAGGTTGCCCGCGTCGCAGTTGAGCGGCGACTCCGCGGCCGGGTCCGACAGGAGGGCGAGGATGGCCTGCGTGGTGGAGAGGAGGCCCCAGGCGGGCGTCCACTTGCTCTTGAGGATATCGAGGCACACCTCGCCAGTCTTGAAGTGGATGTTGGGGTGGAATATCGGGGTCTCGAACCTGGAAAGCGGGCACCGGCGGTGGGGAGCGCGTCAGTGGGGCGCTGTGCGCGCCGTGGGGGCGGAGCGGGCGCCACGCTGCGCGGGAACGGGCGTGCCTGGCCATGGGGGGCTGGTGCGGGTAGCCCTCCGGAACGGTGAGGGCGAGACGGAAGCTCCCGCCCTCAAAGGGCGTGCCCGGTGGTCCCTGGATCACCGCGCGCCATCGGAACAGCGTCGTCGGGTCCGGCTCCAGGTGGATGCCTGCGCAGGGCACAGGAGCCTAGTTGGGTGGTCGCGCGCACTCCGCGGCCCCGGGACCGGCATATCGGCCGCAGCAGAGCAAGGACAGTGATGTAAGCGGGCAGAGGGCGCTGTCGATGGCCCGTGCGCTGCGCATCATGCCGCAGAAAGGGCCACAACTCACGCCCTGGGCAGAGAGCCCGCACACCCGCGGTCAGAGGCAGCTCGCGCGCCGGCTCAGCGTAATCCGCCACCGCAGAGAGATGCAGGGCACGCGCGCGGTTCACGCGAGGTCGGGCGAACGGCGAGGCGCGGGCGCGCACCCAGGTCGTCCGAGGCGCTCTTCAGCAGCTCCCGCAGCTCCCGTTGCAGCCTGCTCGCAGCTGCCATCCCCCCCGCCTTCCCCTGACGCGAGACTCCGTAGATTCCGCGCCCGCGATCCCGCGCGTGTTCGCTTTCGGCTCGAAACGGCGCCTCAAGAGAAGCTCCAAGGAAGGCTCCAGACCCAAATGCTCGCGACGGACGCGACTTCCGAACAAGGTCGCCCACGACGGGCTCCAGCAACGTCCCTGACCCGCGCCCGGCGCGCCCGAAACGCACGGACGAGCGCACCGCGGCCGTCGCGGACCCCCCACCTGCATCAGGTGCACCCGCACACAGAGGGCGTCCCGCGGGAGCTCAAGGGCCCGCGAGGCGCGCCCGCCCGGTGCGTTTCGCCATAAGCTTTCAAGACTCCTCAAGATGCAGCCCGGCCCGCAAGGTGCCGGTGCGCCCGTGCGCGCCGTTCGCAAGGCAGCTGGCGTGGTGTCGTCTCTCGGCGCTGCTGCGGCCTACAACGCCCAGATGGTCAAGAGCTTCGCCGTGGTCGTGCTGGACTCCGTCGACTACCGCCGCATGCCCATGTGAGCGCACGCGGAGGTGCGTGGCCCGCGCGAGCGCCCCCACAAGCCCGCCAGGTGGTTGTGCGATGCTGGCCGCGATATAGTTCAGACCAGGGCCCGAGACCTCGAGCTGCGCGCCGCGTACACATGTCCGGGGCACTCAGAGCCGGAAAGCGGCCCGTCCGAGGGATTTCGTGGCCTGGACGCGAAGATTCGCGCACCTGTTTGAAGCAGGTGGTTGTTGCTGGCCTGGCCGCCTCGCGCCGCGCGTCGGCGGCCCGAGCGGCCGCGAGCCCGCGGCTACGGCCTTGTTGCGCCCCTGAACGCCCCCCTGAGCGTCAGTCGTGCGATTTTGTCCGACGAATCCGCCCGCACCGCCCTCACGTTGTCTGCAGCGTAGGTTGAAAGGCCTCCTCCGAAATGCCGAGGCGGCGCCCGGGACGCGGCGCCGGCCCATTGTTCCTCTGCGGACCAGTGAGCCCGCGCTGCCGCGGAACGGCGCTCCGCGGCCCCTCCCGAGTTCGAGCGGGGCAGGACCTACTGCACGGTGGCGGCCGCTCTGCGCCCTCGTGTGGCGCCTCCGCGGCGCCGACGAGGGCCCTCGAACTCTCATCCGGCTCCTTCGAGGCCGCGGCGGCACGGCTCGACCCGGATCCCCCAACACGCGCCCGAGAAAGGGCCGTCAGAATCCCTCGCACAAAAGGGGCGCCGGCTGCTCCCAGCAGCGCCCCGCCCTCCACAGCCCCCCTCCCCTACTCCAGTCGCCCAACCAGCCCCCTATGTTCTCAGAAAACCTGCTCTACGGCGCTGGGCAGCCGGGGCGCGCGCGCTTCGGGCCCGCCCCCTCCTGGCTGCCCCGCCTCGCACCCGTCGTCGCAGCACACCCCTCGAGCTCCGCTTCACCCCGCAACCGCCTGCAACGCGCAGCGTGAGCCTGCGGGGCCCGCCCCCGCCGGCAATGCGCGTCGCCCTGTACATCGCAGCAGGCAGCACCTAGCACAACTTGTGACATCGCTACACGCACGAAACGAAGGCCCCGTCGCCCCGCGCCGCCTCGCCGCCCCACCGCTCCTCGTCCACGGCGCGGGGCTCGCCCGCGGCCCGGTCGCGCCGACCATCAAGGTTCTACCTCGCTTCCAGTCCCCCCCTGAGACCTCCGCCTCGCCCGGGCCCGTGCGCGGCGGGACAACGGCCCGCCCGCCAGGCTGTCGCGTGCACTTTCACGCTGCGCCGCGCGCCGCGCACCAGCCCGCAGGCCGCCTGCAGCGTCCGTGCGGCTTCTACGGCGGCGCAGGGGCTCCACCACCGCCAAGTGCCGCAAGGGCCCGGATCTCAGCAAGAAATCGCACCGACAAGCGCCTGCGTGCAAGGTACGGCTGCGGCGTCGCCTCCGCACCCCCCGCATGGCGCGTGCGGGCCCGCGGAACGCCAGTGACGGTTCTGCTGACCCAGGAGATGGGCGGGCGCGGACAGGGCCGTGCGCGCGATGCTACGGGCAAACCCTGTCGTCCCTGCACGGATCCTGATTCTCTCGGGCGATCGCGGCGCTGGGACGGGCGGAAGTCCCAGTCTTCAGCGCGCAACCGCAGTTTTTGTGCGTGGTGCAGGAGGGTACGTGATCTCCGCGCGAGGATGCAAGGAACGGCGGCACCGAGGCAGGACGGGGAGAGCGCGAAAGGCTGGACCGAGGAGGCGCACGCTCGGGGCCAGCACGACGGCGGTGAGGACCCTGAAACGGCGCGGCAGCCGTGACGATTCCTTGTCCAATCTTCATAGCAAGGAAGACGAACCGGCGAATGCGTCCCACCGTGCCTCCGGCCCGCCCTCTCCGTCCGCAGGGACGCGTTCGCACCGCTCGCTCTCCCTCGTCGCCGCCGACGAGGCGTCCGCGAGCGAGGGGGCCGCGACTGCTGACGGCGTCGAAGAGACGGGCGCCCCGGACGCCCCGGCCTTCGCCTCGCAACACCGCCCCGGCGTCGAAACGCGCGCCCCTCCGCAGCGGCTCCTCGAGCGCGGGGGCGGCGACACGTCCGCGCCGGGCGTCGTCACCGATATGGCCGCAGGAGCCCTCGGTGCAATCAGCGCACGCAACGTGACTGATGCTGCGACGCAAGACGGCGACGCCGCTGGCGAGCATGCGCGTGAGGATACGCCCCCCTTGGAAGCCGCTACGTTTCAGGCCGGAAACGGGCCGCGGAAGCCGCGCGCCAACGACGGTGTTGCCGCGCAACACAACCACGACGGCCGCGACGCGAGCGACTCGTCGCTGCGCACGATGGCCGCGCCCCAGCCCAACCTGGTCAGCACGTGGACCGAAGGCCACGGGCTGCACGTGCGTCCCGCGGAACCCGGCGCGCCGGGCGGCCAGATGCTGCCGCCCGGACACCAGCACGCGGCGCTGCACTGCGCGAGCTGCGGGAGCGGCCGCATCCCGCCGTACCACGAGCTCGTCGCGTGGTGGGTCGACACGCACCAGCACGGGCATCCGCCGCACCTCGCGCCGGCGAACACCCCCGCCCTGACAGCGCGCTCTCCGCTCAGCCGTCAGTCGTCCCTGGCGCCGCGGCCGCACCACTCCCTGGCCGGGAACGCGAGCATCGCTGCAACCGCCCCGGCGATGCGCACCGCCCGCAACGCGTCGAACGCGTCGATCGTCGGCGCCCCGCGCAACGCGCGACGCCCGCTGCCCGGGCGGGCGTCGGGCGCCATGCTGCCCCCTCCCGGCGCTGCTGCGCATGGGTACGCGCCGTCGCTGTTGTCGCAGCCCAGCGGCCCGTGGCGCGCCAGTTCGATCGCCCCCCCCCCCAGCGTGGCACCCAGCCGCCGCGGGGGCCGTGCGGCGAGCGTCTCGCGCCCGTCGCTGCCGCTCGGCGACAGCACCTCCCACTTCGACGGCTTCTCGGACCACAGCATGCTCACCGAGGCCGGGTCTGACCTGCCAGCCATCAAGTCGGAGCTCGCCGCACCGCCCCCGCGCCTGGGCATCCCGCTGACGTGTTTCGTGATGCTCGCCACCTGTGCTGTGCTCGCGTCGGTCCTTGCGATGTACCTCGGGGACATCGATGGCTCGCCCGGCCTCCGCGCGGCCGCCTGCATCCTCATCGCTGTCGCGGGGACCACGTGCGGAGAGGCCATCCTCTGCGTCTTCTTCCCGCACTTCTCCGTGACTGCTGCGCTGTTCGAGCGCTGGTCGCGCGCTCAGATCGCGCGCCGCCCCCCCAGGCACCGCGCCGCCGCGAAGGGACGCACGACGGAGGCCATCGCCACGGGGGGAGTCAAAGCGGCCGAGACGGGCACCGAGCGGCGGGATAGCGCGTCGACTGCGCAGGCCGAGTCCAAGTCCACGGCGCAGGGCGCGGTCGAGATCCCGGAGGACGGCGAGCGGCCCCTCGGCGTGCGATTCCGCCGCGACCCCTTGTCGCTCCCCGGCGGGTCCCGCCGCAGCAGCGAGGGCGGCCTGGAGGCTGGCAACCGCGTGTGAGCGCGGGCGTCCGCGTGTCCGGCAGGGCGTGGGAGTTTGAAGGGTCTGTTCGCGCGGGCGGCTGTCGAGAGAAGGGGCGCGGGGCCGCGTGACGTGCGGCTGGGGGCCGCGGGAGGCGAGCGAGCGGCTACGCGCCCCGCGTGTGAGAGAGTCACAGAGCTACGCGATCACCTCACCTCGAAGCGGCGTGCGGCGCAGAGGTTGCGCGCGAGGGCGGAGCTGTTGGTCAAAAATGGAAGAGTTGCGTCGAGGTGCGCCATCAGTCACTCCTCGCGCACCCGCGGGATAGAGAACGTGTGCAGGGGCTCCGTGGACTCGATGCCGTACGCCTCCACGACCATCTCCTCCTCTCTCACTCTGCGGACGCACACACTCGCGCGCGTGCGCTCAACACCATACAGACCTTGCGGCCGCGACACGCAACCATCGCTGCAGCGCCACCGCACCCCGCACGACACGACACGGCGCCCCGCCCTCTCACCTGACGGCCATGAACCCGCTGGCGTCGTACAGAAAGAACGCGCCGCTGTCGCGACACGCCGCCTCGTCCTGCCACCCCGGGCGCGTCTCCGACCCCGCCCCCGACGTCATGTAGTACACGCCGCCGTCCGCCCGCCAGGCCTGCAGGTTGTGGTCGTGCCCGTTGAAGTACGCCTGCACCCCGCGCGCCCGCAGCACCGGCGCCACGCGCTCCGTCACGTACGGCCCGTCGTTGTGCGGCGCGCCCGCCGACGGACACGTGTGCACGGGGTGGTGCCCGGCCACGATCTTCCACGCCGCGTCCGACAGCTCCAGCGCCGAGTCCAGCTCCGCGAGGTTGGCCTCCCACGACTGGTCGACGAGGCTGCCCGGGCCCGTGTCCCACCACGTCTTGTTCGAGTACTCCTCCTCCATGAAGGGGTTCGAGTCGTACCCGAAGATGTCGACGCGGCGCGCCCCGGCGCCCACGGACAGCTTGAACGCGCGCGCGCAGTGCCAGCGGCGCGCGGGGTCGAGAGCGGGGTCGCGCAGGCGCGGGCTGAGCTGGTGGACGGCGCTGTAACAGCAGCCTGGGCGGCACGTGTCGTTCACGTAGCTGCAGTCCGGCCTGCGATGCCCGGGGGAGGCGCGCGACCCCGATCAGCACACATTGTTGACAAGCCGAGTCCAGCGCCGTGCTCTTCGCCGGGCTGTTCGGTCGAGCACGGATCGGAGCGGATGGCGCGGCGTGACGCGGGCGCGCACCCGATGCCGGCGTAGTCGTGGTTTCCGAGCACGTTGTGCCACGGGAGCTGTTTGATGTGGGGCCCGCTGTACACGTTGACGAACGACTCGACGAAGGCGGGGTCCTCCGTCGCTGTCAGACCCGCCTCGTAGAAGTTGTCGCCTGCGGGGCGCCGTGCCGGTGGGTCGGGCTTGCGTGGCGAGTGCGCGCGCGCGGCAGCGTTGTGTGTGGGTGCGAGCGTGGCGGGTTCCGTCGTACCGGTGCCGAGGACGAATTCGGGGCGGAACGTGGCCGCGACGTGGTCCATCATTTGCGCGACCTCGGTCTGGTTGAACTGCCCGCGGCGCCCCCAGTCCCCCACGACGAAGAACCTCGCGACGTCGTCGCCCGGGGACGGGCCTGACGGGCCCCAGCGGGCGCGCCCGATAGCCAGGCCCGCTGCGACGCCCGCGCCCAGTATGAGGACCGCGGAAAACACCCGCACTGCGCGCAGAGAGCCAGGATGGTCGTAGGTCTCAGGGACACCAGCTCGACCCAGGCATACTTTGCGGTTCAACGGACGATTGCGCCCTCAGGGACAGTCCTCATGGAACACCAGTGGCCACGTGCGAGCACTTGGTGCGACTGGACGCCGCGCGACGCCACGCGGGACCCGCGATTCCTAGGCCATGCATTCAGACGCGTCCACCGCCCGTCCCCACGCGAGGAGTCCGCCCCGGCGTCGCTACCCGCAGTCCTCGCACACGCGTCCGTCCGCGCGCGCACGCCACGGCCCCGGAGATCGCGGCAGTTCGCCGCAGACCCTCACCTAGCAAGCCCTTGGTGTTCCGCGCGGGCGCGCGGGCCTGGAGCGCCGTGCCCTCGTCCGCGTCGAAGTGCTCGTCGTAGAACGCCCCCGGCGCGTGCCGCCCCGCGCCCGCGCCCCCGTCCGCGAGCGCCCCGGACCACGGCCGGCCCTCCGCGCCACTGCGCTGCGTCATCTCCGTCGCTACGTCGCTCCGCATGCGCCCCTACGCGCGCGCCGCCTGCCGCGCTGGGCGTGGCGTGGCTCGCCGCGCCGCCAGCAGACGCGCCGCAGCCCCCCGCGAGTCCCCCCCCGGGAGCGGTGCGAGTGCGCAAGACACACAAGGTGGGCAGTCGAGCACCGAGTCGAGCGGGCCGCAGGAATGCGCGCTACGCGTCTGCGTACGCGGGGCTTCGCAGTGCCGGATCGCGGGGGCGCGCGGCGCGATGAGGGCCGCCGCGGGCGGTCGGGATTGTCTCGGGGGGGGGTGTAGTAATGGAGGCGTGCTGGGCGCGGCGGCGGTCTAGGGCGCGGCGGGGCGGCGGGCGATGGCACGCGTCTTCCGCGAAACACTGCGAGGCTGACTTTGGGTGCGTCCTCGCGGTTCCCTGCCGGTTCGGTGCCAGGACGGTCGCGCGCGGACAATCGCGCCGCAGGGCTCGACGAAGTGCTCGGACGATCCCCAGCGCCGCCCGTTGGTTTTCGGGTTTTCGGTTCTCAGTTTTCTTGCCGCTTCCCGACCGCCCAGCCCCCAGGCTGCGCGTACCCTCGCGCTCTGTTCGAGGGTCACGTCTCCCGCTCCCTGCAGCGCGTGGCAGCCCAGCTGGCCTCGGCGTCGCACCCGGCCCAATTTTGATCCCCTTGCCCGTGTGTACGTCGGCCACGAGGCGCCCGGGCCCGCAGCTCGCGCTTGGCGAAGCCCTGCGAGAGTGGGCTCTTCGCACCCCTGCCCCGGGCTTCCGCGGCCGCCTTTGTCGCCCAAAGCGCCCGTCCCTGGCGCACACCCCCACCCTCGTCCCTTCGAGATAGCCGCCTGCCCAGGCAGCAAACCACAGGCCCCGCGCGGAGCCTCCCTCAACTTCCCTGGTTCTCCCCCGAAGGCGAATCATGGACGAGCTCAAGAACGCCATCGCCGTCATCCCCAACAAGTGAGCCCCCCGCCCCTCGCCGCCAGCGCGCGCCGCGCCCCCGCAGCGCCTCGCACCCTGCCGCGCCCGGCCCCGAGCCTCCAGCCTCGGCGCACCCCCGATCGCCGCACGGCCCCGTCCGCGCCGCGCCCGACCCCGCGCCGCCCGCGCCGCCCGCAGGTACTACTTCGGCGTCGTCCACAGCCTCGACAGCGTCCAGAGGTCGTCCGTCGTCGCGCGAGGCGACCTCGTGTACTGCATTGACCATGACCTGCTCTACGAACCCTTCTTCGGGGACTTCGGGCCGCTCAACATGGGCCTCTCCTATCGCTTCTGCGAGCGCACCCAGGCAAGAACCCCCCCCGCGCCCCCGCGGCCCCGGCGCCCCCCCGCGCAGCCCCCCGCGCCGCTGTCCGTGACTGCGCAGCCCAGCAAGCAGTTGGGGCCGTTCCGACCGCCGCGTGCGGCGCCTCGGGCGCTGGGAACGCGCGGGCCGCGCTGTACCGACCGCCGTGAGGCCCGCGTTGCGCGGGCGCGGCCGCGAGGTGCCGGCGCGGGCGGGAAATCGCGATTCGTGGGTGCGCGGAGTGCGGGAGCAGGGCGCTGACCCCGGCGAGCTGCGCGTGCCACTGCGTGCAGAACCTGATGGAGGAGGCGGATCGGAGGGGAAAGAGGCTGTACTTGGTGGCGCAGGCCGCGCCGAACTTCAAGGCGAACGCGACGGGTGCGTCCTCCCACGCGTGCGGTGCATCGATGCCTGCCGCCGCGCCCAGGCTCCCTCGCGCGCCCCCTCTATCGCCCCGCGACCTCGAACATTCAATGCGGGCGCCCCCGCCCGGAGCCATCCCGGCCAAGGGCCGCCTCGCGCTGCGCGCGCGGTCGCTCGCTCGGGTCGCGCGCACCGCCTCCGCGGCGTCGCCCGGCCGCCGCGCCGCCCGCCCCGCGCCGCACCCCCCGTATCACTTCCCGCGCATGCGCCCCAGCATCGCGCCGCGCCTCCATCGCGCCCCCCGCGCCCCCTCGCCCGCCCCCAACCGCTGCGCCCTCCCCCCTCCTCCCCGCGCAGTTCTCGTCGGCATCTACCTCATCATGATCTGCGGGTGGGCCGCGGACGAGGCCTACGAGGTCCTGAAGGTCCTCCGCCCGTTCGCGTCCTTCCGCGACGCCTCGTGCGGCCCCAGCACCTTCCCGCTCACCCCCCAGGACTGCCTGAAAGGGATGCAGCGCGCGCGCGACACCGGCCTCGTGCGCTTCACGCCGCTCGGGGACCCCACGGCCTTCGACATCCTCGAGTACGAGCACTACGAGCAGGTCGAGAAGGGCGACCTCAACTGGATCGTGCCGGGCAAGCTGCTGGCGTTTGGCGGGCCGCAGGCGAAGCGCACCGAGTTCTACGGCTACAAGACGCTGGTGCCGGAGGACTACCACGAGTACTTCCGGCGGCGCAACGTGACGTCCGTCGTGCGGCTGAACCGGCGCGTGTACGACCGCGCGCGCTTCACCAGCGCCGGGCTGCAGCTCCACGAGATGTACTTCCCCGACGGGACGTGCCCGACGGAGGCCATCATGCAGCGGTTCCTGCGGACCGTCGAGACGGAGCCCGGCGCGCTCGCCGTGCACTGCAAGGCCGGCCTCGGGCGCACCGGCGTGCTCATTTGCGCCTGGCTGTGCAAGCACCTGGGCTTCACGGCCGAGGAGGCCATCGCGTACATCCGGATCTGCCGGCCCGGGTCCGTCATCGGGCCGCAGCAGCACTTCCTGAAGCAGATGCAGGGGTGGCTGTGGCGCGAGGGCGAGGCGTTCCGCGCGCAGCAGGAGCAGCGCGCCGCCAGCAAGGCGCAGCTGGTGCGGTCGGGGAGCAACTCGCTCGCGAGCAGCGCCGCGACGATCCGCACGGGCGTCGCGCAGCCGCCGGGGTCCGGCGGGACGGAGACGCCGCGCACGAGCAGCATGACGGTGACGCCGCGGTCGGCCACGCCGTCGCCGTCCGACACGCTCGACGACGGCGGGGGCGCCGCGGCGTCGGACGCGTCGGACTGCGCGCACGTGTCGCCGATGAAGCCGCTGCGGTCCGGCACGCACGCGCCGCAGTACATGAGCCACGAGCAGATCGAGCGGGCGGGCGGCGCGAAGAACCTGCGCGCGTCGGCCCCGGCGGGCTCGGCCGCCGCGGTGGTCAAGGCCGCGAAACGCGCGCTCGCGAACCCGCACGGCGCCGGGAGCGGCAACCCGCGGCAGAACTACGGCGCGGCGCCGATGACGCCGCGCGCGGGGGCGCGCCTGCTGGGCCCCGTGCGCCAGGCGTCGGGGGCGAGCCTGAACGCGTCGGCGTCGTCGCGCACGGCGTCGCGCCAGGGCAGCACGACGTCGCGCGTGCCGCAGACCGCGTCCGCGTCGGTGGGGCCGTCGGCGCGCTCCGCGACGCGCCCCGCGAGCGAGAAGGCGCCGCGCCACGCCGCGCCTGGACGCTCCAGCAGCACCGGCACCGCGGCGGGCATGCGCACGCCGTGGGGCGTCAGCGGCGTCGCGCGGACGACGTCGGCGGTTGGCACGACGCGCACGGCGTCGTGGAAGGCCCCGTCGAGCAGCTCGTCGGCCCGCACGGATCGCCTGCGGCTGCAGGGCAGCGCGCTCATGTCGCGGCCGGGCGCGGGGAGCGCGCGCGCCGGGGTGCCGCAGGTGCAGGGCCTGGCGTCGAGCCCGCGGGCGCGGTCTGGCACGACGGTGCAGCGCGTGGTCACGAAGGCCGGGCAGCCGCGGAAGATGCCTGCCGCGCTGGCGACGCAGCATCAAAAGGCGGGCGAGGTGCTGCTGCCGTCGCAGGGGTGAGGGGGCGCGCCGGGCGGCCTGCCGCGCACGGCGGGAGGCTGGGTCGCGCGCGAGCGCCGAGGAGGCGCTGCTTCGCGAGAAGAAGAGAACCAGATGTCTCATCCGAATCCAATCTACCTAATCTAGTCTTATCTACCCGCTGACAAGGGAAACGAAAGCGTTGCTTGCGCATAGCGATGACAGTTGGCGCGAGCTTGCCGTCGCCAAGCTGTGGCAGGGACCAAGCGTACTGTGCCGTACTAAGCTTTTTTGTACCATGCATGGCACAAGTAGATATTGTGACACCTAGCCGCGCTTCTTCTGCCCCGCGTCAGGACAGAGCACGGCGCGCTGCGAGGATGCCTGCGGGTCTGCCGTCGCTGCCTTGGCTCTCCGTCGTGCAGGTGTGTGTGCAACATGCATGAAAGCGTGCCGCTCTCGCTCTACCCCTCGTCCTCGTGGCGAGGGTGCTTGTAGGTCAGCGAAGTACTACCCCGCTTGCTGTGCGAGCCCCGTCTGCCGTACCACCTCGGTCGCTCGAGTATCTTCGCGGTGAGGGTGCCTGTAGGTCAGCGAAGTACAAAAAGCGTCCTCGCGGTCGGTTCATGCCCTTGGGTCCGTGTGCACTCAAACACCAGCCGCGTTCCTCGACCCGCGTTCGCCACGTGTGTCTGTACTTCGCTGACCTACAAGCACCCTCACCGCGAGGACGCTTGAGCGACCGAAATGTGTGTCGGACCGGGCTCGTTCGTCCACGGTGAGCGCCTTCGCTGGCGAGCCGCCTTCGTCCATCATCACACGATTCGCGGGTTCAGCAGCCGCGACCGTTCCTGCTTGCGTATCGCCGCCATCTGCGCCTCGTGCACCTCCCTCACCGCCACCTGGTGCAGCTCCAGCAGCGCGTCCAGCTGCGACAGCGACAGCTCCGCCACCCCCACGCCCAGCACGTGCCGCGGCTGCAGGTCCAGCGCCATCGCGCGTGGACACACCTCCGCCATCCGCGCCTGCGCCTCCTTCACCCACGCCGGCGCCCGCGCGCCGCCCGCCTCGGACCCGCGCCCCGCCGCGTCCTCCTCGCCCTCCTCGCTGCCGCGCCCCCAGTCGTTCAGAGCTGCGTGCTGCAGCTGCCGCGCCCAAGCGCCCTGCAGCCCCGCACCCCCCAAGCCTTCGTCCCCCGGCTCCTCCCCGTCCGACGGGCCGTCACTCGGTGCTTCCGACACCGCCTCAACCTGCACGGCCTCGTCAGTCTGCACTTCGGCCTCCGCCACAACACACCCCCCCTGTTTCCCCGCCTTGATCTGCTTTGTCTGCCGCCTCTCCTCCCTCTCCCGCTGCTCCCGCTCGTCGCGCTCCAGCGCCGCCTTCGCCTCCTCGGACCTCTGCACGGCCTCCTCCCACAGCGGCTGGACCAGCGCGACGACCGCCTCGGCCCCCGCCGCCTCCGCGGCCTGCAGTGGCGTCTGCTTCGCCTTGTTCCTGACGAAGAGGTCCGCGCCGGCGTCCAGGAGCAGCCGCGCCACCTGCGCTGCACCCGCGCCGCACGCGAAGTGCAGCGCGGTGTTGCCGTGCACGTCGACCCTCCTGAGCTGGTCCGCGTGCTCCGCGACGGGGATGGCGCGCAGCACGAGCGACACGCACGCGGGCTGCCCGGAGTTCGCCGCGCACATCAGCGCAGTGAGCCCTGCGAAGTTGAAAGCCCGCGGGCTCGCGCCGGCGTGCAGGAGCGTCGCTGCCGCCGCGATCTGTTGGCTTGCCAGCGCGAAGTGGAGGGGCGCGTCGCCGTTCTTGTTGCACACGTCTACGCTGAGGCATTCGTGGCCCCGAGGCGTTCGTGGCAGCAGCTTGGCCTTCTCGAGGACGAACTTCAGAACGCGCAGGTGGCCCTCCATGGCCGCGACGTGCAGCACAGTGTTGCCCGACGCCGGCAGGGAGTCATTCAGGTGGCAGCCGGCGTCCACGAGCGCCTCGAGGACCCTGCGAGCGGGGCACCGTTGTCGAGTCAAGCGAGAGAGGGCGGCTTCTCGGAACCTCGGCGGCGTCGCAGTGCGCGCACAACACCGTGTTGCGCATCACCGCCGCGCGCGTCGTGTGTTGCCGCACGTGGTGGGCGGCGCAGTAGCAGAGCGAGCTGACGTCTGTTTCATGCACAAGGGCTGATCGTCTCACGCATAGCGCCGTTCGGGAGACATCGCCGGTCAATGCATGGACTCACGTGACGTGCCCGCGCTTCGCGGCGAGGAGCGTCAGCGGCCAGTCGAGCTCGTCTCTTGTCACCGTCAGGGCGTAGACAGGTAGACCTGCGGAGTCGAGGTATTCCACCGCATCCCGCACCGCCGCAAGGGCACGTTCCTCGCTGGCGTGCCTGCAAGTGACAGCATCGCCCGACGTCGCGCGCCGCGATGTTTGTGTTTGAGCAGGGCCCGGAGCAATGCGGGGCGGGGATAGCGCGGCGTGTTCGTCGCTCGTTCCGCGCCGCGCGACGTGTGGCGGAGTGCGCGTTGCGAGTACGGTGCCAGGGCGAGACGAGCCAGCATGGGAGATCACTCGCACGAAACACAGCCGCACAGCCACGAACACATCAGACTCGTATTTCACGTCGTCGGAAACCAGGAGCTTCGTCGCCGCACGAGCTCTCGGCGGAGGAAGAGTGCTCCTCAGGGGGCAGTAGGGCGCACCGCAGGTCCGTGCAAAGCTGGACGGCGATGTCGGCGAAGTTGCGCTGTTGCGACATGTAGACTGCTTCTGCCAGCGCTATCGCGCGGCTTCCATCGGCACTGCTCGGCCGGGAGCGGCTGCACGCTACAAGGCTTGCTGGTTGCCCCTCGCACGTCCTCCCCCGGTCGCTGGCACCAGCATTCCCGCGCGGCTTGGGACCAATCAACTGCGAGTCGCGCCCGCACGCGGCTGCGCGCGCTCTCACGCGGCACCGACGCACGTTCAGCGCTTTTCCAACCCCCAAAACGCCCACCATGACTCAGCCGCAAGCATCACACCGCGCCCGGGCGCGCTACATCTCGTGCCAGGGCGTCAGGATCTCCGCCCCGTTCTCCGTGATCAGCAGCGTGTGCTCGTGCTGCGCCGCCAAGCTCCCATCCCGCGTCACCGCCGTCCACTTGTCGTCCCACATGCGGTACCGGTCCGACCCGAGCGTGAAGATCGGCTCGATCGTGAACGTCTGGTTCAGCTGCATCTTCGCGGGGTCCATGTTCCGGCACGGGTACACCGCCGGCGACGCGTGAAACACCTTCCCGACGCCGTGCCCGACGAAGTCGCGGTTGATGCTGAGCTTGTGCTTCTTCGCCACCTTCTCGATCGCCGCGCCGATCTCGCGGAACGGCACGCCCGGGCCGCACACCTGCGCGCAGCCCCGCGACCGCACACTGCGTCGGGCAGGAGCCACAGAAGAAGCACCGCGCTCGCGGCCCGCTGGCGCGGCGCTGCGGCCAGGGCGGGCGCGTCTCACCTTGATGGCTTCCTCGAGCGCCAGGCGGTTGACGTCGCAGAGGCGCTTGGCGGCGTCAGACACCGCGCCGCAGTAGAACATGCGCGAGCAGTCGCCGTGGTGGCCGTCGAGGTAGACCGTGACGTCGATGTTCATGATGTCGCCGTCCTGGAGCGGCCGCGAGTCCGGGATGCCGTGGCACATGCACTCGTTGATGCTGGTGCAAACAGACTTGGGAAAGTTGCCGTAGTTCAGCGGGGACGGGTACGCGCCGGCGTCGACGATCATCTTGTGCACCGCGCGGTCTATCTCGTCCGTCGTGACGCCCGCCTTGACCATCGTCCCTGCTCGGAGGGTGCGGCGGGCGCGCACGTGAGCCAGGACGCGCTGCGACCGCGTGCGAGCTGCGCTGACGGCGTGACTGGCAAAGAGCAAGCGTGCTGGTCAGAACGTGGGGTCGCGCGACGGAACAGCGCATCGCGCTAACCGTGGGGGTCCGGGCGGGCCGAAAGTGCAGGGAGTGTGCTCGCCTGCCATCGTCAGCACCTCCGCGGCGAGCTTGCCGCTCGCACGCATCTTCTTGATGCCCTCTGCGTCGTGCACCTCTATGTCGCTGCTCCAGGGGGGGCTCACGCCCGTGTCCGCGTAAGGCGGCTTCGCAATGTTGTCCGGGACCTTTAGCATTGGTGCTACCTTGCCCGGCTTGAGCTTTCCCGAACTCTCCTGCGCCGCTCAACCAGCCCACAGGATCAGGGAATCAGCGAGGAACCTGCCGCGCCCGCGACCCGCGCCGAGCGCGCGCTGGAACAGAGGAAAAGCAGACGAAGCAAGCGCTGGGCCGGCATCGGCAATGCCGCTTTGCAGCCGAAGGAACCCCTCAACGCGGCGTTTCTCTTGCAGAGTCGCGCGAGCGACATCTGTTCCTGCGATCGGGCCGCAGTCAGCGCCGCCCACGTCCCGGAGCGGGCTGCTGTGCGCGTGGAGAGAGGATGGTCCTCATCCCTCGGCCTCGCCGCCGCACCTTGCCCGCCTTCATCTTCAAAAGCTCCGACAGTCCACGCCGCGCGTACGTCCGCACCGTCAGGCCCCTGCTCGCGCCGCACCGCCCCCGCGCCCCGCCCGCCGGGCACAGCACGCGCCCATGACCGCCCACTGCTTGCCCGGCCCGCGCGAGGGCGCCTGTGCCGTGGCGCAGGGCGCCGGTCATCACCAGCCCCGCAGTCATCTTCGCGCAGACTGCACCGCGGTCGCGCGCCCCCGAACCCTTCGCAGTCCGCGCCCCTAGTCAGCTTTCAGGGCCTGATGCCAGTACCATTCAATGGGCCCCCACCCCGAAGCTACAACGGCGAGGCCAGAAGTGCGGCGCGCATTGCCCCTGCCGTGCACTCTCGATCGCCGCAGGCGGTCCAGTTCGGTGCCGACAGCGACGAGCCACCTTCGCGGCCACAAAGTCAGCGCGTCGGCAGAGCGAAGCAGCGAGCGAAGGTGTTCCTCTTCAGAGCGCTCGCGGGCGGCCGGGGAGACATGGCGGACAAGGTGCGCGCTCGGCGGCCGCGCTGCGGGCCGTCGTCGACGTCCCCGGCGCCTGTTCGAAGGGCTTGAGGACTTTAGCACTGAGGAGCGTTAGGATGTCGAGTGCCGCGCCATGCTCCGCGCTTCTCTGAGTGCCGGTCGGTGGGCGATAAGTGGAGGTTCTCGGCGTGTCTGTTTAAGTCGGGGTTCCTGCGCGGAGGCGGCAGCAGCGCGCGGTGGAGCCAGCTCGCCGTGAGTGAATGAGACTGCCTCCCGCGCCGCCGCAGGCCACTCTCGCGGAGATCTTGGCGCTGGTACGCGGCCTGGATGCCAAGGTCACGGCGCTCGAGGCGCGGCTGAGCTCCGGCGGCGCGCCAGCGGCCGCCCCCGGCCGCTCGTCCACGGGCGCCACCCGCGCGGGCCCCGCGGGAGGCGGGCCCACGACGTCCGGCGGCTCGCCGCTCGCGGCGCTGAGAAGCGACGTCATTCCCCTCGTCAGCGAGCTCGAGCGCGCCGCGAACGCCGTCCAGGGCAAGGACGCAGAGGGTGTCCGGAAGGCAACCGCCCTCTTGGCGTCAGGATACCGCGCGCTCCCCGGGGTGCTTGCGCGCGCGAAGCCCGCGACGCCGGCTGCTCTGCAGGACGCCGTCGCCCCGATCTCTTCATGCATCCAGGCACGCACGTCCGCGGGCTCCATGCACGGCACTTGCGCCACGTCTCCGCCCCGCGGCTCAGAGTCCGGCCGCCCCGCGTCCCCGCAGGACCTGAACAAGCTCGCGGACGACCGCAGATCGCCGGCGTACCACCACGTCAAGGCGGCGTCCGAGGCGATCGGCGCGCTGGCCTTCGTTGCATACGCCGGGCCTGGGTGCGGCATGGAGCAGCCGCCGCAGCACGCCGAGTCCGCGCTGCAGTCCGCGTCGTTCTGGATCACGAAGGCCGTCATGGACTCCGGCCGCGACGCCGCGCACCTGGCCTGGGGCGAGGCCGTGAAGGCCCTCGGAGCCGCTTTGAAGGCACACCTGGCGCGCCACCAGCCTGTCGGACCTGAATGGGACGCGTCCGGGGCGGCGGAGGCGCCCGCGGCCCCCGCGGCGGCCGTGAAGGCCCCTGCGAAGAAGGCGGGCGGCGCGCCGCCGCCTCCGCCGCCTCCGCCGCCCACGGTGGCGGCGTTGAACGCGGGCATCGGCGGCGGAGGCGCGGGGCCCTCTGGCGGGGGCGGGGGCGGCGGCGGGGGCTCCGCGGAGCAGCTGTTCGCGGAGATTCGGAAGGGCGCGCAGCTGCGGCACGTCACGAAGGACATGAAGGCGCAGGGGAAGGGCGGCGCCGTGCCGGCGGGAGGAAAACCGCCGCCGCCGCCGCCGAGCGTGCCGGCGCCGCGCGGGGGCGTCGCGGGCGGCGCAGGCGTGGCGCGTGGGCCGCCGCGGACGGAGCTGGAGGGCGGCCAGCGTTGGGTGGTCGAGAACTACGTGGGCGGCGACGGCGGCAACGGCCAGCCCATCACCATCAAGGAAGCGGACAAACGGCACTCGGTGTGCATCCGGAGCGTGACGAACACGACCGTCGTCATCCACGGCAAGGTGCGGCGCCGCGGCGGAGCCCCCACTACGAAACACACCCCCAACCCTCCTGCGACGCGCACGCCGGTCCGCTCACCCGGCCTCGCCTGCCCGCGCCGCGCAGATCAACAACCTCACGCTGGAGAGCTGCCGGAAGGTCGGCGTGCTCTTCCAGGGCGCCATCGCCTCCGTGGAGGCCCTGCACTGCGCGGAGGTGGAGCTCGAGTCCAAGGGCCCTGTGGCGGGGTACGCGATCGAGCAGTGCGACGGGTGCACGATCTACATGTCGCGCGCGTGCGGGAGCGACGCGCAGGTCGTCACGTCGCTCTCCACGCAGGTGAACGTCGTGCTGCTCCCCAGCGACGACGCCGCCGACCCGCTGGAGCTGCCCGTGCCGGAGCAGTTCGTGAGCCGGCTCGAGGGCAGCAAGCTGCAGACGGGGCCCGTCGAGCACGCGGGCGCGTAGCGCCGGGCCGGTCGCAGGTCGTGTTGTAAACGCACAGACGGCGCGGGGGTGTGCGGCGGGGCGCGTGCGGCGGCGCGTCGAGGTGCGCTGCAGCCTCGGACACGGGGTGCGATGCGAGGGGGGCGCGGCGGGGAGCGCGTTGCGGCGCCCGGGGCGCACCGAGGGGGCAGATTCCCTTGCGCGCTGCAAGGCAGGCTGCGGTCGCGGGACGCGGGTGCGGGCGGGAAATGCGGCGCGCGGCTGGCCTCGGACGGCAGACGATGGCTGCGGGGCCTTGTCTGCGGCGGAGCGGGGCCGCCGCGACGGCGCGGGAGGTCGCACGCCGGGCGCTGATGTGGCGGGTAGGGACTGTTGGGCTGCTCCTGGCGGGCCCCGGTCGCTGCCTGCATGGCCAACCGCGGGGCGCTTCGGTCGGTAGAATACGAAATCGTATTGAATTGCGGACGAACGCGACCCAAAGACATACGTTTTGAGGCTTGACGAGAGAGAGCGCGGCGTTCCGACAGGAACAGAGCGACGCCATGGAGCTCCTGACGGCCACGCCGCCCGCGTCGGTCGCGACGCCGCTGAGACGCACGAACTCGACCGACGGCGGTGCCGCGCCGCGGCCGCACGCGCCGGCGCCGCGCGCCCGCACGAGGCTTCATGCCATGGCAGCCCCTGGCCCCTCAGCACAGCCGTGGCGGCGCCTCTCGCCCATGGACGCGACGCAGCGCCCCACGGAGCTGCGCAGCTGCTTCTTCGGCGGCATGGACGAGGCGCTCTGGTCGCACGCGCAGCCGCAGCAGCGGGGCCTGGTGCCCATGGAGGAGGAGGAGGGGGAGGCCCTCGGCGCGCTCGTGTCGCGCGTGTGGCAAGCCACGGAGGCCCTCGACGACGTCGACGACATGTGTATTATCACCGCGTCGGACGACGACTGGGAGGGATGCGGGTGCGCGGCCCCCTGGCGCTGAGCTGGCTGGCTGCAACAGCGCGCACCGCCGTGCTCGTCGCGACGCGCGACGGCAACAGAATCGCTCTTTCTGCGCTTTTTACGCAATGGACCGGCGAACGCGATTGAATTCGTCGCGAGTTAACGACGGATATCGCTCAAAACGGCCGTGCTCTTCCTTGCAACCAGAAACGGAAGCGCGCCGCGGGACCGCGCCAACGCGCCAACCGTCGATCGCCGCGTTCCCCCGCGATGCGCAGAAAGCTGTCATGGTAGCCGCGCGAGCTCGGCCCCACGACACGCCCCCCAGACTGACGCGGCGCGCATTGCGCCCAGCTCCCAACTACCTCGACTGCGCTCCTCCCTCGAACGCCCGCCCCGCGCGCGACTCATCCACGACGGCCGCTTCAATTCTTCAGTGACTATGTGAAACTTTCGATCGACGAAAGCGCTCGAGGCGGCGCCGCGTCCCGGCCTCTCGCTGTCCATGTGCTCCCGCGGACGCTGCGATTCGCGCAACCGCACACCGCGCAGCCCCCCGACAGCCGCCATACCTCGCCCGCCACACGCTCAGCGGCCCACAGCGGAGTCTTCGCAGCACCACAGCGGAGCATCACATGTCGCCTCCACGCCCGCGGCCCCGCCCGCCCCGGCCCCGTCCCCCGCGCCCGCCTCTCCCGCCATCGTCCCGCCCCCGCCCGCGGCCCCGCCCCCCGCCGTCGTCCCCGCGCCTGCCGCCACCCCGCGCCCCATCTCGCCCGCCCGAACCCCCGCGCAGACTCTGGCCGCTCGAACGCCCGCTCGCCCCTCCCCCGACCTCGCCCGCGACCCCCGCCGCCCATCACGTCGGACACATCCCCCACCGGCTCCCACCCATCGCCCCCACCACCACCACTGCTGTCGCCAGCGTGCTCGCCGCGGCCCCGCCCGCGACCCCGCCCACGCCCCCCGCGCCCGCCCCGCTCACGCTCCTCACGCCGCTCAGCTCCCCCAACCTCCCCCGCAGGCTCCCCGTACTGTATGTGCATGAACGGCGTCAGGTCCACCCCGCGCGCACCAGACACCCCCCCCGCCGCACCGCCCGCGCCCCCGCGGCCCGACGCCGGCCGCCCGCGCGCCCCCTCGCCGTACCGCCCCGGGTCCCGCCGCTCCTCCTTCCGCCGGTGCCGCTTGTGCTCCTCCAGCGCCTCCAAGTCCAGTTCCCGCTGCAGCTGCTCCGCCAGACGACGGTCCTCCTCCTCCTGGCTCACGGCCGCCGCGCTCGGCCCCGCACCGCCGCCGCCGCCGCCGCCGCCGCCCAGCGCAGCCTCGAGCGTCAGCGGCACGCGCCGCGCCGCCTCCCAGTCTTCCAGCGTCTTGCCGCCGGGACCGTCGTCGTCGTCGTCGCGGCCGCGCCGCCCGCGCCGCCCGCCGCGCCCGAACCGATCGCCGGAGCGCCCCCCGGCCGCCGTGGCCTCCACGCGCGCCTGGAGCTTCGCCTTGACGGCGCTCTTGTCGACCTCGGCGCCCAGGCCCGCCGCGCCCTCCACGTCCACGCTGCGCTTCTCGCGCTGCCCGTCCGCGCCCGCCGCGGCCGTGGCGGTCATGAACGCGCCCGCCGCCTCCTTCAGCGCCTTCATCGCGATCGACTCCCCCCCCTCGGCGTCCTGCACAACGCCCCCCGCGGCAGCGCCGGCGTCCTCCTTGCCGCCGCGGCCGCCCTTCGCGCCGGCGCCGCGCCTGCACGCGAGCAACCGTACGCGGCGGTTCTGGCGCGCCACGTCGCCGCGCGTCGCGACCGACGGCACTGCTACGCATGGTGCAGACACTGAAGCCGCAGGGTCCCATCGCGTCGGACGTCGAGCGAGACGCATGCGGCAGGGCGCAAGCGCACAGGGGCCGTCCGTTGCGGCGCGAGCGCGGCGCCGCTGCGCACCTGCCGGGCCGGTAGGGGCGGAAGGGAGGGGGAACAGCGCCGTCTTCGCCGCCCTTCGGACGCTGCAGGTTCTTGTACTTGCGCGCGACGGCCCACTGCTCGTGCAGCTCCGGGACGGTGCCGCCGAGCACCTTGCAGCAGCCGTCCTCGAGCAGTACCGTGCCCCCGGCGATGCGGGCATTGCGCAGCTGGATCTTTGTGCCCGGGGCGAGCTCCTTGGTGATCTGCGACACCCTGCGGTACTCCACCGCGTAGCAGATAGCTCGGCCGTCCGTCAGCTTCAGCCGGACGATGCGCCGCCCCGCGCCGTTGCCCCCGAAGCTGCCGGTCTGCACCGGCACCGACACGTCCGTGCAGTCCAGGACCTGCGCGCACAACATCCACAGCGGTGCGCTCGTGAAGACAAGTCAAAGTACTGTCTTCTGACGGAGTGGCGGGGCGGCGCGTCGCCGACCTTGCCTGCAATACCACGGGTCCCTCGAGAACGCCAGAGGTGGTGGTGTTGACGCGGTCCGACGCGCAGCTCTCGCCCCACTTGCGCTGGTCGGTGTCCAGCAGAAAGCGGAGCGTCGCGTCAGCTGTGTCCCTTTGCACCAGCGTCTGCGAGGACGACCGGACCGTCCACCCGTCCCTCAGAAGCGGCTGCAACGCCGCGCTGGTGGCCATCGCGGGCCCCAAACGATCCCCGTATGGCACTTGCGTGCCTCCAGCAGCGAGTCGTCTCGCCGGGCGCCGACCGCCGGCCGTATAGCACGCGATCTGCCGCTTGCTGACACTGTCAGACAGACAGAACGGACCTGACTCATGACCGCCGTGCTCGGGACGCAGCGGGTGCCGCAGCCTGCCGCCGCGCTCCGAGTCCAGGCCGTACGACACGCCAGCAGCACCCGCCCCCCAGCCTCACAGGGTACCACAACACACACCTGGCTGAGGACATGCACCACCGATGGCCCACAGAGCCTCGAAAAGCCGGCGGGCTCCGTCGCCAGGGATCACGCTGTCCCGCTGTCGGCGACGCGGCCACCAGCGCGCCGCCACTCCACGTCTCCTCTCGCCTACTGCTGCTACGTCATGATGCCTCAGCGCGCACCGGGTCGAGCAGGCACCGTGCGTGAAAGAGCGGCCCGCCTTCGTCGACGAGATGTCGGGCGTTTCGGCACGCCGCCCCCCTCCGCTCTACAATGCCCTGCGCCGGCTCGACCAGGAGCACGCCGAAACAGACGGACAGAAACTGAGACGGAGCCAGTGCTGCGCGCACAGCCCTGCGAGTGCGCACAGCGTCGCGACGTGCCTCGAAGACAACGCTTGTGGTGTCACACCGTCGCCGGTGCCCCCACAGGGCGCGTCAAACCTCCCCCCGCCCCCTCGCCCGCGCACCTACGTCCCCGCGTCCGGCTTCCGCCCCTCCTGCTTGGCGGCCTTCTTGCGCGCGAGTATCTGAGCGCGCATCTGTTGCAGCACCTTCTTTGCCAGTGGCGCCGGGATCGCGCTGGGCCCCTCCGTGAGCGCGGCGCAGTAGTCGTCCGGGCTGTTGACGGGGCTCACGATGTCCCACAGGAGCTCGTCCTGGTACCGCTGCCCCGCGTCCTCCACGTCTATCTGCAGCGACGCACCAACACTCGAGAAACCTCGATTGCCGCGCCGCGCCCGACCCCTATCTCACGCCCAGCGACCCGCACATCCGCGCGCCGCGCCAGGCCCTCGCACGCACAGCAGGGCGCCTCACCTTGATCGGCACGAGCAGCTCGCGCCCCCCAAGCGCCGCCACCTCCGTGAACATGCTGCCCCACGCCCCCAGAGACGCCTTGATGCGCTGCACCATGTCGGACGTCGGAGTGATGCCCACCTCGCGCACGACGCTCGCGACGAGCGCCTGGATCTCCGCGTCGGAGCTCCGCTCGCCCAGCTGCAGCACCACCTCCTGCGCGCACACGCACGCGTCGAACGGGGGGGAGTCAGCGGGGCCCCGGGTGCGCGCCGCGGGGCTGGGGGCGGCCTGCGCGGGGCGTGGTGTGCGAGCGGTGTGGTGTGTGTCGGACCTCCTCGATGGTGTGTTCCTCGCCGGTGCGGTGGAAGGTGAAGGGGACGGGGTAGACGGGGACGAGGTGGTCGGGGGCCGCGGGGCGCTGGGAGGGGGCGACGCGGTCCCAGGCGCAGCGGCTGAGGAGCTCCTGCGGTCGGCGCGCGATGGCGTGGAGGGTGGTGGGTGGGGTGCGCGAGGGGGGGGAGCGGGGCCTGGGCTCGCGTCTTCGTGTGACTGGCGCAATGAGGAAGATACGGAGATGCGGGCGGTGGCGCGCAGCGGGCGAGAGGGGGCTCGTGGCGCGTGCTGTCGCGCGACACGCTGCCAATGCTGCAGAGGCCAGGCGCGCCCGGCCACGTCGCGCACCTTCTGGTCGTTCGGGACCGTGGACTGAGCAGCCAGAGCCCTCGTCTGCTTCTCGCGCACCGCTTGAAGCGTGCCCCCGCGCATCCTGCCCACGGTGCCCGGGAGTGCCTGGAAGAAGCTACGTGGCAGCTCCTGCGCTACGCCGGCGGCAACAGACAACTGCGACGGAAGAAGGGCACAGAGGGAGAGGATGACGCTCCGCTCGAACAGGCCAAGGACGCTGTTTGAGGCTTCGGGGCTCACACGAGTTATGCAGTCACACGATAGTTGCAGCGCTGCGCGCACCAGTGAGACGCGCGTACCCTTGTCCGCGCCACGCGCTCGCAGCTACGCGCGCCGTGCCGCGGCAACTTCCTCCAACGCCGACCACGCGCCAATGCGAAGGGCGCCACGGAGATAGGCGCAGACAAGGTCTCGTCTTCCGCCGAGTTGCTACTCGCCCGGAATACCGTTGAGTTCCGCGCAGCTAGGTAGCCTGAGATGCCTGCGCCGCCCTGGCGCCGCGAGCCGATGTGACGGGCGGTCGAGGAGCGCGCCAGCGCAGTCGGACTGACTCGGCGGGTCCCATCGGATGCCCCAAGGCGAACGCCGCGCGCCTGCGAGCTCATGGGGGCTGCGCGGAGGCGCGGCCGCACAGATGCAGGCGCTCCGGCACCGATAGAGCAGCGAGGCCACCGTTTCGTCCCCGAGAGACCGGCCGGTGCGCGTCGAGGGATGTTGTGAGCAGTGCAGGCGCGGGGACAGCATGGCGAGCGCGAACGACGAGGCGGTCGTCGAGCGAGCCGCGAGGCTCCCATTCGACGAGCGCGTCGGCCACAAGAACTGGCGAGTGCGCAACGCCGCGTACGCGTTCGCGCTCGAGTACGACAAAGCGTCGCCGGAAGAAGTCGCGGAACTCGGTGCGATGCCCGAACCCCCCCACCGGCGCGCGTCTCTCCGTTTCTCCCGCGCGCCCGCGCGGGGCGCCGCGCCGCAACGCCGCGCCCTGCGCCGCGGCAGCGCTTGTTGTTCGCTTCCTCCCCAGACAGCTGGAGGCGCGCGTCCGTCGCCCCACGCGCCCGCACCGCGCGCGAACCCGGCGCCCCCGAATGTCGGAACCCGCGGCTCGCGGAACTCCCCGTCGCGGCCCGCCGAGGACCCCCCGTGACGCGCCGCGTGCCCTGCAGTCTCCTTGTTGGCAGGCAAGGGGGTGACCGACAGCAATGCGGCGGCGCAGGAGAAGGCCCTCGAGGCGCTCACGGCGCTCCTCGAGCGCTCCCCGGAGAGGCTCGTCGCCAGGCACGCCCCCTCGCCCCCCGCGCGCCCCGCCTCGGCCTCGCCGCGCCCGCGCGTCCGTTCGGTGTTTCCGGCGCGCACACGGCGCGTCCCGCTCAGCCGCGCGCAGGCACGCGAAGGAGATCTCCGTCGGCGTCGTCGCGAAGGCGCTGAGCGGGCGCGCGGCGACGCTGCAGCGCGCGGGCGACGTGTGCGCCGCGCTGTGCGAGGGAGGCGCGGGCGACACGGTCGTGGACGCGCTCGTGTCGGGCTTCGGGCACAAGACGCCCAAGGTCGCGTGCAACGCAGTCGGCGCCGTGCTGCAGCTCCTCAGCGAGTTCGGCCCCGGCGTCGTGCAGCCCCGCCCGGTGCTCGGCGCCCTGCCGGGCCTCTTCGGCTCGCGCACGGCGCAGCTGCGCGACCTCGCCAAGCAGCTCGCGGCCGAGATGGCGCGCTGGATCGGAGCTGACGGAATCCGCGCGTCCATCATGGAGCAGATGCGCGACGCCATGAAGAGGGACGTCGAGGACCTGCTTGCCACCAAGGTGCGCCCACGCCCCGCGCTCCCGCGCCGCGCCGCCGCCGCGAGCGCGCCCCAGCGGCCCGTGCGTGCCAGAACAGGCGCCCGGGGCGTTCGGCAGAGCGAGGCCCGCGCCGTGTCGGCCCTGCTGCGATGGGTACGTTGCGGCGCGCGCTCAAGCGGTGTCGCCCGCGTGGGGGCTCCGAGAGGGCCGTGCGGCCCTCTCGACGGGTCTCCCGCGAGGTTCTGCGTTCGAGCGAGCCCTGGAGGGCGGGGCCGCGCTTGGTGTGCGTCCGAGGGGCGCGGGTGGAGCGCGATGGGTGCGGGAGGGAACTGAACGCGCCCCGCGCTCCCTGCCCGCGCAGAACGACGAGGCGCCGCCGCAGCCGACGCGCTACACGCGGAAGGAGCGAGCGCGCCTCGAGGCCGCCGCGGCGGCCGCGCAGGCCGCGGGCGAGGACCAAGGTGCACCGCCCGCCCTCCACGCACCACCGCTGCCTGCGCGCGCGCCCGCCCCGCCAGCGCCCGCGCACGCCACGCCCGCACCGCCCAGCCCTTCGCACGCACCGGCGAGTGGTCGTGACCGCGCCCCGCCTCACCGCGCGTGCCACGGGGGGGGTGTTTGTTGCAGAGATGGAGGGCGCCGACGAGGGCCCCAGCGAGGCCCCCGCGGCGCAGCTCGACGCGTACGTCCTCAGCGCGCCCGCGGACGTCCTCGGGCAGCTCGGGAAGCCCTTCTGGGCCGGCCTGGAGTCGCGCAAGTGGAGCGAGCGGCGTGACGCTCTGCTGCACCTCAAGGCCGCGACGGGGCGCCCGAAGCTGCAGAGCGGGGACTACGGCGACGTGTGCCGCGGGCTCCAGCGCGTCATCGCGAAGGACTCCAACGTGGTGTGCGTCGCCGAGGCCGTGCAGTGCGTCGGGAACATGGCGGCGGGCCTGCGGCGGGAATTCGCGCAGCACGCGCGGCAGCTGGTGCGTCGGGCCCCGGAGCGCTCCCCACGAGCCCGCGCTGCCCGTCCCACCGCGCCACGCTGACGTGGCGTCTGGGGGTGTTTTGTTTCGTTTTGCGCCGCAGGCGTCGTGCGTGCTGGAGCGGCTCAAGGAGAAGAAGACGAGCGTGACGGACCCGTGCCGCGCGACCCTCGCGGCGCTCACGCAGCACTGCGTCAGTCTGACGGACGTCGTGGACGAGGCGCTCGAGAAGGCCCGCGACAAGAACCCGCAGATCCGCGCCTTCACCGTGGCGTGGATCGAGACCTGCGTGGTCGACTCCAAGCCCGCCGCGGCGCAGAAGCTCCACAAGGACGTCCTGCCCGCGCTCGTCGCCGCCGCGCAGGACGCGACCCCGGAGGTGCGCGACGCGGCGATTTCCGCCATCTGCGCGTTCGCGCGGGCGGCGGGCGGCGTCGCGACGCTCGAGCGGTACCTCAAGCAGCTCGACGCGCCGAAGCGCAAGGCGCTGGACGATCGGCTCGCGGCGCCGGGCGGCGGCGCGGCGGCGAGCGCGCACCCGTCGCCGTCGCGGTCGGCCACGCTGCCCGCGGGGCGCCTGCGCGCGGGCTCGTCGTTCAACGCTGGGAGCGCGGGCACGAGCGCGCGCGGAGGCGGCGGCGCGGAGCGGCCCCCGACGGCGACGGCCTCGCGCGGGAGCCTCCGGAAGTCGGCGACGGCGCGGCCCAAGGCGCTGGCGGCGGCGGTGAGCGCGTCGGCGCCGGCGGTGGACGACGCGGACGTGCAGCCGACGGCGATGTCGAAGGAGGAGGCGCTGGGGACGCTCGGCGCATTCCTGCCCGCAGCGGCGGTCCAGCAGATAGGATCCTCCAACTGGAAAGAGCGCCTCGAGGGCATGTCTGCGGTGCGGGACGCCGTGGGGGCCGCGGCGGCGACCGTGCCCGCGGGCGCGGTCCTCGCGATGCTCTCGGCGCTGCCGGGGTGGAGCGAGAAGAACTTCCAGGTCTTCCAGCGCGTCCTCGAGACCATATCTACCTGCGCCGCATCCTGCCCCTCCTTCTCCCGCCGCGACGGCGCGCTCGCCGTCGAGGGCGCCGCCGACCGCCTCGCCGACGGTAAGCTCCGCGCCGCGGCCTGCGACGCCCTCAACGCGACCGCGGAGGCGCTCGGGCCGCAGTTCGTCGCGGTGCAACTGCACGCGCGCGCCACGGCGGCCAAGAGCCCCAAGGTGAAGGCCGAGGCGCTGACGTGGCTCGCGGCGGCGACGGTGGAGTTCGGGCTGCGCGAGTTCGACGTCGCGTGGCTCCTCAATGCCGTGAAGGCGGACCTCTCGTCGGCCACGCCTGCCATCCGTTCCGCGGCCATCAAGGTGCTGGGCGCAATGCACCGCACGGTCGGTCCGCCGCTGCGCGGCATGATCGAGAACGACGTCAAGCCTGCGCTGATGGCGAGCGTGGACGAGGAGCTCGGCGCGAGCCCCCAGGACAACCCCGCGCCCAGTCGGCGCACGCGGGGGGGTGTCCGGCAGCGCGGGTCGTCGCGCGGGCGCAGCGCGTCGGCGGGCCCGAACGACGGCGAGGTCGAGATGGACGACGCGGGCCCGGACACGTCGATGGCGAGCGCGAACGCGGACGAGGTGCTCCCGCGAGAGGACGTGTCGGCGGCGCTGGCAGCCCCGTCGTGGCTGACGAAGATGGGGAGCGCGAACTGGAAGGAGCGGCGGCTGGCGCTGACGCACCTGAGCGAGGTCCTGAGCGACGCGGGGAACCGCGTGATCGTCGCGGCTGACGCGGGGGGGGAGTTGATGGCCGCGCTCAAGCACCGCATGTCCGACGCGAACAAGATGCTGGCCGCCATGGCGCTGGCGCTCCTCGGGCAGCTCGCGGGCGCCGTGGGCAAGCCCGTGGACAAGTGGTCGCGCCTCGTGCTCCCGGAGGCGGTCGCCAACGTTGCCGACAAGAAGAAGGCGGTGCGCGAGGCCTGCGTCGACATGATGGGCAAGTGGTGCGCGACGGGGCCGCAGGCCTTCGAGAGCGTCCTGCAGGTGCGCTCTCGGCAGCGGCCGCCGCGGGAGGTGCTCGCAATCAACTGCACACGAAACAACCCTCCTTGTTCGTTGCTCGCATGTGTCTCACCGCGCGTGCCCCCCACGTCCCCCGCAGTGCCTGCACGAGACCCTCGGCGACGCGAAGAAGAAGTGCCCGCCCGAGGGCAAGTCCGACTCGCTCGCGTGGCTCGCGGAGGCCGTGCGCTCCGGCTCCGTCCCGCGCCGCCACCTCCGCCGCTCCGAGGCGCTCAACCTCCTCGTCGGCTGCGCGGCCCAGGGCCTCGCGGACAAGTCCGTCCAGGCGCGCGACGCCGGCGCCGCCCTCGTCGCCGCCCTCATGGACGCGGACCTCCCCCCCGCGGACGTGGCCGCGGCGGTCGACGCCCTGCCGCGGGCGTCGCGCGACCTCGTCCAGACGTGCGTTGCGCGCAACGGCGGCGGCGTCGAGGAGCTCGCGGCCACGGCGTCGGCCCTGCGCGCGTCCGCGGCCGCGCGCCCCACGACGGCGCCCACCGGCGCGCGCGCGCGCTCTCCGAGCCCCGCCGCAGTCCGCGCGTCCGCCAACGCGCCCGCGGCGCTGCGCGCGTCCTCTGCGCGCCTCCCTGCGTCCGCGAAGGCCGTCCTGCGCGTCCCGGACGGCGACGGCTCCCTCTTTCTGGCGGCAGGCTGCACGCCCGAGGCCCGCGCGCAGCGGGCGCGGCGGATGCGGCACCTGCGCGCGTCGGCGCTCAAGTGGGAGGAGCCCCGCGGCGAGGACGACGCGGCGCTCAAGGCCGACCTCGAGAAGGCGGTTTCCAAGACCCTTCTTGACAAGATGTTTTGCGCGCGCCCGGGCATGTCGTTCCGCGCGCACGCGGAGGCGGCGGCGGCGGTCGCGGGCGCGCTGGCCGACGAGTGGCCCGCGGTGTCGCAGTGCCTGGACCTCCTCGTCCGCTGGGCGACGGCGCGCGTGTGCGAGGGCAACTCGCAGTCCCTGCTGCGCTCCCTCGAGATGCTGCAGGCCGTCTGCGACGAGCTGCGGCGGCGCGGGGAGCAGCTGTCGGACTACGAGGCCGCGCTGCTGCTCCCTACGCTCGTGGAAAAGGCCGGGCACAACCAGGACCGCGTCAAGATGATGCACCGCGCGCTATTCCGGACGGTGCAAGCGGTGACGGCGCCGGCGGTGACGCGCGCGGCCGCGGAGGCGCTGGCGCGCGGGCTGGAGTCCGGGAACAAGCGCACGCGCGTGGTGTGGCTCGAGGAGATCGCGCACCAGATCGAGGAGGCCACGGGGCTCGCGCCGTTCTGCAAGGCGCGCGTGCTGCCCGCGGCGGCCCGGCAGGTGGCCGAGAAGGAGAACGCGGTGCGGAACGCGGCGGTCGCGGCGTGCGCGGCGGGGTACCGCAACCTGGGCGAGGAGCGCTTCTGGCAGGAGGTGGGGAGTGTTCCTGACGCGACAAAGAAGTCCCTGGTGGACAAGTTCAAGTTTGTACAAATACACCCCTCCGTGGCGCCGCAGCGGTCGGACCAGACCGCGACGCCCGTGCGGATCCCGCGCGTCTCGGACCTGACCGGGCGGGACCCCTCGGGCAACCCCGTGCGCCCCACCACCGCGCCCGCCGCGCACACCCCCCTCGCAAACACCAGCACCCTCCCTCCGGCCACCCCGGGCGCCCTCGACGTCTCCATGGCGTCGCCGGCGCCCGCCGCGGCCGCCCCCGCGCCCGCGCCGAACCCGCACGGCTTCACGGCAACGTGGCCGGCGCGGCCGCCGCCCCCGCCCGACCTGGAGCCAACGGCCATGGGCGCGCACGTGCCTCCGACGCCGTCGCCCGGCCCGGGCTCGGCGCAGCAGCGCACGCGCGAGGCGGTCGCGCAGTGGCAGCGCGCGGTGCGGATGGTCACCGGCGCGGACCGCGGGCAGGCCGTCGAGGGCATGAAGATGGTCTGTCATGAGCTCATGGGCGCCTCCCAGGGCGTGGTGCTCCCGAGCGCGCTCGACACGTTCGCGCTGGACGCGGACGCGCTGACCGCGGCGCTCGTGACGCAGCAGGACGACGCCATCCGCGGCGCGGTGGAGGCCCCCGAGGACGCGCAGGGGCACGTGCGCGTGGCCAAGTACACCACCAACACGCTGATGCAGATGTTCTCGGTGAGCGAGATGGCGCAGTGCGTGTCGGAGCCGACGCTGAAGGCGCTGACGGCGTCGCTGCTGAACCGGCTGCTCGACGCGCGGCTCCGGGGCGCGGCGGACGGCGTGGCCATCTCGCGCGCGCTCAACGTGCTGATGCTGCGCGTGGTGGACGCGGCGAACCGGGACTTCGCGTTCTCGTTCCTGATCGAGATGCTCGCGGACCCGCCGGTGCAGCCGCCGCCTGGATCGACGGTGAGACCCGCACAGACCCACCACCTGCTCTGTGTGCGTGCGCTGTGCGATGTGCGGCAGGCGAGCTCGCGCATGGCCGCTGCCGGATGCCTGACGGCGCTGCTCCTTGGTGCTTGCAGGAGGACGACGTGGACCATTTCCGGGGGGAGTTCGTGGAGTGTGTCATCCGGTGCCTTATCCGTCTGACCAAGACGCTTCAGGCCCCCGGGGGAGTCGACGCCATCGACGTCGACGCCCTCCTGCTCTCCGCGCACACCTTCCTCATGGAGCTCGGCCTGGAGGAGATCCGCCGCCGCGGCCAGGGCGCCGACAAGCCCCTGCGCATGGTCAAGACCGTCGTGCACCAACTCTGCCGCGCCCTGGGCCCGCGCATCCGCGACCACCTCTCCCTCCTCCCCGCACGCGACCCCGCCGACCCCAGCGCCGCCGCGGCCATCCACAAGTACATCGACATCAACCTGGAGACGCTCGCGGGCGAAGAACGCACCAGCGGCGCGTTCGCTACACAGCAGCACCCCGCGGGGGACGCCGCCGGAGCGGCGCAGGCCCCCACGCCGGGCACGACGCCTGCAGCGTCGCCGCTGCGGCCGATGAACGGGCAGCGCACGCCCGGCGCGCACGTCGCGATCACCAAGGAGCTGACGCGCATCCTGCGCAACGTCGCGCGGCAGGAGACGGCCGAGGCGGGGCTCGCGGAGCTCGAGGCGTTCCTCGAGCGCAATCCCGGCCTCGACCTCGACGCGGCGCTCACGCGCTGCTCGACGTCGGACGGGCTGCGGCGGTACGTGCACCAGCGGTTGGCGGAGCACGCGCAGCGCGGCGGCGGCGCGGAGAACCACCCGGAGCGGCCGCCGCTGACGCGGTCGCCGAGCAAGATCCCCGCGCCCTCGGGCGACGTGGGGGGGTCGCAGAGCGCCGCCGCGACGCCGCGTCCGGAGCTGTCGACGCTGTCGTCCTTCCCGCTGTCGGTCAGCAGCTCGATGGCGTCGTCGCTGCAAGCGTCCAAGCACTCCTCGCCGACGCACCAGGACAAGCGCGTCGCGGCCGCCGCCGGGAGCGCCCCGCGGGCGAGCACGACGCTCGATCAACTGAAGGAGCGTATGGAGCGCATCCGGGCGCAGCAGGCTGAGTCAGGGATCGCGCCACCGGGGGGCAGTGAGGGCGTGCGTGCGTCGATGTCGTTCGCGGACGTGCAGCGCCGCATGGCGGAGATGTCGGGCCTCGGCCGGGCGAACTAGGACACCGAGGCCCCGGGGGGAGTGGGAGACGGAACGGGGGCTAGCGAGCAGGATTGGAGCCGCGCGGCCGGTGTGGCTCATGCGGAGTGCCTGCAGTACTAGAAAGAGAAAGAGATGTCGGCGCCGATCGGCGGACATGTGAGAAGAACTGCCGCGCAGCACTGCACGCCGTTGCTCGCCGGACGGGCGAACACCGCGCTGCACCGGTCCCAGCTGTCAGCTCCACGTGTACGTATTCACACGGCGTTCTGGCCGAGCAAGAGGAACCCCGCCACGTACGTCGCGAGCGGCACCGAGAGGTTGTCGTCCAGCTTGTCGCTCACGGGGAGGCTCTCGACGAGCGTGGCGGCCGCGGCGACCGCGGCGAGCGCTGGGAGCGACCCCGCGACGTCGGCATTCATGTACCCAAGCGACGTGAAGTACTGCAGGAAGGCCACTGACATACAGAGGCCCGCCACAAACATCGCTGCGCTGCCAGCCACCGACTTCTTCGGATTCCACGGGATCCGGGCCTTGCCGCCGAGCCTGCGCGCGGCAGTCAGCCACGCACGTGAGCGCGACCAAAGCAAGTCGGCGTCCGACCGCGCGCGTCCATGGTCGTCCGACCGCGCGCGTCTTGCAGGGTGCACTCACCTGCGCCCGACGATGTCCGCGAAACCGTCGCCGCCGCACATCAGCGAGAGGGACGTGAACCCGACCGCCGAGCCCCGCCAGCACAGCACCGTCGCCGCCGTCATCGCCAAGCAGTAGTACAGAGGCCCCCGGAGGAGTTCGCTGTTGTCCCCCTCGCGGCTCAAACTGCGCACGGCGCCCTCGTCGACGACGATGCCGGACCCGATCGCGAACAAGCGGCAGGCGTTCAGCGCCGGCACGAGCGCCGCGCACAACGGGGAGTAGGCTGCGTCGCCAAACGCCGGCCACGTCAGGAGGAACAGCGGCCCGGTCGTGATGTGGACTATCTTCCCTGCGGACGAGGACCGAGGTGCCGTGCGGGCGTGAGCCCTGCGGCGGCCGAGGCTGCAGAACAGACGGCTGCGCGCTGCTGATTGAGAGCGGCGGAACGGCACTGAAAAGAGAGTGGGTGTGTGAGGGCGACGCACTCGACAGCTTCTGCTCGAGGTACCCGGCGCTGGCGAGGCCGTCGAAGATCTTGACCCAGACGAGGGAGCCGCCCGCCGCGAAGAGAGTGGCGATCACGTCCCTGAAGCAGATGGAAGTCAAGAAAGAAAGAACTCACGACTCATATTTGAGGGAACACGCAGGTGGATCGAGCCCCGCTGCAGGTGCGTAGCTCCGCAAACCGCTCGCCGGCGAGGCAGGCGGCAAGAGGTCGTATGTGGCAGCGCAGGGGTGGACAGTGCCACTAGAGTGGTGCTATGTCAACGCACAGGCGCACAGCTCGATTCCAAGGCTCGTCTCGACCGTCCATATCACTGAGAGCCGAGTGATAGACACGCGCGGCAACATGTCGCGACGGTTCGCAGCGCAGTTGCTCACCTCCACGGGCTCGACAGCACCGCCTCCACAGCACCGAGCTGCACAGCCTGCAACGCGCCCTTTCTCCGCCTTGCGTGCGACCTAGACGGGTCACTACATCCGTGGTGTGGCATCCGACCCTCCATCCGAGCCTTGCGGAGACTCAGGGCCCCCGATCGGCCCGCCATCCGTCCCATGGGCCGTGTGCACACACATCGGGGGGGCACGGGGCCCGGTGGTGTCGCGAGGGACGCCATATTCGCCGCCTCTGCCCAGTTTGTTGTCGTTCAGCGCAGACGCCGCGTGGAAAGAGGTACTGGGCGCGCTGGTGCGCCCTCACACGGGCCTGCTTCGTCTGTGGGTGGGCGCAACGACGCCTTGCTGCGACGCGACCTGTGCCTCCTCACGCAGACACAAGGCCCTATCGTGGGGACCAAAACAGTGTTGCCGCCAGCGCCCGCAGCAGCGCGAAGACGTGCCGCCGCAGTGCCGCACTGTGCGCTGCAAGAGCACATCATTCATACCAGCGCTGCACAGTCAGTCATGAGCGATGCAACACCCCCGCGCGACGGGCGGCCAGCCAGCCGGCAGGTACGTGCCTGGGCCCAGGCGGCGCGCGAGCGGAAGCCGGCCGCGATCCGCCGTGACTCGCACGAACTCTGCGGACGTGCCTCGCAGTGTGCAGTTGCGCGACGTGGGGCGCGAGGCCGGTCGGGGCCCGGCAGCGCACTCCGAGGGAAGCGCAGCGGCCACCGACGACGCCCGCGGTCCACCTCCCGGCCGCACGTGTCGCGCACGTGACCAGTGCCTCGGTCAGCCCCTCTGCCCTCGTGCGCAGCGCATCCCACCGCGGTGCCTCCGCACCGCATGCCGCGCGGCACAGCACAGGCTCGGGCCGGAGCTGGCTGCCGCGTGCCGCTTCCTAAGAGCGCGTCGATGCCCATTGAGGCACCACACAAGACGCATCGATTGCGTTGTAGGGGGGCGGCAGGCCCCCCACGTGGCGTGTATGCGCCACAAGGGCCGCAGGGAGTGCGATCAATGCGTGCGTTGAGCTCCAGACACCGCGAGACCGGGCCCGGGTCCAGGTCCGGGCCGTGCCGAGGGGATGTGGGTGTGTCCTCAGTGCTGCTCGTCCGACATGGCGTGGGGGGGTTTCCGGTGCGCTATCGGTCGCCCTGACGGGCCGCTGCGGCCACAATCGCCCGGCTGCGGCCTCCAGCGCCAGTGTGTGCGCTTCCGTGGCTTCTTAGAAACCACTGTCTGCTGCGAAGACCAATCGCCCAGCACTGGGCTCTGGCGACTGCGCGGGGTCGTCGGAGCTGCGCGGGGGCCGTGCGGCGGCGCAAGCGCCTCTCTGATATCAAAACAAGGCACAACAGGTAAGATCAGATCGCCCAGGTCGCTGACGCGTGTGTCCGGCGCCCCAGACGTGTAGACCTCGGTGCCCCCTCTCTAGAGGGGCAGCGTCGACACCACCACAGCAACTGCGCAGAATCAGTCCCTAGTATCGTGTGCCGCCAGGCTGAGCGGGCTCCAAGCCGCGCAGCAGCTCTGCCTTCGCGCAGCCGCGCCTGAGAATGCTGCCTGAAAGAGGCTGCCTCGCGCGCACTGATGACTGCACGATGGGTGCCTCGCGGCACTCGGGGTCCCGTGTACGGCATCGTGCATGTCTGACTCCCGCGACCACGTCCCTCTGGCCGCCCCGTGCGCTCGAGACGAGGGTGCGAGGTGCACGCCCGCGCCAGCCAGTCATCTCCGCAGAATCGCGATACGATGGGTTGTTCGCGTCGTTTGCAGCCACACAACGGCATGGCAGTGATAGAACTAGCGGTCCAGGGGGCCGCTGAGATCGCCAAGTTCGTCCTGAGGCGCCTGGACAACTGCACGTGGATCAGCACCACGTGCGAGGGGTTGCGGCCGCATGTATCCGACGTGGTGCGCGTTCTCCAGCAGCTCGACGCCGAGGGCACGGAGACCCTCGCTCTGAATACGGCTCTCGCCGCGATCAAGGACGCGCTGACTGGCCTGAGGAACGAAATCCAAAAGTGGGAAGCCAGCAGGCTCAAGTTCCTGTGTGCCTCGAAGAAGCGCCGGGCCAAGATGCAGGAGAAGCGCGACGCTCTCGATCGCGCGATGAGCCTCCTGCATGCCGCGAACGTGCAGGCGACGGCGCGCGTGCACGAGGACGTTCGCAGCGGCAACGCGGAGCTCCAGAGCTTCCGCCTTGAGATGGACGCGCGCCAGAAGCGCCTGGAAGACCACATCCAGGCCCTGCGGGCACATCTCGTCGCGGGGCAGCGCGCCGAAGAGAAGCTGGGCCGCATCATGCAGGCTCTGGAGGACCAAGTGAGCCCGAGCATGGACGCGGCGCAGGAGCAGCGCACCGTGCAGCAGGTGCTCGAGCGCGAGCAGCCCTTCCGGCCAGGTCACGAGCAGCAGGGTGCGGAGGTCGTTGCGCACGTGGCCTCGGAGTGGAGGGGCATCACGGAGGAGGAGCACAAGCGCGCGCTGAACGAGGCGCTGGTGCGTGCCCGACCGCTCGCGGACTCCGCTGGCTCGGATGCGGTCCGCGCTGCAGCGCTCTTGCAGTGGCTGTACGTTCCTTGTGCTTGCAAGGCAATGCGCGGCCGAAACTTGCAATATGTGTTATTCAACAAACATCCCAGCGTACAGACCAACCAGACACGACGGAACCGCCGGAACATACATGCATGCACAGCCGGCTCGGCGCGTTTCGTGGGCAACACTTACCGCTGCTCGCGCTCCGCACGTGCAGGCGAACCTGCGCATCGACCCCGCGCGCATCCAGCTGGACCGTTTGATCTCGAACGAGGGCAGGAGCCCCGTGTACGCCGCGGCCTGGGACCGCGACGGCACCGGGCTAGATGTGCGCGACGTCGCTGTCAAGGTGCGGGAGCCGGACGCCGCTTCGGGACGCATTGCATCACGAAGGACTGCGTGCTGCAATGATGCGTGTGTGTGTTGGCTGTGCTCGAAGCGGAGGAGGCCGTTGGGTGCGCTGCGCAGGTCATCAACGCAGAGGGTCTGAAGGTGACGGAGCGGGAGATCAACCGCATCGAAAAGGAGGCCCGGCGCGTGTGCACCTTGGGTCACAAGAGCGACCACGTGTGCATCATCCATGGGTTCTGCGTGACGGAGTCGCAGGTCATGGTGGTGATGCCCCTGCACGACTGCTCCGTGACGCAGCGCATGAAGATGCAGGGCAAGCCGCTCCGGCTCGACCAGCGGCTCCGCATCTGCCGCAACGTCTTCCGCGGCCTGGCCGACCTCCACGCCGCGGGCTTCTCCCACTTCGACATCAAGCCGCAGAACATCCTGCTGAAAACGCAGCACGGCCCCGCCGTGCTCGGAGACTTCGCGCTCGCGCGTGAGACGAACAAGACGCTCGGGACCACGCAGCGCGGCAGCCCCTTCGGAACGGTGATCTACGCGCCGCCCGAGCAGATGGACCGGGACGCGGCAGTGCCTCCGGGGCCCCACTCGGATATGTGGGCGGCGGCCGCGACGTGCTGCGAGATCCTGTCCGGCAAGCCCCCGTACATGGGCTTGACTCAAGTTCAGGTTATCACCGAGATGATGGTGCGCCGGAAGGCGCCGGCGGTCCCGGAGGGCTTCCCCGCGGAGCTCAGAGCCTTGCTCGCGGGCTGCTTCAACTTCGACGCGCGGCGGAGGCCGACGGCGATGCAGGCGCTGGAGGTGATGGCGAGGGTTAGCGAGGGGGACTTTTCGGGGACCGTGGGCTTCGGAGACCCCGCGACGCCGTCGTCGTCTGGGACAGTGTCCGTGGACGCCGCGGAGGGGGATGACGAGGCGCAGCGCAGGGAGGAGGAGCGCCTGGAGGCCCAGCGCCTGGAGGCGTTGCGCATCAACGCGGCGCGGGTCAAGCAGGCCCAGCGCGACGCAGAGCGTCAGGAGGCAGAGCGCAGGAAAGCGGAGCGCGAGGAGGCTCAGCGCCTCGAGGCACTTCGCATCAACGCCGAGCGCGTTGCGCAGGCGCGGCGCGACGCAGAGCGCAAATTGGCGGAGGAGCGGAAGGCCCAGCGCGAGGAGGCTGAGCGTCGCGAGGCGCAGCGCAGGGAGGAGGAGCGCCTGGAGGCTCAGCGCCGTGAGGCGTTGCGCATCAACGCAGAGAGGATAGAGCAGGCGCGGCGCGAAGCGGATGCGGCGCGTCGGATCGCGGAGCAGGCGCGGCGCGACGCAGAGCGCAAGGAAGCGGAGCGCCGGGAGGCAGTGCGCAGGGAGGCGGAGCGCAGGGAGGCGGAGCGCCGCGAAGCCGAGCGCCGGGAGGCAGCGCGCATCGAGGCGGAGCGGAAAGAAGCGGAGCGGAAGGAGGCAGAACGTCGCGAGGCGGAGCGGCGCGAGGCGGAGCGCAAGCAGGCCAAGCGAGAGAAGGACAAGCGCAAGAAGGCCGATCGCAGGGAGGCCAAGCGTCGCGAGGCGGAGCGACAGGAGCTCGTCGCCGCGGATGCGCCTGGCGGCTCGGCGGCGCGCCCCGTGCACGCTGTGCGCGTGACACAGCAGACGGTTCACGACCCCGACACCGGCGTGATTACGACACGCAGTCACCGACAGGAGATCAAAGGGTGCGGAGATGCACTTGAGAGCATGTCTCTCGAGCACAGCCGCATCTCGAGCAGTGGCCTCGGTCTGCTGTCTCACGGCAGTAACGTGCTGTCCCACGCCAGCAACGTGCTGTCTCAGGGCGGCGGTCTGCTGGGCGGTGGCATGGGCGCGGGTCTGTTCTCGGGTGGTGTTGCACACGCGCCCCGAGCCGAGACCGCGGGCGGCGGGGGGGTGCGGCCTTGCCGGTACGGCAAGAACTGCAAGCGGCCCGTGTGCACCTTCGGTCACTGAGACCTTGCTCTGAGTCGGGACAGCGGGGCAGCTTTCATGACTCACTCTACTAGAGTGCAACAGTTGGTGGTCAATTTGTAATTTTGTCACTGAGCACTGACTCAAGGGTTCCAGGCGCACATGCGTCAGCTTGGCCGGACAGGAGCATGCTCGATCTGCGGCAAGCCCCGCTGCGCACACCGCTTGTCATTCCACCCGCCAAGTGCAGCAGCCATTGCGGATGCAAGTACACCAGCAATAACGCATGGGCTTGCGTTTCCACGCCGTGACCGATACACTCGGTCCGCTGCACGTACCCACGCAGCACCTCTTCTGACGCAACACCCCCGCTCCACCGCACGTCTCACATTGTGCTCCGCAGGGGGGGTGTGTCACTCCGAGTTCAGCACGTCCCGGATCGCCGTCACGTCCGGGTGGTCCGGCCCGAGCGCGGCCTCCTGGATCCGCAGCGCCCGCTCCAGCAGCGGCCGCCCCTCCGCGTCGCGCCCCTGCTCCAGATGCAACACCGCCAGGTCCGTTAGCGTGTGGGCCACGTCCGGGTGGTCCGGGCCCAGCGTGCGCTCCCAGATCGCGAGCGCGCGCTCGTACAGCGGCTGCGCCTGCCCGTAGTCCGCGCGCTGGTTGTACAGGATCGCCAGGTTGCTGCACGCCTCTGCGACATCGGGATGGTCCGGCCCGAGGTCCTGCTCGCGCACGCGCAGCTCCTCCTCGTACGGCGCGGGGTCCTCGTCCATGACGTCGTCGCCGGACGCGCCGGCCTCCGCGGGCGGCGCCGCCTTCGAGCGGCGGGTCGCTGCGGAGGACTTGCGCGCCGAGGCGGGCGGGCCCCCTGCGCCGCCGCCGGGGCGCCGCGGCCGCGGGCTTCTTCGCGGGCGCAGGCTTGGCCTTCGGCGCGGCCGCGGGCTTCGGCTTCGCGGCCGCGGGCGCCGCGCGGGGCTTGGCCGCGGGCGCGCGCGCGGCCGCCCCCCCGCCGCCGCCACCTCCCATTTCCTCATCGAGTTGCTGCTGAATCTTGGGGTTGAGGTCCTTCGGGAAGAACCCGCGGATGACCGACTCGCCGCAGTCCTGCGCGGCCTGCGCGCACATCCGCACGGCCATCGACCGCACCTCCCCGTTGGGCGAGTTCAGCGCGGGGCCGATGAACCCCATGGCCGCGTCGACCGACACGCCCGGCTGCCCGTGGTTGACGCTGATGCCGTGCCCGGAGATGATCGCGTCGAGGAGCTGCAGGCGGCCGAGCACGGGCTTGTGGGCGTTCTGCGACTTTGGCGGCTTGCACAGCTTGTCCTCGAACGCCCCGAGCCCGACGTCGGGGTGGTTGACCAGCATGAGCACGAGCTCGTGCGCGGTCTCGCGGATGCGCGTGTTCGCGTCGCCCGCGCGCTCCACCAGCGCCGGGACCATCTCCGCCACCCCGGAGGCCAGGACGTTGCCGTGGTCGCCGCTGAGGTCGTTGAAGGCCGCGCGCATGAGCGACATCCCCGCGAAGTACACCGCGCCGACCTTGTCCTTGCACGCGCGCGCGCACAGCCCCACCAGCGCGTGCAGCACCTCCCGACCGCCGCCCTTGAGCTTCCCCGCCCCCAGATCCTTCTCCAGCTTCTCCAGCGCCGCCTCGCGCAGCTTCAGCTGCTTGCTGAACGCGCACCGCGCCGTGAACTCGTCCGCGACGTCCACGATCGGCTGCGCGTCCGACGCGTTGTTCGGCGACAGCTCCTCCGGGTCCGGGAGGCTCGCCGCCCACCCAGGCGGCTTCGGCTTCCCGCCGCCGCCCGCGCCCGCCGAGCCGCCGGGCCGCGAGTCCGGCCCGGCCGCGCTCGCGTCGAACGCGTAGCCCCCGCCCGCGCCGGCCGCCTTGGCCATCGCCGGCCGCTCGTCGTACTCCTGGAACGACGGCCCCTTGCTCGGGGGGGGGTGTCTCGCCGCAGCGCCCCCGATGGGCCGCTCGTCGTGCGCGACGTCCCCGCCGAGCCCCGGCGGCGTCTGCGGCCCGCCCGGCGACGGCCCCGCACCGCCCACCGACCCTCCCGTCGACCCCCGCTCGTCGCCCACGTCCGCCGCCACCGGCGGCCGCGCCACCGCGGGCCGCTCGTCGTGCGTGAGCGCGTGCGGCACCGCCGCCACGTCCCCCGCCGCGCGGAGCTTGTCAATGTCCTGCTTCAGCACCTTGGCCTCGTCGTAGTCCTCGCGCTCGACGGCGGCGCGCTTCCGGGCCTCGAGCTGCGCGACCTTCTTGCCGACCTCCTTCAGGCGGTCGACGGCCTCCTTGAGCTCCTTCGCGCGGTCGTAGTTCTCGTCCTGCACGGCGCGCGCCTTCTCCTCGTTCAGGCGGCGGATGCGCTCCGCCGTGACCTCGTCCACCGCGAGGTCGATCGCCAGCTGCGCCGCGGGGTTGCCGCCGGGCGCCCCGAGCCCGGGCCTGCGCGAGCGCGAGCGCGAGCGCGGAGACCGTCAACGAGCGCGCTCCAGGCCCCAAACAACGCGTTTCCGTCTCAGATCCGCGACTCGCCGTGCGTCGCACGCGAGAGGACGTCGCTCAAGTGCAAGCGCGCGCGGCGTTCGCGCGCCCCGCGCCAGCTGGCCGCCCTGCGCACCGACGCAGGACGAGCACCCGCGGCGCGGCGTCACTCACCTAGGTCCCGCGGAGAAGCCGTGGCCCGCGCCGGCGGCGGCCTGCGCGACGCTCGCGCCGCCGAGCGTCTCCCCGATGACGTTGATGGCCACGATGCCCACCTGGTTGTAGATGTTGTGTTTGTTGAGGTGGTTTTTATGAATCAGGAAACGAATCATGCAGGCGTCCGCGTTGATCGAGACCGTCTTCAGCTCGCGCGCCTGGTACCGCGTGCGCTCGTTGTCGTGGAAGGACAGGTGCCCCAGCCGCGAGAACGTGCACTGGGACGCGTCCGAGGCGCCCGGCGGCAACGTGCCGACGTAGATCTCGAGCTTGGTCAGGATCTTGTACTCGTGCGAGAGGATCTGGAGCTGGTGGATGCGGCACGTCTGGTCCATGCGCAGCCACAGCTCCTGCGGATACTGGCAGAACCTGCGCGGCACGGCCGGGACGGAGGCGGGTGGGAACCTGTGCTGCCAAAGAGCGCGCGTGCGCGCGCCGTGGTGGGCGCTCCGGCGCCTCGACGTGCGCGGGGGCTGGGTGCATGCGCGAGGAAGGTGGTCGGGGCGCGCGCGAGGGCGCGCAGGCGCGGTGCAGGGCGTGCGGGGCGGGACGCGGGCAGGCGCGCTGTAGGGAGCTCCGGGCGGGCGTTCGCGCAGCACGGCGTCCGGATGGTCGCGTGCGGCGGCGAGCGCGCAGGGCGCATGGCTGACGTCGTGGCGGGAGCGTGAGGAGGCGGAATGGCCGCGCAGGCGTCGAAGCGTCTCCGGTTTGTGGGTGAGTGGCGCAAGCGGTGCGCGCGCCGGGGACGGGCTGAGTCAGGTCCGCCGATGCGCACCTGGGGGTCTGCCATCCGCGTGTCTGCGAGCTGTGGTACAGCAGCTCGCGCGCCGGGTAGTCGGGGTCCTGCACGGCGGGGGGGGCGAGCAAGGTTCAGTTCCACCGCGTCCGCTCCACAGCGGCTCCGTCGCGGCCCGCACGCAGCGGTGCCCGTCTCCATTTTCGCGTATCGAGGGACCTCTGTGCTCTGAACCGCCCCGCTGGGCCCCGCGACGCCGGAACCGGCACACATGGCCGCTCTCTGCAGCAGCCTGCGCGCGCCAGCGGCCCACGCACCTCGCCGGTGCAGCGGTAAATGTCGAACTTCAGCTTCCCCACACCGGGGGGCAGCTGCGGCTGCATCTCGTCCGCCCCAGCGAGCCTCCGCGCGTCCTATCGATTTTGAAGGCCTGAGGCGGGCTCCTCCCCGCTCTGTCCGTCAGACACCGCGCTCGAACGCTGGCAACCACCCCCGCTCGCAGCCAGGCTCGCAAACTGCCCCCGCAGCCCCTCGCGCGGCCCCGTCGACCCCCTCGCGCCGCGGTCCACGGCACCCCTCCCCTGAGGGCGGGCCCCTGCGCAGCGGGGCGCTGGCCCGCGCGGCGCCGTTGCAGGGGCGCGCCGAGCGCTCCGGGCAGATCCTAGGCGACGAGCTCCACTCAGGCCGCGCACGTGGTTCGTAGCGAGCGGCGCGGAGGGCGCGCGGAGGCTTGCTGGCGCTGTGCTTACGTGCGACGGTTTTCCCGCGCGGATCTGCGTTTTTCTGCGTCGAGGACGGCTTGATCGGAAAGCACCCCTAGCGGATACGGGGTTCGGGTGGGCGGGGAGGCTCGGCTGCGGCTGCGCTGTCGCCAGGAGCCCCGGAGGGGGGCGGTGAAGGACTTGGGGGGTCATTATGGGCAACGGGGTGAGCCAGGAGGTGGTCGCTCGGTATGACCCGCTTCTTTCGAAGATCAGCGGCGCGCAGCCGATCGAGCTCCGCGACCAGACCTGGCAGGACCTCCTTTCCATCGACACCTCATTACCAGCGGTGAGCGCGCGACTCCCCCCGGGCCTGCCGCCGTCCCGGCCCGAGGATCGGTTTCCGGCGTTGTACAGCATCTCCTGCTCGCGCCGCCGCTGGACAGCGTCGGGGGACCCGCGGTGACGCGCTGGGACGCGCCCTGCACGGCGGAGGGTTCCGTGGAGGCACCGCTGACCCGCGGGCGTTTGTGCGGCTGCACAGCACCGTCGCGGGCCCCTCACGATCTGCACAGCGCGTCGCGACCCCGCAGGCGGACCCAGAGGCGCTCGAGGCCTCTCTGGCCCCCTATTGCCTAGCACTGGAGGAGAACAACGGCGTTACATGGAACTACCACAAACTTCTGCTCCAGGTGACGCTCGATCCGAGCCGGGACCACCCTGCGCATTCCGCGCGCGACCGCGCCCGACCCGCACGCCCCCCTGCACCGCCGCGGCGGGCTGTGGCCCCGCTCCCGACCTCACGCGGCCGTTGCGCCTCGTGCGCGAACGGCCGCCGCGTCGGCGCCGGTCCCGCAGCCCACCAACACACCCACGCGCCTGCCAGCCGCGCCACACGTCGACTCGCGCGCCCCCGTCCCCGCTCGCACCCCCCCACCGCGCCCCACTCCTCGCGCCCGTGCCGCAGGTCGTCGAGCACCTCCGCGGCGCGGAGGGGTGCACGTCGGTGCCCCAGCGCGCGGTCAACACGGTGTACCTAGCGCGCGCGTTCACGAAGCACGCCATCCAGACGCTGTCGTCGGAAGCGCTGATCGCCTTCTCAAAAGACCCCCCGGGGGTCGTTCCGGACCACCCCGTGCCGCACCTCCGGCGCTCGGTACGCGCCCCGCGCCGCACCCCCGCGCCGCGTCGCCCCGGCCGCGCCACGCACGCGCTGTCGCCCACGCCGCGCCCTCGCCCCCCCCTGACGTCGCAGACGCACAGCGTGGTGCAGACCGTCCTGCGCGCGGCCGCCGGGTTCTTCGTGAGCGAGCCCATCAACCAGCACAGCTACCTCCTGCACCACGAGGTGCTCACGCTGCTGCTGGTGGCGTTCTCCACGCAGCTGTTCACGCCGCTGCCGTGTGCGCCAACGGGCACGCACCCGTACGCCGAGGCGTTCATGGCGCTCCCGGAGCTCGCGCCGGCGCTCCTCGAGCGCCTCGTGTCCTGCGTCGTCGACCGCGCGCCGCTGCCGCGGGGGGTGTCGATCCACACCCCCCGCCGCCCCGACAAACCCGGCGCGAGCGGCGCCGGCAGCGCGACCTCCGTCGTGTCGTACCTCTCCAGCGCGCTCACGAGCACCCTCATGCTGCCGTTCACCGCCGCGAAGTACGCCGTCGGCTCCAACTCCCCCGGGGGGAGCCACCACGCCGCGCGGCCCACGCCGTCGCCCTCCCCGCTCGGCGACGCCGCGACGATGACGCTCCTCGTCATCGTGCACTACGCGCCCCCGGAGAACGCCCCGCCCAACGCGTTCCGATCCGCCCTGCACGCCCTGGAGGACCTCGACCTGGAGCAAGGAGACGCCCAGGCGGCGCTGGCCGAGGACGGGCACGCGGGGGGCAACTCGCCGCGCGTGTCGTGCAGCGCGGTGCTGCAGGCGCTCGAGCGGGACATCGCTACCGACCCCGGCCCTCTGCTCCTGTACACGTAAGCCAGCGCAACCCACTCTAGGTCTCTTGCGGCGCTGTGTTGACACCGTGTTCGGTGCGCGCGCGACGACGGAACGCGCGATGTGCGGCGCGCGTGCCCGCCGCACATGCTGCTTCCAGGAAGCCCCTTCTTCGCCTGACGGAAGCACCCCCCTCCGCTGTCGCAGGTTCTTACATGGTTCGATGCAGTTCCGGGACTTTTGTTTGTCGCGGCGCGCGGACCTCTCCCCGCTGCTCCTGCGCGTGCTGGAGATCCTGCACCGCCCGCAGGACTGCGCGTCGTCCCGGATGTACATGCTGCTGATCACGCTGCTCATCCTGAGTCAGGACCGGGACCTCGCGGCAGACATACACACCGTCACGGTGCCCTCCGTCCCGTGGTTCAAGGAGCGCCGCCTCACGAACGTCCCGCTCGGGTCGCTCACCTTCGCGACGCTTCTCAACACGGCGCAATTCAACCTGGTCCGGCTGCGCGACGTGTACGCGCACACCAACACGCTGGCGGCGCTGGCGAACCTCGCGCCGTCCGCGACGGGCCTCACGTCGCACGCCGCGCAGAAGCTGACCTTCTTCGTGGAGTCCCTCGCGCGGCGCGTGGCACGCCTCGAGGCCGCCGAGGCCGGGGGGAGAAACGGCGCCGCGTCTGACGAGGTGGAGCCGCAGGCGTACTCCGACTTCCTGCGGATCGTGCTCGAGGTCATCAGCGCGATCCTGGTGCACGGCATCGACGCCAACGCCGAGCTCGTGTACGCGCTGCTGCACCGGCAGCGGGTGTTCGCGGCCCTGCGCGAGGCAGGGCGCGTGCCGGAGCTGCTCCCGAACATCGAGACGACGATCGCGTTCTTCCAGAAGCACGTCGACGCGGAGCTGAGCGGGGGCGCTGGCGGCGACGGCGGCACGCCGCCGCCGCAGTCAGCGGCGGAGGTGCGCGGGATCATCGAGCGCGTGCTGCCGAGCTTTCCGCGCGACAGCTTGGTGCCGCTGCCGGAGCTGCGGTTCACGTACGAGGAGGAGCCGCGGCCGGAGGAGTTCTTCGTGCCGTGCGTGTGGGCGCTGGTGGTTTCGCAGAGTCGGCACGTGCCGTGGGACGTGGGGGGGGTCCAGATATACGCCCCGGAGGACTCTGCGCACGGGAACGGGGGGCTGGGGCAGGACGAACTGATGCGGTCGCAGTCGTCCGTGGTCGCGTCCGAGAGCGGGAACGTGTGAGACGGCGGCGGCTCGAGCGGACGCGACGGCGCCAGTGCTCTCGAACACATGCGTGAAACGAATCGCGAGCAGTGCGAGGAGGAAAACGAAACGACACAGTGCAGGCACGCGCAGCGTCGTGAACGTCGCAGCACTGAGCTCGTATGTCGCTGAATGCCTCCACTGGGTCGGGGCGTTGTCGTTGATCACACGACGTTCGCGACGCGCACGTCCAATCACTGCCCGCGGCGTCGCCTGCCTCCTTCCGCAGCCGCGGAAGGGTGCACAAAATTGATGCAGAGTCTCTCAGAGTCGAAATTCGTACAAAGTCTCATCAGCGTCAACATGGGCGCTCAACCCCGTCTGTCTCACTGGACGCCGAAGAAGCGCGCCATGTCGATGTAGTTCTCTCCCCCGATGACGTTGTTTGCCAGCCGCAGCGCCAGCGTGCCGCCCGCCAGCACCCACGCACGCTTTGCCGCCCAGGGCGTGTCCTCGAGCAGCCGCTCCAGCCCGACGACCGTCTGTAGCCGCACGTTCGAGGACACGCCCATGAACACGCCCCACACCATCGCGGTGTGCCACACGTCGACCTGCAAGCTCGCGTCCCCGCCCGACGCAGCCACCAGGCCGTTTGCCAGCGACAGCCCCGCCACGCCGCACGCCGTGCCGACGACCAGGTACTGCGCGCCCTTGAACGCGACGCTCTGCACGCGCTGCGCCGTCGTGTACGCGCCGCGCTCGAACGCCGTCGCCGGCAACGCATCAACGCTGATCCGCACGCGCTCAACGAGGCTCGCGCCCGCGCCGCCGTCCGCGCCGCGCCGCCGCGCACCGAGGCCCTGCGCGGGAGCCATCATGAGGACCAGTGCCGCGTCGAGCACCAGCCCCACAATAAGGTCTCCCAGGACCAGGTGCGCCTCCGTACTGAGGGCCCTGGACACGCCTCGCTTGTCGAGTTCCGCGATGATGCAGCACACGCCGTCGATGACCACGTCCGCGGTGACCTGCGCAATGCGGGGGCGCGGCAGCGTGTGAGCAGCACTGGACGTCGACGAGTGGCGACGAACCGCGTGGGCGTCGGTGCGGCGTGTGCGTACCTTGAACAGGATGCGCGGGTCCTTGAGGAGGCGCTCCGTCAGCACGGGCACCCCGAGGGAGGCCACCACGCGCTCGAGACTCCCCCCCTCGGCAGACAGACGCAGCAGCCCGGACACCACCTCCGTGGGCACCGCGCCGCCGGTGCGCTGCGCCGCCCTCCGCGCCCGGTCCGGCAGCGCGATCCCCGACGCCGCCAGCGCCGCGTCCGCCTCCAGGAGCGGCGTCAGGTGCGGCCCAAAGTCTACCGCCACAGCCGCCCTCCGTGCCCCCCCGCGCCGCCGCCCGCCCCGCGACAGCTGCAACCACAGCCGCAGCCGGTGGCGTTATGTTACGACAGGGCGCGAGAGGGCAGGTCGGGGCCGCCTCGACATCGGAGGCGTGGTGCGCAGCCCGCTGCCCGCTGACGGTTGGGCACGGTGGGCGATCTGCGGTATCCGGCCCGCTGCGATTGATGCCGGCTGGAATGTCGCCGCGAAGGAACGCCCATGCCGTGAATAGCCTCGTTTGCGGGCCCAGGGTGCCGTGCGGCCCCGTGGGCGCCGCGCCCGCGTGCTTTCCGTTGAGCGCTAGGCGGCGGGCCGCGATGGCGGTCGACGCATGAATGGCCGCGGGTTTGGGCTAGAGTTGAAGGGATTCACCTGGGGGGCTCGCTCGCTTGCGCCGCCGCTTGAGATGCGGTCCGGGGAGACGCTGCGCTGCCGCGAAGCACTAGGTGCAGTGCTGGGCGCACGGCCTCGCGCTGCGCCCGCAGAGACGGACGCCGGCCGCGGTGCGCTGCGGGCGTGCAGCCTGGCGCGTGCAGCCGGGCTGGCACGGGGAGCGGCGGTCGGGCGGCGCGCATTCGCCACGACGGCCCGCTGGGCAGCGCTGGGAGAGAACCCGCGCGTGCTCATCGTCTCAGGACAAAAACAGCGCCTCGACGTGCCGAGGCGGAGAAGAATCTACGCGGAAGTGCCCGCGACGTCCAATAGGAGCTCGCGGCCCCACTGGGAATCCCTCGCGGCGCTGCTGCCTGCGAGAAGTCACAGCGCCTCCACGCGCCACTGCAATCAATGAAATCCCGTCTCCGACCGTTCTCACAGTTTCAAGTGATCTGTGTGACGCAGCGCGACCGCCAGAATCGCCGGACCCGCCCTGAACAGACCGTCAGAGGGTCTTTTCGAGCTGACGTCAGCGCCGCCCTGTGCGGCACGGCATCCACGCTCGCGGCGCGCGGCGCCCAACCGCGGCGGCCGAACCCACCCACAGACCCGCCCTCGCCCGCAGAACGCCGTCGGGACCGCTCCGCGACCCCGCGACCGCACCACACCCCCCCCACGCTCACCACCCAGAGTAGTAATTGACCACCCGCGCACGAAACGAAATGCGGGTGTGCTATCGTCCTGATCAAGGCGGCAGCGTGCTAGGAGTACTCGCGCGAAATGCCATGTGAGCGTGCCATCATGTGCCAAGGGAAGGCTCTGACCTGCAATCAGTTAGAGTGAGTGGCGGGCGTCGTCAGCAACAACGCGGCGAGCCGCGCGAGTACTGGACGACGCCCGCCAGCCGACGCGCCGAAGTGCTGGTCCACGTCCTAGGCTGCTTGTACCAGGGGGTGTCGGCAGCCGGCTGGGTGACAGCGGTGACTGAGTCTGCGGCATTGTCCGCGTTGTGTGGCGACGCGCCGACGGCTACTCAGCTCTCCTCGTCATCGCCGTCCCCCGCGCGTGGCCTGTCATGCGAAAAGGGATCATACCTCGGTCTAGCGGCCACGGAATACGCGCATGGCCAACATGTCAACATCGGGGGGGTAACAGAGTGCGTCATGTGTGCGGGCATGGCTGGATAGTTCCGAGCCAGCTTCGCAGCGCCGGGATCATGTATGAGGGTGACGAGTTGCAGGGCGCCGGGCACGCCCTGTCAGCAGGTTGGCCAGTATGGTCTGCAAACTGCACGTGGCGACGCACGAGGTCAGCCAGGCCCGCCGGCGTGGCAGGGCCAAAATGCGGGCTCGGGTGCGTCCGGCAGGCGGCGCGGTGGATCGCCAGGACCTGTCGCATGCAGTAACCTCGATGCGTACGCATGTAGCGCATCATGGCCGACATCTTGGCTACGTAGCTGTCGCGGTCAGTCACCTCGCTGGACACGCGGATGTGTTCGGTGCGGACGATGTTGTAAAGGTGTCGTCGCAGCAGCGCACACGAAGCGTGGGGGTACTGTATGAGGTGAATGTTCTCAGGAAACAGACCGCGTTTGTCATAGTGCGAGATCAGGAGGAAGCCCTGATATTCGGGATGCGGACGCACGCGGAGGTCTAGGAAGGAGACACCGTCGAGCGGGTTCGCTGGGGCGTCAAATTCGACCTCAAGACAGGGGGGGTACATGTTATGTATACCAGAGATGAGATCTACGATCGACGACGGGGTTTCGGGGGGCGGGGTGGGGGGGCGGGGGTGGGTGTTGAAGTAGCGGTACAGTGCGTTCGCGAGAGAGAAATTGTCGTCGATGTAGCGCCTGGAATAACGGAAAGACCCCAAGACCTTCAGCCAAGCGACGTCGCCAGTGCTCAACCAGCGGTCGCGAAACTGGCAGAGGAACGCGAGCTCATGCCGGAACATGTAGCAGTTCGCGAGGTGGGGGGAGGCCGAGAGCCCCATGGGCACACCGCAGGTCTGGTGATATACGACGCCCCCGAACACCACGTAGGCGCGTTTGACGAGGATGTGCACGAGACCATGAAGTTGCTCGATGCTCGGTGCCCATTTCCCAACCATGCCGTCCGCGTCCGGCAGCTGCGCCACCCACCACCACGTCTCCCTCGCGTCAAACGCGGGTTGCAAGTCGATCAGGAGGTGTTGCCCTGGATGCAGTGCAAAAACAGCGTCGATGTGTTCGATGACGCAGTCGATGAGGCCGGTCCCGTGGTCCGCGCTCGTCTCGTGCCGGATGTGCGTGTAGAGCCGCTTGATGTCGGCGCCCAGCAGCAGAGGTGGTTGTTGAGCATGTATCGCTGAGCGTGGTGGGTTGTCATGTAGATACGCGGTCACCATGTCACGCATGCCGCGGCTGGAGTCCACCAAGAAGGGCGCGAAGCTGCTGCAGAGGTCCTCCGGGACGCCGTCGAAGATGGAGCTCCAGACCTCCACGAGGGTGGCGTGGCACATGAGCGCGCCGAGGGCCTTCGTCAGCAGCTGCGCTGCGGGGCGCGTGATGTCGCTCGAGCAGTCCGAGATGTACCGCACGTCCACCTTGGCCTTGTGAAGCTTCATCGTCCCGTAGTAGTGCGGTAGACCACCGCACTCGCGTTCGGTGCGTATTCCTGGTAGCTGCAGGTTGTCCAACATAGCCTCCGTCGTGTTAGCGACGTTCACCACGTGCCTGGCATGCGTGATGTTGGCATTTGCCGGCTCGTTGACAGCGAAAGCGTCGTTGCTGTGCAGGTCGTGCAGGAGGACCTCGATGTAGGCGCGCCGACACACGAAACCCAAATTCCCGGCGTTCTTGTCCATGGTCGTGATGGTGAGGCGTGTCGCGTCTCGCCGCAGAGCCACGCGATCGTCGGGCTGAATGTCCGCCAGCGGCGGGGGCCATGGAAGGCGGAACCCGGGTTGAAGAGCGGGTTGGAGTGCCGTTTGCGTAGCAGCAAGTATAGCATCAATGTACGGCATGCACGCTGCCGCGTCCATGTCGGCGGCCTTGCTGACGCGTTTCGTCCACCCGAGCAGCGGCTTCTGGTAGGCTTCAACGATGCTAGCTACGGTCGCGCTCGTGGCTTGGTGCAGCTCCGGGACGTGTCGGTGCTTGGCACCGCCGACGGCGAACAAACGGCGGTACGCGGTGCTCTGGATGCCCGCCGCAGCAGGGTCCAGCGTGCAGAGGTGCCGCACAGGCTCGCCGTCGATCTGCCAGTAGGGGTCCTCGAGCGTGAAGTGGCGTCGTAGGTCCGGTCCTTGGTGTTGCGCACAGTCGCACTGCGTCGCCATGATGTCGTACAGGCGACTGCGTGCAAACTTGGCAACTCCGCTGTGCGTGCACACCGAGCGCGACAGCGGTGGAAACCTGACCGAATAGCGCGGGGCCACCAGAAACAAGCCATCCATACCTTCGCGGATACGCTCAGGTAAGAGGTTGAGAAAGTCATCATTATTGACGAGGGTTTCGAGGGGGGCGAGGCTAGCCAGGGGGGTAGGGAAGTCGTGGATCATGAGGGTACGGCTCCCGAGGTCGATGTCTGCGACGGGAGGGTAGTGGTGGTTGATGGCGGCCTGCAAAACGGTGCGGGCACTGTCCAACATCTGCTGTGTGTAAAAGGGCTCGTCGAGACCCAGGTTAAGCGCATCGGGATGCATGTGCGACACGCAGTGATGGAGGGAGAAGAGGTATTTTCCGATGTTCGCTGCCGTGCAATGGTTCACCGCGCGTCTCCAATGATCGTGCTCTGTGTCGCCGGCGCGGCGGAACAAAACAACGTCAAGAAGGAGGCGAGTCTGGTAGATATACTCGCGTGTACCGAGGCGCGGAGACATGCCTGCGATAGCGGGGGGCAGGGACAACGCTGGTGCCGTAGTTGTGAGGCAGTTGTCAGCGTCGAGGTGGATGGTACGTTGATGCGTGGAGGAGATGGCAAACGTTGGCTGGAAGAGGGTCGCCAGCGCTGGGAGCCCACTCGGGCCGGGCGGGCCGGGGAAGTCGTTGTGGGGGATCGCTACGGGGTGGGGGTCAGCGGCGATTTGGAACGCCAGGGGGGATAGAGGCCATGGGGCAGCATCAGAGTGGCCAGCTCCGTAGCCGAAATTCCACATGCCCTTGCAGTAATTGAGGCCGCCGGGGTATGTGGAGCCCAGACAGCGTATCATGGTCTGCTCCCAGGCCAGGGAGTAGGTGCGGAACTTGTGGAACCAGGCCTTCAAAGCGTCCGGGCTAGTCGCCGGCGGGATGGGCACCTGGCGTGCGAAATTGATGCGAAAGAGGGGCACGATGGTGAAGTCGCGCCACGGGACATGGCCGTTCGGCGACTGCGCCCACACTCGTCGCATAAACTCGTAAAGCGGGGTGTGCACGGCGTTCGGATGGTGCGTGAATGCTGCATCAAAGTGCTCCTGCAGTCGTTCGATCGCTGTGCGGTATGTCTCCCCGACATAGTAAAAGAAGGGGTATTTCCGGCACAAGAGGACATAGACAACCCCGCGCGCCGCAAGCGGGGGGTTTGCCGTGACCGATGGTAGCGCGGCGAGGTCCGAGAGCGCCGGCGGGGGCGGTGGGAAAGGAGCGCTCGGTGGGGGGCACGGGTGCGGGTATGCGGGCGCCCGTTCGTCGCGGGGCACGTAGTCCCAGTAGGGTCGAGGGGCTAGTGCGGAGGCGGGGTGGGAGGGTGTGTGGTGGGGGCTAGGAGGGGGCCAGGCACGGGGAGATGCCTGCGGAGCAATAGCGGCCGCGATGCGGCGTGCGTGCGTGATGCTGGGTCGAAAGTTCGGGTCGTGGTCATTTAGATTTGCGACATGGTGGAACAGGGTGCCATTCGAAAGGTGGCCACGCAGCGTGCGCGCCTCGGCGGTGCCGGCCTGGTCGCTGAGACGCAACGCTGCTTGGAGCCGTTTCCTCCGTCGGCGACCGATTGGAGTGCGCATGGTGAGAGGTTTTGGGGGTGAAAAGAGGGTGGTGTGCGGAACTAGACCGAGGATGCAGTAATCAAGCCACGACGGGAGGGCGACGATGACGGGGAGAGCTCTACCTAAGTTGCGCGTTCCTAGCACGCCGGGCGGTGAGCCACGGACGTGAGACGGCGGAGTCAGTTAGCCGGAGGCAGGCTCGTCTACGCCGACGGTTGAAGGCCGGAGTAGGGAGGTAGCTCTCAGCTGGCACTGCGCCAAAGCCCCATGTTCGAGGCCCGGCGCAGCACAACACGACACACAGAGTAGTAATTGACCACCCGCGCACGAAACGAAATGCGGGTGTGCTATCGTCCTGATCAAGGCGGCAGCGTGCTAGGAGTACTCGCGCGAAATGCCATGTGAGCGTGCCATCATGTGCCAAGGGAAGGCTCTGACCTGCAATCAGTTAGAGTGAGTGGCGGGCGTCGTCAGCAACAACGCGGCGAGCCGCGCGAGTACTGGACGACGCCCGCCCGCCGACGCGCCGAAGTGCTGGTCCACGTCCTAGGCTGCTTGTACCAGGGGGTGTCGGCAGCCGGCTGGGTGACAGCGGTGACTGAGTCTGCGGCATTGTCCGCGTTGTGTGGCGACGCGCCGACGGCTACTCAGCTCTCCTCGTCATCGCCGTCCCCCGCGCGTGGCCTGTCATGCGAAAAGGGATCATACCACCCACATAAATCGACGCCGAGACCGCACGTAACTCGCAGCCCGCGCACGGCGCTCCTCCGCGGCGACGGCCCGGCCCCGCGTCTGTTGAGCTTCACATCGCCCGGAGCGCGTGCGGGCGGGTGCGTCGGCCAGGCAAGAGCGCAGCATCACTTGAGCCAAGCGGGCTTCTCGCCGCCGGCCTTGGGGGCCGAGGAGGACCCCGAAGAGGAGCTAGAGGAGGAGGAGCCGAGGGAGGCCTTCGGCTTGTTGAACGCGGGGTGTTCCATGATTTCCTGGAAGAGCTGAGTCCCCCGGAGGGCATTCGTCAGGGGGAGGTGTCCCTTCTTGGCGTCCGTCGAGTAGATGAACTCCCCGGGCCACTTGCGGTAGTGGTTGTTCTCCACGAACACCCAGTCGATCGCCTGCGCGCGCGGGGCCGGCACAGCGACGTTACGTTGCGACACTCTGCGTCGCTCCGGCGGGGAACCGCGGCGCGCGCACGGCACGCGGGGCATCCGCGGATCCGCGGCGGCGCTCACCTTGAAGAACCGCGGCCACTGCCGCCGGTTCTGGATCCACACCTCCCTCTGAGCCGTGTAGCCAAACTTGTTGTTGCTGGCCGCGCGCCACAGGTTGTCCACCGTCTGCAGGTCCGCGGCGGGGATGTTCCGGACCTCCGTGAAGTACACCCACCCGCGCGCCACCGCCTCCGCGCCCGCCTGGCGGATCAGCAGCGACCGCGTCTCGTCGTCCGCGTCCTGGAACCGCCCCTCGTCGAGCGCCTTCTTCAACGCACTGCGCGAGACGGGGCCGCAGAGGCGGACACGTGTCAGGGAAGGTGCCGCGGGGACGCGGGGCGCCGCGGAGGGGCGCGGCGGGCGACGCCCGCGGCGATCTTGCTCCCCGACGCAAGAGGGCGTGCTTTTGCGGCGACGCAGGGCTTGAGTTCGCTGGAAAACGCGTTCTCGGGGATGTGCACGATAGGAGGCGCGAGGTTCGGGGACGAAGCGCGGCGAGGAATGCAAGACGGGGCCCGCAGCGGCAGATGTTGGGTGCTGGGCAGCTCGATGCACCCGCCTTGGGAGGCAATCGCGTGGGATTTCGCGCGGGTGACGGCGCGAGCACGCCGCGAAGCGCACGCGACGCACGCCCAGTCATCATGGGAAGAGTGTGGGCGGCCCGGACTGCGTGTGCAGGTGCGCAGCGCGCCTCGGGCACGCGTTTTATCCACCAGGGGTGCAGAGGCCGGCCCGTGCGCGGCGGTGGGTGGCCGAGCGGGGGCGCTCACCTGTAGTCGATGCCCAGCTCGGACTTGAGCTCGACCTCCTTGGGCTTCTCGGCCTTCTTGGGCGCGCTGCTCGTCCCCGCAGGCGCCGACTTGCCCCCCCGCTCCAAGTTTACGCTGGTGAGCCCGAGCTTGCTCTCGTCGAGCCCCGCGCGCGCGACGACGGCCGCCCGGCGAGCCACACAATTCACGGGGGCGTGCCGCGCGCGCGAGGGCGCCGCGGCCACCTGGGGACGGCACGCCACCGAGGGCATGGCCAGTTGCGACGCCATGCTATCGCGAGTCCTCACGAATCCTCTCGATCCAACGCCCGCCGTTCCGTTCTCGGTGGATTATTCCGCGACGATTCCTCCGCGACGCGCCCGGCGAACGCGCCCCTCGTGCCCGCGAAGCCCACCTCCCACCTCCCCACCAGGATTCGCCCGACTCAGGCGGGCCCGCCCGCGGCCTGAACCGCGCGTGGGTTTGCCGCTTTTCGGCGCCCATAGAGCACCAGGACCCCCCTGCGCACCCACGCCGCGCTTTCCAAGGCGACCGCGCCCGGGACACTGGCACGCACACCCACCCAGCTGTGTCCTCCCGCACGGAACGTGGTCCTCCCCACGGAACGTGCCGTGCGCCCCGCTAGACGCTCAAATGATCAGACATCCTGAAACGAGCGTAACGATCGTACGTCGCGCGCTCACGACCTGCCGCCGCCCAGAAACCCTGGCAGCATGCGGCGCCCACGCGCCCCGCCGTCGACGCACCGCCCGGCGCGAGCGCGTCCTTCCGAGCGGCGCGCCTCGCAGCCGCGCCTCCTGGCTGCGGGGCCAGCGCGCCGAAGAGCGCGTGACGTCCCCGGACCCCCACATTGCGCCCCGAATCTATGTTTTTAATGTCATTTCGCGCCGCGCTGCATCAGGGTGTGCGTCGCCGGGGCCGCCGCGGGTCCCAGGGCAGCGGGCGGTGTGCTCGGGTCGGGCGGGGCGGCGGGGCGGCGCAGCACGCGCCGTCGGACGGCGCGGTGGGGCTGAGTCAGGTGGTGCGGTGCAAGAGGCCGGCTGCGCCCGCGCTGGCGGGAGGCTGAGGCCCCGCGGGCGCGCTCTGCTGGCGCATTGGTGCCCGGAGTGTGAGAGGGACCCGCCGTTGCGTGGCAGGGTAGGCGTCTGGGGCAGCCAGAGCGGTCGAGGCGCTCGTTGGAGACACCATGGTTCGGCAGGCGCTGCTGGGCCCGGGTTCGGGCTCCGTGGCCGCGAGGAGCGGCACGGTATCGAAGGATGCGCGAAAGGTGATTTCCTCGCAGTCGCCTCGAGACGGCGCCGCGCTGATGCGGACATCGGCCCGGATTCGCGCTGGCGCCTCGGCGCCCGAAAACGCGCGGCGCGGCGCCTCGCGAATTTCCGCGAGCGGCGGAACTCGTCCGAAATCGCCAACTCCGTTGACAGCGAGCCCCGCGCCCGCGCGCGCGCGACTGCGCGACCGCCAATTCCCTCGTGCAGCGCCCAGAGGCGTCGACCTTGGCTCGGGCGCATCATGCCGCCGGCCGACGCGCGCACGCGCCCTGATTCCCACCCCTCCCGCCCCTCCCCACCGCAGACCCTCCGCGCTCGCCACTCCCGCCGCCACATTCGGCCCAGGGCCGCCGGGCGCGACCCTGTCGCAGACATAGCAGGTGTGCGTCCGAGCCAGCCCAACGCCCTCCCCGCTCCCGCTAGACGCGATGGCCCCCCACACTCGCTGCCCCGGCGCCGAGGCTCACCTGTACGGCGCGCTCGCGGCCGCGATCGCCCCGTTCGCGGGGCGTCTCGCGCCATATCGCGTTAGATAACTTTCAGTGAGGTGTTTCTGCTCAAGTGGGCGCGACGGCGGTGCATGCAGAGGCGGCGACCGCGGAGGGCGCCGACGTGGGCTCGATGATCAGCGAGGCGCTGAAGACCCCCGTCGCGGCTCCCGCGAAGCCGGACGCCCCCGCATCGGACCCCGCATCGAACCCCTTTGCCGGGCTGCAGAAGCAGCTCCAGGACGTGCAGGTGAGGCGCGATGTTGGCGCGAACGGCCAATGAACGTGCAATGTGTGGCCAGGAGTACCTTTGAGTGTGCATTGCTTGCGCGGAGATGACGTGTCTGTTCGTGAATCCCGCGAAAACGATGCTCCAGGACCTGACGCATGCGCTGGCGCGGCTCTCGTGACGCGCAGGCGGCCGCGAAGGACGCCGCGAGCAAGGCGTCGGAGTCAGGGTCCGCGTCGTCGTCCGACTTCTTCGCGGGCCTGCAGAAGCAGCTCCAGGAGGCCCAGGTGAGCAACAGCGTTGATGACTGCGCCTCGTCGCGCCCCGCGCACCGCGGGGAAGTAGACCGCGCCCCCGAGTCGCTCCTGCTGGGTATCGGCGCACAGTCGGACACCGTCGCGCGTCGTCCTCGGGCCGTTCGCGGAACAAAAGCTCGTTTTCCCACACCATGTTCTCCCTCGATGTTCCGCCCGCAGGAGGCTGCCACGTCGGCGTACAAGGACACGGCGGGCAGGATCACCGAGGCGACTCCCAGCCTGCAGAAGCAGCTCCAGGACCAGCTCCAGAGCGCTCAGGTGCGCCCCAACACGATGCGATGACAGGACACGCGCCACACAGCGCTCCGCGCAGTCCGCGAGCACCCGTTCGCTGCTCCCGCGCCTGGCACGGGCGCGCCGTCGCCGATGCGCTCCGTGTCCCTGCGCGGCTGCTGCAGGACGCGGCCACGTCGGCTTACAAGGATACCGCGAGCAAGATCACGGAGTCGACTCCCAGCCTGCAGAAGCAGTTTCAGGACCAGCTGAAGAGCGCGCAGGAGGCGGCGACGTCCGCGTACAAGGGCGCGGCGGACAAGGTGTCGGAGTCGGCCAGCAAGGTCACGGAGTCGACTCCCAGCCTGCAGAAGCAGTTCCAGGACCAGCTGAAGAGCGCGCAGGACGCCGCGACCTCGGCGTACAAGGACGCGGCCGACAAGGTCGCCGAGTCTGCGAGCAAGGTCCAGGACCAGATGCAGAGCGCTCAGGTGAGCACGGCGCGCAACGCACGGGCACACCTCGTCCTGTTCGTTTCCTCTCTATGCCACCCTCTCTTCCGTCGCTGTCGTTGCTGAGTCAGCGTCTTCCTGCACCCGCGCGTCGCGCAGGAGGCCGTCCAGGACACTGCGAGCAAGGTCGCTGAGTCCACGCCCGCCCCGCCGCCGCCGCCGGCCCCCAAGGTCGAGGTCCCGCCGCCGCCGAAGGTCGAGGCGCCGCCGCCGGCCCCGAAGGTCGAGGCGCCGCCGCCGCCGAAGGTCGAGGCGCCGCCGCCGGAGCCTCCCAAGGTCGACGTGCCGGCGCCACCTGCGCCGGAGCCTGCGCCGGCGCCGTCGCTCGACCTGGGCAAGCAGCTGCAGGACGCACAGGTGCGACTGGGCTCGTTGCGGTGCCTCTCGAAGAACATCTCGAACGGCATAGTCGTATGTTTTTATTTATTCATTCGTATATTTGTATGTACGTGTGTACGTTCCCCCGCATTTCGTCATGACTGAAGCGCCCCGACGTGGACGTGCGGCGGCTGCAGGAGGCGGCGAAGGAGGCGGCGAGCAAGGCCGCGGAGGCCGCGAGCGAGGCCGCGAGCAAGGTCGCTGAGTCGGCGCCGTCGCTCCCGGGCCCGTCCTCGGAGCCCAGCATCTCCTCCCTGCGCGAGAACGCGCTGTCGGCCTACGAGTCCGCCGGGCGCAAGACCGCCGGCGTCGGCGGCATCAAGCGCAACCGCCCGCAGCGCGCTCCCAAGGAGACCCCCGCCGACACCCCCGCCGCCGAACCGCCCAAGGCCGAAGCCCCCGCGCCCGAAGCACCCAAGGTCGAGCCCCCGAAGCCCGAAGCACCCAAGGTCGAGCCCCCGAAGCCCGAGGTACCGAAGCCGGAGCCGCCGAAGGCTGAGGCTCCCGCCCCGGAGCCGCCCAAGGTGGAGGCCCCGCAGGCCGAGATCCCGAAGCCGGAGCCGGCGCCGACGCCCAAGGTCGAGTCCCCGAAGGTCGAGCCGCCGACGATGGAGTCTCCGAAGGTCGAGGCGCCCAAGGTCGAGGATCCGGGAATCAAAATGCCTGAAGTTCAGACTCCGAAGCTCGAGGTCGAGGCGCCCAAGGTCCCGGAGCCCCCCGCGCCCGCCCCGGCCGTGCCGGAGCCCCCCGCGCCGGCGCCGGCCGTGCCGGAGCCGCCTGTGCCCGCGGCGCCGGAGGCCCCCCCCGCGCTGTCTGACTCGCTGTCGGCGTACACGAAGCAGACGAGCAAAGGGGCCGGGAAGGCGGTGGAGAAGGCGGCGGAGAAGGCGGGCGACGCTGCGCCGTTCAACCCGGTGGCGGACGCGCAGAAGGCGGTCACGGGCGTCGTGGACGACCTGACGGCGCAGGTGCGCGGAGTGGCCGAGGAGGTGACGTCGACGGTGAACAAGGTGAAGCAGCAGGGGACGGACGCGATCGACACGCTGTACAAGGAGGTCGACGCGTCGGTGGGCGGCGCCATGACCGCGGTGTCGGAGGTCCCCGGCAAGGTGCGCGTGTGCGTGCGTGCGTGCGTGCGCTACGGCACGTCACTGTCGAGACGGACCGGTGCACTGGTCGGCCCTCATCCGCGCAACGCAGCGGCAGTATCGCTAGAACGCCGCATCGTTCGTTCGTTCGTTCATTCGCTTCTGTGTCCCCGCCATGCAGGTGAGCACCGCGGTCGGCTCCGCGGTGGACTCTGCGGTGAAGGCGCTCCCGCCGCCGCCCCCCGCGGTCCAGGCCGCGATCGACAAGGCCGCGCCGTACGCCGACAAGGTCAAGGCCGCGTACGCGTCCGTCGAGGCCACCCTCGGGGCGGACGTCGCCGCCTTCACCGCAGGCGCCACGGTCTCGATCCCTCTCATCGCGCTCTGGCAGCTGCTCTACGGCGGGTACTCCGGCAAGCTCACGCCGAACCAGGCCGTCGACCGGCTCATGGCCGGCACGGCCCTGCTCGTCGACGTCAGGGACGAGGACATGCGGTTCAAGCAGGGCACGCCCGTGCTGAAGCGCACGGCGCGGAACCGCGCGGTCGCGGCGCCCGTGACGCAGCTCGACCCGGACACGGCGCGGCTGGTCACTGGGACGCGCGCGCTGGAGATCGAGGCGGCGGCTCTGCGCATCGCCAACCTGCGCATGGTCGGCCGGTCGACGGAGGTGGTCGTGCTGACGCAGACGGACGCGGAGGGCGTCGCGATGGCGCGCGCGCTGCGGCGGGCGGGCGTGCGGAAGCCGTACTGCATCAAGGGCGGGTTCCCTGCGTGGCAGAAGAGCGGGCTCGCCATTGCGGAGGGAGTGGGGTTCTACGAGACGGGCACGCTCCGCGTGGTGGGAGACGAGCTGGAGGTGATCAGCGAGGAGGTGTCGGAGAAGCTCCAGGACCCGGTGTTCGCGGTCGGGGCGCTGGTGAGCGCGCTGGGCGCCGGGGTTGCTGCGTACAACTGGCAGACCTCTCTCGAGTACATCGGGGTCATCGGAATCGAGCTGAGCATCCTGAGCAAGCTCATGCAGTACGGCTCGATCGGGGAGGTCCTCGAGGACGTCGGGGAGGTCGTTGAGGACGTCGCGACGACCACGGGGGGCCTTATTCAGAAGACACGCTCCACCGGCAGCAGCGCTGGCAGCAGCAGCGCGCCCGCGCCCCCCGCGGCCAAGCCCGCGGCGAAGGCGGCTGCGGAGCCGGCGCCGACGGCCGCTGCCGAGCCGGCCCCGAAGGCGTCCGGCGGCGACGGCGGCGAGCCCGCAGCTGAGAACAAGGCCTCCGAGCCGTGACTGGCGCGGAGGCGCCCTGACGTGTAACGATTGTATCGAACCAGCCCGGAGCGGCGACGCAGGCCCCGCGCATTCGGAACTCGCACGGCGCCGCGGGCCGCGTCGCTGGCGGTGACGTGGTACGTGTTATAAGGGATGTAGCGCATGAGACACGCATGCGGCGCATGCCCGCCGCCACCGACCGATGCGTACGAGTATTTACATGCGCGTCCTCGTGACCGCTTGCCTGCGCCCCGGCGCCGCACCACCGCACGTGGCGCCGAGAGACCTCCGAGTACCATCAAGCGGTTGCAGCAGCGTCATAAATATCAATTACCCCCCCTACCCCTCGGCCAGCGCGCCGCCCGTCAGACGTACCGCGCCCCCCGCGGCTCCCACGGCCGCCCCGCCACCTCCCGCGTCCCGTGCGGTGCGTCCGGGAGCGCCTCCACGCGCGGCCCGCGCCCGCGGGCGCCCGGCAGCCCCGCCCGCCGCTGCGACCACTCCTCGTCGAACCGCCGCCCCGCGTCAGGCCCCTCCAGCCCCCTCACGTCGTCGCGCACCTCCTCGCGCCCGTCCGGGCCCCGGATGCGCGTCACCGTGCGCCCGCGGCCGTCCATCCCGCGCTCGACCGTCACGGCCTCGGTGCCGCGGACGCCGTCGCGCACGCGCTCCTCCCGCTCGAAGGTCCCGTCCGGCGCGCGCCGCGCGGTGGAGCGGCTCTCGCGCACAGCACCGTCCGGGCCGGACGAATACGAGTACGAGTACGACTGCACGGACGCGCCGGGGGGCGCATTCATGCCCATCTCCATCCCTGCAAGCGGACGGCGAAGCGGGGGTCAGGGCCGGGCCGCAGCGCTCCGTAACAGGGCCTAGCCAGGTCCTGGCCGACGCTGGCGGTCGAACCGCCGCGTGCGGTGAAGCCGTGGCTCCGTGCTGGGGTTCGAGAGAGACAGGAGGGCGCTGGGGTGCGGGCGGCAGGGGTTCGGAGAGTACCAGGGGAGCGCAGCGGCGCGCGTACCTCGGCCGAAGAAGCCATGGAAGAGGCCGCCCATTGGGTCTCGTGGGCCGCGCGCGGCGTCGAGCGCGGAGCCGTCGAACTCCTGGCGCGTGCGGGCGCGGCCGCGGCCGCCGCTGTGGCTCGGCCCGTGCGCGCTGTTGTCGTACGAGCCTCGGTGCGCGTAATCTGCAGGTCGTTACGCGGGCGCGCGAAGCCGTTCGGCTCTCCGCAATGCGCGAAACGCAGCGGACAGCTGCGCGCGTGCGCGGCGCGTCCAGCGGCGGTCCGGCCGCCGCGGCGGGCCGCGGGGGCAGCGCCCGGCGGAGGCAGCGGGGACGTGGCATGCAGGGCGCACCGTCAGGCTCCTCGACGAGCGGGCGCGGGCCGCGGGAGTCGTGCTGGACGTGCTCTCCCTCGCCCAGCTCCTCGATGACGGGCCCCTCCAGGCGCTGCAGCGCACGCACCGGGCGGAGCGCGTCACATCCAGTGCCCGGAGCAAACGCGCGCGCCGCGGCTGCACGCGGCCGGGGGACGCAGGCGCACGCGGCGCGCGGGCGCGCAGAGAGAGGCTGTACCTGCGGGGCGCGCCGGCGGTCGTCCTGGAGGCGTTGGCGCTGCAGGGGCCGCCCGTGGCCGTCGTGGCGGGCGAAGCCCATCATCGACTCCATTTCCCGCTGCATGCGGTCCATCTCGCCGAATGGGTCCCGGAAGAACGGGTCGTTGAACATCCTGCCGAACGGCGAGCCGCCGAACGGGCCCCCTCCGCCCCCAAACATCCCGGGACACCGCAGCGGGTCTAGAAGTGGAGCTGCGCCCTCTGGAACGTGCGCTGCGCAGGGCCGCACGACGCTGCTCTGTCGTCCTGGCACGGTTCGATCGATTCGGTGTATTTAGTTCGCCGCGAGTGCGCCGGTCGGGCCGCGCGCGCGCCCCTCGTCGAAACCGCAGCCCCGCTCCGAGGGGAAACGTCTCCTCGACTCAGGAGGGGGGCGTCGGAAGACGCGAGGGCCCCGACATGGCCGCGACGGTGCGCGGGCCGACGGAGGATACCGCGGACTCGGATCTGACCGATCTCACTCGGCCTGTAGCTCGCGTCAGGGCCGGGAATTGCGGCATGAAGGCAGAGCAAGGGAGCGCGGCCCAGGATGCGGCGGGGGGGGTGTTGCCCCCCGAGGCGGCGTTCCAGCTGACGTACGAGCACATGTACGCGGCCGCGGCGCTGTTCACGATCGAGCTGTTCCAGGTGAGGCGGCCCCGGTGCGTGCAGGCTGGCGCGTCCCGCGCTGCTGCCCCGCGGCTCGCGCATTGACGCGCCGGTTCGGCGGTCCGCCCCGCGCTGCTCCGTCTCCGTGATGTGGAGAGCGGGGTGGCTGAGTGCGACGGCGGCGTGGCGCTGCAGGCGTGCGCGCGGATGGACCCACACGGCGAGACGTCGGTTGCAGCGCGCGCAGCGCGGGAGCAGGAGGAGACGTCGACGATGTCCGCGCTGCTCGCGTCCACGAAGTCGCTGTTCACCAGCAAGCAGAAGCGCAAGGGCCGGGAGCACCTCGACGCGAAGCTCGAGGCGCAATGGCTCGAGTATCCAGGTGCGGAGCCGTGCGACGCACGCGCCGCCGCGACAACGAGGAATAAAACTGGTTTTCCCGATACACTCGAACTCGAAGCGTCCCCTGAGGAGACCAGAAGCGACGAACGGCGGCGCCTGGGGCCCTCACACGGCTCCACACCTGCGGCCACAGCACATGCCGTTCCGCCCGTTGTCGCAGGTGGGGAGGTGCTGTGGGGCAGGCACGGCCTTCTCGAGCGCCTGTACACGCACCTGGGCATCCAGGAGTCGCAGTGGCCGGCGCTGCTCGTCCTCCCAAGCCTCCTGCTCTCCATCGCCAGCACCAACATCAGCACCGCGACGAGCGAGCGCATCGAGATGGACAACGAAATGGTCGCCACGCACGTCGCCATGTACCGCAACGTCCTCGAGGTCCGCGCCCCGAGCCCCGCGGTCGAGCACGGCACCCCGCAGTGTTGCTAGGGCCTGCGAGCGAAACATAGGGCGCCGCCGTCGCGCTGCTCGCAGGAGTGCAACCGCACCGCGCCGCCGACGGGCCGCGACACGCCCGCGGCAGTGATCGAGGACGCGCAGCAGCGCGCCGCCGACGTGCGCGCGGGCGACGGCGCTGGCGACGGTGCGGGCGACGGCCCTGCGCCGCTGGTGGAGTACGAGGCGGGCGTTCCAGACACGCCGGCGCCGGACGCGAGCCAGGCAGCGTCGGACCCGCGCCTGGCGCTGGTGTGGGAGGTCCTGCAGGGGTGTTTGGGGGGAGTCGAAAGGGACGTTGACGTGGACGAGCCGCAGTGGCACCGCTGGTACGACGCGCGGTCCCGCGTGGCGATCAAGGGCGTGGCGCAGCACATGGGAGGTACGCACGGCCCACGCCGGCGACGTCAACGCATCTGGAGCCCTCGTCTGTTCACGGTTGCCGACAGACTTGCTTTCCCGACTGCCGCTCACTCCGGTGCGCTCGAGCGCCGCGGCGCAGTTCCGTGGACGCACATCATGCCCCTGGAGGCGGCGCTCGCCGCCGCGCTCGTCGTTCCGCAGCCTCCGGAGACGGAGGGCAAGGGTGCGATGAACTACAAGAGGTACCTAGGTGTGGGGGCGGCGGCGATCGGGGGCGGGGCGCTGCTGGCGGTGACGGGCGGCATGGCGGCGCCGGCGATCGCGGCGGCGGTCGCGGGCACGATGGGCACGCTGGGGGTGTCTGCGGGGGTGATCGCAGCAGTGTCGACGGTGACGACGACGACGACGGTGGTGGCCGGGCTCGGGACGTACGGCGCGCACAGGTGCGGCTGCGGGCGAGCGCGGAGGAGCGTCTGCGCGGTGTCGTGCCCGGGGCGGGGGTGTCGCGCGCGGATGACTGACTGACAGCGCGGTGGTGATTTCCCGTGACTGCAGCTTCGCGTCGAAGACGGCGAAGCGGCTGGGCGGCGTGGAGGAGTTCACGCTGCAGGAGAACCACGTCGGCGCGACACTCGCGAAGGAGCGCGCGTACCTCGAGTGGGCGTTGCTGCACGTCGGCGGCAAAGTCAAGGACCAGGCCCTGGTCAGCGTGCTGACTCAGGGCCTGACCTCGCTGCGCAGCAAGGAGGCGCAGGCCGAGAAGGCGCTCGCGGACGCCGCCGCCGCGCAGCAGCCGCCGCAGGCGTCCGCGGAGGCGGGCGTCGGCGGTGCCGACAGCTCTGCGGCCGGGACGGACGCGGCTGCGTCGGGGAGCGAGAGGAGCACGCCGTCGAAGAAGAAGCGCGACCGGACGTGGGGCGAGAAGCTGCTTCCGCGCTACATCGCTGCGTCGATGCGGGAGAAGCGGTTGGGGAAGAATGTAGACCTCCCGTGGGACCCGTCGGTGGCGCACGTGCGGCTGAGCCTGACGGTGGCGGTGACGGGGTGGGCGACGGAGGTCGAGGACTTCACGCAGCCGTGGGAGTGGCTCGACTGCGGGGACTCGGAGCGCATGTGTTTGCTGTGGGACACCAACGAGGTGCGACGCGCGCTCATATCATTACTAGATTATATATTATAACTCACTGGTTCGCGCTGCGGCTGCGCGTTGCGGCAGGTCTGCGTGGGCGCGCGCCGGCGTCGTTCGCTGCAGTGAGGCCGGCGTGTCGCTGTGCGCTGTGGGTTGCTGCAACGGCCGCGCGTCGCGTGTGGCGGGCGCAGGTGATGAAGCTGGGGACGTACCTCGAGGACTTCGTCCTGTCGAAGATCGCGGGCCAGGCCAAGAAGTGGGCTGCGCAGGCGCTGATCGGGAGCCTCATGATGGCGATGGCGCCGCCGCTCGCGGTGCTGTCCTTCTCGAGCGCCCTCGACTCGAAGTGGGCCGTCGTCGCCAACCGCGCCGAGCGCGCCGGGCAGCTCCTGGCGGAGATTCTCCTGGCGCGCTGCCACGGCGACCGCCCCGTGCGGCTCGTCGCGTCCTCCTTCGGCGCCCTCGTGATCAAGTCCTGCCTCCTGCACCTCGCCGAGCACGGCGCGCGCGGCACGATCGAGGAGGTCGTCTTCCTCGGGGCGCCGATCGCGAGTTCCGGAGCGGAGTGGGAGGCTATGAGGTCCGTGGTCGCGGGGCGGCTCGTCAACGGGTGGAGCTCGCGCGACTGGCTGCTCGCGGTCCTGTTCCGCGTCGTGCGGCTCACGGTGCGCCGCCCCGGCCCCTGCGCGCGCCCGCACGCGTCGTGCCGTCGCGGCGCGCGCCACGGCCCGCGAGGGCGCGGCTGGCGCCGCCGGGGCCTGCGAAATCAACGACGTGGCTCGCGTTCGTGCGCAGGTGGGCATGGCGGGGCTGAAGGCGGTGGACCACCCGGGGGTAGTAAATGTGGACCTGTCAGACGTGGTGTCGTCCCACGGGAGTTACTCCGCGCCCGGACGCATGCGCCGCGTGCTCCAGGCGTGCGGACTGGCACGGTGCGTGCCCTCCCGCCGCCGCGGCCGGACCGCGCGCGCTGCGCGCCGCTGCCTCGGTCACTTTGCCCGCCGCTCCGCGTTTGCACTGACGCGCCGGTGCGAGGTCGAACTGCGCAGGGAGGCGACCGAGGGCGAGGACACGTCCATGGAGGCCGAGATCGAGGGCCCGATCGACCCGGACGAGCCGCCAGCAGCGGGCGGCGCGGACGCGCAGGCTCCGCCCGCGCCCGCAGCCCACGCGCGCGCCCCGGGGGCGGACCAGGCCGCGCAGGGCGGCGAGCGCCACGCGCTGTGACGGCCAGGACGACACCCACGCTCCGCAGCGCCACGGACCTCGCGCCGCGGCCGCCGCCGCGCGTCACCGGGCCGCGATGCCAAGTCCAGTGGCAAGGTACCAGCGGGCGCGCACACGGAGCCTGCGCCCGTGACGTCGCGGACTCCGGCGCCGCGCAGTTGCCATGATGCTCGCGGGCCTGCGTGCGCGCGGATTCGGCGGTTCGGTGCGTTGCGGGGCGCCGGGGAGCCATGATTCGCCTAACTGTCGACGGGGGGTACGACCGGGCCGTGAGGACGCGTGGTGGGTTGCGCGCGCGCGAACGGACGCGGAGGGGCCGTGTCCGATAGGGAGGGAGCGAGGCGGGCTGCGCCGCGGGCGCGTGGCTGCGTCTATATGTGCCACCAGGACAGGTGGTCGTACTGTTGAACAGTGCTGCTACGAGGACCAACAGCACGACCAGCGTGGAGTGGCGCGGCTGGGGCCTCATGGGCCCTGCGCGGGGGCTCTACGGGTCAAAAGTAACGCGAGTATCTCTGTTTTGTCAGAAGCATAAGAGAGAGTATCTTGAACGCAGCGCACGGAGCAAAGCCCTGCTCGGCATCACTGCTGCTCGGTCATCGCCCGTGGACGCGTCCGCGCCCGGGCTCGCGCCTCACTGGGTGGACAGGTAGCGAGTGATCCCTCGGGAGTCGCAAACGAGCCGTCAGCGTTCCCAGCGGCTGCGCACGCCGGGAAGTCCCAGCCGCTTCGCGGGTACGGCCTCACGGCGCCGCACGAGCTGCCCCGCCCGCACACACCACATAGAGACGCAGCTTAAGATCGTTCGATGTGCACCGCGCTGTCTGACATGCGCGCCGCACCATGCACGGCCCGGGACGAGCGTGCTCGATTTTGGTTGCGTGTCTGAACGCGCCGCGACGCCTGTGCGTTGGTTGCAGGACGGAAACTCCCACGCCGGGGATGCTCACGCACTGAAAGCAGGAGCGTACCCTTCAGCACCGCAGAAGCATCTGCCTCGCAGCGTCCGCGTCACCCAGCAGGCTCGAGTCGTTGATCGCCCCGCGCCGGGACTACAGCGCAATGTCGGGCCAGGGCGCCATGGCCACGTCATCTCCCAGTACAGAAATGCGCCGACGGCGCGCGCAAACCACGGTAAGGCCCCGTAAGCGCGGCAGGAATCGCCTAGCGGTGTCGAACACATAGCCACGCCTCGCACCGCGCACTCAGGGCGTCAGGCGCCCCTGCACCGCGCCACTACGCTCTCCGTGTACTGAGCATCCCCCGCCGCGGCAACACGCCCGGCAACACGCACCTGTCCGCCGCGGTCTTCGCTCACATGACGCGCACATTAACTGGTAGCGCCGTCGCGCACGCGCGCGCGCACCAAAACCCCCCCCGACCCGCCTCCGCGACCCCGAACCCCCCTCCGCAGGGCCAGCGCAAGCGGTCCGAGGCCGAGGACGACTGCATCCGCGACCTGCCGGAGTTCAAGCCCGGCACCACCGCCTTCGACAAGTGCATGCGCTTCCTCGCCAAGTACAGCGGCTCCACGCCGCCGCCGCCGCGAGAGTCCCTCCTGAGCCTCGCGCTCGCCGACTCGGGCCACGCCCCGCGCGCGGCCCCCGCCGCGCACGAGCCGGCTCTCGCGTGCATCAGCCCCGTCGCCGCGCTGCGCCACTCGTCGAACGCGTCGAGCGACACGGTCGCCTGCGCGGCGCTCGCGTCCGCCGACATCGACCGCGACGTCTCCGCCGGCCTCGACGCCGAGCCGACCCTCGAGTGGGACGTTGACGCGCTGCGCGTCGAGGACCTCGTGCGGCTGTCGCGCCCGCGCGCGTCGCTCAGCGGCGCGGCGAAGCCGATGCAGCGCGCGAGGGAGCTGCCCCCGCGCGAGTCGTTCGGCAGCGCCGCGGTCGCGGACGTCACGCAGGGCCGGGGCCCGGCGCCGCGCGTGCGCGCACAGAGCATCCCCGCGCCGATCGTCGCGGGCCGCGCGCCGCGCGTGTGGAGCGACCCGCGCTGCGCGCTCGCGCTGCTCAGGGACAGGCTCGCCCGCACGGTGCGGGTCACGCGTGAGGTGCGCACACACACGCCGCCACCGCACCCGCCAGAACGATCGCTCGCGTGCCTGGAACCGCTCGCCTGACACCGTGGCTTCCTCCCCCTCCCCACACCGCGACGCAGAGCCGCAGCATCGCCGTGTACGCGGCGTTGTTCGCGTGGGTGGTGTACCTGGCCTTTGGCGCCGCTGCGGCGCCGGTCGCGCTCGTCGCGGCGCTGATGCACCTCGTGTCGGTGCAGGAGGACCGCAACGTCGTCCTGCGCATCGTCCCCGAGCGCTGCCTGCCCGCGCTGCGCGACGGCCGCGGGTACGTCGAGACGCACCCGCAGGTGGCGTGCCTGTTCGCGGACCTCGTCGGATACACGCGCATGTGCTCCAGCGTGGCCCCCGCGCACGTCCTGTGCCTCCTGGACGAGATCTACCACCAGTTCGACCAGCTGTGCCACGCGGCGGGCGCGCAGAAGGCCGAGACCATCGGCGACGGGTACGTCGCCGTCGCGGGCCTCGGCGACATCGGCGAGGAGGACGCGGCGCGCGCGGTCAAGGCCGCGGTGCGCCTCGGCATCAACATGATCCGCCTGGTCGACATGTACGAGAACGACGGGGAGCCGCTCAACCTGCGCGTGGGCGTGCACGTGGGGCCTGTCGCCGCAGGCATCATGGGCCAGCAGGTGCCGAAGTTCTCGTTCATCGGGGACACCTTCAACGTGGCGTCGCGCATGGAGTCGAGCGGCGTCCCGGGCACCGTGCAGCTGTCGGCGGAGGCGCACCGGCTCTACATGGCGCCCGCGCAGCTCCCCGGGATCGACAACTCGCGGCTGCTGCCGGCCGAGCGCCGCGTCGACGCGCAGGGGCTGCCGATCGTCGTGAAGGGCAAGGGGCGCATGCAGACCTACCTGGTGCGCGTGCCCGACCTGCGCCGCCCGCGGTCGGTGTCCGTGAGCGGAACGGTCTCGCCGGCGCCGCTGCGCAAGCGCCGCAACGTTCAGGAGATCGTCCAGGACTGGACGCACAGGCTCGGGCAGGACCGCAGCGCGCTGGAGCGCGCCTGAGGCCGCCCTCAGCGGCCCGAATCGGGACCCGAACACCCCCCTCCTCACCTCCCGAGTCCCCCCTTTTCCACCCCGTTTTTGCCGCTTCCCGGAACCGAGGCTCGCCGGAGCGACGGCGGCCCGGTCGCACGTTCGCGCCGGACCGCCGCCCTCTGCGAACCATGTGGAGCACTTGGACCTTGACAGCCCGCCCCCCTTCTTTCCACCGCGCCGCCGTCGTCCAGATCCACGCGCACTCGGCCGCACGCACGCGAGGCACCCCCTCGCAGTCCCTCGCCGGAGAGCGCGCTGGCTGGGCGCGCAGCGCCGCCAGAAGGCGTCTAGACTTTGCAACGCTGCTGCGAGGGAGCACAGCCCTCCGGCGAGCGGTCGCCGCAGACGTTGTCAGCGCGCCGCTGCAGCATCTCCTCCTGTCATGCATGGCCATCGCGCAGTAGACGTCCACCGGTCCACCTGTGGGTGGACAGCACGAAACACACCCCCGCGCTGCCCGCGCAACAGCTTCGCGCCACCCCGTGTCCCTCCCCAATGCAGCTCGCGAGACGACCATGTGTATCATCCCCACCCTGCACACCCCTTCGCTTGGCATGCCCTACTCCACCTGCACGTGGCCCGAACCCCCCCTCCCCCCCCTTAAGACGCCGGCCTACGAAGGCCTCGCAGTCAATGCAACCACGGTCCGGACCGCCTGCTTTCTGCCGCGGTGACCTGCGCGAGCTGTCGGCTCCGCCGCATCTCTTCGAGCGTGCGGCCTACCACCGTCGGCCCGCCCTGGCCTCGATGGAATCCGTTCCACGCGGAACGTACCGAATGGAACTACCTGTGGTCGGTACACAACCCGATCATACTCACCGGACTTCCTCAGGCCCAACGAAGGCCCCCGGCGCCTGTGTGCGGGCCCCACACCAGCACACTTTGACATGTCCCTCTGAGCACGCGACTCTTGCGGCCGCACACCCACCGCGGCCACGACCTTCCTCCGTGCCGACATGACGCGCCTCCGCGTTCACGCGATCGGCTCCCGACTCCCCCCCCGGGTGTCCAGGACACCGCCACCCTGTCCCCCGCCCCGCGCTCCCTCCCACCTCTCCCCCCTTTTGGCAACCCCCCCTCGTACCGCCGCAAGCTCGGCCAGGCACATACGCACAAGGCCCGCGATGCCTCCAATAGGAGCCCCAAGCCTGGGCTGCACTCCTGCTATTGCCAGCAACGATCTTGCCGGCGGGAGTCAAGCACGATGCTCGCCCCGCCCGCGCCTGGCCCGGAGCGAGTGCTCCTCATCGACGAGCCCGCTACCCCCCCGTTGTTCCCAAGTTGGGTTGAACTCCCCATGCCCCCCACTTCAGAGGGGCCACGCGGCCCTTCTGAGCTCCAACCGTCCCCGGCGGGTCGGGCGCGAGCTCGGCCGCCATGTGTCGCTCCGTCTCCGCGCCCACGTGGGCCGGACAGCCTTGTCGGGGCAGGAGCGACGCTCTCACAACACAAGGTGACATCACCGGCAGGGCGGTGGGCGAGGGCGCCCGCGCGGGAGCGTTCCCGGCGGCGTCCACGCGCCGTGACAGTGTGAAAACAAAGACGAGCAGTTCCCTGGCGCCGCGTCTCACCCCGCAATCAACTTTCGGTCGCTCAAGCGTCCTCGCGGCGAGGGCGCTTGTAGGTCAGCGAACCACGAAAACGTCCGCAAAGACCCACGAAAAGAGGCCGTTGTTGCATCGACAGGAGCGTGGCGCGACTGATTTTAGTGGTCTCGACGGTCGTTGCCGCCTGCCACTACTTGTTCCCTTCCGCCCCGCGCAAAGCCTGTAGTTTCTGCATCGTCGGCGTGAGCGCCAGCGCTGCGGCGAACCGCACGGGCACGAGGATGCGCGCGGCGCCCACCAGGCCCGCGGCGGTCGCGAGCAGCGCCGCGCGGTCCTCCGGGGCGTGCAGCACATCCAACCACTCCCCGCTCTGCTGGTGGTACGCCCAGCCAGCGGCCGGGAACGCGATCGCCCAGAAGATGAGCTCCACCGTCACGTACGACAGCGTACCTGCGAGCGCGACCCGACCGCACAGCGAGATGGAGCGCACGAGAGCACGTGACTCTCGCGCCCAGACTGGGGCGGCGCCCCTGCCTCAACGGCCGTCGCCCAGCGCTGCACGCGAGCCGCGAGCAGCGGGCGGCTACGGCTTCGCAGGGTGTGGGGGCGGTAGGAGAGTGAGGTACCTGCGGCGCCGTACTGTTTGATCTGTTCCATTCGAGAGAGCTGCGTGTCATCACTCTTGTCTTGGTTGGCGGCGCGGGTGCGCGCGAGCCGGGGGGCTGCGCTGCCGCGAGAGAGGGCGCCTGCGCGTGCGGGGATGGAGAGAGCTCTTGGGCTGCGTCGAAGCACGCTGGCGGGGAGATGCTGTGGTGTTTGTGGACGCTGACGCCTGAGCTGGAGTTGCACGTCCTTGTCGTGTACAAAGGATGCTACTGGACTACATACGAATGCACGTGCGGGGTATCATGCGTGGCGACGTCGCCCAATATCGGAGTGGCGCGGTGTTGTGCGCTCTGGGGCAAACGTGGTGGCCGGCCGCTTGGAGAACGACCTGTACGAATTGCGGAACGGGATACTTGAATCGGGTTCATTACCTGGGTTGCGGCACATGGGACGTCGTAGCGCTGCGGCCCCTCGGTGCCCTGAGCTTCCTGCACAGGCCCCCCCCGCCTCACGAACCACCCGCGCTACCGCAGCACACGACTGCATATTCCAGGGCTTAGTTCGTTGTCAGGGAATCGTAAAACGCGCTGGAAACCCTCAACACGCCCGAATCCGTGCCCACAGACACAGATAATCGATCTGCTGCACACGAACCACGCTGCCCCGCCACACACCCTCACCGCCCACAAGCAACTCAAACGCAGAGCGAACGACCAAACCGCACTCGACGCCACGCACCGCTCGCGGTCACAAAGCGCCCCAGCCACTGGCTGCCTGGCAGTGCCAGTGCCCCCAGGGCAGCCACTTGCGTCAGGCCCCGCGGCAGGCGGCCTCGACGTCCTCGGGGGCCTTGACGCACTCGGCGGGCGTCAGGTTCACGTGCCCGGTCTCCGTCACCGCCACGTTGTCCTCGATGCGCACGCCGCCCATGTCCATCATGTTGCGAATGACATCCTCATTGAGAAACTCCTTCTTCGGGCCCGCGCCGAGCGCCGGCTCGAGCAGGGCCTCGATGAAGTACACGCCGGGCTCCACGGTCACGACGGCGCCGTCCTCGAGCGTCTCCGGCACCGGGCCCGACGGCCCCACGTCGTGCACGTCCAGGCCCAGGTAGTGGCCGAGGTTGTGCGGCATGAACAGCTTGTCGATCTCCCGCTGCGCTCGCCGGACACGCAGAGCAAAAATCAATCAGTCGAAATTGCGAGATCGCTCTTGATTTCACGCGGAAACGGGCCCAGGGGGAGCTCGTCCGCGCTTCGTCGCACCTCCAGCATGTCGTCCACGCGCCCCCGCACGACCCCGACGTCCAGGAGCCCCTCCAGCATCAGTCGCCGCACCGCCGCGTTCGTCTCCTTCCAGTCCGCGCCCGCCTTCACCCGCTCCAGCCCCAACTCCTGCATGGCCAAGCACGTCCCGTACACGTCCCGCGCGGCGGCCCCGAACCCGCGGCTGCCGCAGGGCCACGTCCGAGTGATGTCCGCGGTGTAGCAGCGGTGCTCGGCCCCGGCGTCGACCAGCACGAGCTCCTGGTCCCTGACAGCAGTCTGACCGGCCGCCGAGTGCATGATCGCACCGTTCTTGCCCGCGGCGGCGATGACGGGGTAGCCGAGCTGCAGGAGCCCGCCGTGCATCGTCGCGTGGCGGAACGCAGCCTCCATCTGGAACTCGCGCATGCCCTGCGCAGAGGGGAGCAAGCGCGCAGCGCGTCTGCATCACGCCGGCCGCTGCGAGCAAGATCGACCGTCCGCGCGCGGCTCGGCCGCGTCCGACGCAGCCTGGCGTCAGTCGTGCGGTGCAGGTGCCAGCAATCGAGGATCCTCGACTCACCGGAGCACACTGTGCCATGAGGTGCGCGTGGGCGCGTCCCGAGACGAGGTTCGCGTGCGCGATGCACTGCAGCTCCTCCTCGATCTTCGCCACGCGGCACGCCTTCATCGCGGCCGCCAGCGCCGCGTCGCCGTCGCCGCCCGCCGCAGCACCCTCCACCGCGGCCGCAGCCTCCAGGTCGCCCGCAGCGTCCACGTGCACCTGCGCGCCGCCGTCCGCCGCGCCCAGCTTCTTCAGCGCGCCGGCCACGGCCTCGCGCAGCTCGCCCTTCTTGTAGAACGCCACGTCGTCCGCCCCGTACCGCTGCGCGATGTCGTCGAGGGTCGGCACGCTCCCGACCCACACAGCGAACTCCGGAGGCAGCTCCGGGGCGAGCAGCGTGAGCTTGTGCGCGGCCGTGTCGAGGACGAGCGCGAATCCCGGCGCGTCCACGCCTGTCAGGTAGTAGAAGTCGGACTTTTGCCGGAATGGGAACGTGACATCAATGCCGTTGCGAGGGACCTCGTTGGCGCCCGTCATGACGACGAACGAGTCCGGGAGGGCTTCGCAGAGCTTGCCGCGGCACTTCCGGTGCATCTCGCGCGCCTGAGCGTCCGTGAGCGGGTCGGTGGCGACCTGGAGGAGCTCCGTGGCCCCGACTGAGGCCGCACGGGGCGCCGTGGAGCGCGCGCGGGGGGCAGCGACGCCGTTGTGGGAGCCGGTCTTTGCTGGGAGAGGGGATCGCGCCGGAGACCTGCGGAAACGAGCGGGTACGCGCGCGTCACGCGGCATTGCTAGGGCGAGAGCGCCAGCACTGGTGGTGCTTGGCGGCGTCGTGCGCACACGTGAGGCGGTCCGAAGGGTTGATGTCGCGCGTCAGGCACGCTAGCACAGCGAGAGACGCGCTCGCGACACGCGTGCAGCGCAGAAATCGCGTGCGCAGCGTGCCACCCGTTGAGAGCAGGCCTGGTTTCTCACCGGCGGGGCGGGGTAGAAACAGCGTGACATCCCGCCGAGAAGCGCGTCCCCGAGATCTTCATCTGCGACATGTCCGGCACACGCAATGGTGCGGGATGCAGTCGTGCGAGTCGGGCTCGCAGCCGGCCGACCCTATGCAGTGAGTGGATGGTCGACACTCGACGCGCAACTGCCGGCTCAGGGGCACGATCGGACAGCGCCTGCGGATACTGCCGGCTCAGTACTACCCAGAGAGCGTTTCGCGCCGCCCTACTCCGCGACCGGGCCAGCGCCCGTGCCACTGGGGCCCTTTTGTTTCACCCCGCGCCCTCGTGTACTCCGCAGCCCGCCGCACGGCCCGCGCACCACTGCTCGCACAGCAGCCCGAGCCACCGCGACGTCCGCACGCACTCACACGCACACTGCTGGTCCCGTGCCGTCGTCGGCGCTACTGGCACGCCGCACGTCACCCCTCCCACACCCACGTCTGCGCCGGGGGCGGCATCGGCGGGCACTCGTACGGGTTGATCGAGCGCGTGTACTTGGTGTGGTCCCGGCCCCCTGGGCGCCACGCCGTTTTGTCATCACCCTGCACCTTGGTCTTTCGCTCCCGGAGCTCCGGAACCGGGATGTGGTCCATGCCGACCTTGCTGCGGGCCAAGCGAGGCGGCGCGGTTGCGTCAGTCGCCAGCGGCGCACACGCGGCTGAGCTGCCGGCAGGCTAGGGGTTGTCGTACACTACTCGCAGTAGCGCACGCTGTCGAACGCGGGCGGCGAGGGCCTGCTGAGCGCGCCAACACGCCCCAGCGGACCGCAGCACCCCGCGTCCGTCGCGCATCGCCGTGGAACGCGCACACCAGCCATGCAGAGCTGGGGGGGGGAGTCTGCTGCCAGAAGGGGGGTGTCGCGCACCTGATGCAGCAGAACTCGCGGCCCTTGGGCGCGGGGTTGCTCGGCCGGAACGGCTTCCCGGAGAACGGCTTGACCTTGTGTCGGACGGGCCGCGCGGGGTCCGTCATGAAGGTGCTGCGTGTGAAGGGGGTAGTGACTTTAGACCCCCCCACGAACGGCTTCGGGATCCTCGCGCGGGACTCCTGCTTGGCCTTGCGCGTCAGGTCCGCGCCGGGCATGTAGTCGTCGCGCATGTACTCCAGCTGCGTGCCCCCGATCGTACGGTCGCGCTCGGGCCACCCCGCGCCGCCACGCTTCGCGGGGGCGGTGTAGAAGTTGCGCTTCCCGGGCGCGCCGGCGTGCGCGGAGGAGACCGTGCCGCCCGTGACGCTCTTCGTGAGCAGCGGGACCTTGCCGATGCACCCGATGGTCGACCCCGCGCCCGTGGCGCGCGGCGCGGGGTGGCTCGGCCGCCATGCGGGCTTGCTGTCGAGCGCCTCGTTGCCGAGCTTCTTGATGCGGCGCTCGATGAGCCAGCGGTCCTCGAACTTGTCCCCCTGCGGCGCGCCGCGGCCGGGGCGCGGTGCGGTGTGCGCGGCGAGCTCAGGGTGTGTCTGGGCGCGCAGCGGGATTGAGGGGGACGGAGACTGGTCTGGAGGCGATGAGGTCCCCGATGTCGATCAGAGCGGTCCGCTGGGGCGCGGTTCGTCGCTGTGCGGTGCCGTGCGGGGCCGGAAGGAGCTGGCATGCATGGTGGACAGCGGCGGTGCTCACCTCCGTCAGGCGCTTGAACGTCTTGTCGAACAGCGCGTCCGGCTGCTTCCCGTGCTTTCCGACCGATACTGTGAACTGCCGGCCGTGGTGCCGCGGGAGGGTCGCCGCCGCTGCGCGCACACGGCGAGAGGGGAGGTGGGCACCGATCAGGGGGTTACCTGTGGGGCGTGCGGCGACGTCGACCGCGCTCGCGCCCTGGAACTGGACACTCGAGATCATTCACGCAGGGCCAGCGCCCCTGGGGGGGTTGCAGGGACGCTGTGCGGCTGAAACGGGGCGTCATTGACTCACTGAGAGCATACATCGGGGGCGAGGAAGCCGCGCAGGGGCGGTCGTGGGGGACGCTCACTCTTATTGTCATCATATACATCTCCTACGTCCGTGAACGTCTGTTCCGAGAAGAACCCCGTCTTTTGCAGAGAGCTAACCGTCTCAGACATGGTCGCGACTGTTCTTCCACCGGCGCACTTCAAGCCGTGCGCCGTGGCGCGTTTCTCTGCCGACCAGGCACGATAGCTAGCTAGGCTACCTCGACAAGCGGTCGGAGGCGCAAAATATGCCTGGACGTCGCCGCCAGGCAAGCGAGAGGCGTGTGCAACGGATTCCGCGCAACCGCGCCGGGTGCTGCCGTATTTGCAGTCAACGACGCTCAGGAGCGAGGATAGTGACCTACGTGTGAGCTGCGGAGCGCGCTCGTCGTCCGCCCGCCCCCCCAAGCTCCGCACTTCCGCGGAAGACTGGAGGTGACTCATGCGCGTCGGACGGGGGAAGCTGCGGAGTGCGCACGGAAGGGTCGGGCGAGCCGCTCCGCCCGCACACTGCATGCACCGTCGACCCGGCTGGTCGTGACACCGCGTCGCCGATCCTGGAGTGCAGGACAGGCAGTTTGGTCCTGCGCAGATCCTTCTAGTCACTCGCGCGGCCTGCCTAGGCGGAGTCGAGGGCGTTTCGTGCCGTCGCTTGATTTTTAGGGTATAAGTAGGTTCGCTGGGAGGAGATTGAGGGCAGGAGAATTCACGTGCTGCGCGGCAGGGAGGGCCTTGCGACGGAGGGAGTGCCAAGTGCGCAATGGACGCGGCCACGAAGACGTTCGATGAGCTGAAGGAGGAGAACCAGGATCTCAGGCAGCGGTTGCTGGCCAAGGAGCGCGAAATCCAGGCGCTGCAGGTACCCCGGCCCCGCGGCATCCCTTGGCACAAGAGCAAGGCCCCTTGTGCGCCCGCACAGGCGATTCTGGACCCGCTCCGCCACTTCCGTCGCACCGCTACTGCTAGCACCGTCGCGAGCGCGACGGTGGACGCGAATGACAGCCCCTGCGGCGCGCATGCGCGCGTGGGCCCTGCCACGGGCTTCCGAGTCCCCTGCGTCCCGCCACCCGCTCGGCGACCCCAACGCTTCCATCGCCACAAGGAACATGCCTCATTCGGTCGTCTGAGCCGCGGCATTGCCCGCCCCGGCCTTTCCGCAGGACATCGTGGACGCTCACAGCGATGCCGCAGCACAGGACGTTGCGACAGGGCGCCTCGCGGAGCTGTCGAAGAAGAACCGCCACCTCAACGTCATGATGGAGAAGTACCGCACGGAGGCCGACCGCCTCCGCCGCGAACTCGAGGCAAGTCCCCCCCGCCCCCAGCCACCCGCACCCGCACACACGTAGCAGACGCCCCGCACGCAGCCCCCGCACCCCGCCACGCCCGGACCACCTCCGCAAGCACGCCCCGGCCACGTGCGCCCCATCGCCGCACCGTCGGCGCCACCCCCGCGACGCGCGTGCCCACTTGCACACGCATGCGGCGCCGCGCGGTGCCGCGCAGGGAAAGAAGGCGCTGACGGGGTCGCCGAAGGGCAAGACCGGCGGGGGCATCATGGGCCCCGCGAAGGCGGGTCCGGACGGCCCGGACGGCTGGCGCGTGAAGTACGAGGAGCTACTGCAGCGCAACACGCGGCTGTCGCAGGAGATGGGGCAACTGACGCAACAGCAGCGCGCGGTGGAGGTGCTGGTGCGGAAGGAGTACGGGGAGGAGGTGGACGTGCGCGAGCTGATTCGGAACCCGGAGAACTTCAAGGGGCGGCAGGAGGAGATTATACGGCTGCGTGCCAAGGTGAGGGATCTGGCGGCCAAGGCGGGCGCGACGGTGAAGGAGGGGAGCGGGGAGCGCGCGGTGCGGGAGGGCGTGCGCGCGGCGGCGGAGAAGCGCACGGTGGAGATGCAGCGGCTGCAGGAGGAGAACCAGGAGCTGCAGGTGCGCGGGAGACCTGAAACCGCGACTGCGGATGAACGACGGTGCCTTGCGAGATCTGGCCGTGGCCGACGCCGCGCGCGCGCGGTGCTGGCTCGCAGGAGAAGGTCGACGAGGCGCGGTTCAAGTCCAAAGGGCAGGTTGGGCGCATCCGGGTGCTTGAGAATTCCCTCTCTCAGATCAAAGAGAAGATGGCGGTGGTGCTGAACAAGACCGCGACGGACGACAAGCTCATCCGCGCACAGAAGGCCCAGATCCAGGCCCTCACGGACCGCCTCGCTGGCAAGAGCGGCGCCGCGGGCGACGCCGAGGCGAGGATGGAGCTCGAGCAGCGCTGCGAGGAGTTCGAGATGCAGGTGCAGCGACAGGAGCGCATCATTCTCGCGCTGCAGGAGCAGCTGCAGGCGGCGCAGGAGGACGCGGACGGCGAGGACGAGGCGGTGACGCGCGGGGGGGCCGAGGAGGGGGGGGAGTACGGGGGGAGTGAGGGGGGGCAGTCGCCCGGGGCGGAGGACGCCGCGGCGGTCGCGGGCCTCGGCGGGAGCGACGCCGGGGGCGACGACGACGGCGAGGAACGATGATGTGACGCGGCGTGCGAAACACCCCCGCTGTGTGCGAGGGGACCCCGGGCGTGGCGCGGCGCGTCACTCGTCGACCTTGCTCTTCCATACGATGCCGTCGAGCTCCCACTCCTCGCCCTTGCCCGCCCCGACATACACCCGGAGTCGAGTCAGGGTGGTACCTTTCCAGTCCTCGTCCGGAGCGAACAGGTCGCGCTTCTTGCTCGCGTCGATGCGGCTGTAGAACGTCCCGAGCCTACTCCTCGCGACGCGCTCCTTCCCGGGCGTCAGCGGGATGGTCAGACCCTCCGCGCCGAACTGCGGGCCGCTGTCCGGCTTGTCCACGACAGCCATGCTCGGCCCCCCGACCTTCGGCAACTTGATCGCGGGCTTGCTGCGGAGCACGCGAACACACAGACGCAGGTTCGCGGGCGCACGGAGCCAGCGGGGCGACGTGAGCACGCAACGGAGAGACGCCGTGCGCGCTCGCCTGGTGTCGCCGTCGGGCCACGTGAAGAGGAACGCCGCGATCGCGTCCCGGTCCTCGCCCAGCCCGACCCATCCGCGCGGATTATACCCGCCGCACACAGCCCCGCCCTGCGTCTCTGCCAGCACGATGCCTGCGCCAAACGTGTCCACGCGGGCGTGGAACTCCCGCGCGCTCCACCCGTGCTCCTCGGAGTCGAACGCGAGCCGCAGGGGCCGCCTCTCCAGCTGCGTGCGCGCCAGCATCGGGCGCAGCACCGCCATCGTGCTGTCGTCGGACTCCACGGGGTCGGCGAACTCGGTCGTGGTCGCGGGGTACATCTCCGGCGCGTCGTCCTCCGACAGCCGCTTCATGCCCGCCGGGTTCCTGCGCGCGGCTCCCGGTCAGCGCCGATCGCATGAGCGGGGGATGGGGCACTGCTAGTTGTGTATGTGTGTGTGGGGCCTGGACAGGCGTTCGGAGTACCTGTCTTCGAGCGCCTTCTTGCCGAAGATCATGGAGACGAACTTCTCGATGGGGTCGAGCTCGCTGTCGTCCCGCGACGACGCGCACACCGCGCCAGAGCCCCGGTGCCTGCTGGCGCTGCGCCTCGCGTCGCAGGGCCGCACGGAGGTGCCGAGGGGACGGCGTGGGAGCCTGCATCTGACGTGTGCCGGTGCGCGCGCGCACGGGCTCGTGGTTGTCGAGCGGGCGCACATCGCCGCGGGTGGAGACAACTGCCACAGGGGTCGTCGCGCTGCAGCCTGTGGACGGCTGATGCGGTGGTGTCTCTTCGCGATGCCGAGCCAAGATCGCTCTCGATTCAGCGAAGTGCACGTTGGCGTCGCCACGCGACGCAAGCGACAGCAACTGGCGTGTTGATTTCTATCAGGGGGTCTTGGAGCGTGGCTGGCGTCTGGGGGTGTTTGAGGGCTCACCGTACCGGCGGCAGCCCGCAGAGGCTCTTGCACCACACTGTCGCGACGCTAACAGCAAGACTTCGCGGAGGCGCAGGGTGAGTCCCGCCCTGCGTTTCTGTAGACAGGTCGTTCAGCGCGCGTTTCGGGCCGCAAGCGACGCCCGCCCCACGCAAACCGCAAGGATGCTCAATTTCAGTCATATTCTTTCCACTCATTGTTTTTTCAGCTCCCGAAAAGCCCCCTACGCTCCGCATTCGCACCAAGCTCACACACTGGGTGGAGGCTTCCACAGGCCGGGCACGAGCCACTGCGCCCGTTTCTCGCTCACTCGATGCCAGATGGATCCACCCGCATCGTACCCGCGCACCGCGTTCACTCAAACACCCCGAAGTCCATTCATCTCGACCTCCAAGGTCCTATCCGAAGTCTCTCTCCCACTACATACGACTCCGGCATCGCGCGCCCCTCCCCCTGCCCGCAGCAACGCACCCCTGGAAGGCAGCACACCAGCGGCATCATGCAGGGCCTCGCCGGCAGCGCGCTGCTGCGCCCCGTGGCCCCCGCGCGGCCCGTCCCTGCCCGTGCCGCCACGGCGCACATCCCCGCCCGGCACTTCGCGGCCGCGCGTCCGTTCGCGGCCCCCGCCCGCACCGGCCGCCACCACCTCCTCATCGTCAAGGTACGCCGCTCGTTACCCCCAGCGCCCCCGCACCTGCACCGCTACCACCTGCGCACCTCCCCACGGCTGGTCACACGGCGACGTACGCGCAGGCCGTGGACAACATCGAGGCCGAGACGCAGGGCAAGTTCGAGAAGACGTTGGAGAAGATCACGGAGAGCTTCACGTCGGTCCGTACGGGCCGCGCGAACCCTTCCATGCTCGACCGCGTCAACGTCGACTACTACGGCGCGGCCACGCCGCTGAACTCGATCGCGGGCATCAGCGTGACGGACGCCACGACGCTCGTGATCCAGCCGTACGACATGGCCGCCATGAAGGACATCGAGAAGGCGCTCATGGAGTCGGACCTGGGCATGACGCCGAACAACGACGGCAAGGTCATCCGGCTCATTCTGCCGCCGCTGACGGAGGAGCGCCGCAAGGAGCTCACCAAGGTGCGTGCGCGCGGCCCTGCGCCGGGGCTGCGCGGGCGCGGGCGCGGCGCCACGCTGCACGCATGCCCTGCACAGGTAGAGTCGATCAAGGAGGCGTAGGGATATGCGGAGGGACGAAGCCTTGAGCTCCCGTCGCCGGGAGGGCGAGTCCCGCGGCCCACCGCTGCCCTGACGTGGGTTCCGGCCGCACAGGCCACACAGGCGTACACATTCTGACGAGCCGTGCAACGCCGGCGTTTTTTGGCACGTTGAAGGGCAAAAAACGCCGGCGTTGCACGGCTCGTCAGTATATGTAGGCCTGTGTGGCCCGTGCGGCCGGAACCCACGTCAGGAAGGCGGCGGGTCGCGGTACTCGTCCTGCATGCGACGGCGTTGTCCGGCCCCTTGGTGGAATCCACCTCCACGACCTGCGCAGTCCCGCAGCACAGACTACGCGCGGCTGCGGACGTGGCGAGCGCGAGCACGTCCCCGCGCCGTCGCTGCTCGCGACCGGAGGCGCACGCACCTGCGCACGCGCCCCCCCTGCCTCCCCGGCTCATGCTGCGTTTGCGGCCCTGCATCGCGACCGGTCGGGCGGCGCGGCCCGCGTCTGCGCAGACGGTGTCGAAGCTGGGCGAGGAGGGCAAGGTGGCGGTGCGCAACATTCGGCGGGACGCGATGAAGGCAGTGGAGAAGGCGCAGAAAGATAAGGACTCCCCTATCTCCGAGGACGAGGCCAAGGGCCTGGAGGAGGCCATCCAGAAGCTGACGGACGCGGCCGTGAAGAAGGTCGAGGAGGCCGTGGCCGCCAAGAGCAAGGAGCTGACCACGGTGTGATTCAGTGAGAGCCCTCAATGGGGGGGGGGGGCATTGTTGTTGCTGTTGTTGCACGCCACGGCAGCGTCGGTCGTGCGGCATCACACCGCAGCGGCGCCGCTCGACCCTCTGCGTCCCGTGCCAGCTCGGCAGTGACGCGACGGGGGCCGGTCGCGGTGCTCGCTCCGAGACCCGGTCCGATGCGTCGCAGCTCGCGCAGATGCGCCGGGCCTCGGGCGTCTGCACTCAACCTCGCTGTCATGCGCGCGGGTCCACTCGTCTGCTGCCGTCGCTCTCGGCCGCCCCCCTTTTCAGGCAGACACCCCCCCTGCGTCGGCCACCGGTTCCACCTCACAGGGCCAGGGAGAGCCACGCGGCGACGAGGAACATGCCGCCCACGGGCCCCGCCTTGCCGTACGCGCGGTCCTCGTTCACGCCCACCAGGTACATCGAGCCACTGAACAGCGCCGTGCCCGTCGCCGCCAGCGCGCCCGTCACGTGCGGCCGCCGGGCGAGCGGCGACAGGGCGATGAGCGCCGTGTGCGCGAAGTGGTACCGCGAGCCCGTCTCGTAAATCGCCTTGAACTCAGGGTCGACGCTCTTGATGCCGTGCGCACCCCATGCGCCTGCAGCGGAGCGCGAGGGAGCGGTGAGGGGCGGGGATGACCGCGCCAGGACGGTGTTCTGTTGTTGTCCAGCCGGATGGTTTGGATTTTGGAGGGTGTGTGCGGGGGAGGTGTGTGGGAGCGCTGGTGGGAGAGGGGACGCACCGAGGCCGACTCCGGCGGCTCCGTAGAGCCCGGCGACTCGCGTCCACACCGAGACGGACTTGGCGGCGGCCATGGTGCTGGTGCGGTGCAGCGCGGGTCACGTCACGGCCCGAGGAGCCGGCGGTGGCACGACGGGAGAAGGCTTGGCCGCGCAAGGTCAAGGGCGTTTGCGGCCGGTGTACGCAGTCGCGTTCACGGAAACTGTAGACACGGACAGGAGACTGTCGGGGTCGGGCGTGCGGGACGTGGAAAGATCCCATGACGGCCTGTGCGACCCGTCCGGCGCAAGACCCTGAATGCAGTGGTTGTACCATGGGGCCCTGAAGAACGTGCGCGCGGGGCCATGAACGCTCGCGGCGCCGGCGTGGTGGGTCACTCCTGTCAGAAGGTTTTAAACTTCGAACAGACGCGTTTGATCATTCATCGGTGCCCCTGGGAGGCGCCAGAGCACTGAGACGCGCCGCGAGGCGGCTGTGCGGGATCGCGGGCAGCCAAGAACCCTCCCGTCATGCAGTCCTCCGTCAGGGCACTGCGCTCGGCGGCAGGGACCGCCGCTAGGCTCTGCGAGCACGCCGCGGGGCCCTGCTTCAACGCCGACCACGCAGCTGGGCTCGCACGGTCCACGTCGGCGCACATCCTGCACTCCTCGCCCTCCACGGGGTCCTCCGTCGCACTAAGAGCCTTGCACACCAGCTTGGCGCCTCGAAACGACCGCGGGCCGCCTGCGCGGCCTCGTGGCAAGAGACCGGCCGCCCAGGGCCGGCCCGCGCCCCCCAGCGGCCAGGCCGGCCGGCCCTCGCGCAAGGTCGAGACCGGCAGGTACTCATCCCGCAGCGCCGTCACACGAACCAGCCGGTTCCTCGCCCCAACCCCCCCCCCGGCCCAATCGCCTCCCGTCACCCTCAGGCACCGCCAGCACGGCGACCCCTGTCCCGCTCGACGCGCCCGGCACACGAGCGAATACCTGACATCCTTGCACGCAGGACGGCGCGGGCGATCCGGCAGGCGCAGGTCCTCAAGGGCGTGGCGAGGGACGCCCTCCATCCCCCGCGCGAGGCAGCCCCGACGCGGCAGAGCAAGGCGGACGCGATCAAGGCGATGAGCATCGTCGGGGAGGCGCACACGCTCACGTCGACCTTCATGACCACGGGCGCCGGGCAGACCATCATCGCGGTCACCACCGTCCCGGAACAAAAAGACTAGCCAGGCAGCGTTGTGAGGAATTACAGCTCCGAGGTGGTTCTCAGCACGCGACTGCGGCGCTGGACGTCCTGCGCGGTGCTCGGGCGGAGCGCCCTCCTTCGCCTGAGCACGTCGCGTCCGTCCGGCACGCGTGCTGAGGTACAACAAAGAAAAACAGTATGAATTTATTGAACAAAACGAGATCGCCGCGCTGGTAATTTGCGGTCACCCCGCGGCCCTGCGCGCAACTATCAGAAGCGTGGCACGCAGCCAGCCGCGACGCCCCGGACACGACGCGTCTGGTGCCGGCTCTCTGTGTATATGCCCCTGCCCGTTTTCTGCGGCCGCGTCCCTCTGTGCGCGTCGCTGCGACGCTCCTGTCCGCGCAGCGTTGTCGGACCTTCGCTTGCCGCGAACCTCGGCGGCTTCCGCGCAGGCGGCAGCATGGGGGGCGGCCAGCAAGGCATCAAGGCCTTCTTCTCGCCCGCAGCGGGCGGGCGAAAGCGCAAAGCCGACGATGAAGCCGCTCCTGCGACTGTCGCGGTCAAGGCGGCGAACAAGGCGGCAGACAGCCCGGGTTCAAGGGCGACAGACGCCGGTACGGGCCTCCCGCCCAATGGACGCGAACGCCACGACGCGCAGTGTGCACGCTCCCAGCGGCAAGAGCTCGCTTGGACCGCACAACGTCAGAACGCAATCATGAGTCCTTGCTAGAGGCTGTTTTACACCTGATTCGTCTGCCCTGAAAGCCCAGTAGGACCGGAGAGGTGCTGGTTTGCCCCGGGCCGTCTGCGCGCCGTCCGCGCCGCATCTCGCAACCGCTTGCCGTTCCGGCACTGTATTGCAGCGACGAATAAGGACAGTCCGCCGGCGACGGTTCCCGGCGTTGGAAGCTTCGCTGCACCGGGCTCCAATGACGCGCCCCACTCGACGATGACCCCCGAGCAGCGACAGCGTGCAGAGGCGAGCAAGGCCGCGGCGCTGTCGAGACGCTACTGTAAGATGGCAGAGGAGGTGCGGGCGCCGCGGATTTCCGCGATTCCGCGCGCAGGAACCATGCGAGCTTCGCCAGAGTCTCGTCCCGCACGGTGCCGCACCCGCCGCGCCCGAACGCCCGCCCCTGCAGGCTGCGAGCGCGTCCCTGGCCGCTGGAAGCCACCCGGCCCTCCTGGACCTCCTCACCGAGCCGTCCTGGAAGTCCCGCCTCGGTGCGCGCATTGAGGCACTTTTTTCATAGAACAGTTATGAAGGCATATCATGAAGTTCGCCACGACACCGCAAGCGATGTTGCCCCGCGCCTTCGCCCCTGGCTTTCGCGCCGCACGCGCCGCAGAAGATGCAGGCCGCCCGCCTGCGCACAGCGAACCGCGTTAACACGACGCCACGCGCGCCCACGCCGCCGCAGGTCCGGAGTTCGACAAGGGCTACTTCAAGTCGCTCGAGAAGTTCGTGCACGGCGAGTGGGCCGCCCAGGGTCCCCGGGGGGTGTTTCCGCCGGCTGCGTCAGTCTTCCGCGCGTTCAACGCGTGCCCGTTCGACCGCGTCAAGGTGGTGATTCTGGGGCAGGACCCGTACCACGACGACGACCAGGCGATGGGGCTGTGCTTCTCGGTCCCGCGGGGGACGAAGGTGCCGTCGTCGTTGCGGAATATTTACAAGGAGTTGCACGCAGACCTTGGGTGCCGAGTGCCGACGCACGGGGACCTCGAGGACTGGGCGCGGCAGGGGGTCTTCATGCTCAACACGGTGCTCACCGTGCGCGCGCACCAGGCCAACAGCCACAAGGACCGCGGGTGGGAAAAGGTAATCAACGATTCATATCTTTCCATCATTTATTCGTCCTGCCTTGCCATCACTCGCCCCGCGCGTCTCCACGGCGGGCGCGCCCTCTTCACTGCAGCACCGCGACGGGTCCACACGCCCCGGAACGTCGGCCCCCACGCACTAACGTGCAAGGCATCGCGTCGTTGTGCTTCCGCGTTGCAGCTGACGGACGCGGCGGTCGCTGCGCTGAGCCGCGAGCGCGAGGGCATCGTGTTCCTGCTGTGGGGGAAGCAGGCGCAGAACGCCGCCAAGGGCGTGGACCGTTCCCGGCACCACGTCCTGGAGTGTCCGCACCCGAGCGGGCTGTCGGCACACCGGGGGTTCTTCGGGTCGAAGCACTTCTCGAAGACCAACGAGCTGCTCGAGTTCCGCGGCCTCGGGCGCATCGACTGGCAGATCAAGAACTAGTGTGTCGATCATTCACCAGGATGCGAATGACAGACACTCAAGAAAGCAGGTCTCCCACGCAATCAGCAATTTTGCGCAGAGAGCGGCCGCACTTGGACCGCGACGAGTCTGCCGTCCACCGCATGCGGCGAGCAGCTCGCCCTGTGACTTCACACAGTTCCTGAATCCTCAACTCGAAACATCGCGGAGCAACGCTTTCCCGCCCCGCCCTCGCATCGCGTCGCCCGTCACGCCCGCGCCTTGGTCTCCGGCACCGTGCGGTCGAGGAACCCCACCGTGCGCGTGTACACCGGGTCCTCCTTGTCCAGCGGCTTATTTGCAGTTATGTGATCATGTTCCTTGAGCACCACGAAGTCCCCATATCCAGGGAACCCCGACTCCCACGTCACGGGCGTCACCGACGTCCCCAGCCACGCCATCCAGCTCCCGCCCTTGTCCGCCTCGGGCCGCGCCGGCTCCGCGCGCGCCCCGCGCTCGGCCGCCGCCTGCGACGCGGGCTTCACGCCGGTGCCGCCGAGCGAGACGGAGGTCTTCTTGCCCTCGAGGAACGACAGGACGGGGAACGCCTTGCTGCGCGTCAGCGCGCCGAAGCGCCGGTTGAGGTCTTCGAGGTGGTCGCCTGGAGATAGGTTTTTCAGGAGTGCGGAGGGCGCGAAGCCCATGATTGGAATCTTGGCCGACCACCGCAGCGCCCAGCCGAGCGAGGCCCAGGAGGAGCCGAAGTGCGGCACGCTGAAGAAGACGCAGCCGCGGACCGCGTCGGCGAGGCGGCGCGTGGCGGGGTCGCTGCTCGCCGCCGCCTGCACCAGGAGTTGTTTCACCAACAGACCCCCGAGGGAGTGCGCGACGAAGACCACGGGCCGCTCGCCGACGCCGGCGGTGATGAGCTTGGACAGCGCGAGCCGCGAGATGTCCTCCAGGACCGGCACGCCGCCAGACCAGTCTTGCATCAGAGCGGGGTATTCGTATGACAAGAGCCTGGCTCCGGGGTACAGGGGGCTGAGCCACGCCGTCGGCCAGCAGGACGTCCTCGAGACTGCGCCGAGGAGAGGTGTGTGCATGCGCGGCGCGCATTCAGAGAAGGAGCCGCGCGGAACAGCACAAGGAAGGAATTGAGGTCGAAATGAGATAGTAAACGGTGCGGGCCCGCGATTTGCGTTGCAGGAGCCCCTCGGTGTTATAGCGAAGAGCGCGCTTCCGTGCGAAACACCGCAAGGTCCCGCATGCGAGATCTGACATTCCTTGTCTGCGAACGCACCTGACCCTTGCAGCCACGTGCGCGTCGTCTCCTCGTTCATGATCCGCCACGTCCGGAACGCGTCCCCGTTGATCCCGTGCAGGAACACGATGTCTGCCGCGGGCTCCTCGCCCCCCACGCCCTGCCCGCGCCGCCACAGCTCCGACAGCGGCACCGCCACACGCCACCCCCGCTTCCGCACCGGCGGCGCGGCCCACCCGGGCCCCGACCGCACGAACGGCCCCTCCGCCGGATCCGTCTCCAGACTCACCAAGCACGCGCCGTCGCTCCCGCCCCACCGCCCCGTCGTCGCCACCACACCCTCGTGCAACCCCGCCAGTGCCACGTGGTGCCCGCTGAGAGGATCCATCAGCTGCACGCCGTCCAGAAAGAACGGCACGTGCGCACCCTCGCCCTCCGCGCCCCCATCCTCGTCCCCGCCCGTTGCCGCCTCCGTCACGTCCGCCACCGCCGACCGCACCTGCGCTGCTACCCGCTCCAGCGCCGCGAGCGCCGGGTGGTGCACGAGCAGCCGCGCGCCCGCGCTGTCGTCCGCCGCCGTGCCCTCGAGGTGCAGCAGCGCCCGCGCGCACGACGACGCCAGAACGAGGTCGCTACTCCCCGCGCCGCTCCGCAACCAGTCGACGAGCCGCGGCGACGCGCGCAGCGTCGTCCGCGCGCCGCGGTGCAGCGCGAGCACCGCGAGCACGCGCGCCGCGCGCTGCTGCAGCGTCAGCGGCGCCGGCGGGAGCTGCGCGGCGTCCTCCGTCGGGCGCCACGGCGCAGGCAACAGCATCGTCTCAAGCACGCGCAGCAGCGAGCCCTCGATGAGCCAGTCCTGGAGGACGGGCGAGTCGAGCGCGAGGTCCGCGAGCGCCTTCAGCGCGCCGGACGCCGCCACCGTCGCCACGACGCGGTCAATCTCGAACGCTGCTTCGGGATACACCAGCATGGCGTCGGGGCCGACTATCTCCGCGACGGCGGGCGAGGGCGCGGACGGGAAGGCCCAGACGCGCACTGCGCGGCGCAGGCGCGCGGCGGCCTCGCGCGCCTCCGCGAGCTGCCCGCGCATGACGTCGATGAGACCCTCCGGGGGGTGTTGGTACAACTCCTCCACCGCCGCCGCGCCCGCGGCCACCGCGCCGCCCGCCCCCGCGGGCCCCTCCGTCTCCGCACCGCCCGCGCCGTCGCCCGACGCACCCGAGCCACCGCCGAGCCACCACGGCACGTAATGGCCCACCGACGCCACCGCGCGCCAGCTCGGGACGAACCGCCACGCGTAGCCCGACCACGACGCCGAGTCGTCGCTCTGTGGTTCCCCGTCCGTAGCCGCGCCGCTCGGCGGGATGCGGCGGATCACGCGGTCGAGCTCGTCGCAAACATGAGTCAGGATGCCTGCGAGCCATCGGTGGGCGACTTGCAGGCCGAGGTCGCCGCCGGAGTCCGAGAGGGCGGAGAGCGCCGCGACGGCTTCGTCGCGCGCGTGCGGCGCGGACGCCGCGGCCGCGTCGCTGGCGTAGAGCGTCCACGTCAGCAGCGCGTCGGTCACCGACGAGATGTCGGACGAAAGGCTCTCGTCGGCGACGACGCCCGGGCCGAGCGCGGAGAGCGACCGCGCGGCTCGCGCCACGGCCGTCTGCATCGCCGGCGTCACGCGCCGCGCCTCGAGCCTGCGCACCAGAGCGAGATCGTGTCGGTCGTGAGAGTCAGGTCTCTTGTTGCTGGTGCTTCCGGCTGCACGTGCCGCTGCGGTGACGGCCACGCGCCGAACGTGATGCTCCGGGCCGGAGGCAAGCAGGGGGGGGGGTTGTGTGGTGACGTTGAGTCATCAAAAGCACATGTCGGAACTGAGAGTCGTTTTTTTTTCGTTTCAAGCCAAACAAACAGCGTGTGCGTCGCCTCCCGCACCTGACCGAGGGGCTCTCCGACCGCTGCGCTTCCTTCGAGCGGCGCTCCACGAGCCCCACGACCTCCGTCAGCGTCTGCGCTATGTCAGACAGCGCCCTCCTTGACTCCGGTGAGTCCCCCTCCAACCGCGCGAACGCCGCGAAACACGCCCCCGTCGCAGCGGCCGCCGCCGCCGCACCCTCCGCGTCACCGACCCGCGCCACGTGCCGGCACGCCACGTTCATCCGCCGGCACCACCGCCCCGCCAACCCCCCCACGCTGTCCGCTGAGTCAGCACTGCCCGCCAGCGCCCCCACCACCTCCGCCAGCAGCGCCACGGCGTGCGTGTCCCCGCCAGACATCCCCCGCACCATCATCTCCATCACCCGCGTCACCGCCGCCGCGCCGCCGGCACCGAGGAAGGCCGCCCGCGCCCGCTGCGCCTCCCTGCCCTCCCCCACCACCCGCTGCGCGAGCGCCCACAGCGCCACCTCCGCGCACGCCCGCGACTGCGTCCGCGCGAGCGTCCCCGCCATCGCCAGCACCTCGTTCTCCGTGCACGCGTCCACGAACCCCCCCCCCTGACTCCGCGTCGCCACCAGAAGACTCCCCCCCAGCTCCGACAGACCAGGGAACCCGTGGCCGCGGGACAGCGGCACCCACGCGCGGCCCTCCGCGCCGCGCTCGCGCTCGTCGTCGTCGTACGCGAATTCCAGCCCGCGCAACAACGCGGACACCAGCGTGCCCCGCGACAGCAGGGCGTCCGACGCACCGGGGCTGTGGAGGGCGCGGCAGAGGGCGCGCAGCGCCACGCTGCCGACGGTATCCGTCGGGGACTCGGTCGCGGAGGCGATCAGCCAGCGGAGCGTCCCGACGGGCGCGTACGGGAGGACTTTCCGCGCCAGCGGTGAGTCCCAGGCAGCAACTGACTCAGCCAGAGACGCTGCGGAGTAGGAGAGGCGGTCCGTCGCGCGCATCGCGCGCGAATTGCCGGGAGGATCCGGCAGGGGCCGCTGCGGGGCGAGGATGGAGGGCTCGCGGGCGGTTACGGGCGCAGCATTGCTGACGGTGCGCTGGGTGCAGGTTGGCGGGGATTGCAGGTCGTAGAGGCGACGAACGAGACATCCGACCACCACGCGCGGGTTCACGATCCCAGAGGACGAAATGACAGGCCGATGCGCGCGGCGTCCGCGCCCCTCGAGGCCACGCAGCCGACCTCAATGTGAACGGGCGGGTTCACTCTGTTGGCGGGCTGACGTGGCACAGAGGGGCGGACTTGGGCTTTTCGACGCACCTGCGCATTGCTGTGCCGCAAGTCGAGCTCCCGGGCCGATCCAGGCGCGGAACCGACCCCGCTGAGGCACCCCGCAGCCGTTGCACACGCTGCAGCGGCGCCCCACGCAATCCACTCGCTTTTCGCGATGTGGTGCATCGCTTCGAACCTTCTATGCGCGCGCGCTGGCGCCGCAGTGCTGCCGGCTCTCCAGGCGCGCCGCCCGATGGGCCGGGGGGCGTCTCAGGGCCGCGCATCCGGCCCACGTATGGCCCCGGAGTGTGGTAAAACACGCTGGCGGGCGCGTTCGTTCGACTTGGGCCCCGCGCGAGCCGCTGCCGGTGCAATTCCAGCGCGGGGCCACTGTTCCACGTCGCGGAGCCGCTCACAGGCAGCCATGGAGGTCGACGGCGGGCCGTCTGCGCCCAGTGAGGGGCCGCGGCACAGGATGATCATTCGCGAGATGCACCTGGAGAACTTCAAGTCGTACGCGGGCCTGCAGAAGATCGGTCCGTTCCACAAGGTGCGCTCGAGCGCGCGAACGCGGGCGGGGGCGCCCCCGCGCCGCCCCGGGCCCACGGCCTGCCTGTTGTTGCAGGGCGACCAGCAGGGCCGCTCGCACGGGCCCGTCGGGGCGCCCCGGCCGCTCCCGACGGCCCGCGCGGGCAGAGTGCGTTCTGTTGGCCGGTCCGGCCGTCGCGCGCGAGCGCTGCGGGGCTCCCGGGGCCGCGCGCGAGGCCGCGCGGCAGGCGTGTTGAATTCCGACAGCGACAGAGAGCGCCCGAACCGCCGCGACGGACCGCGGACGGGCCGGCTTCCGCCGTGGACGCGGTAGCTCTACGTATTTCGTCTGCTTTTGGCGTAGAAAGCGAGCTCTCTGCCCCCACGGTGTGTCGTGCGCGCGCAGAGCTTCAGTGCTGTGGTGGGCCCCAACGGCAGCGGGAAGTCGAACGTCATCGACTCGCTGCTCTTCGTTTTCGGATGGAGGGCGCACAAGGTACGCGCAGAGCCCACAGCACGAGCCCAGCACGCAGGGAGCGAGCGAAACGGCGGAGAGAAGGGCCGCAGTGGTGCCGTGCTCTTCTCCGCCCGTTTCCCGCGACGCCGCTCGTTTCCCGGGCCAAGCGAGCACCGCTGGAGCACGCCCGTCCACGAAACTACCGGAACCGCGCAGCGTCGCCTCCGCGTTCGCGCCCGGCTCACCGCGCGCGCTCGCCTCCCCTCGCTCCGCGCAGCTTCGCCTGCGGAAGGTGTCGGAGCTGATCCACAACTCCTCGAGCCACCCGGACCTCGACTACGCGAGGGTCTCGGTCTACTTCCAGGACATCGTCGACACCGGGGAGGACACGTACGACCTCGTGGAGGGCACCGAGCTGTGCATCGCCCGCCAGGCCAACCGGTACGCGCCCGAGCCCGAGCCCGAACCCGCCGCTCCCGCCTCCCCCTGCACTGCCCCGCCCACCGCGACCACGCCGCGCCGCCCCACGCGCCCCGCGGCGCGCCTCCGCTGCAACGCGCACACGCCAGGCCACGCCACGCCACTCTGCGCAGGGACAACACGTCGTCGTACTACATCAACGGCAAGCGGGCGGACCTGAAGGAGGTTCAGGCGCGCCTGAAGGCCAAGGGCGTCGACCTGGCGAACAACCGCTTTTTGATCCTCCAGGGCGAGGTAGAACAGATTTCCCTGATGAAGCCGAAGGGCAAGGATGAGAACGACACGGGCCTCCTGGAGTACCTCGAGGAGATCATCGGCACGAGCGAGCTCGTGGCGCCGATCGCGGACAAGGCGCGGGAGCTGGAGGAGTCGAGCGAGCGCCGCGCGGGGGTGTTGAAGCGGGTCCGACACGCCGAGGGCGAGCTCGGGGCGCTCGAGGGGGCCAAGGACGAGGCCGAGGCGTACCTGGCGAAGGACGGCGAGCTGAAGCGGTGGCAGGCGACGCACTGCCAGCTGGTGCTGCGGCAGGTGCGCGCGGGGCTGGCGCAGGTCGCGGAGAGCCGCGCGGCGGCGACGGAGCGGCTCGCGCACGAGAAGGAGAAGGCGCGGGCGTTCGAGGACGCGCTGAAGGAGGCCGAGGGGCGCTTCGCGGCGATGGAGGGGGAGTACAAGGTCCTGTGCCAGGAGGTCGACGCCGTGGTGGGGGAGTTCCGCGAGTACGAGAAGCAGGACGTCAAGTACCGCGAGGACATGCGGCACCTCAAGAGCCGCAAGAAGGCCGCGGGGCAGAAGCTCGAGAAGGCCCAGCAGAAGGCCGAGTCCCTCCGCCGCGAGACGGCGCGCTGCCGGGAGGTGCGTCGAGCCAGGACGCAGCGGAGAGCGTCCGCGCCCGCCTCGCGCCCCGGGCTCTGTGCCAGCGGCCTCCTACCTGCCGGATCGTGCCCTCGCGACAGCGCGATGGCCGTGCGCGCGCCCACGGCGCCGTGTTTGTACATGATGATGCGACGTGTTGTTGTGTTGTGTGAGTGTGCGCGCAGGAGGCGCCGCGGCTGGAGGAGCGCGCGGGCGAGCTGGAGGCGCAGCTCGAGCGCGACCAGAAGAAGCTCGACATCCTGATGGACGAGTGCCGCGCGGAGATCCAGGCCATCAAGGCGGAGCTGGTGGCGGCGCGCGAGCGCCTGGCGCCGTACGAGGCGCAGCGCGCGGAGCTCGAGAGCGACCTCGGCGTGGCGCGCGAGGAGCTGCGCGCGCTCGCGGAGGCCACGGACGCGGCGGCGGCGGCGGCGGCCGCCGCGCAGGAGCGGGCTGCGGCGACGCGCGCCGCGGCCAGGACGGGCGCGCCGCGGCGGACGCGCTCGCGGCGGAGCTCGCCGGGGCGGAGGGGGAGCTGGCGCGCGCGCGCAAGGCCGGCGAGCGCGCGGGCGCGGAGGAGCGGCGGCTGCAGGGCGCGGTGAACGAGGCGCGCGGGCGGCTGGAGGAGCGCCGGGCAACGGCGCGCGAGGCGCAGGGGCGGTCGCGCGTGGCCGCGGCGGTCGAGATGCTCCGGCGGTCCGGGCAGGTCCGCGGGATCTACGGCCGGCTGGGCGACCTCGGGAGCATCGACGCGAAGTACGACGTGGCCGTGTCGACGGCGTGCGGGGGGCTGGACTGGGTGGTGGTCGACACGGCCGAGACGGCGCAGCGGTGCGTGGAGTACCTGCGGAAGCACAACATCGGCGTCGCGACCTTCCTGATCCTCGAGAAGCAGCGCCACCTGACCAAGGCGGCCGGGGAGCGCGTGGAGACCCCCGAGGGGGTCCCGCGGCTGTACGACCTGGTGCACGTGTCGGCGCCGGAGCTCCGGCCGGCGTTCTACTACGCCCTGCGCGACACGATCGTCACGGAGACGCTCGACCAGGCCGCGCGGATCGCCTACGCGCCGGGCAACAAGCGGTTCCGCCGCGCCGTGACGCTCGGGGGGGAGCTCATCGCTGACTCCGGCGCCATGACGGGCGGCGGCGCGAAGCCGCGCGGCGGACGGATGGCCCTGGGCGACCGCCCGCCCGCCGCGCCGGACGCCGCGTCGGACGCCGCCGCCGAGAGGGAGGCGCGGAAGCTGGAGGGGGCGCTAGCGGAGGCGACCGAGGCGCTGCGGGCGGCCCGGGAGGAGATCGACGCGGCGGCGGCGGCGGCGCGGCAGGCCGAGGACGCGGCGCGGGCGCTGCGGACGCGGGCGGCGCGGGCGGCGATGGACGCGGAGGCGGCGGAGGGGCCGCGGGGGAGGCGGCGGCGGCGCTGGCGGAGGCCGAGGCGGGCGTGCGGGAGCGCGCGGGCGACGCGAAGCGCGCCGCGGTGCTCGAGAAGGAGTGCGCGCGGCTCGAGGCGGCGCTCGCGAAGCTCGCGCGGGACAACGCGGGCCTGACGGCGGAGGCGGAGCGTCTGCAGAAGGCGCTCGACGACGTGGCGGGCGGGTCGGTCCGGCGGCAGCGCGACCGCGTCGAGAACCTCGCGCGCGACATCGACGAGGCGCGCGCGGCGGCGATCAAGGCGAAGGCGCAGGCGGCGACGCAGGAGAAGCAGCTGGGGCGCGCGGCGGCGGAGGCCGAGAAGCTGGCCGCGGAGGTCGCGCGGTGCGAGGAGGAGCTCCGCGAGCGCAAGGCCGCGCAGGAGGAGCTCGAGCGCGCGGCGACGGAGGTGATGCAGCGCATGAACGAGGCGAAGGCGCTCAAGGAGCGCCGCTTCGAGGAGCTGGAGGAGTTGCGGGGGGAGTTCGGGTCCAAGGAGCGCGAGGCGCGGACGGTGCGCAAGGTCGCCGCGGAGCTCAAGAGCAAGCTCGAGGAGCTCGCGGACCGGGAGAAGGAGGAGCAGCGCAAGGAGCGCCACTGGGCCAAGGAGCTGCGCAGCGTGCAGGCCGCGCGCACAGCGGCGGTCGCGGGCGGCGGGACGGGCGAGGACGAGGGCGTCGAGCCGCCGCTGCTCTCGGACGACGAGCTCGACGGGCTCAAGGTCGACGAGGTGCAGTACCGCGTGGTGGTCCTCGAGGGGGAGTTGGCCGACATGCAGCCCGACATGGGGGCGATCGCGGCGTACCGGGCGCGCGAGGCGGACTACCGCGGGCGCATCGCGGAGCTCGAGGCCGCCACGCGCGAGCGCGACGCGGCGCGCGGCGCGCACGACGCCCTGCGGAAGCGCCGCCTCGACGAGTTCATGGCGGGCTTCAACGTGATCACGCTGAAGCTCAAGGAGATGTACCAGATGATCACGCTGGGCGGAGACGCGGAGCTGGAGCTCGTGGACTCGTGCGACCCGTTCAGCGAGGGCATCGTGTTCAGCGTGCGCCCGCCGAAGAAGAGCTGGAAGAACATCGCCAACCTGAGCGGCGGGGAGAAGACGCTGTCGTCGCTGGCGCTCGTGTTCGCGCTGCACCACTACCGCCCGACGCCGCTGTACGTCATGGACGAGATCGACGCGGCGCTGGACTTCAAGAACGTGTCGATCGTGGGGCACTATATCAAGGAGCGCACCAAGGACGCGCAGTTCGTCATCATCTCGCTGCGCAACAACATGTTCGAGCTCGCGGACCGGCTGGTCGGCATCTACAAGACGGACGACGCCACGAAGAGCGTGACCATCGACCCGCGCGCGTTTGCTGTGGGCGCACCTGCGCCGGAGCGCGATGTGGCGGCGGCGGGCGAGGAGGCGGTGGCGCCGCGGCCGGAGGGGCTCGCGGCGTGAGCGGGGTTCGCGGCTGGGTGGACGGTCGCGCCGGTCGGGTGTTCGGCGTGGGGCCGTGCGTGTAGATGACATGGATGTGTGACGCGAGTATCAACGCGACGCAGGGTCGCGCAGGTGGCACCGCGACGTGCTCGTATCGTGTCCGTGGAGCCGGTCTGAGGAGTTGTGTGGGCTGGTCGGGGCGCCACGGCCTGTTCGCCTCGCAGGGGGGTGACGCAATGCGCTGCCCGGTCGGCTGGCGTCCCAGCCGTGCGTTCGTTGGTCGAGAACGCTGAACGCCGTGACTCGCTCGCTCGTATCATACGTCACAGGCCGCGCGTGGCGTTCGGCGACAGCGGTTCCGTCCGCACACTCCCCGCACGCCGTGCACGTGTGCTGCCGGTCGCCGCGCGCCCGGGCCGCTAGAGGTACTTGGATTTCAGGTACGGTCCGTTCTTCCCGACCTTGTCGATCCACTCCTCCTCGAACGCCCCCCCCCTGAGCTGGTGCGCAGCTTGCCTGCGTTGCGGTTCACCACCAGCACGGCCTGCGCCACGGAGAGGCCGTGCGCGTCCTTGGCGGCGGCGAGCTTCTTCAGGGGCATGGGGGGCACGAGGATGGAGAAGAGGTAGAGGATCGCCATGGCGTCCACCACGCGGGCGAGCGCGGTTGTGTCGCCAGAGGCACGGTACGCCGCCTCGCCGTTGACGATGGAGAGCGCGGCGTAGTGCAGGCAGTGGCGCTTGAACGAGTCCTTCGCGGATATCTTCGAGCCGTTGTTGAACAGGAACACCAGGCAGTTGCACTTGCCTGCGACGGATCGAGGCAACACCGGCTGCGCGTGCCCTTGGGGCGAGGGGCGGAGGGCAGGGTGCGATCGGTCTGCCTCTGAGGTACTATACAGAAAGGTCGTGGAAGCCTTGCGCGCGGCCGAGCAGGCTGCGGGAAGCGTCCTCGCAGCATGATGCTGTCGTTGTTGCCAACTTCGTGCCGTCGCGGGGTAAACGCGGGGTCGGGCCGTGACTGTGCGTATGTGCACGGCAGGGGGCCAGGCGCACCTCCGGCGGCGGCGTAGTGCGCGGGCGTGCGACCGAACGCGTCCTTTTTCTCCAGGAGAGCCCCCGCATGGAACAGCTCCTCCAGTGCTGCTTCGTGTCCGTTGCAGGCTGCGATGTGCGCGAGCGTGGCGCCCTCCATGATCGCCAGAGGGTCGTTCGTGGCCGTTTCCTTGGCGCGTTCGGGCCCCAGCTCGGAGAACTTGGGGTCGGAGATCAACAGCGCAAGTGACGCGCCCTGCTCGACGAGCAACGGCACGCGCTCGACGTTCTTCCCGTCCCGCATTATCTTCAGCATCTCCTGTGCGATCGAGCCCGCAAGAGCGGGGGACGGTGTTGTGCGGGAACGGCGCGCAAAACGCACGCGAAGCTCGGTCAGCCACCCGCAGGCGCTTCCGCGGCCACGACTGGACAACCCGCCCGTTGTCACGGCTCAGCCGGCCGCTGCGGGGGAGGTGCTGCAGATGTCTATCCTTGCAACGCGGTCTAACGCGCGTACGCGGCATCCCTGACACGCGCTGTGCGAATCCTCCTCCAGCAGCTGCACCTCTGCGTTGTCCTTTTTCCCACCGCGCGCGACCGTCAGGCGATGACACGCACCTCGTCCGGCGTCAGCCTCTTGCCAAATAGACTTGGAATCGCCTTGACCAGCGCAAACGCCGCTGCGCCGGCAATTCCGAGCACGCCAACGCCCTTGGCTGCAGTCCGCAGCGGAGAGCGTCGCTTGGCCGGGGGAGGCGGCGGCGGCGGTGGCGCGGGCTCATCTTCCTCCGGCTTCTTGCCTCTACTACCCTGAAACATCCCCGCTGCGTCCTTCGCGCGCAGGACCCGCCCGCTGCCGCGTGCGACCGTCTGCCTTCCAGTCCAGGCACACCCTGGTTGCGACGCGTTGCCAGCGACTCTCAGTCCACGCGACGCTTGCACGCTCGGAAATCGCAGTCTGGCACGGAAACGGCGTGCGCGGGCGCCCCAGCCGCACACGTAGCCGGCGCCGCGCCTGCGCGGGGATGTGAACACTCAGGTCTGTCCGACGCGCTGAACAGCTCGCGCGACGGCCCGCCCCCAGCCACCGCGCAGCTGTTCCTCCCGGCACGCCGCAGCTCGCCAACAGACCAAGAGCGGCACGTCGCAGCTGCGATGCGAGGTCACAGTTGCTGCGCCAACGTCAATGCAACGGTGAGCGGCAGCACCTGCCAAGCCGACCCCCCTACGGCCGCAGCTAGCCCCGCGCTACCGACGGCGGCGCCCCAGCCGGCAAGCTGCGCCATCTCCGCCCGCGCGCCCCTCAGCCTGCAGTGACGTACGCAGGCCCCAGCGCCTGCTCCACGGCGTCCCGCAGCCGGAACCTCGCCAGGATGTGCGGCCGCACGTCCGTGATGGAGTCGTCCGCGAGCTTCTCCAGGAACGGCAGGAGGTGGTACAGCTCTCGGTCGCCCTCGTCATCAAACCACGACGCAATCGGAATGCCGTTGCCGAGCTGGAACCCAAACGCCTGCAGCTAGGCCCGACACGGCACGGCAACGTCGCAAACGCCCTAGCTGCGGCCTCGAGCGCCGCGGCAGCGGTCGCAGCGCAGCCGCGCCCGTCGTCGCAGCCTGCACCGCGCGTTTCGGCGCGCGAGCGGCCGCGGGGGGCGCAGCTAGGGTCGCGGAAGCCGGGGCCGCACCTGTGGCGAGTTGTCGACGATGATGGTGTGCTCGAGGTCGCGTCCGAGGACGGAGAGGTCCTTGAGGTAGTTGCCCTCGAAGTTGACGCACGACTCGCGGAACACGCGGTGGCGGATGAGCGACCTCTTGGGGTCCACGACGTTGAGGAGCCGCTCGGCGTACACGCGCTGGCTGGCCGTGAAGATCACGACTTCGTACAGCTGCGACACGCGTTGGAGAAAGTGCATCATGCCCGGCCGCTGCCGGACGCGCACGGCGTGGACGCGCCCGCCCACGGCGACGGGGAACTCGAAGTCGCACGTCCCCGCGGGGCTCCCGTCGAGGCACGAGTGCACCAGCGTCTCGTCCAGGTCCAGCACCAGCGTCTTCCTCTTGCAGCGCCGCGTCCGCGCCGGGAGCACCTTCGTGCGCGGCTCCCGGACGCACTCCCGGACGTCTGCGGCCACGCGGGTCGCCGAACGGGAGGCGTGAGGTGCCGTGGCGGGCGCGGGGCCGGGCACAGCTGGCAGCGCGGGGCGCGCGGGGCGCGGGCACGGGCGGGCCGAGGGAGCGCGGTTCTGCGTGGCGCGGCGACCGTGCCGCGCGGGGGCGTCCGGCGCCGGCGCGTGCGGGCGTGGCGCGGGCGTGGCGCGGCGGAGGGGCGCGGGAGAGAGAGCGCACCCGGAAGGTTTTTGATGAACCAGTACGGGTCGAAATACTCGTCGTCGTCTTCTTCTTCGTCGGTTTCGTGTATCTCTGCCCCCTGGTGCACCGCTTCGTCGTCCTCAGGGCACTCCAGCGCGGCGTGGTCCGCCGGGTCAGCGTGCTGCTCCGCGGCGCCGAGCGTCCCCAGGGTCGGCTCGCTGTCGTCTGAGCTGAGCGAGCTGGCCCCCGCGGCCGCCGCGGAGCTCTTCGAGCGGAAGAGCGTGAACACGGGCGAGAAAATCGTCTCCAGGACGCCCTTCTTGCCGTGGGCGTCGGCCGGGCCCAGCTTGGTTGTTAGAGCCACCGCAGTGCTGTCGACGTCGCACTCGCTGGTCCGGCCCGCCACGCTCGCCGGCTCCGCGTGGGCGAGGTCGCGGGCGGCGTCGTCCTCGCGCTGCTCCTCGAACGCCCGGGAGAGGTTGGCGCGCGCCTGCGGGACTGCTGGGGCCTCGGCTCTCCGCTGCTTCGCGCCGGGCGTGTCGCCGTTCGCTTCTGCGGATTCGGCGCGGGGGCTCGTTGATTAGATGGTGGGCGTCGCGATGGGGCGCGCGCGCGGGCCGGGTGCGCCGCGAGCGGGCCGTGGCCGCGGAGGGCGCGCTCGAGAGCGCCCAGCACACCCAGCAGCCGGGTGCCGCGGGGCCGCATCCTGGCGGGGCGACGCGCCTGCCTTCCTCTTCGCCTTCGGCCTGGTCGACTGCGTGATCAGCTGGGCGTCGCCAGCGTTCCCGGCCATGGCTGCCTTGCTCCGTGGGCCGGAGCCAGCCGAGCTGCTCGGACGACCGCCCCTCGGGCCCCGCGTGCTAGACCTCGGCCTGCGCGGAATTTCGCTAGGAGCTCAGACGTGACTGCACGCCGGCGATGACGCCCCGCACGGCCCACACGCGACGCCGCGCGCCGGTCGTCGTCGTTCCCCTTCGTAGCAAGCGAACAGCGCCCGCTCGGCTCGCCCGGGCTCAACCAACGTGGTATCCGCACCCTGTGCACTAGGTTCTATCCGCACCTCCCTCCACCGATGCCCAATGGCCCCGCTGCGCATCCAGCGCCCCGCACGGGACGGTCATAGCTAAGGGCTCGCACGAGTCAGCCCCGTCGCACGCACGAAACGCGCACGTTCGACCGCGACGATGCATTCTGGACGAACCACGCCCGTGCGATGTCGCACGTCTCCCGCAACACCTCACACGGGTCCGTGCTCACCTGGAGGAGGAGCACCTGGCCGTGGCAGATTCCCTGTCCCGGTTCCGCGGCCCCAGGACATACAGTGCACGGATTCCGGTGCCGGAACGCCAGTTCACATGCCACAGAGCCCGGGAGGCACGCCAGCGACTACGTGTCGGGGCTCCTCGAGTCGGAGATCGGTGCTGCAGTGACGCGCACCATGCCTCCCCCGCTGCCTCGCGGCGGCACCTCGCACGCAGCTCAGTCCGCCTCGTCGTCCGAGCCCTCCATCTCGCCCATCTCGTACTCCATCGCCACGTCCCACCGGCTCCCTGCGCGCGCATCCCCCAACTCACACAATCAGCACCGCTCACGTGCCGCCCAGGCATCGCACGGGGCCGCGCGCGCGAACAGGGCGACGCGCATGCCCGCAGGCGCGCAGACGGAGCGAGCGCCTCACCTGGCGCCGCCGTGCTGACGAACTTGACGAACCTCATGACGCCGCCCCCGCGCAGGACCAGGTTGAGGGAGTTGCGCGCCGCGGACACGGAGAGCAGCGCGGCGCCGTCCTCGTCGTCCGAACCGTCGTCCCCGCCCTTGCCCTTCTTCGCGCCGTACGCCTCTGCACGCGATAGAGCGAGCCGCAGCTTCGTCACGTGGTGTGCGAACGAGAGTCGAGGATTGAGGGATGTTTGTGGGTCGGGGTTCCTCGACTGATGTGCGCAGAGCACCGAGCCGCGCCGTGGCCGGCGGCGCACGCAGCGGGCGTCCGGCGTCACCTGCGGCCTCCGCGGTGTCCTCGCCCTCCTCCGCGGGGGTGTAACACTCGAACCCCCCCACGTTGTCGCTGCCCCAGGCATACCGCGCCTCGTCGCTGCCGTCCTCCACCATGCACAGCGTCGCGTCGAGCACGAAGTCGCCCTCCGGAATGAGCTGCCCGTAGTGCGCGATCGTGTAGTCGCAGCCGGGGCGGAACCGCCGGACCTGCCCCCTGCAAGGCAGGGCAACGGACCTCAAAACATGTCTATGAAAAAAGGCTGCAAATCAACAGAGCACGCGTTCGAAAAAAGAGATGGTCCCTGCCAAGGAAGAGCGCGTCGCGGGGAAGACGACCGCGTTCCCGGCAACGCGCATCGCGCCGCCCTCGTCCTCCGGGCCGGATGCAGCCAGTGCAGCCAGCAACCCCAACACCGCGCGGCGCACCTGTGCCCGACGACGCTGCCGCGCGCGATGTACGCGACCAGCTTCATGAACGCCTCCGACGCCATGAGCCTCGTGCGCACCCGGTCCAGCAGCTTGCCGGCCCCCGCGCCCTCGCACTTGGCCTTTCTGGGGTCGTACCGCATGAACCGCTGCTTGTGCGGCGGGCCCGTGGCGATCCATCCGCGCGCCGTGCCCGCGGAGTACGGAGCCGCCTGCAGCGCGCCGGGCCACGGCTGCTCCGTCGGCCACGAGGGCGTGCGGAGTTCGTGTGCGGAGCGCGACACGACAGGAGGTTTGCGAACAGGGGCGGTGGCGTGCTGACCTTGCCGTTGCCGAGGCCGTCCGCGGTGTCCTCCTCCACGCCCGCCGCCGCGATGGCGTCTGCCACGTCAGCTCGCAAAAACCCCCCCAGCTGAATGGAGTCCTCCCCCGCCTCGAACTTCTCCCGCGTCTGACGGAGCACGTCGTCTCGGAGGTACTCCGGGTTCACGAACTCCTCCAGGAGCGCGCGCTCCGCCTTGGTCAGCGTCGACACGAACGACGACACCCCGCCGGAGACCCCCCCCCTCGCCTTGCGCGCCACGAAGCGCTCCGCGGCCTCCGTGGCGCTCCGCGCCGTCAGCTGCGCCAGCGTGGCCTTCTCCGTGCCCTTGGGCTTCTCCGCCGCGTGGAACCAGCCCTGAATCGCCAGTCTTGGTTTCCCATCTGTCAGCACTTCGCCGATCGAGTGGAACGACCGCCCGGGCAGCACCTCGAACACCGCCATGTGGTTCCACTTCGGCAGCACGCTGTGCGACGGGTGCACCTCGGGAACACCTGCGCCGCACACGCGCACACTGCGATTGCGACCCTAGAGCGTTCCGTTCCGCAGGCCAGCACACACAGTCGCAAGGCGTGCTCGGGCCGGGCGCACGCACCGACGCGGCCGTCCTCGAGGCCGTACAGCTCGAGCGCGCCGCCGTCGTCCGCGCACCAGGGCTCGTCCGGGTCGGTGAGGTATAAAATAAAAGACACGCGGCGGGTGCCGATGACGTCGTCGTGGCACAGCAGGTGGCACCCCTGCGCGTGCACGTTGCACGCGATGTCCGTGCGCTCGACGAGCTCGCCGCAGTCGAGGAGCTCGGACATCCAGCGGCGCATCTTCGGGGAGTAGAGCGCCTTGCGCAGCGCGTCGAGCGTCCCCAGCTGACTCAGGGAGTCCTTGTCGAGCAGGTCGAGGTTGTTCAGGTCGCCCGTCTGGAACATCTTGTAGATGTCCGTCTCCTTGAACGTCGCGCGCAGGTTCCCGACGATCTCCTCGCGCACCTGCGACAAGGCAACGCGCGCGAGTGCGGGATCGGTGGTTGCCGGCCCCGGTCCGGCCGGGCTGCCCGCGTGCGTCGCGGGCTGGACTCAGCGGCGCAAGGGCTGCGGGTCTGCGTGCCTGGCGCAGGACGTTGTCCTTGGCCACGTCCGGAACGACGATGTGGTTGTACGGGTGCGCTGACGTGTATTTCTCGCGGAAATCCGCGCGCTTCGTGTCCGTGAACGTCGCGTCCACGAGCGGGCTCGCCTGCACGTCGGTCGCGGAGCGGCGCACGGCCGGTCGAACCGCGGCCGGGCCAGGGCGCGGCGCTACTGCCCGCGACACGTACCAGCGCCGCCTTGCGTCGCTGGCGGGTTTCGAGGCCCTGTTCCCAGGACACAGGATCCTCTGGGACTTGCGTAAGCGCGACCGGGTGTTTCAGAAAGATTCGCGCCGCCTGGAGCCGCCGGCGCGCACATCCCCACGCGTGTTCGTTAGGAGCACGTCGCAGGGGCCTCCGGGCGCGTGGGAGGCGGCCGGGTGGAAGCTGCGACGGTCAATCAGTGGATACGTGTACGGACGACGTGGCGAGAGCATCCGCGAGGTCTGGAACCGTCTAGCGCGTCGGCACCGGGCTCACCAAGTCAGCCGCCGGCACTGTCGCAGCCCCGGAGCTCTTTGCCGCGCCGTTTCCGGTCTTCTGGCGCTTCGCGCCGACGCCGCGGCTCTTGCTCGGCATGGCTGCTGCGCCACGCCACCAATATGTCGAAGTGCCCCTTCTCCACTCACGAATTCTCGACTCCGGGCCCACCGCACTCCTTGGTCGCGGACACACGCTCCGTCGTGATAGATACGCCCCGTTCCGACGGTCTCACGAGATCTGGTCGAGTCCGTCGTCACAGCGGGCCCGTTTCCCGGCCCACGATCCACAGACCCCCCCCCTGTGTCGCTCGCCACCTGTCTGCCTGCCTCGGCAGAGGCCTCGTGTCTGGTCGGGGCGCGCGGGGGGCTCCGGCTGTTGCCCTCGCGTCGGAGCGGCGACGCCACACGCAGGACGCACGCTCCAGCTCCACATCGCGTCGCTGCCGCGGCGGCACGGCCTTGCGCACCCTCAGATTCCTGGAAGCGGAGCGCTCGCAACGTGCACAGGGAGCTGCGCAGCATCGCACGCAGATCCGCGGCCGAAACACGCACCCAGGGATAGCCACTCCCCTGCTGAGTGAGCCCGCGTGCGGCGGACCGCCAGCGATCCGACCAGGGGCCGCGGGAGCGCAATGCACGCCTCTGCTGGAGGTGCCCACACACACCGATCGCCCGTTCCCGCGCGTGGCGACCAAACAATCTGAACCTCTCCCGATTTTCTCAACGCCACATCTACAACTATGTCGAACAGCTGATTCTCGGTGTCGCAAACGTCGCCCTCATGCGACGTCACGCAGTCCCCGCTCCCTACCATCCCCTCCGCAGCACGTTCCGCCGTCGCGGCGCCGCAGCCGCGCTTCTGCCCGACGCGGCCCGCCGCCTCGCGGTACGCTCCCGGCAACGCGCTCCCGTGCGCGCCGTCCCGGGCAGCCGGCGCCCCGCGCCGGCCCGCCCCCTCGCGCGGCCTCCCGCGGTGGATCGACGGCCTGATCCCGGGCGCGTCCCCGAGCCAGGAGGTCGAGACCGCGGAGGCCGCGCAGGGGCAGCAGGTCACGGTGTCGGTCGCGGGGGCGATGAGCGAGGTCGGCAAGGACGAGTGGAACAACTGCGCCAACAGGGGCGGAGAGGGCGAAGTGAACCCGTTCCTGCAGTGGGAGTTCCTGCACGCCCTGGTGCGCGGCCTCCGCTCGCCGCTCGCCCGACGCCGCGTCTTGCCGCTTCCTTGACATGCGCGTCGCCGCTGCTGTTGCTGCGCACCGCGCTGCGACACCGGTTGCCTTGGGAGGTCGCGAACGCGCGCAGGAGGAGTCGGGGTCGGTGTGCCGGCAGACGGGGTGGCTACCGCAGCACCTCCTCGTGCGGGGGCCGGACGGGGCCCTCATTGGCTGCTGCCCGCTGTATGCCAAGGGGCACTCGATGGGGGAGTACGTGTTCGACCAGGGCTGGGCCGAGTTCAGCGAGAGCATCGGACAGAGGTGAGGACGCACCACGCCAGCGTTCGCACCCGGCCCGGAAGGTGTACGAACAAGTGCTGTACGTGCCGCTGCCTCGTATCTTGCGTCGCGTCGTCTTACACGTCGTGGACGTCTCGCGGCTGCCCGTGCAGCTACTACCCGAAGCTGCAGGCGTGCGTGCCCTTCACGCCGGTGACGGGCGCGCGGCTGCTGACCGTGCCGGGCCCGCTCGAGGCGCCTGTGCGGGACGCCATGGGGTCGGCGCTGGTGCAGGTCGCGCAGGAGCTGAGCGTGTCCGGCACGCACGTCACGTTCAATACCCGGGCGGAGTGGGACGACCTGCACGCCAAGGGGTTCATGAAGGCGAGAGACCCCCCCCCTCTTCACCGAAACACCCCCGACACGTGGTGCATTTGCTGACGAGAAAAGTAACGGCAATACGAGCCTGACGTTGCGGCCGCCGCCGATGCATGGCCGGACTTTGTGTGCGAGTCCCCGCTGTTTAGCAGTCTTCTCTTCCTATCTCTTCTGTACCTATCTATCTCTTCCCTGGGCGTTCTGTTTCCATCGATCGCCTAGCTCTCCCCCGGCTCCCCCGTACGCACCTCGACGTCGTCCTTCTCGCTCTGCGTCCGCGCTGTGCAGAGGATGGGCGTGCAGTACCACTGGCAGAACAACGGGTACGAAACCTTCGACGAGTTCCTGATGTCGCTGAAGCAGTCGCGCCGCAAGTCGATCCGGCAGGAACGCAAGCGCGTCGGCAAGGAGGGTATCCGCGTGCGCCGCAGCACCGGCGCGGAGCTCAAGCCGCGCCACTGGGACGCGTTCTACCAGTTCTACCTGAGCACCGTGGAAAAGCGCTGGGGCAACGCCTACCTGACTCAGGACTTCTTCCACATGCTCGGGGAGACCATGCCGGACTCCGTGCTGATGGTCTTCGCCGAGGAGGACGGCACCGCCGGCCCCGGCGCCGCGTGCGGGCCCGAGGGCACCCTCGTTGCCGGCGCCATCAACCTGGTGGGTTCGCACGCGATCTTCGGCCGCAACTGGGGCAGCCGCATGGACCGCTACGTCAAGAACCTGCACTTCGAGGTCTGCTACTACCAGGCCATCGAGGCGGCGATCGAGGCCAAGCTCGAGCGCGTGGAGGCGGGCGCGCAGGGAGAGCACAAAATCCAGCGTGGGTACCTCCCGCGCCCGACGTTCAGCTCGCACTACATCCGGGACCCCACCGTCCGCATGGTACGCCCTCCCCGCGCGCCCCGCCGCTGCCTCTCGCCTCTCCCCCCGCGTGATGTTGTTCACTTGCGCTGTGCGTTGACTGCGGGAATGGCGTGTGGGCGCTGCGCAGGCGGTGGGGCGGTTCCTTGCGCAGGAGCGGGACCACATGGAGGACACGATCGAGCTCCTGCGGCGCGAGGTGTCGCCGTACAAGGACGATGTGCACGGCGTGGTGACGTCGTCGATGGACCTCTCGTGGTGACGTCCTGGCCTGTCTCGGGCACGCCACCTGCGATTCGTACTACGAGCGACCCAGGAGACGTGAGCGCGCGCGCGCCGGAGCCACGGGCGCGGACAGGGGGCACTGTGTCAGGTGGGGGGGTTTTGACCTGACGCGTGACGGTGTGACGTGGTGGTGCCGCGCCATGGGCTCTCGCGGCCGGGCAACGCACGCAGCTTTCCGGCCCGCGGACGACCTCGCCGTCAAACCAGGGCATTCAGCGCGCAACGTCACTTCGTACCACCGCGCAACTTTCCGCTGCGTCCCACGTGCTGCAGCCACGCTCGCAGCGCCACCGCCGGTGCCAGCCGGGCGCCCCCGATTCTCTCGGGCGCTGCTACCAGCTCGAGGCCATGGTTCAGACGCGCAACGACCGCAGAAAGTCGCATCTGCCACCGCTGCCAGATGATACACCGCCGGACCCTCCGACGATGCGCACGCCCGCGCGGCGCCGCAAGCCGGCGACGCCGTCTCCGCGCAGCAAGTCCCCGGCGCCGCGCGGGCGCAGGCGTGCAGCGAGCCCGACGCGGCCAGCGCGGACGAAAACGACGTCCGCGGCCGACAAGCACCAGGTGCGTCCTCGCCCGCCGCCGTATGAGCTCGTTGTGTAGCTCCGACGCTACGGGCGCTTCCTCGCTGAGAAGAGGACGAGGCCCGCGCTCTAAGCGGTGCCTTCGCGTCCGCAGCGCTGCGCGAGGGCGGCGCGCGTGTGCACGATCAGCGCTAAGCTGAACGCCGCGCCCAGCCGCGTCTGCGTGTTGTCCCGTCGGCGCAGGTGGAGTACGAGTTCATGGGCCCTTACGTCGGCCCCCTGGGCGTCATGATCGGCCTTCCCGTCGTGTGCTACGCCCTGTATCTCGCCTGCGGGCCCCACGGGTGCTCGAAACTCTACCCCTGGGGCCCCGCGCTCGCCGACCTCTCCTCCGTCACCTTCTACTCCACGTAAGATCCCCCCACCCGGGCGCGCACGCGGCATCACAGGCCCCAGACCACCGGCCAGGCTGCCGTCGTCAACTGCCTGCCAAGGCACGAGGCGTGTCTTGTCCCCCTCCCCTATTCAACGGGCAATTATTTCACGTAAACCGCATGATATGGCGCTGTTGTACCCGCAGAGATGGCTTTCTGGCTCTGTTCGGCTACGTCGCGGCCATGGTGGCCCTCCATCTCCTCCTGCCCGGCGCCAAGGCCCTCGGCGTGGTCCTGCCGGACGGCAGCCGGCTCCAGTACAAGCTCAACGCGCTGTACTGCTGCATCGCAATGATCGCCGCCTTCGCGTACCTCGGCGGCGCCCCTCTCGTCAACGTACGCCCGCACATCCACATCCCTGCGCAACGCAATCCGTTGCGGGGAGCCGCCGCCGGCAGCAAACCACTCGCCGCGCGCCGCCCTAGCGGGCCCGGTACACGCACGCGTACGGGCGCTCGCACGACCCCGGCAGCGCGACAAGGACACACCTGTGCACACACACACACGCACACACGTTGCGTGGCTCGCAGGGCAAGGCGGCGACGCCGTACGTGGACCTCGGGTGGGTGTACGACAACTACCTTCCGCTCCTGACCGCGTCCGTCGCGCTCTCCGCGTCCCTGTCGCTCTACTTGTACCTGACGTCGTTCAAGAGGGGCGCTATGCTGGCGGCGCACGGCAACACCGGCGCCACGATCTACGACTTCTTCATCGGACGGGAACTCAACCCGCGCATCGGGTCCCTCGACCTCAAGGTGCGCGCACGCCCCGCACGCGCCGCGCCCCGCCACCACGCCTCTGCGCGCGCACTTTGTGGGCGCCCGACGCGACGTGCTGCGCGCGTTTCCTCCCGCAGGAGTTCTGCGAGCTGTACCCGGGCATCATCGGGTGGGTGCTCATCAACGGCTGCATGGCCGTGAAACAGGCCACGCTGTTGGGCCGAGTTACCAATTCCATGGTTCTGGTCAACATCTTCCAGCTTATCTACGCGGTGGACGCGCTGTGGTTCGAGAAGGCCATCCTGACGACGATGGACATCACGACGGACGGGTTCGGGTTCATGCTCGCGTTCGGCGACCTGACGTGGGTTCCGTTCACCTACACCTTGCAAGCGCGCTACCTCGTCGACCACCCCCTCGACCTGCCGACGTGGGGCGTGTGCGCGATCGTGGCGCTCAAGGTCCTCGGGTACGTGATCTTCAGGGGCTCGAACTCGCAGAAGGACACGTTCCGCCGCGACCCGGAGCACCCGTCCGTTGCCGCGCTCCAGACGCTCCAGACGCAGCGTGGGCGGAAGCTCCTCATCGACGGGTGGTGGGGCGTCGCGCGCCACATCAACTACACCGGAGACTGGCTCATGGGCGTGGCGTGGTGCCTTCCTTGCGGCTTCGACCACGCCATCCCGTACTTTTACGCCGTTTACTTCGCGGTGCTGTTGCTGCACCGCGACGCAAGGTGAGCGGCCCGGCGCGCCCGTGCTGGCTAACAAGGTGTAGCGCAGTGTGTGTGCTGTGTGCCGAAACGCGGGGTGCGCGTGGGCCTGCGGTTGCGTCGTCTGAAGCGTTGCGTGGGCCGTTGGTCGCTGGTTGTGGGTCGCAGGGATTTCCACGCGTGCAAGCAGAAGTACGGGAAGGACTGGGACAAGTACTGCTCCATCGTGAAGTACTCGCTCGTGCCGTACGTGTATTGAGACCCCCCCGGGCCCTGAATCGACCCCATGCAGGATGACTGACTTTGGGTGCCTGACGCGTTGTGACCCCCCGCCTTCCTCGCCGCCTCACTGCGGGCGTGCGCTCGCAAGCGCCGAAAGAAAGGGCGCGCGTGCACGGCCACGTCGTAAACGGCGGCACCACGTCGGTCTGTGAGCACCGAGCTGACTGTTCGAGAGCTGCTCTCGTCGCGATCACGGGCGCGCGCGGCCTCGCAAAGACGACTGTGGTCCGAGAAAATCACGGGTCGGAGACAGAACAGTCTCAGAGAGGAAGGAACACGCCGTCGTTCTCGCGGCACGTCCCTTTGAGACGACCACGAGCAAGGATGGACTCCGCTGACGAGTCAGCGGCTGGAGCGGTCGGTGCAGCGGCGCCGGAGTGGTCCTTGCTGCTCGAAGAAGAGGTGTGGACCGCCTTCAGGGACTAGTGCCTGAACGTCGAGCGAGCGCGACGTCCACAGTGTTCGAAACTCGTTTTCGCGCGCCGGGCGCCGAGCGGACGCGCCGGACCGAATCCTCGCCGGAACATGCAACGTGCGCTCATTCGTGCAGGAAAACTTGCGCGTGTTTTTCACGGCCATCAGGGGCGAGCGCCAGGCCAGCGACATGACAGGGGCCCTCCTCTCAGAGCTCGCCACGGACACCCGCAAGCTCCTGCGAAGCGAAACAGACGACGAGACGTACAGAGAGAACTCGCAGATCCTGAAGACCGTCTTTCTGAGGTGCGATCGAGCGTCCTCGGCCCGAAATCTCACACGAACGACAACGAATTCGTTGCGGCGCACCCCGTGACGCTCCCCCGCACGGCCACAGGACGCTCGAGCACACGATGCGCCAGGAAGCCGGCGAGGCGGTCACCCCCGAGGCCCTCAAGCGCTGCCGAGCGCGGCTCGGGACGCGCCTCTTCCGGAAAGCCGTGTGCGCGGCCGCCGCAACGCTCATCTGGGGCATTCCGTCCACCAAGGACCCGCTCGGCCGCTTCCGTGTCGTATCCACGGTGCTCTGGGGCGGTACGTCCCCCCCGCCCGCGCGGGTCTCTACCGCTGGCCGCCGACACCTCGAGCGGCACGCACGTGTCACCGTCAGCAGCCCTGCAAACGCGACCGCGGCGCCCCGAACGGCCATCGCAGACGCCAACGCGCACGTGGACTGCAAGCTCGACTCCCTGGACGACCACGCCCTCATCGTGCACGAGGCCGCGGCCGTCGTCGACGACGCAGCGCAAGCGGACCTGCTGTGCCTCCCTGCCCTGGCCGGCCACGTCGACCGCGGCCGCGCGCACCTCCGCGCCGTCCAGGAGGCGGTGCTGCTGGAGCCGCTGTGGCGCAACGGGTCGGAGCTGTACGCGGTCGTCAGCGACGGGAGCCTGGCCGCGATGTACCACGACAACGCAACGCTGGCGGCGGACGCGGTGCGCAGGGCGATGATGGGCGCCCGGGAGCTGCTCAAGGAGGTGGCGCTGCGCATCGCGAGCCGCTCGCTCGACATGCTCATGCCCGCGAAGGTGCGCCGAGAACCACGCCGACAGAAGCAAGAAAGACTCCTGGGATGCTATTTGAATGTTTATATTGGTTGATCTGAGCCGTGCCCCGGGCCGCTGCCGCCGCAGACGTTCGAGCTGTACGCAAGCGTCCTGCTGCGGCTGATCGTCACGCTCGTCAACTGCCACGTGGAGGTCCTCTACGGGCAGCACCTGGTGACGATCGCGGCGTGCTGTGTCTACGCCGCGAGCCGCGTGCTGCAGACCACGCACCCCGTCGCGACCGTCACGCTCAAGGAGGTCATCGCCGCGGGCGTCGCGACCGTGCCGGCGTGGAGCAAGGTCGCCTTCGGGAAGGTGGAGGTGATGCTGCGTGTTGTACCCAGTGCTCAGGGGGGGGAGTATATCGAGCAGACCTACGGGGGTATCCGCACCATGTACGACAAGCGCTTCCTCGATTTCATGCGCGAGACGTTGCTCGAGATGCGGCGGGAGCTCCAGGGCGAGCACGGCGTGGCTGACAGCGGGGACGAGTCACCGCCTGCCGCGGCGGGGGAGCGGGGCGGCGGGGCGCAGGAGGTCGGCACGCCGGCGGCGGGGATCGGCGGACGGCCGCACGTGAAGCCGGCGTCGCCGGAGGACGACTGGTGCGGGCTCCACCGCTATTCGTGTTTTCGCGAATGCTGCTGGCTTTTTGGTGCGGCTTTGAGGCAAACAACGCAACAAGGCTTGTCTGCTATTCGTGCGTGCAGGATCCTGCGGCTGGCGCAGGAGGGTGTGTGGCGGGCGCAGCAGCGCACACCAGCAGGTAAGGCGCGGCCGGGGGCGGACAAGGTGGCGGGGGGCTCCGGGGGGAAGGCGCGGTCGCCGCTGGGGAACGCGGAGAATATCGCGTGAGCGCGCAGCAGGTTTCTGAGGCCGCGACGTCAGGGAATGGAGCAGTGAAGCAGAGGGCAGAAAGGCACCCTGGATGAGATGACGTGAGATGGAGCGGGGGCGGCTCAAAGCCTGGCGGTCGCGTGCTCGAGCTTGCCGAGCTGCGTGGCTCTCGGACCAGGAGCGCGTGTGCAGGCGTGCCGAGTCAACCGAGACGCTGAACGATGAGATACGAAATCAAGACTCACGAATCGTCCCGCAAGTACGACGTGTCCCAGCGCGGGAGGTCCAGCCGTCCCTCCGGCACGCCCCGCGCGATGCGCTGCCGGATCCCCTTGGCCTCCGCGAACCTGTCCGCCTCCTGCACCCACGCGCTGACGTCATACGCCATTCTTCGAACAATCATCCAGATCAGATCCATCGGCAACCCCGGCAAACACCCCCCTTCGTCCCCCGCCTCCGCCTTCCCGCGCTGCGCCCACAGCCGGTGGTTGCACTTGAGCAGCTCGCTCACGGCCGCGCGGAACCCCCCCGGCCACATAGAGTGCAACTCAATAGACCACGGGGGGCGTCTCAGGGCCAGGAGGACCGCGTCGCCGCGGCAGAGCGACTCCGGGGCCTCCGGACACGGCTCCGTGCGGTCCACGAGCGCGCCGCACGCGCTGCCCTGCACCAGCCGGCTCCATGCGCGGCCCTGACACTCCGTGTCGGCACCGGCGTCGACGAGAATCTCCACGCAGCGCACGTGCGCGCCGTGGCACGCCCAGTGCAGCGCGGAGCGGCGCATGCCGCCGTAGTCCAGGGCGGTGATGTCGGCGCCGCGGCGGAGGAGCGCGCTCAGGAGGTCCGCGTGACCGTACCGGGCCGCTGTGTGCAGCAGCGTGGTCTGGAACGCCGACCGCGCGTTCACGTCCAGGCCTGGAAGTGCGAGGAGGATGGAGTGAGCGGGAGGTGGTGTCAGGGGAGCGCCGGGAGCGGCGTGTGCAGTGGCAGGGTGGGTGGACCGACCTGCGTCGATTGCGGCGAGAACCGCGGCGGTGTCGCCCGCCTCGGCCGCGCTGATGATCTCATGGCCGAGGACGCTCGTGCTCGAGGAGTCCGGCGACGCCATAGGGGCGCGAAGAGGAGCTCGTTCCTGCCACCAAGAATGGACCGTCTGCGGACGCGCTTCGAAAGACTGCGCCTGAAAAATCGTGTGAAACGCAGGTAACTACAATGGTGCATTCATTTCTTGCGCGATGTGAAGACCAAAATGTTTCAGTCGTCGCAGATTCCGCTTTGTTGTCTGCGTGCATGAATCATGCCGCTGCGCGCCTCGACGAAATGAATTTCCACTCGTCACGCCCGAGGTGGAAATGTGACGGAGCGGGCGTCCACTGCGGCCCTGACCCCGCCGTCTGACCCCTCCACAGAGTAGAACAAGCTCCGGTCAGCTCGCAGACGCAGGGTGTCGTACCTCCCAACGGCCCCACGCGCGCGCTTTCCGGGCCGTCCACGCACGCGGCGCCGCCTCATTCCCCTCTGGTCCTGCACGGCAGCCGATCCTCGCAGCTGCACCAGCCGCATCTATGCACGAAGGCCGCGAGGGGGGCAGCCACGCTCCGCTGCTCTCTGCAGCCAACGCTCCAGCTGTTGACGCGTCCTGTTGCGTGAAACCACGCAGCTGCTTCGTGTGGTGCTAGTGATTTCGCCATGGGGCGTTCGCGGCGCCGCGGCGCCGGAGCGTGGCTAGGGTCCACCGCAACTGCAGCGTGCCTCGCGGCCGCTGTCGGGGCCATCTCCGCCGCATCCACGCGCTCAAACGCTGACCCTGGGGTCGTGCTGGCGAACGTTCTCGCAGACGCGCGCGCGGGCTCCAGTGCCGCGGCCACAGACGTAGAAAGCGAGCGCCTTCTGTGGGCCCGCCTGCTCAGCACACAGACCGCCCTGCCCTCCCGATCCTTGAAGAATCTTCACGCCGCTCTGCACCCTAGTAACTACGAACCGACCACGCCTGAAGTGGAGTTCGCGGGGCGGGCGAACGGAGGCGAGCGTGGCCTGGAGGCGGTCCACCTACGCGCCACGAGAGCTGACGCGGAGCTGGACGGCTTCGAGCCGCACACGCTCATCCCCGGCTGGAAGACGCTGCCCCCGGAGCCCACGCCCGCTCCGTCGACGCGCGCGCCGTTCCCCACCGCGCCGCCCCCGCGGCCCACCGAGACTGCGCGCCCACGCCCCACAGCGCGCCCGGTGCCCACGTCCCCCGCGACGCCCACGCCCCCGCCGACGCAGCCCCCGCTGCCGCCGACCTCGGGCCCCAGGCCCTCGCCGTCGCCGACCGACGCCCCGACGAACGCCCCACAGCCCACCGCTGCGCCGTCGACCACGACAGCGCCAGCCGGGCCGACCAAGCGGCCGAGCCCGGGCCCGATCGACCCGGACAGGGACAGGGTTCACAAGGGGCTGTTCCCGATCGCGGCGCGGGACGTCCTCGGGCTGATCCTGGTCGGCCTGGCGCTGTTCGTGGCGGCGGGGGGCGGCATCGGGGGCGGGGCGCTACTGATCCCGATCATCCTGCTCGTCATGGCCTTCCCGACGGAGAGCGCGATCGCGCTGTCGAACGCGACCGTGTTCGGCGGCGCGTGCGCGAACCTGGCGCTCAACGTCCAGAAGCGGCACCGTCTCGCCGACCGCCCGCTGGTCGACTGGAGCCTCGTGGCGATCATGGAGCCGCCCACGGTGCGCTCCGCGGCGCTCGAATCCTCGCCCGCCGTCCTCGTCCGCGATTGGGTTCGGAGCCGCATGTCTGACGCTGCGCGGCCCGCCGCGTTGCTGCGCAGGTGATCGGCGCGATGGTCGGCGGGTACATCAACCGCATGTTCCCCGGCTGGATCACGCTGGTGCTCCTGGCGCTGCTCCTGGCGCTGTTGACGTACAAGTTGGGCGCCAGGGCGTTCCGCGAATACAACATGGAGACGCGCCGCATCGAGGGAGATCGCATGGGGATCCTCTCCGACAGCGACGACGAGCCGCCGGTCGCGGCGCCGCGGGGCGGCGAGGGCGAGGGGGGAGTCGCGGTAGACCCCCCGGCCGCATCAGGCCTCGGGAGCGTCGGGCAGGCGTCGGAGCTGGACTGGGAGGAGGACAGCGAGGCGCACGCGACGCCGATCGGCCCGGACACGCTCAGCACTCCGCTGCTCCGCCAGACGGACGACGCCGCCGGCGACGACAGCGCTGGCGACGGAGACGGGCCGCTCGGCTTCCCCCTGTCGCCGGAGACGCCGTTCGAGGCGCGCGCGCTCGACTTCGACGACGCCGACGACACCATGTTCGACGAGGACGACGACAGCGACCTGTCAGACCCCGGGCAGGGGGACCTGACTCATGCCATGCAGGGGGGGTCTGCGCGGCGCGGCGACCCGGCGCGGCTGGGCCGTCACGGCATCGACGGGTCGCGGCTCGCGGCGCTCGTGCGGTCGGACCGCGCGGCGGTGCCGATCGCGAAGCTCGGGGCCGTTGCTGCTCTCTTTGTTGTTCTGGTGCCAGCGGACCTGCTGAAGGCGCGTTTGGCGTGCGGGTCGGTGCAGTACTGGCTGCTGTCGCTGATGGTCGTCCCCGCGGCCCTCGCGGTGATGCTGTACGTCCACGGGCGCCTGCGCGACGAGGCCAACTTGCGGCGCGCTGCAGGCATTGCGCGGCTGCCTGGCGAGGTCAAGTGGAACCCGCGGGCCGAGATTCTCTTCCCCTCGATCTGCAGCACCGCTGGTGAGTGCCCCGGCGCCCGCGCGCGCTCACACGACCGAGCGGCGCCCGGAAGCAGCACGCCCGCCACGCGAGACTCGACCGGGCGCGACTGTCTGTTTGGCTCATCGCAGGTCTCGTCGCGGGGATGTTCGGCGTGGGCGGCGGGATCATCAAGGGCCCGCTGATGCTGGAGATGGGGGTGTTGCCTGACGTGGCTGCCGCGACGTCAGCCACGATGATCTTCTTCACCAGCGCGTCCGCGACGCTGGTGTACGCCGGGTTCGGCGTCGTGCAGCTCGACTACGCCCTCCTCCTGTTCCTCGTTGGAGTGGTGCGTCGCCCGGCCGTGCGTTGCCAATGTCTCTCACACACCGCTACAGGGCGTTGCCGGGGCGCCTCGAAGCCGACTCGCGCCTCGCTCCGCCGGTGCTTGCGCGCAGGTGGCGACGTTCTTCGGGCAGATCGCGATGGGGCAGGTGGTGGATGCGGTCGGGCGGCGGTCGCTGATTGTGTTCTGCATGTTTGCCTTCATGGGGGTGTCGGCGCTGGTGGTGGGCGTCCGCGCGGCGGTCATGCTCGCGGGGCTGGTGTCGAGCGGCGAGACGGCGGCGGACATCTGGCATCTCCATCCCATCTGCCCAGAGCAGGAGCTGTAAAGCGGATACCGAGCAGCAGCCGCGTGGCGCAGCGTGGGCAGTGGCCCGTACTGCTTGCAGGATTCGTTACACGAGCGTAGCGCCGGTGCGGTGTTCGGCGTCGGCGCTGGCGACCTGCGGCGAGGTCGTTGTGTGTGCGTCGACAGCGCACTCGCGGCCTGCTACTGCTCCGGGCGGGATGGGGAGTGTGCCAGCAGGTCGAATAGAGTGTCTAGAATAGAGTGTCTAGCGCTAGGGATACGCGAGGTGGTCGGGCCGGCAGCAGTGCTGCAAGTGACCGCGCGGGCCTGTAGCACTGATCGGTGGCGACCGCTCGCGGCCCGCGAGTGCTAAGTGCTCAAGCGTCGCCTCCGCCGCTCGTTCGATCCAACGAGCTGCGGTTGGACTTCTTGTGGCCTGTTGGCTCCGTCTTGGGCTCGAGCGCGGCCTCGTCCGAGGGGGCGTCCGCCTTGGGGGCCTGCGGGGAAGGCTTGGGAGCCCCGCGCGCGCCCGGATTCTGCTTCTGCATCGCCCAGTCCGCCGAGTCGAAGAACTTGTGGTCCTGCGCACACGTCAGGGGGCGCTCCGCGCTCGGTCTTTCATCCAGGCACCATGCGCGCCGGAAAACAGCCGGCCGCGGGCGCGAAACGGCGCTCCAGTGTAGCGGACAGCGGTGTCTGCACGACGGCTACGCTCCGCCGCCTCCGCGCCGGGAACGGCCACCCATGCACGGCGTCCCAGCCGCGCAACTGATCACCACCTCTGCATCCGCGAAAGCGGCCCAGGCGGGGCGGAGAACGGCGCAACCGGCACCCATACGTGTGGAAAGAGACAGAGGGAAGACGCTGGGGGGGTCAGAACGCGACACAGCCGCCGGCACGCGTCTGGTCAGCAGCTGGTCTCTTCTGCGTGGGTGTCCGGCACGCTCGGCACGGGCCGGCGGCAATCGTCGCAGGCCGCGGCCGCGGACGGCGCAGGCCGCCGGGCGTGCATCACGCCGCGAGATCGGCCCCGTGGGAGCGCGCAGGGCGCGGGCGGGAGCGAGGTTTGGCAGTTGCACCCACCTTGGGCAGCAGACGCTGCTTGGGTTTCAAGCCACCGTACTTCGCCTTCAGCATGGCCTCCTGCTCGGCCTCGATGTCGGCCTGGGTCTGCGCGGGCGCGGGGCGGCGCAGGTCCCCGCGTGAGCGCGCGGCACCGGCTTTGGGATTGCAGGGCCAGGCCAAAGCCGGCCCGCGAGGTGGGGGCTGGGGCGACGCCGGCCGCGGACGACGGCGCGGGTGCGTTGCGGCGGTCGGAGCGCGCGAACGGGGCGCGGAGAGACGACGGCTGGTGGCGTGGAGCCGTTTGTGGGGCCCGAGATAACAGGCAGTTGCCTAGAGTGGCGCGCGCGGCGAGTGAGGGTTCGCGTGCCTTCGACATCGTTCCTCACGCTCGGGTTGCGTAGTCCTAGGTATTTCCTGCCAATGCGCGGGACGCAGCGGTGCGCCAACCGTCACGCGAGGTGCTCGGTGGACCCGACAACGCTCGGGCTCGAAAGCGCTCGTGCGTGCGATTGCGGGGCCAGACGATGGCTACTGCTCGCCGCCCTGGCTACGTTGCGCATGTACTGATCTTTTCGCTCGGCCCCCGCGACCCAAGGCGCCCGGTATCAGCCTTGCCATGCTGATGCAAGCCTCAGACCGACTCCGCGGCGCCGCCGCCCACGCCCTCAGGGGCCCCATGGCGCGCGCGTCACGCGACAGTCCTCGCAGCCGAGTCCACGCCGCGCCGCTTCCTCGACCCGCTCGCGCCCTCCTCCCGCGGCAAACCTCTCCCCTTTTGTCCTTCACATAGCGGCTGTGTCAGCGCGATGTCGGACGACGAGGGTCCGACTGCGACGCCTCCGCTCGCAGTGGAGTACTGCCCCGTGACGGGCATCCCTGCGGAGTTCAACGACTTCCTCCCGAAGGACACAGACGAGTACAAGCGCTGGAAGGCGCACGGCGGCGCCACGCAGCCCGCGGACGCCGTCGAGGCCGGCGTGGCGCAGCTCTCCGTCGAGGGCGGCGAGGAGCGCAAGGTACGCGATCCGACGGCACCTGTCGCGCCGCGCTCAGCCGTGGCGGCCCGCGTGGAGGGACGCGGCGCAAGGACGTTGCCCGGCGGCGGCAGACACCGCTGCGCAGGACGCCCGTTCTCACGCGTTCATTGAGCCTCACTCTAGCCAGACCGACGTCGGGCCAGCGCCAGCGTCGCAGCGCGCCTGCGCGGGCCGCGGGCGGCGAGAGAAGTCACGGCGCTGGTCGTCGTCGCGCGTCGCCGCAGGCCCCCGCGGACGCCGCGGCTCCGTCCGACGAGAAGAAGGACAAGCCGAAGAAGGACAAGAAGAAGAAGTCGCACCAGGTCGTCATCGACGTCACGCGCCGCGGCGGCAAGAAGATGCTGACAGTCATCAAGGGCCTCGAGCACTTCGGAATCAAGCTGCCCGAGGCGGCCAAGCTGTTCAAGAAGAAGTTCGCGTGCGGGTGCGGCGTCTCCACCAACGCGGAGGGCAAGGAGGACGTCGAGCTGCAGGGCACCTTCCAAGAGAAGGCCGCCGAGGTCCTTCTCAAGGAGTATAAGGACAGCGGGCTCACGCCCGAGGACATCGTGCTCGTGATTAGCAAGAAGAAGGTGCCCTACCTCGAGGCGATCGCCGGGGGCGACGAGTGACCGCGCACGCGCACCGCGGCATGCAATCCCAGCTTTTGCGCGTCAACCTGCTGCTGTGAGTGCGTCTCGCTACGTTGGCCGTTACACGCGTGTGCTGCGCGTCACCGTCGCGGGAGGTACCGCAGCGTGTCGCCGACGAGGTACAGGGACCCCGTCACGAGCACCTGCAGACGTGAGCCCGCGGGGCGCGACCGCGTGTGGCTGCGCAGCCACTCCACGCCGGCGCCGAGCGACGCGACCACCGCGCCGCGCGTCGCCCACAGGTGCTCGCCGGACTCCGCGGCCGCCGGGAGCGGCGGGGCCGGCCGTTGCGGCGCGGCGGGGGCTGCATCCGATGCCGCGAGCTTCCGCCACGCTGACAGCGCGTGCGCCTGCCACGAGAGGTCCCGGACCATGCCGGGCTCTTCGTTCGCGACGCCGACTTTGCGGACGTCTGAGTCGGGCGGTATGAACAGTGCTCGTCGGAAGAACCCCGCTCCGGCACCGGGCAGGCCGGCGCGCAGGCCGGCGAGCAGCGCCGCGGGGTCGCGCTCCGGCGTGCAGTTGAACACCAGGACGCGCTCCGTGTCGCCGCCGCCGGGCGCCGCGCGCGCCGCCGCCGCGGCGGCGAACCACGTCCCGCACGCGCGCATGCTGTCCGGCGTGTGCGCGCCGTCCAAGAAGAACGTCAGGCCCGCGCCGTCCACGCCCGCGCCGTCCCGCCCGCCCACGTCCTCCACCACCTGCGCGCGCCCGGGCCACGTCGCCGCCTCCAGCCCCCTGCAATACTCCTCCGGCAACACCCCCTGCGCCAGCAGCTCGAGCCGCTCCCGCGCCGCGAAGCACCGCCGCGCCTCGGGGCCCGAGTCCTCGAACGCGGACGCCATCGCCACCGCGAGCGCGGCGTTCTCCTGCATGTAGCCCGCGCCGGCGAAGATGGACAGATCCGTGCCTCTGCGCCCGTCGTAGCAGCGGAAGGCGTCGAGCGGGCGCGCGCGCAGGAGGTGCGTGCCGGCGCGCTCGGCCTCGCGCTCGAGCACCGCGAGCGCCTCGGGCCGCTGCGGGCCCGTGAACGCCGGGGTGCCGCGCTTAAATATGCCCGCTTTCTCCCGGGCGATGTCTTCGATGGTGGGGCCGAGCAGCTCGACGTGGTCCAGGTCGAGGCGCGTCACGCCGCACACCGCGGGCGGCGGGATGATGTTGGTGGCGTCCAGGCGGCCCCCGAGCCCCACCTCGAGCACGATGACCTCTGTCTGTTCGCGCGTGGTGCAAAAGATGTCCAGGGCGAGGAGCGTGAGGAAACGGAAGTACGCCGGCATGCCGGACGAGCCATCCGCCGCGCCGCCCTGGAGCCTGCGGGGTCGGGGCGGCCGAGGCGCGGTCGGGGCTGAGGCTGGCGGGGGGACTGAGACTTTGTGTCGGTCTGTGTGGGGGGGTGTGGGGCGGCGTGCCTGCGGTAGAGGGGCCAGAAGTGGCGCAGGAAGGTCTCGCGGTCGACTGGTTCGCCTTGGAGGCGTATCCGCTCCCTGACGTCGAGCAGGTGGGGGGATGTGAACATGCCAGTGTCATAGTTGCACTGCCGCAGGATGCTCTCGATCATCGCGCACGTGGACCCCTTGCCCTTCGTTCCTGCGTGCGCAGGCGTCGCGCGGCGCTCGCGGTTGCGCGCGTGCGTTCGCAGGGCGCGGGGGCGCCACGACGACAGGCGCACAGGGAGACGCACCGGCGACGTGGACGACGCGCGGGGCGATGTCCTTGAGCTTCTCGGTGAGCCCCGCGGCCGCGACGAACTCGTGCATTTGCGCGAAGTAGCTCTCCCACGGCATGTCGGCCTTTCCGCGCGACTTTCCGCTGATCAGACCACTCAGGGCGGCCAGCGCGGCCTCATATGTCTCTGAATCGGACATGGCTGAGCTGTCCTAGGTACTATGATGCTCTATCTCGCAGAGCGCGGTGGTGACCGGGAAGGAGCGGCGCTGCACGTCGATGACGAGGGAGGTCTGTGCGAGCCAACACAACGCGCGCGCAGCGCTTGGTCTGTGCCCCGGAGTGAGTAGTTCGTCTCCTCAGGGCCTCCTCGTCTCTCAAAATCGCGAGCACGATGCGTGCGACGACGAATCGAACCCTCGCTGGACTCCCATCACGCTTCAGGAGCACGCTTCACCTAGGACGTGACTCGCAGCGCCGGGTGGCCCCGTGCGACAAGCTCTTCCTATCCGCCGCCGAGCTACATGCGTAGTGCGTCCCGCGGGGGACGAAGCGCGCCCATTCACGGCCGTGCGGCGCGGCGAGACGTGACAGACCCGGCAGTATGATGCTTGCTGCGGCCGCTGCGGCCTTTTGCGCGGTGAATCCGGGCCCGCAGTCCAGATGCATCGAAGGGCGACAACCAGCGAGCGGTGTCAGACGGTGCGATACCGCCTGTCAGGCTCCGTGCACGTCTCGTTTGGCACACAGAGCAGGTAGCGCGGCGCGCTCGGGCGACCATGCCGGGGGGGGATATGGGCTCGCGGAGCAAGCCCGAGGGGTCAGATCCGCAGCCAATTGTCAAGGTCGTCGGGTTCCATGTCGAGGGCGCGCCGTCAAGCCCCACGGTGGCAAGCTTGCAGGTGGGCAGCCATCCGCCCGGTCGCCCGCATGGCGTCGGGGGGCATCCTTCGACGGTGTTGCGTGGCGTAATTGAATGAGTCCGGCCGGTGCCGCACCCGAAACCGGCGCATCATGCACGCTGGCGAGGCCTATAGCCCTTTTTCCCGCTGCGACGAAGAGTCGGTCGCTGCGGCCTCGTCCGTGCGTCAGCACCTCATTTCATCGGAGATAACGCACGGCGTTGATTTGAACGTCCGCGACAGCGTCAAATCATGCGGGTTGCAAGCCCGCGCTGCGCGGCATCCGCGCATCAGTGCTGCTCTGTCCTCTGCTGCTCCTCCTACGGCGTCTCAGGCATCGCTGTGCGCCCCACACGTCACCTCCACTGCAACGCACTGCGGGGCCATGCAAGTTCGCGGGCGATCACCGCGCCACAACGTCTCTCGCGCCCTGCTGTGCTCTGAGCATCACGGCCCACGCTGCACGCGCCCCGAACCCTCGAGCCACGCAGGGACCGAGCACAGAGGGACACATTCCGCGCGTCGGCAGCAGCAGCGACGGGCCGGACTTCGTGCCCATTCCACCGTCGTTCAAGCCACCGCCCCTGCAGCGCCGGTCGGGGCCGGCCGCCGCCCCCAGCGAGACAGAGAGCGAGCCGCCCCTCCGCCCCGCACAGTCCAGCACACTCGAACAGTCAGCGGTACCGCCGGCGGTCCGCGCCGCGGTCAGCGCCAGCTTTGAGCCAACGGCTTCCGCCACAGTGTCGGCGGCCCAGGCTGCCGAGGCCTGGCCGGCGCCGGAACGGGGCGCGATCCACGGCCTGTCGCCGGCCGCGAGCGCGTCCCAGAGCATGACGGACCAGCCGGGCGACGCGCACATGGCCAAGCTGCGGCAAACGGACGCCACTCCGACGCTGGCCGAGGGGGTGGCGCAGGCGGTGCGGTCGGCGGCGGGGGCGGCGCCGGCGGAGGCAGCGCGGGCGGACAGCCGCGCAGGCTCGCGGCGGTCGTCGATCGGGCAGCGGGAAAGCAAGGGCGACGCGAAGGCGGGGAGTAAAGGGGGGGAGTCAGCGGGGGCCCCCAAGGGCGCGGGCGGCGACGGCGGGGGCAAGAAGGCGGCGCAGGACGAGCGACAGGGCGGCGCGCAGCCACCGCCGGACCTCGCGAACATGTCGAAGGAGGAGCGGCGGGCGTACTATGCGGCGCAACGCCAGCAGGGTGCGCTGGACACCGCGCCGCGGAAACCGCAGACCAAGGCGGAGCGCCGCGCCCTGCAGGTGCGCTCCCGGTTCCTCTGTGCAGCGCCGGGCGCGCCCCGCGCCCCCCGCGCGTCGCGTGGCACCGCATCCCGTGGCTGCGGCAGCGCAACATGGTTGATTGATCGCGGCGCTGGATCGACGTCTGCGTCGTCGCGCGGTGTTGCTATGCAGGAGGCGCAGAAGGCGGCGAAGGCGGCCGCGCGGGCGGAAGCGCAGGGGCAGCCGGCGAAGAAGGGGGGGAGTCCCAACCCTGACGCGGGCGCAAAGCCCAAGGCCCCGAAGCCGCCGTCCGGCGCGAGCACGCGGCGCAGCTCCGACGGCGAGGCCGTCCGCGCGGACGCCGCGGGCGCGGCGCGGTCCGACCAGAAGGCCGGGGGGGGTGTCTCGGGGGCCGTCTTTGGTCCCCAGGAGATGTTCGCCCACCTGCAGCCGTTCGACGGGGACGCGGTGGACAAGTACATCCTCGGGGACTCGCAGCACTCCGCGGGCCTGCCGCCCGAGGTCCTGCAGCTCGCGATGCAGTACCGCAGCGGCGCGATCTCCGGAGCGAACGCGCGGTGCGTGGCGCTGCTGCACGTGCTGCGCGGCGTGATCGCGAGCCACGTGCCGAGCAGCGAGCGGCAGATCGGCAAGCACCTCACCGACAAGGTCAACCGCGTGGTGTCCTTCCTGGTGCACTTCCGCCCGCTGTCGGTCTCGATGGGCAACGCCGTGCGGTGGCTGAAGCTCGAGCTCGGCAAGGTGGGGCTGATGGACGCGGACGAGGCGAGGGCGTACCTGGTGGGGAAGATCGACACGTTCATCGCGGAGCGCGTGGAGCAGGCGGACGAGGAGATCGTGGCGCACGCCAACGACAAGATTGTCGACGGCGACGTCATCCTCACGCACGCCTACTCGCACGCCGTGCTGCAAACTCTGCTCAAGGCCAAGGAGTGCGGGAAGAAGTTCCGGTGCGCGCCTTGCCCCCCCCGCGGTCGCCAACACGTCCCGAACGCCCTTCGTTTGTCTCGGTAGCAAGACGCACCTCTCATGCGGTGACCGAGCGCCGTCTGCGGGCTGAATCGCTCTGCAGGGTGGTGGTGGTGGACTCGCGGCCGCTGCACGAGGGCCAGCGGCTCCTGCGCGAGCTGCTCGCGAACGGCATCCCGTGCATGTTCACGCACATCGGCGCGCTGAATTACATCATGGGCGAGGCGACGAAGACGTTCCTCGGCGCGGCCGCGGTGCTCGCGAACGGCGCAGCCGTGTCCAGGTGCGCCCCGCGCCCCCGGCAGCCACTGGCGACCGATGCAACACGCACGGGTGATTGCCCGCGTGCGATGGCTGTGTTGCGTGGCAAGCTTCCATAAGTTGGTTCTCGGCCCCTGTCCATGGGCATGACAACCCGTTCCCGGAAGCGACAGCAGCGAGGACGCGGCGCGGGGGGTAGGATCCCTGCGCGGCGCTCCGTTGGCAGCCGGCACCTCGCTATCCAGTCCGACCGGGTCGCAAACCCCGCGAACTGGACGTGGGTGTCCGGACATCTACCCCGCGTGCGCACGCGCGTCTCGAACGCCTGTTCGGTGGAATCCCGCAGTCATGAGACATGTTTCCTCAACTGTTGTGTTGCTTTTCGTCCAGGGTGGGCACGGCGGCGGTGGCCATGATCTCCCAGTCCCGCAAGGTCCCCGTTCTGATCTTCGCGGAGACGTACAAGTTCCACGAGCGCATCCAGCTCGACTCGATCATCAGCAACGAACTCGGAGACCCCAAGGCCCTTCTGGAGTTCGACGGGCCGCCCCCGAAGCTCGTCGACATGGACGCGGCGCGCGCGGCAGCTGCGACGCCCGGGAGCGGCCTGACGCTGCTCAACCTGACGTACGACCTCATGCCTGCGGATCTGATCACGTTCGTGGTGACGGAGTACGGCCTGGTGCCGCCGACGTCGGTGCCGGTGATCCTGCGGGAATACCGCAAGGAGTTCTCGCTCACGACGTGAGCGCGCGCCGAGCGGCATCGCGCCCCGCGCCGTGTGAGCCGGTAGTCGGGGTGCTGGTGGACATGACAACGGCCCTCACGATTGGTTCGCGACGCACGGAGTCGCAGAGTCACAGCTCTTGAGCACATGCTCTGATGCAGACGCGGGCCCGGGCTCGCGACGCGCACAAGCCGTGGCGCGCAGGCGACGTCGCGGATGTGCCGGGGGCCACCACGGCTGAAGATTCAGCCCCTCACCTCCTTGCCATCCCGCACCATGAACTTTCGAGGGGCCGCCTCCACTTTGACCGTCCTCCCCTTTGGCAGCGCTGCCGCCCAGTCACTTGCCGGCATGTCGGATGTCGTCATCGGAGTGTCCATCATGACGACCGTTTCAATGGCTTCCAGGCCCTCGGGAAGCCGCGTCACGGTCGTCCCGCTGATATTGAGCCTCTTCAACCCTCTCGCCGACTGCCGGTCGATGAAGTCCCTGTCAAGGCTGCATCCCCAGACGCACAGCTCCTCCAGCGCCGGCATGTCCCGCACGCACGTCGTCGCCGTCTCCGATGCTCCCAGGACCCGCAGCTTGCGTCTGGAGCTGTCCGGGATCTCGTTTGCATCCAGTGCCTCGCAACCCCAGACGTGGAGCACCTCCAGCGCACACATCCCAGCCGGCACCTCGCGCAGGTCCGTCGAGGATGCGAGGAGCTCCCGCAGCGTCTCCCGCACGCTCGCGCTCAGCCAGCTCGCGTCAAAGCCGACGCACCCCACCACTCCCAGCTTCTTGAGCTGCGTCATGCCGCCGGGAAGGCCGCGCACGCTCGCGCGCGACACGTCCAGCTCCTGCAGCGCCGCCGCCACGCCGTCGTCGATCCAGTGCTCGTCCAGGCCCTTGCACCGGCACACAATCAGCGTTTCGAGGTGCGTTGCAGAAGCCGGGACGCGACGGACGGTCGTGCCCGACACGTTGAGGTAGCGGAGCTCCCGCGTCGAGTCGGCCGGGAGCCAGTCGTCGGCCAGGGCTGTCGGTGTTCCGCCCCAGCCAGCCAGTGTCAGCCTCTGCAGCGACACCATCCCGCCAGGCAACCGACGCACGCTGGACACCGCGATCTCCACCTCGACCAGCGACGCGCGCGACGCCTCGTCCAGGAAGTCCTCGCTCAGCTCCTTGCAGTCAAAGAACCACAGCTTCTTCAGCGCCCTCACGTGCGGCGGGACGCGTTCGATGGGGCATTTGTTGACCACGAGCTTCTGCAGCCTCTCGCCAGAGTCGTCGGGCAGCCACGCCTCCTCCAGGCCTCCGCAGTCCTTCAGGGTCAGCTCCTCCAGCGCGCTCAGGCCGGGGGGGAGTCTCTTGATGTCGCAAAACCTCAACTCGAGCACCTTCAAGTTGCGGGCGGAGGTCGACGGCAGCCAGTCTGGTGCGCTTGGCGACAAGGTGAGCGTCTCCAGCACCGGGAGATCTTCCGGCACGATGCCGATCTGTAGCGACCTCATGGCCCGAAGCACCCTCAGCGCTGGGCGGCTCGACACCGGCAGCCATGCATCGAGGCCCTTGCACGCCGTGACGTCCACCTCCTCCAGCGACCCCATCCCCTCCGGCACGCGCCGCAGCCCGCTCTCTGCCGCGTTCAGCGTCTTGACGCTCCCGCGCGCACCACGAGGCAGCCACGCGTCGCTCGACAGCCAGTCCCACTTGAGCCCCGACACGTCCACGTGCTCGAGCGCCGTCATGCCGTCGGTCAGCGGCGGCGGCGGCAGGTCCGCCCGCAGAGCGTCTTTAGGGTAACAAACAAGGTTGTTTGGTACCTTGCCCTTGTAGCGCTTGACCTTTCTCGTCTTGCTCAGGCCCACCACGGACGCCTCGTCCCCCGGCTCCGCCCCCGCCCGGTACACCACCACCCACCCCTCCTCGCTCACCCGCCCGATCCGCGCGTTCGCCGCCACGCACCCCTGCTGGTGCAGGCGCTCCATGATCTGGTCGGCCACCTGCGCCGTGCTGGGCGTGAGCCGCACGCCGCCCGGGCAGCACCGCAGCACCGCGCTCATGCACGCCGACGACGTCGCCGCCAGCGCCACGCGGTCCCGCGGCTCCAGCAAGCCGACGACGTGCGCCATAGGACCGCTGGGCAGGTCGGTGAGCTGGAGGGCTCCACGGGGCCCGTCGCTGCACGTCATGTGAGAGAACGGGGACGTCTGCGTTGAGTCGCCGCTCGCTGTCGCATCGAGGCACGCAATACATCGCTCCGGAGCTCCCGCGCAGGCAACCACCACTGAGCGGGGCACCTCACCTCGGGGTGGCAGGACCCTGCGCCCTCCCGTCCATCATCCTCGCGCGCCGCCTCGTGATCTGCATAGTTATCATCATCAGGTCACGACGTTGCAATCACAGCAGCAGCTCGTTGCAGCGGCGGATTCTGCGCGCCACACCCTCAGCACGAGCCCCCCGCACGCACTGGCTGCGCCGCCACACCTCACCTCGACCTCAGCGCCGCGTCTCGACTGTACTTGCTCGCCACCTCCGCCTGCCTCGGCAGCCTCACGCTCCCCCGCACGCAACCACAGACCCACAGATGCCGCCCGCACACAAGCAGCGACCTTGTGCGTGCGCGCGCCGCAGGACACCCGACTGCGCGCCGGTGCGTGAGTGTCTGTGCTGTGCCGGTGCCGCTACACCGCAAAGCACCCTCACAGCCGGTCGCACGGCGTGGCATCGACGGCAGGGGGACTCCCACCGACACCCCCCCTTCAGCGATCCCCCGCGACTATACCGCGCCCGAGAGTCCCCGGAATAGTCAGGTCTGGACGTCTCTCGCGCTTCTGTGACATTGCGGTGCCGGCGGCGCACTCTATCTTGCCCCAGGCCTGTTGCGTGTTCCCCTGCGCCGCAGAGGCCTCATGGCGGGCCCGGGGGGCCCGTCGTCGCCTGGGCGAGGCCCGTCACCGGCCCCTCCGTGGACGATGCCGCGACCCCCCCTGCGCGGCTCGTCAGGCCCAGCGCTTCGTCCCGGTCGCCCTCCCCGTGCGACACTGCGGGGGTGTCTCAGCAGTCGTTTGTGCTTCGCTGACCTACAAGCACCCCCGCCGCGAGGACGCTTGAGCGACCGAAATGGTATAGTCGTTGAGAGGGTAGTACGGAGGGCGCGTCAGGACATCGGCCCGTGACACGTCAGTTGTTCGCTGACCTACAGGCACCCTCACCGCGAGGATGCTTGAGCGACCGAAATGGTACGGCAGGCGAGACTCACACAGCAGACAGGGTAGAAAATGTGAGCAGTCATGCATGTCGTACACACACCTGCACGACGTCGAAGCTTTGTACTTCGCTGACCTACAAGCACCCTCACCGCGAGGAAGCTTGAGCGACCGAAATGCTGCATTTCGTAATACAGCAGGTGTATTACGCGCCACGTCAATATCGTGACGAAGTCACACTGGTCGACCTGTTGTTGCGAGCCCTCCCCCAACCAGTCGACGCGCAGCGCAGACGGTGCTGCCATGGCATCGTCGGGGTGCGAGTGCCTGGGCTCGCGACGACACAGGGCTCAGCCCTTCACTTTCTTGCCGTCTCGCACCTTGATCCTCGGCACGTGGAACATCTCTGCCACGAACCAGTCGACGGTCACGGTCTTCCCCCTGGGCAGCCTCTTCGTCCAGCGCAGATCGTCCAACGTGAGGTCGGTCTCTTCACCCTCGCATTCACCGACGGTGATCTCTTCGATCGCCTCCAGCCCCTCGGGAAGCTCCGACACACCTGTCCTATAAAGCTCCAGCTTCTTCAACCCTCTCGCCGACTGCCGGTCGATGAAGTCCGACCAAACGTTGCACGCAGACACGTCCAGCTCCTCCAGCGCCGGCATGTCCCGCACGCACGTCGTCGCCGTCTCCGATGCCCTCAGGACCCGCAGCTTGCGTCTGGAGCTCTCCGGGATCTTGTTTGCGTCAAACGCCTCGCATTGCGAGACGAGAAGCACCTCGAGCGCTGTCATCCCAGCCGGCACTGTCGAAAGACCGGTCGAGCACGCTTGCAGCTCCCGCAGCGTCTCCCACACGCTCGCGCTCAGCCAGCTCGCGTCAAAGCCGACGCACCCCACCACTCCCAGCTTCTTGAGCTGCGTCATGCCGCCGGGAAGCCCGCGCACGCTCGTGTGCGACACGTCGAGCTCCTGCAGCGCCGTCGCCGCCACGTCGTCGATCCAGCGCTCGTCCAGGCTCTTGCACCGGCACACAACCAGCGTTTCGAGGTGCGTTGCAGAAGCCGGGACGCGACGGACGGTCGTGCACGACACGTCGAGGTAGCGCAGCTCCCGCGCCGAGTCGGCCGGGAGCCAGTCGTCGGCCAGGTCGACAGGATCTCTCAAGTCATCGCCAGCCAGCGTCAGCCTCTGCAGCGACACCATCCCAGCAGGCAACCGACGCACGCTGGACGCCGCGATCTCCACCTCGACCAGCGACGCACACGAGCGCTCGTCCAGGAAGTCCTCGCACAGCTCCTGGCAGTCGACCAGACGCAGCACCTTGAGCGCCCTCACGTGCGGCGGTATGCGTTTGATGGGGCACCACTCGACGACGAGCTTCTGCAGCCTCTCGCCGGAGTCCTCGGGCAGCCACGCCTCCTCAAGACCCAGGCGGTCGCACCGCTCAAGGGCCAGCTCTTCCAGCGCCCCCAGGCCGTGGGGGATTCTCTTGATGCGGCAGATATTCAACTTGAGCACCCTCAAGTTGCGGGCGGAGGTCGACGGCAGCCACGTGCTCTTTTCGAGCCGTGTGCACCACTTGACGTCCACCTCCTCCAGCGACCCCATCCCCTCCGGCACGCGCCGCAGCCCGCTCTCTGCCGCGCGCAGCGTCTTCACGCTCCCGCGCGCACCACAAGGCAGCCACGCGTCGCTCGACAGCCAGTCCCACCTGAGCCCCGACACGTCCACGCGCTCGAGCGCCGTCATGCCGTCGGTCAGCGGCGGCGGCGGCAGGTCCGCCCGCACGAAGTCGCGACGCAGAGGCTTTGGCTTCTTGCCCACG